GGGGGGGGAGTCGGGGGGGCTACGCTGGCGTGCGATTGCGGAATCTATTGCTGGATGAGCTCTTTTGAGACGACAGGTAAGAGGTGTCGTATGTGCTTCCCATGTGTGGGGAATCCTCGTTCGCGTTAGCTGTTTGTAGCAATCGTTCTGCCAATCTACATCACCTGTATATGCATATGGTTTCTGCGACTGCTATTCAGAAGATCCGGGAAGAATGAGAGGAATCAGACTTCGATTTCTCAAGAAGTTGACGGATAACGGGGGTGCCAGAGGTTGACCGTGACACGGGACTTGTGTCGTTATGGACATTTTGTGCTGAAATGCCGACTTACTTCAAATGGCGAAAACCGGAAGGGTCTCAGAATTCCATGCATCATCTACAACACCTTCGCCCCCTTTACCCGTCTACAACAGACAATTCCCCTCAGAAAGCGTGGGTCCTCCAGTCATCCTGAGCCCGCTGCCAACCCCCGTGGCCAAGTTGGCAGGCTCAACAAAGACTTGCACTTCCTCGTCCTCCCCCTCGCGAACTTCCTCGCCAGGGCAACGCTTACCCTTCCTCGCCTGATGGCCCATCTCTTTGCAACGCGAGCAGCGGTACACTCGCTTCCCGCTGCCGTCCTCGCGGAGGTTCTTCTCCGTGACATCAGTCAACTCGCTGTCCAGCTGTCTCTTCTTCCGCTGCCCCATCATCGACGTATTCTTCGGCCTCCCCCTTTTCTTCGCCTCTCCCTGGACTCGCATCTGCGAGTTCTGGCTGGGGGCCACGCCGGCAACACCACGGTTCTTGACAGGGCGGCCAAAGCCTGCCTTGAGGAGTGGGGGCATTACCTCATCATCTTCCTCCAGGTCGTCCACCAAGAGCGGCTCAAACTGAGAGCGGTATGCTTGCATGTACCCCTCGGAGCGGTGGAAGAGAGGGATGTAGCTGTACAGAGGAAGGTACCGGACTTGTCAGCACAGTGGCTGTCCATGCAGTCAACACACATAACAAGACTTACTCCAGAGGGTTGACGTTGAAATTCTCAGCAACATACTTGTCGAGTACAACGGCAAAGATGTGACGGCAAGGAAGGCGCCACTCACGGGGCTTGCCGCACGTGCACGTCATCTGCATGTCGTCGGACTTCACAGACAGCGTCACCAAGCGCTCCTTCATCGTCGCGTCTACTACCACCGGCTTCACATGACCCTTCAACACCACATCCTGTCCAACATGGTGGGTCGTGACACTAGCGGAGTAGGCGGAGGAAGCCTTCTTCGCCACGGCAGTGAGGGTGTTTGCCTCAGTGATGAGGACCTTGTTGACGATGTAGGTCGTCTTAGACGTAGACGCCAGTTGGTCGCGGGTTCCGCAAATTGTCGTAGATCTTGGACATTAGGGTTATGACATCGGACGACCTGGCGTCAAGAAGGAATGCGTTCGACTGCTCCACAATGTTGCTGGAGACGGTTCCAAAGCGTGCCTCGGGGAACGCATGCACGGCGTAGAGGTTGACATCAAATGTGGACACGTACTCCCAGGCCTTGTATTTGATCCTCTTGAGGTCTTCTACACACTGGTCGAACTGTGCCTTGTCGGGAGCATAGAGCATCTTCATAAAGCCGCGGGCAGCTTGGACGCCAAACTTGAACTTCACGTTGGCGAAGAGGTGGACCCCACAGTGGGCGGGCGTGGCGTTCGGGAGGATGCCCTCAACGGCGGGCATGAGGCCCTACAGATCATCGTGTCAACACAATCAGGTAGATAGAATGAATATGCGGTACTCACTCTACCCCGGTCACTCACGATCACCATCTTTGTGTCATCCAGCTTCGGGTAGCACTCCTTCATCTTCTGAAGGAACCACTTCCAAGATGCCTCCGACTCCATTTGGCAGTGACCAAACCCCAGCACGACGTTGTTCCCCCGCCCGTCCGCAGCAACCGCCAGGAGAAGGACGTACTCATGGCAGCTTTTTGAGTGAGCACCGTCAATGGCGACGACTGGCCTGAGGCTAGGCCAAGCATCTCTACAGATACCCGGAGCGAAGAAAGACGCGTTCTCGGACGCGTCGAAGGCGGCGTAGTTGCCTGGCGCGGTGTCTTTGAAGCGTGCAACGAAAGCGGGGAGCTTTTGGAACGCCGCCTGGTGACGGTCGACGTCACTGGCAGAGACGACACGGCGGGCCTTGTACACCGTCTGCAGCGGGACGATGATGCCCGCGCGGCGCTTCAGGTCGGCTTGCAGGTCTTTGGATTTGGACTTCTTCGTCACTGTACAGAAACGGCGGAGCTATGAGTAGCAGTCAGCAAGAGGAAGGGGGGGCAAAGTAGAAAGACGCTCACCATCTCTTCGACAAAGAAGACGCGATGCTGGGAGACGCGATCTCCCGGTAGAGGGTCACACGTGTGCTGGAGATTGTTCTTCACCTTCTCTTCGTTCGAGACAGACCACTTCTGTGAATTGTTGCACATGTATAGGGACACCCTGAACTCGCACTTTGGGTGAGCGCTGAGAGGTGTAAGGATCCAGTGGTCAGGTCCCGGGGCGCGAGTTAACAAGTCCAAATACCAACAATGCATTATGATCCCAGGGTTGGAATTGTGATGCAGTGGCTTTTGCTGCTCATCCGGTTAATTTATCTTACTTGGTATTTAGGTTCATTACAAGAGGGTCGACTTCGCTGCCACACGTGAACACAGAGCGTCCGCTATCCTTCCTGAGCACCTTCGCTGAGGCACCGTTCTGTCTGACAGAGTGCCAGATGACCTCGACGGATGCGCACTCGTAAGAGTCGAAGGCGCGTTCTGGGTGGATGCCAGGGTCGTGCTCAGCGTGCTTGCGCACCTCCCTGTAGTCCGCCGCGGTAGGTTCGCCCTCTTCCCCACGTGACTCCTCCTCCTCCTGCTCCTCCTCTTCCCCATCCCTCTCCATAGCCTCCCTCTCCTGCTCCTCACGCATCTCCCGAGCATCCGCAATGTCTTCAATGTTCTGGCGTGGGGAGGGCGCGCCCTCTGCAAAGGCGATCTGGTTGGTTATCATTGTGATTTTTCGAATGGGGCTCCAAGAGATGGATAGCGATTCAAGTTATCGGTGTGGAAGAGACGTTGAATGTTGGCGTAGGGGTTGGGGGGACGCCTTCGAGATTTGAGGTCAACAATCATGCACGCGACACGTCGAAACGACCATGGCAAGCACAATAATGACCGTGGGAAACTGTGCTCCTTGCCTGAGGCGCCTATTGTGCTTCCTGGGTGATTAGGCGTGGTAATCGAGGGTCCTCTTTTGCAGGCCGTAATATTTCGAATGCCCGGGTCGGCTCGCTGCCATATTTTGAATACCCGGGTCCCACCAGCCGCGCACCAGGGGCGAGACGAGCTCCCATTATCGCGCCCAAAATGCACCGACAGCAAAAGTGTGGCATGCTCTTGTACATCCCCTCACACTGTATACGTCCGTCTTAAGAGGGATCTGACTATATCATTGTGAAGAGCGCATTCTACACTTTCGGACATGCTAGATTTGGTCCTCTAGCCCATATGCATACCCCATACAGCCATGGTAAAGACCAGGGCAGATGGCTAAAATCGCATCCGGACCCGGGCATTTTGGATTTTTCACAATATTGACCCGGGTATTTAAAATATTTCCTCTATTTCTTTTGCTCTTGCCCCAGTTAATTGTGTGGTTGCGGGTTCGAGCCCCGCCGGAGGCTTCTTTTTGTCTTTTTGGTTGCCCCTTCTATGCTGCAACACTGCTTGCCTCTTCTTCATAGTGCGATATCGAAGCTATAGATCTGTTGAGAGTAAGAAAAATGTGCATCTTTGATCTGCATGAAGGTCTCTTGGGCAAGAGACGGGTCACACAGTCATGAATAGGGCTAAAGTACATCACTCGTACTCAAAGCACATAACGGGCGTGGGTTGGCATGTTGAGAGTGGATAAATGTGGTTGGTGTTTGATGAAAGGGGAGCGGAAGGGGTGATTTGGCGATGGATAGAGAAGAGAAATAAAATGACAATAGTATGTTTCAAATATAGCCGCTTACCTTATCTTATTTTTGGCGATTTCTTATTTTAAGCCGAGCCGCGTCTCATTTTCCCCATTTTGTATGGGAAAATAAGTAAGAGAAGGGATAAGATAAGAACGACCTATTTAGGTCTTTCTTATCTTATTTCTTATTCTTATTTTGCTCACTTGTACAAAGTCATTTAAATCGATGGAAAAATATTCGTTTTCCGCGTCGACGCGTCCAGCTGCACACATCTATCTTCCGTCCTTTTGCTTGCTCACGTCTTTATACACCCCTGTAACCCCCCAAACTTCACAGAGCCATGGGCCCAAAAACCCGCCAGACACCCAAGACCCCCGTGATGATCTTCTTTGATGCGCGCGAGCTCAGACATTGTGGGGGTGTGTGTTGTAAGTGGAGAGTTGAGCAGGTGAGCGCGCGGCAAGGGTGTGGATGTATAAGTAGACTACATGTGACTTGAAGTCACGCTGAGAGCAGACGCGACGCGCCATTTACGTAACACCAAGAAATAGTGAATAAGGGGAGACGCGAGGTAACGAAAATACCCTTTCAAATTTCCCAGCCAAATATTTGATCCCGGAATAAGGATAAGAAAAATAAGCGGCTATATTTGAAACATACTAATGCGTCGCATTTTTCTGTCAATTGAGCGCGTTCTCAAGTTTCAGACCGCTCTGTTTAAGAGTGGCTTAGACCCACTCTTAAACTTGGTGGTTTAAGGCGGTCTTAAACTGGCAAAATTGCCTCATCAGGAAGGTCCGATTCGGAGCTGTCAAAACGTGAAAATGGACCCTGCTCAGGGTAGGATCTGCATGTGCCTGAGCCCTGACCACAACCTGACACCTTAATGGTTTAAGACCGCTCTTAAACCCCAAATTGAATTCCCCTAATAACAGAATTATCAACCAACTGTGCCATGCCGGGCAGTACAAAACTTGGGCTTCCAAGTTAATCAGCTTGCTTACCGTCACCCAAGCTGACAGAAATGTCTTGACAGAGAATTCAGAGCCGGGTCGCCACCCAATCTCCATTGGTGCGAGCTCCGTCATCCTCGATATCATTTGACCCCCCAGTCAGCGAGCGGGTTCCATTATGCCCATGGGTCATCAACTTGGCCCAGAAATCTTGACAGCCTTGAACCCAGATGGTTCACAGCACGACAGGACAAACGATGTCATGCCGCTAAGCCTTCAGCCTCATTGGCACGATTGGGCAAAGAGGAAGAGCCACACAAGAGGCGTTATTCTCCTCAACGTCCATGAGAATATTCGTGGCACTATTGAGAATATGTGGTCAGCCTACGATATGGTCACCTACCTTCGAGACCATTATGACAACCATCTAATCTCAAGTATCAATCTCATTGAATTTGAGATATACAACATGACCATCAACAATTCTGCCCCCAAGCACAAATGCGAGGACACTTGCAGCGGTTTGAAAAGTTGTACGGTGATATCAAAACCAGCTACAAAAAAGCGCCCATGTTGAAACACCAAATGAATGAATTCAACAAGTGTCAACTTTTTATCTGGACTCTAAAGGACAATATTGCGGACATTGTATCCCAAACCAAAGCCGCATGCTCAATTACCGCGTGACCCCTGTCAAATTTACATCAGAATTCATTTTTGTGTTTTGACAAATCACCAAAACATCTTTTTGGCCAGATGTGTTTTGCTTTTTGGTGCATGGCAATTTCAGAAATCAGTTTTGGATATAAATAACAATTAATAATTTTGTAATATGTAAATAGGGGACCCTGAGGCACGACACTGGCCCTGAGGCACGTGATGACCCCCATCACTGAAATGACCCCCAGGCACAGTAGTGATCCCCGTATAACCCTTGCACTTTGGTTCCAGCATGCAACTTGGATATCAACTTTTCATCAACTCTTCCAGCGTCAGTCGATCCTCCGCCTCCCCTCCTCGTGTTTCCCCCCCCGCCTCGCCAGTCCCCCCGGTCTCCCACATTTTCACCGGAGATGACTGCCTTCCTCACGCCTCTCCGGAGCCCGTCTCTCTCGCCCTCCCCACCTCTCCCTCCTCTTCGGTCTCTCCCTCCGCCTCTTCCTCCTCGCCAATCGCCCTCCCCGCCTTTCCCTCCTCGCTGGTTGCCCTCTATGGTTCTTCTTGAATCTTGGCCTCCCCTCCGCCGCCGCCGCTCCTCCAGCCCCCCCGCCGATGTCTCGACCTTTGTACTGTATCTTTGTAGACTTGAATGTATGGTATTGGATTGGTACACAAGATAATGCTAGGCAAGCACATCGAGCATTCCCACCATACACAAGACTTTACAAGCTAGAGCCTCGTATGTGTGCTGAACTTGCTGACACTTCCGCTAACCATGCAACTTGCACTGAATGCCTGCTCCTGCCTTACGTCACATCATAAGTTCGACTTGTTGCTTGGTACAGTATGTGCCTTTTAATGCATAGGAACTCTAATCCGTGTCTACTTCGTCAGGCTGCCTCTGCAGCTCCAGATACAAGTCGTTAATCACCACAGCCATCAGCCTCGAGAATAAGGCCCACATATCACGATAGTGCCAGTGCTCTGTCACCCCCAAGGTCTCCAGCCCAGCAGTACAGATGTCGTACCCGGCCGGTGTCAGCTACTCCATCTGCCCCTCATGGTAGGTATCGTCGCTCCAGACCTCAAGAACACCGCTGGCCTCACCTGGACGAAGGCGAGGAGGTCAGGATGGGGAGGGGCCATGGGAGGAAGGTTGGGGGTGAGCAATGGGACAGGATGACAGGAGATGTACTCACGAGCTGTTTGTCAGCGGTTGCGGTCTGCCATTGTTGGTGGTAGCTGGTAGGGGAGCTGGTGACGCCGGAAGAGTTAATGGAAAGTTGATATCCCAGTTGCATGCTGGAACCAAAGCGCAAGGTTATACAGGGCCGGGGGGTCACTACTGTGCCTGGGGCCCAGCCTCGGTGATGGGGGTCATCACGTGCCTCAGGGCCAGTGTCGTGCCTCAGGGTCCCCTATTTACATATTACAAAATTATTAATTGTTATTTATATCCAAAACTGATTTCTGAAATTGCCATGCACCAAAATGCAAAACACATCTGGCCAAAAAGATGTTTTGGTGATTTGTCAAAATGCGAAAATGAATTCTGATGTAAATTTGACAGGGGTCGCGCGGTACTCAATGGCACTGTCAAGTGGTCTACGATCGCTGAGCTGTGGAACTTCGCAATTTTGGCCAAAGGTCATCAAATCCAACAAAACCAAAATGATCTTTTCAATCCTGGTCTAGTCAACAACACGTTTAGAGACAGTCGAGGCGAGCGAGGTAGTTTCCGTGGTGGTAGGGGTGGTAGCCAAGGCTGAGGAGGAAGTTCTAGGGATACAAGGCCGGCTCCTTATCATCACAAAGACAGGATGTGCTATTATTGCGAAGGATATGGCCATCTTGCAAGAGACTGCTTCAAGCGCCAGCGAAATGAGGGATATTCTGAGAGCGCGAATCGAGGAGGGAACCAGCGAGGAGGAAGCCAGCCAGGAGGAAACCAGCGAGGAGGAAACCAGCCAGGAGGAAACCAGCGAGGAGGAAACCAGCGAGGAGGAAACCGTGGCAATAGTCGAGGTGGTGACAGTGAAGAAGGAGGAAATCGTGGAAAGAACCAAAACGGTTACCGTGAAGAACAAGATACGGGCAACGACCAAGGCATAGCCTTCAACTACAAGAAATGACTCCCGAGTTGTTCCCACACTGGTCCTGAAAATATGTCAACGGTAAACGGCTACAACAACAACGTCATAAATATCACCATCAATGGGGAAGTTTTGGCCCTAGCCTCAGATCTTTCAAAATATCTCTTATCAACTCCGGGTGCTCTGATCATGTCGTCAGCAATCTGGTTTATCAACTCCGGGTGCTCTGATCATGTCGTCAGCAATCTGGAAATCCTCAAAGATATCCATTCTGCAACCTCGAAGATGACCTTCCGCATGCCAAACGGGACGTTATCTCAGTCGACTCAAATTGGTTCTCTTCCCATTCTTGATGATGGAAATATCGTCACCTTCTCTGGCGTGCGTTTGGCACCAGATCTCAAAGTGAATCTTCTAGGGGAGAGATTGATTACACCTGAAGGTTGGGATATCAACTTTCGAAAGAACAAACTGAGAAACACACACAAACATGTTATATCGTGTGAGAGGAAGAATGGTCTTCTCAGTATCAACCTGATAGAACGGTCTCCGCTTATGGGTCAAATCAACACTATCCAAGTATCGCCTTCGAATCAATTATCACCCTTGCAACATCTTCGCCAACGACTTGCACATCTCAATACAGGTCGCATCAAAGAACTAGTGCGAGACGGACTTCTGTCAGAGATAAAGGATCCGGAAAAGGTGTTACGATATACGTTCTCTTCCGCAAGTTGTGAAATATGTCAAAGGCAAAAGGCAACTCAAATTCCTTCAATGGCGTCAGCGTACGAGGCAATGTTGAGGAAGAAGTCATTCATGCCGATCTGAAGGGATATGTGCGAGCCTCAATGGCTGGTAATAAGTGATATTTGGGTATAGTCGCAGACTACACTGGGATACGAGCCCTCATCCCAATCCCTGAGAAGTCTGAAGCTTTCAAACATCTACACGACTTCATACTTCGCTTTCTCACTCAAACTGGTATACCTATCAAAGTACTTCGAACTAATCAAGGCACAGAATTCGAGAAGATCAGACCCCTCCTCAAAGATCACGGAATCATTCATCAGAAATCTCCAGCGTATACGCCAGAGTTGAATGGAGTGATTGAGCGATATAATTGAACTGCGTCTGACGCGATTGCTACTATGGTGGATTCGTCTCCTTTGGGACATGATTTCTGGGACTGGGCAGCTCGGTATGTTGCCATCATACACTGTCACTTGAATTGGAATTCTGGGAAGTCAGCCAGGAAATTGTGGATTCAGCGGGAGCCGCATTCCGAGAACTTAGTGGAATGGGGCTCGATATGTCATGTCAAGATTCCCAGACAGACCACCAACATGTCCGACTTCTCGAATCCAAAAGCAGTCCGAGGTACAGTACTGGGAATGCCGACAGACTCAAGTGGCTGGTACGTGAGGATAGAAGCGACAGAAGAAATCGTGCAATCTGCAAATGTCGAAGTTGCCCGACATCTATCACCTTCCCTGCCTCTCGAAGGTAAAGAATCAAATCCGAGCGTCACACGTATCATCCTGCGAATTCCTCCACGAAGAGAGAGTGGGCTTAGCGACGAGATAGAAAATGCCTCAAATATACTGTGTGGTCCGATCGAGGAAGAGCCTGTTACAAAAAAGAGAGACGAGATTACGCCAACTCTACTGTGTGATTCAGTTGAAGAGCAGCCTGAGGAAAACTGCTGTACAAGTACCGTCTGTGTGGATACTGTACTTAGTACGAATAGTGCGTACTGGCTGTGTGAACCAGAAGCTGCTACCAACTGGCTGTGTGAACCAGAAATGAGCTTGAAGTCAACAGATCATCAAATCTCAGCAGCGTATATTTTCGCTATGTCGCCTTCGTCATATGACAATGAACCAGAGAATATGGCAGAAATACTGCAGCACCCCGACAAAGACAAGTGGCTGGAAGCGCTACAAGCTGAGGGAAAGAACTTGATTGGAAAAGACACCTTCGTGGAATGCCAGCTACCCCAAGACCGCAAAGCGATTGAATCTAGACTCATTTGCAAGGTAAAGAGGGATGAGAACGGAGCTATCGTCAAGTACAAGGTGCGATTAGTTGCAAAAGGCTATTCACAAATACCCGGCATAGATTTCGACAAAACACATGCCCCCGTCTCCCGACTTATCTCCCTCCCTGTATTCTTGTCAATTGCTGCTTCAAGAGATTATCACGTCCTACAAGCAGACGTCAAAGGCGCCTATCTCAACAGCAAAATTGACAAAGAAATATATATGCACCTGCCAAGGGGAATGGCATACTCCAATCGAAACCCAAACTGTGTGAAGTTACTCAAGTCTATCTATGGCCTCCGCCAAAGTGGAAGAACCTGGTGGAAAGCCCTTGCGACACACTTGGAAGAATTTGGTTTATGAGTGTGTCCATACAACGAAGGGGTATATGTTCTCAGGGATGACAGTGACTCTGTTATTGCTATGGTGTTGACATATGTCGACGATATACTTGTCGCTGCGTCTGATATCAAAGTCGCAAACAAGATACTAGATCACCTTGCTGAGAAAATGACAATCACGCGTATGGGAGAAGTGCGACATATTTTAGGGATGAAAATCGAGAGAGACCGAAGCAGGAAAACAATAAAGCTGTCCCAACCAGCCTACATCGATCATATTCATGAGCGCTCCACAAATCTCCCCCATATACAGAATATGCGCCATCTCCCTAACATACCCCTACCAATTCAACGCGCCTACTCCTCTTGTCAATCCTCCAGCAGAGAGAAGCCTGTATCAACCCATTCTGGGGTGTATCCTCTGGTCAGCAGGTTCCGTACGACCGGATTTGGCATACGCCGCGAGCCTACTGTCCAGGCAGCGCGCCTCGCCGACCCTCACAGACTTGCAACTCGCTTGCCATGCTCTTGCCTATATGTTCAATACGAGGGACCATGGAATCGAGTTGGGGGAGAATCTGAGGATATCGAAGCCTTTGTGGATGCGGACTGGGGAGGAGAAGCAGCCACCGCAAAGTCGACCACGGGTTATGTCGCTACGCTGAATGGGCCAGTAGCTTGGATTTCCAAGAGACAATCCAGTGTAGCCCATTCCACCATGGAGGCCGAATACGTGGCAACTGTGGCAGCGTCAGAAGATGTCATATGGCTCCGAAGACTCCTACAATTCCTTGGGCTTACAGTTGAAAAGGCGATGAGGCTGTAGGTCGATAACCAGTCAGCCATCGCGCTCGCCAAAGGCAATACGGCCTTCGACCGTCGAAAGCACATAAACCTCAAGTATCATATCGTGCGAGAGTACCTCGCAGAGAATATTATCGATATAGCCTATGTGCGATCAGCGAACAATCCTGCCGATATCTTCACAAAAATCGTATCACGCCCCACGCTCCTTCGTCTTTCAAACCAACTCAGACTCGTCGGTGACTCACAAGAAAAGAAGTGAAGTCGCAGTTATGTTTCTCCTATTTGAACCTTCTGTGTGAAAAGTGTATATTAGGTCGGGGGAGTGATGCCAGCGTTGGGGGAGCGTTACGAGTGTTATGAGTGTTACGAGTGGTATCTGAGACCTGAGTGGTATTGGAATCTGTGTGATTATGTGCGCCGCCGCACACTTTAGAGATTAGTAGTTACGTAATCAATGTACCTCACCGTTGGCTCTGTAGTTTATCTACATCCAACACCTACTAGAGCCGCTATCTACCCTTCACTGGGCTCCAGAGACACAGTACAACTACACCGACACCACCACATTCCAACAGCATTGTCGGACGGGCGCTGGCGAGGTATGCCTCTAGGGCATACAGGTGGCGAGTGATCAGAAATGGATCAGTCGTGTAACGGGACAGAGTGGGACAGACCAGCGCGTCCGGGCGTTTAAAGACCTGGGGGCGTGCTGGGGCGGGAGGCGGCGCGGGAGCGGGGACAGCAGCGCGGAGGAGAGACGGAAGGCGTAGATCAGCGAGGAGACAAGAACGGCGAGAAGGAGCAGGATTTGAAGGGCGGCAAGGCGGATGAAACAGGCTCGACCATCTCCTACGACACCTCCCTCGATAATACCACACGTCCCCGAGACCGACAAGACACCCCAGGGCCCGAGCTCCAGCCGCCCCATCCCGGGATGTTGGCTCTCATGGCTCAGCTGGCGAACATTCAGCAAGAGCTGACCGGCCACATCAAAGAGCAACGCGCTACTGTCCCCGCTCCCGCGCCGGCCCCGGTCCCAGAGCGTCCCAAGCTTTTCAAACGCCCGGACACGCTGGTCTGCCCAACTCTGTCCCGTTACACGACTGATCCATTTGTGATCACTCGCCACCTGTATGCCCTAGAGGCATACCTCGCCAGCGCTCGTCCAACAATGCTCCCCGAGTTCTATCCCTTGTGGGCTATAGAGCAATGTAATTTCTCAATCTCGAAGGTTGGCGAGTGGTTCACATGGGGTCTCGAGTTTGGCAGGTCGGCTGTCACCTTCAAAAAACTGGAGTAGGCAATGGAAGGAGAAGGTCCTGGACCCCGACTGGGTTCGCCAGGCGCAAAACACAACGCATGGAGGGCACCACCCCTCAACACTTCGACGCTTTCGCTTCCTCCATCCGCGATTACCAGCACCTCCTCTCGAGCTCCAGTGATCCCCTCTCCGAGCTGGACGTCAAGCGCTTCCTCAAGGAAGGCCTGAGTTCTCACATGCTTGTCCTCGACGTCGAAAATGCCTTGGAGCAGAAAGCGTTGACCTTGCACACCATCTCTGTCGCCGACCTCATTGCCCTTATGTCCAAGAGGGTTACTGTGTGTGCTGCCCAGCTCGCGGCTTTCCAGTCCCACCAGGCTGTGTCTCGACCGCTCCCCCGACCTGCGCCAGCCCAAGCCTCTCGCCCAACCCAAGCTCGACCGGCCCAGACTCCCATCAAAGCGATCTCTGCTGCCCCTGCCCCCGTTGCCCCTGCAGTCCCCCCCACAGCGGCTGAAGCGCAGGCTTGGCTCGACAACACCCTTCGCCTCCCGCCTGGTTTGGAGGGAGCGAGAGCCCGTGAATACCTCCGGCAACGAGGCCTCTGTTTCCGTTGCCGCCAGCAAGGCCAAATGTCTCTGGGCTGCCCGACCTTCCAACAACAAGTCGCGTCGCTGTCCTCTATGCCCCCCCAGACCCCAGCTCAGCCGTCCCCTAGTGCCCCCTGGCCCCACCCACGAGTCAGTCCCCCTCCTACACATCCAAGCTCGCCTCAATGCTGATGGTCCATCCTACCAAACGCTAGTTGATTCTGGCGCAGCTGTGAATGTTGTCGATAAGGAGTTGGTGGAGAAGCTCGGGTTGAGGACGCAGAGGATGTTGCCGATAGCGACTAGGATGGCCGATGAATCTCTTGGACCCCAGATCAATCAGAAAGTTTTCATGGATGTGCATGTCGGCAGTGTTGTCTATCGCGACTCGCCCTTCGTGGTCATGCCACTTGGGCCATCCAACCGCATCATCCTTGGTCTCCCTTTCCATCTACAGCATCGACTACTAGCAGGGGGGTCTGGGTTGGAAGTGTTGTTGCAAGAGGGTGTGGCGACGAGGCGAGAAGAGAGAGATGGAGAGGTGGTGTTGGGATCGGGCGCTACGCGAATCAGTGGGGTGTCTTTGGAGTTGGCGGCGGAGATGGTGACCCAGAGCAAAGAACTCACTACCCAACTGCTCTCCGACTTTGCCGACATCCTCCCCCCCCAGTTGACCGATGTGGCTCACTACCCCGAGCCCGCCCCGTCCGTTTCCCAAGTTCGCCACCACATAAACGTCCTCCCTGATACCAAGCCTGTCGCTCGCCCATACTATCGTCTCCCCCTCGCTTTTCACAGTGCTTTCAAGACTGAGATCGATAAGCACGTAGATGCTGGACGTCCGCGTACCTCCAGCTCGCCGTGGGCTGCCCCGGCGTTCCTGATTCAGAAGGAGAACGGGAAGTTTTGATTCTTGTGCGATTACCGTGAGCTGAATGCAGTCACGGTGAAGGATAGCACGCCGGTGCCGTCGTGGAGGACATCTTGCAGAGGGCTGCTCGAGGAAAGGTGTTTGCGAAACTGGATTTGACGGATGCGTTTTTCCAGACGCTGATGCACGATCCCGACATCGAAAAGACGGCGATCGCCACTCCTTGGGGATTGTACGGGTCATTATGCCGCAGGGTGCATGCAATTCGCCGGCTACGCAGCAGAGAAGGCTGAACGAGGCCTTGCGAGGCTTGCTCAGCGAGTGCTGTGAAGCCTATGTGGACGATATCATTTATTTGCGTCGAGGAGGGGTTTTGTTGAGCCTATCACGGGAAGCGGAACCAAATCGCAGCCCGACCAGTCGCGTCGCGGCGGGTGGGTCGGTTGCTTTGCGCGTCGTCGACTTTGACTTTGTGTTCTGTGTTGGTTGCTCACACTTTCTCAATCTACCTGTCAGTACACAAGGGGTTCATTGGCTACTGCAGATTATATTCTGGGCTAATCAACTTCACAGTCACAACATGTCGGAATCATCAGTCAGTCTTGACACCCTGCGATGACCGTCCAGACTATGTGCTGATGTATCGGCAACAGCCTATTGTCGATCGAAAAATGGAAATGGAAATCCAGCTGCTGTCAGAGAAAGCTACGCTTCCAACTCAAGGATCTGCTTATGCCGCGGGGATGGACCTTTACAGCGCCGAAGATAAAACGATTCCTGCGCGAGGCAGAGCGCTTGTCGACCTCCGACTGTCTATCGCTGTCCCTGCTGAACACTATGGACGGATCGCACCCAGAAGCGGCTTGGGTACGTAGCTCACCGCTAGTCAAGTGTTTCATAAACACGATAGCTGACCTTGAAAAAAGCGTCGAAACACGGTATTCAGACTGGTGCGGGCGTTATAGACTCTGATTATCGAGGCCCCGTGATGGTCCTTCTTTTCAACCACTCAGACGTGGAATTTGAAGGTATGGCCTGGCAGTTCTTGACAGTGGCTCAGCTCACAATGTGTTGTCCAACTAGTTAAACATGGTGACCGTATTGCGCAACTGATTCTGGAACGCATTTCTCTTCCTGCGCTTCGCCAGGTTGATGTAGGCCATATCGCTTCTCTCTAGATCATCTCCGTGTGCTAATGCTACGAAATCAGACTCTCCCCACGACTGTGCGAGGCGCTGGCGGTTTTGGGTCGACGGGCGGTTTCGGTACTGCCGCCAAAAAACACAAGTTGGATCACGAGGCTAAACCCATCTCCTAGTACTGGCATGACCATATAGGGTGCATATCGATGCATTTATCACACTTTCCAAATCTCTGAACGAGCACGATCCCACACTTGATGCTCTAACATGTCCTCAGGATGGGCAGTCTTCAACTCAGCCTCGGGTGTCGGATGTATGATGATCTTGGCATAATGTCCCGTAGCTCGAGCTCTCGCTAGAGAGGAAGGGTTGATGACAAGAGTTGAATCCACTACCTACAAGTCATACTGCATCAGCTTTGTTTGACCAGCTTTCAATGATAAAACTTACCTTTGAGAATTTGTTCAGTTTGCTAGGCAAGATGAGAACATCAGGCATCGGGTCCATCTTCAAAAGGGGGTAATGAGTCACATCCAAGTGCACTTCGCTTGCCAAATCCTCCAGCACCGGGAAGATAGGATAAAAACTCCTTTGACCAAGCACCTGGCGTATATAGCTGGCAAACACGTCGTTAGAGGCACTGGACGCGAGTGCGGGGTCGGGATCCGCCTCGGAGGCTTTGATAGGGGTTTGAGATTGGCCCATATGAAAGAGAACGTCCACAGTTGATATGCCAATGTTGACCTCGTTGACCGAAAATGTGCAGGGATTGGGCAGCACCTTGACTTTCTGCAAATGTCTTAGCCACGTAGAGAAGAGCATTGAGAGGCGACTGACCTTAGGAATTCCCAGTTCCTCTTTGTCCAACATTGCCTGAGGGAAGGCCATGTGCCGTGACACTACATCTCGCACGCTAGGCACCAATATGATCACCGTGCCGGAAGAAGCATCGATCACTTTCTGTAGACGTTCGGATATCTGAGCACGGAAAACGTCGGCAGGGCTTTCAGTCACAAGACCACTTTTGATGGCAGGATGCTGTGAGTCTATGAAGGGTCCTAGCTGTGATTTCGAATCAGTGAATGCAGCACACTGCCAATTGAACGACTTGCCAGTATAAGGACATCCGGTCGCTCCTCCGCAACCTTGTTCAAGACTGCCTCCAGGGGCGCATATAGCAAATTGTCGCTAAGGGTGAACGGCCCCGAAGCGACACAAAGGGATATGGGTTGTCCTGTAAGTTTATCGCCGTACTGGAAATCGAGGAGCTCCGAGGCGGGTGTTTGACCCAGAAAACCGGGGGGAGACTAGAGAAGGGGTCAGTTGAGAGGCGTTGTTAGGTGAGCCGCACGTACCACCAACAGCTCCTCGACGACGAATTTACCTCCGCCTCCATTTCGCCCTTTCAGACAAACCAAGCAGCCACTATACATCGGCACGGATTTGGCGCCAGGCGCGCCTCCTCTGACTTGGAGCTGGTCACCCGGAAACTGAAGGGCAATTCGCCTTCCCCCTCCAATCAATCTGGATGACTGTAGATGGAAGGAGTCTCGGAGAGAAGCCTTGTCTATCTTGACACCTGAAGCGTTGACTACAACTCTTCCCACAGTGTAAACTGTGTCGTCCGTCACCAGGTGGGGGTCTGCCAATTCTTCGAGACCATAGGCTTCCTTGATAATCTCAGCATAATCGTCAATGAGCTCATCCAAAGCTTCACTGCGTTCCGAAATTTTCTCGAACATGTATCGATAGCTGTAGTCGGCGGAAGTGATGGTGGACGAGAGCTCCACACGAGGCTTAGAGCCCTTTTTCAAATTGGTTTGGGACACTGGCGGTAGGTGGGGGTTCAAGGTGTCGGTGAGCGAGTTGACCGCCGAAACTGGGGAGCCGGAGAGAATGGAGGGCGAAAGACTGAGACAAAGGTCAGAGAATGCGAGGCGCCTATGACCGTTGTGGCAGACGTACGAAGGAGAGACACCTGATGGGCTGACCGGGCTGGAGGGGAAATGCAGACCACCGGTTCCAGCGCCAGTCGGAGTTTCTGCAAGGAGATCATTTGCGTTGGATGATAGCCTAGAAGGGTGAGGGCGATAACTACTAGCTGTGGGTGGTAACGGTGAGAGTCGTTCTGGGGTGGCCCATTGTGAAGTGGATCGGTCGAAGTGCGTTGTAGATGCGTGGCTGGTGCCCTTCAGTGACTGAAAATCTTTCGTTGGTTTGGGCCGACTGGGTGTGACAAATCCTCCGAGGCTATGGTACCAGTATTAGAATAGCCCATACGGCCGGACAGCGGACTCACAGTCCTTCCAGATCTGCCTTCTTGCCCTTGGCTTTCTTCACGCCTACGGCGGTCTTCTTCTCGGATGCAGGTAGCCCAGAAGCCCCCGATGCGCCCATACTAGCAACAGCCGAGGCTTGCTGAGCGCGCTGTAGCTCAAGCCGCAATTCTCTGACAGTATCTATAGAGAGATCGGATAGTCTGGCGCGTAAGCCGGATGGCCTAGACATGACGAATGCCTCATATTTGAAATAGAGATCAGCAGGACTGAGATTGTACGATCTCAGTAGAGAGAGACCTTGATGCGAGACAGTCGTGAGCGTCTGGCAGCGCGCTTGAGAAAAGGGGCTCACATTCGGCCATCACGTCTGGACGGTTTAATACAGCTGGGCCAAATCGATCCACCAGCTGTCTACTGGTGTCGAGTTCCGAGGGAGCGGACATTTCTCGAGAATTGTCGTGCTGGCAGGGTGGCTGAAGGGAACGAGAGAAGTGAAAGAGAGGAATAATTTTGACGCGTTCACGCAGGCATGAAAGATCGGACATGAGACGCGTTTTGTTAACTATGATGTACGATTGTTAACGCGTTTGTAATTACTTAACGCTGTTGTGCAAGAAATGTTGAAGAAATGTGAGAGATTGTGATGAGAAGACTACGCTGGGCAGCAAGGACACCAAGCATCGCATCTGCTGCCAATGCAGGACTCAGCGCACTCCGCATTCCGTCTCGCCGAAAAGCACTTCAAGAACCGCGCCCACAAGGACTCATTCCCCTCTCTCCGTCAATGGCAGCAGTCTCTCCTCGATCTATCTCGTCCTGCTGCTGAGGAACATGACGAGCTGTGGCGAGCGGGATGGTGGTGCCCCGATCATGATGCGACGTCTCCGTCGTCAGCCAGGCGTTCCAGAAAGACGAAGGCAAAAGACAAAGGTCACAGGCCGGAACAAGCCCGAATCGATCTAACATCCGTGGAACTACCCGATGGAAAAGTCGGATACGTTGTGGCGGACGGTATGTGAATCGTGATACTCCTAGCGATACGCATCTGACTATTATACCGTAATAGGCTGTATCCTTATACCCGGTTACTTGTCCAAAGAGGAGCAATTGGCATATGCTCTCGAGTCTCTGGCCGAATACACCCTGCCTCCCAACCCGCTCTCACTATCCACACACTACGACCTTCCTCAGCAAGGTCTATTTGATCTGCTTGTCAACGATCCTGTATCACTGATTCTACCTAAACACATGACTATCGGATCAGAGGGGGCAGTCTCGGGATCTCCTACCAGCCAGCCCAAGAACAGGGTCTTGAATGACACTGAACCAGCGTCAGTCATTGGCTATGATGAGATTGTAGCGCGTAACAGGGGCTGGAAAGGAGATGCCCCAAGCGAGAAATTGGGTTGCAAGCGGGTTGAACAACTATACAAAGAGATCAGATGGGCCAACTTGGGATGGGTGTACCAAGTAAGTCTCGTTCGCGAAGAGATGGAATACACAAATATCTAATTGTCTTTACAGTGGTCTACAAAATCGTATGACTTCTCGCGTGAGACTCCTATCCCTTTCCCGAAGCCTTTAGCAGATCTTTGTTCGTCTGCTGTCGCGGCCATTCCTTGGCAGGAAGTGTTCGATCCGGTCAAAGATCCGCAGTCTGCCAATTATGGCTGGGAATCATGGCCGGGCGATTATAGTAGGTTTCGGGATAGACTATACATGTTACATTGGTCGCTTATATTGGGAACAGGACCAGATACCGGTATCGTCAACTTCTATCAACTGAACGACACTCTCATGGCGCACGTGGACAGAGCAGAGTAGGTGGGGCATGGGGTCCGAATTTGTCCACTGACAACCATGCAGACTCGATCCTGTCAGGCCACTGGTCTCTCTCTCGTGTGTCATCTTGCCCAACGAATCAGGCCCGCACTGATACATGTTACAGTCTTGGCCACGCGGCAATCTTACTGTTGGGCTCAGACTCGCGTGATGATACCCCACGGCCAATCGTCCTTCGCTCGGGAGATATGCTGATCATGAGCGGGCGTGGGAGACAGGCTTATCATGGTGAGACAATGAGCGACATGGACAAAGCTCGAGCAGCGACTGACAAGGTGCAGGTATTCCACGCATATTAGAAGGAAGCCTGCCCCTTCATTTAAAGGCTGCTGAAGGCGATTCGCTGGCGATGGCAACCGTGAAAAGATGGTTGTCCAGCGCCAGGATCAACATCAATGCAAGACAGGTGTTTCCTCCGGGATTTGTACGACCGACATCCCATACCACTGAATGAAATACGCACGATGTGTTGTAGTATCTCGAGTCACCCGGAGTCGTGTTTGAGATTACATCAGAGCGCCTCGATGTTCATGTAATAGCGCAAAGTGACGTGTGAAAAGGGATGCTGCCAATTTCACCAAGATACGAGCAGATGCGCTTATCAACGTGTTGCCAGCACCAATGTTCACATGCTACTTCACCAGTAACTTCTACTCAGCTTTGCATGTCACAATTCACTTGCGGATATTTGAAGATGTACCAGAAGTTGAATTGGCGCAGGTCCGAATTTGGCAAGCATACGAATGCATGTGACTAGATGACAACAAGGGGCCCTGTCTTTAGATCTTGACCTAAGAAAAGCGGCGAGTCAGTGATTATAGTCAAAATAGACCACGCCCGGTACTAACCTGCTTGAGACCGTCCCTCCAGAAAGTGAAGTAGGGGGTGACACCGTCTTCACGGTAGTTCTGGACGCGCATGATCAGCCGATGAACTCTTCCACGAAAAAAGAACGCTTACCAGCAAGGCGACCATGCCGTCGGGGTTCATGCTCTCTCCGACGTAGAACTCGTAGTCCTTGAAGCTACCAACAATCTTCTTGGCAAGCTCTTGGGCATCCTTCTCGAAGGCAGCAACTCGCTCAGGGTTGGCGGTCTGGAGGTGAGCCTTGACAGCCTTCATGTAACCCTTGAGGTAGGTGAGGTAGGACTGGAAATCAATCAGATACCGTTCAAACAGATTGAGCAGCTTGCTCACCTTCTTGTCGAACTGAGTGGATTGGAGACGGAAGGAGTGGACAACGTTGTTGACCTGAGAAGCACCCTCTTCGAGGGCTTCGGCGACCTCCTCGGCGGAAGGGTTCCCTCCTAATGGCAGTCAGCGTGGATACAGATGAGGCCCGCGGACCCGATTCAAACTCACCAATGTCAACATCGCCCTCCTTGACGATGATGTTGGCACAGTCAACCTCGTAGGCAACCAAACCAATCTCCTTGCTGAAGTCAGGGCCAGATGAGCATGGGACTCGTGCGCGGGCAGATATGCTTACACGGGGAAGGCGTCGGAGACCATCTCGTCGCCGGTAAGAACGTCGGTGTAGATCAACATTGTGCTGCTGGGTTTTGTGGGTTGGTGGGAGGCGATGAAGGAAAAAGAGAACAACAAAAGAGCGCGGAGCCAGCAGTGTGGAAACGTTTTTCGTTTTTTACTTTTTGACAGCGCTTGTTACGTAATTATTTTCAGGAACAACCTTGCCACGTGGCTGTATGAGGGCCCATCGTCGAAAAGTTCACGCTGCTTGGAAAAGACGTGGTCCACCGATCGCATCCATGTTATCTGCCTTCATATCTTCTCCTCCGTCGCTTTGCCTATAAGGACAGCATTTTGGCAGCGCCCAGCGATGTTTGCTCGATTATCGCCTCGGCCTCTGGATCCCCAATTAACGACCAGATCCGCCCGTCGCCGATTTACATCCACTCGCTCTTTACTGGGCACACTATCGGATCTGGCCCGCACGGCATCCCATGACCTGAGAGGTACAAATTCAGCTCCTATTAGACCGAAACCTTTTCGCGCAACTTCAAGAACATTGCTCTCGGAAGCTACAACTACGCAAAACACTCTTAAAGCGCAGGCGCAAGCCGAGCTCGAGAAAGATTTGTCTTTCCAATCGTCTTTCGCTCACTACAAAAAAGCGAAAGCATCCCGCACCTCCAGTCTACACATTGTCCCCACTTCCAGACAAAATTTGCAGGGTACTCACTCGTCGAAACAAAGTGTTCGAGGTCGACACTCCAGGCGGCCAAACAGGCTGGTGTGTGAAGGACACGACGGTACGACAGTTGACGGGATTGTATCGGGCTCGCACGGGGACAGCGGAGGAGCCAGTGATGACCCATCCACAAATGGTCAGTATATCTAACACTGTATCTGTGGCACCAGCTGATATAGATCAGATACATCGTCGAGCCCAATTCATGAGCGGGATTTTTGGCCAGTCGCCTCGAGCACCATCGAGTCCCGCGGCATTCAAATATCTGGTATGTGCTCTACTTTACAGTCACCTATGTTTGCGCTCATCGAATTCGTCTAGCTGTACAACCCCGCCTTCCGTCAGAGATTGCGTCTCTTCACCACGATCTAGAGACTGTGCTGTTCAGGTGCGTATATACGAGTACACCGAGAGACAAGCTGATATAAGGTGACGTATACAGTGAGGGGGTGCAACATTTACGAGATCCACAAACAGGCGTATGGAATTATGACTCGTTCTTACAAGACATACCTGCGCCTTCGGAATACGCCTATCATCGTTCGCCGGGGTATGTCCCGCCTTCTCAGGATTCAGTAAGCACCTCGATGTAGCTCGGACTCCTGCTTACGACAACGCATCAGGAGCTGTTGCGCCTAGCGGAGCAGCATTCTTGCCAGTTCTACGGCTCAACTTCAACTGTGTCAAAGGCCTTGAGTCAGATTTATTTTGCTATAAGTGGTCCGTACTCATTTCCATGTGATATTGACCCCTGAGACTTACAACTTGTATCACAGGGCGGAAAGGGGTGGACATATCGTATCTAAGTAAGGGCTTTGCATCAGAGGTGAGAGGAGTAGTTTTACGCCTGCGTAGACGCTCATCGTGACGTATCAGCGCTCGGCTTTCACACGAGGTGCGGAATTGCCTGCAGCGATCATAATGAACAGGAGCGCAAACGGACACTATGCCATTGACAACGACAAGGCTTACGATGTGGAGAATGTCCTTAGCGATTTTGTGGGATCAGTTCTACCTGCATGTTTCGCTCAGCTTACTCAACATGCTAGGGACATATCATGGAGAAAATGTTGACAACAAACGCGACAGATTTTCAACGCTTTCTCAAAACAAGCCCAGAAAACGCTGTACCGGAAGAGGAGCGGACCAAAAGAGAAGCATATCACCATATGAAGGTATGGCCAAAATCTAGATCATGAGGCATATATACCTGATTCACAAATGCAGGTCGGATCCCTGCTGCTACGTTCTCAATTGGATTGCCGCCATCCAAGACTTCCGGGCTCTGGCGTGTTCGATATCAAGACGAGAGCCTGTTTCCCTGTCCGAATTGACTCGGAAAATTACGTTGTATGTTTTACCAAGCCCAGACTTATATGTAATTGATCAAAGTAGGCCAATTCCGTATATGACATAGCCCATCTGACAGGCGTCAAGGGCTCCTATGAGAAGGAGTGAGTTTGTCATCTGCCCTGGCGCCTTATCAACTAATTTCTCGCTCTAAGGTATTACGATTTGACTCGCTCTGCGATGCTAAAGTACAGGTATGTCGCAATGGATAGATATTGACACCCACTAACCCGCTCAATCCTACAAGCTTTCAAGTTCGCATAGGTGCCATGGAGGGTATTTTCGTCGCCTATCACAGCACCTCTCGCATATTTGGTTTTCAGTACATCCCATTGTGTGTCCTCTAGGACTTGCGGTCTGACTCCAGAAACTTACACCCTCTTGCAGAGCTGAAATGGACAAACGGGTCTTTGGATCCAGCGAAACCGCAGATGCTGCTTTCAAAAACTCAGTCTCTATCCTTGAGCAACTCCTCAATCATTGCACATCTCTCTTCCCGTCGGAGGTCAGTATTTTTCATTGCAATTGTCGCAAACGCTTATTTGCGCTGTGCTGCCTGTAGAGTGTCAAGATAGTCATGAGACATACACCCGCTATTGATCCGCATTCCATCACAGCCTATGTCCAGCCGAAGAAGTGGATCAAGAGAGACGGACCATGTCCCGTTCAAGCGGTGACTTTCATCATGGAAAACTTGCTCAATGATCGACCTGTTACTGGGCCCATGCCAGCTTATGGTCTGGACCCAGAAACGGGCAGAGCGCCCAGCTGTGAGTACTTTTCGGCTCAAAAACCAACTGCAAGTCCTGATACGGCCCATCAACCAGGGGGTATCAAATCGACGATCTTCAAAACCACAAAGGACTTGTCAGGGCATTCCAAAGCTCGTGTCGGTCTCCAGCGATCTCAGGCTCGGCTGCGGACAATGTCAAGACGATTTGTTCCTGAAGGGGAAACCGTAGAGAGTATGACTCGCATACGAGGGTCTACTAGTGCTCTCACACGGGCTGATGGTCAAAGTCCAGCCGAGAGCCAAGACATTATATGGAGGGAACCATCAGCCGATATTGAACGTATGAGGCAGGAGGTAAAGGAGTCCGCCAGACAATACCACAAAAGGAGACGGACATGGAGCTAGTATCCGAGAGAAAAACATCCATCATGTCACAATACGGAGGGGCGGCTTCAGTCTCCCTGGCCCGGGTATTACAGAGGCATGGAGATGCTCCTCATATCTGTCCATTGATATGCGAGGACCTGTAGATATAGAGTAGTGTAGAGAAGTATGTACAACACGAGTTCTCCGTACTACTGTACTTCTATTTGATAATTGACTGGCATGTAGCAGCATACACTGATCCCCGTCTATGTCGCAGCCCGTGGTCATGCCCTCCATGTGAAGATAAAGCTAATACTTCTGAATATCGCATCGTATGGTAAGGTTCTATCTTGGTCATGAATAGTATACTGAGGGTAAATCCACGGTGACAGCCTACTCCCTCCCCTCATTCTATCTGCACATAAAAGTCAGAAAGGTTGTCCATCATGATGCCATGCGATCAGACGTACATTGTCAAAACTTCTCAATGATGTGTTGTAACCGAGCGCTTTCCAGAACGCGAACTGACCAAGGACACGGCAGTAGCGGCCCGGGATCTTCTTCTTCTGAGATCTTTTTGAGAAGAAGTGTCTTTTCGATTCAATCGGTGCAGTTCTTTCGAGACTTCTTCCATCTCCTTCGCGTCTTCCTGATCTTCTGCTTCGTTGATGCCTCGGCTTTCCCTAATTTCTTCCTCCATAACTTCATCCAGCAAAGCCTGTTGCTGCGCTGACGAGGCACTAACAGTCCGATGTCGACCTGATATGTAGCTCGCAGACCGGGCTACTCGAGGAGTAAGCAATGTTGTCGATCTAGCGACCCCACTTGGAGAGCGACTCGGTGTATAGAGCGTCTCCACATGGTCCGAGGTAGACTCGCGGTAACTAATGTGACGCTCTTTCTGTGGCGTAGATGGCGCATTGTCATTCCCCAATATCGGCTCAGGCAAAGATGTTGCAGACTCTGAATGGATCGCAGCCCTCTCAGAGTCATGACCCAAAGTCGCAGGGCTATCTGTTTGCGGAATCGCAGAGGAGCAAGCAAATGTGCGCATCATGATATCTCCCCCGGGTGACTCGGATATCGTTTGCGGGTCCCTGAACAGTTGGGACAGACGTGGCGGCGAAGGGGCATCAGTATGGCGACGGATCGCGCCCCCGGGGACTCCGTCATACCATACATGTTGCTCTTTCTCAGGCGAGAGACCGGGGCTGTCGACATGTGAGAAAAGGGGCTCTGTTTTTGATCTGTAAGGCGCAGGTCTCGAGGCCGCAGGAGACACAGTGTTCTCCTCCTCTGACTCGTCGTATTTCGGTAAGTCGACAGACCAGTCGCTGATTTGCCCTGGTCCGCCCGATGAGGTCGTCAAAGAGAGGCGCACTTCAACGCAATCGTCCAGATCAATAGCCGACCTGGGATCTCTCTGAAGGAGTAAAAACTCCTCATAGGGATCGGTATAGGCAGGCTGGTCATCATATCCTCTGGACCGGTGATACGGAGGAATGTCCTCCCAGGGAGGTAGAGGAGGGTGGCGAGACACCAGCGCCAGTCCATGCATTTCGTGCAGAGGAGTCAATTTTGGCGAGAGATCATCAAGCGCTGTGTTGAAATCTGTACGCTCTTTCAAGTAGACTTTTGAGTCGAGGGTGGTGAAGAACGTGCGGTCAAAAGGTATAGGCTTGCGCTCAGAAGGCAATTGGTGTTTACCAATCCAACCACCTGTCCAATAACGAAAGTTTCTTCTGACCGTTTGAAATGTGGATGTGGAGTCTCTTTCTTGTTTTCCTCGCTCCTCGAAGGTCTCTTCGTCGTCAGAAGAGTCAGAATGGTCAGAGCCACCCTGTTCGTTTCCGCTGATCAAGTTGTTTGCAGGAGGACAGAGAAGATCGGCTTCTTCGTGGTCCAACCTGTGTTGTTGCGTCAGTCAGTATTGACAAGCAGAGGTCTTAGTGGCACTCACCTGTCAAATCGTCTCTTGAGCGCCCGGGTGATGCTACAAGGCTATTGTCAGAAAGTAATGCACCGGCAGAGCTGTGCAGCACTCACACTACCTTGGTTGACAGAGTCAAGGCAAAAAGTATACCTGTAGCTACGGCGTGTCCCTTGGCTTTGTCTATGGGGTGCTGTCAGTCGTGACAAACGTCTTTCAATCATATCCTTCCGCCCACGTACTTAGGATGAAAAAGGCAAACAGGACAAATTGAGCCAGCGCGAGGGCGTCGGTGCTATATCGCTGGATACGGATGCTTGACCGTCGACCGTTGGTCTCGTAAAGGCGCCCATAAACGAACACGAATTGACGCTTCCAGACAGCTGCGGCAATAGTGAGTAGTTGGTTTTCCGCGTTGCAAGCAGGCACTTACTGTACAATGCTCCGTAGTACACAAGCGCTATTGAAGGTAAGCTTTTGCTACTTAGAGGATACCTCGACTTACTGAAAGCAATCACGAGCGGGTTCAAAAGCATGAACAGATGCATGATAGCACCCCCGAGAACATGTTGAGGCAGCTGTGAAAAGTGGCTGAACGTAGGGCTGGAAATACGGTCAGCAATTGCCAGTGTCGTCTTGTAGTGTAGACTCGCTGTTCCGTGCGCGAACGTCTCTGCCGAGGCACAACAGACTGCCGAGTACCAAATACATAGACAATTGTGGGAAGCTGAGATGCATAAGCGCAAAACTTGCGGGTGAGGCTGAGTGCTGGCGCTTACTCCAAGACGGAAGATCTCGAAAAATGGCTGGATGGCCACTTGCAACAGGATGTAGGATGAGAAATATGGCGCGGCAGTGGGCTAGTTGAGGGCAGGCGATCAGCTGACGTTCACAAGCAAACGGCAACCAATCTCACGAAAGCAGAGGATATGATCGGCAATGGATCAAAAGACTTTGCCTGGAATGCGGTGAGATATGCCTCGATGGTAGATTGGCCGATCTGAAAGATGTGAGTAGAGATTTCATAACGAGGGCAGCAACCAGAAACCTACAGCAAAGAACACAACTCCATTGACCATCACTGGTATGGAGATTAGCGCTATGAATGTCTAGACAAACAAACCAAACCGACAAAATTTCCAAAAACGCTCCAGAACGCTGTTGTGTATTCCCAGTCTGGTCACAGTTGTCTCGGCCTTATTCGCGATGACCAACAAGAGCGGACAGATAGCAAGAGTCAAGAGAGCTACGAAGATGACGGGAGCCAAGGAGGTGGTGGCTGACGCTGCTTTCGGGTGTTCATCCAGGAACGTCTGGAGAGGTTTCACAAATCCGGCGATGTTGGTTAGAGATGCCAATGCACACAAGATAGAAACAGGAAAGATCTGCAATGTCAGCTTGGCCAGCTTCTCGGTTGACTCACCCAAACCAAAGTGAACGCCCACACCCCAAGGTTTACCACCCAACCTCGCACGAATTCTGATCTATACGCGCTTTTATATAGCCGTGGCCATAGCAAGTCTGTCCATTCTGGCGCCGCCGTCGTTCGACAAGACAAAGTCCTCTTCGGGTGACTATCAAGAATCTTGAGCGCCAAGCGTGCTGTCTTGGCGTCTTTGAACGTGGCGAACGCTGTTGAGGCAGCAGGATAATCTTCTATCGGCGTTGATTGGGCTTCGTCGATCAGATCGGTAATGTAATTGAGCTTGAGGGTAAGGTAGTCAATTTTGGGGGCATTGTTTTTGTAGAGTGGCGCAATTATGGGCGAGTGAGTCAGTTCTTGAAATGGGTCTAGGCATTCCCGAGGGACCGAGTGCAGAATCTAGACCAAATAAGCAATCGCCACAGGTGGTTGATAGATGCACGTACGTCCCATATGGTGTCGTCTAATTCAGTGGTCTTTGCGCTGACATAGGGCTTGAGCGCTTCAACGAGAATAGACATGAGCGCGAGTTTGACGGGATCTTGTATTTGATGTAACTTTCGAGGATGTCGGTGATACTTTGTGACCTCACGAAGAACACGCTGTGCCAGCTTCGTGTGTGCCTGAAGTCTGTATCAGAGTATTATCCTTCAATTATCTGTTGACTCACAATTTCCAGTTGTCTCAAAACGTTCTCTCTCCGGTTGCGTAGGTTTTGCAGTCTACTCAGTTTCCGGACCAGAACGATTTCTTCGACATCACTCCCCTCTGAGGGCTCCACATCCACGGAGTAGGAAGGGTTCTGCCCAATCGGTATGACTTGCTTGATTATTGTACCAATCGGACCTCGTTTCTGTGGATCAGCCTTTAGAGCATGGTGGCGCAGGTAGTAGTCAAAGTACTCTCTCAAGACTTTCTCGTCTCGCATGTCGGGCGGGATGTTCGTGACCATAACGGTTCGGAATCGCTTGAGCCCGGGGCGATCCGCGTAAGGATGGATATCATCCCGGCCTTCCTCCCCGCGAGACTTTAGCCTGGCCGCTGCCTTCTCCTCTTCCAGCTTTACCCCTAACGCTCTGATCTCTCGTCTTCTGTAGGACAGAGCGCCCCAAGTAATCCACAGCACCACACATATCCAGGTGATGGAAACCCACCAGATCAAGAGGGCGTGTACCCAGAGCCACTTGGATCCTGACGATTTGACGAGGGATGAGATGGATGCGCGAAGCATGGAGGTTTTGGCGACGTCGCTGGGAGAATAGAATATGTGGAGGGGCATGAGAATGGGCATAATGATGAGGGCATGGAAAAGGGTATAGAAGACTGCCGGATGAGTGCTCAGTATGGCAGCATGACAAGCGTTGGCCCAACACTTACAGGAGGCACGCAGGAATCTCGCATGAAGCGTGAGATCTAGACCGCATTTGGCAGGCATGTCGGTCTCCTTGAACTTGAGGCTGGCTACGATCCACGCCAAAGGCCATTTGGGGAGAGATTGCGAGGCATTGCTGAACATGGTCAGAGCACATTCCTGTAGACGACACATTGACCTATTGTATACTTACACTGCCCACACTTTTGGCTGGTATATACTGCTATCGTCAGCCAATGCCTCCGGCATTATAGAAACTCACTATCCAAACTCCCAGTCCTCGCGTGACTTTGGCCGATCGCTGGGCCTGTTCGCCTTGTCCTCGACGAGCCCCTCACTGCTCGTCCGCCCGTCTCCCTGTTGAGGGTGGTGCGATCTACTGGATTTGCGTCTCTTCCAGCCCCTGAGCGCTTGGTATATCCTGACTACGAGCAGGCGCCGGGGTCCGTCTGTGCCCCTTTGTCGTGGGACGTGGACCTCGAGCTCGTGACCGATGAGACAGACGCCTGCGATGGCGAGGGTGAGCCAGAGGTTGTCGAGGAGGCCGGAGTAATTTGCGTTGTAGTTTGTGTGCTGGGAGAGGTCGGCCATGGCGGTGCACACCGAACACACCGAGAGGAATTAATGCACCACGATATGATGTTGTTAGGTAGCTGGCAGGCGAGACGGCCGCCGCCCAGGCACGCCCAGCAACGTGGGAATAATGCCGCGCCACGTGTTGTGGCGGTGTCATCCGACGGCTGTTATTTGCTGGCGGCGGTGGCCGCTGCTGGATGGCTCTTGCTATCTCTGCTGCTGTGCATCCCAGATTTAGATTCCCCATAGCCACGCGCAGCACCCGCCATGGTCCGCCCCAGCGCCCTCCTCCGCCAGGCCCCCAAGCCCAAGCCCATGTCCGCCGACCACACAAAGTACCACGTCGCCTCCACCGTACGTCCCCCCTCCTGCCACTGCTCCCTCTGACCTTCTCCCAGGGTTTCTGGAAAAAGTTCCGTAGGTCGACCTCTTCAGCCCGCCACGCTGGGAATAGGGTATCGCTAATTTGCATCGCCTGGATCTGATTGTGGCCCGCAGGAGACAACCTTGCCGGTGCGTCCAATGCCCCCGCTTGGGGGGCGAATATGCTCACGTCTTCGTCTAGTCAACCCCGAGATCTCTACAGGTCTGCCCATCCCCACTCTGAACCGTTTCCCCCAGCCCGCTTCTCGACCTGAGAAGTATGCCACCCCTGCTACCAGCGCTAGCGACCCCGCCTTCAACCCTGTTGGTGTTTTGCTCACAATCCCGAGATTGCTCAAGGCTGATTGGGCGATAGTACTGGAAACGAGACTCTCGCCGCTCCTACCCCCAAACTTCCGTCATTACCCAGACCCACCTCTCCAGCCTTCTCCTCTCTTCCCCGACTCTGTCATCCCTTCCGTCGCCCGAGACAGCTGTCGAGACCAAGCAAGAGTCTTCTGCCATCGCCCCGGGCTCGGAGCTCTCAGATGCTCAGCAGGTTGTGACGGCTTCAGAAGTCCCCGACCTTTCGACAGTGTTGGACAAGATCCCTGCGGGGAAGGCCTTCTTGGGAGGTGGTTTGACGACTGGGCAGGGGTCGGGAAGCTTGCCACCACTTCCTCCTGCGTCCAACCTTCATTCGGGTGTCAAGTGGACGCCAAAGGCAGGCGCCGAGGTGCCCCACGGCAAGTACGATTACTTTCCCATGTACACCGTCTGCTAGATAGCGGGACATGGTTGTGGGTCATAGTCGTTCCTGGTGATGTACCGGTCAGACGGACGACCATGGTGTAAGATAAGAGGCTGAGGTTGGATGAAGCATGCATCAAATCAGCAGCACGATCAAGCATACCGATTGAGCAGGTACACTATAGACTGGAAACCTAACTCCATATCCCACCATTTCCACCCCCAGACGTCTACGCCCGTTGGAGCGGATCTTCTACGTCTCTGGGTCCATATCCGCCCATCGCGCCGAAGCTCTATCCAGTCCACTCAAGTCCCTCTCTCCCACCAGCTCGCGCACGATCAGATACATCTTGTTCAAACATACCGTAATGTGCACCAGAGAGGTACTGGAGGTAGCACAAAGGGTGAATTGTTCACTCTGCACAAAAGATCAGCTTTTGTGTCCTTCTTGTTGTACCCACGTACATTGCAATTCTCCCACGTGATGAGCCCAGCCATGACCTGGGCAGCATTGTCAGACTCCAAGACAGATCCTGACAGGGTAGTCCCTTCTTTCGACACCCTGTCTGCACGATCGCTGCCCTTTCGCTTCTGCACTTCGTTCACACCTTCACTTTCATCATCTACCCCGTTGACAAAAGCCTCGCTCTCCAGGTCGGTCTCCGTCGTACCACTCATCCACTGCCTTCTGATTGTCCGCCCAGCACTCTCATGCATCGCCAGCCGTTCAAAGATGGGGAGCATAGGAGGCAGGGGTTCACCTGTTCTGAGGGATTGTTGAAGGGCGGAGAAGAGCATCAAGCAATCGCCGATCTGCACCAAGATCAGCCAAAGGTCATGGGCGCAACAAGCGGCAACCAGACTCACAAAGGCAGGGTGCATGAACAGACTTCGAGTGGCTAGACGCTTGCACCAAACCACCTCCAAGCGAGAGTAAGCCGAAGACAACAGGGCGAGTGTGACCAAGATCTCATTTTGTACCTTGTACAATTTTGCGTATGTCTTCTTTGGCCAGGGACCCCTAGAGATATATTAGCTCGTGCATCGCAACGTACTTGCACAATACTTACTTCAACCCGATTTCCAGTCTGGTTGAATCAGCAATGGATCTGTATACCGAGAAGGACCACTTACGACGCATACATCATGTGAACTTTCATGGCTTCCATTCGCCCCTAAATGAGATCAGCGGGTTGTTGTCGCAGTCTGTCGTCACAGTAGACTCACAAGGATGTTCATGAATTTGCCCTTATATCTTTCCCGTCGTCCATTTTCATCCACTGCCGTCCCCCACTCGGCTGCATCCACCTCATCTTCGATACCAGTCACTACCTCCCCATATAATTCCGATATATCTCTCATATTTTTGGCAAGGCGACGGCGGAAAAGGGCTCGGGCAGAGGTCGGACGAGGGAAGAGCATACAAATGAATGCTGCAGTGAACCCTATTACGATTATCAGCACAACAACGTTAGTGCTCAGTGACATGCTGACCAATGATGACGAGGAGCGCACGTCGGCCGGCGAGGGCTGCGCCGACACCCTGGCTCGCCGTAGTATAGATATGCTCGTCAATCCACGAATAGCCAACGACCAACTGATGTCGATCAGTAGGCAGGCCATATTTTTTATTGAGAGACGCACCATCACCGTCACGTTGGCCATGAGGAAGAAGACAGCCTTTGACGGCGGAGCAGCTATTCGTATAAACAGGAAGGGTGCAATGAGGACCATCTACGACGTGTCAGTAACATTCTGCTTCAAGATCTAGCAGCTCACTGTAGCCGCGGTAACACCGTAGGGGTTCCCGTTGCCATGACCAGACCCAATATACCATGCCAACATACCGATCACAAGACCAGCAACAGTTCCAGACTAGACATGATGAGCATGTATGGCTTTTGTAGGCTTTTGTAGCTTAAATACTCACCATTCGCACAATAAAAGCGTTGATCTGCTCTCCCGTGAAAACGCCCAATCCAGTCTGCGACATGATCAGGGCCCACAGCCCTCTGGAACCGGACCGTCAGAGTCCACAAAGCTTCGCGGGACTTGAAAGGACGTACCTGTTGACGTAGTAGAAGTGAGCCGAGCTAGGGCACACGGAAGGCACAAACAGAGCGACAGAGACGAGAGCATACTTGAGAGCAAACACCCCAGAAGTACCAGAGAGCCCTTGCCAGAGAGTGTAGACGTGCCGTCCGAAATGTTGCAGAGAATTGCGAGGGTCCCTGGCGTCAGGGTCTTTGGCTGTTGCTCAATGTCAGGCGTGTTGGACGTCTTGTGAGGGTGAACGTACCGTAGGTCTTCTTCGACTTTTGCTTCTTGGTTGGCTTTGTATGCTTCTGGTCTTCATCGTCACTGTCGTCGTCCTCTTCCGGTGACACACGGCCCCTTTCCTCTTCCGTGGCGGCATCTGTATCCTTCAGTCCCATATCCAGAGGGTTTGGGTTTCCGTTCTTGTCATTGGCTGTTTTGAGTAGCATTTTCGCAAATCTTTTGGGGAATTGGATCTTGGCCTTCGGATTGGCTCGCTCAATCTCCAACAGTAGTTCGAGCAGCGCAATGAGTGACAGGGCAAAGGGGACGATTGTTGCTGTCAACACCAAAGCCCGGGAAAGGTCGTGACCGGTGAGTCTGAAAGAACGCAGCATGCCGCTTTTGAGCGCACCCGTGTCGGGATCGAAAAAGCCACTGAATGGCTCCAATAAGGCAAATTGCTTTGAGACTCTAAACTCTTGCAACGCCCGCTTGAGATTTTCCAGGTTTTCTTCTCTTTGTGTAATAGGAGGGGAGTCGGCCGGAACTTTTTTCCATCGTGTGTGGTTGACGAGGAAGAGCCAGTCGCTGATATCCCGTAGAGTTTTGATTGAGCTCTCCCGCAGGTCTGCACTAGAGTCTGCCAACACGGGCAGTAGCCCTTCAAGACTTTTAGCTGGTTCCGCGAGTTGTCGAAGTCGCTCAACGTGTTTCTGGGTGTGATGGTGGGGATGGGGATCGGTAGCTTCTTTGTCCTCTTCATCGGACCGGCGTTGTTCTTCTATCAACATCTATCTCCAAGTCAACTCTATGACCTTGTGGGCACATCTTGCACTTACAACAAAACTGGTAATGCTATACAGCCTGGCCCCGAGATCCTTCGACTTGACAAATATCCTCTCGGTATCTGTGGGCCCAATTTGCCCTCGAGTGATTTCTAGCTGTAGCATCCCAATCTGCTCCTGCAGTGCAGTCATAGCCGATACGTGCTTATTTCTGATGGCGTACGTCTTGTCAGCCAGTTCTGCCCATTTGGACTTGTCAGAAGGCGAGGTCCGAAGGACTTGTTCCTGCAGGTCGAAGAGCTCGATACAGGGAGCGATGATGGTCTTGGTAAAAGCGTTGAGGACAATGTGGTTGAGGGTTTGGGGAAAGATTAGAATGACTGAGGCGATCGCTATGGCAAAGTAGCAAGCGGCCGGTAACGCCAATTGTGTCTACGACCCATACAGTGAGTGTAATGTCGATCGTGATATCTTGAAACATACTGCCAGGGTGTATTGTTTGATTGGGAACAGGGGACCGATTGTGCACATCACTGGTAACTTCAAGTCAATTCAGGCGAAATTGTGATAGGAGAATGAACTCGCAATCCAAGATGATGGTCGCAAACACACATCCGAGAGTACTACGACGACATCAGTCATATACTCGGTGTGGTGTACTAAAAAATTAATCGAATGAAACGCACAGCTTGGGACGAACAGCTCGTATGAATCCGAGGCCGTAGGCTCCTACAAAGAGGAATACACCGTAAACAGCAGACGAACGCGGGTCAAGGAAAGCGCCCCGAAAGATGGATGCCGAATCTACAATGGCGGCACTATCAGCGAGACTCTGGGCAGGGGAGAGAGCTCTGTCGATACATACATTGAAGCTCGATGTTTCCACTTTGGTTATAACTGACGGCGTCGTGTCAGTCCAAGTTCCAGGACAACAGATCTGAGTGTTTACCCAGCTTGCTCCGCCTGAACTTGTGATTGCAACAAGACCTGACTCCGGGCACGCATAGCAGTAGCCATAGCAGCCGCTCCCCACGCCCACCCGAAACAGATACCCAATATCATGGTCAGGATCACAAAGAGATAAATCCCCAATGCCATGTAAGGGGGTATCATCTGCGAAACCAGAGGCGCGAAGAAAGTTGCCTGACCGATGACATTGAGTGCTGATGCGTATCGTCAATGGCTGTTCATGCATGAGATGAAAATGGGAAGCACTCACAGCTCTGGCATACCAAAAGTACGAGTGGAGCAAAGGTAGCGATCATGCAACGGATAAAGTTCTTCCATTGCCTCCGATCCGTCCATGAGTCTTCGAGCCAGTCAGGGATATGGAGTTTCTCGGTCCATTTTGAAGATGTTGTGGTCTTTGCGACGCCTTCCGAGGTCTTTTCTTGGGACATGCGCAATAGAGACCAGCAGACCGTGAGACGCCGTCACGCGAGGCTGTGGGGCGGAGGTTGAGTCAGCGCGGAGGGGAGCGATATGGGAGCGGTCAGCGGTGGCTGGAGATGGGGCGATGGAGGCGGCGATGCGGTGGTGAAAATTGTGGATCTCAGTGAAATCTCCTGTTCGTACACAAACAACCCAAAGGGCCATATCGTCATCTGCGTGGAGACGGCCGCCTCCAGGAACAGGAACTGCTACTGCGGCTGTGCGGATGCCCGACAGACTCGAGATGGCCAACTTCCGAACTCGACATGTCCATCCATCTCCCGCATGTCTCTCCGCGACTCGTCTTGCTATACCCTCACCATCTGCCCCCACTCGGCAGACCCGGCCGTCGTCGAGCTCGTCGAGTCCTTCGGCCCCACTAAAGGAGGCGAAGAGCCTAGATACGCCAGGGTCAAGGAGGCCCAGGCAGGCGAGGGGTACTCGGCTGCACTCTATGGTAAGTTGGTGCCGAGCTGAGAATAGAGATTCCACTCACCCGTGCACTGAAGACATCGTTACTGGTGCAAGGCTGGCATCAGCTGGCTATGTCGTGGAGAAAGCAAAGTCACGGCGGCTACAGCTACACGGACCAGACGAGACGATACCCTTTCATTTCATAGGCAAGATGTGAGTACGGTTTGTAACTTGCAAGTATCCCACCGTCCAGTACTAACCACATAGACTTGCAAAGTAACTTCGTGCGTTGACGGACGAGCTCGAAATGTTCCAGGACGGTTCGCTGACTTGCGCGTTTTCCAGGAGTGGACGTTCGTCTTCCAAGGGTAGGTTCCCCTGAGATCAATATGTCCTATCGACTGACATAATGTGTCGCCAGCAACAAATACAGCTGGCGTAGGGAGCTATACGGCAAGGACTACATCTGCACACTCAACCGAAAACCTGACCCTTCAGTGGAGATCTGCCTGTAAGCAGGCTTCAAGTCCTGAGCGCCAACACGACTGACAATTTGCAGTGCCCGAGAAGCGTACAAACGGAATCCGGCAAGGCTGCAGATTCTACACTACAACATTGACCGTTTCACAAGCGATATCAAGGATGTGCGTGGGCTGGAAACGTTGCTGGTTACAAGGTGTGTAATGAGATATGAAAAGGGCTACTACTTCAGCAGTTCATTGCAGTTTACTGTGCCTACTTGACGCATGGGAAGACCGTGGTTCTCTGACGAATGCCAAGAGCGGTCCATCCCCTCCTATCAAAGAATCTACACCAGTGGACCCAGCGCTTGCCAAAGTGATCAGCGAAGATGATTTTGAGCCGGCAAGTTCTGCCTACCCGACAACGCCGTTCATGTGCTGAGCATCTCGCTAGGAAAACCCCAATGAGATTCTGGTAGGAACACATACCAATATGGATGACCATGTTGCGCGTGCTGTCAATTTGCTCGAGGTGCGCTCAACGGGTAACAGATTGTTACGCCACAAACTGATGATTAGCAGGATCCAAACATTCTCTTCATCATCATCAGGACGAAATCTTCCGACGCTCATCAGAGAGCTCTCCAAGTTTCTCTTGGGGTCAAGCGGTGCGTCTTCAATGGCAGATGATCCAGACAACTGACGACTATGTCTGAAGCTTCCGGCACCGTGAAAATATGTCCGACTTGCACCAATATATTATTGAAGAGGAGGACACTGCCCAGCCCGTTTCTTCCAGCAAGGGACCGAAAGTGATTGATCTGAACGACCCCAAGTACGCTACCGACGCCTTCAGTCGAAGAGAAGTTCCTGCTGATTGCCAACCCCCAGACCTGTTCCTCGGCCAACTTCCTCCAAAGTATGGACCCCTCCCACACGTATGGCCATCTATCTGTCCACTATCGTCCTCCCCGATCTCAACCCAAGTCGCATGGCGTCTACAAGTAAAGAGTCCGCGGGTAATTCGCGCATCCAGTCGAACAAGATGGGAGAGCATGCGGGCAGGGCTCCCACAAAACCACCAAAACCTGGGCATACACTACCAGGGTCCACATTGAAGACGCCAACCCCGCCGCCACTGACTGAAGCAGACAGTGGTGGGTCGGGATCTGGATCCAAATCGTCTTTGCGAAACTCTACCTTTGGCAAGTTGTTTCGGTAAGGCTGCAGATACAGTTCCAAGAGCAGCTTGTATAGATAGACCGAGAAATAGATGCATTTTGACAGTGTCAAAAAGATAAAAATCTAGAGAAAACCAAAGACCGTTTTTAATGCGTATACACTTCTTACCGAATACCTAATTAGACAAACCCCTGACAACTCCCTCCAAACTAATGCTCGTACGCTTAGTCGACCTCCTCCATGGATCCAGCACCGACCTCCTCGAGAGCGGGGGCATCCTCGGTAGAAGCAGCGGCGGGTGTGGGCTCGACGGCATCGGCGTCAATGGAAAGACCGAGGGCGATCATCCTGTTGATACGGGAAGCAAAGTCCTGAGGGTTGGAGAGGGTAAAACCGGAGGTCTACAACAGATATCAGCCATGATCGTCATTTGAGTAGGTACTCGACTTACCAAGAGAGCAGTCTCGAACAAGAGGTAAGTAAGGTCTCGGACGGTCTTGTCAGACTTGTCCTCGGCAACTCGGCCCTTGAGCTCCTTGACGATGGGGTGGTTGGGGTTGAGCTCCATGGTCTTCTTGCTAGCCATATAAGAGGACACTGCGAGATTGTTAGCGAGGCGCGCAAATAATGCACACGTCAAGACTCACTGGAAGAGTCACGGAGAGCCTGAGCCTTCATGATTCGCTCCATGTTGGAAGACCAACCGAATTGGCCGGTGACAAGGACACAAGGAGAGTCGGAGATACGGTTGGAGACAATGACCTTCTCAACCTTGTCGCCAAGGTTCTCCTTGATGGCAGAGCAAAGACCTTCAAACTCGGTAGCTTCCTGCTCCCTAGCAGCCTTCTCCTCAGCAGTCTCTTCGAGCTCGAGACCCTCCTTGGAGACACAGACAAGAGTCTTGCCGTCAAACTCCTTGAGCTGGGTGACGGCATACTCGTCGATGGGGTCAACGAGGAGAAGAACCTCGAAGCCCTTCTTCTTGAGGACCTCAAGGAAGGGTGAATCCTTGACGGCCTCGAGGGATTCACCAGTAAGGTAGTAGATGGACTTTTGGACCTCGGGCATTCGAGTGATGTAGTCCTTGAAAGAGGTCATCTCGTCAACAGACTTGGTGGAGTGGAATCGGAGGAACTCGGCAATCTTGGATCGGTTGGTGGCGTCCTCGTGGATACCGAGCTTGAGGTTCTTGGAGAAGGCAGCGTAGAACTTGTCAAAGTTCTCCTTGTCCTCGGCGCACTCGGAGATGAGGTCGAGGGCCTTCTTGACAAGGTTCTTTCGGATGACCTTGAGAATTTTGTTCTGCTGAAGGGTCTCACGAGAGATGTTGAGGGGAAGGTCTTCAGACTGCACAATCGTCAGCTCAGAGTCAGACAAGGCTGTGAGAGACACGTACGTCAACGACACCGACGATGAAGTTGAGGTACTCGGGCATCAAGTCCTCGTTGTCGTCGCTGATGAACACTCGTCGGACGTAAAGCTTGATGTTGTGCCTCTTCTTCTTGGTCTCGAACAGGTCGAAGGGGGCACGCTTGGGAAGGAAAAGCATGGCCTTGAACTCGAGCTGACCCTCAACAGAGAAGTGCTTGACAGCGAGGTGGTCCTCCCAGTCGTTGGAGATGGACTTGTAGAATGAAGCATACTCTTCCTGCTGGACGTCCTGGGGGTTTCTGTGACGAGTCAGCGCTGTCAAATCACCTGTTTATGCGACTTACCTGGTCCAGATAGGCTTCTGCTTGTTGAGCTCCTCGTTCTCAGTAGTGGTCTCCTTGATCTTCTTGGTCTTCTTGGCCTTCTTGTTGTCCTCGTCCTCGACCTCCTCGATCTTGCTGTCGTTGTTCTCCTCGGCCTCCTCGTCCTCGACCTCCTTCTCGGTCTCCTTGGTGACAACGAGCTGGATGGGGTAAGAGATGAACTCGGACTGTTCCTCGTCAGCGCATGTTTGTCAACTCCGCGTAACAAGCAGGACTCACGTGCTTCTTGACGATCTCCCTGATCCTCTTCTCCTCGAGGTACTCCTTGAGGTCCTCCTTGATATAAAGCTTCATCTCGGTACCTCGGCCGAGTCGGGGACCCTCAGTGTCCTCAGTGATGGTGAAGGTACCACCAGCGGCAGACTCCCAAGTGTACTGCTCATCGTCGTTGTGCTTGGTGGTGACCTGCACTCGCTCGGCGACAAGGTAAGAAGAGTAGAAACCGACACCGAATTGACCTGAGCGACATCGTTAGCATGAAAGAATCCAGAAGAACGTACAAACGACATACCGATCATGGAAATATCAGCGCCAGAGCTCAAAGCCTCCATGAAGGCCTTGGTACCGGACTTGGCGATCGTACCAAGGTTGTTGACCAAGTCGGCCTTGGTCATACCGATACCGGTATCCCTGATGGTGAGGGTGCCCTCCTCCTTGTTGGGAACAATTCGGATGTAAAGGTCCTTCTCAGAGTCGAGCTGAGAGGGGTCCGTCAAGGCCGCGTAGCGGATCTTGTCGAGGGCATCAGAAGAGTTGGAGATGAGTTCTCGAAGGAAGATTTCCTTGTTGGAGTAAAAGGTGTTGATGATGAGGTCGAGAAGCTGAGAGATCTCGGCCTGGAAACCAACTGCGATGATCGTCAGCGCGTGGACAAGGGAGTTGGATAGCGTGGAATCGCATGGTGGGACGGGCGATGAGGGGGTGGGACGAGGGGTACTTACACGTTTCGGTGGACATGATGCTGGGGGGGGGGCGGTGAGAGACGTAAACTGGTGGTAGTTTTTTCGGGGGTGGGAAGAAGAAGACGAAGAAGAAACAAGTGAGGCGTATTTATACCTCGTGCGCCGGCGGAATCCTCGCCTCGACGCCTCCAGAAAGTTCCATGCCTTACGTAATACCCGTCTGATCCCGCGCCGCTCCTACCCCGCGTTACATCCACTCCGACGGCCGAGCGGGACGTTCCAAGCAATCCATATATGCAATATCAGGGCCTGGCATAGACTGTAGCGGACCAAATACATCTACACATGCAGTCGTATAATCTACCTTCTCGCGTCTTACAAATCTCAGCCTTCTTATGCAAAGTAATGGTGCTCCTTGGCCTTTCGTGCCTGTACCTCCAAGATACCCCCGTGGAAATGCTCGTGTGTCAACTGAGTAGCGTTTTGTCGGAGAGCCAGCTATACCAAGGGTCAATAATGGAGCGACGGAGATATGATTTGCAACATACCATGCCCGCTTCGACGCAGACCGCCTTCAGCTGAGCACCATTCATTTCTTCTGTCGATCTCGCCAGCTCTTCAAAGCTGAGCACTGTCAGTCGCAGCACGATATAGCACTCGGACACACTCACTTCACATTGTTGTGATTGAGCTTTCGTGCGTGAATTTGCAGAATGTGCTCTCGTGCTGATTCATTAGGCAACGGGAACTCGATCTTACGGTCCAAACGACCTGAACGAAGGAGGGCAGGGTCAAGGATATCGATTCGGTTTGTAGCGGCAATGACCTATTGGGAGTGAGCGCCTAATTGGGCCAGTACGTGAATCTCACCTTGATCCGACTATCACTCGAGAAACCGTCCAACTGGTTCAACAACTCCAACATGGTTCGCTGCACTTCCCTGTCACCACTCTTGTCACTGTCGAATCGCTTTGTCCCGATAGCGTCCAGCTCATCAATGAAGATGATGGCGGGCGCCTTTTGTTTGGCGAGTTCAAAGGCGTCGCGGACAAGCTTGGCGCCGTCACCCAAGTACATCTGTACAAGGGCAGGACCGGCGAGCTTCAGGTAGCAAGCGTTGGTTTGGGCAGCACAGGCACGGGCGAGAAGGGTTTTACCGGTACCGGGGGGACCGTACATCAAACAGCCCTTTGGAGGAGTGATACCGAGGGCCTTGAACTTGTCTGCTTGTTGCATAGGCAAGACGCTAGAAAATGTCAGTGAATGGGTAAAAGGGTGAAATACTACGCACATGGCTTCCACCAATTCCTCAATCTGTTTATCCAAACCACCGATATCCGTGTAAGTCTCTGTGGGCCTCTCGTCCACTTCCATCGCCTTCACTCTCGCGTCGTACTCTGTTGTTTTGATCAGCTGGTGTCTACGTGGCTTTGTCCTATACGCACCATCGGGGAGCTTGTCGAGCACCAGATAAGAGTCCTTGTTTACACCGATCAGATCACCGGGACGCAACTCATCATGCGGAACCAGACCAATGATGGGCAAGAAGACTGTCTGTCTCGTGGATGTCTTGATGACTGCACATTTTGACTTTTTGGCATTTTGCTCATTGTGGGTGGCGCCTTCTTGCTCTTCCGAATCGACGTCAAGCACCTTGCAGAGCTCATCAGTGTTGGCTCCGCGCGGCAGGGATGCTACTCACCTCGACGACCTTGGACACCAGATACGGCAAGACCTTGTTCTGCTTGATCTTGGTCGTGTTGTCTGCGATCTTGTCCACCATCTGCTCTCGTTCGTGGGCCAAACGCAGGTGGTCTTGCTTCATCATCTTGATCTCGTTGTCAATCATCCTAGCCTGCATCTTGATCTCGTTCACATCGCCCTGGAACCAAGAGTCAGTCAGGCCACATGTCATCCCACCGAGACTGACCTTGAGAACGCCTTCTGGCACGTCATCGAAAGTGTCCTCCTTGGGAGGCTCCTGTTCTTGTTGCGGCTCAACATTGTTCGCGTTTGTGGGCTGGGTGCTGCCAGAAGTGTTTGCGCCGGCGTCTTCGGGTTTGTTTTGCTGGTTGTTGGCGGGCGGGGTGGGGGGAGGGGGGTCCTGGGCGGGGGCAGACATGGCGGGGGCGGGATGGCAGGGGGTGGCAGGGGGTGGAGAAAGACAGTCTTCTCGTATTCACCAGTCGACGCGCACTTCGTCAGCGAGGATTTGATCCCGCCGCCTCCACCTGTGAAGTGAAGTGATGACGGCACTCTGAGCCAACTCTGAGCTGGACTCTGGCTTGACTCTGGCTGGACTCCAACTGGACTCTTCTGTTCGAGTACTTGTATCCAGCCAGCATGGACCCGCAGACAGTCTTCTCCACAAGGAACGCATTCTACCTGCGCGTCTCCAACTACCGCATCATCCCCCTTTTCCTGTATCTCGATGAACGCCATGTCAGTATCCGCCTGCATCCCGTCTCACACTGACCCTCTTCCAGGTCAATTGGATGACAGACCGCGTCTTGCAGCTGGTCATCACAGGCTTGCAGTCAAAGTAGGTCCATGCAGCTCCGGAATTTTCCCTGACAGACTCAGGCTGCCCGAAGTGCTCTTCAGAGCCAAACTCGAGAAAGACAAGAAGCACAAGGTGCATGTCGAACGCGGAGGTAACTCGTCAGGTCATATTGCAAGTCATGATTCTAACCCCGATCAGAGGGATACCAGTTCTGCTACTTTATGAGGACCACCTCGCGGACAGAGGTTGTTTTGCTAAAAGTGCGTTCATCCGTCATGGCAAGCAGTGCTAACATGATTACAGAACAAGGATGTCTCTTTGCGCCCGCCCACTCCGCCGCCTCCTGCACTGTCTGAGCATCCATCATCGAAACGTAAATCCTCGACACGCCGGTCTGCAACAGCATCCGCCACACCTCGGGGACGCGCATCAAGGTCCCGTTCTCGCTCAGTCACTGTTCGACCTGAAGAGGACGAACCGGTAAATGAACAGTTGGAACAGTCTACAAAAGATACCGATGATGTCCATGTGAAGCCCGAGCCAATCGATCCGGACGAAGAAGACGAGTATGGGGGAGCACAAAACATCAAGGACTGGAAGCCAGACATAGACGTCTCTTATCGAGGTCGGTGGCGCCTAGCTTTCGCATCACATGCTGACTCGCTGTAGGCTTTGGGACATCGTCGGTCCAGCTAGTCTTAATTATCGAGCCCTACCCACCTCTCCCTCCGTCGCAATATGCGCCCCCCGCATCCCGTCTCTCTTCCCGCTCGGCCTCTGTCGTCTCCAACTATTCTCGTGCTCGTTCATCGCAAAGCCGTCAAACGAGGGGCGCTGCTTCTCGATACAGCTCAACCAGCCTTTCTCTAGCGCCACAGGGCCAAGACAGTGCCGGGAGGAGAAGTGAAATTGTCGCAAACATGAGGAATGCATCGCGAGCGCCGAGTGTGGCAAACTCACGAAGGGGTGGAGAGTCGGCTACGCCGTTCAGAGAGGATAGCACCACGCCGGGCCCCGGTGAGGCGCAAGGGCGGAGGAGAATGTCACAGACGCCGCTGTTTATGCCTCGCGACACGCCGTTTGACGAGGATGAGGAGGACGAAGAGGCACACGAAGAGTACCTCAATGCTCTGAGGGACGGCAGAAGCCGATTGCCATCAGTCTTTCGTCCTTCCGGGGAGACCAAGAAGGGAAAGGGAAAGGGAAAGAGAAGAAGAGACGAAGAAGACGAGGAGGACGAGGAGGACGTTCCAGAGAGTCTCGAAAATATCGGCGCGCGGCTAGTGAGGAATAGTGAAATCGAAGAGGGAGTCGTGAGAGTGCAAGGAGGTTGGGAAGAGAGAAGCGCTGGTGAAGAAAGCGCGGTGATTGGCCGAGAGGAGCCAGGTGAATAGAGGATGCACAGTGCATGTACCATCTTTTGATACGTATCTACATTGATGACTCGTCACGGGATAGGAGATTGGCATGATTATAGCCTGAGGGAAATTGGACAGGGGAGAGAAAATGCTACACGAGTTATAAACAGGCGCAAGGGAGATCAAGACGAAGGAAGGGACTAGAGGGTTTTTAGGGGAGCGTCATTAAAGAATGATTCTGTAGAGATTTTTTAAAGAGGAGAGGGTGGGGTATAAACAAAAGGGAGATGAAAAAGTAAAAGAATGATAATCCACAAAAGGCCCTTAGGAGACACGACCACGCGACCGCCCACGGCTACAGCTACAATTTCAAAGACAGCAGCAAGCCCGTCGTTCCTTTCTTCTTCTTCTCTCCAGGCGACATTGGAGATGGACTCTAGGCCCCTTCCTCGTACAGGTTCTCCATCCAGGTCTTGGCGGCCTTGTAATCTCGCTTACAAGCCCTCAAAAGACCAGCGATGCGCTCAAGGGCATCGGCGGGTTTGAGATCAGCACCGGCTTCCTCGTCGCGGAGGTTGCCATAGTGCTGCATCTTTTCGCAGGAAGCCTGCACCTTGATGATGCCCAAAGCGGCGGAGGAGCCCTTGAGAAAGTGACCGAGGGAAGAGAGTTTTTCGAGGTCTTTGGCGGCGCTGCGGATGATGGTGTCAGGGAGATGAACGAGACGGGTAGGGACGACACTTACAGAGCTTCCTCCATGTCTTTAAAAGTACCCTCTGCTTGGTCAAAGTATCCCCAGACGATGCCCTTGGAGAATGAATGCTTCTCCTCGGAGTCGTCGTCTCCGTCGTCCTCGTCCATGTCCATGATCTGCTGGAAGGTCTCCATGTCTATGATGTCTTCGTCGTCATCTTCGGCCTCGGACTCGCTCTGTTGTGCGGGGCGAGAAACGGCGTGGTGGGGCGATTTCGGGTGGGTTGTTCGGAGAGATATGGTATTTAGGCCAGGGCGATTGATTGTATGACGAAGAATCAGGAAAAGGGTGAGGGAGGAATCGCGAGCGGGCGATGGGGCGATGGGGCAGAGGAGTGGGGATTTGCGAGGGGGGCGAGGGGGGCGAGGGAGGCGGCATCGAGCCGAGCAGTGGGTTGCAGAGGGACAGAAAGGAGGCAGGGTCAGCGCGCAGTCTGGTACAGGTGCAGGACACTGGGGGGCCACGAGGCGGTTGGGCAGATCGCGGACGGCGGGACGGGATATGGACGCACCTCTGCCTCTTGCTGGTCTGCGGGCTCTTGCCTGCTTGGACTGGTGGGCGGGAGGTCTGTCTTGTGGTCCTCTGGGGAGGTCTGCTGGTCGGCGCTGGGGGTGGGGTTGGGGTCGGGGGTGTCTTGCTGTGTTTTGGGCTGTGCGGGGGTGTCTGCGGGCATGGCGGGGGAGGGCAGAGGGGGCCCGGTGAGAGAGGAGATGCACAGTGCTACTGCTGACTGCTCAATTCGATTTGCAGCAGCAGCGCATCATCGGGCTCGCTTATGTAACACGTTCCACTGCCCCACTGCCTCCACCTGCGCTGTCCACTTTGTGTCCACTGTGTCCGCCTGATGCTGCCCGTCCCCCGCCAGCCCGCCATGCCCGCCCCCGACCCCCCCCTGCCGCCCCTCGCCGCCCTCTTCCTCGCCCACTTCCACGACACCGCAGGCCAGCACCTCCTCTACTACAGGGCACCCCCAGACCTCCCACAGGCCACCCTCGAGCACACCGCCCTCCCATCTGGCCTCCACAACCTCCACCACGATCTCGTGCTCTTCACCCACCACCACAAGCATGGTGCAGGCCTCTTCCGCAGTCGCGCCCGCACACATCAAGACAACGGCGGACCCGGCAGGGGCAGGACCATGGGCGTCGTCGGCGTCGTGCTTGGCAAGTCTGCAAAGCAATCATGCGCCTTATCACTGACAGTACTGCAGAACACGGTGACTCGGCCGACCTCTTTGCTCTCAGGCCCGCCCTCGAACACATCTACGACCAGCTCGAAGCCCTGTCCACGCCGCCATTCTCAGCTGGCACCTCAGATGGCGCCGCCGATATCCTCGATACTCTCTGGGACACCTGTCGCGCCAATCATCCCGACCGGTCAGCGGTGGTGCATGGGAGTATCCAGCATGAAGCCCACAGGATCTACCAGCTGGTGACAGAGCGAAAGACTGTTTCAGTGAGATAGCGTGGTCATCTTCAAAAGCCGAACTGACCCACGCCAAGCCTGAACACCCTGTGGCGTATATGCCCCGTCTTCTCGAGATCCTTGGTCCCAACATCATTCCCATATACAAAGCAGCATTATCCGGCCAACGTATAGTACGTTGCTCCTTCAGCCATAGTCTTGTCTGACATGGTCCCCTAGCTCCTGTATTCGCCCCCGCCTCTCCTTCCTCTGACCGCACTTGCCTGGAACATCTGGGCTTCCTCGATTCCACCCCGCAAAGTGCTCAAAACAGGGGAGGCTGAAATTGGGCAATGGCTCGGCAACGTCGGGCTGATGGACATGACCAGCCTCCAGGAGCGCACCGGAGGCTGGATCGCAAGTGGGTCACAGGCTACCGCTCATACGCCCGTAGGCTGATCTGTCACTTAGCGACAAGCGACGTCATATTCAAATCTCATCCCAAAATCTATGATCTGTTTATTGACCTTTCTCTCGTGCCCCTGCAGGACGCCATGGACAGCGCTCCGACAGCTCCCCCGCCGTCCATCCTCGCATCTGCCCCCACAACGCCTCCGGCGCCCCTCACCTATGCCTTCTCCGACTTGCCGCTCTACCGCTCTCTTCTCCTCCTCACCTCTTCGCCCCCGACTGTCCACGCAGGGCTCTGGCGCCAGGGTGGCTGGTGGTTGATAATCTATCAAGTGCTAGAGAGGGCTTGGAATCTGTGCAAAGGTGTCTGCGAGTTTGCTGTGGGCCAAGGGGCGCTGGGTGGGCCCATCCAGCTAGCAGACGGCGAGGAAGAAGCAAGGCTTCTAGAGAATGACACTGAAGATGATCTGTTGGACCTCCTTTCAGAGGCCGACGAGCACGAGAGAGAAGTGCAGGTGTCTCACCAAGAACCCGAAGCGGAACCCACTCGCCAAGGCCGCCTCATCCTCCGCCAACTTGTCCACAACTCTTACCACACTCATACTCGGCTCTCGTCAGTTCTCTCTGCCCGCCCAAGAGGCGAGCAAAGTATTGGACAGTTGACTGAGCAGGAAGTCAGAGAATTGGCAGGAAGATGGGCTGGCAAAGACGACGTGCGATTCTGGCGAGGTATTGCTAGGGGATGGAGCGCAGTGCTTGACCTCGATGAATGAAGCGCAGTCTCGGACGCTTGTCACAGCCATGCTTTGATATTATGCGGTACAAATCTACAGTACAAGACGGTCACAAGGTTTCTCACGTTTGCATTACTGCCTCTGCTCCAAGATACTGTCATACTCCACCTTGCTGATCCTCCACGGCACACCCGAGTTGCTGTAGAACTCTTCAGAATCCTCGTCCTGTTTGGGATCATGTCAGCAAGTGTCTATTTCATTGAGAGTAAACATACTGCATCTAGGTTCAAAATTGTGCCAATTTGATGGAGCCTGGTAAACTTTTCCCTCGCCCCTCCAAAAGAGGTCAAGGATGAGAGGTAATTCACGATAGCCCGGACATCTCGTTCGTAGCGAATTGCACCCAGCTGACATTGACCGTGAGCAAATGTGCTTTGGTGTATGTATCCAACACTTACCTCGGTGAATTGCATGGAAAGGATCATCTTTTCCCAGTGTCTCACGTAGACTTCGACGGCGAGGCCAAACCACGTCTGGTAGTTGTGATCCGTAAAGCTCTCCTGCATTCCTATCAGTTCTGCTTGAACAAGGCGTCGATTAAACTCACGCGGTACCCATCAATGAGGGCTTCCCAACCTCTCACAAATCTCTTCTTCACATACTCCATTTCATCCGCTTCCCCGAAACTGTCTTCGTCCAACAGATATGTAATGTTGACATACGTCTCATCCAACAGCGGACGCAGGCGAGGGCGTGTGAGCTGATTGTGCAGCTGCTCGAGTCCGGTCTTGCAAACGGATCGGAAACGGTGTGAAATGTCGCGCATCGCTTCCAACTCTTCGCGCACAGTGACGAGTTCAGGTTCCAAGAATACTTGGGGAAGGCGATGGGAGGTCTCTTCTATCAGACGTTCCATGTAGTCGGCAGAAACGTCCAGGTCGTTGAGGTAGATCTGTCCCTGGTCAATAAAAGACTCGAGCAACATTTGGCACGTGACTGACGATAAATGCCTCCCTCTTGTCCTTTTCCTTCTCCCGCCTCTCCCTCTCTGTACCGCTAGACGGAACGGCATACACCCCTTCCATCTTCATTCTAATCACCGCTGTGTAATCCCTTTCCACGACCTCCCCAAGCTTCTTTCTCATGCTCTTTAGCGTGTGCACCGATCCACAAGACAAGAGTCTCGAGAGGACGAGCCTCAGCAGGTAAAACGTATCATCCAGGATGGATGAGAGGTGCGGCGTAGAGCCAATATCGGGAGAGTCCAGCTTGTGCGCCTTCTCGATGGACATGCGAAGAAACCACATTTCAAGAGGCTCGTAGTACGTGCGAAGGAGATTTTCTATGGCACGTTGGCTACCAGAGTTGTCGAGAATATCCATTTGATTCTGGTTCTTGGTCTTGGTCTCTGGCGATTCGTCCGCTGTTGAGTCGATATCCTGATTTCCGCTCTCTTCCTCTTCATCCTATGACCCCGATCAGCAAAGAGATACAAAAGTGCTGCACGACTCACAGCGATCCGGCTCCAGATAAACTTTCTGAACAATGCCCATCTTCCACCGAGAGCCACCAGTTCTCCTAGCACTTTATCCACATCTCTCGGGTCGGGCCCATTTTCCGCTTCTTCTTCACTCTGCCCCTGCGCTTCGTTTTGAGCCTGCACGACAGACGGGGGCATGGGCTTCTTTCCGCCTTGCGTGTACGAGTGCAGCAGGTTGGATGCCGAAGACAAGTTGGGGAGCGCCGAAGTGGTGGTGTTGGCAATCGTTGCGAGCGTTATGGGGTTGGCGTTGGAAGGCAGTAATGAGGGGAAGAGGGGTGGAAGGAGGGCGGGGTTGGAAAGAAGCAAGAAGGATGATGATTTGGTGTCTGATATCAGACGCCCGACACGACGTTCTTCTTCCCACCCTTCAACGAGATTTCGAACTACACGATCGCTTTCGCCGACCAGTCTCAGTACTACAGCAGCCATACGCCCAGATCCATAATACTTGTCCACGACAGACTGGTGCTGGTCGATGATATGAGCGATAGACTCGAGCAGGTTGGTGAGGGATGTGAGATAGTACAGCGGAGAGGACGACTTGCCAGCCGTCGGGCTGCGGGCTTTGACAAGGCCGACAACAAAGTCGCCGTACGCTTCCAAGCCCTCATTTTCGGCACTGATGGCAGGCCAAAGACGGAAAAAGCGGCTGACGCCCGGTTCATCTTTGCGGGCCACGGCGTCGTCGAATTCGCGTCGAAAGGTGGAGAGGAGGATGTCGCGCAGTTCTTGAAGGGTTTGGGATGGCGCAAGAGGGTATTGCGACGTGGGCTAGAGCAACCGTCAAGTGATGGTAGATGGATTGGATAGACAACATACCACGACGTTGTTGGCAAAGTTGCCCTCAAGGACTTGCTTTCGTACCGACATGGCACGCCGGCATGCACGCGAGGCCGACTCCCAGTCATCTTTGGCAATCGCTGCGGAAAGCGCCTGTAGGGCATTCTGTGCTGGGTCAGCTTCAGTCCACAGCACTCGGACCGTCCTCACCTTGAGTCCCAGCACCTCGGTGACAATGTCGGTTGATTCCTTGACCCTTCCCACTTGCTCGTCCAGGCGCCTGACTTTGCCTCCTACTCTCTCGCTCGTGTCCCAGACTCTCCGCACTCGCTCTACGAGCCCCTCGTCTTCGTCCCCCAGGGTCTGGTGGCCATCTGTTTGGAGCCCGAGGCCGCTGAGGTGGCCATCAGGGCCGCCTCTGCCGTCGACCTGGATGAGGACGGAGTTGACATGGTTTGCGAGCTGTGCGAGGTGTGTGAGGGAGTGGTCGATGCCGCGCCTGTCTGCGACGAGGGCGTTGAGGGCGAGGGCGAGGTCTGCGTCGCGCTGTGTGAGGAGTGCGAGCTGTTGTGCGATGCCGCGGGGGGAAGTCATGTCCCGGGGGTCCAGCGCCATCGCGGATGCAGAGACGGAGACGTGCAGATGAGGAATGTGGGATCAATTCTCCGCCCACTCGCCATCCCTCTGTTGTTTCCGTCCTCGCCACATCCCCCCCGCCATGAGCAGCATCGACGACGACGCCCACTCCCCCACAAACCTCGTCCTCTCCCGCAACGCAGCCTGCCACCAGTGCCGGTATGTCCCCCGCCCCCCTCCCGCCCACGCTGACGCTGACGTACCCGCCCTGCCCAGCAAACGTAAACTCGTGAGTGCTCCCACCCTGCATCTCACAATCTGTGGCTCACACCCCATGCCAGAAATGCGATGCACAGAAGCCTGTATGTGGCAACTGCGCGAAACCTCGGGTAAGGGGGTCCAAACCAAGCATTAGTGATTCACCTCAAGACCCAATCGAGTGCACTTGGGACAGGCCGAAAGAGCCCAGTGCTAGAACCAAACGAAGACGGGAACTTGCCAAAAGGCAAGCAATGGAATCGGACGACAAGAACGTGAAAAATGACCAGAGTGGCAATGCCAAAGGAGGCAAAGCAAAAAAGACAAGGCTCAATGAGCCTGAAGGCCGACATGGTGGGTTCAATGGCAGATTCATGTTGGCTTTGGCGATGGCTGACTCTGCGTTTCTTTCCAACCAGAGAGTGACCCTGGCCATTTTGCACTTGACGAAACGGCCGCCACTTCGTATCTTCCCGGTAGCAGCATTCGTGATGGACTTGCGAGGCGTCCAGATCTTGACGACGCGGACTATCCTCGCAATGGAGCAGAGGAGTACACTTACCGACACCCCCCATTTTCCATCGGGATCATGGGAGATATACCATTCTACCCCGAAGGATCTCCTCGAGATGGCCGAGCGCATGAAGTGCAAGGTGATGAGGGAGATTCATTGAGGCCCTGGGCCAGTCTCAACGGCTCCAATGATTCGGCCGTCAGGTTGGAGCCGTCAGATGGGAGTACCAGGTCATTCGCGGACCTCAATGGTTACACGGCCAGCGTCCCAAACACTACAAACGGCGACTTGGATGAGGCCCTTAGCGTGTTTTGGCCCGAGTAAGTAGCCGCATCGGCCACCTTGACCGTGATCTGCGCTGACCATGAGGCCACAACGTAGCTGGCCCAAGGCGCTTCCCATGCCTGCAGTTGTTGATGTGTGTTTTCCTCACTTTCCCTGGGACCATGGCTAACGCCCATGTAGCGTGCTGTTCGAGTATTCTTTGACAAGGTACCAACACTACCCAAGATGCTCAACAAGAGTCAATTGCTGCAAAATATCTCGCGATCCCCTTCGCATCCCGATTTTCCTGTAAGATGTGTCCGTACACTCACAGACCTCGCATTGACAATACCCAAGTCCACGTCTCTTCTACACTCCATCCTTGCTATTACCGCCAATTTCATATCCGAAACATCTCTTTCCTCGCCCTCCTACTTTCCCGTCGGCACGCCCTCTCAAGCCCATACTCATCCCACTGAGGACTTCCACATTTTCGACCACATCGCCAATCGCAGCGCACAACCGCAACATCCTTCGAGCGGTCTCAATAAGAAATTGTCCCCCGTGACGTCAATGGCGAGGTTCCAATTGTGGCATAGAAGGAAGGCTTTTGAGACATTCTATCATTATGTGGACAGAGGCGAAAAATTGGTGCAATGCTTACAAGCGCAGATCATTGCCACTACTGTGGATCAATATAATGCTTGGTGAGCGGGATTCTTGAAGTCAGGAAACTCGCTGATGAGCACAGGTGGACGGATGTCTGGATTGAGACGGGATCTTGCGTAAGGGTAGCCACACCCCTGCGTCTTCACGAATCACCCCGTACATCGTTCAACCATGCTCCTCTCTCACACCGCTGACATCTCCTGCAGACGTCCCCGACAGCTCACTCCAAAAATTTGCGCATCTCCTCGCGCCTGCCAAGACGGCCATGGATCAAGCCGAGCGTGACCGCACATGGTGGTCAGTTTTTAATCTACATACCGAGACTATATAGCATCGCTGACATTGCACCGCTAGGATGACATATCTCTTGGAGCGCAATGTCACTGCTTCAACATCATGTCCAACAGCCCTCATCGATGATGAGATCACGGTTGAGCTACCGGTATTGCAGAGTACTTTCGATGCTGGATATGGAGAGCTTTACGGGACGCAGACTCTACAGTGAGCACTTTCGTCTTGTTTTTACCGAGAAGGGTATTGACGGGACATGTTCATAGTTCTCCTGACTGTCTGACGCACCGTGAGTGCTATATGTATCTGTCCATCACCTGTATACTGACATTGTCCCAGATCCCCCGGAGCATCGAGACGTGAGTCGACATTTACGGGAGCGACTCACCACTTGACTGACTGCAACCCATAGAGCCTGTGCTTCTTGATCAAATCTATAAAACTCCTGAGTGAGGTCAATGTCTTCTTTTGCAAGTACTCACGGGGTAGCCATAGTTTAGCGTAAGCATCCGAGTCCAGCTAGGACTATTAAAGACTTATCCGGCTTGCAGGGGCTACGTGACAAATCCCACTTTCCGGATACTACTCTCTCAAATCAATTCCTTCCGAACGTCGTTCCCGCCCGAGTATCGTCGCCCGACTCAGAATATCTCAGGAGGGGGTGCCAATGCGCTCGATAGGGATCTGATCATGGCTCTTTGGGTCACTCATAGGTACGGTTTCTTTGAGTTTGTAGAGACAGTCTTTTTTGCATACTGACAATGGAGACAGTGCCATAATGGCCCTGGGAGAACCTCTTATCACCAAAGACTCGTGGATGGACGAAGGAGCTCGCGTGACACTGTCAGCTATCCGCGCAACCCTGTCGTTGCTGTACGATGTCACATCGACATCATATGACCTATCGTTGTTTCCCCCTTTTGCGTCCTTTGTGTGGTCAATGACCTGTAGAGGCTTGATCAGATTCATGGGGACGGCCATGCAAAGCGGGGATATGGTCTCCGCGGCCGTCTTCAGGTCGGAGGTGGAAGTTTTCCGGTAGGTCGACAATAGCAGTACGCGTGGTGGGCCACGCTAATGAACCGGAAGACTTGCCATGAAAAGGTATGGGGAAAGATTCCCTGTTGGAAACGGGCATCTGAAAGTGGTCGACGATCTTCTTGAAACCACGGAAAGTAAAGGCGAGGATCCGGGACACGGTACCCGCTTTCAGTAAGTTCTTACATGGCTTCTCTGGGTATCAATCCTGATCCAGTCGCACAGGTGCAAACGCGAGCTCATCATGAAATGCGGCCGCGAGGTTGGTGCCTCAATTATAGAGGAATTGTCGTCGTCAAATCCAACATCCACTAGCATGGTCACACCTGAAGCCGTTTTGTCTGAGTCTAGCACCTCCAACGCACGGATGTCTACGGCGGCTTCTGCGTCTACAAGCGCATCGGGTGGTGTCAGAGCGCGTGAACTCCCTCCTGTAGACGATGGCGCAACAGGAGAGAGCATCTCAGCACTTGCTTCTAGTGGATCTGCGCTGGCAGAGTTCACAGAGGATGGAGGTACCCATGGCGTTGGGACTACGGTCGGCTCTTTCAAACAACCCCGGCCAGTATCTTCGTATACCGGCTCGGGTCCCCATCCCGAACACCTCCGCCGCATACCATCACTCACATCATTCTTCCCGCCCAGTCTTGCCCCAGACCCCAACGTATCCACCCCTGTCCCTCATGGTGATACCACATCGCATAATCAGCCGAGCCCTCCCATTTTTGACGCTAATACGTTGTGGAGCGCTCCTCCATATCTTGCAAATCTGCAATCAAAGTCCAACATGTTTTCAGCCAATTCATTCATGAATGGTGCCGGTCCCAACGAATCTTCTCATATCAACCCCACATCTCCTGCATTCTTGAGTAACAACACTCTGCAGGATGGTACGAGTTGGGATATCAGTAGTTTCAGTTTTGATGTGAATAATGTGGCTGGGATGTTTGAGGGCAGCGGGGCGACGTTTGATGGCCAAGACTACGGGTTCGGGACGATGTAGGCGTCAGTATTCTTGTATATTCTTGTATATTTATGACTGTAGGGCTATGTCAATTGTGTTCGCTACTACCACTCTGACCTTCACCGTCCATCAGACACCAATCTTTGCAATGCATCGTGATTGCTTTTTACAGCTCTTATTCGACCTGCGACGCTGCAACATGATGTAATGCAAGAGTATAATAGAGTATCTACTGATGTGCAATGTTGTCATATCGGACCAAATACTTGTACACAAGTTCCGGACGATATGTACTCGTACAGTACAAGGTGCGCTGGACCTCTCTGCTAGTACATTAGATCTTGACAGTCAACCACGCTGGTTTCTCGACTCCAGGTCGGATCTTTTCCGATCCTTGCCTCGGCTCAAGCATCACTGCATCTATCAGCGTCCAAGCCAAATTATAGTACGGCGAACTTACGACTTTTCCTATACAGCGCGTCAATCGATCCACTTCCCCGCTCAGTGAGCACGTTATTGAGGAAAATTTGAACGGCTTCAACCTCATGAAAGTTGTATGGCTGCAGATGGTGTGAGCATATTTGGTAATTTGTTTGAACGCCCGACTGTACCTCTTGGTACCGCCTGAACTCTATGGCGATCTTTCCTAGCTTGGCGTATTTGTCAAAATTGATGAGCTGTACATCGGTGGCCGTGTTGGATGCACGAGTACTCGGGTTGCCATCGGAAGTAAAAGTGATACTTTATGATAGTGTCAGCTTCTGCCGTTGGACCACTGCAAGAAGGCTCACTCTGTCAAGATCAAACCAAGGAAGGGTAAACAAGGTGGGGACGCTTCTCTCAATCGAGCACGGTATGCCGCGTGATTCTTGCTATGTTCGATGATACTTCGAAGTCGCTCAATGATGATGCGGTATTTGGCTGAAAGGGCCTGCGTCCGACATAAGCTCTTTTCAGATGCGAGAAATACCCTGTACGCACATCCCAAGTCTTTTTGAGTCGAAGAATTGTACTACTATTGAGTCCCGCAAGAACAGCAAACATGGAGAAGAAATTGTTCAACATGAGGCATTTCTATAAACCGTCAGCTTACGCTCGAATGTTCTCCCCAAAACTCACATCGGCCAGCTTGATGAAGAATTTCAAAAGCCCCGCCCTTTTTTTGGCATCGCCTTCATTCAAAATACTGTCCGCGACCCATCCAGTGACCTGATTCGAGTGCGTACTCAGAGCCGTGAGCTCCTTCACTGTCCTCTTTTTCGATTCTCCCGCCGAGATCAACATCTCCTCTGGCTTCACATCTCTAAACATCTTTGAAACTGTCACTGTCAACTGACGGGCGAGTTCAAGAGTATCAAATTCGGCGATGGATATGCGTGTGGAGGACCCTGTTTTCCGAAGAAGGGCATGAAGGTTTTTGGAGATAACTGGTGTTGGTGGGAGAGCGGCAGACAGGGGAGCTGGAGGCTGAAGCAGCTGCGCAGACGTGGGTGTGCCAAGTGAGGCGCTTGACCGGTGGAATTTCGCCGACACAGCCGATCTTGGCTCCATTCTCGCCCTCGCCATTTGCACCAATCGCGGCCCCATGACCGGCAGCGAGCTGCTCATCTCCTCTTGCCCAAACTCTTCCAGGTCCCCCAAAACCACATCATCGTCTTCACTCCTCCAATGGCCTTCGATCCAAGATTTGAGAAAGTTGAAGACTCGCAGCTGAATGGGCAAGCGCTTGAGCTCATGCCATGTCATTTGGTCTTTCTGTGAGAGATGAACCATGTTGGGAGGTTCCAGCATGAACCTATTTCTCAGCGCCTCCACAAGCTTCTGCGGTATAGTGAACATCCTAAAAGTGTAGAAAAAGGTATCACTGAACGTCGAGTCCACCAGTCCGTCGTGTGGCGTCAACTTTTCAACCAAAACCTCGAGGCTTGCGCCGACCATGACCCCGTCGGGATTAAACACGATGTCGGACGGCTTGTAGTCGTGGGCTTTGAGAAGAATGGCAATGTCGCCAACGGGAGCTGGAAAGGGTGCAGTGTGAGTGCGAAGCGCGATTGGCCGGGTGGGAGTGGGTGGTTTGAGGGCTGCTGAGGGTGGAAGAGGTATTTCAGTGGGGTGGTCTGAAAGCGACAGTGCCGTCAAAGAACTCATGCCTCTACTTGGAGGGATCTCTACTCTGAGCCCTCCCTTGGGTGACTTGTCCCGAGGCCGGGGCGCTACTGGCGTCGCATGATCTCCCTCTGCGGAAGTCACTGAACTCTGATCACTCTCCATTGTCCTCAACGAGCTCGCGTCAGTGGAGGACGACAGTCTTCCACCAGCAGCCAGCACACTCCGAGGGTCCCGAATCCCGTACTGTCCGGGGCCGATAGTGACATCGTCGCTTGTGAATTTATCGAGGTCTGCAGAGCGAGACGGAGAGCGGTGCTGGATGCGCGGTGTCATGGGAGAATTCAGACTTGAAGAGCGAATGCGAGGGCCCAGGCGCCCCGTTTCGGAATAACCACGTAGCGCCTCGAGAGATGGCCGGCGAGGTGCCACATCAGGAGATGCCTGCATCGATCAGTCATTGCGCCCCGGCAAACTAGTGGAGACTCACTGGGAACGCCACAGGACGCATAGTCATATCCTCCTCCTTTTCATCAATAACCTCCTCCTCTTCCTCTCCGTGTCCCTCATCGCTCGTTTCCGAGTCTCCTTCTTGTAGCGCCGACTGCACCATCATGTCGTCCTTCCACTTTCGCTGCAGGTGGTCCAAGCTCGTGGCTTTGCGATGCAGGCTCGAGAGCGTATGTACACCCCTCGCTCCGACAGGTTTATCTCGTGAGACGAGCGGTGATTCATCACTCGGTCTCGGCGTAAGCTGGCTGGTCGTCCCACCAGGGTGATGCGATTTCAACGTCGCATTTCCTACGGCAAAGTTGACAGCCTCATTTTCGGGGACCACTACCCTCACCAGCCGGACACATTCTGTCCCTGCGCGCAATGTTCCAGTAGCCGCTCGGAGGAGCATAGTCTTTTCCTTGTCGTACCCTTCTTCACCACATTCACCCACGACATCGGCGACGATTTCAGCGCTTTCGACGAGCTTCCCTGCTACCTCGTAGAGCGCATCCTTGGCAATTCTCAACGACTCGATATCTTTTGGCCGTTTCGCTCGAATGAAGGTATGTCGACCGACTGTTTCAACAATAGTCAAAAGATCGCGGACGGTGTCTATCGTTTCGCGAGTCATCTCGATGAGATTAGAGTGACTGGACGGGTGCGAATTGATACTGTGTGAGTGAATATGGCCTATGAACGCCGCTATGATCGATAATAGGGCATCCTCTGTTTGGGTCACAGCCCTATGTACATCGGCGGGGGAGGTGAGCGCCCGGGAAGTCGTGGGTTGAATAAAGGGCATGGGGACGGGCGTCCGATCCTCCCATGGGGAAGTGGGCTCTTCTGATGTCGCCAGAGAACTATGGCTAAACACGCTATCCATACTTCCCTGCATCCTCCGCTCATGGAAAGAGCGCGCGGAGATAGGGGACGATGTTTCGGAGGATAACGAGAATGCTGCCGAGATGGGCGTTGTGACTTTGGAGGACTGCCTGATATGGCCTGGGCGGTACTGGGCACTGGTGGTAGAGGTGGGAGATGGCATGGGGGGCGGGCTGGAAGAGCGCTGCTTGGCGGCACGCAGGTCACCAACACTGGCGACTCTGCGTTGAAACGCTTCTTGCAGCCGCGCATTGCTCCCTGGTGGAGGTCGAGGTTGGGCTGGGGCAGTGACCTGCGCCGAGACGCTCGCAATCTCGCTCGCCGCAGAGCTGGTGACAGACATTGGGATCCCGCTCCCGCCTCCTAACGTGGGCTCCACGGCACACTGGTTGGCGAGATGCAGAAACCGGCGGACACTAGCAAAGACGCCCCGGGCGGCCTTCGCAAGGTCCTCCAACTTTTGGATATCTTCTTCGGGGTCCCTGATGACTTGGGCGCCCGTTTCATTCATCCCGCTTGCCGCACGAGCGCATCCGACGAGCTTGGACAGTTCTACGAGGACGACTTTGCGTTCTTTTGCGAGGACTGGCCATGCGACGAGGGTCTTTGATTCTTTGCTCAGGCAGTCTGTCTGGGCCAGAGCTGCGCGGATGGAGGATATGACACATGCCGTGGAAGGCTGAATATGTGATTTATGATTGCTATGAATGGCGGTATCGAGCAGTGATAGCGCCTGGACGATCGGCTGAATCAGGAGCTGGAAAGTTTCTGGGAGGGGCGCAATGTCGTGGTGCGGCGAGGCGAGGATCTGGGATATGGAGGAGCCGGTGGTGGAGGCCTGGGAGAGCTGCGAGGCCACGGATGCATGGCGCGAGTGGGCGTGGGACGGGTGCTGGTCGTTGACGGTGTGGGGGCTCTGGGGCCTGCTGGAGGCGCCCGAGTCTGCTCTGTGGTGGGACTGGAAGGGTGGGCAGGGACTCTGGGGGATGAGAGGGGGACGTACGCGGTCTGGGTCTATGTCCCTGATGTAGTTGCTGGGGAACCACCCCCTCCGCACGCCTCGATGGTCTGCGGGCTTTGCTGTGATTTCGCCGTCCCACCATCCTGTGGGGTCTCTGACGTGGACGCGGATGAGCTCGCCGGCGGAGAAGTGGAGGTAGAGGTTGGTGTTGGAGGTGGAGGTGGAGGCGAGGAGGGAGGGGTCGAAGTCGTGGATCGCCTGCGCGTAGAGGGGCGCCATCGCGGGTCCCGGTGAACAGTACTCTACGACTGAGAGGAAAGAAACAAGCCCCTCAACGGCCCACACCGCAAGGCACACAGGCACCCAGGCACCCACGTGGCCTCAACAAACAAAACCCATTCCATCGCACTTTCTCGGCACTTTCCGCCCTCTCCGCCCCATGTCCCTCCCCGCCCACCATGCCCGCCTCAAGTGCATCCACCAACCCCCGCCCGAGCATGGGCCCATCTTCCACCCCTACCGCTTCGTCGTCGACGTCCCTAGGGGGCAGTCCGATGCCGGCGCATTCGGCATGTGGAAGCAAGTCCAGTTTCTCCATTACTCCTCTCTCGACCATAACAACATCCCCACCCGCAGAGTAGGCCTCGCCCGCCGCGGCATGCTCGGCAAAGACGCCAAGCTAGAAATAACCGTAGAACCCCTCGTCAAGCAAGAGCCACAACATTGGCCTAACGACCTCTTCGACAGCGCCAGGAATGAGCCCTATCCGTACGCGGAATGGTTCACTCCCCAGGGGAGAATAGCAGACCCAGGCTGTGAGGAATGGATACAAGAGATCAAATTCCATGAAGAGATGCGGGACGCGATGGGCAGACCCACGAGATATGTCAAGCACAAAGAGGGCAAGAATAACGTCTGCTTTCGGCACAAGGTCATACCGACGGAATGGCTGAATGGACCGCCTGTGTCTAGTGCCGCGGCTTCACATCCTTCCACGCTTCCCACAAGTGGTAGGTCGTCTTGGAGAGTTGATGGAAAAACCTTACCCGCGCCCACAGCCACTCGTCCTCCTTCCTTGTACCAAGTTCCAAGTCCCTCTGACACAAATGTCCGGCGCGGTCCAGAACCACATCAATCTAGTACTGATAGCAGTGAGTGACGTGTCTACCGTGGTACTAAACGCCGCTTATGCTTATCTTTCCAGCTCGCGAGGCGCCCGGTCTTGCTCAGAATTTTCAGCTTCGCGGACCTCCCGTCCCGCATCGTCTCACTCCGACTGCTCCCCGTCGTGTTCTTTCCTCAAACAATCGCTCTCCATCTTCCGGCTCACAGAAGCGCGACTATGGACGCTCTCCTACAAGAGATCCGCCTGCGCCGAAAAGACTAAAGTTCAATCACGGTGACTCTCCTCAGAACTTGCGCGAGGAATCGCTGCGTGAGAATCCCATCTGGGGGCGACCCGAAGCTCGAGGCAAACAGGTCATTCAATCCACCCGGACCGGCCCCCATCTATCGTATGCTGTGCCCACCCCTACTCCACCCAGCCCCCCTGTATCTACCGTCATGGCCCCTGTCACCCATTCTGCCCAGGCTCTTGTGGAGGCAGATGCCCCCAAGCCTACACACCCCAGCATACATGATCTATTCTCGCGGTCTAAGCAATCTACCCCTGTTCCTCCCACTCCCCCACTTTCGGCTGCTCTCTCTTTACCTGCCGCGCCTCCTTCCCGTCCCCTGACGCCTCCCCTGCCCCCCGCACTCCTTCTTCCTGCGCCTACCTCTACCGCCTCAGAACCTGACGCTGATCTTGACAAGATCGTCCACGACCCCAAGTCTGTTCGGACTGGCCCTCCTAAGCCCTCGGCTCCGGTGCAAGAACGCCTGGCGTACAGACAAGCTCAATTGGAAGAATGGGAAAAGATGGTGTGTCAGTTTCCGGACCTAAGAGAGATAATCGAATGGCAAATCTCAAAGGTGGGGAAGCAGTTGGAGGTGTTGAGGGGTGAGATGGAACCATGAGATTGCCTCTCAAGCGTGTTGTATATATTGTCTCACTATGAGCGAACGCCCATACCAGTCTCTTCTACATGGTGTTTTTATAATTCAATCCCTGTACACTGTATCCTTGGCCGAATTGTTGGCTGGTCCCGCCGCAAGCGAGCTTCACTGGGCCCATGTAATGAGCAAGTCTTCCCATCAGCATGCATCGCATGACCCACCATCAAAGTCGTTGAGGGTTGTTGGGCTGTGGGGCAGGCTGTGGTTGAGGTTGAGCGGGACGTGGACGACTTGGGGGCACCGGACGTGCAGGGCGCGTTGGCGGGTCTGCGGGTGGCGAAGGGGACGAGCGTTTGTTAATTTCAAGAAAGAGGATGATTACGCATATATTCCTTGTCCGCAAGGATCTACAAGGTGAAATCATGGAGTGCCGTTCGAATTGATCAAGAAAACTATTGATCCGATCTTGAAGAACGTTGTTGTGTGATTGCCTTATGGAGCGTGGCCAACGACGCGTCCCTGGCAGTCTTGCAGTCCCATGGGCTTATTATTTATGATCCAGCGTCCAGGGCGGTATGTACTTTGTGATGACTATGCACTTGCATCATTAGGATAGATATGAATTATTACAGTCTATCATGCGATGACTCCATCAGGGCGGATCGGAACATATTGGCCAATGCCTGTGAGAACACACTCACATGGAGAGTCATGAATGATCGTATACAAACTCGAGCTCATGAAAGTCGACAGTACTCCTCAAGATTCCCGAAGAGTGCCTCTACCGTTCGTTCTTCATCTCGTCCAAGCATATACACATGGCAGCCATCAACGCCAAGTCGACACCGGGTGCTACGGCCACATAATACTAATCATCAACCGATCAACATCGAGGCATTATCATCCCTGTAGTGAGACTCACTGTCTGCTGCCCTGCAAAGATCTCTCTCGCATTCATCACATCCCTAGAAATCTGAAACGACAGGACCGTTGACGTGTCGGCTGAACCTCCCCAAAAGTCGCCACGCAGCGAAAGAGCCATCGGGCGTTGGTGGCGGCGTCATGGAATGTTGCTGTCGCTTTGGCTCCGACTGATCAGTTGCGTCAGTTCAGCCATAGTTGCGTTACCGAGCGTGCAAGCGAGCAAAGTCTTTTTCTACTCGGAATAGTTCCTGGCCGTGTTCGTCCTCGGCAATGATTGTTTTGAAGAACGCCATGATCTTGTTCCATAGGCAAAACAGAAACTTGCCACTGGAATCTCTGATGACTGTATGTAGAATGTCAGTATGTAGAATGTCAGTATGATGGTCAGTGTCATTTGAAGAAGGATGTTCACTCTTGGAACCAATCAATGAGGAGGCAGCAGTAGGCGCCCCTCGCCGCCGCGTGCCTTTTGTGCGTGATACTTCTTGCTGTCGATTGGCCAACTCTCTGCATCCATATCATCCGCCATGTCCATCCTCCGCTCGGCCCCCCTCGCCCGCCTCCCCCGCTCCCTCCCCCTCGCCCTCAGAGCCTACTCCACCCCGCCCCAGCCACCAAAGCCCCTCCAGCAACAACAGCCAGACGCTGCCTCGCCATCCTACCTCCAACAGTCCCCAAACGTCCCCACCACCTGGTCCAAGGGCCAGAACCCCAAGCCCCATGCGGTGGACAATGCGCGGTTCGAGCAAAACTCGTGGAAACACCAGCCCAACCAGCCCAGTGCTATGGGCATGGTCGCCGAGGACCCTGTGAGGCTGGTCAATGGAAGGAAGGCTGTCTGTGACGGTGGTATGTTGTTCACCGCGCTCGCCCAGCGATATCAACGGCTGACATGGTCACAGGTGGTGGTGCTCTTGGTCATCCCAAAATCTACATCAACCTTGTAAGTTTCTGTCATCGTGTACGGATGTTTGAGTTGACAATGTCTTTCGCAGGATAAGCCAGGTATGTCCACAAATAGTAACCGATCCTACGAGTGTTCTGCTGACTGTTGCGCCATTACCAGGACCCAAGGTCTGTGGTTACTGGTATGTTGCAATCCAGAGTGGTTCTATCAGCGCTGACCACCTTGCAGTGGGACTCGCTACGAACAAGCCCACGAATCTCATCATTAGTTGTATCAACACGGAGCATTGGGAGGGTCAGGATGCATGGGTTATCACTTGGATGAGCCTGGGGTCACACAAAAGCAATCTTTACAAGAATATTTCGTCCCGAGTAATCGTCGATATCCAGCCACAGACCTGGTCGCCTGGGTCTGCGTCCCACCCCATGTCCCAGCCACTCTCCATCAGCAAAATGCGAATGCGGATACCGATCGAGAAAGGAATCCGAGAACAAGTCTTCGCCATGTGACCCTTGTGCGAGGTGATACAAAGTGGCCGCGCCAGTCGAAACACAATGCTGGCTGAACGTGGAGCTGCCATTGTGGTGTGATAATGGTGAGGGGGTGGGCAACGGTCTACCGTACCTGACATCTCGACTCCGATCTTCGAAAGTCGAAAATTGCAAGTTGCCAACATCATGGGCTGACTCTTGAGACGTCGATCCAGTATGTGGCCACCCACTCTGGTAAGCATCCCCGCTCACATCCTCGTCTTTTTGTTTTCTGTCTGCCACTCTCTGCTCATACACAGACCCCGATCCACTTTGCCTATCCTGTGAGGTGATAAAAGGCCCAGCATCAAACATGACTATCTCGTCGTCTGGTGGTGTAGAGCTGTTGCCTGGGGTCGCGGAGGGGTTATCCAACTTCGAAAAAGTTCCCTCAAGCCGACGCCTTTGCGCATGGGACTGCTGACATACGCTCTCTTCTTGTGGCCCTGATGCTGGAAAGTCTGACCACTGTCGTTTGCTGTTCATGAGGGAATGTACGACTATCGTTGATGAACGTGGCATGAGTGATGTCTAAACGGTAAGGCTATATGTCAATGGGAGGTGCCTCAATAGGCATGAGCGCTGTGACTAGATCAATTCCATGGATAAGGCAGAAGGCGAGATATTCTTGTTGCTGATCGTCCTTTGGTCTTTAAACCCCGATTTAGCACGGCTCTTGGATCTAATGGTCCACAAGCAATGACAGTGCATACGTAGCCAAGACGTCACTTCCTCGGTCTACCGCCGAGTACGCCTACACCCAAGCCCACATCTGGGAATCCACCATATCCACCTCTTCCTCGTCATACCAACATACCCCTAGCACATGGACCATGCCTTCTGTCCCAATCCTCGTCGAAACTACCACATCGCGCCCTTCCGCCCGATTCCACGCGTGTACTAGCTCGGAGGTGGGATCGAGTCCCCATACTTCGCCTTCTGTCCATGGTGCGCCCGAGTACTCAACTACACCGTCCAACGATGTCAAAAGCGCGGGCAACAATCCAGGTGTGATATTTTGCATGTATGTCACGCAGAGGCGCGGTGACGCTGCAGAGTTGTACAAGCTGAACAGGACAACGGCTTCGTATTCCCAGCCTTGTCCTTTTGTGGCTCTGAGACGGATACCATAAGGTAAGACTCGGGTTCGCCAAGTCGGCTGAGGACTGTACGACCCTCTTACGGGAATCATGGTCAGTGTCCCGGGTGAGGCTGGGTCGCACAAGAATACAGGCTTGTCGATAGTCTGAGCTTGGGAAAGCTTGTGCCGAGAGTTGGCCCAGACAACAGGATATATGTCCTCCAGGTCAGACTCCCAGATGTATTCCCAATCAGATTGACTTTCTGATGTCCCGTTCAGCTTCCAAGTGAGCGTATGATTCCACTCTTGTTTGCTTTGAAACCCTCGCCCCTCAAGCCCCAGGGTACAACGTTCGTAGACTCTCATCAAAACGTCAGACCATAACATACTGCCATCGGCTCTGGGCACGTAGGGCACCAGCTCGTGGGGTATGGGTGGGGGTCGCTGCCCCCAAGATGGAGGAAATGGTGGAATGGTTTGGGATATCGCGGGTTGAGTGATGGTAGGGGAAGGCGAAGTGAGGATGTAGTGCAGTAGGCGGATCAAATGTGTGGCGTACCCTTGACCTGCTCGGACGTTAGTCTCGTGATTTGGTGCTGAACCTGGATATACATACCACGATGCTTGTGAGGGGTCACCACGGCAGTGATTACATACACCCAGCCGTCCCGGACTTGACCCTGGCCTTTGTCCTTGATGAAGCATTTCGTGCGATGGCTGTGTATGTAGCGTGAGCGACGGATGAAACTGGGTTCAATGCAGTGACTTGCGTCTCTAAAGCAGAGTAGATCTCACCCTCATAATCGTCCCAACGAACCAATACCCTGAGAGATGTGAGTGCGGAGTCTCCGTCGCCCGGGACGACTCACCAGCCAATAACTCCATGGTCTTTTGCATACTCTGCCTCTGACTGCTCCCTTTCGGCAATTGCGTTGAAGTCCTGTTTATGTGTCAGCATATAGTACATGATACCCGTTACCAGCACACACCTCCAAAGACATCCTCGCTCTCCAATCGGGCACCTCAAAGCAAGCTTTGCCGTGCTGGAGGGCCTGTCCATCTGTGGCTGGGCGTATGGTGAATTGTTCGGGATTGAGCAACATGGTGGTCCAGGTGCTTGGAATCTGTTCAAGGTAGGGCTTTGAAAGTGTTAGAACTTGAGGGATCAGTCGCCAAGCTGATGACTCTATTCGCTCCTTGTAGACTATTTGCTCGTGAAAGGACGATACTGCATTCAAGGAGAGTCCTTTTGTCATCAGTTGCCAGCTGAGAAAACTTTCGAAGCCCACTACCTGATAATCAAAGCAATTTCGCAGCAGAAAGAGAAGGCAGGGTGCAGTTGACAGAACCATTGGGGCTGTCTTAGACTCAGGCACGATCAAGTGCCATGACAAGCACTTCAGGTCAAGTTGGCTTGACGGCAGGAGAGCCGTCCAGAGTAAGACTCAGCTCACCGAGAAGCTTGCAACCCTCACCATCTTGGCCGCACGGAGCCAATTAAGCGTGTAACATCATCATTGTCATTGCATATAGAAGCCCTTCTCTTGAAATAGTCCGATTTAAATCTAAGCCTGGGCGCCGGCAGCTTCAATCTGGTCAGCAGAGTGCATCATATGAGAAGGAGAAATCGAAGACACACCCTCAATCTCGGCGAGGTAGTTCTTGGAAGACTCGTCGTCAGACTTGCCAAGCATCTGGGCATATCGTCAGCATTCATCAAACTCTCCAGTATAAACGCAGGAACTCACCTGCTTCAAAAGCTCGACGTACTTGACCTGAGCATCCTCCTTGCTGAGGCCAGCAATCTTCTTCCAGGCGTTGTACTTGGCCTTGCCAACAAAGTCAAAGACACCAGGAGCGGGGCCAGAGACGTCGCCCTCGTTGGCCTGCTTGTAGTGGGCGTAGAACTGCATTGGAGCGAGTATCAGTGTGCATCCCGGATAGTAGAGCGAAGAGCAGCCCGGGTGACTCACAGCAAGCTTGTCCTCCTGGGAAGGCTTGATGGGTCCGTCAGCGGGGAGACCCTTGACGATGGCGACTGCCTTGTCGAACTGAGCTTTGGTGTTTGCCATTCTGGGTGTGGGTGTGGTGGGTGTGGGAAGGAAGAGATGCAGATGAGAGATGCAGAAGAGGGATGTTGGATGAATCCCCGAGCGCCATGGGGCGGGTACGCGATACGCGTGGGGAGGTACGGGGCGGAGGCCACCGCTGCTCGGTGGGCGCCGCCGGCTACGTATTTGTTGTTGCAATGTACTCTAATCTGCAATCTAATCTTCCTGTTGTCAGTGTTGCGTGCTGAGAGGACTCTGAAGGGCACCATCTCCCATGGGTTCGCGGGTCCAGCCCTTTCAGCTCCCTCTATTCACCACTTGCACCTGTACTCGCCACCCACCTCCCCAGCCAGTAGCAAACATGCCCTCCCCTGCTCGCCTCTCTGCCCATTCCACCTTCTCTGAACCGCCACCGCCCCATGGCCCCATCGATGCCTTGTACCGCTTCATCATAGACATCCCACCGAACTTGGCCGTGCTGTCTTTGAGCTCTGGAGAGAGCAAGAGTGGATTCGGATATCCTGTCTCGACAAATTCGGGCTTCCCACGAGACGCATAGTCAGCATGCTCAGACAGGGCTCCATGATCCGCGTTCATGTGATACCTCTGAATGGACAAGACCCTCAGATCTGGCCCTCTACTATGTTTGAAAAGCAGCAGAACTTGATATACCCAAAGGGCATTACGCCAAACCATATGGATAACGAATGGGTGAAGAGGACCATCGAAAAGAAGGAAGAACGGGACAACAAGGGAAAGCCCAAGTTCTGGGTCAAGCTGGAACATAAATTTTCACATTGCGTCTTGCGATGGAAAGAGATATCTTGGGAGGAGCTCGCTACACAAGTCACTCAGGACGCCGCGACTGGTGAGTATCACTCCGATATCGGTGCCAAGGATAAGGCTGATGCCAGATTTGCAGCTCATGCGGCACGGCTGGCCGCCACCTGCGCCAAGAGCGGCCGCATTTCAAGAAACTCCGGCAGCGAGGGAGAAGTCATTTCGTCCCATTCGAAGGATGAACATCATCGCAAAGCGAGGAAAGTCAGCCCTTCTCCACCCAATCCCACACGAGCGCCGACTTCGATGGAAGAGACTAGATCCCGGCAAGGCGCTGAGAGGTCCGCTTCTAGACCAAAAGAGAGGATGGGGGAGGGAGCGCGTCCTGATCTTGAAGATGGAGAGATAGAAGAAAGACGTGCAGATGGCCGCGCTCAACGGGGCAGCAGGGAAGCAGGCAGGTCGTCGGGTTCTCTTATAAATGACACCCCCGACCCTCGCCCCTTTCACTTCCGCGCTACTCCCATCCGCCCTTCAGCACGCAATCTTGTACGAGATCCTCCAGCTTTTCGATCTCATCCCTTTAATTCCTCAAAGATCACCAGGCCAGCGGATCCCCTCCTTCCCCCACGGGAAAGCGCTGCTCATGCGCCCGCCCATTCCACTCATTTACCCTCGCCTTCCACAACACCCTCAATGGACCAGTGCTTTCCCCAGCGACCTTCGTACCCTAGGACCGTCCGCCACCTAGGGCTAAGGAGCGCTCTGGTGCGATGACGCCAAGGAATAATACGTCACCCAGGACTGTGTTTACTGCTTTGCCTTCAGATGTGATACCGGATACGGTATTGACGGTGCGCAGTGGTATGCCTTCCCCAGCAGCAACATCGCCGGCGGTGTCGATATATCTTGCTCTGGCCCAACAAACAGCTGCGGCATCCACGCCATCTTCGTTGGACATGGAAAGGCAGACATCGACTTTTGAGTCAGAACTTGCTTTCCCTGGCTCCACCGCCCAGCCTTTGCCATCTCCTGTAGAGATGGAGACAGGTCGCATCCCGCCGACAGGGCTGAAGCGGCGCGTCTGCTCTGATTCTGGTACCGCTTCCACATCCTCGTGTATGACCTCGCTCCATATCCGAAGGGGCGCCGCTGTTCATCTTCATCTCAGATCCTTCCATCCGACAATGTTACTCCTTATATTGACTCCCCGGCGCCATCGCCAGTTACCCGAGTCGAATTGAGACCGTCAATGATTCTCTCCTGCGGCAAAAGCCTCGACTCTCCTCTGCATACTGGTCTCCTTCCCTCGGGAAGAATCCTCGAACCTTCAGCGCCCGTCGTCATGAACGATAAGGGTGATGGTACAAGAAGGATGGTGATGATCCGGAAACAGATTGACAAGTGGAAGGAAGTGCTCGAGGAGTTCCCGCAAACGAAGATGGATTGTATGAGACATGTGGACAGGTTGGAAAAGGAGATGGCAGACATGAGGGATAGATGTTCGGAGATCTGGTAGATTGGGGCATTTTGGAGATTCAAAGAGGCGAGCAGGACGGTCGTTCTCACGCGTCCGATTGGCGATGATGACGAGATTCACGACACGAGTATGTAGCCTGTATATATTTCCGCCGCTTACATGCGTGTAGTATTTTGTTGTAGATACATGCAGAGCTGATTATAGCACGACGGCATCTTCAGCATCTCCCAGCAGCAGGCTTATGCAGAAGCCGAAATGAGCCACTCGCATTGCCGTTGTCAGGGGCAACACAGCAACAGCCCCACTGGCACGGCGGACGCGTCGCAGACAACACGCCCCCGATTCTGTTGCGTAGTGCGTCTCTTTCACCACTCTTCTGCTGTTTTGCTTTCGATATCGCTGAAAACCCAATACAGCGTCTGCTTCACAAGACAAGCAGCAACAAATTCTGGACATGCACCAAGACGCCAGGCTCAGATCGACCAGCTCGGGTCGCGGCGAGTGAGTGCTTGCCCGAGCAGCCCCTACCTTTGCCTCTGCTTATCAATAGATATAGCTCTTCCACTCCCAGTTCCTGCCTTCCACCACCCTCATCGTACAAGACCATCTTTTCCCGCCCCCCCGAGACCGGCATTATCCGAGACCGGTACCACTACACCCTCACTGTTCCTCTCTTCAGCAAGAAGAAGCTGGGTCGCTCAGCAGCTCGGAAGCGGTACAGGGACTGGGAAGCAAAGATGTGGATTAAAGCGTCCCAGCTTGACCACTTTGGGGTGCCGACCAGGCTCGTGGTGGGTTGCTTTCTGGAGGGTGACCAGCGGACTTTGGCTGGCGATCTTAATGTCATTGTCGAGCCGTTCGATGGCAAAGTAATTCCCAACCCTGATACTTGGCCTTCAACCATGTTCGATATGGAGGACTTCTTGAGATTTCCTCGCGACATTGATGGTGATCAGAGGAAGGAAGATGAATGGATCAGGCAGTATGTGGAGAAGGTGCATAAGCGGGATGTTGGTGGTAGGCGGATTCTGTGGCTCGGGATCAAGCGAGTGCAACATGGAATTACGGTTGGCAAAAAGCCTAGATCACAGGCAGAGGTTGATGAGAACAAATGGAATGGTGGGTGACTTCTTGAGCCATCCACAGGGTAGTAGACGATGCTGACAAGTTTGACCGCAGAAGCTGTATCTTTGACTCCAATTCCCCAAAAGCGATCTCTTCCTTCTTCTCCTAGTGATGTTTCTCGACAGCAACACACAAAGAAGCAAAAATCAGATCGACCGCTCCTTCTCTCAGCTCATCCTCGTCCATCGATTCAGATTACCATACCCTCGTCGGCTGCGACAAAGGCCGGACAGAACCGACTGCCCGTACAAAGAGCACCCAACCCAGTCTTTTCATCCCCCCCTTCGCTCAGCCCATCCTCTTCCAAGCCCCCCATGCGGCAAGGAGCAGAATCTGAGATGGCGGATGCGTTTCTGGCATCGTTTGAGAAGGAGCTCCTCCAGACTGAGTGTCGCGCAGACTCTATCCCATCCCCATCCCTCAGGATGACTCGGGTAGAAGAGGAGGTACATGAAGACTTGGCAGCGAGAAGCCCGCACAATGCGAAGCGCGAAAGACACGTCAACGTGCTTGCTCCAGCTGCCTCTTCTCACCAGGCCACATACGCTCACAAGCTCCCGTCTTGCTATGTCCCTCGGGAAACCCCCGAGTGCAGTGGCGTCAACAGACCAGGTGACTCTGGAGGAATGCAACAGGCAGCATCCAAGGTCCCACTTGACACTTCCTCAATTCTTGCACTTTTGGTCCGCTTCCAGGCAAATGAAGTATCTTTTGCTTCGTCTTCCGGCGTATATCCCGGGTGGCTGCAAGGCCTTCAGAAGTGCTCGGCAGAAAAGATGCAGCAGCGACAGAAGTGGGTAGAGATGATCGAGGATTTGCCTGCTCTCCGGCCTGTTATGGAAAAGCAGCTGCAGAGAGTAGAGAAGGACCTGGAAGTATTGATCGGTGATGCGATCAGACTCGCCAGACCCAGTTGTCAATCGCAAAGCTATACGACAAGTCGGTAGTCCACTTTCCCCATTCGAGTGTGCGATAGGTATGAAATATGATCTTCACATACATGCACACAAGTATATTTGTTCAACCATCATGATCACAGAGAAGAAATGATTCGCAGTACCATATCGCCTCCTCGTTGTACCAGTACATTCAGTCACTCGTCATCAATACTTCCTTCTTGGATCTCAGCTCTTTGGTATATCCAGAAGACGCGGCATCCTTTATCATATACTCGGCTACACAACGCTACTGTTCTAAAGTCCGGGCGACGAAGCGCAAGCCAGTCTTATCTTCAGCCCACTATTTTCGGCTCTCTCCAGCATCGGGGGACAAGAGCTGGTTGTTGAAGAAGGTGAAGTACTGACAGTGTCCCCGTAGCTAAGAGCAGAAACGATCAATGGTCTAGTCTGAGGGAATTTACTAGCACTCTTGAGCGCTTCCTCGATGCCAATGGGCGCCCCTTCGTGCTCCAAGATCTCTGACTTGTTGCCCTGAGCGTCATTGCCGTCCTCTTGCAGTTTGATATCTTCCTCGGGTCTGGAGACAGGGTCTACTTCCAGTTTGGTATCCAAACTATGGTCTGATAATCTTCGTCGCCTTGCCCTCTCTACGACTAACGCCATGACGCGGGTGGCCTTCCCCTTCTTCGCTTCAGCGCTTTGACCGGGTAACATCTTTGGACATTTCCCGGAGCAGCATCTGGAAGCTACTTTTCGTTTTGTCCGATTGCCAATGCCTCCTGTATAAGATTCGGCTGTCAGGGATATAATGTCCGGGAGAGGAGCATGCTCTGGGAGAGTGGGCACATCTGCGAAAGCCTTCGAGAGAGAGGCAGAAGATGGACGAAAGTGTATAAGACCTGGAATGAAGTCGTCCGGAGTAGCAGAAGGGTGCACAGACTCGATATGATCTAAAAGGTTGGAGAAATTCTCTCCAACAAAATTGCACTCTGTGCACTCGTGTCAACTTCATACACCTTTGGCCGGATACATTTGACTCACGAAACAAAGGGCATCTAGCTGAAAAGTGCCGCATATGCACCACCAACACATGGCGATAACATTCTTCTTGTGTTCTGAAAGTATTATTACACTGGTACCATTGACATTGAACGTCTCCCACTTTGTGGAGGCTGTGTTTCAAGTGTGCATGGTGAACATGCTTTTCGAGCAGAGCCCAAGAGTTGAGCTCAGCTTCACAGTCAGACCACGCGCATCTTGTTGGCCTCAAAGTGACGAAATCAGCATACGGATAACTGGGATGACTGAGTTCCTCCTGGACAGGAGCACCAGACTCACCTGGCGTGCACGAATACTTGAAGTTGTATCATCCTGGTCTTTTTTTGATCTGTCTCTCGTAAGTCTTCCTTCCTTCGCCGCTTCTCCAAGTCCTGATGTGCTCTCATTTGTCGCACGCGCACGATCGCAGCGGACTGATCGGCCCGGTGTCTCTCTTGCTCCTCCGGGGAGATGGAGCTTGGATATCGTGCTCGCATGCTAGCCCCAGTCAATGGCTCGATAGTCATCAAGGGTCCAGGCATCCTGCGGCGGGAAGCTGCTGCTGCCGCGTCATAGGAACGTCTGCTGCTGACGGCCGCTGGAGCAAGGCCATCATTGTTAGAGCTTTTTCGCTGTTGAGGGTGTAGATGCACCCTCTGAGAATATTTGGCGTCTCTGCGTGCCCCTTTGGAAGGCTGGTATAGCGCCGACGGCCTTGTGTGCTCATAAGATTTGGACTTTGTGGGTGGAGAACGGTTGAGTGGACTTGGTGGTGAGGAAGACGACACATCAGGGTGATGATGGTGGTCATGAGCAGGATAAGGCCTGAATCGTCTAAGAGAATGAGAAGCGGCAGATGCTCTTTCCATATACGGTGGGAAATGAGCGGTATATCCTGTTCGATATTGGTCAAGCCGTCTGGCTTGCCGTTGTTGTCCATGCTCGCTGACCGGGGGGTAGGTGGGTGCGGGCGGGGGATAAGGATCATACTGAGGGTATTCTCCATTATCTGAGGCGTTCAAGATGTTAGCTTACACTCTCAACTCGATTCGGAGTGACGGAAAATGAGACAGAAGAAAGGGGTATGCTGGAGAATAATATCGAGTCTGATAGCAAGAAGTAAGGATCAAAGGAAAGTTACCGATGTTGAGAACAATTTCAGGGACCATTGTATTGGCCATGTCCATCATGATGCTAGACGAAGGCGACATCTTGGCTCAAAATTGATAGAGGAGGATATGTTCGACGCGAGGAATACAACTCACACGGGTGACTGTTTGCCGGCTCTTTCTTCCCGGAAATATGTCGAGGGAGCTCCCTTGGTAGATATGAGGCTTGGGCCATCGTGATCGCTCTTGTATTATACTGGAGGACTCTACCACTGAATTGTGAATTGGCTGGGGTTTTCTTCGGGTTTTAGGATCAGGAAAGATCGGCCGTTCGCAAAAACAGCAGAATGTTGCTTGCACCAGTAGATATGGGCGAAGAGGCCAGGTATGGTGCTGCGGTGCTGTTGGAGAAGCAGGTAATTGGTCTCTTTATTACAGACTCGAAGTTTGTTGAATGTAGTTGAACCAGATGATTTACGTAGATTCAAACCGAGTGGGCTCTACCTCTATGATCCTGGCCTTGATTGCCTTCTCCATAAATACTTGCCAGTCCTCATGAATCCCCTAGACACTACCTCAAAGCAAGACCGGCCTTCTGAAAGGATCTGCATTTGCCCCTTTCTGTCCCCGAAAAGCTCAGTCGGTAGGCTTCGATAGACAAAGGAGGGACTCGGTGCATTATTCGCTCCCTAGTGGCATGCTATCAACAGTTGATAAGGGAAGCAATATATGTAGGTACAAAGGGTGCGGGCTCATGCGAAGCTCCTTATTATCACAGTTCCGCAGAATCAGACTCGAGATTGTATGCGTCTTGCGGGACTGTGCGCAAAGAAACAGGATTACTCTGCTTCTTCTAGCGGACGTGATGTAAAGGCTTGAGCATAGAAGAAGAAGATAAAACTAGACTGGCTCATCATGCACCTTGGACTGCTGACGTTGGCAATACAGGTGGCCAGACTCTGTCTGAATACGTGTCACGCTTGGGGAGTGCCCTTGTCGTGCTGAAGAGAGTTTTGTTATAAGGGGCAAAAACCTTTTCGTTATTGTCGCATATGAAGAAGAACTATGAAAACTACTCTGATATGTGTATAAACGGAGAGCACGGTCCATAAACACACTTAATCTACTGAATCTACTTGAATGAACGAATTACACAGAGGACTCCTTTAACTATGACAATACGACGAGCCTGAAATTTCCCTACGCTTTTCGACAGCTGCCCTGAACTCTGTGTTCATGGGCGAAGTCTTGCGCTTCCCACTTGGCGAGTGAGCAGAGGCGTTACTGCTCTCCTGATACCTCTCAAGGCTATCGCTGAGCGGACTTGTAGAAGGTGGGCAAGATGAACCGACCGAGGTGGCCGAAAGAGGAGATGATGAAGACGCCGACGATTTCGCAGTGCTCTTGGATTTCGTGCGCTTGGATGACCACCCCTTCCTCGCTCTCTTCTTCTGCTTTTTTCTTGCTGGTTTTACGGGGAGAAGGTGTTTGACGCTGACCAGAGCGCGTGAGATATGGCAAGCATCACAGTCTGCCCGTACGCGTGCCCAGTATTCCGCCAGCGAGAGCTCAGGTCCGTCCTCCCACCATGGGGCTGCATACCCAGGAGCCTCGCCTTGAGACTCTTGGTGAGAGTCGCGGAGACGAGGCACATAGCTGGCTGCAATGTCAAGATGAGACAACTTTTGGGCTGCCATAGTCTGAGAGTTGGTCTCGGCGATAAACTTGGTGGTAGTGGCGATCACCTGGCGAGCTCTCTGAGACTGGCCAGAGCCGAGTATCTCAGCGACGCTGATGATGTTGTCGCCGTCCACGTCTGCTGGGGCAATAATTTGCGACATGATGTGTTGCCTAAAGTCTGAGTAATCAAGGGCAGCATGCGAGCTATCCATATCATCTTCTCTTCGACGACTTAGGCGGTCTTCATCATAGAAGTACTTGGGTAGGGGCGGAAGAGGGCCTAGCTGAGGCCTGAAGGGCAGAAGGGCAGGGCGTTGCTTCGTGAGGCCACCAGTAGGGGAGGCATGTAGAGGATGTTTGCGGGTCTGTACGACTTTGGAATTAAGCTTGAGAGTGCGAGTAGATCGACGCAGAGAGGAGATATGCAGAGCTCCGCTGTCAATACTCAGCGATTTGGGTGACAGATCTTCGAGTGATGGTGGGAAGAGAACACGTTCAGTGTCGTGAGATGGGATTTCAATAGCAGTAGTGCTAGGTAGAGCCGGCGAGGTGAGGAAGGGTGACGTAATGGAGTGCACCTCTTCCAAATAGTCTACATAGGAGTGAGCCATTGGATGCACAATCGGTGATGCAAAGCTCACCATCCTTATCAGTCGCTAGCGCCTGAAGTCCGACAGCCCAAGGGGCGTCAGAGTAGGACACGAGTTCTTCTTTGCCCATATCTTAACAATGATGTGTATATAAGCAACTTGAACAAAAGATGTATGCTTACAGAAAAGAAGAAGGCATCCTCCAAGAAAGACCGCCCCCGGTTCGCCGAGATGGCGACGGATACAAGACGCGAGGTATGTCCGCTCCGGATATGGAACTTGTTCCGAAATTCGGGATGGTTAAGGTGTAAGGCAGGCGTGATGCATCGTTCAATGTATGTGGATCAGTGAGGATCTGAGATGGCATTGGAGACCTATACAGTTACATGAAAGAGACACTCAACTCCAGCAAGTGGGCGCGACTGATTTTCTCGGTGATGCTGTCGGGGGTGTTACGTAAGCTGAATCTGTGGTACTGGGGTGTTTGTGCTGTGGGCAACATAACATGGATGTCTCTTCCTTCCACCACCCGCCATGCCCCAGTAGCCCCATAGCCCCTCCCCCCATCGCCCCCCCATCGCCCACCCGAGTCGCTCATTAAGCCATCACCCGTCCCCCATCCCAGCCGCCCGCCGCCCAATCATGTCCTCTCTGCGATATAATACACACCACCCCTTCCCTCCCACCCCCACTGCCACCCCAGAGGCTGGTAGGATCACCACATCTGCCCCCTCCTCTCTCTCGATGGCATCGAATGGGTGGCAACTACCGCCAAACACCCCATCACCGCCTCCGCCCTACCGCTCCCCCTTCCTTAGTAACCACCCTTACCAACCTTCTCCTTTCTGTACTTCCTCCAGCGCCAATTATTCCACCCGCTCTCGGAAGCTTCGGCCCAAGTCTTTGCATACGAGCGCCATGCCTGTCACCGGGCAAAGTAGGGATGGCCCGAACAAGAGACAGTCGCAAGACCCGGTGCCTGCTGGGATAGGGCTTGGGGGCAACGTGGAGAGCGATATGCAGTGGATGGAACTGGAAAGGGCTCTTGGGATGATCGACGAGGAGGTGGCCGACCTGCTACGGAGGAGAATAAGAAACATGCAGAGTTTAGCCGAGAGGCAGGCCCGAGGTAAGTTGTTTTTCTTGCTGTTGTGAAATCGCCACTGACAGTGAGTGCCCCAGCGGAGACTCAGAATCGTATGGCTCGTCTCGAGGATTCTCTAGTAGAAGCGCATCAGACTATCAAGCGCCTTACCAAAGAGAAATCAATTATGGAAGACGAGATGAAGGAGGTTGAGGAGCGTGTTGTGGCGGAGTATCGACTCTCCGTCAAGGGCCAAGAGCGCAACCGCCCCCCAGGTCTGCGGCCTCTTGGACTCTCTTCAAAAGCGAGACCAGCATCTATCATTGTCGAGGATGCTGCTCAAGCGAACAAGAATCGCTGGTCCGTCAGCAAAGCGTCAGAGGACGAGCGAAGAACCTCGCGCCTGCTCAATCTCCCTTACCGATCATCCACAGTTCCTGCGCCTACTCCTTCCTCCGCCCGTTGCCCCGATACCCCTCCCTCTTCCTCTTCAGCAGACTCTTCCTCTTCTTCAAATTCTTCGTCCCCCTGCACCCCTACCCACTCTCCCATCCATAAGCCGAGACAATCTTATCGAATCAGTCAGACATTTACCGGTCTTTCGTCCTACTCGGTCAACGCTCATGCGTACGAGGAGCTTGAGATTCTTGTAGACTCTCCCCCAAAGTCTACCTCTGAGAGCAAGTCGATGTCTTTGAACATGGCTCCTAGTGACGATGAGGGAAAGCTTGTCGCTGCACGAGTTAGGAGAGGCAGGCCTCAAACTGTTTATGGCTGGGCGCCGCCTGCGCCATCCGAAGACGTTTCCACAGGGCTGAACTTGGGGGATGCTACTTGCCCCATTACTAGCACGTATAACAAGCTTGTGGGGACTAGTGCACCAAATCCGGCCAGTAGTCATGGGAGGAAGGTCAGGCTCAGAGAGAGTCTACCGCCAACGATGGAGGAGGCGACACCCATCCAGGGGCAAACAACAACATCTTTCAGAGCAGAAAGGCGCTCTCTGATTGAGCCCCGCTCAAGCATGACATACAAAGTTCGCAAGCGGTCTTCCGTCGCCCTTGACGACCCGCACGTTCCCGAGAGCGGAGAGACCCAGCCTTCCCTGCTTCAAGGCTATCGTCAGACTCAACGCCGTACCCGGCGGAAGACGCTGCTCATCACATCCCCTTCTTCCCCTCTACCCCTCATGCCCAGTTCCCCCACAGCAGCTCGCCCGATCGCCCCGCGTCCCCACAAACGCCAACAGCAACAGGGACAGCTCAAGCTTTACGAAACCAGTCCGGTAAACATGAACAACCCTAGGCAGATGACGGCGCTTTTGGGAGGGATCGCGAAGGCGTCAGGGTGGATGACAGTGGTCGGATTCGCGGGGCTGACAGTAGGAGGGTGGATGAAGAGATGAACCACCGGTGGCGTACGACGGACAATTTCGCCCATGGGGTCTTTTCACGAATTATAATGACCCTGCATTTGTTGGATTCTGGCATTTCGTCCATAGTCTCTCTTAGAGCTTTTAGCATTTCCCTTTCCTTTTCAACAGCATATTCTACCGTCCCATAAAGCCCTACAAATCTTCTTGTCATCCGTGTCTCCACTACGCGGTGTTCTCCCCTGTTTTCATTAATTGTGCATCCTTCGTGTGATACGTATGACCCTTTGTTGCTCTATACAACCGGTGTCTGACGCATGGCCTGACCTCGGATATGCCCTTGACCCATGCATTGCATCCATCTCCGTGCATTCAATACATTCCCACCACACTCGGATTTTTCATCTCATAAGGAAAGCACATAAATTGATATGGTAAGCAAATCGTTCTCGTCAACAAAAGTTTGGTCATCGGGTTGGTCGTATTAGTCGTCAATTATAATCATGTTTTTCTCTTCTGCAGAGACTGCTCTAGAGAATCGAGCCGAGTTCCATCCTCTCTCTCTGGGCCCGGCCCCTTTTGGCTCCCCTCGGACTGGAAGACACTCTCGACCATTTATCGGGACAAGCAATGAAATAGTGGCGCATGGCACTTTCAAAGCGCTCGCGATATTGATCAGGAGGAATCTGCCCCTGTTGTGAGCGTCTGCTTGATGTGAAGATATAGAGTGGATGTCAACTCACAACAGTAACATCTCCCCCTCTGTTCAGAGCCATCTTTCCCCTACTTTCGATCGTCTTGAACAGATTGAAACTTCCGATGGCATCCACTAACCCCACAATCAAGGTCTTGTCCTTGGCCCGCCTCATTGCTTCCACTTGCTCTTCATATGCGGCAGGCTGACCAGCAGCAGCAGTTGCGGATGTGGAGAAAGCGCGCGATGAGTCGTCGATACCGAGCAGGAGCGAGTAGTCCATGATTGATTGGGAGGCGAGGAACTTAGTGTCGAGGGCGATAGCGTCCAGAAGAATCTTTTTAGCGTCTATCGTGTGTTATGTCAGCTTGTAGTCTGCGAATAGAACAAATCACGTACGTGGTTGAAGCAGAACCAGATCGTTTTGCATATTCTCCAGCCAATCGGCATCGAAAAGTGTTCCCGGACCTTTGACTTCGACTGATTCAACCTCGCCTTCAGTCTTCCTTTTGACCACCTTTCGGCCCTCTGGGCAAGTTGTCAATTGATGATCCTCTGATGGAACACAGACTCGACTCACCGATACCCTTCAAATCAAATGTTTGAGAGATGGACTGGCTGTAGAAAAGGTTTTCCATCACCAGCAAATCCAGCTGCCTCTTGGTACCGGAGTGTAGATCTTTGATCGTGACTGTACTCGTTGTCAGTACTTTGATATGATGAAGCTCAACTGGACTTTGAAGTAGACTCACCTGTGTAGAAGCCGACGATCTTCGCCAAGGATGTAGCTCTATTGTGCGTACTGGTCATAAAATTGAAATATGCTGGCGAAATCTCCAGCAAAGCATGCCTGCCAACCAGTTTAGCCACATGACTTCGCCAACCCCGGAAACCAATTCTGCCACTCACATGTCACTGACAGTCCACTTGCTCACTAGCTCTTTCACGATGAACTTTTTGTCCTTTGACATCCAGAATCCTGCTTTGCTTTTACCACCGTCGGCATTCCACTCCTCTGTCTCTTCGAGACTTTCCACCAGCGCCTTGTCTACCGCACACCTTCGCCTGAGCGAGTCAAAAGCTGTAGCAAAGTAGACTGTACATGACAGACGCAGCTTGTCAGGGAGAGTGTACTCAAAGTAGAGGTGTGGTCGAGGATCGAGATTGGAAAGTGACGTATCCATACCGCCCAATGGACCAGCGATAAGTGACTGAAGCGACCGGTCTGGATGGCGCGTACGTATAGACGAGAGTGTGTCTCCCACCTCGGAGCCAAATCTCCATATAGAGTTGGCAAATGACGAGGTCATGCTACTACCCCAGCCAGCACTACTGGCCCGGGTATTGGGAGGCATCGTTCTGGCCGCTGCAGTACCTGTCTTGGAAGAAAGTGTGGAGACTGGCGTTTGAGGAGAGAGAAGGCGAGGGACTGAAGATGTGGACAGGTTACGGCTGCCCCGGAAGCTACTCGGTGGAGCATCGCTTGACTTGGGACCGCGGGGCGAAGCTCGGGACTTGTACAAGCTGCTTGTGTCACTTTCCGATACACTTGCTCTCCTGCTCGGTACCAATCCATTAATGCTGTTGGACAAGATGGGATCGTTGCCCGTGGCCTTCTCTATCGCCCTGACAATTTCTTCCATCCTGTCTGCAGACTGGCTCACGCCTTCTACAGCCTCTGTAAAGACTTCTGTAGACGGGGCAGCATTGGAGATCGACACTGCTGGGGGGGCGAATTTTGACTTGTCCAGTGACAAGGAGGCGTCCGAAGGTTTCTTTACAATAGAGCGAAGGGATAGAAGATCTCTGGGAGAGTCTCGGCGCTCAACCTTGATACTCCATTCAGCCATCGAGGACGACTTTGACTCCGGTGCGCTGACAGACGCAGCGGTTTCGGGTGTAGATGCTTCGTCGGTTGATTTGGACGACGCAGTCAACTCTGTAAAATATGCCAAGGATCTTTTACCCGATCAGCGTATGTATATTGTCTTTCCAAGCAACTCACGAAAGGGTATAAGCCACAACACTGGCTGGCTGATCTTCCTTGACTAGGACACCACTTCCGGGAAGAGCGTAATCTTTCGAAGCCTTCTTCTTGTGATCCGGCAAGTAGCTTTTCAGAGCAACCAGTCCGTCTTCTTGGCCGTCCTGAGTCAAGTAGGTCTTTTGCCATTCTTCAAGCGCCCCGAGCGAAACCCTGATCCTTTCGGTGAAGAATTGGCGAGCCTCATCGATGGGCTTAGCTGGTGCCGCAGCGAGAGTCAACATTGTCTGTTGTCTGGCCTCAGAGGATGTCGTGGAAACTTCGGCCAAGCTGGCTAGTTTCTTTTGCAAGTCCGGTGTCGTTCTTTCTGGTCGTAGCTCTTCGCCAGCTTCGTATCCGGCTTCAAGTCTCCCTCTCTGATACAGTGTCAGTGTGTTCCGCACTTGACACTCGTATGACTTACGAGCAGTGCAACCCTTGAATCCAGAGCGTCAAAAAAAGAAACGACTTCAGAGCCTCTAAGTGCGTTGTCACAATCTTGCTCTGAGCTGTTTAGATTCTCAGGGGTTCTGAGAAGGTTGTCTTTGGTGCTCTTGCGTTTAGGCACATTAGGTCCTACCTGAAGCTTGGGTAGTCGCATGTCGAGAAGTGAAACTTCGGAAGTTGCCAACGAGATAGCTAAACCTGGTGTCCGCAAGTAATGTGCTTGCACAAAGGGTATCGAGGAATGTGGACAGATAGATGATTGAAGACCGGTGGTATAGATCAGACTACCGTGTATTTGATCAGTCACCTTGCCTTACATGATGACTGAATCGCTTACAACTCAAGCACTTTTATCCAAGGATAGGCTCTGCAGAAGTCGAGTCAGTACTGATACATGACCTCAGCCACCAAACATACCTGGCACCATCACTGAGTCGTCTGGGACTGCTCTCTGATCCGCACATGTCGCACTTGGACCAAGTCTCTATATCATCTCCTTGTGCCTGCGTTTCAGGTCCAGCGTGGCATTCAACAATCTGAACGCCAACTTTGGTGCCGCCGTGTATAAACCAACGTACGTGCTCGCTATTTTCGGCTTCGCATCCCACTCTAGGGCAAAGCAAGTTTTCCTCTGCCAGCTCGTCATAGAGACCCATAAGATAGTCTGTGATAGTCACGTCATCGGACAAGGTCTGCAATTTGGGAGGCTGGCAGATGACAGAGCCGCTCGGTTCCTCCCGGTCATCTGTGTTGGGAAGGTAATTCAACCCAACGCAATACAGCGTGGAGAGTCGTTGAAGCCTTATCCAGCCATCAAAGGTCTCTAGCCCAGAAGCAAGAGAGTTGAGACCTGAACGTACATCTCCACCAAGTCGATAAGCCAAAGCTCGCCCTCGTATAGGGTCTGGACCGTCGCGAGCCATGGGATGGGGTCCGGGGAATAAAGTGCTCGTGCTCGCATTGGCGGAATCATTTTCTCCATCAATTTCAACTTGTGCTTTTGCTCGACGAGTTTGATCCTCGTCAAAAAGTCGTAGCAGGATAGAAGGCATAGGGTATTTGAGACCCGGTGTTGTGGACGGCAGGATTTCACGCAGTAGCCCAAGTGTTTGTAGATGGTGGCTATTTGAATTCGTAATGGGGCCGTTCATAAGATATGGGGGCAGATTCGAAGGGGATGGAGTATCATCCTGTGGCTCAAGTGGTGTTTCGGTTGAAGTCGGAGAAGGCAGCAATGATGGGCTAGATGGAAGGTCCATTTGGTGAATAAGGGGACTGGGGTGTTGCCTCGAATGGTCACGAGATTTTGTAGAATTGGTACGTCCCAAGAGCCCTTTCCAAACACCTTTTGTGTCTCTGGTCAATTTAGACAAGAAACCTCTCTTCGACTGTCTCTCCGTCCACGGAACGTGTGGAGAGACACCACGAGACAGGTCACCCTCACTTGGAGTATTAGACAGAGGGGTCGGTGGTTTGGGAAGCACAGGTGGCTCATCTTGCTCGCGAGGTATACGGAACGAGTCGAGCAGGTCGAGCTCGAGAGTCATGGTGGCAATGGTGTAGACCTGTTGTTTATGAATAACACTGCACACACGATACCAGGGACACTTACGAGGGCCTTGAGAACCTTCACCAATGCTTTCTTCTCCTCATCTCGTCTTATACCGCGAATGACGATCGTGCCACCGACCAAACCAATATTGCCCCGTATGACGGCCTCCTTTGGCATATCGTTCTCTTCCCCGCTAATGATCGCGTTGTAAGGCATCCCAACAAATTCGTGCCCCTGCTGTGTGCTGGACTGGACCGACGATGCTTCATCAGAATCGGATTCGCTGTCCGTCTTGGAAGTACTCGCTTGGGAATGTATTGCGAGTGAACTGGAGGTCGAAGAGAAGGATGTTGGCACAGCCTCCAGAGCTGAGAAGACAGACTGGCGTCTTGAAACGCTCGAGGGCAGACTCGACCGTCGCCGTTTGACACTATTATATGGGGATCCAAGCGTTTGGGAAGGGAGCGCAAACTTTCCTTCGACGAAATCAACTTCAATATTACCCCAATCGTCTTCGTCATAGAAATGCGATTTATCGCCCAGAAGATCACTCCATTTACTTCCGGAGCCGGAGAACCAGCCTTTGCCCCTCGTAGACCCCATACTCGTGGTCGACCGACCAGAGATGGAGTGGTCGCGTCGCAGACGAAGAGTGGTCTGACTTGTACTTGCTTCGCTTCGGCGGCGTTCCGCCGATTCGAAAGGGATATGTAAGCAGAAGACAGGTTTCAACATGTCAAATTCTTCGACTGCTGGGTCCGACTGGGTGGTCGACGTAATCGGAAGACCGAGATCGAAAAAGGGTGATTGATGAGATCGCACAGACGATGGAACATCGATGGAATGGCGGTATTCGTGGCCCGATTGAGGGAATGCTCCCGGGATTCCATGTACTGTCCCCTTAGGTATCAAATCGGCTTGCTCATGTCAGAACGATGTGGATCTTACACTCTTGGACGACTCACCGTTGACAGTTTCCCAGTCTTCACGCTTGGGTGTCGTAAACTTTACGAATCCTTTCAAGCTTCGAACAACCCTGCACCAATCTTCCAAATCCTGCGCCTCCTGATCTTCTTCTGCTTCCCTTCTGGCTGCATGTCGTTCGAGTCGGCTTAGAAGCGTGGTGTCGAGAGGAGACGACCCTTCCAGGGAAGCAATCGATGAAGCTCGAGTGCTCTGTTTACTTGGCGTCGAGGCAGAGGCAGGCATGAAAGGTTCGGGTATGGCTAGTCTGCCTCTGTCATTTTCGCTAGAGGAGGCCTTTCTAGAAGTCTTGCCTTTTCCCTTGCCTTCCTTATCAGCTTGAGCCTCCTTCGCTCGCTTCTCCGCTAATAATTGCCTCCCCTCCTCCTCCATCTCACCCTTCCAAGCATGTATTCTCTTTGTAGATCCCTTCACCCATCCATTCCAATCTTGCTCCAGCACCCCGCGCTCGCGGCGGGAATCTTTGGCAGGAGCAGTTAGCACTGCACCCTCCCAGATAGCGCTTTCCACCCGGGCCAAGCGTTCCTCGGACCACAGTTTCTTGCCCTCCGGGCCACCTTCGAGCTCTTGCTGAGCTAGCCACTGATGAAGGAGGGCGCGTAGATGTTGGAGGTACGTTGGGGGAAGGCCGTACAGATTGCGGCGGGGAGACAGGGGAGGAGAGGTGGAGCGTGGAGGGAGTGGCAGGGAGGGAGTGTGTCGGTGGGGGGAGACAGGGCGGCTGTGGGGTGCCGAGTGGGACATGGTCAGAGTGTCATGGATAGGGCTGCTGGGTGTAAAGATGAGTCGAGTATAGTGGAGAAGTGCAAGTACATTTGAAGTACATGTGCGCTCTTGTGGAGGCGGCGGGCATGTCCGCATGTGAAGGCGAGTATACGATATGGGATGAGGTGGGCGAGTCGCCGCCAGAGCCCCAGCGGCCAGCACCCATCCCTGCCCTGCCCTGCGCCATCCCTCATAGAGTCATAGACCATGTTGAGACCATGCAGGGGGCACACTGGGCCAAGTCGAGAACAGATACTCGGTTACGTAATGTACATTTGTTTACGACGGTGTGTGAGTGACGGCGGGTGTATCCTGCCTCCTTCGCACATCTTCTCCCTCCTTTCTTTTCTCTTCTTCTTCTCTGCCATGTCGGCCCACCCCAAGAAGAGGTACTACCCACCGCAACCCTCACGCGGCGAGGACAGAGACGCCACAAGGCACACCACCTACTCCACCCGCAAAGTCGCCATACAAGGCCCTCCTGCTCTCCGGACAGCAAAAAGCTGTCCTTATATTTCTCCCGCCGACAGGAGCAACCTGAAAAAGAAGGGGAAAGGGAGCATGAGCTGGCGTGGGCCGTATAGCGGCTCGGCTGGGGCTGCAGCGAATGCGAGCGCACAAGAGCGACCGGGTGGACCACCTCCATGGCTGCAGCGCAAGACCGACTCCTCGTCAGCCACACCTTTCGACTCTGTTGGATCCCCCAGATTCGCAGCATCTCACAAACCGTTGGGGGCCCAGGCCGGTGGCTCGCATTGGAAGAAGAAGGTGCCCAATTGTCCAGCTGCTATGGCGAGCCCACCTGTCCCGGCAGCTCAACCCAGTCGCGTGCAGTGGGCGGCCAGAGCACCACCAACACAGCCAAGATCTTTATTAGACTCCAATTCTCCTGTCTCGCCATCCACGTTCCCTCCCATAATGGCGAAAGCTCCTTCGCCAAATTCGGTCGGTCAACCCTCTTCCAACATGGGCAAGACGCAATCTTCCCAGCCTGTGGCACCGCACGACCACATATCAACCAACTTCTCTCATTCTTTTCATCAAAACCCCCAACCATCCAGCTACCAACTCTCCCTTGATGCATACATATCAATGCCGGCGCTCTCCGCGGCAAATTCGCCGTCTCCTCCATCTCCACCATCGCGACCACCCGCGCTTCAGCAATGGTTCGAAGCGAGGAGACGTGTTAGTACAGATGACGGCCAATCTGATGTTTTACAACCAAAGTCTTCAGAGATCTCAAACATCGACAAGCATCAGGAGGGCTCGTCCCAAGACGTGACTGGCGGGCGGTCAGGGCTGGGACTGGAAAACGCTTCGACGAGTCAGAATGTGGAAATGGACGATGAAGAGCGAGATGTGAAGCCGAGTGCCGAAGCGTTGGAAAAGGCTTTGGAGCAGGCTGTGCCGAGGGTGAAAGAGGAAGATCGTCTGGAAGGTTGCTTGGCGCTGACGTGAGTACCCGCACTTGGACACCATCCACTTTGCTGATCGTTAAATCAGACGCGGGCAGCTCCCAAAAGATGTCTGGTCACCCAACCCATCAATTAGGCGGGGGACTCGAGGCAAAATACGCGAGCAGCAAGAAAAAGAGTTGACCAAGATGGGTCGGAAGCTCGTCAAAAGTCGATGGATGAGCGACGGAGTGGCACATGACTGGAAACTCGTCAAGCAAATCAGCCTCGTTGAGGATCAATGCTGCCAGATTGTCAAAGACGATATCGCCGTAACTATCCCCGGCTTGTCTGCGATGGACCCATCTGGTGCCATGGATGTGAATGCTGTCAGCCTCGAGACGGGCTCTGGTCAACAAGAGACTGAGACCCAGGTCGACGGCTCAGGTAGACATTCGTCAAGGCGTAACGTCATGGCGCTGGCTGTGTCGGCAGCCGCCACCCAACCAGCGCCTGTCTCGGGGCTGCCGATGTCGCGTGAGAGCTCGCGGGATAAACGAGAGTCTGAGAATGACGTGGCAACGATGGTATCGCCTACACAGACTCCCATCGCTGTTATCATACCTTCTGAAACGACCACGAGTACTTCCAATCGCGTGCCGCCGTCTTCCATCCCGGCCAAACCCGTCACAGAAGCGCCTGCGAGCATAGAATCCACGTCGTTCAATCTTCCAAAGCCTCCATCTTCTTCTAATCCGAGTCGGGCTATAAATCCGACTACGAACCCTTCGGTCAAGCCAAATACAAAACCCGAAGCCAAATGGGGCCCTGCCATCATCGGTCGACCGCCCAAAAGCGGTGCTATCGACAGGATCTACAAGTACGAGCTTGAGATTCCCCCTTATATTCAAATCACTGCGGCCGGCAAGTTTACAGCGCAATTCCAGACTTGGAAGCTCAAACACCGAGATGACATGTCGGGCCAATCCTCTCGTGGCTGTCCATCACGAGAGGTCTTTTTGAACCATGATGGACCAAACAAGTGCAAGAGTTTGCAAGTCCGAGTGGTACCCATTGACATGCAGGACCCCTCTTCTTGGCCTTTGTCCATGTTCCCCGACATCGTCGAGTACGTGATCCCCGATCACGTCAAACCTCGACACGTCGAGGTCAACCCTCGCTCTGCTTTGTTCCGGACATGGGAAAAGACTTGCATGGACATGGCTTCGAATCCAGATCAATGGGGTCGCCCCACGAGATGGGTCAAGTCCATGTTCTGCCCGAGTATGAGCAAGGGTAGTTTGAGGGTGCGATGGCGAGGAAAGACGGCGACAGAGATTGCGAGCTATGAAGGTGCACCAATCGTCTTGCCCGGGAAGGGAGATCACAAAGACAAGAGTTTGAGGGACCGGGAGATAGAAATGGTAAAGGAAAGGGAGCAGGGAAAGGTCAAAGACAAGGGGAAAGCTATCCACAGTGATTCTCAGCCCGAAAAAAGGCTGAGGTCAGAGTTGATGGACGATCAAGACTCTTCGAGGAAGAAGTCAAGGCGAGCGTCAGAGTCAAATGGTGAGCGCGAGTGGGATAAGGGCAAGAAGGAGGGTGTCTATTTTGATGAGGGCCCCAGGAGTAGGCGCCGTGAGAAGGAGAAGGAGAGGGGCACCAAGCAATCTGGTGGTGGGAGGGGGAAGGAGAAGGAGACTTCGCGTGAAAGAGATAGTGGATGGAGTGGAATGGATGCTGGGAAAGCGAAGGAGACGGAAAAGGAGAAAGAGAAAGAGCGGGTTGGACACGAATCACCGTCAAGTGAGCCTCCTTTTGCTTCTCAAACCTTTCCGAAGCTGACAACATCATTCCCGCCAGAGGCATCCTTCTTCGATGATGGACCCTTTCCTCAGGCAGGTATTCCTGCCACCCCGGTCAACGGGACGTCTTCCTCGCCATCTGCCTACGCCCCTGCTCTGCCACCCGCTATGGCGATGGTCAGACAGCCAGTGGCCACTACTTCTCTTATTGCAGAGCATTCAGGCTCCAGCATTGCTGGTGTGTCGATGAGTATCCCCTCTACTGTCGCCGCTGGCCATGAAACACCACAAACACCGACCAACCCTCATCCTTCCGTTTCCATGGCCCGACCCGCGCCGATGCCTGTACTGGGGTCTTCTACCCATTCAACCCCCGCAATCAGCTCGCCTCTTTTAGAGGAACTTGCTTTGGGAGTTCGTCAGAAGATGAACGAGATACAGACTTGGACGCAGATGTTGAACGACTTTCCGGATATGGCGGACCCCATGAGGGGGCAAATCGATAGGACACAGACCGAGATCTTTCGGCTCTATGCTAAGATGGGACAGGAGAAAAGGAGGTTGATGACTGGGGAGTAAACAGTGGAAGGGAGAAGATATGGGGCGACCGGATAATCTTCGGAAGCGGGGATGAACGAGGGTCTATATCATTCTTACGACATTATCGGTGGGCAAGAGAGACGATTCACGAAAACATATAGCATTTCCTGCACATATTTATACAGTAGTATTATGATTTCCCATCGTAGACATTACGACCACAAACATTCTGTACAAATACCATCGCAGTCACATGCATTTTCTGTCAATATTGCAAGCTATACAGATGTTTGCTGAAATGCAAGTGCACACAGTATTTTGCATAGACACCCTTTGATGATACACCTAGTAATATGATATGATAAAGATTGATCGTTCCCGCCACATCTGCTGTCACTCGGCATATCTATTTGAGCCCCTTCTCAAACTAGCCCTCAATCGGTCCGTCATCCTCCTACCCTTCCCTTCTTCCTCTCGTATATTGCTGTCGTAGCTGACTTGATCCTCCTTCTGCCTTTCCCGCTCCATGGCAGCAAGCACCAGATTCTGCTCCAACACGCTGACCGCGTCACTTTCGGCCCCACCACTATTCCTCCTGCTAAGTTCACCGTCCTCGTACGCATACTCGCCCTCTTCGTATTGCTCATGGCTCAAACGAGACTGAGACTGGAACGAGAACCGGCTCATGGGCGAATTCGGCTCGTCAATATGCAAGTCACTCGACTTTATTGACATGGCGTGCTGCTTTCGAGGGCTCATGTCACCCGCAGTGATCTGGCTGACAGCCGTGGTAGGTTTACCTCGAGAGGAAGAGGATTGGGGCAAAGGGAACGATCCACCGCGAAGGGTGTGAGTAGATGATGATGATGACTTTTTGCGCAAAATATTGTCTTTGGAAGGACTTTTAGAGGGGCTCTTGGAAGGACTCCTGCTCCCGCGAGACGAGCTTTGATGCACGCTAGACATTTGTGAGGAAGTGTCGATTTTGGGCGAAGGCTTTTCGGGAGAATTGGACTCGGACCGAGGAATTGTGGCGTGCGATCGATCAGGAGATATGAAGGGCTGGGTATCCATCTGAGGCGAGTACTCCTGGGGAGGTGACTGCTCAATAGTGCTTAACTCGCCGAACCCGGTACCTCTGGGCGGCAAGACACTCTTTTTTGGAGTCAGCCCCATATTTCGCACTTTGGATACCAAGGAAGACACAGCGGAGCCAGATCGGACATGAGGAGATCGAGGGCTTCTGGTCGACAGAGGTGAAGAGTAGGAATTGGATGTGTCGAGAGACGTGGCAGATCGGAGGGACGTGGTAGAGCGCAGCACATCAAAGCTCCGGCGGGAACTATCGACACTGTAGCGATGATGAAGTGGTGATCCGTGTGACCCTATCTCACTATTCATCGAGGCAGCAGACGGGGTCCACCTCCGCGCCCTGTCATCTGAAGATGGCGTCTTGTAATCATACGCCATCGATGCAGCAACGGACTCGGATCGGCGCAAACCTCCCCTCACCGAACCAGCTGGTGTAGCCGGCTGCGGCACTTGGCCATAGCCGCCAGAAAACGATCCGACGAGTCGTGGTATGTCGAGCATGACTCTCGTCATATCTCTCACGCTTTGGTCACTAGCCTTACCCGCATCTCTCAACAACATCGTCAACGCCGTGTAGCCCTCTCTGACCTTGCCAGGATTGTCTTCAACCGCAGCGTCCAGCGTGATCTGGTGGGCAAGGTTGTAAGCTGCCTGCAGCGTGCTGTTGACACCTTCCGAAGAGCGAGCAGCAGTATTGAGGGCCGTAAGGGCGTCATGTTGATAGGTGGGAGAAGAGGGGTCTTGGTAGCCAAGCTTGAATTCAAGAGAGCGGTAAGCCTCGAACAAAAGACGGCCATGCTCGCTGGAAGCAAACAATCTCTGTTCCATGCTCGCGCTGGTTGCGCTTGAACGCCCTCCCAAGCTTGTATAGCTCCTCTTGTGTCGTGGCTCTGTCGCCGGTATCCCGCCCACTCTCGACCCTCCACCTCGCCCGTATGAAGGACTGAGAGATTGTCGGCCATTCTGGACCTCTGTACTCCTTCGATCAACTGGCGGTGCCGTCTTGGGAGGATTCTGGTAAATGTCTCTCATGGAGGACATTGATGTGCTGGAACGAGGCATATGGTCCCAGCGCTTTCTCGAGTCCGCGCGTTGGGCTTCTAGTTTTCGAATGACGTCGAGAGGATCCTTTGCAACAGGATTGGAGGGATCCCCACGTTCGGAACGTGCTCCGACAGCTGAGATGGAGTCGCCCGGGGCGAGTGGCACCATAGACGTCAAGCGCGAACGGTCGATGAGGTCGCGCTCGCTGACGAGCATGCTCGTCCCGCGTCTGAGGCCAGTACCAAAGTCGGCTCCTCTTTCAGGTTGTCCTCTGGGGAGGTTATTATAGCGTGAACGATCCGCAGGATTGTCCAGCACTGTGCCGGGTCTAAACCTATCGACATTGCTCGGCAGGCCTCTGCCATCAAGGCCAGGTCCCAAGCTGTCTTGCATTCGGGGCAAGCCAGAAATTGATTGGCTCCAGGCCCTCCGAACATGTGAAGAGGTATCGTCTCGCCCGGAAGTGGTCGACTTCTGATCGAAACTTTCTGTGCGGGCTGATATAGGGTCAAAATCACGGCTGAGACGTGAGGTCGTGGAGAAACGATTTGGCAGGGGCGAGTGATAGGTGCTGGGGGATTCGACTGATTGGCGAAAACGTGAACGAGCAGACCAAGGCTCATCCTGTCGCTGAGGGCTAGGAGTGAACTGGAATAGTGTCAGTCGGAATCCGCCCCTGAGACTTGTAACATACGAAACTCCCGACTTTGAAATCGTTTGGCAGTCCCGATCTCTTCCTACTCCTTCCTCCGCTACCGCCGCTTCTTTCACCGCTCTGTAATCGCTCGTCTTCTTCGAAATTATCCCTGTGAGATCCCGACCCATTTGCGAGTCTCCACGGGCTTTCTCCTTTGACATATGTTCTGGACGCGTCGCCTGATCTCGCTACTGGCATCCCCAGCTTCGAACCAGCTACCGGAGACGCGGTTTGGGTGGATGTCTTGGAATAAGAGTCGTGCCTCCGAAGCTCACCTTTGACGGGTGTCTGGACTTTCGAAGGGCTGCCCATTGCAGAAGCACCATCGGCAGAACGTCTTTTCCTGTGCGAGCTGACTTCAATGATCTTTTCCTCGACCTCCTTGATCTTTTCGTCCAATATAGCTCCTTGAGAAGATCGACGACGCTGTTCTTGAGAATCTGGCTCTTCCTCCAGCGTTTCTTGGCTCGGTGTCCCTTGGACGCTCAGGCGGCGAGCAGATCGTCGAACAGAACCACTGACAGGAGGCAATTTCGCCGTCCGTTCAGGTGAAGCAATCTTCGCTCTGGCCTTGGCTTTTGGTGAAAGGTCGAGAGAAGGAGGTGCTCGACCTCGAGGGGATATTGTCTGACGACTTTTGTTGCTTGTCGATGAAGACTGACTCCTGGACAGTTCCGAGCTAGGGCTATAGCGGGACCCGCCAAAGATCTCGGCCCTCTTCCGATCGCTCAGAGACGTGGACTCTGGGCTTTTATTGTGATTGAACGCGATAGAGGTGGAGGAGCTGGAACGAGACATGGACCCACCAGGCCGGTGAGAGTGAATGGGGCGAGCAAGCTCTGGTGTACCGCCGGGGGGGTTGGAATACGAGTCGGCACGGCGCGACATATGCGAGGATGATGAAGATGTGGTTGAAGGTGCACGATTCTACAAGACCGTATCGGACGGGCGCGTGGTAGTCAAGCAAATGGGAGAAGGCATATCAGCACAATTCAGATTGCAAGGAGCATATCTCACCTCTATAGACTCGCCCAGTCTCCTGCTCTCTTGTCCCAAAGCACTACCCTGTATCTCCCGCGGTACTACGATGTCGCTTTCCGTCCCAGGAGGACTGGGCAACCCCGATGCCTTGTCGACGAAACTTCTCCGCGTATCCCTTTCGCTCTCATCTCTCCTCTCCGAAGCCCTGGTTTTCTCTCGCACGTCCATCTTCCTTTCTATGGTCAACGGCCCTGACCTGGTGCTTGAGGGAGCACTCGTCTCGCGCCGCAGAGTGCTATTAGAACCCGAGCTTTGCCAGTCGCGCGCAAAGTCGACCTTCGGGCTCCCAATGCCTACGTGGATGCTGGCGAACCCCGTAGGGAGCATTGACGCGTGCGTTGGGGGTTGGGATGGAGATTTGGGGGGGCTGGAAGACGGTTGGGTAGGGATAGGGGATGTTGATGGTAATAAGAGCGCGTCACGGTGCGCGGGCTTTTCCTCTGATTCTCTTGCGGACGGCGAGACCGGCTCGTTGTGGAACGTTCTGTGAGAGCGAGAGGACGACTCGGAGAAGGCAGGGGAGCCGAGGGGGGAGGGGGAGGGGCTCGGATGCACCGAGTCGATGGAAAGAGAAGAACTGCTGGTTTCTGTTTTTGACGGGGATGACATTGAGATGGTGCCTTTGGCCATGTTTATGCGGCTTCGCTTGATTAGGCGAGACGCTGAGCAGGGAGCGGCGGTAGATGGGTGTGGCAACGAGACTGGTGGCGGGCAGCTGCAGATATGTATGTAGGTCTGGAGAGCATCAGTAGAGTCCTGCTTGCCGTCTTGTGCGTCCTGCTCACCTCGCTCTGCGTACGCGTGCTATGGCTACTTGGTGGCGGGGCTTTACAGCAGCGGTCGGTCTAGGGGAGGCCCATGGTGGCCATTGATGGAGGGGAAGGGGTGAGGAGATGTAAATGTGGTCTGTGGATGATTGGACTGCCGTCAACCTGTCTTGGAACGCGTCCATAGATCGCCTACTCGCGTTTTTAACTCTCACACTTTACAGTCCACAGTACTCGGGAGTAAGAGCTGGAGTTCCAAATCAACCCTCAACTACTGTGATGAACATAGCTCAAGATAAAGTTATGCATGGCAATTAGACACCGCCAACACAGCGTGGAAGGGCCATCCTAACTACGTATGTATCTCCTAAATCTCTCCAACTCCTTGCTACGATATGGTTTTTGTTTTTATACAGATATTATAAGACACCCAAGCGTTCTTCACAAGTGATTGATGTCGAACGCTGGCCCCGGGTCGGCCTGAAGAAGCTGTATATCCCCTTTCAACAATCAGATCAAGCCTTCTCTCCCTCCACCTGCGACTCGCTCCTTCCAAGCTCGGCGGTCCTCTCGACGTCTTCGTGAGTAGAGGTGGTAGTGGTGGTCTGGTTGAGGGGAAGGAAGTTTTTGAGCGGTCGAGCGGCCCAGAGGATGAGGATGAGGATGATGGGAAGGTATTCAAAGATCGCGAAGAAGACTTCGTGCGTCGCAGCATATTCGTACGCGCCTACAAAACGATGTCAAATCATCTTTCCTGCGCTGATAGGTGAATTCGAGGCGACTCACCTTGGGCACCCTCAGCAATGCGCATGATGAGTCTGACAAAGAACAAGCCGAAGGTGATCAACACCTGCGTCAAGGCCGGGTGAATGAGAGGGTAGTTGTCAACGTCCTTGTTGTTGGCCAAGGCAGTATTGATGATTCGGGTCGATCGGCGGTAGATGACAAAGACAAAGATGGAGACAATGATAATGGTGATGGCTTGGAGAACATTGCCAGCGAGGAAAACGAGGGTGGACATCTGATAGCAGGTCAGCCTTGGGTGTAGGACTAATGCGGGATGGACTTGCGCCAAGGGTGAACATGGAGTCGTCGCCAGTGATTTCGGCACCTTGGGCTGTGGCGTAAAAGTACTGGCCAGCGATCTGCATAAGAACCCACACGACATCAAGAATGACAAACACTGAGTTGATCATCAGCTCGGGCCACCCTCTCAGAACGAGGTATACTCACAGACAAGCATAGATCTGGGCCTCATGGGCGACATGTGGCGGCCTTCCGGGGTGTACTTGGTGAGTCGTTGAACGCTTTTGTACATGGCGGCTGTGAGAAGGACAGTGGCGATTTGAATAAGAAAGATACCGAGCAAAAAGGACATGCCCTGCGTCGTTGTGAGTATAACGCTATATTCGAGGTAAAAGGTGGCTTACACCGAAGGGCTTGCGGTGAGTATAGATCCTTGCACCGTAACCCAAGGCCTCAATGACGGCAGTGAAGAACAACAGACCATGGCTATGGAAAAAGAGTGTCAGTCAACTTGGCGCAGACCCCAAAGTGGCACCCGACTTACACACTCCTGGTGCCTCTGATCTTGACAAAGAACCAAAGATGGGGACCAGCCACAGCGATGAAGGTAATAACACCGATAACACCCAAAGCGAGCGAGGGAACATAGCCATAGCTCCAAAAGGCGGCGTTTCCGCTCTCGGGAGAGGCGACGGTAGGTCCGGTGTATCCCATTTTGAATATGACTGGTGGTGATGTACGTAAAGGAAAAGGAAAGGCAGAGAGGCTGGGTGATATGACAAAGAGGTATACCCACGTATATATATGCCAAAGATTGAGCTGCAGATCGATGTCTTTGTTCAAAGAGCCAGGTGTTGCGAGATCTTCGTGTTGTCAAGCTGCGGTCGTGTATGTGCAGCAGTCGTCCAGGCCGAGAGATGGAAGACAAGGAGTGAAGATCTCTGAGAAAAGGAAGATACCGGGATTGAGGGGGAAAGGAAGCCTCTTATATGTTTCGTGGAACAGCTCTGAGAGTATTCTCAGACGAGGCAAGAGGGGTGCCCCACCCCAAGCATATCAGCTGCTCCCTTACACGTTACATCCGATCGCCCCTTGTCTGTGTTGGCCTGGAGCTCGGAGCGTATGAGGGGGACAGCTATGGCCCAGCTCACGGCTTCTGAGTGCGGGGCAAATAGCGAACGATGATGGAATAAGCGTTCACAGATAAGAACCTTGTGTGCAAGGATTAAGTGTGTTGAGGGTCTCGAGGTTCGTGCTGATGAGAAACATTTTTTGCCGAAGTCAGGACAAGGAACAAAGGCATTATGGTGACTGTTGCAAGTTGAGCGGGTAAGCGATGTAGTGCCTTTTGTTGCAACCGTGACACGGAAAGAGTGCTTCGGCGGTGCATGGGGTGGTATGCTCGAGACTTAGAGATGTCACCGAGGGACTAGATGCAGACAGTATGGTGGGGGGAGGGTGATAAATTACGGGTAGATGAGTGTGATCACGGCTACGAGAGCTTAGCACGGGAAGAGAAGACAACGCGGAATACGGGCCATACCTTCCTCTGTCGACTGGCCTTCCGGGGCTTCCGCCAGTCAGCCCGTCACTCGACGGACACGGCCAAGCTGGGAGCGGATAGAAGCTGGGATGTAGTGCAAGACCCCGTTTACCATATGCATGCAGGCGCAGTGCAGCAAACAGGTATCACCACGTTTGAGTTGTGTTCGTTTGAGGGCGATAGGGGAATTCCGGAGGTCACCGCAGTGATCCTTCAGCACGTCCATCTGGTACCAGGTTCCATCAGCTCCCGGTATCGTGCCCCGATACAGCAGGTACAGCAGCCCTCTTCCGCCCTCGGATCGTGACTAGGCGTATGTGGAATACAAATCTCACCTGCAATGAAGCAATAAGCGCAGGCTGGCAGACTCCCTCCCCACTCCGCGCAACGCCCTTGACAACGAGAGACGCTACCCTCGCAGCGACCATCACTCACGGTGTAAACGATCGTTGATTGCAGTAATAAAGCACCTTCTGTCCATCCCCCTCCACTCCTACTTTGGCAGGTCCCAAGAGCGACAGGACTCACAGCCACAGGAGGGTACTCCACTAGCTGCCCCCACATCCTTAGACGACTCCAGTACATGCTGGGCGCTTGTGTTTGACCGGGATCTCGGGGCGTTAGGCGCTTGGCGTTTGGCTTCTTTCCAGATGTAGCAGTGCACCATCTTCGATGATTGCATCTGATCGTTCAGTTGAGAAGAATGGGTCATCCGCTTGATCAATAACAATGATTGAAGAGGGCGCAAGTAGTGGCACGACAGATAGGCGTAGAACGATGTGAAGTATAGGCTAGGCGTGTGATGAGCCTCCACCACGACTATGCAGAAAGACATTCTCGATCCAAGAACTCACGAGTCGAGCCAATTCCTCGCATCTCTCTGACCCGCCGCTCGTATCATTGGCCGTTTCGTATCATTTTTTCCCCGGGGCAGTCTCTATCTCCCTGTGATCCCCGATATATATACCCTGCAGCTCGGGATGGAAGCCGGAGGCCGAGAGCTGGCTGCCGCTGACCAAGCCTGTGGAGGTACCAGTGGAGGTACGTACGGTAACAGCCCGTCGGCCATCTTGGGAGTACTGTGGGCGACATCGATTATACCAGCATGGTCTTTGGCCTTCCATCCATCAACAACCTCTTCGCCCGCTGGTTCAGTCCAAACCCGCCTTCGTACGAAGATTCAATAGCCATCCCGCCAGACCCTCCCGAGCTTTCCGCTCCGGCCCTCGTCGAGTTTCTCGCCTCCCATAATTTGGACAAGACATGTCCGAAAGCATCTGGAAAGCATACATGTCTGAGAAATACTTTCAGTCGCCAGAGTCTCCGTGCTGCCAGTATATATAGTACAGGGTAAGCACAGGTAGAGTCGGGCAGGCAACCCACGCGGTGAACATGTTGTCGACGTTCCACGCAGTCATCCACCATGACCATCATGTGGTCCGTTGTGCCTTCGTGGCACTAGTCTGCTATGAACTTTTCACGTTGAAAAGAGGCAAGTGCTCAAGTTCAAAGTGTGCAGGAGCTGCATTATACAATAGCGCTATATACGTTACCACTGGCTCGTCCGCAACCTTTGTCGACACACCATCTTTTGCCTTTACAACTAACCAAGCATCTCCCGGCCCTCTCTTGGACGTCCACAGCTCCAACAAACCAAGTCTGTCTTTACAAGAGTCACGGCTCAAACCTGGCGGCGAGCGGGTGATACGTACAAGTGACAGAGATGGCCTCGCAGAGCGATGGGTATCCTTCGATTAGGTAGATTTATACAAGGAAAGCGAGTCGGCAGTCGAAAGTGAAGTGCGAAGACTGGGATATTGCTGTCTCGCCCGGATGTCGAATGTGATGAAATGTCGAAATAGTAATGACTTCTACGCCACAATACCGCTCTCCAGCCCAAACAAGTCCAATCCAAGATCTCCCCTCAAATTTCCATTCCATATCTCCTCCTTGACCTCTTGTCCTCCTTCAATGCCATCCACCAACACCCTCATCGCCTCATCCCAGTGCGCCCACGCGCCCTCGCCCCCAGAGAACCCTTCCAGCTGCTCACTACCATACTCGAACGTGGGTACGGTGATATCCAGCCCCGCTGCTTTGCCAGCGCCACAATCACCCTCGCCACCTGCCTCAATCGCCTCTCGTCCCTCGCCAACGCCACCGCCAAAGAACGCATTGAAGTAGCCCCCCTCGCCCGCTGCAGGGCCGCATCGAGCTTCCCTCGTGAGAGAGCGGCTGATGAGGTCACCACTACTGCCGAGTGGCAAGCGCTGGGGTTCAATGATTCTTGACGAGACGCAAGGTTGGTATGAGAAGTGGGGAAAGATGGGACAGTGGGCGGGAGGCCGGGAGAGAGTGTAGAGGACAGGCCGGAAGTCGTCGCGGCGGATGGAGAGGTAAAGACGGAGAGCCAGTCGATGGGCGCATGGGACGACAGGTTTGCCGGGGGCTGACTTTGTCCACTGAGGTTGGCGACAGCGACGACCTGCTTGACCAAATTCTCTAGCAGCGTGACTCTTTGCTTCAATGCCGCATTCTCGGCCTGAAGCGAATCCACTTGCCCGGTGGTAGACGCCATTGTAGGGCTGTGAGACAATGGCGATGGCTCAAACGAATCCTTGACATCTGCGGGGGGAGGAGCAACAGACGTTAGGTTGACGCCCCCGCCAACTAGCTGAGACGGCAAACCCAAGTCGTGCGCGAAAGAAAACACATCGAGATCGGATGACGTGGCAGGTGACGCTGATGGAAGGGTCGAATGGGAGACCAGTGGTGTTGTAGAGGTGTTGGGGTTGCTCTTGAGAGCCTGGTTCTCGGCTTCCAGCTCGATGACACGTTTCTCTAGGTGTTGCAGATGCAGTTTACGAGCATTTCTCGATCTTTGAGCCGATTGTCGATTGCGTATCACCTTAGGAGGATCATCAGTGGCAAATTCGAGCGTGATGCACCGCGCAGCTCACCCTCGCCTCTTTGCGGGCAATCTTGGCACGCTCATCATCACCCCCCTCATTATCACTCGTCCCGCTATCATCGCCCATGTCGGTAGGGCTGACCGAAGCATGCCTAGGTCGTTTGAGAGTCTGTGATGAGGTGGCGGGGGAGGGGCGTTTGATGGAGGGGGAGGGGGTGGCGAGGAGGGCTGCGGACATTGTGGAGATGAATGACAGGAATACGGGGATGGTGATACAACAGAAAGGAAGAAGATGGGAGGAGATGGTGGGTGGCGAAAAGGCAAGGAAAGAAAAACATCGACATCGCGCTGGAAGAAGGCTGTCGACGTGGAACCAAAGCGGACACCAGGACCTGGTTCCTGGAAGCTTTCTTTCTGTCCGGTCGTTGCGGACCACCTTCAGCGAAACCCATTACCCATGTACAGATTGGTACAGATTATATATGTAGCTGATACGGTACCAGTAGTCACCATGGGACAGTCTCACATGCACTCACCAACGGCAATCAAGGAAACAGAGCGGTGGCGACCACTCCTTCACGACTTCATCACATTGCCGGTGAAATCCGAGAAAGGAGTTCTGGCATCTCCCATACTGATTGACAGACATACAAAAGACATCATTGTAGACATTCTCCCGCCATTGGTTCTTCCAGTGAGCAGCAGGGCCCGCCAATCAACAGCTGGTTCTCACAAGAACTACAGCGCATCACAAAGGACACGAGAACAAAGCTCTATCATGTAACATCAACAGCCCAGCTATAAATCCGGAGTTCCTTGTCGCCAATTTGTATCCTAGAGCAGTACAATCACGTTGAAACCAAGAACGCTCCCCCTTTATACATTCAAGATGCCGAGACCACTTCCACCGCTCCTTCTTCCCTCGACACCAAGGAAAGCCACCAAATTACATCATTCACTCCTGATAGTCGTATCGTGGGCGCCTCTACTGGTCAGCCAAAGCACATGTGTTATTGTGCTATGCACCTCAGTCCTTCAACAGGGGGAGAGCCTTCATGGAAGGGCGGTCTGCCATTGACCAACTTCAAGGGACAGACTGCGCGTGTACGACAGCGATAGAAAGCCCACGTTGCTTGAAGTAGACATGCTCAGGATCTGCAATCAAACTCAGCTTCCGAAGTGACGAGCCCGATGATGATGAACTTATAGGCAACGTCACTAAAAATGATCTTGAAGGCATGGGTCTTTGGCCTGCCTATCGCGACGGCTTCAAAACTGCCACAGGCGCTGAGACCGGCTTGCTCGTTGATGGAGAGTTTGTCAACATGTATCAAGGCGTCCCGATCATGGAGGTTGACCGCACACATATGATTGATAGAGATACATACAATGCGGCTCACTATGACTTCTGGAGGACGAATGTCTGGAAAGAGGAACTGGTGGAGCAAGTGGAATCAGGAAAGTTGAAATTGTGGTGGTGAGAATGACCGTCTGTCTTTAGGGCTATGTGGTCGATTGAGAAGACCCCATAGTCATGCACATGCTTCTCCGCTCACTAGGGGTGACTGTCTATGAATCATTTGAGCGTTGCCCAGGTGGCCTTGACTTGCAATGGATACGTGCATCTGCATTATATTATTGCTGTGCACGGCTGTAGGCGGCGGAGGCCGCATCTCGAGGTGTGTTTGGATCAGATTGTGCCAGTGGAATGCATAGTGCTATTGCTATTGCTATTGCCATTGCGACCTGCACCCCCAGCCACGGGATCCCACCGCAGCAGCCCACTATGCCAGCCACAGACGCGGCTCTGCCGAGGCGACGTGAGTGCCGCATCTTCCGCCGCTTATCTCGACTTTAAGCTTACTCGACCCCCTCGTAGGCCAGAACGTTGCATGCGCAACTTGCAAGCTACGACGCGTAAAGTGCGACCTGTCCGCTCTCCTCCAATGCCACACCTCCCCCCCTTCGGACCCAGGCCCGTCTTCTGGCACGAGCGCATCTGCTCCAGAGCCGTCCTTGGCCGACCTCATACGCCGAAACCCAGAAATTCACTGTACAAATTGTACAGATAGAGACATCATCTGCAACAAAGACGGGATACTCAATCCCTCGAGGACAAAGCAAAAGGGAAAGAGAATCACAGAGGCGAAGCGTCGATATGGAGTGAACGAGCAGGGTGGTACAGCGATTGCAGCCCCGACTTGCTCTGCCTCGTCTGGCACGTCGCGCACCAGCCACTCGCCTGTCGCTCCCGAGCCAGATTTCAACCCCTTTGATGGCTCACGGCCAGATCCATACCTCGCCCAGGCGACACGAGAGGACCTTGAACTGCCTTCCCTAGACTATGATTTCTCCCCTTCGACACTACCTTCGAGCTTCATGCCCGAGCCCCTGGGTCCGCCTCCACGCCCTCCTCCAACTCAGGTAGAGTTTAGTGGGCAGTATTTCAATGCTATCACTGTACCTCGAAACTCGGAGGCGGCGTCGATATGGTGGCAGTTTGCCAATCAGCCACAAGAGACCATGGCGCATATCACCAGGACCGGCAAGACGCCCCAGGCATCACCTGCTGTCGAATCTGCCACCAGCTTGTGGGATTTAACTACATTGGGAGGACAGGTCATGGATCACGTGGGATCATTCGCAAGTGCCCCCTCGCTGACCCCCTTGGAAGCTACCGCCCTCGACCGGTCAGCCTTCGAACGGTCTCGCGAGGCTTCTTCTGTCAATCTTGATCCCTTTGTTACCACCAGCCTTCAGCGAAAAAGACCCCGCGAGCCCTCATCGAGCCCGACCACTAGCAGGAAGACGTTGGCCCAAGAGCACGACCCATGGCAGCTATGGATGGGAGACGATGAATCACGAGCTATGTTACTTTGGGGTAGGGCAGAGGATATGCAGGAGAGATTGGCGAACAGGGCCCTGGGTACAGAGCTCAGTAGGCACCTGGTAACCATGTTCTTCCAAGCGGTCCACTATTCTTTCCCGGCGAGTCGTTTGCCTATAGTCAGCGGGCGATGCTAATCCAGACGACGCAGGCCATATCGCCCGAGTCATTCTATCTCGAATGGATGCGCGCTGGACAGCGATCGGATAGAATGACCCCCGCTCAGGAAGTACTCTGCTCGGGTATGGAAGCGTGGGGCGCGAGGTACTCTGACAACCCAATGATACTGGGACTGCAACCCCACATGGCCAGACTAGCCCCGAGAGGCGAGTCTTCATCTGTCATAGCCTGAAATCTAGCTAATTTCTCATAGTCATCATGCCAGACGGGACGGTGAGATCATCGCTCGTTTTCAAATCTAGTCTTGACATGTTCTATAGCTCAAGCCAACAGGTATCGAAAAAAGAAGTCAATGGGGCCGCGCTCGCATGCCCGCTTGTAGAGCTCTTATCGAGCGTACTCGGAGATTGGTGGATAGCACGGGCCTCATGCGAAAACCAAGCGTCACAGGTGTGCAAGCCCTTACTCTTTTCGTACAACTGCTATTCACCTCGGACGAATCAATCGGCGAGGCTAGGCTGTTGGAAGGTGTGTCCAGATACATATATGAAAAAGCGCTCATCGTTCAACTCAGCAAATACTATACAATCCACCATTCTCGAGCAAATGAGGCTTCTGGGTCTCATGTGGGGCTCGGAGCAGCCGATTGCACATGACCGCGCAGAGCTTCCAATGACCTTGACCCAAATGAGGATGAAGCAAAGGTAACGAGTTTTGGCAAAGCGTGATCATATGTACTAACAGTGATTAAGACGTCTATTCTGGACCCATGCTATCGTCGACGCATTCTGGTCTGCATCCTCTCGCTCTCCGCCGAAAATGTGAGTCGTGAGCTGAGCAACTGAAGTTCTTGGCTAACAGTGTATCCAGTCTCGATGAAGACCTAGAATCGGCCGGAAAGTGGGTACGGACCCTACGAAGCGCTTTGCCGCCCTCTTCATTTGAAGCCCTTGCATTCTTCCTAGAGTATGTGAAATGGCAGGCGGACGAGCATCGCTGACAGGACGGATCAGATGCACCTTCCGCGTCACCAAAGTCGTCCGTGGAGTGGCATTGAAAATGGCCATTCCGAGCAAAAGGAAGGGTGCAATAGATGTAGAGCAATTCTGCAGGGACGCAAGAAATGCCTGGAAAGAAGCGGTCAGTGTCAGTCATCACCCAGCACTTCCTTTTGCTGATCGCATCTATGGCAGGACTCTATCACTGATGAACTCAACCGACACACGTCTCACGCGCTCAATAGCTGCTCCAAAGATGAGATTCTTGGTTTCTCGCCCTTGAATGTAGGTAGAGGCTTCTATACCGGGCACTCTACTGATCCGGACGCAGTTCTTTTTCAATCTCCGTCTCTCAGTCGTTTCCCTCCTCTTTATCACGCATGACCTTATCCGCGAACAGCTCGAGTTCCGCAAAACCCTATCTTCCGCGTATATCGTTGCGAGCGAGGACACAGAGTCTGTTATGGGAGGCGATGTGCCAGAGATTAGGAGGATATGGAAGGCTGCGCAGAGCCATCTGGAGATGATGCAAGCGCTAGACCGGGAGAGTGTGGATATGTTGCTGAGCACCTGTAGAGGCCAGGTGCACATGTTCAAGGTGAGTATCGGTGGGATACGGGGATACACAGACTGACTTTGGCAAAGACGGCTATGCACACCGGCATCATGCAAAGTAAGGGTTTGATTATTTCATGCTGGAATTGGAATTTGACGCAAGCTTAGCGGCCACTCTCATATTACGAGTGCTTATATTCACTACTAAGTTCCTCTGTGGAGTGCCTACAAACGAGCAAGGTTATCCGACAAGCACTGTAAGTAACTGTATTGACGTACTGTACACGGGCCACCATCTGACCAAGGCTCAGCGAGGCGGACATGACTGGACATGGGCGCGGAAGCAGGAGGAAGTGGGACATTGCGTGGAAGCTCTATACCAGATCGTGAGTATCGGCCAGTGTGATCTTTGTTCCTTTGCTGACCACCATCCAGGGATGGGGTATGTCTGATGAGCAAATACCTATGTGTGGCAACTGACCTTCTATAGCTTGGGGTGATGTAGGACCTGTCCTCGATGACATTGAACGGACCATGGAACGACACTCGCGGACGCACGAGGAGCTGTCAATGTTTCAAGGCATCCTACAAACCGCACCAAAAGAGACATCAGAGGCTGAAGGAGCGAGAGAGAGGAGACAGGAACGCAAGGAGAGTGATGAGAAGGCGATTGAGGCTGTGATGCGCTTCTGGCCGCCCATGTGAGTCTTGGTGGTCAATTCGGCTGGACGCACGAGTTGATATTTACAGATCTGTGCCCCAATTGATCGAGGAGGCTATCAGCCCGAGCCATCATCGGTCCCCGAGCTCACAGTCTTCCAGCTCATTCCAAGCCGGTCCCATTGCGCTTATTCCAGCGCAGTTCTCGGCAGTCATGTCATCGCATGGCTCCCTATCTGCGGCTTTCTCGCACGGAAACCTCGAGGTTCCAAGAGCGACGCCTCCCTTACACCACTTTAGCCCTGCCGCTGTGCGGACTACTGCGACTCCTACCCCCGAATCGTCTTCCCATCAGACTATCTCGGACGATGCGTTCCCCTCACAGCCCGACTTCGACGAATTCTTGAAATTTCTCAGTGCCACCGAGGATGCCACTGGCGACGTATGGCAGGGGGCGCAGAAGCCGCATACACCCATCGTGGGCGATCCCAACGGCATGTTTGCTGCAATGATTCTTCAATGTGCAGAAAGGTCTGACTCAAATAACAATTTGGGCGGCGCCGGGCAGATACCAGCAAAGTCGTCTGTGGAAGGTGCCAGTGATGATGTCAGTGTGGAGAGTATATTGAACGAGCTAGAGATGGGCGGCTTGCAACAGATGGGAGCTTCCGATAACTGGGAAGCTTCGTTCACGGCCAAGTTTTTCGAGACCGGAACTAAGGGGGAGGGTACGGGGCAGTAGAGTGGCCCGTTTTGTATATAATAATGCACATGTGTGAACAGATGTCACCTATACAAAGGTGTTCGGTGATACCATTCATAGCAGCTACATTCCACGTATTGGAACGCAGAGTGGTATCAGGGTTGCCGCTATGTATGTTCTCAGGGACGAGTTAGGCGCGGAGGCGAGAGGAGGCTCCCGTCTTCGTATCCTTTCCCCTATAGATGTATTCTCGTATTATCCTCATCACCTATATCTCTCCTTCATCCATCCGCCTATTCCAGGTCGACATCTGGCGCCCCTAGCTAGATCCTCAACATAGCCGCTCCTAGGTTACGCCACCTTTCCGCCTCCTTTACAATCTGGCATTCGTTGGTGCAAAGCTTCCGGGAGGCCGAAAACCGGTGATCGTCGTCGGAGGCAAGCTGGGTGACGAGGTGACCAAGACGCCAGCTGGGGGGTGCTGTGGCGCTGGCCAATTTCTTCTCCATCGCATTCCCCTCGCCCCCCCTCGCCCCACCCACATGGACCAGTCCACAACAGCTGCAAAGAAGAAGAGGCGTGAGTACCGCCACCCAGTGCCCCGCAGCGACCTTCTCGCCCTCCCTTATGATGACTCTATCCGTATTCAAGCATGGCTGACACCCTACCATAGGCCAGAATGTCGCTTGCGATGCGTGCAAGCTACGAAGAGTCAAGTGCGATCTCTCCGCCATGCTCCAGCCGCCCGCTCCAGCCGACCCCTCCGTACTCGGCTCACCACAGCCAAGCTCTTCTACCGCACCCTCGCTTGCCGATCTCGTGCGGCGTAACCCAGGCGTGGAGTGCACCCAATGCAAGAATAAAGGAATCAGGTGCTCGACGGCTCAGATTCTCAACCCAACAAGACCAAACAAGGGCGGGCGGCGCATTGATGAGGCCAAAAAGGCGTTTGGTCGAGACGAGGTCAACCAGAATCATCGAGAAGAGACGGACCCTCTGAACGGGAGGGTGGAATCCTCAGCAAACAACTCTTTCTTACGCTCTCAATCCGATTGGGCTCATAGCCTACTGTCAACATATGGCGTGTTTGCTCCCAACAACGATACTCCCCCCAGCCACAATACCCTAGCCTTTTCTGAAATGTCTTCTTTACGAGCTACACAGGCCGACCTTGACAGTCAGAACAACGTGCTCCCAGGCTTCGCTACGGGGACCAGCGCTCCCAACCACAGCTCGCTACTTTCATCGTATCGAAGCTCGGCAGAACCCTCGTGGTATGACTCTTCTTCCAGGTCGGCGAGCATCCCGCCGATGTGGCAGCAGCCGCCTCATTATTACCATTCAGAACCTTTGGTAGATCCTAATGCCACCCGAGAAGCTTCTCTACTTTCAGAGCCTCGCGAAACTGGTCACATCGACTACGCACAGCCAACTACAATAACTCCTTTCTCTGGAACAGGCATGACCAGCGGTGTCGGCCTGTACCCCAATGGTCTTGGTCTCTTTCCACATAGTCTTTCGGGCGCATTCGACCACCAGGCCCGTCATCTTACTGTGTTACCTGCCGAACATCCTCTCCCGAGGGCCCCTGACGACAGCTCTCACATTTCCTGAGCCGACTGGAGCAACAGCTCTATAGAGACACGTGGCCTCAGTGCTACCCAGCGGGAGCTGAGGTGGGGCAGGGCGGATGGCGTCCAGGAGAGCCTGGCCGATACAGCGCTGGAAGTAGAGCTCAGTTGACACTTGATCAAGATTTTTTTCCAGGCCGTGCACTACTTTTTACCAGTCAGTACTTTGAAAAAATCATACTGGGTCACTTTCTCATTCTGATCACAGGCTATATCACCTGAACAGTTTTATCTGGAATGGAAAAGAGCCGGACAGCGCTCAGACGCAATGTCACCCGATTAAGAAGTTCTTTGCGCCGCTTGAAGCGTGGGGTGCACAGTATTCAGACTCGCCCATTGTGCTAGGCCTGTCGTCAGCCACTTCTGCTCCCAAAGGTGAGTCAATTGTCACATCGACGTACATGCATCCATTGACCTTTCAGTGATCGATTCAAACGGGACTGTGGGTTGGTTTCGACGCTCGATGTTTGTTGTTGCTGACCATGGAGGTTGCTTCAGTTTGCTCCTGCCTCTGAAAACTGTGTGTCGGTCAGCGCATATGCTTGAAACCACGATCCTGGAGCAGATGAGATCTTATATTATGTACAAATATTACCACTAGAGCGCATGTATTTATTTCGACAATCTTGTTACGCAAAATTGCCTGTCTGAGATGTTGGGATTTGTTACTCTAGTCAGCATGACGAATTTGCTCCAGTCGACATGCAAGATTTGCTCTATAAAGGAATGTTGACCTTTTCATAGTAGATGTCGACGAGCTAGGCGGGTCGGTACAAGAATGCAGGTGTCTCGAAGAGGTATATGCATGCTTGCAGTATGATCATGTATGTACCACTGAATGCACTCAACACAGCTCAACACAACACACAACTCAATTCAACCCAACCGTTGACGTCAATCGAGAAACCTTATCTTATCTGAGTCGAAAACAGGATCCGGGCCTCCACACTTGACAAAATGAAGTAATTTCTTGACGCAGAACCAACTCTCGATACCATTCAGTACGCTGTGCCCACCCTGTACGTTTTCAAAAGTAAGCAAAGACACAAAATAGACATACCAGATGACGATCAAGTTACATGTTACAGGCAGGAGTTTTAATGGTACTTTTGATATCGAGGTAATTACGCGCTCTTTGAACTTTTACTTTTTGGTGGAGTATTCTTTTGTATTATGTAAAAGAAGGTTTGTTGTATGGGTACGATAGATGCGAGAAGGCGAAGATGCTGAAGAATGAAAATCTAGTTGGGAAGGATGATGGTAACGCCTCCATTCTCAGTATCGAAGCGCAAGCTTTTGGCTTTGTCAGTAGGCTCTTATTGGAGAAAGAAAGGAGGCTCACGAAGACAGGTCGTCGACAATCATATGTGCGCCGAGGCCTTCGAGCGCTGTACGAGGGTGACTGGTGCAGACAGCGATGACCTTGGCCCCTGAGCTTACACCAGCCTTGATACCCGTCGGCGCGTCTTCGAAAACGACACCTGTACATGACGTCAGCCACCCACCTGATGTATGACAGTCAGAGACTCACACTCTGTGGGATGCAAACCGAGGGCAGCGGCACCCATGATGTACGGCTCGGGGTGTGGCTTGCCGCGGGTGACTTCGTCGGCGGTGATGAGGTGTGATGTCTTGGGGAGGTCGAGGGTGTTGATGGCGTTCGTCGCGTATGCGTTGGTGGCTGTACCCGTAGTCAGGAGATGTAACACGTCCCGAGGGATGAGACATACCAGAAGTGACGATAGCCCAACGGGCATTGTCATCGGCGGGCGAGCTGAGTGAGAGGAGCATTTTTTCCACACCGGGCAGGAGGGTGATGCCACCCTGGCCTTCGCGGGCCAGTCTCTGGGATTCCAAGAGGACATCGGATTCAAACTTTTCCGTGGCAGCCTGGGAGTTGGAGTCAGTGTGGAGCTCTCTCTGAAAGGACCGACGACGGACCTCGAGCGCAATGGGGTCTGTGATCTTGAGCCAGTAGCGCAGGAGGTCCCTGGTGCGTATGCCGTGGGAGGCTAGCAGGGTCAGCTGGGCCGTCTGCGACAGAGGGGACGCACTCTTGAAGACCTCCTCGAGGTTGACGGGGTACTGCTTTGCCCACTGGTGCCATACGGCCTCGCAGACGGGGGTGGAGCCTGGGGGGTGAGCGGGGTGAGCGGGGTGAGCGGGGTGGGGGCGGGGTGGGGGCGGGGTGGGGGCGGGGTGGGGACTCACTGATGAGGGTGCCGTCGAGGTCGAAGAGGATGCCGGATGCTCTGATGGTGGACATGATGCTGGAACAAGAGGGGGGATCAGGGGCCTGTTATATAGAGTCGTGGCGATCTGTGGGCCCCTTTGAGTGTGGAGGCGAAAGGAGGGCGTGTCCTGGCAACAAGGTTCGGCTAGCACCGTTTCACTTTCGTCATCTCGCGCTCGGACCCCCCGTCTGACACCATCTCGGTGTCCCACAGCCCGGACGCATCCCGCACACGCAGCCCACGCTCGATCGCCAGCTCGGACCACCCCGCCAGCTCAACGCCCGAAAAGTGCGGCCGAAGAGCACGCGAGAACGGGAGCAGATACAGCCCTGCGTTCGTCAGCCCCGTCCAGTAGTCGATGCAGCAACGCACTCTTGCATGCCCCCAGCGACGCCACAGCCCGGTAGCAGAGCTGCTTGGCCGAGGCAGCGCGGCCCATGTGCACCTCGAACTCGATGTACAGCGTCCACAGCGCAGCACAGTAACGGCCGCTGTTTGTTCGGGCGAGATAAACAAGCACGCGCGATGGCAATCATTGATTGGGCACACAGGCAGTCAGTTACAGTCCCCATCACATCTTTTTCACTCACCGACTCGAATTTACACCCTTGTCGAGGGCCATCCGCACCCGCTCAGCCCCGCCCCCGCCAGCGTCCCAGAATGTCCGATGCGCAGCCACCGCCTCCGCCCACACCGCCCACAGATACCCCACCACCCCTTTCCCCTCAGCGTTGGCCGACGACTCCGCCGTCATCTCTCCAATCAGCCGCTGCACCCGCCCATACACTCGGTTGTGCAGCTCCCCGTACATGTACAGCGATAGCAGCGCCGTGTTGTTGGAGAACGCCCCGAGGGCGCGTTCGAGCACCTGACGGGAAAGGTAGGCAGGCATCGAGGGCGTGAATGTGGCGTGGCGGAACATGATCTGGGAAAGGAGTTGCAGTGCCTCTTCACATTCACTGCTCGACGTGGGGTGGGCGGACGAAATGTCGAGGAGGGCATCGCATGTCGTGTCGATACCGTCGACAAGGTACGTCAGGAGCGAGGAAAGGAGTAGCGCGCTCCCAGTGGGGGCAAGTCGGTGATAGTACTGAAGCGAGTCAGCGAGTTGGCATGTTGGGTGATGGTGGCGTCAGCCACTCACCTGTCGCGTCTTGAGCAGGCTCAGCGGTGAAGGGGTAGACGCTTCATAGTGACCTAGACCTGTTTAATGAGCATGCACTTTACTGTGTATACACTTACTGATTCTGTCCTCTCCAATCCCCGCAGCCATGACCACAACGTCCAAGCACCTTTTCTTGTCCCCCTCCTCAAACTCCATCTCTGCCCATCCTGCCCAGAGATCCATCTCGTCCTCCGTCTTTTCTCTCTCCTCTCTCTCTTGTTTAGCAGCCTGCAGTGCGGTGATATAGACTGTCCGGGCTGTCGATGCATTTCCGCGCTGACGTTCAAGTCGGGCATAACCATCCCACAGCACCAGATTGGTACGATCCTGCGAAAGAATGGATTTGGCCGCTTTGATAGCACTATTCGTTGTCAGCCCTGTCCTTGTTCGACAGGTACCTACTTCTTGGGCGAGAGGGCAGCTTCAACGGCAAATCCAGCGAGCGTAAACCCAGGATCGGGCACCAACGGTCCCATGATCCTAAACACCTCTCTTACAACCTCCACGTCCACCCCTTCCAAATCGATCCTCTCCAAATCCCTAAACCACGCCCCGCTCCCGGTGCTCTTGGCAAACAACGTCGAGCGCGTCTGTGCCCAGTTCTTGACGGGGCAAGAGAAGGGCGACGAGATGGAGAGCGGGCGTTCCGGGTCCATCGGTTCGCCAGCGACAGTCTGCCAGTGTATACGTTTGACCGACGGCTTGGGCGGCCAGAACGTCATCCTTGCACTTTGGTTGGCAGCAAGCAACCATTGGAGATGCGGATCCGCATTTGCCGGTGAAGCGCTCGGGACTCCTGGAGGCGTGAACGGCAGCCCAAGAAAAGTAAGAAACGCATAGATGAGCTGCAGCCGTGCCTCGGGCGAAAAGATGGGAAAGAGAAAGGGAGAAAGGTCGGAAAAGACGACAATGTGGAAAGGGTCGTCTTCAAGCTCATCGTCTAGATCTGTCGCGCGCCCAGGTCGGGCAAACAACGTTTCAGCTCGCAGCTCGGTCTCGAGCCACCTCTTGTACGGATCCTCGGACTTGTACACCAGTGGATCTCGCAGGACAGAAGGAGGCGGTGGCGTATTTGCCGGGGTATTGTGCCAGCCCATAGAGCCAGGCTCACCTATTCTCGGGGCTTCCGAGTCCCAAAATTCTTCAAATGTCGATGTGACCGAGGTGAACCACTCTTCGCGTTGCGATGGATGTGGTTGATGGCGAAGGTGGTCCGGTTTGAAGAATGTACTGTAGAATCATCAGCTCAGCCAAGACGATTCTTGTCACTTACATTTCCATGAGCGCTTGGAATGCTGCAAGTGCTCTTTCCTGGTATCCTGCCTGCTTCATAAAGAGACACGCCCTCAAGAATAAATACACGAGATTTTCCTCTCTCGCCAACGCATCCTCACCCATCCCATTTTTCAACCTCTCGATACACTCCACGTAAACATCCGTAACTTCGTCCACCCCACCACCACTCTCCTCCCCATCGCCTTTCCCAAATCCTTGTCCTTCCCTCCATTCAATATAGCCCAGCCAAAGCTTCATCATACCTTCTTCCAGCCCTGGTCTACGATCGCTGGCTTGGCCGAGCTCCCGGAGAACATTCTTCCATCGCTCAGTGACCTTACGGCCGGGCCAGATCTTTTCGGCGGAACGGATATACGCCAGATGAAGTGAGATAGAGTACCCATTCTCTGGTGTCGCGTTCAGAGCTCGAGAGAGGATAGAGAGTGTCACTTCTGCCTGGGCTTTGGTCGTTGCAAGTCGAGTCGGATCGATGCCCGGGACTCTCTCTGCCTCGGGCGATAGTTGAAGGTGAAGCGTCGAATACTCGATCCAGGCATCTTCGTCCCCCGGTTGTTCCTTCAAACGCCGCTCCATATCTACCGTTTTCTTTCTCACTTCCTGCTCTGCGGTAGCAAAAGATCCGATAGCATCTTCCACCAACTCATACTCGCCGCCCTTGCCTTCGTCCGGCAAGTCTTGGTGGGTGATACTCCGGTAGCTAGGGAGGTCTGGCTCTTCCAGTCTCTTGGGGCGAGAGTCAAATGCGACAAAGGAAGTATCATAGTCGAGTTGTCGGTCAGAAGATGGGGGAAGGAGGATACGGTAGATGTGGGATGTGGCGGAGCGGATGTGTTTGTTGTACCTAGGGACCTATACATACTGTCAGCTATGCTTACGTGTCCATTGAACTATCTCACATAAGGACGACCTTTCGGGGCAAGCTCGATACCCTTCTGAGTACGATCTCGAGAGTAGACGACGCGTATACCTTCGTTCCAGCCCATCACGCGGTTGTCTGTAACGATCAGTCTCTGACGAGTCTACAAAAGAGACACTCACTTCCATCTCTGTAATACCTCGGAGTAGAATGCGAAGTAGTTGCTCCATACCTAACAATATCTCTGTCTCCAGCAGTATCCAGAAAAAGCGCTTTAGACTGCCATTCATCAGCCAAGATCGTCGTTGGACAAAGGGACTCACAGGATCATACGACTTGTCACTACTGCCGACCTTCTTTCCGCCTCCCAAAGTCTCATACCAGGGCGTACCATCGTCATCGTCCTTCACCCACCTTTCCTCACTCTTCTCTCTCTCTTTCCTCTTGCTAGTCCTTTCCTCTGGCCGCTTGACATCGCCTCGGACAAGAGCCTGAGCTTCCTCGCGTTCCCGCCTCCGGCGCTCCTCCTTCTTTCGACCTTCTGGTGATTGATCTCGGTGGCTATCCTTTTCATGCCGGTGCCGGTCGCCGCGCCGCCGTTCTCTGCTCCGGGAACGTTCACGCTCACGCTCGCCATGTCGATTTCTTCGCCGCCTGTCAACCCTTTCTTCTCGCCCATCTTCCCTATCTTTCCTCTTTCGTCGATCTCTCTTGTCCAGATCTTCTCTTTCATTATCCCTCTTTTGTCTATGGCCATCATCTCTTGAAGACAAGGAAGGTCCCGGGAGGTCGGGGAAAGATGAAAAGGTTGGGACATGTTCGGCCTGCGGGTCCTGTCTTGCCTTACCGCTGGCAGCAGGGAAGTCGGGGAAAGAGGAGAAGGATGGAGGAGACGCCATCCCTGCCCAAGAGTCGTTCAAGTCGTAAAGATGTGAATGCGTAAGATTCTCTGAGGGGATATGATGTTCTTATTGCCATGCGGTGACCTGCCTCCACTTGAGAACGGAACCAAATTTCAGGTCACCCATCACCTCTATCATATGTCTATCATGATGCTTGTTTCTCCTGAACAGCATCTCACATGTCCAGCAGCAACATGTCATTCACCCCCACATCGCATTCAACACCAACAGACAACACTGCGGAGCCGTTGGTCGACAAGTCCGAGCTGCCGACCATCGAGCTCAGCTTTTCCTCGGGCCCTAATGGCGCATGGGACGACAGGGAGCTTATTAATGCTGCCAACTCTGCCATGAAGGAATTCCACGTAAGCATTAGCCAGACTCAAGGTATAGTCGCTAACTTGCATATCCAGACGCATCATCCGGGACCGGGAAGCTGGCTTGACAAGGCTACAGCTGCGATGGCTATTGGCAAGCCGTTGCCCGGAGGGAACGATTACGGCACAGCGTGAGTTTCTAGTCCTGTCATCCAGTCTATAGCTCATTGTGCTATGGGATAGATGGTATACAGCTTCGACACCTGTCGTCCAAGATCCCCCTGCAGCCGCAGCCCCTCCAAAGAAGAAGCGCAAAACCAACACCAAAAAGACAATAAACCCATATGACCCTGCTGCTACCGCCTACATTTCCCAGACAAACGGACCAACTTCCATCTCTGGCCCCTCAAATGCCAACGCCCGAGCTGAGAGTCCTTCCTTCCAACCGCCCTCACCGGGCGGCACAGAAGATGCAGATGCCAAGCGAGCAGAAGAAGATGCTGAGGATGCCGAGTGGGGATATGTGGAAGAAGACTGGGAGGAGGAGGAAGGAGATTGGGAAGGAGATGGCCAAGGATGGGAAGGAGAAGTTGCGCAGGGTGCCCCTCAGGCCCCGCCGGCTTACGGCGTGCAGTCAGCAGACGGGGTCTCTCGCGAGGAGGCTTTGGGTCATGCTATGACAGCGCAGTATTGGGCGGGGTATTGGATGGGTGTTGCTCAGGCGAAAGGTGGAGAAAGCGCAAAGCCAAGAAGAAGAAAGTGTAGCGGCGAAAGAGAAGTTGGGGCTACGTCGAGTGAGCAAGCGCCACCGGCAAACATGATCATCTCCCGTCACCAATATGACGGTGTCAATGGTTTGAAGCGTTAGTACAGCCTGCCATGCAGTCTTCAGTCAACTATCGTCTACATTCGTCTCGTGTCAATCGCTGATTAACTAAAAGACTACAAGCGTTGAAACATCCCTCCACTACCGATAGTCACTGCCACTGGGCGGATAAATCAATCCACAACGCTTTTAAAGACGCAATCACGGCGGAGCGGCATTCGACACAGTCAATGGTGGTTCTAATCGCCCCCTCAATTGCTTTCCAAAGGCTGTCGTCGTCCTTTTTCGTATACCGATGGGAGAGGTTGTTTCGGAGAGCTCTTCCGCCAGACCGACTACCGGCCTCTCACCAGAATTCGGCTGTGTCACAATTACACCCGGCTCCGCCTAATTCTGCGTCTCGCTCTCTCATAAAAGAGGCCCGAGCACTTTGCACAGTCGCAAAGTTGGGGGCAAGATACTGCTCGGAAAGGCGAACCTGTGATGCGACACAGAAAGGGCTCAGCCGATGTATGTCTCTCAAGAGTGCAGAATAGGGAGGATAGTATCTGTCGAGAATCGACAATATGATGTCTGGACAGAAAAGATCGATCCGCGTATGAAGAGTGGTCTTTGCGATTGCTTGAGCAGCTCTCTCGTCCCCGTCAAATGCGGCATAAGGATACTGAAGCCAGATTGGCTTTTTTTGCTGGGACAGTGGAGCGGGCCTGGCTGGAGAAGCTCGAGAAACCATACTGGTCGGCGATCTGAAAGGCAGAGGCCAGGTCCTCGAGACTCTACTTCCGAAATTGTTCAGGACGACAAACCTTTCGCCTCTTGTCGCAGTAGTGGGGCCAGCTCTGAGTCTCCTTGACTTTGAGTAAGACGACTCGTAAACCCTTCGACATTGCCCCAGGCATTTCTCGGCGCAGAGCACCGGTGCCACCATGCCCATGTCCTCAATAATACCGATGTCTGCGACCATATCCTCAAAATCAGAAAAGAACTCGGAGTGCTGCAAGAGACGAGCTCTGTCTGTCAATATAGAAGCCGACGTTGACATCGGTGACCAGTAGGAAATCGTCGCCCGTCTGAACAGAGGAATCAGGATGCACGGAAGAGGGAAGCTGCTCGGCGGAGGGGACTCGCTTCAGGATCGGGGATACCACAGCGTCGCGAGTGTCTTCTCAAGGCAGGTCAGCGCTGTCTTGCAGAGGGCTCATGGTTAGAAGGAAAGCGAGTTTCAAAAGGCTCACCAATGGCCGTGGTGATCGTGCCCGCAACCCGTGACTCTGCGTCTGGGCCGATAGGAGAAAGAAGCATGGGGAGAAGATATCAGAAGAGCAGCGGCGCAGATACTCAAAGCCTGAGTATCTGGTGCATTTGATTAACCATTTGCGCTTTTTTCCACCAGCGACTCGATCGATTCTTTTTCCCCTGGCATGACTGTTGAGGGTTGAGTATAAAGGGTACACACCGGGTTGGAGGAGCGGTGCAAACACAAAGGGGCTGGTAGCATTTTGTTCGAATGAATGGACCGAGAATGCGAGAGAGCCATCGAGCAGTATGGGAAACTTCCTTGAATGGAGTCGCAGCTTGGTCGCAGCGGAAACATTGACTTTGCTTATCCGCGCCACAACATGTTGAGCGATCGTTGTCCCCTTTCCGACCTTACTTCCGCCAATACCCTGAGCATGCACCAGAATGCGGAAAGATGCCTTGGTTTTAGGTATATAAGCAGGCGTGTGAAGCTAAGCAGAAGGAAGATGTTTTCTATCACACATTCACCGGCCGCGACATAAAGTCAACAGTCCACCACCATTATCCCAGACCCCCAGCGCGTCCAGTGCCAAGTATTCACCAGCCCATCATGTTGTCTCATACCTCGATACTTACTCTTATGAAAAAGATGGTCGCAAAGGCATCATCCGACAGCAAGTCTTTTCATTAGAGTGGCGATGGCTGCTGATCACATTGAGCGCAGAGGTCAAGTCGTCACCGCCCCTTGCCATGTACGTTTGCAACCCCCTCATGTGGGGTGCAGCGGACTGTCTTAAGGTCCGCACCTCTACCGGCGAGCCCCCGAAAGCCCTCTTCATGTCACGCATTGGTATCGAGAATGAGGACGCCTATGGCACTCCCTCTATTTCCGCCTACCTCGAAGCGCACGTTGATGTCTTCAGCCCGCATCCCGACGGAAATGGAGAGCAGATCAAATATTTCCTTTCTGTCATTCGAAAGAGAGTGGCAATCTACATTGCGCAGCGCAATGGCAGCCGTGGGATCGCCCGTGGCAAAATCAACATGGAACTCCGCAAAGGCAACCGTTTCCTGAAGACTGTCATTAAGAAGGTACTGGGCGCGTCCAGCAAGGACTTCGTCCATATAGAAGCCTCTGTCGAGGACGAAGAAACGACTACACCCATCTTCAAGAGCTCACGACCTTCTCCAAGGAGCGTCAAGGAGGACAGCATGCTATCTGTTGATGAGGTCAAGGTACTCTTGCACAGGCCCTCGTGCGAGCCTCTCATCTAGCTCTGAAGATGTCCCACTGTTGTCCAAGGGTTTCAGGGGGGATAAGAACATGGGCGTGCAAGCTGTACAGCATGATCGGACAGGACTCGAAATCAGCTGCTTCTGATCAGCTAGCGTATTTTGTTCATTGCATCGTATGCCTTTCGAGCGTATCTGGTCGCGCATGCAAGGGCGTTCGATCCTGGGACCTCAGTTCCAGATCGTCATATACATTGTAGTGGCCCACAGCCAATCTAAAAGCCTATCCAAAGACCTTGCCCAGAGTGTTTTTGACTGCCCCACCAACGAGCTGCCCCCCGATACCGCCCATCCCAAAGCCGAACAAATTGCCTGAAGCAATCCCGCTCGCCCACCGTTTCTGCGCATCTCGGTCGGCGTAGGTGAAGCCGACCAAATTGGAGAGATTGAAAACCAGGGCGAGAGCGACTATGGGCAGGAAGCTGAGGGTCGCTGTCAGCTCTGGGGCAAATCGAAGAAGCGCAAGGGACACACGAGACGCTGAATTTGAGGAGTGACACGATGAAAAGGGCCAGCCATCCTAAGGGGTACGCGTAAAGCGCGATCTGAAAGGCTGTCAGTTTATATTCGTACTAGTCCAGGGAGAGCTCCATACCCAAAACATTCTAGAGATGAGGTCAGCTTCTATCGAGAAACTACGCATGATCACGAAACGACTCACTTGGCGTCCACAGGGTTCGCTGCTCTCGATGGCTATAGGGTGCAAAGTAAGCTCACAATCTGTACAAAGCAGAGATGAGGGCCTCACGTCACGGCACTCAAACACCCAGGAGCTTTCGCCTTCCTCGTCGACTTCATTCCAGTACCTCAGTCCCACAAGCGTTCTTCCTGCCACATTCTACACGTCCGTTAGTCAGATCACGTATAGTAGATACCAAGATCAGAAGCGTACCCTGGTATTCCAGAAATCTAGTGACAAGAGCACTACGACCATTACAATCTGCTGTGGGCGTCAGCTACGGCTCTCGCACTGCCATCAAACATACACTCAAGACGTAATTATCGGTGACTGCATGATCGTCAGCTTCAATCATGTACCTTTTGAAATGAATGAGCTCACAGAGACCACAAAGGACATATACGGCGATAGCAGCACTCCTGAACAGAAACAGAACGGCCAAAGCCATAGGATGGCTCGACTGTTTCAGGATACCCCTCTGTCTCCTCGTTAGCTCTTCATTAAAGCTTGATTACAGATGACTCACGATCCCTCCTTCTTCGGCACTTCCCAGGCTGGTCTGTACTCCTCCAGCTTGAGTCCCCGGTACAAGGACGACCCGCTCAGCCGGCGGACGTGCTGTTGACGAGGACGAGCCGATGTTGCCCTTGGGGACAGAGGGGGCGGTGTCGTCGTCGGGTTCGATGCTTCCGGAAAGAAGGGGCGCCGAGAAGGACATCAGGATAGCACTGTTGGTATAGAGGAAAGTTGACTTACCGACCCTTGTCTGCTGGACGCGTCGTGCAAGTGGAGGTGGTTTCCGGTGGCACCCCACTTAAATTTCCTCCTGCATCATCATTTCCTTGCATCTCTTCCTGAGGGTCGTCTTGGGGTCGTCTGTGGGCAGTCTGTGGGATATATGCGTAGTGCCGAGAGGAATGCTTCTCTACGTTTTTTTTTTTGCCCATCGGTTCAAAGTGATAACATGCAAAATCAGGTTCGATGTTTCAGCTGTTACAGTAAAGTGTAGACTAAGCTACTGTAAGGCGAGGTCGGGAACAATCGGAAGCTGCCGGATATCTCCCAGACTACCACGCGACCAACAAAGCCAAATGGGGCGACTGTAAATTGACAACTGGTAACGGAACAGCGATCAGCGATACAGATTAATGCATTTATCCGCCGACGGATAATGACGAGTCGACGACGGACGTCGAGGTACTTGTATCGTACTAGTAATACTGAGAACGGGTCGACGACCCGTCAGGCATATATCACTGCCTCTTGAGTACCTCTGGAGCTTGACAGTAGATGTAGAGTTGGCTAGGCATGCTCGTATGTATAGTCGATACCGGAGGGTGACAGGTCGGGCTGGCGCGCAAAAGAGCTCATTTGACACTTGGGCAAATCAGACTTCTTTGGCCCCGCGAAGCTCCTTCAAAGCTTTGATTCCACCGGCGATCTCCTTGCATTTCCTTTGAAACAGTCAGCCTCTTGGACGGTCTTCTAGATGAATACACTCACCAGCGCAAACGTTCCGTCTGCTTTTTCCTCTCCTCCAGCTCCTTCTCCATCAAAAGCACTAGTGTGGCCTCACTTTGCGCGGCACGTAGCTGATTGCTAGCTACCATCATGTTGGCCGTCAAGTTCGTCAAATGTTGCATGTACTTTTGGGGTGCATCAGCGACAGATCCAGTATGGGGCATGATACACTTACCTGATCGCCTTCGTGCGCCCATCCGCTAGCTAACAGTTCATCGGGGGTACGCGCAGTCATTGACAAAGCATCAAGCAGCATCAACAGTGTGTGCAGGAAAGAATGCAAGAGAGGAGGAAGCGATTCGGACGGGGACTCGGAAGGGTCGATGAATGGTGGAAGACCGATATCTTCTGCTGTCGGAATCTTCGGTACAGTCTAATTACGGGAGGCGGTCAGTGCGGATCCACCTGAGAGTCATACAGATGCTAGCTCACTGTGTACATTGACCCAAAGCACATCCATCTTCCGTCTTCATTGATCCAGTCCGCTCTTGGTCTGCCCAGCTTTCCCTCGAGCTCCTGCTTCTCATCTTCCTCGCTCTCGTCCAGCATTCGCTCCACAGACGCAGAGTCTACTTGTATAGCCCCACCCTCATTCTTTGCGATACCACTTCCCTGCTCCACAGTAGATGTGGAAGCTGAGGGTGCGAGGAAAGACGAGTCGCCGGTGAGGGCGCGATATCTATGCAGGGCCTCTTCGGTAAACGCCTGGAAGTAGGGGGGCGGTGGGGGGAAGAGGGTGTTTGTTATGGGAAGGCCGGCTTCTTGTGCCATCTCGGAAAGCGTTGTGAGTGATCTGGGTGAAGTGATATTTCTCGCGCAATTCACCACAACAGCAACTGAAGCGCGACAAGTTCGCACGGTTCGCAAAAGCAGGGCTACCATGGCCGCCGGTCGAAATCCACTCTGTAACATACATATGCATACTAGACATAAGGCTTGATAGAGATTGTGCTATGCTGTGAGTGCACTATATCTGATGAACACAATGCAACTTCAATCCCGAAGCGATCCCAAGATCACATCAAGACCTCTCAAGACCGGCAACGCCTCCCCGCTGGAAATGCACTCTACCATCAGTTCGCCCATCTCTTGCCAATACTGCTCTAGCCAGATTCCACTTGTATGGACTGTACTACTCAAAAATAATAATCCAGCACTGACACTTGCTGAATTTGCGTCCCTCGCAGCATCCCTGCTCTTCAGCGCGTACCTCAACTCGCTCATGATCAGTCCAGGCAAATCAGGGATCAAGCTTGGAATGGAATGCGGTTGAAGGATGCCGAGACACGACATGGTCTCGAGGACAAGAGACCGGTCGTCGGTGGCTTTGAGGGAAGTCGAGAGACTGGCGGAGAGGATTTCGGCGAGGAGAGTGTTAATGGACGTTTGGTTCAAGGGGCCGTGGCGATCGCGAACTTCGGCGATGCGTGATAGATGGGCAACTTTGGAAGGGTAGTTGAGGGTCTCGCGGTTGATGGCTGCTTTAGAGTCCTATCATCTTGGTCAGCAATATTGACGATGACGGGTGAACAGCTCACTCTACTGATGACCGGGTTTCTCTCGACTGTCCCCAAATGACCGTATATGCCACTGACCAGCGCCTTCAAGTCATTATCCAAAGTCTTGCCTCTCCCTCCACCAAACCTTGCATGTACCTTGATTAGCAGCTCATAAACATCCAGCCCCTCTTTAGGTACGCTCAAAAGGCTTGATATAGCGTTCAAGGCGGCGTGCTGGCACTCTTTGGGAATCTCTTGCGTCTTCTCGAGAAGTTCTTGGGCAAGCTGCGATTGTTGGGCGGAAGTGTAGGACTCGAAGTGGGCGAGGTTGGAAAGACCTTGAAAGATGAGGGAGAGCGTTGGGGGTTCGCAGGGACGATGGAGGCCGGTCATGATCAGTTCCTTGACAGGGCCGACGTACTTTTTGTGAAGACTGGGTGGAAGTGCAGGACTGGGCCACGGTCAGTCTTGTGAATCAGCAGAGAGCTGACTTACAGAAGGTTGCTGATGATACAAGCCTCAATGATGGCCTTTGTGGGATCGACGCTATGCAGAAAGTCAATCAAGCTGAGACTCTGTCGTATATGGCTCCAAGCTAGCGGTTGTACGATCGCCTTGTGAGCTGTCGTCAGATGCGCCAAAAGTTTAGCGGCAATGATTTGGATGGAGGGCTCCATAGATTGATGGAGGGCTAGGAGAATCATCGAGCAGGAGCTTTTGTCGAGCATACTCGCCAGAGCGGGGTTGGAGAGGACAGAAAGGGCGGTATGAACGATATATGGATCTAGGACAAAAGTCAGCAAATTATCAGGGTTTAGTGGGGTGTCTCACCGTCAGCCAACAATAGCTGGGCTACTTTGAACGTGAGACTTCGCACAACTGAGGGTGTAGCGATGATTGGGTTTGTTGACAGCTGAAGAGCGGCAACGACGACCGGCTGCCCACTGTCTTCTTCCAGACTCCACAATACTAATTTTTGGGCTTTTGCGGTCAGGTCACGATCTGGTAGATGTCAGTAAGGGCCTAGATGGATAGATGTTCACATACCGCGTAGAGGAAATACATTCAGCGCATCCAACACGCTAGCCCTTCTCGACCCTCTCCCCTCAACATCCCCTTCTTCCGCCCCTCCCTTCTCCGTGAGCAGATCATCGATGATATCCGTCAACGTTTGTATAATCCTCCTGGCAAGGTTTGGCAAGAGAGTCGCAATCATCTCCAAAAGCTCGACGTCTGCGAGGAGGATATGATGGGGCGATCGGAGGTAGTGAATCATGATATCAAGCGTTGTTGGGCCTTGTGAGGCTAGGAGACACGCCAGGAGCCTTTGGGCTGCTTTTTGGCTGCAAGGGATGTTAGCTTTGTACATGGAGCCATAAGTTTCACCTACACGGCCGGTTTCTCTTCTCTATCTAGCACCCCCAAGGCCATCTCTCCGATCTCGTCCAAGAACGGCTCAAACCTGTCCAACACAACGCTGGCCATCTGACCCAGCCCCTTGAGCCCCTCGGCCCTCAGACTCTTTTTCGTACCCAGCATAAAGTGGATGCTCATCGTAAACCATTCAGAGTCGACAAAGAGAGAAGTTTCCCAGGTCGCCAGAAGGGGGAGGGCGGAGCAGAGTGAGGCTTGTGATGCGGGTGAGAGGCGGGGACCGAGGGGGAGGAGAAGAGTGAATATGGGGATGGAGCGCATGGTTTGGGGGTACCGGTGGGCGAGGTCGTTTCGCAGCATCTGTGCTCGTGTCAGCTCTGTCTGGCGGTTGGGGGTATAAAGTACCATAGGCATATGCTCTATCAAGAAACAAGTCCAGAAGACTCCCTCTTCCGCCTTGTGCGCCTTCTGACAGAGATGCAGACTCGCGACAAAGATCGTATGGGTTGCCTGTAAGATCATTCGGCAGGATGATACTTTTTCGGAAGGACAATAGATCTTGAGAGCGCGTATGAGAGCCTCTTGGGGTACCGATTTATCCTGCACAAAGTCAGCTCGAGTAGGATGATGTTAGATTGGAACTTGCATCGCTGTCAAAAGCTGCCATTTGCACCTGCTGAAGGAGCTCTGGAAGGTGGCTCTCGAATAGAGTCGGGCTTGAGCGCTCGACACCGAGGATGATACACAGTGCCAAGTTGGCTGCTGTATTGTTGCCTCTTAAAAGTCTTGTGAAAGTGTCAGCTGCAATGCCTCGGTACGAAGGACGTACAAGTTTTCTATGGCCAACGTAACAGCTTCAGCCGTCAGGGAAGACATTGCCATCGCTTGGCCTGATCAAATCAGTCCTCGTTCAGCCGTCCAAGAGTGATATTACATACCATACAGAAAAGCAGCAGCCTGCCCTCTCTGGTCGACCTTTTGCTGGTCAAAGATGATACTCTCCAGCGTTTCACACGCGTACGCATGGACGTCTGTCAGACCTTTCAACGCTGGTGCATATAGATCCAGAGTGTCTATGACTTTTGCTGCAGCGATTGTCAGATAAGCCAAGACGGGGAGTGGACAAGATTCACCAAATATCTTCAAGGCTCTTGTCAAAGACTCGTCGCTTTTTTCTGCAAGGCACTCGTCTATTTTGGCCCGCTGCTGGAGCCACTCGTTGGAGAAACGTACATTTCCTAGGGATTGCTAGAGTGAGCGTCAGCAGGGACTTTAGCCAGAAAGCGGAAGCCGGCGATACCTCGGCAGCCTGCTGGTCAAGGATGGCGGGCAGGTGATTGAGAGCCCTGTGTGAACCTCAGCCTAGCTCTTGATCCCAGTGCAAGGCCCACTCACTCGTCAGAGTCCATGAAAAAGCCGTACAGGTCTCTGATAAAGCTCGTCATGGTGTCAAGCCAATGAATGTAGTTGGTTAGTAAAGATAGATTAGCTCTCTCGCTCCCGAGTTTGAGATACGCCCATACATGCGCCCACATCTATATCCCGCCCCATCGACTCTGGGTGGCAGGGCGCGCTCTTTTGAGTGTGGGGACAAAGGACTGGAGAGGACGAAACTGAAATAAGGCGCGAGTGGAGTGGCCGCGGGAGCCCGTCAAGTCACTCAAGTGGATTCCATGACCTCTTTCACATCCCACTGCATTCCCCCTACGCATGTCCTCCTGGTACGACACCCTCACTTCCGCCCCAGTCATCATCGCGACCACCCTCGGCCTGTCTCTTGCTGCTGTCGTTGCTACACAGATCAAAGGCCCCCAGACGCTCGCGCAGGCTCAGACCCAGGTCCAGGAAGTCAAGGCTAGTGTCAACGCTGCTGACGTGAAAGGCAAAGCTGCCCAGGCTGTGAGTGGGAGATGGTATATGCATACTGGGCGCTGATGGAATCCAGGGTGCATCCGTGATGTCTGCTCCTTCTGCCGACCTCGCGCCTCCCAAGGTAAGTGTCCCGCACCGGATAGCCATGCATGTGCCAACAGACGCTCTAGGACGACCCCATCACCCTCGCCGACCTCGCCAAGCATGACGGTTCTGACCCCTCGAAGCCCATCTATCTCGCCATCAAGGGCAAAGTATTCGACGTGACTGCAAAGAGGGAGATGTATGGGCCGGGGCGAGGATACAACGTGTTTGCGGGCAAGGACGGGTCGAAGGGGCTGGGTGAGTATGCATGCGGCATGTGGCAGGGTGTGGCAGGGCTGATGTGTGGGCGCAGGGATGTCGTCGCTGGACCCTGGGGACGCTGTGGGGGACTTTTCTGGGCTGAACGAGACGCAGATGAACACGCTGAACCAGTGGGAGGCGTTCTTCACGAAGCGCTACAACATCGTCGGGCGGGTGGTGCAGTAGTAGTTGCTCTATTACATGCAGGCGGTGAAAGGAGCGCACGGGCCATCTGCTCTGTCCCTTTACACCTTTTTCCTTTCTTGTCTTGACTCTCTATCCCACTTTACTCCCACCATGTCCAACGCCCAGTTCTACGGCCAGCAGCAGATGCAGCAGTACCCTCCCCCCGGAGGCGACTACTACGCCAAGTAAGCATCCCTCACCGCCTCTCGTCTCACTGCTCACCAAAACACAGCCAACAGGGACCCCCCGTGAGCACGCCTGCCCAGCTCACCCCCACTGTCACTGACACCCCTCACAGCCCATGCACAACCAATACGTCCCTCAACAGATGGACTACAACCAGGGGCCTCCTCCCCAGCAACAGAACGACAAGGGCGAGGGCGGCGGTGCCGGTGCCGGTACAGCTGCCGCCTGCTGTGGGCTTGGTGCCTGTTGCTGTTGCTGCCTAGAGTGCTGCGCCTGTGCCGAGTGCTGCGATGCCGTAGTTGACTGAGAGTAGACATCGGCCATGTCTCACTGGAATCTGGTAGGGATGGGTGACACTGTGATGACCGAGGGAGATGGTTTACAGAATACATACCGAGGAGGATACCGTATGCAAATACAAAGACTACCCCGTCCATGTTACAACCTGCACGTCAGGTCACGTCTCGCACGCTCGCTGTTCAAGCCTCCTCCTCTCCGCTACCCTCGTCCTCGGACGCCATCTCGTCAACCTCGTCCCCTTCTTCTCCGCCCTCTGCCATCTCCACGTCCTCGTCACCACCAGCCTTTGAAGCAGCAGACTTTCGGGGTCCACGACCTCGACCCGGTCCGGGAGGCTTCTTGTTGGCCTTGGCCTTGGCTTGGTGATTTCGGTAGGCTAGGTCACTATTAGCCGTGCATGCTTCTCGACCAGGGGGCTGGGGAGATGGCGTACCAGCAAGCTCTTGCTCCATTATCGGCACCAGCGCATCCGCAGGTCCAAAGTCCATCTCCGTAATAGCTTTGATCACATCCGCTGCCGTGACAGTCTTTCCACTCCTGGATGTTGCTTGGTCGTGCGCACTGTGAGAAGTGTCAGATTCTTTTTCGATGTGAATAGCCAAGCGCTAAAGTCTCCTAGCACAGGTGTCGTAGACCTGGCTCTGCGAATGCAGAGGAAACAGCTCTGATAGACGACTCACGCAGCAGCTACAGCAATGTTAGTAAAGCCTGCCAACTTTGTTCAAATCCGACTTACTCAGATAGCTGATGAACAATGTCGATCCCCTCAGGAGCGCTAACACTACATCCTGCTGCATCTTTACATTATCCGGAATCTGCGACAGACATTAGCTCTCATTCTCCCTCCCCGAGCCTCTTTCCGTAAATCCACGGGCGCAGAATGTATCCACTCACAGATCCCTTGGCAAGCTTAGTCAAGGTCGTCTTTGGCAGCTCAAAGTCCTGGATCCCGAGCGAGTTGGCCTTCATCTGCTGCGACGCTGGAGTCGGGGTGGCGTCCGCGGGAGGCTTGGGGGGGTGGAGAGTAGATCCTTTGGGGGGCATTGTGGCGCTGCAGTGGATTTGGAGTGGGCGTGGGAAGTGGAAGGCGGAGAGAAAGAGGTAAAAGACGCGAAGAATTGTAAAGGTAACGAATGGAGAGAACATGAGGAACGCGTCGAGAATTTTGGTCCCGCTGGGAGGAGCGTCAAGAAGCTGTAAAGTGTAAAGAAGAGAGTCGTTGAGCATGCATCTTTTCTCTGGTCTTTGCACATTAGGTGAGTGATCTGCTATGCTCAGAGTCTGTTTTGATTGTTGATTGCTTAGGGACAGATACAGAGGGTGCGACACTTGCCACGGGCGACAATCCACTCCTCTTCCGCGCCTACTCTCGACAATCAAAGCGATGTACATTCGTGCCCAACAGCTACAGATAGGTACTAGCAACGGCCTCTACTAGACGGAGAGGCCGGACATACACAACACTACTGGAATCTGGTGATATCTACCAGACTAAGCTTGATTCTCGAGACCTACTAGTAAGGTGTCCGCCATGTACCTATTCATCGGCTCACATATTGGGAATGTTGGCATTCCCACGTGCGAACGTTTGGGCACCAGTGTCGGGGTGTTCCCGGTGAGTCCAGGTTCAGGCCCCAAATGTATTCCAGGGCGGTAACCTTGAAGGGGTGGCCGGAGTCCCCAAGGGCAACCCAACGCGCAACGCGTACGAGTAAGAGACGCGTCGGGGGGCTCTACTAAAAGCATCGGGTATGCTGGTAGGTTGTCAGCATCTGTAAGAGCGCTCAAGGACAAAACTTATTTACCTCTAGGGCACGGCTCCATGATGAGAGCGCTGATTATGAGGTTGAGGAGGTTTACGAGGTATACAGCGAGCCGCATGCCAGGATCCTACACATCGACACCCCTTCTCGAAACCCCTTCGCCCATCGCAACTCCCAACTCGCTACCATCACTGCCAAGCCCGAGTTTCACGAGCAGATTGGCGACGACGGTACTGAATGAACTTGAAGTGGTTCTACATTGGGAGTTGCCAGTGACTACTTTTGTTGAACTGAACGAAGTCGGTGAGTATTAATAGCTTATCACTGAACCTTTGGCTGATGTGCCCTGTAGGCAAAGCCACATATATCCGCGACAAAGTTGCCTGTAAGACGTACCGCTAAGTTGGTATCAGCACAGCGAAGTGGGCATCAAAGACGTTCAAGCTTACCACCCACTTCTCGTAGAATTCCTGACCCTCCTTCGAGTAGTCGAACTTTTCATCCTCACCGAACACCCAAGGCCAATCAGTCACCCTTTAAAGTAAGCAGTGTCATGGACGCACAATTCTTTTGCTTATGCTTCATAGTCGGAATGTCATCCAACAACTACAATCTCTCTTCCGCCGCACTGGCACATACCTCATCCGAAACTCTGGCTTACGCCAAAGCAGACATTGAGCTGACATTGAGACTGCTTTCCTGAGACTGCTTTCCGTCTGGCCAAAGTCACCAAACACAAGCCCGTGTGGAGGTACGGCTTCTTCGGTCTGGGTTTCGATTGGTGGACGACCACCCTGCTTCAGGGAATGCGAGCCCGAGTCAGGGACCTCTTATTGAAGCCCAAATTCTCCTTGGACGATACCCTGGCAGTCTCTTTGATGAATACCAACCTAGACATCTACCCGTCTCTGTGCGCGATTGCAGGGGCAGATTAGTGGCTTATACTAGGGTGAAATGGGTAGAGTTTTTATATATGCATAAAATAGGACCGAGAAAGAAAAGGTTAGTATGTACATTGGGTGGAGGAGATCACGAGATGATATAGAGACAAGATGAAACCAAAAGCCCGATGAGTCTATATGAAAAATGTCCGGATTGTCCTTGAAAAAGATTCTATGGATACACGATTGTATTATATACGAGACCACAAATGTTCTGGACGATTTTGATGCTAGAAGCTGGAGGAGAGGCCTGTCGAAGGTGCTGGAGGAGATCGTGGGCTTAGCGATCAGGCCCGAAAGCAGTGATGTCTGTACCAGAACAAAGCTGTGTAGGATCATCAGCTTGTGTGTTATACCCCGCCAGGGGCGTCACTCACATCAGACCAGGTAGAGGGCAGAGTCATTTCCTGGATGGCATCAGGCTGCACGACAACAGCAGCCATCTTGGTTTCCATCAGCGTCCAGAGTATATCCCAGTCTAGGCTTGACCCACTTTTCCGACAGCAAGATGCCAATCGATGTGGCAATGCAAAGGCCAGACACCAGGGTTGTCTGAAGTGATCCTCAAGAGAACCCAAGAGTCACGCTGAATCCAAACGGTATCCTTCCTCAGAGGATTATCCAACGATAGACTTTGGGAGTCGACGTCATCCGCGGACAAAGAACCGCTGCCACGAGCAAGGATCTTGAACCAATTGCCGTGCAGGTGGTATGGGTGGTCGATAGCAGAGTCCAGATTGTTGATGATGATGTTGACGGCGCCTTCGTCGTCGAATGTGATGGTGGGAATGAGACTGGAATTGATGGAGCCTCCGCCTTGCACAACTGAGAGGAGAGGGTTATAGATCTGGTTCTGGTAGGTGACATTGTTGAAAGCCTGCTTCCAATCAGCACAGCCATGGACCGCAGAAGAGGTGACTTACAAATCCATAGAAAGACTCGCCGTTGACGTTGGTGAAGCTGCCGAATTCGCTGGACAAGACCCCAGTCGAAAGCGCAGTGCTAGATGCGGACTCGCTCGATCGAGGGCTGTTCAAAATGGTCAGCCGCAATGCTGCTACCGGGAGTAGATGGAACATACGTGAGGGTATACTCGACATCAAGGGGTGTACATTCATCGTCACCAGTAGCAAGGTCACTCCTGTTGCAGACGTCAGCGAGCATACTTTCATCCGAACATGAATGCTTACCAAGCGCTGGAGGTTGGCTCGGACGTTGTCAAGTTACCGCTATTACCCGTGTACCTTAGGATCGCCTTGCCAACCTGCTCGGTGGTAGTGCCGCAGTAGGTGGCAGTGGTGGCTCTAATCCAGAAAGCATCGCCCTCCGATCCTTCAGTGGTGTTGACAAGAACCGAGAATCGCTCTGCAGGGGCAACGGGGACCTCGTGCAGAGTAGGGCCGTAGATGTCGGTACCATCGGCCTCGATCACTTCCAGATCGTGATCGTCAACGGACATGCGCATCATGACATGGGAAGCGACATTGATGAAGCGGAGTCGGACGGTGGAGTTGACAGGCACTTGGATTTCGGCAGGGGAAGGAATGTCGGATGAAGAAGAGTAGCTTCCCTGGAGGAGAGTCAGAAGAGAAGGCGGTACGAAACATAAACCAGACTCACGATACCGTTGATCAAAGTTGAGTCGCTTTGAGGAGGAACGAAAGACTAGTGCAGTCTTGTCAGACTCTTACACATACATACGAAGGAGAGTATATTTACGCCGTCGTAACCCGAGGTGCTCAGTAGGCCGTCGACGATGTTTTCAGATTGGTCATGCCTGTGAACGCTGCGGTGAGCTCAAACATCTCTATACCTCCAAGTATGACACGCACATCCAGTCGGTGACGAATACGACCCTATCCTCATCGTAGTCTGTTCCCCTCGCCAAAGCTTCATCAGGAGAGTGAACGACGATACTATAGCATCGTGAGCATTCTTCCCGTCGCGGAGCACAACATTCGATAGAAGAAGGAGAACTCACGGGCCCCAGAGACCATCAGCCATGCTAACGCTATAGTGCGAGTGATACCAGTAAGTGCCCCATTGGTCATTGATCACAAATTCGTAGGTGTAGCTGCTGCTTGCTGGGATGGGACACTGCAGACGTGTCAGCGGGGCTGGAAGAGCAGGTAAGAAACGACTCACCTGACTGATTCCAGGTACACCGTCCATGTGAGGAGTAGAGGCTTGAAATAGGCCGTGCCAGTCTACAGAGGAGAATTAGCATCACTCTGATAGCACCTGGGCATGTTGACTTACGAATAGATTGGCCCTCATCGAGTGAGTTGGTGACAGTCACCTTGATTGTGTCACCAGTATTGGCCTCGATCAAGGGGCCGGGAAATTCTCCGTTGATGGTATAGACCTCTCTCTCATAGCCATCAGGACTGGCAGTGGCGGTAGCAATCTCCCAAGTGTACTCTCGAGTAGTTGTTGTGGCAGAGATCTCGAAGTCATCCGAAAGGACATAAGAAGTAGTGTTGGTAGTGACGGTGGAGGTAGCGCGACGGGAGAGATCTTCAGCCTTCAGAGGGCTAAAGCAGGGCGTCTTAGTTATTCGGCCAAACGTGGAGGTAAGAAAGGTATCTCACGACTGAATTGCAGCACCACACGCTGTAGATGCTCCACCGAACAGTGCTAAAAGTGAAAGAAAGTGAAGACGCATGGTAGCGAAAGTTGGGTTGTCAAAGAGAGCTATCAATCTTTGGCTATGGTCAGCAAGAAGCGCTTGTCTGAGCCGGCAACCGAAAGACCCACAAGAATGACGTTTTGGTGAGAAACGAACAGAGAGGGGAGAAGGAGGGAAAGGGTGGCTTGGCGGTGATCGAGGTGAAGATGATCCAGCACAGAGAGGGCTGGATGGGGAAGAGGCTGATGGATGAGTTTTCGTACTGGGGAAAAGGCCTCACACGGTTGGTCGTGGTCTCTTATATATCTGGAAAACCGAATGAACTGGAAGGCCTGAGGAGAAATAGTTCTCTCGAAAGCTATACAGGTCTAGTGACGCTCGAGTCTGCCGCAGCACTGGCTGCACGCAGTGACTGCACGCCGGCGACAAAAACACCTTTGTCCAGGGGCTCGAGCCACTCAGGTACATCAGGATCAAATGGGGAATGGGGAAAAATACAACGTTGTTGCTGACAATAGAAACATCCGCGGCAGGGCTTGTGTTCGGTGCGCAGGCAGCAGAGAAGCATACGGTATCAGGGAGAGAACTGATACGTTATATTAATAAAGCTTTCGACTGCGATATTCATCACATGAGAAGGCAGAGCGCAAATAGATAGCGGAAATGATGCTCAGTTACCCGTTACCCGTAGGGGAATATACTGCTGCCTCAATCCATACAATGATGTGCAGCGGCGGGGAGGAGTGCATGATGGGATGATAGAGACATGCATGATCAGCGACTGAGATTCCGAATAGCACATACGCATGACACTCAGCTGCGAGATGGAAAGGAGATAAACAGCGTAGCCAGCCGACGGTCATGAAGCGCGCAGTCGCCTATATGTATGACATACCCGGGAGGGGCGGCTTCAGTCTTCCCTGGCCCGGGTATGTTGAGCGACGAATGGCTGTGCGTGCATTATTACTGTTGCAGTGCGGCTTGCGTGCGTCGTCGCGGGACGTCGGTTCCAGTCTTCCAGATACCGTTCCGGTTCTTCACCTATATTGTCCTTGTTCTCATTATGTATAGACCTCAGGCCTGAGGTTTGACTTTTTAGCATGTTAGAGTTTGCATGCAGCCGGTGCCGACTGCCGACCAATCCGGAATCCGGAAGTCTCGTAGATAACACGAGTGAACGACTGACTGCGGTAAAACTGCGGCGGGCTCAATTCAGCAAAATATCAATGACGAGACCTTCATGGCTTTCATCGTCCTCCATGCCACCCCCGAATACGCGTAGTCACCCTCAACAGCGCCCTCTGATCCTGATTTATGCAGTATGATCCCGATCCATTCCTCATACTTTTGCTTACCTTGCGTGACCTTGTTTATGCTTCTTTCTGCTTCTCTTGTCGGGAGTCTTGCATATGATGACTTTTGAGCGTTACCTGTTCATAATGTCCATCCCCTCCTGCGCATCGTGTATGTCGGGTTAAAGAGGTGGAGGTTGCCCAGGGTAGCTATAGCAGTGATATTGGCAAAGAGAAGCCTGCGTTCATTGCTTGTGGGACTGCGAGCGAGCTTTGCCAGCCTCCCACAGCTCTTTCAGATGTCAAGGAGCGACGTTAATACCGTTGTTTGGGTCCCTGGAAGATGTAGAGCATGCTGGTGTTGTCCTGCTTTTTCTGCAAAGCATAGTGCCGACTCTGTCGAGTCTCAGCATTCGGCTTTGGGTATCTACTAATTGATAATAAGCAGCCTGCATGACCAAGCTCGTCTAGTGCGAAGCTACGAAAAGGTAGATCTCTTAGTCCATGATCTGCCTTGTCTCTGGATTGCCGTCGTCCATCCGGGATGTGTATTCGGGGTACTGGGGGTTGGGGCCGAAGAGGGTTCCTCATAGGCCGCACAGCCCCTTCTGACGATCAAAACGATCAGCATGCTGATCCACGGACATGGCAGAATCGGTGCAGGTAGTGTGGTACTAGTGAGTTACGCAACATGGCAGCTTGTTGCGATTCACGCTTGAAGACCTGCACTAGGCTTACGGTATGTAGTATCCATCCATACCTCGAAGCAAGCATCATACAAAACAACGCCGGAGAGTGCCTCCTTTGCATGGCACTAGATGGACAAGTTCGAGAGTAAGGGGACCATCGCACAACTCGAGAGATAGTCGGGAAGATGACTGGGGAGCTACGTAGTAAATGGCGTCAGCGGTATGTTTGATAAGACGGCAGTTTGGATAGTAGTATATCGTCGCTGGCTGTCGGACATTGTTCTGTTGCGGCATGTTGAGCTCAGAGCGAAAGTTATAGGCTTGCAAGGGCGGGTCGTAAGTGTGACAACACCTCCAGCACTGTGCACAGGCACAATAAAAAAAACCTGCATGACTGCATTGACGAAAGGCTCAGCCGAGCAACACCTCATAGACAATACTATCCCGCTGTCAGCCGGCGAGAATATCTGAGAATCAATAAGACTCACACTACAACATTCATAACGATCAAAGGTACTAATCATTATGTCAGTGATGTCCAAGCAGAGCATCATACACTGCGGCTCTTGCAGTGATTCAAAAAATACTTACTCCGCATCAAAGTCCTCGTCGCGGATATCAGATTGACCAGCTTGGCCTTGACGCCCGGCCCTTCCCCACTCCCCCCTCCGCCGAAGCTTGTGGCGGATCCGGGAGCGTCATAGAGATGGGGTGTGGGGGAGTGTCCAAAGCCTTGGTTGGCGGCAGCATGGGAGCGGGTAGACCAGCCGACTGTAAACAAGTGGAGATTGTCAGCGCCAAGTGGGCTGTGAGAAAGAGGCGTACGCACTGCGAGCCAAGAAACGTTCTTCGTTGAGGATGGCGATGGCATTTGTAAAGAGGAGCCCGATGTATAGGAGACTGCCAAAGTAACCCCAAACCATTGTGGATCGTTCGTTTGTGGTGACGAGACGTGGGCCGAGTGAAAGAGGAGAAGACGCGCCGCGGCGGACATCGCCGTCCCCACGTGGCTGTGGTTTGCCACCGAGCGGGGTCTCCAGCCACAACGTCATCATGCCCTTAACGTCCATCTGTTCAGTTTCTGGTTTCTGCAACTGCAACTCCACAAGCTACATCCACATACAATGGCCTCTTCTCTGCCTCAGGTGAGTGCCGTTTATGGGCCAGTATCTTTGCTCACACGCTTCTCAGTACTACAACATCTTGGTATGTTCCGTCACGACCCCCTCGCGCGCCCTTACTGACAGTCTATAGGGCGTCAATCCCACAGCGACTGCGTGAGACATTTTCCATAAGTATCAACACCACCTGACTTGCAACAGCGATGAAATCCGAACAGCCTACAAGAAGGCGTCTCTGAGAAGCCACCCCGACAGACTACCTCAGACAGCCACACCCCAGGAAAAACGTACAGCCACAGAACGATTCGTGCGCGACCCCTCTTACTGCCCATCTCATGCTAACAACTTCTCAGCAAATTCTCTCTGACGCTTACTATGTGCTCTCCGACCCCGGTCGTCGGGCTGAGTACGACGCCCTCTTCCGCTCTCGCCCTCAGAACGCCTTCACCGAAGAGGACGCGACCGACTTTGAACAAGAACAAGCTTCAGGCAACTTTTTCCAGAACTTTTCGTCATTCTTCCAGAACGCTACTGGCGCTACTGGTGGATCCTCATCTGCTGGCGAAAAGGCTGGCGCTGGCGTCAGACCGGACGCGAACAATGTCTTTGGAGACGTCTTTGAAGAAATGCTCGCTCCGGAAGTCGCCCACGTCAGGCCCTGGTGGTCCTGGGTCGGCGGTGCTTCAGGTGCCAGCCTGGGCTATATCGTCGCCAATGTGCCCGGTGCTGTGGCTGGTGGTGAGTCGCGGGTTTCTCTCAAGATTGGAGGCAGTATCAATATCGGAGGAAGGAGACGCTGAAGCGTGCCGCTTGTTTTTGTGAGTTAGGTTTTGCGGGAAACAGGCTCGGAGCTGTAAGAGATGCCAAAGGCAGGCCCGTTGGAGAGGTGTTTAAAGATCTTGGAGGCGCGCAGAAGGCCGAGGTGAGTACATTTACATCGTTGAGGCTTATCTGACACTGGTCAGATTCTCAAAGCGCTCGCATTCAAAGTGTTGGGGAGTATGGGATAGATCCAGCTGTAGATAGTATTGTCAAATAGATTCGTGGGTGGTTTGTATCCGGATGTAACAATGCATGTTCTGTTATACTAAGGACTCTCGTCAATGGTCAATTTGACCCTCCCGTCGACAATCTCTACCGAGATCCTATTTCAGGTCAGCAGAGAGCGGTTCATACGATTGAAGACTCACTTGGAAAGGTCAGTCACGATCCAGGTAGCGCCGAGGCCCTCTAGCTGCTCCCTGGTGTGAGAAGTACAGGTGGCGATAACTTTTGATCCAGCAGCGACTCCGCTCTTCACACCAGATGGGGCATCTTCCACGACAAAACCTGCAGACCCATCAGTTGCCTGGCCAGTCTTCCACGAAACACTTACAGTCCGTCACATCCACATCAAGAGCCTTGGCCCCAGCATAGTAAGGCTCGGGGAAAGGTTTTCCCTTGGTCACATCGTCCCCAGTGATCACCTTTGGTGCTGAGGGAATGCCAGCGGTAGGCAGCGCTGCAGAAGCATATATGCTAGTCGCCGACGTGACGATGGCCCACACGGGGATAGGAGAAGTGTTGAGCTGGTTGAGGAGATCGATGACGTTGGGGAGGGGAACGAGGCCCTCTTTTCCCGCTGCTTGAAGCTCCTTGGCTTCGTGGACAATCATGCCTTCAAAGAGCTCTGTCGCTTTCTGTGCGCCGTGTCAGCCGGGGGATACGAAAAGAAGGAGACATGACGTGCGCGGAGCTCGTCAGCGTCGGTGATGTTACACCACCTCCTCATGTTGTCCACCGTCCTGACGCCATGAGAGGTACGGAGCACCTCGTGGAGGTCAAGGTCGTACTCTTTGGCAAAGTACTGCCACGTCGCCTCGACAGCGGGGGTCGAGTCTGAACAGTCTGAGCATGGTCCAGGTGCGTTGGTAGGGACATACCGAGAAGGGTGCCGTCCATGTCGAAGAGGAATGCCCTCGCGTCAGCTTGGGATATGGCGGACATGGTCTTTATGTACACAGATGGGAGACGAGAGAGGAGAACTGTTGGCCTTTATAGCGCGCAGCTGAGGGAGAACGGCTAAATGCTGCTGAACGGTATCTTATCAGCGAGCGGCGCAGACCGCCATCGATCCTCCGTATATAAGTTGTAGGCTGTACATCGCTGGGTATGGCGCTGAATGGAAGGGGTCCAGAGCATGTGAGTGATGTGAGTGCATGCACCGGATGGCTTTGGGATGCACCTTGTAGGCTTGTATGGTTCCCTTATCAGACCGTTAATTCCACGTCACCCCCGGCCTGCTGCTGGCTGAAATCTGCTCGTCTCAGGCTCGTCTACTTGTCGTCTACTCGAAAACACAGTAAGAGGAGCGCCGACCCCGCCCTCCTGCCACCATTCCACGCCTCGCCCACCTCGCACACGCACTACGCCCCCTCACAAGCACACCCGTCCCCCCCCTCGCCCGCACCATGGCCGCCAACGCCAACGCCAGTGCCCCTGCTGCCCCCGTCGTGTCCATGGAGAAGGTGCGTACACTGTCTATGCAGCTTCCCGTCTGACGTTGTGCTGCAGACCGACAAGAGGGACTACCTCATCGCGCTTGAGAAGAGTGCCCAGTCCGAATGGGCTGACCAAAAGGTCTTTGAGACCAACCCTCCACCTCTCCCCAAAGGCATCAGCTCGTACGCCGACTTTTTCGCCTCTGGCCAGTCTATGGAAGACCTCCAAAAAGAGTACCCCAAATGGTTCGGTACATTCCCCTACGCCTACATGAACGGTTCCCTCCATCTTGGTCACGCTTTCACTATCAGCAAAGTCGAGTTTGCCGCTGGTTTCGAGAGGATGAGGGGAAAGAGGGTCCTGTTCCCTGTTGCATACCACGCCACTGGTATGCCCATCAAGGTGTGTCTCTATGAACAGTTGTCGAGTGCTGGCTAACAAAACTAGTCTGCCTCTGACAAACTCATCCGCGAAATGGAACTTTTCGGTCAAGACTTTGCTGGTTACGAGGCTGAGCCTGAGGAGACCGACGCCCCCGTCACCGCCAAGGGCGAGTCTTCTGACCCCTCCAAGGGAAAGAAGGGAAAGCTTCAGGCCAAGTCCACCGGTCTCACCTACCAATTCCAGATCCTCGAGCTTATTGGTGTGCCCCGAGAAGAGCTCAAGCAATTCGCCGAGCCCCTCCACTGGCTCAACTACTTTCCTCCCATCGCCAAGACCGACTTGACCGGTGCTGGTGCCCGAGTCGACTGGAGAAGACAGTTCATCACCACCCCTGCGAACCCTTACTACGACTCATTTGTCCGATGGCAGATGAACAAGCTTCACAAACAAGAGCGAGTCAAGTTTGGCAAGCGATACACAATCTACTCTCCCAAGGACGGCCAGCCCTGTATGGACCACGACCGTTCTAGTGGTGAGGCTGTCAACCCCCAAGAGTACACTGCCGTCAAGATGGAGGTCCTCGGGTGGGGTCCTTATGCCTCTGACGACTTTAAAAAATCTGTCGAGGGCAAAAAGGTCCACATGGTCGCTGCTACTCTTCGTCCCGAGACCATGTACGGCCAGACCAACTGCTACGTCGGTGTCAATATCAAGTATGGTCTCTACGAGGCCAACGACAACGAGCTCTTCCTCGTCACTGACCGTGCGGCCCGAAACATGGCTTTCCAGGGTATCTTTGACCGACCCAGAGGTGTCTACACCAAGGTCGCCGAGATCACTGGTGAGGACTTGCTCGGTACCAAGATTACTCCTCCCTTCGGTCTCGTCAAGGAAGTCTACGTTCTCCCCATGGAGGGTGTCCTTCCCACTAAGGGTACCGGTGTTGTCACCTCTGTTCCTTCCGACTCTCCCGACGACTGGAGAGCCCTCATGGACCTCAGGAAGAAGGCCGAGATGTACAAGATCAAGCCCGAATGGGCGGCTGTCGACCCCATCGCCGTACTTACCACCCCCAAGTACGGTGACATGGCTGCCGAGACTCTTTGTACGCAGCTCAAGATCCAATCCCAACGTGACAAGGACAAGCTCGCTGAAGCCAAGGCCGAGACCTACAAAGAGGGCTTTTACAACGGAAAGATGCTCGTTGGTGAATTCAAGGGTCTGTCGGTGCAGGAGGCCAAGCCCAGGGTCAGGCAGCAGATGCTTGATGCTGGTTTGGCCGTGGCTTATGCCGAGCCCGAGAGCGAGGTCATCTCTCGAAGTGCCGATGTCTGTGTTGTCGCGCTGATCGACCAATGGTATCTCGACTACGGAGAGCCCGTCTGGAAGTCTGCCGCCGAAAAGTGAGTCATCTGTAACGTTAGATAGAGTTGTGGCTAACAGTATGAAGGCTCCTTGACCAGCTCAACACCTACCAGGGCGAGACCCGAAACAACTTCAAGTCTGTCCTTGACTGGCTCAACCAGTGGGCTTGCGCCCGATCCTACGGTCTCGGTTCCAAGCTCCCTTGGGACCCCGTGTGGCTCGTCGAGTCTCTGTCCGACTCTACTGTGTATATGTCCTACTACACCGTCGCCAACCTTCTTCACGAGGACTACTTTGGCAAGACCCCCGGTCCCCTTGGTATCACCCCCGAGCAGATGACTGACGAGGTCTGGGAACACATCCTCGGCGACGGTCAACTCCCCGCCGATAGTCCTCTCGATGCCGAAAAGGCCGCCGAGCTCAAGTACAGCTTCAACTACTTTTACCCTCTCGACGTCCGATCCTCCGGCAAGGACCTTATTCCCAACCACTTGACTTTCTGGGTCTACTGCCACGCTGCGCTCTTCCCCGAGAAGCACTGGCCCAAGGCGGTTAGGGCCAACGGTCATTTGATGCTTAACGGAAAGAAGATGTCCAAGTCTACCGGAAACTTCTTGACCATGGCCGAGGCTACCAAGAAGTACGGTGCGGATGCTATGAGGTTGACTCTTGCCGATGCTGGTGACGATATTTCGGACGCCAAGTGAGTGCGTCCACCAAATGTGGTCGTCTACTAATCCGATGTAGCTTTGAGGAGACCGTCGCCAACGCTGCCATTCTCCGACTCCACACTTGCTCCACCTGGGCCGAGGAGATGAGGTCGACCAAGGACCAGCTCAGGACTGGCGAGTTCAACGACTTTGATCGTGGCTTCCAGGCCGAGATGGACGCTCTAATCACCGAGGCTTATGGTGCTTTCGAACAGTGAGTATCGCCTCCTTCTCTCGATCGTTTGCTGATGACTGGTAGGATGGAGTTCAAGCACGCTCTCAAGTCTGGTCTTTACGACTTTGAGAACGCCCGTAACTGGTACCGAATGGTCTCCGACCCTGCCAACGGCGGTAGTGGCATGCACAAGGACCTCGTCTTCACCTGGCTCCGTAACCACGCTCTGCTCATCACACCCTTCACCCCCCACTACTCCGAGTTCCTCTGGAAGAACGTCCTCGGCGAGCAAACCTCCGTCCAGACTGCTCTGTACCCCGAACCCTCTGGCCCCATTAACCGATCTGTTCTCGAGCAGACTGATTACCTCCGAGGTGTTGTTGATACCATCCGAGGTGCCGAGGCGCAGGCTGCCAAGAGGAAGGGCAAGAAGGCTGCGGCGACAGCGGTTTACGACCCCACAAAGACAAAGGACGTGAGGATCTTTGTTGCCAAAGAGTTCCCTCAATGGCAAGACACCGCGGTGGAGATCATGAAGAACGAGGCCTGGGACGGCGAGAAGATTGACGATGCCAAGCTGAGGCAAGGTCTTGACAAGGCTGGTTTAATGAAGGACAAGAAGGCCATGCCTTTCTGCCAGGCTTTCAAGGTGCGTGTCGCAATGCATCGCTTGCATGTATCCACTAACCGAACGTGCAGCGTAAATTGATCGCCACTGGTCCCTCCGCTTTCAACCGAACCCTTCCCTTCGACGAGCTCCACACCCTCAAGATGCTTGCTCCCCTCATCAAGTCTTCTCTCCGATTCGAGAATGTTGATGTTGTCAGCGTCGATGACGCGAGGGCTTTGATCGAGAAGGAAGGCGAGAAGGAAGGATGGACCAAGGAGAGGGTTGAGAGCAGTGAGCCCGGGGTACCCGGAGTACAGTTCTGGAATGTCAGTGTGTAGATATAGATATCAGGTTATATATGCTTGCATGTGAAGTCATTAGTTTGGTCGTATATGACATGGCAAATACACATGAGGCGATCGTGCTCCTATGGCTTCTTCCCTGATTGCCCGAGAATTTTGACACCTGATCTACCCACATAGCTCAATCCACTCCAGATGGTAGTTCCTGCTACGGCCCATCTGCAAGTTGTCAGTGCGCATGACCGCTTTCGTTCGTCTCAGTACTTACTGAAGTGCCTGCAAAGGTAACGAAATGTCCATAGAAAGGAGTGGGGATACCGTCGTCACACCCATGAGGACTAGTTGCAGGAGCGTGTTAATCTTGTATGGTCAGCGCACATAATATCTTTGGACTAGACAGGCTCGCCTTGCTGATTTGGGTCGGTGTCACTTGAGCCGATGGTATGGAAAAGTCAAAGTACCGCTGGAGTGTGCGCTTTGTGACTGTCAGGCTCAGGCTCGAAGAGTGGAAAGACCACTCACGGGAGGAGGCAGGGAGATGAATCGAAAGTAGAAGGCTGAGATAGAAAGACCGACATCTCGACCGACGATGAGGATTGCAAGAGGGACTGGAGATAATGAGCAGGGCAAAAGTCGGAGGTCTGGAGTGACTTACTCGGAAGCAGGCCAGTATAAGCTAGAGTTCCGACCAAGGTTGTCATCAAGGCCTTGTCTGCGGCGGGGTCCAGTATAGAGCCCAGGACCGAAAAGCTGTTATACCGCCTGGCCAGCCATCCGTCTAGCTACATCATGCGTCAGCTCCCTGACATGAAGCTGGAATATATTGCACCATACCCAGTCTGTTACACCACTTGCAAAAAGTATACCAGTCGCGAGCGCATAATCGCCTTGCACAATCTCATAACCCAATAACGGACATGCCAGCAACCTTGCAAGTGTGAGGGCGTTCGGTATTGTGTAGGGAGATTCATAGAGATCTTTCTGAGCTGCAGGCGACGATGGTGCAGGGGGCTATAGAGTATCAACTGTGTAGTTTCGTACGACTTTGCTACTCACAGTCGACGGTGTAGAAGTAGCCGCCTTCTCCTTGCCCTCGGGCTTTTCAGTCGACATATATCTCCTGGATCCCATGATTTGCCTTTCAAATCGTCTCTGGGTCCTTCTCGCTCCCCCGCATTGCCCCCTTGGGACTTCAGCCCCTGGTGTGACCATAGACAACAGTCGCCGGGGTTCGGCACTGCAGCGGGCGCTCTGCGGGCGCCCAAGCAGCGCGCGTACGGCTGAGCGGTCGAGGGTGAGTAGAACGGCTCTCGGGGTGGCTGACGCGAGCATTGTGTTGAGTGATAAGTGTGGCACTATCCCAGCGAACTCAACGAATGGCCGGCCTTTTCCAAGCGTCATGCCGGAGATGTCCACCCTCCGTTGCCCCACGTCGGCGGATGCCGCTTGTTACGTCCGCCGTCAGCCGCGACCTCTCGCTTACGGCCGTGAGCGTCCGTGCAGGACAGCGCCAGAGTTTGGTTCCGTCCCAGCCTGCCACTGCTGACGATTGGCTGACGATGGTTTCCTTTTGACGCTCTGGATTGCCTTCAGCCATGCACTCCCCACCAGCTACTGAGAACCCCGGTTATCAGCAGGTGAGCTGTTACTGACATTCGCCGGCATCAGCTGTAGATGCCTTACCGGCCCACGGCTCCACCGTTCTTTGACAAATAGCACATGCATGTACACTCTAGTACTGCAAACTTTCGAGTCTCGACCGAGGATATATAAGAGAGCTCGGACAAGAAGATCTACCCCATAACACATTACTCACCTTTCTGTCATCCCCCTCATTGCCCAGAGCATCACTTGCCACACAGCGCCTTCCACCCTCCTATACACACAACACCTGTCATCGCCATGCTGGAGCCCGTAGAAGCCGAATTTGCCAAACCCCCCATCTACAACGATGCACAAGAGGAGGTCTTTCAATCTGAAGAGACCGAGGAGCCGAACGCTATCACCCATGCCGCCAACAACCTTACCCGGGTCGAGACTAGGGAAGGTCGCCAAGCCAGTCCCACCCATTCTCAGAGCTCCACGCTCCAGAATAACCGAGTGGCTGCCAAGCTTGACGATCCGGAGAAGGGTGGCTATCAAAAGACAGCAGACGGCAAAATTCTTGTAACATTTGACGTCGGGGAAGATCCCAAGGAATGGACAAAGTTCCACAAGTGGCAAGTTGTTCAGTTCCGACCATTTGCCAAATTACTAACGCACATTCAGGCTTGCCACTATTACGGCTTCAACTCTATGCTTGACTGTGGCCCTCGGAAGTGCCATGCCAACAGGGGATCTCCCTGGTGCGGCAGAGGGCCTTCATGTGTCCGATGAAGTCATCTACTTGACTATCACGCTTTTCGTGGCCGGCTTTGGTATCGGCCCTCTCTTCTTTGCTCCTCGTATGTATCAACAGTCTCGAGCTTTTATCATACTGACTTTTGCATCAGTGAGTGAACTTTACGGCCGTCAGCCGGTGTACATGGTCTCAATAATCTTCTACTTTTTCTTTACTCTTCCTTCATGTCTCGCCAAAAACGTCGCCACTACATTGGCCGGCAGAATGATTGCTGGTATTGCCTCGTCAGCTCCTTTCACCAACGTCGGTGGCACTATTGCGGATGTCTGGGCTGTTCAAGACCGCGGCATTCCCATGGCCATCTATAGTTCAACATTGTTGTGAGTACTTACCCTCTGTACATGTCTCTCGCCCTACTGACAAGAAGCAGTATGGGACCATGTCTCGGTCCCCTCTTCGGAGGATGGATCTCTCTCAAGACAGGTACTTGGCGATGGATCTACTGGGTCCTCTTTATTACCATCGGTGCCAGCTGCATTCTTTGTCTCTTCAACCCCGAAACTCTCGCGCCCGTCCTTCTTCGAAAGAAAGCCAAGAAGCTCAACAAGCAGCACAACACCGACGCCTACACAACCGAAGCCGACCTCCACAGACCGTCATTCCGAACTGCCATCACAACTGCTTTGATTAGACCGTTCGTAATGATGGTTGAGCCTATCATCATCCTCTTCACATTCTACCTTTCGTTCGTTTATGCTCTATTGTACGCCACCTTCTTTGCCTTCCCTATCGCATTCGAAGAGATTCGAGGTTGGAATATGGGCATGACTGGCGTTTCGTTCGTCTCGATCATTGCAAGTTTCTTCATCCTGTTACGAACCGAAGCTGACTCGTTGCCACAGATCGGCATCTTCCTCGCGAATGTTCTCATAATGCCCCTGCAAGAGAGACTTTACCGAAAGTACACGGCCAAACACGGCTCATCTCCCGAAGGTCGTCTCTACACCATGATGATTGGAGCCATGTATGTGCTCTCTTGTCGCATATAGCCTTCACTGACCTGCTTTCTTAGCGTTCTCCCTCCAGCTCTTTTCATTCTGGCATTCACCTCCTACCCGGGCGTCAGCTGGGTCGGCCCTTGTATCTGTGGTATCATGTTTGGCTTTGCTATGGTCTCCATCTACATCTCCGGAAACTCGTACATTGTTGACTCCTATTCCAATGTCGCCGCTTCTGCCATTTCTTCAAAGAACATGATCAGATCTTTCGTTGGCGCTTCTGTGCCACTGTGGATCACCCAACTCTTCGTAAGCTTTTACTCCAACTATCTCATCGAAGCCGACCGGTATCGCAGCACAACTTGGGGTTCCAATACGCTGGTCTTTTCCTCGCCTTGGTTTCCGTGATTCTCATGCCCATCCCCTTCTTCTTCTTCTGGAAGGGTGCTTGGGTGCGATCAAAGTCCGACAAGGCGAACAGGTAATCCTCTTTCCAATCTCGTACATTATGCAGCTGTATACAAATATGTAAAAGAAGGCAGCTTGTACAGAAAAGAGAGCAACTATACATACAGCACTACCTATGATTACAGACCACTTCCAAGATACACATATTATAGAGTACTCGTACAGTTCCTCTCTAATCATCGTCGTCAGATTCGTCGTCCTCTTGGCCTTTGTGCGAGTGTTTGAACAGTTCTGTTGAATCATGTTAGCGCGAGAAAGAACGGAGACTGGAGTACATACTCATGATGTCGTCCATCGTGAGCTTCATAAGTCCCTTGCCTGCTTGGCCCGAGAGCGCTGCGTTGGCCAATTCCCGTTTGTTGTTTTGGAGAGCGAGAATACCTATAGCACCTGATGAGCAAGAATGCTTCCAGTGGCGACTGATACGTACGATCCTCCACTGTCTCCTCAATAGTCAATTTGTAGATGTTCACGTCACGCTTCTGTCCGAGGCTTGGTGCCAGTCAGTCTATGTCAAACAGGCATGCGCACGACTCACCGATGAGCACGATCAAAGGCTTGATCCTCAAGACTACATAAGCTGTCAGCATTGATTTCAAGCTCTGGGTTATCTACACTCACGCAGGATTCCACCACAGGTCCATGAGGACCACGTTGTTACAACATGTCAAGTTCAGACCCGTGCTACCAGCCTTGAAAGAGATGAGGATGACCTTGACAACAGGGTCATTCTTGATAGCTTGGAGGGACTGTTGACGCTTGTCGTTCCTCATCGACCCGTCGTCTACGCAAAGTCAGTATCGACCACCGCGAGATGGGAAACTGACTGACACCTGACAAATGCAATCTTGTACTTTTTCAAGAAGGGCTCCACCAGGTTCAGAAAGCTTGTAAACTGGGAGAACACAATAGTCTTTTCTTGCCCGCCGCTCTTCTCGTCGATCTCGGACAAAAGCTTGAGCAAGGTTCGGATCTTGGCGCTGTCAGGCGGAAGGTTGGATGATTTGTCACGAGCCAAGACGCGTTCTGTGAGACCTATGCACCCGGCGCAATGAGTGGCAGTCTGGTCTTGCAGCCTACAAAACGTCAACATCGTCTATGAACTTCGATATATGGTACTCACTTGACAAAACAAATGGCACAAGTCTTGCCTTTGGCAACGCCGAGCCCACCGAGCATGTCAGCCAGCTCATCCGCCTCGTCTTTGACGGGTGCAGCTTTGGCAACATCATCAGCCTCGAGCGCCTCGTCCATATCCAAAGAGTTGGTGACCAGTGACGGGTGAACACACGCCTGTCGGAGACGTAAAAGCAACGTCAAGACGGAGGTGTAGTTGGCAGTAGCGCTGCCGCTCTTGACAAACTGTGACTTGTCAGATCTCGCAATGACAATATGCTATGCGTACCTTGTTGAACGTGATACTGGTCTTCTTCTCCAAAGCTTCGTAAAAGGCGCGCTCATCCTCGTCAAACGGACATGGCATCACCTGTACCGTTCGGCCCGGAAGGTTGAGAATCTTTTTGCCGTCTGCGAGATGATTAGCGGTGAGTATGGTGAATCATTTCGACTCGCCGATTTCGGCGTCCTTGGTACGGCGCAGCATGATAGCCTTGAGGACGACATGGAGACGCTTCATTGCAATTTTGGTACGACCTTCCTTGACGAGCGAAGAGATACGAATTCTAAACTCTTGCCAATCGTCCAGAGGCCTTGCACGAAGGAATTGGAAGAGAGTGAACAGTTCCTCGACATTGTTCTGGATGGGGGTACTGATATTGCATTAGCAATGTATGGCAGAGAACGAAGACTCACCCTGTCAGACACCATCTGTACTTGGCTCGGAGAGCGACGGCGGCTTTTGCTTGTTTGGTGTTTCTGTTCTTGATGTTTTGGGCCTCGTCTGGGTACCATCAGTATTCGCATCAGTGTCGACGAAGGCACTCACCGACGACGATCCTCAACCACTTTACTTGGAACAGAGCACTCATAGTCGCCTTCTTTTTCGCGGCCTTCTTCCTTCCTTTCGGCGCCACATCATCAGAGTCGGAATCCAGCTGGTCGTCCAGTCGCGACTGCATCTCCTTTTCGTAGATACCGAATTCCGAGGAGACGGTAGCAAAAGTGGTGATAACGACATCGTAGCCCTCGAGGGTCTTGCCCAATTTTGTCCGGCTGGACGTATGGTGGGTGGTGACTTTGAGGACTCCGGGAGAGGTCTTGGTGTTGCACTCGGTAGCCCATTGTTCCATGACTGCAAGCGGACAAATGATGCTTTGCTGTGTCAGGGCTTGTTGCCGTACGTCCAGGCTACTCACAGAGTACCACCCTTGTATCCGGCCTTCTTCTCTGCGGGGGTAGGCTTGCCTTCCACAATCCTGGCCAACGTTTGGACCGTCTTGCCCAGACCCATGTCCTATGGCTGATCAGCTGGTGTTCTCGAGGAGGGTTAGGCTCACGTCTGCAAGGATTCCTCCGTATTTACGCCCGCTCTCTCGCTGCCTCATCCACTTGACACCCCTCACTTGATGGGGCATCAATTTCATGCCCTTTGCGAAACCCTCGATTTTGTCGTCCCCTTCCTGTACTCCATCATCTCCCATCTCATCCTCTCCATCACCAATGGCCCCGCTCAAGAGCTCTGCCATGTGCTTCTCTGCGTCGCCGTTGTACCGGACCATGTCGTCGGCAGTGATACTAGCGCCGGCGATGTCAAAGTTTTCGCGGGGAACGTCGTCCCCTACGGGAGCTCTGCTCGTCGGAGCAAGGGGGGCCCTAGCATTGGGCACTGTGCCAGGATTGACACCCCCAGGCTGTACCCAACCCGGCCATCCATTGACATAACCCTTCGTCGAACCAAATGCAGGCTGGCGAGCCGGCTGGCTGAACGTCTGCTTGATCTGAGACTGGGATTTTTGAAAAGCATTCGGAGTGGCGGGCTTGATATAGCTGGAGTAGGGATCGCTCAACTTTGAAGTTCTGGATTTTTGGGAGAGGGACGACCCGAAAGAGTCAAAGTCGTATCCTCTGGAGGACTGGCTGGCGGAAACGTTGGCCCTGTTGGAGACATCGGAGAGGGTATTGCCAGCGATATAGACTACCGAGGAAGCGGGGGAGTAGTTGGGTCCGCTGCGGGTGTAGCCAGCCCCCTGCTTCCTGGTGGGCTCTCCACGAGCCTCGTAGGAAGGGGTGTCTGCTGTGAGGTCTACGACGGGCCTTCTGGCTGGGGTGGCGGCCTCGTGGATCTCGATGGATTCCATCATGCGTGGTATGGCGGCGAGTCGGGTTCAGCGTTCAGGTGGACAGAGAATTGACAGAGAAGTAGCGTTTGTTGACATCCTCCGGGATCAAATCGGCTGCCTCCACCGCCGCGTACACAATGTCTGGAAAGCAACGTCTTGCATGGAAATGGTATTACAGTATACAGAGCAGTCCGCCAATTAGACGATGGATACAATTACACTAAGAGAACTGAGTTGATGCAGCCATCGTTCTCGGGGTTGTTTGTGATCTGCGCATACTCTGGTGGGGCATTAGCGATATTCGCCCAACTGATAGATTGACGACTCACTTGACCAGACCACCTTACCACCAGTTGTCACCATACCCAATTCACTGACATTGACCTCGACGATGGTACCCTTGGTGAGTACACCGAGCGATGTGTAGAGAGGAGATTGGGGGTTCTTCTTGACACCAAGGATGGGGAGTTGGAAAGTGGTTTTGAGCTCGGGGTGAGTAACGTTGGCTTTGGTCATTCGCTGCAGGGCGTCAGAATATCCCTAAAGTGCATTATTGTACTTACAAGACCAGTGGGCCTGATGAACCTCTCCAGCTTTACGGGCTTTCTCGTAAAGCCCTCACCAACGAAAGTAGCCTTGTTGACCATTCTCTTCCAGCTCTTGCTCTTGCTCTTTCCAGTCTTGATGACCTTGAACATCTCCTCTTCGGCAATACCCCTGACCTTGGGAAGAGGCACGCTGTACTTGGCGGCACGGTCCTTTCTGCGGTCCTTGACTGCTGAAGAAAGAGCTTTGGCGTCCTACACGATAGTCAACATCGCCCAAAGAGGTCTGAAGCGCTCACCTTTTGTCCATCCCTATCCAACAAGAATGCAGGCAAAGCGCCCTCCTTGACAGCCCCATCGTCCTTTTGCTTTACATTCCTCTCGTCGTGCGCCTTCAAAGTCTTCTTCATCTGCACCTTCTCGGAATGTCGGCGGGCGTGGAGAAGCTTGGCTCGGTGACCAAAGATCTTTTGAGCATCCTGAGAGTTCTTGTGTGCCTCACGGGCAGTCCTCTTACGCCTGAAGGATATTAGAAAGAGTCGTGGTATAAACGAAAGACGTACTGGCGCTCCTCGTGATCCATACGACGACCATGTCGCTTACGGTGCTCTTCCATATACTCGTTCTGCGGCTACATCCAGGTGTCAGTGGGTGGACACGCAGTAGCTGCCAGTACCTACCATATTGATTTGTCTTGGTGTATGTGGTAAAGAGAGCTTGAGCGGCAATGATAGAAGATGGGGCGCGCGCAAAATTTCTGGTTCCGTTCTTCTGTAACATTTAATTTTTTTTTTCGGCACTCCCCTATACAGTCAGTCGACAGCCACCATGGGACTCTCGGAACGGAAAGTAAAGCGTAAGTGTGCTCTTGAAAGGCGGAACAGGACTGATGCGTTGAAAAGAGCGGATCGGGCTTGACCCTCGGAACCTCAATTGGTCCGAGAACAAGGACCGCTTCTCGTACAAGCACATGAAGGCGCTCGGATGGGAAGACAATACTGGTCTGGGCTCCTCCATGGTCGGCAATGCCAACAATATCGCTGTAGCGAGAAAGGACGACAATGGCGGTATCGGTATGGCTAGAGCGAGGAAGGAAGGGGGCGATATGGCTGCTGGTGCTGGGCAGGCCGGAGCAGGGTTGGAAGATGTGTTGAGGCGATTGGCAGGAGGCGCCAGCCCTTCCCCTGCGCCTGCTTCACCCAAGGTAGAGGAGGAGAGACCAAAGGTGATCCGGAACAAGATGGCGTGAGTCGTGCTATATACATGCGCATCAAGCTGACAGTAGCAGTTCACGACAACGACACCTCATGGCCAAGAAGGCTGCTTCTCAATCACCACAAGCCCTCGCCGAAATCCTCGGTATCCCCGTCTCTGCCCTTCCTGCCTCTGCCCTTGCCTCCCCTTCCACCTCTGCCTCTTCCACCCCCAAGCCCGAGCCCGAGGCCAAGGTCGAGCTGGATGACGGCAAGACGGACGAGATGGTAACGACCTCCACTCTCTCTGTATCCGACTACTTTCGTCAAAAGATGAGAGAAAAGATGGCCGCTCGTCAAGCTGCTTCGGGTGCCTCTGCGCCTGCCGAGCTCCCGGTGCACTCGCTCGAGTCACTCGCTTCTCTCCCAGAGCCCAAGGCCGTCGGCGGGACCGCGTGGGGAGGGCAAAAGATGCAGTTTGAAGAGGTGAAAGAAGAGTTCAACCCCTCTGAAGCCACTGCCGAGATACCGAGAGAGGACGCGGAGAATGAGAGAAAGAGACAACGAAAGGAGGAGAAGCGGTTAGAAAAGTTGAGGAAGGAAGCTGTGGAGAGGGATGATGCGGCGGGGAGAAAAGGCAAGAAGGTCAAGCAAGAAGTCAAGGAAGAGGTAGTGGTGAAGCAAGAGTTGGAGAATGATCCCCTTCACCAAGCCCACGAACAGCTGGAAAAGTTTGAGCACGCGGGCGAGGACGTCAAACCGGTGATCAAGGAAGATAAGGAGGAGAAGCAGAAGAGGAAGGAGCAGAAGAGGAGAGAAAAGGAGGAGAAGAAAAGAGAAAAGGAGGGCAAGAAACGAAAGCGAGAAGATGGCGAGGAGAAGAAGAGCAAGAAGGGCAGGGAGTGAGCGCATATAGCATTGGGCATTGGCATTTTCTGTTGTTAGATATCTTGCATAGTATTTTGGGTCTTTATGTACAACTCTCATGATACCGGGGCTTTCTCATGTGAACGCATACAGAGCTGCTGACCACAAGAGCACGTCGAGGGGCGTCAGGCAGGCTGTGTGGGGAAGTGGCTTGCTTCTGGGGTGCATACATGCTGCGAGCCAAGGATCTCCCCAGAGACGCCTGCTACCTCGTGGCCATATACGTCTTGCCTGCTGCCTCTGTTGTGCCACTGTCCTGCTGCTCCCCTCACGCTGCCTGCGAGCAATTTTCCCCGCCTCCACTCTCAAAAATCTCCCGGCGTGCCTGGTGCGAGCTCGGCGGCCAGATAAGCGGCGACATCCGCGCGCTGTGCCACGGGATATATCGCCGTGTATCGCCGTGAAAACGAAACTGCAGTAAAGAGCACGGCCGGGGACGCATTTCTTTCTCTTTCTCACCAGAGTTTTCTCTACTTACTTTCTATCACAAAACAAGTGAGTCCCCTTCCCCTCTCCACCCCTCCCCTTCCCTCCCCCACCCCGCCTGGCCTGTGCGTCGACTTGCTCCGGGTGGCGGCTTATCGGGTGGCGCGATAAGGAGTGGAGCCATGGGAATCACTCCAGTCGTTTCTCCTCTCCTCTTCCTCTGCCTCCCTGCACTTCCCAAGCAATTGCACCCCCTCACTTTCTCCCATCGCATACCTCTTCCGTTCCATCGCTGACAATTGTTCAGAAAACCATCCACAATGGGTAAAGAGAAGGGTCACGTTAACGTCGTCGTCATTGGTCACGTCGACTCCGGCAAGTCTACCACCACCGGTCACTTGATCTACAAGTGTGGCGGTATCGACAAGCGAACCATCGAGAAGTTCGAGAAGGAGGCTGCCGAGCTCGGTAAATGTGAGTGAAAATTTTCACCTCCCTCTGAGCGCAAGGCTGATCCTTTTCACAGCTTCCTTCAAGTACGCTTGGGTTCTCGACAAGCTCAAGGCCGAGCGAGAGCGAGGTATCACCATCGACATTGCCCTCTGGAAGTTCGAAACTCCCAAGTACAACGTCACCGTCATTGACGCCCCCGGTCACCGAGACTTCATCAAGAACATGATTACCGGTACCTCCCAGGCCGACTGTGCCATCCTCATCATTGCTACCGGTATCGGAGAGTTCGAGGCTGGTATCTCTAAGGATGGTCAGACCCGAGAGCACGCCCTCCTTGCCTTCACCCTCGGTGTCAGGCAACTCATTGTCGCCTGTAACAAGATGGACACCTGCAAGTGGTCCGAGGACCGATTCAACGAGATTGTCAAGGAGACCACCACCTTCATCAAGAAGGTCGGTTACAACCCCAAGTCTGTCCCCTTCGTCCCCATCTCTGGCTGGCACGGTGACAACATGTTGGAGGAGACTACCAAGTGAGTTCATTTTCTTTCGTCCTTTTCTCTCGCTGACACCTCTTGCAGCATGGGCTGGTACAAGGGATGGACCAAGGAGACCAAGGCTGGTGTCTCCAAGGGTAAGACCCTCCTCGAGGCCATCGACGCCATCGAGCCCCCTACCCGACCCACCGACAAGGCTCTTCGACTTCCCCTCCAGGATGTCTACAAGATCGGTGGTATTGGCACGGTGCCCGTCGGTCGTGTTGAGACCGGTGTCATCAAGGCTGGTATGGTCGTCACCTTTGCCCCCACCAACGTGACCACTGAAGTCAAGTCCGTCGAGATGCGTGAGTACTTCTATCTTAGAAATTTTCAATGCTGACCTGTGCAGACCACGAGCAAATCCCCGAGGGTCTTCCCGGAGACAACGTCGGTTTCAACGTCAAGAACGTTTCCATCAAGGACATCCGAAGAGGTAACGTCTGTGGTGACTCCAAGAACGACCCCCCCAAGGAGGCCGCTTCTTTCAACGCCCAGGTCATCGTCCTCAACCACCCCGGTCAGATCGGTGCCGGTTACACCCCCGTCTTGGACTGCCACACCGCCCACATTGCCTGCAAGTTCTCTGAGCTCATCGAGAAGATCGACCGCCGTACGGGCAAAGTAAGTATTATCTCTTCTCTGCATATCAACACGCACACTGACCCCAAACAAGACTATGGAGGCTGCCCCCAAATTCGTCAAGTCTGGTGACGCCGCCATCGTCAAGCTCATCTCCCAGAAGCCCCTCTGTGTCGAGCCCTACTCCGAGTACCCCCCTCTCGGTCGATTCGCCGTCCGAGACATGCGACAGACTGTTGCCGTCGGTGTCATCAAGTCCGTCGAGAAGTCTGACGGTAAGGCTGGGTAAGTTTTTCCTTTTCCCCTTCTCCGTAAAACTGACACCCCACGCAGTAAGGTTACCAAGGCCGCTGAGAAGGCTCAGAAGAAGAAGTAATCTGTTACTTTGGACTTTATATCCTTCCGTACCTCACATGCAAGCGCTTCGCTGTTGATAATTTCATCCATTTTTGGCTGCATGGACCAGTGAGATACGAGCGATACAGGACTGTTCGTCTTCCGCTGAGGTCCGTCGTTGCGCCGCGTCCTATTATTTGCCCATTATCGTTTCTAACATCGTTTCTAACATCGTTTCTAACCGTCACCCACCAAACTTTCAGAGGGTCGAGAACACCACCTCCGAATGCTTCATGAAAGAGAACGACCCCATACATGCTGCCAACAAGCTGGGTATCCACAGGTAAAGCAAACATTATGGGGGCTGAAGTGTTAGCCGGAGTTATCGGGAGGAGGATGGTTGTGGCGAGCACTGTGTGGTCTGTTGGCGTGCCTGCCCTTGTGTGGCCTGTTCCGTTTAGAATTGCTTGCGTTTCAGCTTGTGGTCACTTTCTTCTTCCTCTCATCTTCTCCTTATTCTTCTTCACTATTCTTGCTCGTCACCTCGCCCTTTTTCTACAGCCTTTTCTTTTTCTCTTCCCACCCTCCTCCCCCTTTTTTGTTCCCCATGACACGATTTCTGTGCGCCTCTGGCTCTCAGTATCGCTATTTTCTCCTCTTCCATAATCAGATTTCTTGTTAGGGCTCCTTTTAGTCGCTCGCGAGTATATCTCTACGGCCTTTTGGAGCGGAAGTCGAATATGCATGACGTTCCTAGCGCGACAAGCTCGGTATCCACAGGTAAAGCAAACATTACTCGTACAGACAGGACAACCCGCCACATTACAGATACCTTTTACTTTTTTTGAACATGTCCCGTATATCCCCGTAGCCCGCCTCTTGACGATCAACGTCAGTGTGAAAGCTGCGGCGATTGAGCAGAGCAGGCTTGGGGGGACTACGATGAGGCGTCTGGGGGCGGGGAGCAGGAGCTGGGGGCGGGGAGGGAGACTAGTTGATGTGGTAAGCCTCGATGCTACTTTTGCAATTGCAGTCCGTCACTCACATCGCTATACACATGAATCGGCTCTTCGACCGTACCTTGCGTCGCAATACCACCCGACACATCCTCCTCCTCAATCTCATCAGGACCCGCCGAGGAGGAGGCAGGGAAAAAGAGAGGTGATCGTCTGCGGCGGATCAAGGCAGCCCTAGAAGTAGACGCCTCTGGCTGATCCCCGAAGGAACCAGACTGTGCCCAGACTTCTTCGCTGTACACCTCGAAGCGTCCGTCTCCCTCTTCGTTGACAACATCATCCTCTTCCACTGCTTTGGCTTTTCCTTTTCCCTTTCCCACTGGGGGCACGGAGACAGGGGAGGGCGAGGGAGGGTAAAAAAGATTTCGGGGGTACCGAGAGAAGGGAGGATCGTCAACGGAGGCATTGGCGGGTGCCTCTTGTCCTTCGACAGGCGCCTCTGGTGCTTCGACAGGTGCTTCGGCAGGCTGCGCTGCTTCGGTGAGCGGCTGTCGTGCTTCGACTGGGGGCTGTTGGGGCGCATATGGCCGCCTCCTGATGATGATCTCCAGGTCGTCGTCCTTGTTCAAGTGTCAGCAACGCTTCTCAATATTTCCAGCTGTATCTCACCTGTGCAGACTCAATGACCACTGAGATCTTCGAAACAAACTGGAGACACGTCAGCCAATACACGCAGGCTGTGCCACTACTCACAGGCGGTACCAGTACTGGGATATCTCTGCAGGTATGTTGGGGGGGGCGGGAGTGGTATCACTGTATATCATGATAATCAAAGATAGAGATGTAAAAGAAAGAGAGAGATACAATTTCGGGGGCATAACCATGTCTGGGTATGTGGACGCGGGAGGTGGAGGCAAATGTGGCAGTGGAGGCGCATCACTCAACCAGATATTACGCGGTGTCAAAACAGCGTGCGTTGTCTTTCCATACATACTAAACATGATGAGAATCACTGCCATGCATATATAATGAGCTACAAATATTACAACGAATCGATGAAAAGGGGCGCAACATCCCAATAATCGCGCGATACATACAATATCATGAGAAGGGGGCAGCTTCGGGGTCCACATCTGGCGCATGAGCGGTAGCTGGGGCTGATCCAACATTCTCCAGTCCCAAAGTGTTATCCGTGCCTTCACGTGCGGCCTCTCCATTCAAAGCTGCCACGCATCCAAATCCCTCCTCTTTCGTCTTGTATGCCATCCCGACAGCCGCTTCAGCTCTATCGCCGGTCAATGAAGCAGGGCCCGCTGACCCAAGGATGATGTCGCCGACAAAGCTACTCATCATGCCAGAGAAGCATCTGGTGAGCCAGCCGAGACGTTTGGCAAATGGGACGACAGCTTCGACGGCATCTCTCAGGTCGACTTTGTCGCGGATATATGTGGCTTTGCCTACAGGGCACATCAGCCAAAGGTTCAGTGATAAGCTATTAATACTCACCGACTTCGTTCAGTTCAACAAAAGTAGTCACTGGCAACTCCCAATGTAGAACCACTTCAAGTTCATTCAGTACCGTCGTCGCCAATCTGCTCGTGAAACTCGGGCTTGGCAGTGATGGTAGCGAGTTGGGAGTTGCGATGGGCGAAGGGGTTTCGAGAAGGGGCGTCGATGTGTAGGATCCTGGCATGCGGCGGACAAGGGAAGGTAAGAATTGAAGAGATATGATTTGATCCACCATAGCTAGGTGGTATCCATCTGGGAGTCGTGAGCAATGTCATTGACGAGCAGTGGTTGCGTACCATAGCATTCCATCTCGCCTATCTCCCGGCAATCTGCCCTCACTTCCCAGAGTCGCCACCAACCCTCGCCCTCTGTTGGACATTCGGGCTCGGGTAGTCCCAGCCAAACCTCCTCCAAACCAAAGTCGCTCTTGGCCAAGTCGCTCGGCTTTGCATTCTTGTCGACTCTTTCTATACCGGCTGCTCGCTTCATCAAGGCCGAGGTGGCGTTGCGAGCATGCAGAACAAGAGATGTTGGTGTGAGGGACGGGAGATAGAGGGTCGAGCATAGATGAAGCAGCGCAAAGTGCGACAAGAGGGATGATCGCGAAGACACTCGTGACAGAGGAGTGTCATAGACTAGCGTCATCAGTATCATCGGCAGACATGAGATAGAAGCAACGTACCACAGTCTCCTTCAAAGCACTCGCTCAACAGATTCTGTACTTGTTGAACCTTGTCGTCCCAGGCTCGATCTTCCGTCCCATCTTGGCCTAAATATAGAATCTTGTGGATCTCCATGACAGCGTCCAGGCATTCTGCCTGAGATAGCAAGACGGACTCTGCTGGGGACGCATCAAACCTGAGATGAGGTGCTGAACCGTGCGTCCCCTGGAAGTCAAAGTCTGAGGACAAGGTGCGAACGCGCTTGAGAGATTCTGTAGACTCCCCTGCCCTGCTGTGGTCACCGAGCATGACACCTGGTCCTAGTCGTGGGTGGTTGCTGGTGCGGGCATGGTGGGGGTGGTGGCCTGCGGTGGGGGAGGGGGTGGGCGAGGGGGCGTGGGCGAGGAAGAATTGTGGCTTGGCGGGGCGGGCCATGGCGGGGTGGGAGAATGAGGATGTTGTTTGTGCAGGCGTCCATTCGCCCCAAATTCGCCCCATCCATCCGTTCAGCTGATACTACCGGTGACTCACCACTTTTGTCGAGCCCGGGTAATCGGCCACTTTGGTTCCGCCGGCTTTCATCGACAAGCGAGTCGGACTCTTCTTTTGCCCATTTCTATCTCCATCACTTCATTCACATTCTCCTCCGTATTCACACAATGAGTCAGTCCAGTACCACCCCATGCGTCTCCCCACGCTGCCATGCGCTGACCAATCACCACAGGCTTTACCAACTTCTGGGCTGGCGTTCCTCAGGGGTACGTTCGCAATGAGCAGAGCCGGGACAACCAAAGCTGACATGCATGTAGTCCCCCCGACCCCATTCTCGGTATGGCTACGGCTTGATCACCCACTCTCAACACTCCGTATTACTCCGGTCCGGAAAGGGAACGGTCAGCTGATGTGTGGTATCCAGGTGTCAGCGACGCTTTCAAGAAGGACACTTCTCCCCAGAAGGTCAACCTTGGTGTCGGTGCGTACTACTGTGCCACTGTAGGAGTGTGGAGCTGACTGGGTGTCCTTCGCAATGCGCCATTCTACTCCATTCACGCAATCTCATTTCTCCTGCTCCGGTATTGCCCCAACTTGTCTCACCTTTGTGGGCCTTATCAACTCTTCTATTCGTGTCCTTATCTACCTCCCTTATCCTATGACCCACAGGTGCCTACGTGAGTTTGTGCATGTTCGCTAGAAACTCCCATGCTCATGTTGTATAGCGTGACGAGGACGGCAAGCCTTACATTCTCGAGTCTGTATTGAAAGCCGAGGACATCTTGCACAAACAAAGATTGGACAAGGAGTACCTTCCTATCACTGTGAGTGTATGAACTTGTCATGGAGACGTTGCTCATGTTCCTAGGGCGCTGCCGAATTCACCAAGCTTGCCTCTGAGCTTGCCTATGGCAAGGACTCTAAGCCTCTTAAAGAGGGCCGCGTACGTTGCACAGGTCTCATACCTGCAGGCTCTAATCCGTCTTCCATAGCTCGCCGTCACCCAGTCCATATCTGGTACTGGTGCCCTCCGAATTGCCACCGGCTTCCTCTCGAGCTACTACTCGGGTCCCAAGGTCATTTACCTCCCCAACCCCACTTGGGGTAACCACATCCCTCTTGCCGAGTCTGTCGGTCTCAAGGTAGAAAAGTACAGATACTTTGACAAGAAGACTGTGGGGTTGGACTTTGAGGGTATGAAGGAGGACATCAAGGTGCGTAGACGTGGTAGTGTTTCGGGGCGATTGGCTAATACTTTGTAGAACGCTCCTGAGGGTGCCATCATTCTCTTGCACGCTTGTGCCCAGAACCCCACTGGTATCGACCCTACGCAAGAGCAGTGGAAGGAACTGAGCGAGATTGTCAAGTCCAAAAAGCACCTTGCGCTCTTCGACATGGTAGGTCCAGCGGTATCCGACATACTCCTTACTGATTCGTGCTATAGGCCTACCAAGGATTTGCCTCTGGTGACATTATCCGAGACGCCTTTGCCGTTAGATACTTTGTCGAGCAGGGCCACCAGATCCTTCTCTGCCAGTCTTTCGCCAAGAACTTGGGTCTCTATGCTGAGCGAGCTGGTACTTTCTCCTTGATCGTGTCTGATGCCGACGAAAAGGAGCGCGTCCTTTCTCAGATCAAGCGTGTCATCCGACCTCTCTACTCGTCACCCCCCGTCCACGGTGCCCAGCTGGTGTCTACTATCCTTGGCACCCCCGAGCTGTACGAGCAGTGGTTGACCGAGGTCAAGAAGATGGCCGACAGGATCATCTCGATGCGAGATAAGCTTTACGACCTCCTTGTCAAGCTTGAAACCCCCGGAAGCTGGACTCATATCAAGTCTCAGATCGGTAAGTCGCTCGGCGTATGAAGCTCTCCATGCTGATACGGCCCCCAGGCATGTTCTCCTTTACCGGTCTTACACCGGAGCAAGTGACCGACTTGGCTGACTATGCTCATGTCTACTTGACCAAGGATGGTCGTATCTCTATGGCCGGATTGAACGACCACAACATCCAGTACTTTGCCGAGAGCATGAGCAAGGCGGTCAAGGGAGAGTTGAAGTCTAAATCTGCACTCTAGAGTGGTGTCTGAAGGGGAGATGGTTAGAAGCATGTATCGATCTTGATATCGTCATTCATTGACACCTTCCAATGGCTTTTATAAACACATACATACTTCTGGCTGTCTGACGCTGGTGTGGTCCCATCTCACAACGCTTCCTGCACCATGACGGAAAGTCTTGATGTTGACGGCTACGCGAAGACTCCTGAAACAGTTCACACTTTGTGTCCATTCTGTCTGCGCCATTATAAACTGTATATATATATGTGGAACATTTGGCTCAAGAGCTGGTCATTCACATCATCGATCTCTCTGGACTGGTCGACAGAAATCGCCTAGGGAAGCTGAGTGAACTCCAAATGGGCAGCCTATGCACATGATCAGTTTAATACTGGCTCCTTCGTTTCAATACACCAATAACGCGGCTGGTTGAGGAGGAAACTGTTGGGCTTGCCTTCGGGCAAGTAGTGAGGATCAGTACCAAAGTAAATGTAAGGGAAGCCCGGGTCGAAATCAGAAGCCTGAGCGAGCTTGCCAGTCTGCTCGGTGGTGAGATGGATCTTGAGAGCCTGGATGCAAGGTAAGCAAGCATGCGGCCTCTACAGAGATAGACTTGCCTCAATGTTGGACTTGAGATGCTCTGGGTTGGTGCCCCCACTGATGGGGAAACAGTCAGCAAAGCTCTGCCTAGCCCAAGCCAACGCAGCTGGGTAGTTCTTTTAGCTCTCATTCTGGTCTCTTTGACGTTTTCTGCTCACCGTTCGCGGCTCTAATGCCACCTCCGACCTCGTCTGCGACCTCTTGTAGAGCTTTGGATACCTTGATGTCTCTGTCAGAGGAAGGTGCGCCACATCGCCAGTTGGACTGCTTCTGGAGTTCTTCTGGAGACTTGAACTTGCCCTGTCCAAGAGTGCCCCAAGGCGCTATGGGCAGTCAGCAATGACCGGGAGATATATCCTCAAGACAATACTAACCCAGACCCATACCGTTGGCAAGGCACATGGGAATGATGTCTCGCTCCAGATCTCGGGTACCGACGTTCCAAAGACCCTGGTAGACGACAATTTGAGCGAATCCATGCTGACGGGCGTACTCGTTGGCCTGAGAGACGATCCAAGCTGCAAGTATGTCAGCCAAGTGGAAAGGGTGATCACTTGCTTGGAGTGTCAGAAATACCGAGGTATAGGACCTTGCCGCTCTCGACGACGTCGTTGATAGATTGCATCAACTCTGGGATAGAGGCCCCAGGTACTGTACGAGTACTCTAGTCCCACCAATGGATGTAAAGCAGGTCGATATAGTCGGTTCGAAGCTTCTTGAGAGAAGACTCGACCTGTGTGCGTCAGTCAGCAGATGCCAAACAAAGGCCTGCCACTAACAGTCAAGCGAAGATTCTTCTTGTGGTTGCCGCAGTAATTGGCAGCGATACCTTCAAACTTGCCCTCGTTCGTTCCTGTCGAGGCCGAAGGTAGAATACTTTCTGTCTAGAGTTAGCACTTTGTGTTATACAATCAAATTGACTTACGTGGCAAGGACAATCCCATCCCTGATGCCCCTCTTCTCCATCCACTCGCCGATAATCATCTCGGACTGCTCGTCTGCCGATGGCGTCAGCGTCAAGACGGATCGAATGACTGCATAATCCTACTCTGGTAATTATTAGCAGTGTCAATCAAGTTACCGCCAGCCTCGTATAAAGTATCGAGAAGCTGGTCGACTGGTCAAAGTCCGTACCGGCACCCATGAAGCCAGTCCATCGGTCACCAAGGCTCATGGCCCCGAGGCAGAGGGGCGAGACTCTGACTGTTTGCTGTCAGCTTGTGCGCGTGCGGGGACCGCTTCATCACGACATACTGGCGGCAGAGGGGGAGAGAAGCCTGTAGCGGCCAAGCTCCGTCCTGATCTCGCGAGCGGGTCGAAAGACATCGAACATGGCTGTGCAGTGCATGTGTCAGCGTGAATGCTCGAGGCGGTTCGGAGAGCTGACTCTGAGCGGTGCCATCGACGACAGGCGTGTACTCGGTAGAAGAGCTGAGCAACGAATGGGGCATGGCTGGTCTGGCTTGGAGATTCATGTGAGAGACCTATCATCCTCCATCACTTTTATATAACGAGTGGAGGGGCAGAACGTAGCTACCCGCATCGCAACCGTCTCTCCTGACTTTCGGTCCCGGCCTGGTGGCCCCGACGGTCTCTGAGAGAGGCCGAGGCCGAGAGACCTGGCCGTTATTCGAGGGCCGGTGCTCTAGCCCGGCACACTCTGCCGTGCATAGGCCCGACCAGTCGGCGTCACAACGCACAAGACCAAGCGCGCTCTGTATGTACTACTTGCGATTGTGTGGTTCCCTTCGCCACGCCCGGGGATAGACGGGAATATCCGCGTGGCAGTTTGACCGCTTGGCAAGCCTTCTCTTTGTTCCCCAATTCGCATCTCCATCTTGCTTTTGCCTCTCTATCTTCTCGTGCTCTTTTCCAATCCCTTACAGCTGCTAGCATTGTCAACACAGGGCACCTCGCCCGACAGGGTCTACAGTCCCGCAAGTATACAGTGAGTCTTCTTTTCATCTTCTTGGCTCTATCTCTTTTTCGTCCCCCATTTCTTCTGCGCTTTAAATGATTAGAAAAGCAGACGCTACTGGCTTGGCCACTCCCGCGCCGGATGGAGAACCTTCGGGTAATCGTTTTCGGTGTGGTGCAGCGGGCCGGTCATTACTCTGTGCGTTTCTCTGCACATGCACCACCCTCTGATACTGCGCTTTTTTACCCTTTACTTTTTCATAACAGGCATAGGGGCCGAAAGCTGACTCGAGTCAACAGCTAGGAATCAAGATGTCTCGATACGACGTCGACGTCGGACCCGACTCGCCGACAAATACGACGCGCTCTCGCCGCTCTTCCTTGCATTCGATTGCCAGTCGGCGTTTCAACCCACGTCGCCAACCATCAATCCCAATGCCCGACCCCGGAGAAATGGATGCTGCCTTTGACGCTCCTACTGCCGACGACGGCGAGGACGAAGGTGAGACCCACGGTTTGTTAAGTAGTTCGCAACATAGAGGGCGAGTGCCCGGTGATTATGATTTTGAGCGGGACTATGTGAGTCGGAGTTCTCTTGATGCATGCACATATATCCTCGTACACTTGGCTTCGTGGTCTCAGCACATGCTGACTTGCATGGCACATAGACATTACCACCCGAATCGCCTCCTCCATTCCAACCATATTCTTCTCATCACCCAGCACCGGGCAACTCTCATGGCATCATTCCAACGACAGCGCCTGCTCGTCCTAGTCCTGCTCGACACTTTTTGGGTGGCATCCTCCCCACTTCATTCTTGCCACGCCAACAAGAGGCCGGGTCATCGCAGAGGACCGTCGGCGGAGGGATGAGCGGAGTCTTCGATAATCTGGCGGCAAGGCCAGATAGGGAGCGAGCCGCCGAAGGAGACTTGGATTACATTCCCGAGGACGAGTCGAAAGATGCGCCTCCTGTAAGCTGCTCGAAGAATGTGGGGACAATTCTGACTGTACACGTAGTCGTATCAGAATGCTCTTCGCGATGCGGTACCTCCGTACTGGGACACCACTGTCGTCCTTCCCTCCTCCAACTCGCCTTTCGGCCCTCTTTCTAGTTCTGTCAGCGGTGACGAAGTTTTAATTGATGGAATGGGCAGTGGCAGCTTCCTTGGGTTTGTCTGGAATTGCAAGTCTCTCTGCAATGTCTTTTATCAAAACTGACGACAATTATAGTGGTCGTCTCTGTATCGTTTCAATTTGTCGGTTTCCTCCTCACATACGTTCTTCATACCACACACGCTGCCAAATACGGCTCTCGAGCGGGTCTCGGTCTTACCTTGATTCAAGTCGGGCTCAATATCCGTGCCAAGGCTGTCGAGCTTATCGACCAGAACCGTTTCCCGGCGCCTGTTTCGGACGACCCGTCAGATCCGCCCAGCGGGGGGCAGACCTTGTCAGACGAGGAAATTGCAGAAAATGCCATCGAGGCTATCTGGGGTCCTGGCGCTTCTCCCTGGCCGGCCGTGTTCCGAGAGCCAAATGCGCCCGAGGGATCGTCCGGTACCATCGTCCACAACACTCATGAGGCGGAACAATGGGCTATGGCCCACAACCGTACCCTCACTCAAATGCTCGACCTTCCTTCAGCCGCCGACGTCGGCAAAGCCAACGAGTACTTTAGCTTTTTGCTCATGAGTGTCGGTTGGTTTATCGTTTTGACCTCGGTCGGTGGCTGGTGGCGAGTCAAGAGATTCGAGCGGGGACTTCGGAGAGCACAGAGGGAAAGCGAGGAGGCTCAGGCGGAGGCTGCTGCTGGCCGAGGTGAAGGGGCTGAGGGAGAGAATAATTTGGAGACTGTAACCACTTCCACCTCACCCCGTGAACCCTCCCCCAACGAGCTCGCCTACTACACCGCGCCCTTTACTCAAGCTTTCAGCGGTGCGAGGCATATCCGCGACGGCTTCTTTGGCTTGCACGGCAGTCGCATCGACACGCGTGACGAGCCGGATGCTCCGCCGGAGGATGGCCAAGTACGAACAGGATGGATGCGATTCGCAAGGGGGAGAAGAGGGCAGGGCCATACGGCGGTGCCACAAGACGACGAGGATGAGCATGAGCTGCTGGATGCCCAAGGGTTTGGCCTGGGGCCTATGGCGTATGATGCGGGAGAAGCTCCGGGGGCGGAGCACCGGCGCCATAGAGGTCTCTGGGGCTAGTCTTGTATGTCGGATGCGGCGAAGGGTCTCAAGGACAATGTAGATAGGTAGAGAAGATGGTACGAAAAGAGTGCTTGGATATAATTGTAATCTACGTTCATACCTTGATTTCTGATCTTTGTGGTTGTAAGATTTGTAGATCAATTGTGCAAACAGACGATGAAGCGTTTTTCTGTGAACCCAATTGCAACAGAGCAGGGTAAAAAGTGTATCATGACTCTGGCATACATTCCAGCATATTTAATTCAATACTTCTTCTGTGCAACGAACCCCAAACCCCGTCTGAAATGATAAGATAGAGAAGATTAAGGAGCGTCGTTGAAGCCCATGTCGACAACACATCGGATACAGTCACCCTTCTGTTCGAGTTGTCAGCAATTACAGGACTTTCAGTTGTCAATGTACTCACGTGCATGTCTTCAAAGCCCTTGTTGATGCCGTCCAAAGATTGCTCGTGGGTAACAAACTCGTTGACCCAGAGCTTGCCCTCAAGGTAGTCTGAGTTTCATCAGCTCAGCACAAGCCCACCCATTTGATGATAGACTTACCGTCCACGATACCGGGCAACTCGGTCCTACCCTTCACACCACCAAATGCAGATCCCTTCCATGTCCTACCAGTCACAAGCTGGAAAGGCCTGGTGGCAATCTCGGCACCGGCAGGTGCGACACCAATGACGTTGCAGACACCCCAACCCTTGTGGCATGATTCGAGGGCAGTACGCATGACGCCCACGTTACCGGTAGCGTCGAAAGTGTAGTCGAAACCGCCGTCGGTGACCTCGACGAGGTGCTCGGCCAGGGACTTGCCTTCAGGGAGCTCTTTGGGGTTGACAAAGTCGGCTGAGGAGGGGTCAGTGAGTGGGGCTTTGGGAAGGCGAGAAACGTACTGGCACCGAACTTCTTGGCCCACTCTTCCTTCTTAGGGTTGGTGTCGATGGCAAAGATCCTCTTGGCATTCTTCGCCCTGGCGCCTTGGATGATACTGAGACCGACACAGCCGATACCGAAGACCGCGACATTGTCGGCACCCTCGATGCCATCAGACTTGACCGCAGCACCGTAACCGGTGGTGATACCGCATCCGAGGAGACAAGAAGTCTTGAGGGGAGCCTTCTCGTTGATGGAGACGACAGAGAATTTAGATACGACGGTGTACTGGGAGAAGGTGGAGCAGCCCATCTAAATCAAAGTGTCAGGAGACGTCAACCAGTGAGAAGGGTGGACATACAAAGTGCAAAAGCTCCTTGCCCTTGCACTTGAATCGGCTGGTGCCGTCGGGCATGACACCCTTACCCTGGGTAGCTCGAACCCGGCCACAAAGGTTGGTCTTGCCAGACTTGCAGAACTTGCATTCTCGGCATTCTGGTGAACCAGTCAGCTCCGTCAATCGTCCGCCTCGCTGCGTTGCACGATCTCGGATGATGGCACATCCAGTCTCTGACCGCACACCCAGAGCTCCTTCAAGACTAGCGATTGCAGAGCATACCATTTCCCCTCAATCTACCACCCGTCTGTCACCGTCACCCCTTCGCCTCGCTCCAATGAAATTTAACTCACCAGCAGTGTAGAGGGGGACCACATGGTCGCCGACCTTGACGTTGTCTACACCCTTACCGACTGACTCTACGATACCACCACCCTCGTGTCCGAGCACGACGGGGAAGGCACCCTCGGGGTCAACACCAGACAAGGTGTATGCGTCGCTGTCCGATGTTAATATTTTTTTCTTTGAAAACAAGCAGCATTCCACACTCACGTGTGGCAGAGACCGGTGCTACCAAGACTGTTAGCTTGGAATATCCGTCGCAACGAACACGACATACTAGAGGATCTTAATTCTGACCTCATCGTCCTGAGGGGGAGCAACCTCAATGTCCTCGATGGAGAGGGGCTTGGCGGCTTCCCAGGCGACGGCGGCTTTGCAGGTGATGGTCTTTCCTTCGGTGGACATTGCTGGTGGTTTGCAGGAGATGGATTGAGGATAGAAAGAAAGAGGAGATGGAAATTGAGCATTTTTCTCGCGGGTTCTCATCGCGGGTTCTCATCGCGGGACCTCGGCGGGACGGCGGTGTGGCTGCGTTCAAGTCGGCGAGGGCCGGGCTCCAGATGTTGGAAGCGGTGGAAGCCGCCAGATACCACGAGTATGTACGAGTACTCTACGAGTAGAGTACGAGTACCGTGTACGTAGAGTAGGGCCATTACAGTACAATCCTGACTACACTCCAGCTACCGAGGCTAATCAGCTTTGTGGTTGTCCTTACAAATGCGAGGGCAGAATCGCGGCATCTTCGGCGGCCACTATTTGGTGGTATGGCGGTGGGATGGCAGCTCAGCCTCGGAGGAGTCTACCGCCTCTTGTTTCTACTATCTTCAACACAGGATTGCTTTCGTAACGTCACAGAGAAGACCGGCGTGAGAAGATAAGATCAAGTACCTGAGAGTGCGACCAATCGGGCATCGAGAGGATTTTCGGTCGTGGTGACGCTCTCTGTAACCGAAAGATGCCCGCGAGTCACTGGACACCTCGATAGAATAGCCGTCATGGCTTCCTATATGACAAAGTCGTGCAGCCTCGTTAGCAGAGGTGTGCGAGCCCTCGATGAGCTCGATCCAATATCATGATTGTCACTCAAGACGGTCCGACTTTTGCATAGTAGATAATGTAAAATGTTTGAGGTATACTGCAGGTGAAATCCTATAGACACACAAACTTTGTAGGCAAAGCTAGTGCTTTGAATAAGGGGATGATTCGGAGGCGGCCGCTGAGAGTTCTGGATTACAACAAGAAAAGAGATGGCTACAGATCACGAATATTACGAAGAGCTGAGGTCGACAAGAATTGTGATGATACCCAACACGATCTCGATACCACTGTGCCCCTGTCAGCATCCGTTTTTATCTCCAGCCCGGATAGACTTACATAAGGAAGATGACAATAGCTTCCAGATGCTCGCCGTGGCTAGAGTTGACACTCTCCTTCAACAGCTTGAGCATATCCTGCAGCACATCGACACGGGCGTTCAACAGATCGACACGCTGTCCGATTTCGAGGTATGAGCGGGCAGCGTTGTACAGCGGTTCCAAGTCGGGGAAAGTCCAGAAGAACTCGGGAGAATCGAGGATGGAGCCGACGAGGTTGATGTTGATACGGAGGATAAAGAGGTAGCCGATCTGTTTCATAATTTCGCTCCTTGGCATCTGCAGTGCATGAGTATAGAAACCGCAAGAAAGAATGAAAACATACGCCGATTTTGCCAGTCTCAGAAAGGACCTTGGGAATATCCTGGTTCTGTTCGATAGTGGCGCTGATGAGCTCTTCGAAGAGCGAGATCTTGACAGACTGAGAGAGGGCATGGGAGAGGGAGAGTTTAGTCCTGAGCATAAAGTCAGTTGGCCGGTCCAGTCCAAAGTCAAGTTGCCTACATGTAGGAAGAGCCTTTTCGCAATGTAATGACATCGTTGTAGATTCTAGAGACAGGATTAGCGACAAATTCCAAGTCTGGGAGGACGACTCACCGAGAATAGTCGGCATAGTAGAAATTCAGATCCTCCATTTCCACATCCTCGGTTGACAATCTCTCAATCTCAAACCTCTTACTATAGCTTCGTCAGCCTTTAGCACACTTGTAGAATAAGTGACTCACATGCTCGCCAAGAATCTCTTTTCTTCCTTTTCCGTCATACCCCAGATGACGACGCAGCCGTATTCAAACAGGAACACATCAGGTATCCACTCGTCCTCAAAGTCATCGTCTTCTTCTCTCTCACTGTCTTCCACGTCCCCGCCATTAGAGACGCCAGAAGTATTGTCCGACTTGGTCCTGCCGCCTCCAGGTCTCTTTGAGAAGCCAGGTCGACGCTTGAGCTCTGAGGACGTTGAATTGCTTCTACTAGGACTCGACGAGCGCTTAGACGCGTAACCATCACCCAGATTGAGCAAGTCGCCCTCAGGGATATGCCCTGCGCCATAGGCAGGTTTGAGACGGGGCGAGTTTCGGTGGGCTGGGGCGTACGGGGAAGGCGTTGGGGGCGGGAGGTACGGCGTGTGGAGACATTCAGTGTCAAACATTCTAGGGTGGCAGCGATGGTATGCGGGGCGGGAAGACAGATAGGCCTGCATAGCTGGGAGGTTGTACGTGCTGATCATCTCGTCAGCAGATCTCGCTTGATAGCTATGAGGACGTACGCTGCGGTGCAATAGGCGGTCACTCGGGGGAGCTTTGCCTTCTCGCTCTTGGTGAGCCTCTGAGCATCTCGTCGAGCGGTACCCTTGGGGATCTGGGAGAGGGGAGTATAGAACTGTTGCCCATATGTTAGCCATAGTCTTGCACTCATGACGAGATACGCACCTCCACGCCCTCGCCCTCGTCCTTGTCGCCCAAAGCGCGTTGAGCGTCTTCTTCATCTTCATCTTCCTCTGGGATGGTAGAGTTCTCGGGCTGCGTTGGGAGTACCTTGAGTTCTGGGACATGTCAGGAGCGCTCTGTGGGGGAGACGGGGGGACGTACTGCTTCCGAGCTTGGAAGTTCTATGGGACAGTCAGCGGGCCCCTGAAGCAGAATAGCTTGCTCACCTCATGGGCTGCCTCTGCTCGCGCTTTGGCTGGGGCGGGTTTGAGTACGGGAGGGGGAGCGCGCTGGCGGGTTTGGGGGGCATCGTGGCTGGCGATGACGACAAAATCATGCAAGAGAACAAATGCGTCTACTGGCACCTTAATTACGATTACTTACTCTAGCTGTAATTTGAGGTCCACTCTTCCCTTCCATTTCGTCGGTCTGCTTCGACATCCTATGCCCCATGAGCAACCGGAACCCCAGTGCAAACTACCAGCAGGGCGGGCAGCCCCCTCTTCCGGGACAGAATGCGTACGGACAGACACCAGAGCAGGCGGCCGCTCATGCCGCTGCGTGGGCAGCCTACTACCAGGTATGCCCGTCAAGAAGAGGCTCGATTTGCGCTGACTTGTGTCAGTCCCAGGGCATGACTGCTCCTCAGGCGCATAGCGCACCAACAACCCCCGCTCAGGCTCCTCCAGCTGGTGCCCCCGCCGCTCAGAATCCCTACGCAAACTATGGATATGGTGCAGGCGCTCAGCATAACAAACCGCAGCCACCTGCCGCTGGTCCTTCCCAGCAATCGTATAGACCACCGGCAAGCAACCAGGCGTTCGCCACTGCGTCTACCCAGCCTTCTCTGGGGTACCCACAGCAACAGGCATACCCTGCTCAGCCACAGTATCCTCAGGTAGGGTACCAGCCCGGTCGACCGCCCTACCAACAACCTGCTCCGCCAGCTCAGCAGCCGTATGCTTGGCAGGCTGGACAGCAACCTCAGATACAGCCTGGACAGCCGGCCTACCGCCCCCCTGCCCAGCCTCAGCAATCTTACCCCAGCTATGCGGCCCAGCCGGCAGGACCTTACTACCCTCCGGCTCAGCCTCAACCTGCCCCTTATACGCCTCCCCAGCCCTCTGTACAGTCGCCTTATCGCCCTCCTATGGGCGGCCCCAATATGTCGTCACCCATGCAATCGCAGCCCACGCAATTTCGCCCCCCTGCACTGCTAGGCAACCAAGGCAGACCGCCTCGCCCACCCATGAACAACCAGCCTGGTGGAGGAGGCGGAGGATTCCCGCCTGCAAAGAGACCGAGGTTCGATGGACCAGGCGGAGGAGGAAACAAGATGACCCAAGGCCGACCGCCCAACAACGGACCACAGGGTCCCCCGATAGGCCAACGCAATGTAAGTCGTCCCAACCTCCCCATCAACCGGCCGCCTATCCATCTCGGCGCCGGTCCTCCACTTGCTTCGGGCCCTGGTGGTCCAAGTGGAGTGTTTGTGCCTCCCTCTGGTCCTGGTCAGCCGAAAGCTGGGCCGATGCGAGGCAACGACAGTCGAAGAGGCAGAGGTGGTATGATGAATGCTCCTCGGGCTCCAGCAACGATGCGTCGCCCCGATGGTTCTTTCGCGCCTTCAGCTTTCTCCAAGGGTGTCGCCCCGGGTGCTGGGAAGAATTTGTTTGACAAGCGGGGTAACAAGAAGATTGGTGGGGCTGTACAGGGGAAGGATACGGTCAAGGCGACGATGACTGATTGGAGGATTGTGGGTATCGAGATGAAAGGGCTGGGATGGGCTTGGGGAATCGTCGACGGGCAGAAGGCCGAGGCCGAAAGCGAGGTCAAAGTGGAAGGGCAAGAGCCTGTTGTAAACACGAATGGCGAGGCTCAGGCCAAGGTCGAGCTCACAGAAGCCGAGCCTGCCAAACCTATTGAAAGCGCCTCTGCTCTTATTCCTGCTGTTGAATCCTCAGAATCCGCTCCTGTCAAATCTGAGCCTTCATTGGAACCTCAGACAGAGACCTCTCTGGCCTCCAAGGCCGAAAGCGAGGCCGCCATTGCAGCGGCCGTTGCGGAAGAGAGCGAAAAGGAAAAACGCGGCGAAAAACGCAAAGCAAAGAGTCCTGATACTGGTGTGTTGATTTTTGAATTGCTTTCATGTCTTTCTTTGTCTATATATCGGACCAAGTAACGCTGTAATATATGATGGCTGACATTATCTATAGAAGATGGAGACGAACACCACTCAGCTAAGCGCTCAGTCCCCTTCAAACCGACGACTTCTGTTACCGCAGATCTTGCTCTTCCTCCCTCTGCATCGGCTGCCACCACTCCTCAGCAGGTTTCGCAATCTACAAGTGAATCTCCCGTAAGGACCACAGACGATATCGCGAAAGATCTCCTTGCCAAATACGAAAACAACTCCAACAGACTCAGGATCTACTTTGACTCGCCCCCCGAACTCGACCGAGCGCCCAAGGTCAAGAAGACGCCTGTCAAGGACAAGGAGGGTCAGGAAGGGAGGGGTAACAAGCGATTCAGGAGCGTCAGTGTTTCTGCCTCTGTGGTCGAGGAGAAGGAAAGAGATGAGGCACAGGGTGAGGAGGAGCTCAGTGTGGAGGCTGCAGTGCCAGCTCAGGAGCAAAATGAGACCGAGCAGGGTGACGATCAAGCACAAGAAGACGTCGATCGTAGCTTGGGATTGGGCGAGAACGTCCTTGCCACTTCCAATATCAATGATACTGCAAATGGCTCTGCAGCCGTCGCCACTCCCGATATCCACAACACGGCAGATCTTCAGGCATCAGAGGAGCAGCCTATAGCAGAGCTGCTGCCAGAACATGTCGAGTATCCTGCTCCTCTTGCGGAGGAAACTCATGCAAAGGTCGAGGCCAAGGAGGAAGTGGGTGATGGTGATGTGTCCATGCGGACGGAAAAGGGCGCTGGTCTCGCAGATTCCACAGCTGTAGACCCATTGCAGGCGGAGATGGTCGAAGGATCTTTACCTGGCACGTCTGGGGTGAACGGAGACTCAATGACACCAGAACCTGTCGAGAAATCTGCTGCTGATGCTGCCGAGTCTACCGAATCCCAGAACGAGGGCAAGAGCAAGACAAACGAGGAGGTGGAGCAGTCCGCCGATGACAAAGAGCACGGTATTGATGAAGAGGATAAAGCAGCCAAAGACGCCAAAGACGTATCTGAAGCAGCCGTCGCCGCAGCCGCCTTGGCCGAGTCTGCCACCAATGCCGCGTCAGCCTATAAATCCCGTGCCCGTCGACACTCGTCCCTCTCCACATCCTCACACGCTCCTGCCGAGAGACATCTCAAATTTGCCAACGCAGCGAGCCCAGGGGTGAGTTGGAATAGACTGTCGGTCGTGTGGGAACAATCGACGAGGAGGTTATGTTTTGATGCGGAGGTGGTAGAGAAGGTAAGGATATGGAGGCAGGAGGGAAAGATTGAGGTGGAGTTGAAGGAGGGTGAAAAGGAAGAGAAGGCGCAAGAGACGGCGGAAGAAAGGGGGGAAAAGGAGACAGAAGGAAAGACGGAAGAAGATACAGAATATAATATAGGGGAAAACAAGAATGACCTCCAAAAGGATAACAAGGAGGGTGAAAAAGAAAGTGCGGGCGAGTGGAAGGGACTGCCGAAAGGGATAATGGTGAGTTCTGCCATACTCGACAAGAGTTACCGCTAATGATGATGTAGATGGAATTGTACAGCCCGTCAGAGCAACGCTTCCTTCCATACACCTCGCCTTCTGATGACCCCTCCGTTCCACCCCTTCACCTCATATCGTCCACCCTCGCAAACACCAACTCTCCTGTCGTTGTGACTGTACACCTCAATACAAAAAATGCGCTGAGCGAGCCAAAGTGGTTAAAGTCAAATCAGGCGGACGCTTGGTTGTTCGAGCAGTTTGAGAGCAGAAAGGGCGTTGATGCAGGGTGGCGGGGCAAATTGGAGGTCATGGACCCGGATCCTGTGAGTGGGAATGAACATCTGCAAGAAGGATAAGAACACTGACGCATATCCAGGCGCCTACGCTGCCAGGTATACTGGACGGCTGGGCTAGCAGCTGCACTCTAGGCACCCCTTCCTCTCGTCGCGCGTTCACATCCTTCCTCTCGTCCTCTCCGGATGATCTTCTTGAGATCCTCCTTCGCCTTGGGCGTGGCGACCGTAATCCCACCCTCGGGTCATCGTCTTCGCCATCTTTCGGCCCTCTTGCCACCCTCATTCGCCCCGACTCGCCTTTTGCCAACCATCAGACTCACGTCAGTCTGGCCATTTTGGCCATGTATAGGCTAACGACGGACATGGCGGAGAAGGCAGGGGAGAAGAAGGAGGCGGTGGAGGAGAAGGTGGGAGATATCATTAGGAGCTTGCCGGGTGCTTTGGTCGCCAAGTCGTTGGATGGCTTGTTCAGAGAATGGCAGGGGTAAATGCGGTGATCTCTAGTTGGTCTGTGATAGAAAGGCCTCCTAATGTGGAACTAGCATCAAGTCTTGCACATGTAGATATATATATGCTAACCCGCGCCGAGGTCTCTCGTCAACCGAGGGCATGTTGTGCATTTGCAGCAAATGCGAGGTATTGCTGTAAACTATCCATGTTCGCAATCTGAAGATCTTCATTGATGTGCTTATCATCCAACACTGACGTGGATTTGTGCGCCAGGACGGAAGCAGAATGTCGCGTCGCGTCGAGGATGGCTCCCTGAATTTGCTCCTGAATCGCCCATCTCTCTTTTCTCTTCTCTTCCTCTCGCCATCCACCATGTCCTCCCCCAACAACCCACGGTCGTCCTCTCCCCTCAACTTCCCGTCCTCTTCAGTAGCGGGTACTCCCAGGGCCGCCCGCGTCCAGCAAGTCGCTGGCAGCGACGCCCGTCAGTGTCTTCCCCTCAGCGCGTCGAGCAACAGCTAATGTTCTCCTATGCAGCCGCCCGGTCGTCATCCCCTCTTCACTTTCCTACGTCTTCTCCTCGTTCCCAGCCTGGATCAGGTGCTGGGCGCCAGACGCCTACTGCGTCCCGACTAAGAAGTGAGGTTCCCAGCTCTGCTGGCGTCAGAAGGATTCGGGATGAGACCCCTCTCTTCTTCCCGCCATCCGGAGGCTCCACACCTCGCCGAGCCCGTCGAGGAGATATCCATTCTTCTTTCCCTCACTCATCCCCGTCTCTCGCTCGACGAACTGCTACCATCCCCGCCAGCTCTATCCGCGGTTCGTCTCCGAACTTTGATGGTCCTCGCACGCCCCGAGCCGGATCAGCTGCCCCTACTCTTTCTGCTGTTGCTGGATCTCAGGCAGATGATGAGGCCGATGATGTTGACGGTATGGTCAAGTTCATCTGGGGCACGACCATCTCCCTGCAAGAAAGTATGAACCTCTTCCGAGACTTCTTACGCGGCTTCAAGCCCAAATACCGGGCGGTTTTCAACACCGAACAAGCTCGCCAAATTGAACAGGAGGGGGGCTTGGCCCCTCCTCCCATGACTCTCTATGACAACCTGTCGGCTGAGCGAGCGGAGTCTCCTCTTTACGAGACCTATCTGGGGCGTTTGCGCGAGACCGGCGAGACCAACCTCAACCTCGACGCTCTGAACCTTCTTGCCTACAACCCAAGCAAAAAGCTTTACCACCAACTTATCAATTACCCTCAAGAAGTGATTCCTATCATGGATCAAGTCTTGAGGGATGTCATGATTGAACTGGGCCACGAGTACTTGGAGAGGGCGCAGACCCAATATGCCGAAGGTACCATGACCCAATTGCAACTGGGTCTCATCACGGATGAGCTCAAGGATGTGGATTCTCGAGTCTATAAAGTCAGACCTTTTGGTGGGGAAAAGACTGTCAACATGCGAGATTTGAACCCGGGAGGTGAGCAGAGATTTGCACTTGCTGAATTGTACTGATGATCATCAGATACGGACAAATTGGTGACAATCAAGGGTCTGGTCATCAGGGCCACTCCTGTCATTCCCGATATGACTACCGCGTTCTTCCGCTGCCTCATCTGTCAGCACACTGTTCAGGCTGATATCGATCGAGGGCGCATCCAGGAACCCGATGCCTGTCCTCGAGATGTTTGTGGTTCCAGGGGCACCATGTCTCTCATTCACAACCGATCCGAGTTCACCGACAAGCAAGTCATTCGTCTGCAAGAGACCCCAGATGCTGTTCCCGATGGTCAGACTCCGCACACCGTGTCCCTCTGTGTGTACGATGAGTTGGTGGATCTGGTCAAGCCTGGTGATCGAGTCATCATTACCGGTATCTTCCGTTCCATCCCTGTTCGTGTCAACCCCAGACAGCGAAGCATCAAGTCCCTCTACAAGACTTACCTCGATGTCGTTCACGTCAAGCGCACCAACGTTGCCCGTATGGGTTTCGATCCCACAACCCGGGGAGGTGAAGGCAGGCCCCCGGGAGTCGGCGTCGGTGGGGAGGATGATGAGGAAGAGCTACTCGCTCGAAACGATACTGACGAGGCTATGGACCAGGACGGGTTCGGGGCACCCATTCAGTCTGCCTCGGCAGAAATGGAGCAAAAACTCGTCGAGCTTTCTATCCACCCAGACCTCTACAACATCTTGGCCTCTTCCCTTGCCCCCTCTATCTATGAGCTCGAGGATGTCAAGAAGGGCATTCTCCTGCAACTCTTCGGTGGTACGAACAAGTCTATCGCCAAGGGTGGTGGTGGGGGTGGTCCGAGGTACAGAGGCGATATCAACATCTTGATGGTCGGTGATCCCGGTACGAGTAAATCTCAGATCTTGCAATACGTGCACAAGATTGCTCCCCGAGGTGTCTACACTTCCGGTAAGGGCTCATCGGCCGTTGGTTTGACGGCCTATGTCACACGCGACCCAGACTCCAAGCAGCTGGTTCTGGAAAGGCAAGTGCCATCTCTGAATGAGAGAGTAAAACTGACAATGGATCTAGTGGTGCTTTGGTTCTCTCCGATGGAGGTGTCTGCTGTATCGATGAGTTTGACAAGATGAGTGACGCAACGCGAAGTGTTTTGCACGAAGTCATGGAACAGCAAACGGTGTCCATCGCCAAGGCTGGTATCATCACCACCCTCAATGCGCGTACATCTATTCTCGCTGCTGCCAACCCTATCAACTCTAGATACGACCCTAAACTTCCTATTCCCGCCAACATCGACCTGCCTCCTACTTTGATTTCCAGGTTCGACTTGTTGTACTTGGTCCTTGATAAGGTCGACGAGATCAATGACAGGAAGTTGGCCAAGCATTTGGTAGGCTTGTATCTGTCGGATGAGGAAGAGCGACCTCAGGATAACATCATTGTGAGTGATAGACACCAGTCTCGGTCAGTGCTGACATTGAACAGCCCCTCGATACTCTTGCGGCATACATTACCTACGCCCGATCCAAGAGCCAACCTGTCCTCACAGAGGCAGCCGGTGCTGCCCTCGTGCAAGCCTACGTGGACATGCGCAAGGCTGGTATGGACTCGCGGACCCAGGAGAAGCGCATCACTGCCACCACTAGACAGTTGGAGAGCATGATCAGGCTGAGTGAAGCGCATGCCCGAATGAGGCTGAGTGAAGAGGTAGAGCTGGAAGATGTGCTGGAGGCGCAAAGGCTGATCAAGAGTGCTTTGAGGGAAAGTGCTGTGAGTCTTATTCATGTACGAGACGGAAGACATTGAGCTGACATTTCATAGACCGACCCCCTGACTGGACAGATTGACCTCGATCTCATCAACACCGGCGCCGGTCAGACTATGCGTCGAGCTCGGGCCGACCTCAAGCGTGAGATTATCAAGATTGTCGTTGAAAAGGCGCGATCAACAGGTATTCGCTGGGCGGCAGTCATCGATGAGCTCGACAAGCAAAGCAACGTGCCTGTCGATCACGCTCAATTTGCAGAGATCGTGAAAGAGCTGGAGGAGGAGCAGACTGTGAAGGTTTCTGGTGAACGGGACAGGAGGGTCATTAGGAGTCTGGGTGTCTAATATATGGCTGTTGCTTCTCTTTGGGTCCATCTCTGCTATTTCTTGTTTGGATCATTTGTCATATCGGCCGTGGATAGCCTCGTCATGAAGAAATTGTATGTCTGCAGCGCGATGAGCCGGAATGCCTTCGGTTCTCTGCTTCTAATCACGCTGAACCCCCTGAATGCCCAACATGGGCTTCCACGTCACGGCTTGTGATTTGGCGCCGCTGTTGTGGCGGCGGCCGTCAGGATGGGATGTCTGGATCTCGTCTCGCTGACGACGAAGCGGGGGCATAGTACAGCAGGGCACCATGGCCTATCCCATCCAGCCCCCACGGCCCAGCCTCGACAGCGCCATAGCCAGCAGCGACGACCTCGACGACGCAGACACCGTACGCCCACCCCCGACACCTGATCCAGGCTGACCTGCTGTAGGCCGAAAGCATCGAGAACAAGCTCGCTATCGAGCGGAGGGTCCAATATGGTGCAGAGAAGATGCTCGATGTGAGCCTCTACACTGTACCGGGGGCGATGTCTGACAGTGATACAGGTCATTGAGAAAAAGGGCGGCTCGGACAGCGGAGATCAAGCAAAAGTCAAAGCAAACATCACGTCGCAGCTGGAAGCTGCCAACCTCCATATCAAAGCTTTGGAGACCAAACTGGAGAAACTTCGAGGTGCGCAGAGCTTGCACTGGTTGACTGCATCTGATCAGCTTGCAGGTACCCCACAACGAGCCCGACGTCGCCAACAGCCACGCCTGAATGGATATCCATCCTCAAACTCCCTGAATCCTCTATCCTCCTCCATCTCGTCCTCGGCTCTTGCTTCAGCGCAGCGTCCCCGTGCTGTCAGACAACATTCCAACCTTACTCCCAATAGGGAACGCGAAGACTCTTCTCCTGGTGGTTATTTCACGCAAACGACCCCATCTCGCGGTCTCCCGAGCCATCCTACCTCGTCGACGTTGGCTAGCTCGAGTGGAAGTGCGAGTGCGAGTAGGCCTCGAAGTCGTAGCGCAGGAGAGGATGTATTATGGGGCGATGAGTCGTCTTGGGGTCAAAGCTCGGGGAGGTTGGTGGAGGATGAGACCACTGCTGTACTGCTTGACAGCTTTAGAATGTTGTTGATGCGTTTGAGGGAGATTGGGAGGAGTAAGGGAAAGGAGAACGAGAACAAAGGGCTGGATGAGAGTTGTGCGGTGCTCATCAAACTGGGAGACCTTTTGAAACGCTCTGAAGCGTTGAGACGGAGTGTTGAGGTGGAAGATACGATTCAGCAGTAAGTTTGATTATACCTGGCATCTGCGGTCCTAACACGATCGTAGCGTTCTCCCTTCTCTATGCGACACTTCCACCACTAAACGCCGTGCGGCCGGCTATCGCGTACTGCGCTACATCCTCACTCGTCGCTCTTGGGCCAACATGCTATCCTCCGGCCTCGAATGGCTCCTCATCCGCACCTTCACCCGTGACGCTAAGGCTGTACATGAAAGAGAACAAGCCCTCCGCCTGGTGCGAGATGCCATGGTAATGCCTGTCATACTACCAGAACCTGAAAGAATGGACTCGTCGCCGATGAGGAAAAGATCGCATTCACGATCGAGTCAGGCGAGAGAGGGATTTCACGGGGGCATGGGACCGCTGGTCGAGGAGGGGCCTTTCACCAAAGTATCGGGTGACAAGGTGTCACTGACGGATGGGCTAGTGCGGGCTATAGTGAGCGTGGCGGAGAATCCGGACGATGCCATGCGGACTGTGTGCATGGAGACGCTGGTCGAGATTGGTGTGTACTTTCTTAGCGATTTCGAACCTGAAATCTGACTCGTCTGACAGGCTTACTTGATCTGAGATGCCTGGTAAGATCCCAGGCTTTCCGCACAGTCCTCCTCACCTTCAAAGACGGTCCCATGGAGCTTGGCCCAGCCATCACGGGTCTCCTCGTGCACTCTATCAACAGTCCCTCTACGCGGCAGCTGCTGTTGCCTGGCTCTGATCTTGAGGCAGTACTCGTAGGACTGACAGAAGCATACGGCAAGATTCCTACAAGACTGCATAATAAACATTTGGAGAGTTTGCAGCAGTGCGTAGCGAATATCACAATGTTGCTTGGATCCTGGCCTGGTGAGTCGTGATTTGGAGGGAGTGGTATCAGACCAACTGAGTTTCAAAGGTCTCATATACATGTGCCATGATGATCGGAGAGCAATCAAAAGCTTGATCAGCTCCCTGCACGTGCCGAATGCTGAAATGCGAGTGAGTGCAACCATACAGTAAGCCCATTATAGAGAGTGCTGATGTGTATCTGCAGGATGCTCTAATCAACCTCTTTTTCCAAGCTCTTCGCATAAAGATGCCGAAACATATGGACGCCTTCCTGGATGGGAAGCGACTAACCGGTATTTCGGTCGATCTATGCACGCGGTGCCCTCAGGAACTGACGACTAGCAGTTTACAACCGTACGCAAGAGGCTACGAGCCAACAGCTCTTGGACGGTGCCAACGAAGAAGAAGAGGCCCGTACTCTTACACTTGTCGACCACTTTGTGGCGATGTTGCTCACGATCTGTATCGAATCTGGGCTTCTTGAGGTGAGCTTTATAACTTATGTGATTTGTTTGTACTAGCTTTTCGCTAATCTGGACGTTTCAGGCTCTGATAGCGGTTATCGAAGAAGGAAACTCGACATTGAACCGAAAAGCAACACTGCTGCTAGGCGAGGTGCTACAGATGGCCAACAGGGTACTGCCCATGCAATTTGCAGCTCAACTTCAGGCAAGACGACTTCCAATGGTGCCATTGACCATCCAGCTGACGTTTTCTTTAGTCTTTACCTCAACTGTTTGCCGAAGCAACAGACTTTGCCAATCCGAGCGAGCGCATAGCAGCTTTATCGGCACTCTCATCCATCGACAGCCTTACACGTAACCAGACGAGAGCAGTCAAGCGAGCCGCGGCAGATAAGACTACGTGAGTCTGTTTCACGCGTGATGCCAGCACATATGCTGACAATTTTGCAGAGTGTCGTCGTTACAGCAAGATTCGCTCATGAGAGGACAGAGGCAGGTTCAACAGGTCAAGCTTCGGCTGGGCTTGCAAATCGAAGACAAACAATTCCAGCAAATGATTGTTGATTCCGGAGTGAGTCCTGATAGCAGCAAGACCTATTCACCAATGCTCATGTATGAGGACAGCTATTGCTTCATCGCGAGCACACGAAATGGAATTATGAAGTCATCATGGACCTGATCGAAGGCCCTTTGATGAACCCCAAAAGAATGGACGAAGCCATCCGAGCAACCAAGTTTATCAGGCGACTGCTCTCTTTCTTCCATCCGTACAACAATCGTTTTTCCACCGTCAAACGCACCAGAGTGAGCTATGTATCTCCCTGGCAAGTGGGTCGATTCTAACGTAACGTAGCCAAATTACAAATGGGTCAAGCTGGGTTGTTCTCTGATTTCTACAATGTTGAGCACCTCGGAAGGGCTCAGATACCTGATGGAAGACAAGCTTCTGAGGCAACTTCTTGATTGCTTCAACGAGCTCGATCAGGTGGGTCATTGGTCAAAAATGTCTGGTGTACGGTCTTACTTAGATGCGTTCAGTATGTTGGCCAGCCTACAGCTCAACCACTCTTTTCTAAGGACAGGATTGAGAACACCTTGACGTATGGGTACTTCGAGATGATAGGGACCATGAGCAAGCACTGGGACGGTATGCGGTACGTTTGCCTGCCGTCATTGAAAGACCTCGCTGAACATGTAATTGCAGACTGATGGAGAAATTCAAGTTTTTCACCTGTTTCTATCACCTGAGTGAGCAGCGGAGCCGTGACGACATTATCAGGATCATCATCGAGTGTTTCGACTACACTCTGTGAGCTCCATGATCCCTTGCCCTCGAAAGATCAGACTGACTTGTCTACAGTGATGGCCATCCGAGAATTGTCCTATCAAAAGCTCTCACATCTTCCTACATGGAAACTCGTCTCTATGCCACCCATCACCTTGGCCGCCTCTTGCACGAGCATCCTTTTCTGATGGATTGGGGTCTCCAGTTGATGATCACTCAGCTGTATGACACAAGCATGGAGGTTTGCGATGTGGCGGTCATGTATTTGGAAGAGGCCTGTACTGAGTCACAGTGCTTGGAGAAGGTTGTCGCGCTGAGGCCCACTCTCGAGCATTTGGGAGACGTTGGACATCCGTTGTTTATGCGGTGTGTCTGGTTTCCTCTGTCGTGTGGATGGTAGTACTGACACTGCCGATTTTAAGGTTTGTATCGACCAGTGTTGGTTTCCAGTACCTCAGCCAGGCTCAATATATCGAGCGAGAGCTTGACAGCTGGCTTACTGTGAGTTGCCTTGAAGCTTTCATTATCATGCTAATGGGCATGCAGGAGCGTAATATATTGTATGTCATCGAAGCCGAAACATTCGTCTCGAAGACCATCCGCCCCTGGTCAAGTGATCTGGTGGAAGACTACTGGTAAGCCCTATCGCGTCTGCTTCACACTCTACTAACGTGTTTTCTCAAGGGAGTATGATGGTCTCGCCCCCACGCACTTTTTGGGCGAGCTCACGAAGACTCCTGACGGCTGCGAGTTGCTCAAGAGTCGTGGTATCGTGGCAGAGTTTGCTGAGATCGTCAGGCTACATGGGATGGAAGACGATGATGCGTCCGTCCTGAGAGATTTGAAAAGTGCCCTGTGGGCATTGGTATGTTGATAGCTTACGCGCGTTGGCTGAAAAAGCTGATCTTTGGCTCAGGGAAACATCGGCTCTACTGAAGGTGGTCTACCATTTTTGGAGGACGAAGAGATCATCGAAGACATAGTCGAAGTCGCTGAGCACTCTGCGGTGCTGACTATTCGAGGGTCAGTCAGCTCTTCAAGCCCAAGTGTTCACTTCCTAACGCCTGAATTGTGACAGGACTTGCTTCTTTGCCATTGGTTTGATCTCTTCCACTCGTATGGGGGCGGAGATCCTGGAAGAATTTGGCTGGATCGCAACCCGCACTCCTCTAGGGCATACAACAGGGCTCTGTCTGCCCAACGACGTGTCCCGCTTCGTGAATGTATGGCATATCTCGAAACTTCTCGTCCGGTGGTGGAGCTGACTACGACAATAGATTGATCCCTGGACTCCTCCAGACTTGCGCGAAGCGCCCCTCCCTTTACCGAAGCTTCACGGCGTCGAAAAAGAGATCATCATCTCTATATCGAAATTGTCCAACTACGTGCTCGCGGCTGGAGCCATGAACAATCTGAAACGCATTCGGACGCGGCACCCTAGATATTTTTCTTCGGTCACCTTGTTCCACCGCGCGCTTCAGACAATATCAACCAATCATTTCCAAGCGCCAGTCAGACGCTTCATACTGGAACTGTTTGAGGTCAAGCTCGACAAACATGAACTGATACAGCTGGCCGGCCTGGAGATGAATATCTGGAGGACAAGGGAGGGTGAACGCGCCCAAACCATTGCGTTTGAGGAGCATGGTAATGGAACCCCTCCCGAGGAATACTTGGGAAGCGAGGCGGAGTCCGAAGAGTTCAAGGAAAGGCAAGGGCGGCGTCGCTCCGCGAGCTTGCCTGGCCAATTCCTCGGACCCTCGTCCCTCACTGATAACGCGGGAGCGCGGGCACGTGGTATTACCATCAGCGACGTCGAACGACAGAGAGTCGAGGATGCGCAGGCCGCAAGGACGTCTGTTCCATCTCAAAAGTCAGAGAGAATGTCGGTCGACAATGTTGACGATCAGCTGAAGGAGAAGAAGGTCGGCTGGGTAGAGGCGGCTGAGTCTCTAGAGGAAGTGGATAGAGATCATGAGAGAGCAGCGCCACTTCTGCTAGCCCCTGAAATACATATTGAGCCGGATAGGATTGGCAGTGTAAGTGCCAGGGTCGACGGAGAGACGGAGTGCGGGACGAAAAACAGCACGGTGGATGGCCAAAATAAAGCCAAGCAGCACGTGCGCGGTTTCTCGGTGGTGCCAGCAGACCTGGTGGGAAGGCCTTCATCTGTCGTCTCATGACATGTACATATTTCATCAAAGAATGAATATAGTGACAATCATACCTGCAAATCGATGATGATGCTTATCATGATTGCTGAGAACGCCCGCGGCTGAGGGATGCTACAAGTGTTACATGCATGCGTCATGCTCGAAACAGCGAATCGATAAGACAGGTGTGATATCGATCCAGTGTGAGGGGATATGTCCATGAAGCACAAGAGAATACAACTTGACAGGGACTCAGAGCGAAGAAATCCCGTATACACTTTTAGTCATCCAAAGGGTCACTGCGAGCTACATGTCGGTGAGCAAATCAGTAGCCAAAGATGACGATAAGGGGCAACCTACAGGCATAATCGACGTCCTCGTCATCATCCACCACAAAACTTCCAAACTCATACTCATTTTCACTGCTCCTCCCCTGACCTGCGTCTTCATCATCTGTGATGTAGACAGGCTTTTTGGCCTTGCTCATAAAGTGCTGCTTATCCTGCGCGAAGTCTCTTCTGAAAGCTAAACCATGACCTCGGGCTTGTGTGCCTAGGCCGGCCCGATACATGGCCTGTTGATTGTATCCTTTCTGCGCTTGAGTAGGAGCAAAATCATTGGCAAATCTCAAGTCAGAAGAAGATGCCACCGAAGACGTTGAATGCTCAGAGGTGTCACCTGAGTCAGAGCCAGAGAGCTCCACTTCGTTCTCAATCTGAAAGTGATGAGCAGTGTCCTTGCCAATTCATCGCACCACTTACGAATGCCCCCCTGGGCCCCTTGTTCTTCTTTTTCACCCGCTTCCCTCGCGCGTTATGGTCGGTACGCCTGCGATTAGGGTTCTGCCTGGAGGACGCCTCAGCAGCTGGGGGACTCGATTCGGGCTCATCCACGTATACTCTTCTCTTCAGCCTTCCAGCTCCTCTCCTTCCACCAACATTTACCATAGGCGACGAGTCAGGATCTTCTACAATAGTTCTACTGGGACCCGCTACGCTCGCCAGTGTTCCAGGACGAGGAGCAGAGACAGGAGAGCTGGCGTCGTCAGATGAGGGTAAGACTAGCCTTTTCCTGGAAAGACCAACCCCCAGCCGGCGTACCGGAAATTGAGTCGCCATCATCCCCAAAGGAGTGCTTGTGCCCGAAGGATCACCGAAGGGGGAGGAGAGGCCATCTGTCGGCTTGGTGGTCGAAGGTACCGGTGGAGGAGGCATTTCGACTTTACCAGCAGGAGTGCGATGGACTCGAGGGGGCGAAGAAGGCTGCCAGTCGCTAAGGACCTCAGGAAGGAAGGAATCGTTGGCAGAATCCCTTGGGGCCGGCGGCACCACCGGTCGCATTGGCAAAGGAGCAGACTCAGAATCATCATCCAGATCCCAAGAAAGATCGATGGGGTCGATCTGGCTGAATCCAGCAGCAGCAGCAGTGCCGGGCGACAGCTTATTTCTATTCGTGCCCAATGTCCTACTAGCACTGGCTGGAGATGAAGATGGAACCATGACCTGATCGTCGTCGCCATACTTGGTTCTTTTTTTTGGAGAAGGTGAAAGGCTCTTCGCAGGAGATGATGGATCCCGCCTTCGTGGTCCCGCTGGGTGAAAGAAATCTAGGTCCTCGACCTTTGTAGAAGTCGGGGGAACTTTGATGCTGGGGAATGATTCACTGGAGTTGCAGCTTCTCTTGAAAGGTGCCTTCGGGGGAGGGGAAAGAGCTTCAATATCTGAATCAGACCCAATGTCAGGTACGGTGGCCTGGGGAGTACGGCCCGCGAGGGCTGCACGAATAACCTGCTGTCTGCGCGCCCTAGCTGTATCGGCTTCATCTTCCTTATTTTGCGGTTCCGGGAGATCCGCAGGTCTCGGTAGCGATAGATCGGAGTCTGAAGTACGCCCCTTCTTGGCATGCCTGGAATCTGCTCGTTTGACAGGTGCCGCTTTTCGCTTCAATCCCGTTGGCTCCTTGCCCTTTTCTGAATACCTAGATTCAGCAAAGAGAGCTTCTAGAGTTTGGTCATCGATATCGTCTTCAGAGGCGGAGCGGATAGGAGAAGGAGCCCGGGCCACCTTTCGGGGCTTCACTGGGTTCTTGGCCTTTGACTTTTTTAGGACAGGACCTTCGTTTTCGTCATCGGACTCCGGCCGCATAGCAATGGCATTCACCGCTTGTAGCAGACTTTTGCCCTTCAGAAGGTCTTTGACAGACTTGAATCCCGTAGCGCCGTCGGGCACCTCATCCTTCATCAAGTTTTGTCGCTTTCCCTTGGTGCCCTTGGCAGAAGCCTTCTTTGCCTCCTTCTCGGCGTCCATCATCGTTTTTTTGAACACTTGGTCGTCCGGGTTCCACTCATCGATCGCCATCTCCTGCTCCTTACAGCCCGGAAGCTGTCGATCGGGCAAAAGAGGCTCCACGTCTTCGAATAGTTCTAGATTGCGCGAGTGCAAGATCTCTTCTTGGATATCCCGATGAGTCTGTTGGGCGGTATCCCAGTTGCAGTCTTCGCGATTTTCTGACATCAAGACATGGACGTGACCGTCTCGTTTTCGACCGGTACGACCAATGCGTTGGAGCTGAGAAGTGTGTGAGCCCCGGACCCGGGTGACAAAACGTGACTCACAAGCTTGATGGACGTTCGCGGCATGTCGTAAAGGACAACGAAATCAACCTCACCAATGTCCAGGCCTTCCTCGCCAATGGCTGTGGCGACGAGGACGTTGAATTTTCCTTCTTTAAAGTCGGAAATAGCCTTGAACAAGGTCAGCGGGATGTAAGAAACGTCAAGATGTATCGCATACCTTCTTCTGCTCCTTCTGGTTAAACCCTTTGTCGCCGTCTCGATCGCTCTGGCCGACGAATTTCGTCGCTTTCAATAAAGGCGCGTTCTCATTCAACATGTCCTGAATTATCAAGTCAGCTTGTATCACAACTTTGAGGTTGAATGGCACTCACGACAATCTCCAAGACACACGGCCGGAAACTACAAAATACCATGGCTCGAGTGTCGTTCTTTTGGCCAAGAGTCGTTTCCTCCTCCTCCGCTTGGGCAAAATGGGCCATCAGCTTCGAGAAAGATTAGTATTATGCAACAGAACTCGAAAGAGCATTACGCACCAGTTCCAGGGTCTTTGCCATCTTGGGATGTCTATCGGTCGCGCTTTTGCCATTGCGGCCGATCTTGATCGAGTTCAATTCTTCGTCGACATCCCTTTGCAGTCTCTGAGCGGCAAAATTGTTGGCGAGACTGTTGGCTCCGCCGTTGGTATTGGCCTTCTTTCCTGTTGACGATTTACCCGTGAGGATTTCGCCGAGATTGGTAGCAAACATGCCAAGGGAGAATTCCAACTACGAGCTGTCAGTTGGCTCCTTGTCAGGGCACATACTCACAAGATACTGCATAGCCCTCGCCATCTTCTCCACCTGACCCAAAGGTCCATATACCCACTGCATTCCTTGCTGCCTACGCTTGGCGAATTCTGCTCTTTTGGCGGTGATGGCAAACGGTCGTAGACGCTTGACATCGAGAGCGTTTGCAGTGAGGACCTCTTTGTCGACTAATTTCTTGACAATCGGCTATACACAAGTCAGCTAGGGATTCAGGCAACGACGATGGCGACGAACAACCATGAGTTCTCCTAAACGATCCCGAAAATCTACTATCGTATCCGTCATGGAAATGATGTGTCGTTCGATGTGCTATAAAGGATAAGTGCCGGTTACCATTTCAACATCGGCACTCACTTTGGTGTTCATGTATTTCCTGATCTCCGGTGCTTCTGCTTCACGGATCTCTATCCTCGATATATGAAGCGCATCAACCACATTCTGCACCTTCTCAACATCTGCCCCGGGCGTCGCAGTCAATGCCAGGACTCGAAAGTAGGGATGATGGGCAGTGATAAGAGACAGTATCGTAGTGTATGCAAAGTTTCCGGTAGCTTTGTGAGCTTCATCTACGGCAGTCTGTGAGCAGATACACAGACACGAAATTATAGAACTAACCGAACACGACCAATACGATGTCTTTGGGGTCTACGATCCCGTTCTTGAGATCGTTTTCCACCGTCTGTGGTGTACAGTAGAAGACCCTTCGTTGTTCCCACTGAAGTGAGTTAGCAAAGTACTAGATCTTTGCAGAGAGACTCACCAGGTGCTCTCGGAGTTTCTTAGTCCCGCTTTGCCCCGTCATAACCGCAGCATCCTTGCTCGGGATACCGCAAGACATTTGACACGCTTCAATCTGTTGTGCGACAAGGGGTTTAGTAGGCGCCAAGAATAATATTTTGCCAGTAGGAAACCACCGGTAATCTGCATGGCGTCAGACAATAGCAACGAGGGGATGGCGGAGATGGCATGACATACAATTCAACATGACCACGCCAGCAACAAACGTCTTTCCCAAGCCTGTTGGTAACGCCACTAAAGTATTGTCCATGAAGCAATTTCTGATGATCTCGAATTGATAATCTCGTTTTGACCGATTGGTTGGGTATATGTACTCCTTGATGCTCAAACTATTCGGTAAATGTTTTTGAGGGCCGTAGGGTTTGGCTAGGGAGCACGTCAGCTCCCATAAGCTCCATTGCCTGGTGTATATTCTCACTAAGGTCGAAATTGGACTTTGGTGGTGGTGCAAGCATGCCCCCCATATCTTCCTCGTCTTCCTCGTTGGCATATGCATCCTCCTCGTCCTCGTCCCATCCCATTACATTCTCGCTATCTCTCGCCTTTGCCTTTCCTTTGCCTTTTGCCTTCTTCCTCATGTCATTCCCGCCAGGGAGTGCAATAAGTCTTCTGCCGGTCTTGGCAAAAGCAGTGCGGTCCCATCTCTTTCCTTCAGTGTACTTCGGGGAAGGGCGCCAATTTAGATGTGTCTGGAACATGCCATCCTGTCGATTGGCTTGGCTCGGGCCTGATGTCGTTCGATTGTTGGAAGTAGATGGTCGAGAGGCGCCGCTTGTATTGCGCTTGGATGCGGAATTGGCCGAGTTGGCCGACACGTAGGAAAGCCCTGCGTTGGTCAAGTTTGAGCTGGCTTCGTCCACTACAGCCGCCAGAGCGTCCTCCGGAATTGCCCATGCGCCATAATCATCAGAAGACGGGTCATCAGCAGCTCTTGTGGTCTGCAAACGAGACTGTCCCCCCACAGCGGCTTTACTCGCTGGCCCAGTCTTGAGGCCGGGCGCAGAGTATGTTCTCTGCACGCCGTTCGCGTTGGTGCCTTTCCCGCTGGCAGTGGCTTCATTTAGTGAAGCTGCTCTTGCTATCCCATTCGATTGTCTAGAGCTTCCAGGTCTTGGGACCGGCATAGGTGTGGGAGGGTGGGGAGCTTGTATTGATTTTGCCGCTATCGTATCGACCTGACGGAGAAAGGAGTCGTCCAAGAAAAGGTCGTCATCGCCAAAGTAGTCATCGTCGGACATGTCAAGAGGGGAAAAAGAAGGGGGTGACTTGGAGCGGGCTATACCAAGACAAGGCGAGAGAGAAGGAAGAGCGAGGTGGCAAAAGTGAGTGGAATGTTGAATGCGACGCGTTCAAAGCGTAGTTGACGTGTTTTGATTTTAACGACCATGTGTTGTAATTACGCGTCCAGAGAGATGCGGGGCTCCACTGTGCCTCACCGACTCTGGGCTTATCTTGACCTGACTGTGATCTTACGAACTGCAAGGTACTTGTGCATACTGGGAACGGACTCAGGACGTCTCTGTCCATAGCCACCCAATGTCTTCGCTCGACAGCTCACCCCCTCACAACCGAGAGGCGCACCAGTGTCAATCCCTGCGCTCTTCTTCCCTGTGCCCTGCTAATGGCGCATGTTCAGTCTTCTTCTACGGTACACTGTGTGCACCTCAAGTTCTCGCCAGAGTCCTTGGCCATAAATGCGAAAATCTTACCTTCCAGGACGCTCTTCTGCCGGTCAGTAGCTCCTTGCACCACCGCTATCAAGTGCTCATGATCTCCGCAGGGATACACGAGGCATCGCGTCAAGGGAGAAGCATACCCGGCCGTGATTGAGCATGATGGCTCCGGCCAGACATCTGATACCGAGTCAGTTCACATGATCACCTATGATCCTGATTAGCTGTCTGACGATACCGAGAAGCGAGCAATCCGACGCTTCCAGCACCCGAGGAACACTGGTCCACGGCTTGACCAACGCCGATGCACATGCACTCGACCTATTCGAGGACGATGTAAGTGGCTTCTTATCTACTTTGATCGGTGGTTCAGTGTTGATGTATAAATGATCCAGGAGTATACCCGCAAACGAGTCCTCGTGCGCGCCCTCACCCATACATACACCGTCGGCAATCTCCCTCCCGCCCTTCGTGACCCCACTTTGAGAGAGGGAGTCGAAGGAGCAGCGCCCAAAGACCAGGAAGATCTTACAGACAGCAAAGTCGCATCTGTTCCGCCTTATTCAGCCAAGATGTCTGAAGCTTCAGTCTACGTTTGGTCGGATCCCCTCGATAGGCTGGAGCCTGAAGTTTGGGAGTAAGCTGCACTCACATCAGTCATATAAGACAGCGAGCCTCATCTCGGATATAGTTTTCAATCCTTTACCAAGGCCAAGAAAGATGACTGGAACGACCTGCCCGTAGAATGGTATGACTCTGTTGACAAGTCGCGGACTGGGCTTGCCCGCCCCAATTCGGCATCGATCAACGGTGACCAAAATGGCAAAGTTGAAGATGAAGGGGGTGATGAGGGCCTTGTGGGCCGACAGGCAGAGGGGTATGAGGACTTTGGACATAATCTCCTCAAGCAATGGGCGTTCAGCGACGGCTGTGAGTACCTTTGCTTTCTTTAGAATATAGGGCGGACTGATGTGGTGCTTCAGACGTCAATCTCAATCATGGCTCCTACGGCTCCCCTCCCTTGCCAGTCATATCTGCTGCAAACAAGCTCAGTACTCAGATCGAATCTAACCCGGACAAGTTCATGCGGCGAGACTGGTTGCCCATCCTGGAAGAAACCCACCGTGCCGTGGCTGGTATCATCGGTGCGCAGGAGAGTGAGGTTGTGATTGTGCCAAACACTACCCATGGTATATTTAACATCGTTGACACCCTCAAATGGGAGCCCGGGGATGTCATAGTCTACTGTACGCCTTTCTTGTGTTTGTGGTGCACTTGCTGACTAGCGCTCATAGACAATACCACATATGGCGCTGTATCCCAGATGCTCAAGTATCTGGCAGATTCGCGAGGAGTCACACTCCATCCCGTTAACATAAACTTTCCCGTTCCTCATTCTACCGTCATTGAAGAGACGGCAAAGGTACTTGACCAATACAATGAGATCTCCAAACCTCACTACACTGGGCAGCCCAAGGCGACGGGGAAGGGCGACGGATCCTCTCGGGTAAAGCTTATCGTTGTCGATGCCCTCTCGTCGAACCCTGGGTGAGGAGCCCGCCTTTCTGTTGGCAAACAACGCTGAAACTCCCTTAGCCTGTTGTTTCCCTGGCAAGAGATTGTCCAGGTAGCCAAGAGATATGGTGTTCTTTCTCTTGTGGACGGAGCACATGCCATCGGCCAGATCGAAGTGGACGTCAAAAAAGCAGACTGCGACTTTTTCGTCTCGGTGAGTCAATTGAGCCGTTACAAATGGCGCCTCTAACCCTTCCACAGAACTGCCACAAATGGCTCATGTCCCGACGAGGTGGTGCGGTGCTGTACGTTCCCACTCGCAACCAATACCTCATCCGGACTTCCATCCCCACCTCCGCCGGATACGAGTCCACCAAGTACCCTACTCCTGGCGTCAACGCCGAATGGGCGTGGGCTACACAATACCGATGGACGGGGACACAGGATTGGACGCCCTTTTTCTCTATCCTACCTGCCATCGAGTTCCGCAAGAATGTGCTGGGTGGAGAAAAAAGGATCATGGAGTGGTGTCACTCCTTGGCTGTCGCGTAAGCAATGGTTCCGTCTTGTATGGGACGAGTACTAATATTACTCGATAGGGGCTCCAAACGCCTCAAGCAACGTTGGGGTGTCGACGCCGTGATAATGGACACTCCCACACCAACTTTGACTGCAGCCATGTCAAACATCACCCTACCTCACATCCCGCCTCCGACCTCTTTCGCTGACCAAGCTCAACAGGCCAGATTCTTGGTGGACGGAATGTTTGAAGCCAATTGCTTTGCTGCTTGTTACATGCATGCGGGCAAGTGGTGGGTCAGGTTCTCGGCGCAAGTTTGGAATGAGGTGAATATTCTTCCTTGCTCCCCTTTGCGTCACATTCAGAATCTGATCGTTGACGCAGTTGAGCGACTTTGACTACATAGGAGGTGTGTTGGAAGATTTGTGTCTAAAGATCAAGTAAGCTGCCTTGGCAAAGTCCCAAGTTCGGTGCTGACGGACAACAGGAATGGAAAGCATCTCAAACAGGCCGAGACCGTTGAAGCCACAAAGAACGCGCCAAAGCAACCCGTCCAGGTAGAGTAGGCTTTGTTGTCCAAGAAGACGAGTAGATTGATGTCGCGGTCTTGTATCTATCTCGAGTCTTGGTTCCACTTTCGTTGTCTTCTCGGATTCTGCTAGAAAGAAGGAATGCATGTTATACAATAAGCTCGGATAACCTGGCGCAAGGTTATTTGGTGTGGTGGATTCTGAGCTTGCCGGGCACGTGAACATAGTTGTTGGCTGTATCCTATAGTCAGCGTGACGTCCCTCGCCAAATCGCCCACATACCATAGGTCTTGGGAGGCACCACGACCTTCTTTGGCTCATCAACCTTGTAGGGCCATCCCTGCTTCTCAGCAAAATAGATCGCCTCCTCCTTGCTCCTGAAGAACAAGCCTGTTCCCTGCACATAATCCGCCGAGGACGCCCAACCCATCAATCTGTTCTCCCATCTCCCAGCACCCTGCAAGACGTCAAAGTCGACAACCCATCGCTTCGTCTTGCCCTTGGCTGACTGCATGGTGTTTTTTGTGGGACGGTAGATGCGGACGGGACGGTGGAGGAGCTCAACTAAGTGTATGGTTAGTGGTGGGACCATTGTAGCATTACGGCTATGCGCGACGCGAGAAATAACGTGTGCTAGTAGCCTTTGAAGACTGACCAGGGGCACCTGATACAAGATCGGCCTGGATACCGTTGACACTCTGGTATTCTGTGGGAACAGTGCCGTCCTGGATGGTGGGCACAGGGGTTGTAGAGGACTCTGGCCTGCTGGCAGAGTTGAAGGCGGGGACAGAGGCGTGGATGGCCCGAGGACTGGCAGAGGCCAGGGGGGAGAGGGGGGCTGCTGATCTGAGGAGGGGGCGGAGGGAGAGCATGGCGGGGTGGCGGGTGTGAGAAGATGAGAGAGGATAATAGCCCAGTGCAGATTGGCTGCGAGATGACGGAATCAAATCTCGCCTGGATACGTAAGACCTAGCCCGGTGATGTCCGCCTCCTCAAGCGATGACAACTACGCGCGCGTCGCGTCCGTTCGTTCGTTCCAAGTTGGCTTCAATCCTTCAACCTCTTTTCTTCCTTCTATATCTCTCACTATCCCCACTTGTTCCACAAGACTCGACCCGCCAGTTATGTCACAACCGTCATCTCAACCCCCAATCAGGGGATCCATCCTATTCGGGGGCCGACCGATGACGATGAAGAAAACTTCCAAACGGAGGGGTAACAACCTTCAGAATCTTGTTCAGAATAGGCCAACAAAACGTCCAAAGCCAACTGGACCTATCCGCCACCTTGATCCCGCATGGAGGGTGAATCCGTCCTTTGAGAGCGCAGAGAAGGACCCTATCCCCGAGCTCCCACCGCCAGAAAAGCACGAGCCTGTCTACTTTCCTATCTCGACGAAGGGTGTAAGCTTCGCAGACCAGAAGCTGTTGTACTGTGGCGACGATCAGGAGGAGCTTGATGCGAGTCCCGAGAACTGGCAAAGGTATCGCATCCTTGTAAAGAAAGGGGACGCGCTCGTTGTTGAGCTTTGGAGGGGAATATGGCTATTACATGATTGGGATGAGACAAAGCTTGTACCCTCAGTAAGTATCACAACATGGCTTATGGGAAGAGTCGTAGCTAATCAATCACAGGCATCTAAATTCTGCCATGTCTCAGTTCACAATGAGCAGGTCTCATGTGACTGCTCAGCAGCCAAGAAGCGCCTCACAGCGGCTAAAAAAGGAAGCCTCTCAGCGGGCGACCAGCGCCGCCTGTGTACCCATTGCGATCTTTTCCTCCACTGTAACGACATGTTCCCGTCTACAACCAACTCCACCCAGCTTCAGCCCGTCGTCAGTTTCGCTCTGAGCGGCATATCCATCTTCCCACTGTTTTTTTCCATCCAACAGTCAGGCAGCTCAGCCATCGGCTACCACAACTCTGGCAAAAGGGTAGTGACCATGTATCTGGGGAATGATAGATGGCGCTGCAGCTGCCAGACCCACAACACCTGCGAGCATATGCACAAGGCGGTCGCTTTCTCTTTCGAGAATGATCTGGCCACTAGGAGCGATGATGGCGCCTTCGTGTTGTCGGATAAGATACCAATCATCGAGGTCGACAGTGACGAGCAAAAGGAGCTCTACTTGTCTGCTTCCTCCTTTCGTCAAGAAACGATTTCCCATAAAACCATCTCAAGCCCTTTCCATTTCCATCGCGAAACGGATCCCGTTCCCTCTCAACGGCCTGCTTATATCGAAACGCAACATGGCACGCTCGTTCTGGACATGTGTGCGCTTTCGAAGCAAAGAGAGGTAGCGGCTTACTCTGCCGGTAGGCTTCAGCGAGCTATTCGAGGGCGTAATGATGCGGAATCACAGTTGACAACAAAGAACACACTATTGGAGACGACGCATATGCTTGAGCGCGCTGTTGTCAAGATGGCTCAGGATGGCACGACCCCAGAGGACATAGCCGTGCATATCGCTATGCCTCTGGATCAGGTCAAAGAGACCCTTCTTCGTTTTGGTATCAATGTACAGCCCTATTTTGTAATCAATGTATCACATTCAGGTCATCGTGACGTATCTATCCCCCTCTGTCATGAATCAAGCCCAGCGAACACTGCCACAACTTCACTGGCTCATTGTCAATCCTTCTTGCCTTCAATATTTGAAGTCAGAATCAACTGTAGACAAGAAGAAGCCTCGATGATGGTTTCTTCTCGCTCTCCACCGGGGGGCCTGCGCAATGTTTGCTTGTCGACTGTCATGTACTGGATTATATACATGTCTTCTCCTTTGTACTGCTGTACGTATCACAAGGACCCATCCCCTGGGTCTTTGGCATGGTATGACTACCTGTCATGGCCTGCTGCAGCTCTTCGTCGTCTCATTTCAACTGCTGCTACAAGGGACCTCCGGGGTGATGAGACAGGAGTATATGTGTCACGACCTGTCCTCCCCTCCACCAACAAGGTTCGACCTTTTTGGAGACGACAAGATAGAGAGCGATCGTTCATTACTTTCCGGAGGAGAGTGTGGTAATCAGGCCTGCTCTGGGGGGGACAGCTGAAGTTATCACCACGTGTAATTGAGGGTTGAGTCCCAAGTACGTGAAGAGGAAGACACAGATGTGCTTGGATGAGGTCTTGGAAGGAGCAGTAGAGGTTAAGGAAGAAGAGGAGGGGGATATACGAGAAGTGCCACCACTCGCACATACTTGGGAGTATATACTACACAACATCATCCTCGCACACACCCAGGCGAGTACTCGATAGTACAGATGTTTGGGCCATCTGGTACCCGTATACCTCATTGGCATAATAGGAATATTCAATGCATAGATCGCCATGGAGTGTGTACAATTAAGTGAGATCCACGGTACTGACAAGTCAGGAGATTCCAAAAAGATGTATATCATGATCAACTTTACAAGATAACCTGAAGATAAAGAAAAAGCCGGAAGCCCTTGTAATATAAATATAGACAGAAAAAAAGCCCTTGAAAGATATGCGAGACACTTTCTCGCCACCCCACCTCACGTCACTCCACTTAAGACATCTATTTATTTATTTATTTATTCGTTCGAACTAGAGTGGGCTCAGACCGTGTGGTTGACAGCGGGATAGGAGTTGGTGTCGGACAAGTCCTGTTCCTTCTCCCAGCCGTGCATGTCGTTAACTTCCTCGTCCAAGCTCTCGACGGTAGAGTCGACGAGGGTGGAGGTAGGAGGAGAGATGAGAGAGATGATCAAGTAGATGCTGCCGGCAACGAAGAATGAGGTCAACCAAGAACCCCTGTCTGTGATGAACATCAGCAAGGCGCAATTATGCAAAGAAAGAGTAGCGACGCACAAAAGTAGACAAAGTTGCCAATGTAAACCTTGTTGTTGATGGCGTGAATGAGACCGGGAAGGTTCATGGGAATCACGATGAGCAAGGTCAAGAAGGCTCGCCAGTTGATACCAAACTTGTATTGGTAGATACCCTCGTTTTGGTAGAGCATGGGGACGTGGAGGTGAGTCTTTCTCACACACCAGTAGTCAACAATCATGATCGACTACGCAGAGTCAGTCTTCGGTCATTGAGGGACGGACAGTAGAAAGAAGACGTACGACGATAGGGGCCAGAACGATGATGTAGCCAGAAAGGAAGGTGGTGAGGGCTGAATCATGTCAGTCAAGTGGATGAATCATGCACAGCCCACTTACCCGTAGCTGAAGCCTGGATCTTCCAAGGAGCAGTAGCCCAACCACCGATGATGGAGGTGATGAAAGCACCGCGCTTGATGTTGATCCACTTGGGAGCCAAGAAGGCCAAATCGTTGGAAGTGGCGATGGAGTTGGTGGAGATGTTGGTACCAAGGGTGGCGAAAGCGAAAGCAAAGGCGACAAAGAAGGCACCCGCACGGTTGGTCCAGAGGGCAATGATGGAAGTGGGGTCCCAGTAAAGAGTGCCATAGATGGTTTGTCCAGCAGAGGCAATGACAATACCGATGAACGAGAAGACGAAGTAGACAATGGGGATGAAGAGCATCTGCCAGTAAGAGTCGGAAGTTCGTCGAGCGTATCGAGTCAGATCGGGCTAGAGCCACGTCAGCCATGTCCCGGTGATTGGCAATGCGACTTACAATGTTGATGGCGAGGGTAGTCTTACCAGAGATGGCAACGTTGATACCCGCCAACCAAGCCCAAGACTTGGTGGAACCTGAAAGGGAGGATCTCTGGGAGAAGATGGGACCGCCACCGCCAGCCTGGTTGACAGCCCAGCCTAAAGTAGCAAAGGCGGCGACGATGGCCAAAATGGACTTAACAAAGAACACCCATCGCATCTTTCGGGGGTGGATCATGACAAGCGGGAACTGGACTGTTGAAGGGGTCAGCGCACGGACAGGGCGAGAGGGCCCGATACGTACTAGACCAGAAGACAAAGTAGGCGATCATCCTGTTGCTCGCAAGACCCTGAGAAGTGGGAATGGCATTGGGGTAAGTCTTGAGCTGGGGCCAGATAGCCTCGAGACAGATAAGAGTACAAGAAGCACCGATGTAGGTGTTGATACTGTAACACACAAGTAACACACAAGGGTCAGTCACCGTGCACAGATCGCCAGTCATGTACGCACCCAAAGTAGAGAAGACCCAACACCAGACGGGAAATGACGGCAAAGTAGGAAAAGTAGAATCCAAGAGATGCACGAGAGGCGATAGAGAAGGGGACATGGTGTCGGGAACCAATCACACCGTTCAGGGTGACGGCAGCAGCGATGATGATGTTTCCGATAGCGCTGTGTTGCTAGATCAGCTACTACGAAGACCCTGGTTTCAACGAGCTGGCTTACATCGCGGCCGAAGCTTCACGCCAACTGAGACCAAGAGCGACGATGGAACCAGCTTGCTGCATGGTACCAACGTTGGCACCATCAGCCAACCACAAGAAGAGGTAGTTGATGCTACATATGATCATTAGTATGGTGTCAGTGTATACAGCGGGTAGTGCTTACGCTCGCCAATTTCGCTGCTCGACGGGGACCACATCGACATCGGCGTTACTCCAGCCATCATGGGTGGCGTAGGAAGCAGGAGGGGTGTCGAGGTGCCAGTAAGAAGAAGAGAACCACTTCTTGGGCTCGGGCTTGCTGAATTTGAACATGATTGAAAACTAAAGGGTGGTAGAAAAGCAGCGATGATCAGCTGCAGTCCTAGACAACGGGGGTTTGATGGTGGCTCCAGGCGCAAGGAAAGAAGAGAAGAGGGGCGGAAAGGTGAAGGAGAGATGAGGAGAGATGACGGCAGGTGTAGAAGGAGAGGGCGATGGAGAGGATCAGGAAGGAAGATGGGAAGTCGAGAGGTGGGAGAGAGATCGGATATTTATGTACTCGCGTTGCCACGTGAGCAAGCGAGAGGACGGAGAGGGGGGTGATGGAGCAGGGCACTCCATGTGCGCACGGTCCTGATGATATGTACACCGTTGCTCGTACCTAACGCTGACACAGGGCACACGCAGGGCAAGACCATAATTGCACTCCCTGCCGAAACAACAGAGCCCGACGTCGCATCAAGGTTACCCGCGCGCACATGGGGCCATGTGGCGCACTCAGCCTCGAGCCTATTGCCACTCGCAGTGGTTGGGCAAGCAACGAGCCCGTAAAGGCAGGTGGCTAGTCATCCTCGTCCCAGTCCTCGTTCTAGCGTAGTGCATACCCACGCTAGAACACGTCGAAACATCCAACATGGCTTCCTCCCACCGCAACACCCCCACAACATTCCATTCCGATGCCACCAGCGCAGAAACGGCCCCGACTCACTGATTGTCTCAATTACTGTGCACAGTCGTCAGTGTACTTGATGGTGGATCGGTAGCTTCGGTAGTCGGCTTGGAGGGTAATAGTCGTGATGTAGTAAGCTACAGAAGAGCAAAGATGTCGGGGACTGTCAGGGATGAGATGTATATACACAACGACTAGGAACCAGTCAGCGATTGATGCCTGATAGGCCTGATGTCTCCATGCGTTGAGCAGCAATGGGCCTCGGAAATATCCAGGCATGGAAGAACGACTGTCTGTGCGCCAGGTCCCAATGGGGCGGAAGGGCCAACGACAGGGAGCGAGAGGCAAGAGCGCGAAGGTGGATATCGGGACACTTACTTTTATGAGCCACCGCGTACTTGTCCAGCGGATCTGACAACGAGACGGGTCGCACTGAGGGGTACAATAGAGGTTGGGGGGGTCGAAGCTGAGTGCTTTAAAGCCTGCAAAGCCATTATCAGCATAATGAAGAGCAGCCTGGAGAACAATAGAAAAATGTGGCCGTACCTTAATAGATGGTGAGACAGGCGGCAAATCTTATGTCTGTCTGAGCCCTATCTGCAGCCGTGTCGAAGAAAAGTCGTTTTGAGAAGAAGAGATGAAGATGGACTTTCAAACGACCGGCCGACCACTCTTTATTGCAGGCCTCTCGATGCGATCTCGTGCCGTCGTGCGAAGAGGCAGCCAGAAGGTCAGGAAATGCAGGACTTTTACCCTCAAGCTAACGACGTACTAGCACGGCGGGTCAAGCCGAAGTCGTTCGCGCCGTCGCGGGGCAAAAATTTGAAATTTTTTTTATTGCGTCTTAACAAGTCTCGCAGGGTCTTTCGGACAGCCGCAGCTCAACCACCCCGCTTTATTCGCACACTTGCGACGTTTCGGTATCATGGGGTTGTGGGCTGAGAATTGAGATATAAAAAGACTGGATCAGATCAAGCGCACAAGGTGCAAGGTGTACGTATGTATACGGCTATGCAGTGAGATCCGCCTTCCCACAAGTGCTGCATCATCGCGCTCGGCAGACATTTCCTCCAGGCATCTTACGCATCTTGACTCTGGCCGTCTTGGCTCTCATCTCCTGAAGATGCTCGAGGGGGAGAGGCGCGAGGCATAACCCTTTTTGCACGAGAGCATATGAGTCAGGATCTGCATGCCTGCAGGATAAACGGACAGGAACAGATGGAGGAACCAAAGAGGAGCGGAAGTCTCGCAATTATTATTATCCTACCAGCCTCACACATTTCGCAGGACTTCCAGAGACCAGAGGCCCCAGAGGACTTCTTTCTGTAGACTGTATCCCGATTTGCCCTCGATGTACACAACCTCGCCATGTTGATTCGCCATAGACCATCGAGCCCGCCGGTACTTGTGCGCGATTGACGAGGCTCTGCTGATCATATGTAGTCGCAGGTCGCAGGTCGCAGGGTAGTACCACCGACCAACGGGAGCGAGTCACTTTATGCGGGACCTTGGAGGCGGAGCGCGGATGTAGGATACATTTTGAGGGGAGTCATCGCTTCGCAGCTCATAGCATGTAGCATGTGCAGCATAACTGCAGAAGGCAGAGGAGTGCATACCTTCTGCGCATATGGGCAGGAGATAAGATCCGGACAGTCGGGGCCGGGGTACGAGTCATCCTGGATCCGTCACCCGGCACCCCAGCCCGCCCACCTGTTCCTCTGCAGCATCTGCAGTCTCGAGGTAGCGTCTAGAGAAACCTCTAAAGAGCCATGTCAGAACATCTATGGGGTTGTCTGTAATTTAGAAGTACTTCTATAGCCCGAGCTACTCGGGGCCTGGCCTCGGCAGCTTTGCCGGAACATTTGCCACATGAATCATAATACCGAAACGCCGTACCTCCACTCGGCATCGACACAACTGGCCTCACTCCGAGGGGGAGCGGCTTGCGCCGAGCCTAGGGCTGTTGTTGCTTGTTGGGTTCGGTTCGTCTGCCCGCTCGCTGCCAGAATGCCCCAATCATTCTCTTCCAGGCAGGGCAGTCAGCGATCTTACCCCTCGCCTCCTTCAATAGTAACCAGGTGGCCCATCCCCCATTCCACCCACCGTCAGCCCGGTCGACACCTCCCTTCCCTCGAAAGCGTCCCTTCCCCCGATACTTCCGCAATTGCTTGCCAGTCTCCGATCACTCCCCAATCCCTTACCCCTTCAATATATTGAGGCGTCTGCAATGGTATGAATACATGCGCGATGCTGCTCGCCGCGATCCATGACCCCGGGTCGCTTACCTCCTCGCGTTTTCGTGACCGGATTTTCTTGCTTCAGCTCATCCATATCCACGGTCTGGGAATAGGCAGAAGTATTCGTGAGAGTGTATAGCAAGCTTACAAGATGCTTACGTGGGTGCTTGTGGCTCACTGTACAAGGCATGGGACGATGTAGTTCTGCGTGGGCGATCAGGAATCAGGATATCCGTGTATCAAAGGACGTATGGGAGGATCCGATGGATGGACATCTGTATGTACGATAAGTGTGTGATGTCCCGTCATGCACCATACTATTCATCAGTCTACTCATCAGGTGGCGACTGTCAAGCACACATGACAGAGCTGCTATGTACTACTGTACTCGTACAGTACTCGAGTATTCACGGAATGTCATCAAGCCCCAGTACTCTAACTGTACAGCGTACACCATCTCCTATTACTGCCCGATCCGGGATGATATATTGTATATACAGTGTATAGCACTGACACCCATTGGTATACAGTCCGGGACGTCAAGAGCGACCTGTCATCTCTGTTAGAAGTGTCCTCGACTCGGTCGCGCGCTCATGTGCTATGCAAGACAAGGGATCCCGGGAGTATATGCATACACTGGTGTGTCCGGGGGGTCATTCCCCCATCAGAGTCATATCTCTGCCTGGCATGTGAAGCTGGTATCTATTATACCCGCACTCTTCTCTGATCAGCCTTGGACAAAAAAGGAAGTGTTCGGTGGGGAAGGAGAACCATATGGCGGGCTAGGGAGAGGAATGTATGGTGAGCCGCATGGAGGAGAGTATGCTTTTGTTGAAAATCAGCCTCGCATGGGTCATCAGGTTGAGACTGTACACAGACAATATGACCCTCCAAACGACCGCGGATGTAATATGATCTCTTGTAATGTATGCAGCCTCACATTCGTCTTACCAACATCACTTCATACGCTTGTTGGTCATAGATTCACTCTCATATCTTCCATGCCCCTTGGCTATGTTCACGACAAAAGTGGCAGAAGGAAAGAAGTAGAAGGTTTAGCCGGCGACCATAAGAAGGCGTGTGTAGACTTTGAGACCATCATTTTTTGTTACATGCATCAGCAACCTACCCCAAGTAAGCTGTAGACGATCTCGAATAGACATTATGAGAGCTATGGGACAAAAGATTGGACTGTCATCGATGCATGGCGGCCTGACCAACACTACCAAATGTGAAAGACCACCTTCAACGCTTCCGATCCTTGGTCAATCTTCTGCTCGCGACTATCGTTATACGTTGCATGCATCAGCAAACCACCCCAAGTAAGCTGTAGACGGTCTCGAATAGACACCATGAGAGCCATGGGACAGACTATCTGACTGTCATCGATGAATGATGGATGCAAAGACACTTCTTCTGCGGTTGAAACTTTACCTTCTACATGATTGCGCATTTCATCCTTGCAACATCCACAACTCCCATCGCCAAAGACCCCATTGACAGCGCTTTTACCGAACAATTGTATGTGTATAATGAGATGAACCCCCCCAAGCATAGCGCCGATATGATACATGATAAGTGACCATCATTTACTATCGTCCTCCTCAACGTTTGCCAGCTTTGAGGCCAGTACTTGGCATACACTATCATACACATCACGTGGCAGATGAGACAGTTGGCTTACAAGTCCGCCAATGACGAGTTCATCGGATAGCTCTCGAACGATACCCTTCTGCTTTCACCCTTTTCGGAGCATGCTGCTTCTGTTGAGAGACTGGATCCCAATCCAAAGGTACCTACTAGAATGCCTCTCATTCATGTAAGAAAGACTCTTTCTCAAGCGGCTGAGAAGAAAGTGATTCGACTCAGCAATGCTTGAATTGATCCTGGTGAGCGTCGGATCTGCCGCCATATGAGTCGAAAGGAACGAGCACGCTGAGCATTTGGAGTGGCCTTGGGCATGGAGTTCACCAACGAGAAAACTATCATGGGGGTCAGTGCCAGCTTTACCAATAGCGTTATTCAAAGCTTCACATACCTCGTCTTGGCCCAATACAACGGAGCCCGGAGAAAGCAATATGGCCTCAAAGGACAGGCAAAGTCATAGATGACAGACATATCAGCGAAATCCACCATTACATCAAAGAGAAAGGAGCTTACAGCTGGAGCTTCTGGCCAATAGCAATAGATCATGCTAAAGAGATCATCACGTCCTTCCGATGTTGGCATTAAATGGTAGGCACAACAGATACCATGCGGTACCACAAGCCGGCAACGCCGCCTGTCATACCCTTCGTTGCTTTCTGTCTATCAGTAATGTCAGCACGAGACAAGGCGAAATTGCTTTTGAACTCACGCATCATAGTATTTCTTGCAATCCCCTTCCAACGCATGGCTCTCGCTGTCCTTGACGGCACCCCCTTTGACCCGCTTCATACCAGCATCGTCTGCGATCTATCCCTCTGCTTCTCTCCCGGTCCGCACTCGCTTCCCAAGAGATCTCACCCGGAAACTTGTGAGTTATCTCTGGAGCAAGGTCCTCTGTTTGCTCCCATCGATTCAACATCGTCTTCCACAGACTTCGAGCACGCTTGTTGAGGAAAAAGAGGAGGTCGAGCAAAGTAGGCGAGTGACCGATCGGGAGACTGGGGAAAGCATGCCATAGATTGCAGATAGCAGGAACGTGTCTTCGAAGTTCGGGGGTGGACGTATGATGGATGCAGAAGGTGTCGATCTCATGGAAGAATGGGGGAGGGAATAGCGAAAAGATTGGGTCCCTTGACATAATCTGTCCCTGATGTCAGTTCAAACACAAAGAGCATGAAGGCCAAGGACTTACCATTCCAATGTAACCCTTCAGCGCCTTCATTTGAGCCTCGTTGAATATCATGCCATGTATACTCCGGCGGTGGAAGATCTCAAGAAGCGAAATCCCGAGAGAGCTGATGAGAGTGAGCGGCTCGTGGAACGGGTTTGCCCGAGCTGCTGGGGTATGAATAAACTCGACAACAGCCTGCGGCATGTCATCCAGGCCCTGCATTCCTCTCGAAGCACGTTGAAAGGGATGGCTTTCATGTTGAACAGTGTGGATTCAAGTGACGAGAAAGGAAGTCTCTTCACCCCGGGACGGTTGAGGCTGCGCGTGGTGGGCAGCGTGGGAGGGCGTAAACCACCTTCCAGATATTTGGCTCCGAAAGCGAGCACGACACCGTCTGCAATGACCGTTTTGGGATAGGGCCCACATTCTGCGCACTCCATTTCGGCTTCCATGCAGCCCTTCATGAGAGTGAGGAACTCAAAGAAGGATCGACGGAAGGTAGAGACAAAACAAAACTTTCGTTGGTGAGTGTTGGGATGACGGAGTGTAGGTGTAGCGGTACAAAAAGTATCCATTCGCCCCCCTGCGTAAACATAGCGTGGACAGCGCACTAGCATGCATGCAGACTGTGGTACCCCATCGCTTATGAGGAATCAAGGTAGACAAACGTCTATTAGATATTTTCTACCCCTGCGTGTTTAGAGTTTTAGACGTTTCTCCTGTTACTGCTTTAGAAGTACGTAACACATGGGACTCTGGGCCCCAGAAGGGGCCTTCACAAAGACGCGCTAAAAAGAAGGTTAAGAGGCGCTTCGGTTGAAGGATGGCGGGGAAAAAAACGCAAAGCCGAAGGGGCGAAGGTTCTCCGAAGAACGAGTCCGAACGAGTCCCGCCGCCGCCATTCTTCGGTCTCTGCGGTCAATTCTTCTCCTGCACACTCTCCACAGCTCTTTTCTTCCCACCAAACACCTGTCACAGCCCATATCTTTTCCGTCCAACATCCATCTTGCCCAACCTCTATCTCCCCTCGCGCAGCCGTAAAGCTAGCAAAGGACGCAGACGCAAGGACCAGGACAGGGATCGCCCCTTCCGCTGCTCGCTCAGACAACCATCACTCCAGCCTACCCAGGTCCTCCCCGACTAGTCGCTTTACCCTGGCTCCTCTCAACCTAGCCTCCGTCTCGTTGTTACTCACCCACTCGCCTCTCGCCTCCAGGTGCGTCACCGTTGTGCTGTGGCAGCTGCATACTTACCCTGGTCAAGCAGACGCGCCGGATACCGAATCCTCATCCTTGGATCAATCACAACATCATTCTCACCCAAACCTTGTCAGCACATCTTCGGGTTGAACGCGTGCTGCCCCGTCGATCACCGCCTGTTCCGGCAGTCCACCTGCCCGCGCAGACATCCTTCGCTGCACCTCTTCTATCTCAATCCAGGGTAGTGCCTTCCGTCGGCCATCCACCCCCAACCAGCGTACTTCGGGTGAAAATCCCCCCCCCACTCCTCCCCACCTCACTCGTACCTTGGTTTATACCGATCAAAAGAGGGTTCGACAGCACTTCGGCTTACGGCCCAACTGGTGCTTCAACTATAAGCAAGCTCATCGTTCTCTTGCTTCGACGGTAAACCATCTTCTCCTCGGGCGCCAAGTCAGCCAGTAAAAAGGATTTGTGTATAAGTTTTTTCAGGCGAACCTAATCGCGCTCGATAGATGCGTCCTTATCTACCTCCCGCTTCGCCAGCGCGCGAGAGAGAAACATCCAGTAGCGAAAATGTCATGCCGCCCGTCCTTGCTTCCATTGGTCAGTTTCCCTCAGCCCCAAGGTGCCCGTTCTGACCTCGCTCTGCAGGTACTGTCCTCATCGACGCGTTCGACACTCTTCCTCGACCTGTCGTGGATGATGTCTCGCCAGAGTACTCCAGCCCGACCTCTCCTGGAGTACCCCAACCTCCCATAAGTAACATCCCTCCTCCTCTCTTCATACCCCCCTCCCATCTCCGTTTATCTCCGTCGTTGTCCTCGCCGAGTGCGTCCGCACCGTCGGGTCCTTCTACCCCTCAGCTCTCCTTGGATGACATCCCCGTCCCCAACGCTGAGGAAGTGTACGAGATGCTGGGAGGCGGTGGCCTCTTTGCACTGGTGGGTGCCCGTATTTGGTTGCCGCCTAGTCGGTTACGTGCTCTTGCGAATCGCGCACCACCTGAAGAAGATGATTGTCCGAAAGACGTCGAAGACAGACTCAACAAGCTTGGCGAGGAAATGTGGGTATGGAACCGTGGTCCGGGGGTCAAGATGACTCGGGCTCGTATACGGTACGAGGGCAATGTTAGATAGTGAGTAGATTTTTTCCCATTCTTGGCACGTTGCTGGAAGCCAGTGTTGACGCTGTGCGCTAGCTTTCAGCCGATAGTCAAGGCTCCTCATTGGTCATTGACCGAGATGTGTGCATCTCCACTCCGAGACTCTGAATATCTTCACATATCTCCTCCTTACTCTCCCAAAGATGTCTTTGATCTGATCGAGGAGCAAAAGGCAAGCAAGGGACAGACCTGGGATCCCAAGATTGTCTTTGAGCCTACTCCGCCGTCGTGTCATGCTGGGCAGCGGGAATGGCTAGAGAAAATTTTACCACACATCCACGTTCTTTCGTAAGCCCATACACCACTGCCGTCATTACTCTACTGACCACACAAACAGCCCCAACCACGAAGAGCTCTTCTCGTTCTACGACATTCCCACCATGTCTGTCCAATCTCCGTCTCTCCGGCCGACGGTTGAACGTCTTGTGACGTTCCTCATCCACGACATTGGCATTGGCGCCGACGGTGAGGGTATAATCGTGATCCGATGTGGCTCCCTTGGTTCTTGTGTCGGTACAAAACAAGGCGGGCTCAAGTGGTGCCCGGCGTACTGGGATAGAGAGAACAGCAAGCGGGTCAAAGACGTTACAGGAGGTACGTTCATCTGTTGGATTGATCAAGTATCATATCTGACCCTTCTCAGCTGGCAACTCTTTCTTGGGAGGCTATGTCGCCGGCCTGCACCTTTCCGACAATCCGTACGAGGGTGAGTCAACTACACTGTATGTGAGGACACGCTACTGATCATCACTATTGATAGCTGCACTTTACGCTACCGTCTCCTCCTCCTACGTTGTTGAGCAGTTTGGCCTTCCATCTCTCACGGGCGCCGATGCCGTCACAGGAGAAGAAGGGTGGAACTCTGACAACCCCAGCCGAAGACTTCGCCATCTGAAAAAACGTCTTCTCGCCATTTGCAACTGAGCCCTGATTCTCTCTTCCTCGTCAACTTCATACATATCGCATCTCTAGAATAGTGTTTTCATTTTGGGTGTTTGAGGTCCTGTCCTTCCGAAATATCCTGCATCAAGATATATACCATGTTCTATTATATAACGGAGGGTAACGAGTGGTAGAATTTGATACAACTGTAACGACAGCCATGTCACTTGTGATCACGTTCACCGGTCATGGAACAGTAGTGGATGCACCATTGGCCAGGCTTATACCATTACACCTTTATGACACGGACGGCTGTTGCCCACTTGAACGGTGGCATTTCCCCAATGCACGTAACTCGAGGCTATTTGCTGTCCAATCCACTCCAATAAAGCCTGCCAGCGACTTCTTTCACTACCCAGTCCATCCCTTCGTTGAGCCCTTTGCCGGTGAAGGCTGAACATGGGTATACGACCCAGCGATGAGATGCAATACTCTTGAGTTCGAGCGCCTATCAAATCAACGGTCAGCCGCCAGTCTTTTCCTGGCGAGCAGACTCACATCACGTATCTCCTCGAGGCTCATGGACCCGTCAAGATCCTGCTTGTTGGCAAAGACCAATAGCGTCGCTCCGGCAAGTCTCTTCAACCCAGTCAGCACCTTGTCCCACGGCACTTCTCCGGCCCAAGCTCACTTCTTCTTGCAGCAGCTCTTTCAGCTCGTCCCTGCAGTCTTTTATTCTCATTCGATCCGAAGAATCCACCACCCATACGACAGCATCCGTAGATTCGAAATAATTGCGCCAGTATGGCCGTAATGTTCGCTGGCCCCCAACATCCCCTGGACGCTATTGTCAGTAAAAGAAGAGATAACTCCTGGGTAAGACCCACAAATATTGAGTGTATACCTGTCAAGTGAGTCAGTCTCTCCGTCTCATCGTGAGCTTTGACTCACCCGTCACGGATGAGAGACTTTATGTTGAAGCCCAGGGTCGGACTTATATCAGAAATGTTCTCATTGTTGAGCTTTTTCAATATCGTTGTCTTCCCTGCATTGTCCAAGCCCCTGAGGAAAACTGTGAGTATACGGACCAATCTTCTAGCAGGGACTCACAAAAAGAGTACCCTCATCTCTTTCGACTTGGCCTTGTTCTTCCGGATGATTGTAAGAAGTCCTGTCCTGGTGGTCAGCCGCGAGCTTCAAGTGAGGGCCAGTGCGTACCCATGGTGACTCTAGTTCTTCATCTACATATACTGGCCTAGAGCTGTTATTGTTTTATCAGTTGTTTGGGAGCTAATTCAGACGTTATCCAGCAGGAGCCAAACCGAAGTCAAATTACAGAAGAGCCAAACGCGTGAACGCGTCCTGCGGACATGACCGCCAATCATATCTGCCGGCGGCTAAGCGTTGATGAGTGCTTGTAGAGATTGCTATTTGTTGTACTGTACACGACTAGCATGGAGTAGAGCATCTTGAATAGCCAACGCGAGTGTCCTGGGGCTCGTGATGTTGTTTGAGTCTCAATAGAAGACATAGAAAGAGACAGACTCGTTGAGCATCTTTTGCAGTATGTACGACGACTTGTCGAATTTTCAAAGAGACATTCAGATGATGTTACATGTAATGTGATGCCTCAGTCACATGGCTGACATGACAGCAGAAAGTAGCCATATAATCTCATTCCCTCCGACTAGCCTTCTTCATACTGTGCCTCTTCTTCAGCTCCATGCGTTTTGCCTTTTCCCGCCTCTCGAGATCCTTCACTCTAGCTTTCTGTTGAGGTGAAGTAGGATTGATGATCAGAGACTTTGCTGCTTGTGAGATGATTCTCGATATCTCGCTAAGGGCGTGGGCATGGTTGAGGGGCGCGTGTCGTTCCTTCTGGGACGAGACGAGGATGCAAGGAGGGCTGGGATGGTAGTACGGCTAAGCGCGGTCAGATTGGCTGTTCAAGTTGATGTCGAGACGGCATACTGATTTGACGAGAGCTGGCATAACGAATTTCGGAAGCCACTGCCCGACCGCTTGGTCCAGCTCGCATCTTAATGTCACCTTGGACTCGGTCTTATTGACATGCTATGCGCCATCAGCACCTAGCACACAGCATATTCGAACTGCGGGCCTACTTGACCGCCTGGCCCACTGGATCGGCTCCTCGTCTCCGTGTAGCCTGACCTGGGAATGTCCTCTACCACAAAGTCTCTGGCCCAGGCGCTGGCCAAGGCATGGTGGGCATCCGAGTCGAGCTTGGAGAGGGCGAGTAGCTCTGTGGGCGGTCTGGCACAGAGACGGGCCGTGGTGGAGAAGAGCCGTGTGGAGAGTCGAGGCGGGTGCATATCTTACCGCATACTGCTCGCTTGCCAGCCAATTTTCAGGTCGAGGACCAGGACGGCCGTGTGCAAAAAGTTCCACGTAGCGAGATGGGACGGCTATCACCTCCCCGGCTGCTCTTACTTTATAACGCATGTACTAACAAATCCCCTGTGCCCCACCGCGATGTCTGTCCCGCCCCTCCCACCGCACACCGTCGCCCGCCTCCTCCCCCACCTCCTGCCCCCAGCCCCCCTCCCGCAGGACATCCTCTCAAAGACCTTCCTCCAGCGTCTCGCCTACCTCCCCCCACCCCCCGACGACCTCGACGCCCATCTCTCCCCCTTCCCCTCCACCCCAAGCCAGCCAGTCTCCTCCCGCCTCAGGGAGCTCACAAGAGGCCATCAGTGGGGCAAAACAGAGTATACTCGCGAAGGTCCCGACATCTACGCTAGGCTCGTCGTCGAGAAAGAGCATGGCGGCGATGGCGTCGAAGTCTGGTTCGAGCACGAGCCTGATGCGCCGGGCACTCTTGGGCGGGGCTGGGTCTACCAATCTGCCCGCATACCCTCCGTCACAGACCACGCCTGGGTATCCGACATCTCTTCCCTTCCCCCACCCCTGTCAGAGTCACTAGACACGACCCCTACCGAGGCAACCGACGATCCGACGACTGCCCCGTCAGACTACTGGGCAGGATTCGATGATGATGAGCCGACAGAGGGGCCGCACGTCGCATTTGACCTCCCCGATGGCCAGGCCGAAGACGCCTACTGGGCACAGTACTCTCGCCCTGCTACTGCTCCCATGACGCCTGGTCCCCGGACTCCCGGTACGCCCGGGCTCTATCAAGCACACAGCGAGCCCAACCCCCACAACCTGCCCCACCCCGCACAGGCATACTTTGGCCAGCCGCCCCAGGCAAAGGCTGCCGGCGAAGAGGTGGACGAAAGGGCAGTCAAGCTCGCCGAAAGCCTCATCGGGTTGGCGGCGCACAACGGCGGGCTGACCGGTATTTCGAGTCTGTCCCTCGAGCCAAAGGGGATATGGAAAGAGACTGGGGAAGATGTCAAGGCCCGGGTGAAGGGAAAAGTCGGAAGCTGCTTGAACAATCTCTGGAAAGAGTTTACAGCCGGCGCCGAGGGAGAGGACAAGGAGGAGAAGGCGATGGAGTGGCTGCGTATAGCCCGAAGTGTCTGTGACCCTGCTTCACCTGTCGCACTCACCTCTGGTACTGGCACAGACCGAGCGGTAGCCAAGTTGGAGGTATTGAAGGATATGTACGAGGTGCTGAATGAAGAGGAGGAGGCGCAAGGGTTCTGGAGAATGCTCGAGGGGGTCATTAGGCGGAGTGAGGTGGTCGAGGAGGATGACGAGTTGACGAGGCAGCAGATGTATTACGAGTAGTCTAGCAGTCACTTTCTGTACGCATATAGATAGCGCATTGTCATGAACTTTATGGCACCCATAACGAGTATCGTACGAGTGCATAGCAATGACCCAAACAGAAACAAGCCGTATGCAAGGGTATAACGTCGAGTTCCTCGACTTTTTGTCTATAAGAATGATACAACAAAGAGTCTCCTCATATACTCCCAAGAGTCTCCTTACGCCTTACCAGCCTTCCTGGCCTGCTCTCCGATCCAGTTGAGAGCACTACCCGCCCTCAGCCAGTCCATCTGGTCACTACTCAACGTATGTCTCGCCTGCACTTCCACCTTGTCTCCGCTCTGCTTCTCCACCACGATAGTCACCTCCTCTCCGGGCTCGCCAGCGAGGACATTCTTGAGACCCTTTGTAGAAACCTTGTCATGGGCAGAGATCTTGGAGTAGTCGGCCTTGTCGACAAACCAGAGGGGGAGGATACCTTGCTTCTTGAGGTTGGTCTCGTGGATACGGGCGAAAGAACGAGCGAGGATCATGGCGCAGCCGTAGTGTCTGGGCTGAAGAGCAGCGTGTTCACGAGCGGAACCTTCTCCGTCTATGCAAATAGTCAGCTTTTGTATAGCGGGCGAGCGGCGATCTCACAGTTGTCGTCGACGACCAACATCCATGGTTCAGCCCTAGACTGGTACTTTTGCATAGTCTTGGGGATGGTGTCTTCTTCGCCAGAGTGGTCCCTGGCAATGTTGATCTGTCCACCCTCATCGTTGACAGCAGTCATCACTACATTTGATCAGCTATATTCTTGTTGAAAAGGTCAAGCACTTACAAGTATTTTCAGAGATGTTTGAAAGATGCCCTTTGTACTTCAACCAAGCACCAGCCGCACTGATGTGATCGGTCGTGCACTTGCCCCTGACCCTCATCAAACACGTCATGCCCTCCAGCTCGGCGTTCCCTCCCGGGAAGTTGGTACCGAAGGGCTCGAGGATCTCGAGACGGGTAGAAGTGGGAGAGATGGCAATCTCGGTCTCGCCGATGGGCACAGGGGAGGCAGATGGAGCGTAGGAGAGGTCACCGGGGGTGTAGCCAGTGGGGGGAAGACGGTCGCCCGAGGGAGCGTTAAACTTGAAAGGTCCGTTGGGGGTGGGGATGGAGTCGGTCATGGGGTTGAAGTTCAGGTCACCAGAGAAGGCCATGGCAGTGACAATTTCGGGAGAAGCCAAAAAGTTCATCGTCTTCAAGTTGCCGTCGTTTCGAGCCTTGAAGTTTCGGTTAAACGAGGTGAGGATCGCGTTGTCCTCGCCCTTCTTCTCCTCTCGCTTCCATTGACCGATACAGGGGCCACAGGCGTTGGCGAGCACGGTGGCACCGACAGACTCGAGAGTGGACTGGAGCCCGTCACGCTCAATGGTAGCCCTGATAAGCTCGGAACCGGGAGTCACGAGGAAAGGAACCTTGCTCGTCAAGCCAGCAGCCTTGGCCTGTTCGGCAATGGAAGCGACACGGGACATGTCTTCGTAAGAAGAGTTGGTGCACGAGCCGATCAAAGCCGAAGACAGGGAAGTGGGGTACTTGTTCTCGTTTAAGAACGAAGAGAAGCCGGAGAGGGGAGTAGCGAGATCAGGAGTGAAGGGACCGTTCAGGTGGGGTTCGAGTTCGGACAAGTTGATTTCAATGACCTCGTCATACTCGGCGCCTTCGTCGGCCTGCAAGAAACCTTGCGAAGCCGCGTTGTCGGCAGCGTCCGCAACGGGACCACGGCCGGTGGCGTGAAGATACTGGCGCATGTTGGAATTGTAGGGGAAAGTGGAGGTGGTGGCGCCGACTTCAGCACCCATGTTGGCGATGGTAGCCAAGCCAGTACAAGACTGGGCAGTGACACCGGGGCCAAAGTACTCGATGATACGGCCGGTACCACCCTATAGCGAATCAGCATTGGTCAAGTATGAAGGAGGGAGAGGCTTACTCGGACAGTGAGCTTGCCGGCAAGATGCAAGATCAAGTCCTTGGGTGTCGCCCATCCCTTCAATTCACCAGTCAACTTGACACCCGTTATCAGGGGCGCCTTCAACTCCCAAGGAGTGTCCGTCATGGCATCCACCGCATCGGCACCTCCAACACCAATAGCGAGCATACCCAAACCACCAGCATTGGGTGTATGCGAGTCAGTACCGAGCATCAAAAGACCGGGGGCGGCATAGTTCTCAAGCACGATCTGGTGGATGATACCACTTCCCGGCTTCCAGAACTCGATACCGTACTTTTGAGCGGCAGACTGGAGGAAATCAAAAACTTCCTTGTTGGCGTCGATGGACCGGGAGAGGTCGGTGACCGCACCGGTTTGGGCTTGGATAAGATGGTCGCAGTGGATGGAGGAGGGGACGGCACAGGTGGGGAGGCGACAGGTCATGAATTGGAGCAAGGCCATTTGGGCAGAAGCATCCTACAGATAACGTCAGCGGTATAATTTGATGATAGGGGCCATTGAAGACGCACCTGCATGGCCACTCTATCGGGGGCAAGCTTCAAGTACCGTTCGCCTCGAATGGGCCCACCGCCTCCGAGACTCTCTTCTGGATTTCTCAAGTGAGAGTAGAGGATCTTCTCGGCGAGAGTGAGCTTCCTGTCCTTGGGCAGGACATGCCTGATATTTTGTAATGTCTTGAGGAGGCGGGGGTAGGGAGGGGTGATGCTTGTGCAGTCCTTGACGGGGAGGGGTGCGGGGGTGGCGAGGCCCCTGGTGAGGGGTCTGGAGATGTGGCGGAGGTGGGAGCGGGGGACGAGAGGCATGTTGAGTGATGTACACACGTTTTCCGCGCGTATAGAGCTATGCGCGATGCGAGCTGAAAACTGAGAGCCGACTCGCACAAATGACAAAAAACAGCTCCTGGTTGGCCCCCGGACTTTTGCACGGGGGGGCCGAATAAGCCAGGCACGGGAGGGGAGGGTGGAGGCATGCACTGGTACCTGACTGGTACGTACACTCGGAATGGTGTTGCAAGTGCACGCCAGGCTGGGAGAGGGCCATCCATGCAGGGGCAGTCGGGGGATGCCGCCACCCACATTCCACGCTCAGACCTCCTTTCCCGTCCACTCAACCTCCCATTCCTATCCCTCTTTCTCATTTCCATCTCATCCCGGGTAAGCACCACGAAATGTCAGACAACGAAGAAGTGCGTCTACCACTGTCCCATCCTGTTGCCCTCCCCTACGGTCATCCAATCCCCCCCCCCGCCTTCTGTCGGCCATACTGACCCCGTAGCTCCCTAGGAGGCCAGTGTCAGCTTCGAGGTAGGTCTCTCGCTAGCGACGGTCATCTGGACACTTCAACCTGACTGGCCCCGCAGTCTGTCGACGAGTTACAGCAGCATGTGAGTCATCCGCCTACGGCCCTGCGTCCCACCCGCCATCTCTCTACCATACGACACTACTTACCTCTATCCTTAGGGAATCAACGCTCTCGACATTGCCAAGCTCAAAGCCGCGGGTATCGTCACCATTGTCGGCGTCGCCCAGACTCCGCGCAAGAATCTCCTCAAGATCAAGGTGCGCGTGCCGGTACGTTGCGTCAGCAAGAGCTCAAATCACGTCAGGGTCTCTCAGAGGCCAAGGTAGAAAAGCTCAAGGTCAGTCTATACAAGCGGTCCCGGGATCCGGCTGACACTAGCTTCCAGGAAACATGCCCAAAGATGTTGGTATGTGTCTCGCGTCAGCCGCCACGAGCACAACTGACCCCTCTACCAGCCTCCCCCCTTCTTGACTGGCACAGAGATCGCAGACAAAAGGCAGAATGTTGTATACATCACCACAGGTTCCAAGTCTGTCGACGCCATGCTCGGAGGAGGTATCGCAACTCAGAGCATTACCGAGATTTTTGGCGAGTACCGAACCGGCAAAGTGCGATCTTTCTGCCAGTGCTTTCGTTCTCACGCTGACCTCATTTACAGACCCAGCTTTGTCATACCCTCTGCGTCGCCACCCAGCTCCCCGAAGATCAAGGCGGCGGAGCCGGCAAAGTCGCTTACATCGACACCGAGGGCACCTTCCGTCCTGACCGTGTCCGCGCCGTTGCAGACCGCTTTGGTGTCGACTCTGGTATGGCACTCGACAACGTACTCTGTGCGAGGGCATGGAGCAGCGAGCAGCAGTGCGATCTACTGGTGGATCTGGCCATTCGGTTCGTCGAAGATAGGAGCTACAAGCTGTTGATTGTGGACAGTATCATGAATCTGTTCCGTGAGTGTAATGGTATACATGAGGGCGTGGCTGATATAAGGACAGGTCAAGACTACTCTGGCAGAGGAGAGCTCTCCGAGAGGCAACAGGTGATTGCATCAACGAGATATGGTGACGCATGGCTGACGCTGACGCACGCATACAGAAACTGAACCAGTTCCTCGCCAGGCTGCAAAAGCTTTCTGAAGAGTTCAACCTTGCCATCGTACTGACCAACCAGGTCCAGGCCGATCCTGGTGTAAGTCCTGAGTTCTATACCCCTAGATTTGGACTCACAGAAATAGGCCGCTGCAATGTTTGCCGCTGCCTCGATGGCCAAGCCCGTAAGTTCTCACTTTTTGCTGGCGTTTTCTGTGCTTGATGATCGTTAGGTTGGTGGTCACGTTCTCGCTCATGCGTAAGCCGCCTCTCCATACTTCCAGACTCGGGTGTTGACCGGATCAAAGCTCTGCTACTCGTATCGCTCTTCGAAAAGGTCGAGGCACAGAGCGTATCGCCAAGCTTCAAGATTCGCCCGATATGCCAGAAGGTGAAGCAACGTACAACTTGGGATCAGGGTACGTCTCCTGACTCCTAATTTGTATCATTTCTGATGAGCTGGCAGAGGTTGGGAAGATCCCAACTAACAATATTTCGTTCATATCATTTCGGACTTTCACACCATCATCACGTGTTGTAACTGTATATACTTGCCATTCTACTGCCTTATATATAGGGGTATTACTGCCGAGTTCTTTGCCTGCTTAGACTTGATAGACTATCTACTTCATCGAGAATATGTTTATCAGTATACTAGACTGTATTGTATCTAGCATGAGACGCCAAATGAAGTACATCTCCCGTCCATCAATTGGGCAAGCACATTTCCATTAGTCATGTATGTATCTTAGCACAATGCATTTTGTTCATAGCCGTAGCCCGCTCTCATAACAAATACGCTGTCTTCTTTATCTATTCCTCAAATGGGTACTCAAACGCCGGCGGCACGTCCGCCTCTTCTTCAGGGTCTTCCGGCTGGGAAGCAGCAGCAGCAGCTCGACCACTTGGGGCAGCATCCTCCGCGCCTGTCGTTCCGGTGGCCTGAGCCAGGACAGCAGCGGCAGCCTCGGGGTCGGCAGGTAGCCATCCCGGCCATAACGCCTTACTGAGCTCGATATACTCGCCCTCCTCCTCGGGCTTCGCATCCCTCACCACGACGATACTTCCACTGGCACTGTTGCCAGACTTGGCCGAGATACCAAAGCTGGTAAGAGGTGAGTGGTCAAGAGGTCTGACAGGAGTGTAGCGAGAGGATTTGGGGAAAGAGACAGAGGGAAGTTGGGCGGGGGTGACTCGGGACATGTTGGCGAAGGTGAAGGATGACGGCTCGGAAGGCTTGATCTTCTTTGGTGTAGGGGCAGCCTCCTTGGTCTCCTCGATCTTCTCGTCCGTCTCCATAGCTTCACCAGCCTCAGCCTTCTTGACCCTCTCCCTAGCCTTGGCCCTGGCTGTTGTAGACAGCACGGCCGCCTTGGTCTTGTCCTTCTTCTTCTCCTCGACCTTCTTCTCCGTCGCAGGGTAGGCGTACAGGCTAGCCTTGGCGTTACACTCCAGATCAATCTTGGGCACACGCATCTTGCCGTCGATGGCGATGACCGCAGTGGGGGTGAAGGCAAGACCAAGACCATGGGCAAGAGGGAACCAGTACCAGAATTGGACAAACAGCGCCATACCGACGACGGCGTTCTGGTTCAAGGTACCAGCGCGGGTAGAAAGAGCCAAGGTCATGTTTCGGCCACCGGCGTCAATGATACCCTGGGCCACAGAAGCACCGAATCGAGCCACGGGATCCTCGTGCTTGTCGGCGACCACCTTGGCAAAGAGCTCTCGGATCGAAGTAGACTTGGGGCTGGCGGCCTCTGACTGTTGGATGAGGATCATGGCAAGAGAGATGTAGGCACCTTGTCGGACAAAGTCGACAGGGTCCTTGGTCATGGGCTCAAGGAGGTCAATTGCAGACTGGAACAGGAATTAGTTCCAGCACATTACAGACTTGTCAAAACTTACCTCGAGACCAGTACCAGCGCAAGATATACCAAGAGCAAGAGTGGCTCCATATCTGACGTGCGGGTTGTAGCTCTCGGCCAACAACTGGACGACTCTGGGGACAGTGGTGTGATTTCTGAAAAGGACAAAGCCCAAAGCAGTGACAGCGGCTCGTCGCACGTCGTCGTTGACGTCAGAGACAGCAACATGCAAAAGCTTCTTGACCGCCTTGTTGTTACCAGTACCAGCGAAAGCAAGAGCGATGGTGAACATGCCTCCGTATCTGAGGATTGCATCCTAAGAGACAGTCAGCATTGGTATGTGCAGCGACAGCGATTGACTCACCTTCTCCTCCAGTAATCGGTCAATCACAGGGTTAGCAGCCTCCCTCTGGCCGTACATCAGGAACGCAATGCCCATAGCCAAACCCCTGATAATCTTTTCATGTTGAGTCTCCCTAGCATATGACAGCATCTCGTCAAGTGCCTTCTCCGAAGCGGTACCCAGCATGATGAGACCCATCGACAGGCCTGCCGCTTCACCAGCAGTTGCCTCGTCCTGGAACAGGATAGGTCGGATCTGCTCGTAAAGCTCCTCATCGGCAGAGGCAAGCGCACTGACACCCATGCCCAAAGCGGCACCATGCTGAACCACCGGGTCATTGGTATCCGACAGGCCCTTCTTGAGTTCTTCTTCGATAAACTCGACTCGTCCAGCATAGATGAGACCCAAGGCAAAGAGCGCACCACCCTCGCTGTATTTATTGGGGGCGCTGCCTCCGGGAAGGTAGGGCTTGACGATTCGGTTGCCGTTGACCCAACTGCTGCGGTGGATAAGACCAAGGGCAGCAGTGGTTGAGAACTTGGCCCAATTGGAAGCTCGACCAAGCCAGTCGAGGTTCTCGCGAAGGAACTTGTCAGAGGCGGTACCGCAGTTGGCAAAAGCGTTGACAAAAGTGATGGCGTTGTGGTACATGGAGTATCGGTCTTCAAGGGAATCTTTGGTAAACTTGAGGATCGAAGCGTCGGTCTTGTTGTTCTTGTTCAAAAAGTTGAGGAACAACTCTGCCGATGTGTCTCCTCGAAGGATGTTGTTCAGGATTACTCGAACGTCGTCTCCCTGCACAAGATTAGCTAGTCCTGATAAACCCAAGACGACACTTACATCGCCATCGACGGGGGCAGCCCACTTGGTCTCTGTGAGCTTCTCCCTGACTTCGTCGATGAAAGCCTGCGAGGCGACTTCTATCAAGTCGAAAGCGATTTGATAAGCAGTAAGGAAATCGTCCGCTTCAAGAAGTTTGACCAAGGTCTCGACTGTAGGGTCGACGTCGGAATTCTGAGCCCAGACGGTGGTGATGGCGGTGTAGTCGGGGTTGGGGTTTAGGTGGAGCAATCGGCGGAGAAGGTTGAAAAGCTGAGGCAAGAATCAGCCGGCTGCCCATGAGCGCTTTTAAATGACTTACGCCGTCGCGGAACTCTTCCGTCCAGGCCTCGTTGCCACTGGCTCCGGACACGACCTCTGCCAGGACATACTTCAACAGACTCTCGTCGTGAACAACTCGATCGGCCTTGGAAGAAGAGGACTGGGATGAGGATCTAGAGCTGACGTATATCATCTCGATGAGGTCGAGCCGCCGAAGAGAGAGAGCCAAACCCATTGCCCGCAAAGCGATGAGCTTTTGTCTTGAAGCATACAAGTGGTACTCACGAGCTTTCCATTCTCTCCAGAGCTTCCCCTGAGGACAGCATCCACGATATTCTGCAAATCCACAGGGATCTTTTCTCCTCTCTGCGTCATCTCAATGGCCTGATCCAGACACCCAGCTGCCACATGTGTCAACAATCATCCCTCTCGCCCTGGGATCGTATACTCACAGATAATCGTCTCCTTGTACTCCCCTTCGGATTCCTTCTCGAACGCGGAGCCTGCTTTCAGAGCAAACTCTACGGCTTCATCCTGGAAACCCATGTAAAAGTAGATCTTGGATATAAGAAGCGCGGCGAAAGGTCGGTTCTCTGTGGAAAGTTCTTTGGAGAGGGGGTCTGCCAGCAATTCCCTGCACGATATGGGTCAGCCTGGCCTACTCGTTCATGCACAAAGGCGCACAAGAAGGGAAGCTTGTCAGACATCTCTGCCCAGAACTGGCCGACGATGGAGAGGAGGTGGTTGAGGGCGTAGACGCGGACATCCTTGTCGGGATCCTCGAGGAGGGTGAGGGATCCCGCTGCGCTGGTGGTGACTGCTGGGACGGGCATGGCGGAGGAGGGCGGGAGGAGGGCGAGGGAGAATGATACAAGAATGATATAGTCACCGTTCTCGCACGCTTGACGCTTGCGTGGTGGTGGTGGAGTGTTATGTAAGATGCGTTACGTAAGTACTCTGCTGACGTTGAATGATCATGATCACATCCTATGGCTGCGTTGTGTTACTCTAGAGCGTTTCTCGGTATTAAGGCATAGGGAATTTCATGTGGCTTGCAGTATGCAATGTACAGAAGTATGAGTTTCAAGCAGACGCCATAAGCAGAGCAGGTGGTGATACGCCATATTTTACCAGGAATAGATATGCTATGATTTGTAGCAATTATAATGATCAGATAGAAGATAGATCCGTCAACCTAGAGTAGGAATCCCACAGCCGAAGCCAGCAAGACCAGACTCAAGCTCGCCCCGAGCTTCTCCGCACCACTGGCGTCTCCAGAGTCGCCATCAGAAGATGAAGAACTCGAGGTCGTATCAGGCGCACCCGCAACCCCAGTACTGAGCCCCTGCGCCAACAGCCAAGGCGGCACACTTCCAATTTCGGGCTCATACGTCCCCGGGTCGGTCGTATTGTCATCGCCCGCCCAACACCAAGTGTCAAAGCATGACTGGCACTCGGAAGATCGGTTGGAGGAGGTGTAGCCGAAGGCCCGGTCTGTGAGGGCACAGGCGAAGCAAGTGGGCCAGGTCTCAACAGTGTTGTTGAGCGTCAGGGAGCGCATGCCGTTGAACATGACACCCTCAGCGACATCATTGTCGTATGCGAGTTGGTACTATACCACGTCAGCTTGGTACAAAAGCATGATCATGAATCACTCACAGTGGAAGTATTGGCAGCGTACGACCACGGGTAGGAAGGAATGTAGATGATGACCGGGGTGGAAGTGTCATTGCACCCAAAGAAGGTAGGACGAGTGTTGTAGCCACCGTTGATCATACCGGCCTCGCTCGGGATCTCTGGCATTCGCACCTTGACATTCTCATGCTCCGCAAGCACCTTGGCTCGCTCATAGGTAGTCCTGAGGGCGGTACCGTTGGGCCAGATGTAGGTGGTGTCATAAGACGAGTCGAAGGCCACGATAGCATCAACGGCACGGGCAGGCGCGATGAGAGGCTCCAAAGGCACGTTCTGGTTGGTCTCGCCCGCGTCAATGAGGGTGAGGTATTCTAAATCAGAGACTGGGTTTTCGTCAGAGTTGTAGTTGGCGAAAGAGTTGGGAATTCGAGAGATGTCGAGCTCATCCTCGCCGAGCTCGCCGAGAATGCTGAGGACGAGAGAGTTGAGAAGACTAGACTCGGAAGAGTTGAGAGAGAGGAAGATGCCGTTGAACAGGGTGGCGGAAGTCCCCATGATGAATCTATATAGATGTCAGAGTAGACTTGGTAGCAAACAGGGAACACTTACGAGAGCTGATCGAATCCCTTCCAGCAGGTGCCGTTGGAGGACCCGTTGTTGACCTCACTTCCGAGGTACTCGAGGGGCGTGAACGCACCCGGGGCCTTGTAATTGGTGCCCAAAGCCCAAGATCCAAACTCGTAAGGCGTAAACTCGTACACTGTAGCGTTCTCGGCAATGACCAGCTCTCCCGACTCTCTCTCCGCAGCAATGATGATGGGCATCGGCAGACTGGCGTTACCCAAAGCACCAACAACAGATGGCAAGCTGGAGAATGTCAAGTTGGGGCTGTTGGAGAGCTGATATTCTTCGGGTAAGACGTGCTTGCCGATGGCGAGACCCCAGATGTCGGTGATCTGAATAGGGAATCCTTGGTCAGACTTGGCGTTGGTCTCTTGGTATAGCTCGGGGTAGAAAGTGAGCTTGCCACTGTCGGGGAAGACGAGGTCGGAGCTCATATCCCAGAGCTATGCATCGGTCAGTCATCAGGGCTTTGGGGTTCTGAGAGACGTACGTTGGTCAAGAGATCAATAGGGAGCTGTCCGCCATTAGCCATAAAGGAGCCAGTAGCCCAACTTCCACCACTCAAACCAGCCCAGTAGCTGGTTCCCTCCAACCAGCCTCCAGTACCACTGTCTTGGGCCTCGGTACTCTCATTCATCATCCCCATGACGCCACCAAGGCCAGTACTATGTCACCAGGTCAGTACAGAAAAGATAGGTGAATACCGGACGTACAGCATGGCACGATAACCGCCACCAGCCAGCGCCACTCCGATGATGGGTGTCCGGGGAGGATTGGCGAGACCTCGGGCAGCCATCATTTTTTCAATGGCGGGCTGTACGAGCTCCTGTCGGGCTTCTTGGAAAGCCCTTTCACCGTCCCCCAATCCAGTCTACAACAGAGTGAGCGATTTAGATTTCAGGGTTGACTCCACTCACTGTAGCATTTCGGACCCATGTAACGTTTGTTGGGCAATCCACCATGTAAGGTGCATAGCTCTGGTCGCCCAGATCCCGCTCGGCTACGAGCTCTGCGTGGGAGACATCTGGAGGAGCGGCCAGGGCGGATATCGAGAGAATCGAAAGAGCGAGGGCGGTCTTGACTGAGGTCATGGCGGCGACCAGATAACGTGTCAAGGGGGCCGTCGGGGGTGGTACTTTTGATCTGTGACCGCTTGTCGAGGGAGCACGTCCTCTGCCTTGTATGATGACAAGAGGTTGCTCCGAGAAGAAGAAACGCGAAGAAATGAGATGGATGAAAAAGTGCAGGACATCACATACATCCTACGCAAAGTCGCAGCACGGTCGTGCATGATGAGTAATCTGTTGTTGTTGCTGGATTACGTAAATGTATCTGGGAGGAGGTCTTTGTGAGTTGTGACGTGTCCTCTTCTGTACTGCTACTGTTACTGCAGCACGATGCCGCCCCGCTCCCGCTACGCCATCGACCCCTCCCTCACCCAGCCCGCCCTCCACCACCTCCCAGACCGCGACCCACCGCCCACCGGCCCATATGCCCCCCAGCAACAGCCCACATACCATGCCGTAGAAACACAGCAGCAGCAGCAGCAGCAGCAGCAGCACCTGTCGCCCTCAGCAACACCCCCCGTCCACCACATCCCTCAGCCCCCTCACTCCACAGGCCAGAGTGCGTCTGGCTTGAGAGTAAGGCTGGACCCTACCCAAGTCCCGGACCCGATCGAAGCACAGTCTCTCGACCAGAACCTCTACGACGACGAGGACTTTTACTCGTGTCAGACCCGAGGCCTTATTCCTCTTGCCGGGACAGACTATCGCGGACATGACCAAGGTGCGCGACTTTTACGGCACGCTCGAGACATGCTGACCCCACAAAGGCAATGCGCTCCCTCGTCATCTTCGATCGACTCTCCCCTGTATCCCTTCAAACGGACAGCTCCTTGATACCACCGCCCTTCCCTTTGCACTTCTGGTTCAGCCCTTTGCCCCGCTGCGGTACGACGAAGAGCCCGTCCCTCTCATCTCTTCGTGGATATCTGGCCAAAGCCCGCACGACCCCCCTTCTTTCCGAGGCGAGTCGTGGGGAGTAGAGGGCGAAGGCGAGGAGGAAGGCCCACCCAGGTGTGACCAGTGCAGAGGGTATATAAATCCCTGGGTCCGGTTCATTGATGGTGGGAGAAAATGGTCTTGTAATCTGTGCGGGGCTGAAAACCCTGGTACGTCTATCGGCTGTTTCGGTAGCCTGTGCTAAAGCTGTATTATAGTTCCTCCTCAATACTACAGTTATCTGGGCCCCAATGGCCAGAGAGTCGACCACCAACACCGCCCCGAACTGCAATTCGGCACAGTCGACTTTGCCGTCCCCCCCTCTTACTGGGCGCGTCAACCTCCTTCCGGCTCTCTAATCGATTCTGACGCTCTCGCTTCCACCGCTCAAGACCTTCTGGGTGGGCTTCAAGCGTCCCTCGGTCAGGGCAAGGAGCCGCACATCCCCACAGGAAAGGAGCAGAGAGAGAAGGAGAAAGAGAGAGAGAAGGAGAGGCGAAAGTTCAGAAAGCCTACAACGCTGTCTAGAGTGTTTGTGGTGGATGTCAGTGCGAATGCTGGGTCGAGGGGTATCGTCCAGCTGGTGTGTGCTGGTATTCGAAAGGCCATCTACGGGAGCGAGAAGGAAGGCGAAGACGAGCAAGACGTCGAGGAGCGACTCAAGCCTGGACAAAAGGTCGCTATCGTCTCTGTGGCCGAGGCTGTCAGTTTCTGGAACCTCTCCTCCGCCCAGAGCGCTCCTTCCCAGATCGTCGTATCTGACCTCGACGACATGTTCATCCCGTTCACTAGCGGTTTCCTCGTAGACCCGCAAGAGTCTCGGACGCAGATTGAGGCGTTGCTGGATAGATTGCCACAGCTGGCTGAGCAGGGACGAGAGGGTATGAGGATTGCTGCTGGTTCTGCCGTCGTCGGTGCTTTGGCCGGTCTGGTGAGTACCTTCTCTGGGCTGTGGGACGCGCGCTAACGACATCCGAAGAAACAAATCGGCGGACAGATCAACCTCTTCCTTTCTGCGCTCACTAGTCACGGTCTTGGTACATTGACTATGCGCGAGAACCCCGACTACTATCAGACTGACAAGGAAAAAATTCTCTTCACTCCTACTGATTGGTATGCCCAAACGGCTGACCAGCTTGCCGAGGCCGGTGTCGGGTTGAACCTCTTCTTGTTCCCTGACGCTTACTGCGACATGGCCAGTATCGGTGCTTTGGCAGCCGGGACGGGCGGAGAAAGCTTCTTCTACCCTAGGATCGATATCGCCCGGGATCAGCCGTCGGTGCATGACGCCATCAAACGGACATTGACTCGAGAGACGGCCTACAACGCTAGCGTCCGGGTGCGATGCTCAAACGGCCTCCGAGTCTCTTCCCATCTTGGAAACTTTCACGCCACCTCGCTCACCGAGATCAACTTCCCCGTCATCGACTCTAGCAAGTCTTTCACAGCTGTCATGTCTCACGAGGGTAGGCTCGATGAAAAGACTCCTGCATTTACCCAGGTTGCTGTGCTCTACACGAGCGATACTGGAGAGAGGAGGGTGAGGTGTATCAACATGAGCTTTGTGACGACTAGCTTGATTGGAAACGTGTTCAAGTTTGCAGACCAGGAGGCCTGCGTGAGCACGCTCCTGAAGGCGGGACTTTCACAGATCACACAGAGGTCTCTGAGGGATATCCGAAAGTCGCTCTCGTCGAGGTGTAACCGGATACTGTTGATGTACAGGAAGCATTGCGCTGCTGCTGTCTCTCAGGGCCAGGTAAGTCGTGTCTTGGAGTGATTCAGCATGAGCTTACAGACTGTCAGCTCATCTTGCCCGAGGGTTTCAAGCTTTTGCCCCTCTGGACATTATGTATGACGAAATCCAAGGCCATCAAAGGCGGCTCCGTCTCTTCCGACGTCCGCACTCACTACACCCGCCTGTTGAAGTCTGCCTCCCTCGCCCGCCTCACTACACTCCTCTACCCTCGCCTCCTTGCTATCCACGACCTTGCCGCGAACGCCTGCTTTGCAAATGAAAAGACGGGGAGGTTGGTCTTGCCGAGCTTTACAAGGACGACACATGCGTGGATGGTACCCGATGGGGCGTACCTGATGGTGAATGGGGAGGTGGCGATGATCTGGTTTGCACAGGGAGTCAGTCCCCAGGTGGTGAAAGACCTCTACGGTGTGGAGAATCTGGATGAGTTGGATGTGAGAAATGTACGTCCGGTTTTTTTTTACAGAACACATCAGGGGCTAATGAGATGTCCCAGGCCGAGCTCCCTCGTCTTCCAACCCTGCTTTCGACGCAGCTTCACAACCTCATCACCCACCTTGCTTCTCCTCATCTCCTCGACCGTTTCCTCCCAGTTCATATCGCCCGACAAAATATGGATGGGTCAGAAGTGGGTTTTGCAGACCAATTGGTGGAAGATACGAACAACGACGCATTGAGTTATACGGACCGTAAGCTCTTCATACATCACCAATGGGCTTCGTAACTGACATGGTATCTTAGACCTTATGACTTCTCACAGAGAGATTACAAGCGAGTTCAACGGCAGTGCGAAAGGGGACAGCTGGATTCCTTGGTCATAGTCACCACGAAAATGTGAAAGGGTGTAAGACGAACTCAGACGTACGAGATGTTTCAGTGATCCTGGAAAGTCAGGATATACCATATGACGGGTTGAAGGTACATGCATATGCAGATTGACAATATTGTCGTGACTACACTGTGTTTCTTTCCTTGACCTCCTTCACCAGATCAGTCAGAGAGGTAATGACATTGACACTCTCAAGATCTTCTACAGCTTGCCTCTGAGCCCCGTCGCTCCATTCTCCCGGCCTTCTGATCAGTCGCCCCTCAAGTCCGGCATTGATCGAGCCTTGGTAGTCTCTACAGCCCTGTCAATGTTACACTTCAAGGTTAGACACAACTCACGCCTTCAGCTCATCTCCTACCATGATCACCCCCTCCCCAAGCTCCTCCCCGGCCATCCTGCACGCGCTTTGGTATATCTCCAGTGATGGCTTGGAGGCGTCCACATCCCATGAGAGGGTAGGGGTATTTGTGATGTGTGATAGAATGTCAAACGATCTCAGCGTTTTGACTGAAAGATTTGTGAGCGCTGTGCAAATGCTCCATTCTAGAGAGGAAGGAAGACTTGCGAATTCGAGGATCGGCGTTGGATACTATACCTGTTTTGACTCCCATAGCTTTCAGAGCTTGCACTAGAGTTCTCTTCAGCCCCTTGTCGCGTCCGCGCGCCATTCTACCTACAGCTTTCGATCGTCTCAGGGAACAATTTGTACCCTACGTCGCTCTCAAACCGGGCAAGCAGGTTTGGCAGGATACCGTCCATCTTCTTTTCCAGCTCTGCCGGTGGAGCTCCAGCTTCTAGGTATGTCTCGTAGATGATCTTGCCCCACCACTCTTCTGGGGTGAGGAGTGGAGTGGTATATTTGCCGTAGAGTGGCCAGGATGCGTCGACTTTCTTGAAAGCTACACGAGCAAGTAAGCACACTCCCGTTTCGTCAGCTGAGAGGTGAAAGATCATTACCTGGTTTGAAAGCTGAACGGACGCGCAGCGGTGATATATGAGCGGGAGATATCCCGCCCTTGATTCCCTCGTCGTAGTATCTGCCCCAAGTGGTCAATCAGATCGCCATTGAAGAGCTCCGCGGGTCAGGCAGAGACGATGCTGACACCTACTGCTCATGGACGGGTAATCGGGGAGTGCAGAGCGTGTCTTTGCGTGATGTGAGTTGCTTTTCGTTTATGGATTAGTCTGTTTCTGACTGAACATACCAAAAACGTCAAAAAGGACGAGCCGGACTGGTTTGCGTGCTACGTGGGAGGACATCAGGCGGAGGGGGCTGCTGGTCATGAAGAAGCCTTTGGTGTGTCTGGTTGTGATATATGTTCGCTGTGCCGAGTATCTAATTGTTGCCTGTTGCTTCTCTTATGCTTGATTGTTCTATAAGGAGACTGCTTCTACGCCCTTGCTTGACAGACGGGGCGCCGCTTTGTGGTTCACTGTCGCTCCAGGTTCATCCCGGGCGCCGATGGCTCTGAACAGAAGTGCGCCGTCACAACTTTTGGGTGGAGGTTTGAACCCAACAACGAATTCGGTGACTCGTCCACATCGACTCGTTGCCTCGACCTACTCTTTCCTGTACATCTTCAAGCTCAGGATCAGCCACTACTTGCAGAAACCTACACCACAGCTGCAGATGCTTGATGCCTGAGCCTAACAAGGCTATCCAGGACGAGGAGCTAGACAGCCTGAGGGCCATCTATCCCGTGAGTGCCATCTACATTGCCCTATCCCGCCCTCTCTGCATGAAGGATTCCTGCATGTTGATGCAATTATCTTCAGGATGAATGGCACGACGTACCGCCAAAGAAAACAGCGTGGGGAACAGAGGTAGATGGAGGATGGTGGGAGGTCAAGATTTGTGGATTGGAAGATGAAAGGGTCAGCGTGATCCTCAAGGGCAAAATGACACAGGTACGCTTCACTTCTGATCTTCAATCCCTGGTATTTGACATGAATCTGACGATCAAGTGCAGGCGTATCCCCAGCAGGTACCCCCTTTGTCCCTTCGAGAACCAGAATACCTCACTGCGAAACATGTACAGCAATTGCACACTCTTGTGCAAGAGAAAGCAAAGTCCAAGACTGGGGAAGTGATGATTTTCGAGGTAAGTCATAGCGATGCTGAGCATCCCATTCTGACTTTCTGTACAGTTGATTGAAACCGTACGAGACTTTATCACGGATAACCATGCACCGTTACCCAACCCTGGAGATGTCAACCTTTTGGAGGAAAAGGCTCATCGAGAAGAGGCACAACGAGCTGTGGGTTGTGTTCTGGCTATACTAGACACCATCTGACATTGTTTCAGGCGGAAGAAGCAAATCGAGCTACCGAAGATGAGCGAAAAAAGAAAGAACTCGACAAGAACAACAGATATCTCCATGATCAAATACAGCTCAACACCATCAAGAAGAAGGAGACCGCAGATCAGCACAAACAGCAGCTTGAGGAGCGTCGCAGACAAGAATCTCTCGCCCTTCTCGAGATTGGGGATTTGGAGACTAGAGATTTAGAGCTGGATGAGTCCATCTCGGTTGCAGGGTATGAGGGAAAATGGAAATGGTGGATGTTGTTCGGAGGAAAGAAGGAGATACTCTGGACCACTTATGCTGCTGAGCCCGACAGCTCGAAAGCATCATCCTCGGATGCCGTTTCCTTTGTCAAAGCGTCCTCGCCAAATGTCTCGGTGCAAATCATCGATTTCGCCAACCCTTGGTACTCTACAGCACTCGGGAGCAAGAGAATAGACTCTTGTACTGTCGAAGTATTGAGGTCTCAAGAGACGAAGAGTGAAAACATTGTCAACGTACTGGCCGTCAAGCGAGCAAAGAGCCCAAAAGGATGGGAACGGCTGGTGCTGGTGACAGAGGGATTATCTGAAGGCGTGAAGCTGCGGTCGTGGATAGGTAGAGAGGGTCTCGATGAAGGCGTCACAAAGGTAAAGCCATTGGCGGTTTTTCGGAGATCAACGTATTGACATGGCACAGGAGTACCTGACTCAAGTGCTTCATGGATTGAGTCAACTGCATCAGCACAATTGCTGTCAAAAACGTGAGTATCCCCTTCTCATTGGAACGTCCTACTAAACTTTCTTCAGAATTGGATCTCGACTTTGTGCTTGTTTCAAGTGCACCTCACGGGCAAAAGGTCGTCAAGCTGCTGGGCACTTGTTATGCTCGGCGAATCATCGACATGCACAAGTCCAACCCTTTCTTGAGGAGCCGAGTCGAGACGGTATCCGAGGAATGGTCAGACGGTCCCGGATCCCTGTGAATAATGCTGACATCTCCACCCAGGATATCGCCTGATGAACGTGATTCACCGCATACATATACACGACCTCGAGATATGTGGCTAGTTGGACTGCTTCTGGTGCAGATGTTGTTTGGTCCAGACACTCTCAACAATTACCACAACTTCCATAGCCTGGTTCAGCATGGTGGGTTTTTTAGCGCGTTTCTTGAGCTTTCGCTGATCAGAATGTAGCGCCTGGATTGTCAGACTCCATGATGGATCTCCTTACAGGCCTACTGCACCCAAACCCGAAGAAGCGTTTGACTGCAGATGAAGCATTGAGCAAACTGCGGTGCTTTGATGAGATCACTCGACGAGCGGTCAAGATGCCGATTCACGGTCGTACCGACAGCATTCCCCAATCACCCAACGAGCTGTTCGGTGCATCACCGATCAACCGAGGTGCTTTCATGAACCATCGCCCGAGCACTCCTCATCTGTTCGCCCCTCGACTGTCGAGATATAGGGCCGACTTTGAGGAAGTAGAGTTCTTGGGGAAGGGAGGCTTTGGAGAAGTTGTGAAAGCTAGAAACAAGCTGGATGGACGGTCGTACGCTATCAGTGAGCCCTATCTCCATTGAGAGGAAGGAGTGTGCTCACGATGTTTCAGAAAAAGTCAAACTTCGCCCCGAGGACAACGAACAGAAAGTCTACCGAGAGGTGAACAACTTGTCTAGAGTGAATCATCAACACATCGTCCGCTACTATGGTTGCTGGCTTGAAGATCTGAACCCACCCGATCTAACGCCGACCGTCGAAGGCGGCATCAGTGGTCTGTCAACGGGTGGGACAAGCGCGGGTCAAGGCTCAACAAGCACAGAGGAAGACATCTTTGCAGTCAATTTTGATGATTTCTCGTCCAGACGCGATCAATCTAGAAGTGCCTCATTCCCTCGGATTCGATTCACCAACGAGAACGAGGACGATGAAGACTCGGACGGAGATGATGACGAGTCTGACGAAGACTCGAGCACCGAATCAGACGATTCGGATGGTTCAGTCTCCAGCGCAGCTACAGCCGACCCGTCGCAGCCTCAACAGCGAAGGGGAAGGGGCCAGCATTCGAGCGTTCAGCAGAGTAAACCATCTTTGGCGTCCACGTCAGCTTCGACGAACGACGGGACTGTGCAAAGGATCCTGTATATACAGATGGAGTTTGTTGAAAAGGTTTGTGACGTCGACGACTTGTGGATGTAGGTGCTGACATACATGATCAGCAAACGCTACGCGAAGCCATTACCTCGGGGCTTGAAGAGGACGAAGTGTGGAGACTGTTGAGACAAGTCCTTTCCGCCCTGGCGCATATGGCCTCTCTGGGTATAGTTCACCGCGATCTGAAGCCGTCGAATATCTTGCTCGATGGGGACGGGAACGTCAAAATCGCAGACTTTGGACTTTCTGTAAGATCAACGTCTAACCTCAGGAATGTGTTTGGCTGACTCGGGGAAAGACGTCCGAAATGACGGCCATCGAAGTCGCTTCAGGCCCTGCTACTGACATAGCCGACCACATAGACCAGACCTCCAACATTGGTACCAGCCTCTACATTGCTCCAGAGGTGGCCATATCTAGATCTTACAACGAGAAGGTGAGCACACTCGCTGCTTGGTAGCCGAATTAATCAATCGTCAAATGACAGGCCGATATGTACTCTCTCGGTATAATCTTCTTTGAGATGTGTTACCCATTCAAGACTGCCATGGAGCGAGTCCACATTCTCACTGCTGTACGCCAACCCTCTATATCGTTTCCTCCTGGCTGGACACCAAACCACAAGGCAAATGAAAGAGAGATCGTTCGGAGGCTATTGGTGCACGACCCAGCAGTCAGATTCAAAGCCACCGAGCTATTGAGGAGTCCTCTATTACCGGCGCCTGAAAAGCGCAAGGAGGATTACGATGCGGTGATCCTTGGCAAGTGTGAACGTACTGATACCGGATGTTGAGAAGCTGACGTCTTTGATAGAGCTCACCGATCCCAAATCTACCCACTTCACCTCCCTGCTAGACACGCTATTCGATCCGCCCTCTCACAACATCACCGAAGTCAATCATCGCCTGGTGGACTATACCTTTGATAATGATCCAGACGATCATCTACAAGTATGGCTTACTGTCGTTATACAACGTCTCGTCGACCTTTTCCAGCGACATGGCGCTGTCGAAACCTATCTGCCCCTGTTGATCCCAGAGACCAATCTGTTGGATGCCTTCGAGGACCTGGAGCCAGTCAGGCTTATCGAAAAGAGTGGTCAAGTGGTCCAGTTGCCCAGCAGCGATGTTTTGGCGATGGGCAGGAGTGCCACCAGGCGACAAATTGAGAGGATCAAGCGATACCATGTGGGGCACAAATACACCAGCCATCATCTGGGGGGACAGCCCGTTGTGGCAGGGGAGCTCAGGTATGTCATGATCTGAATGCCAATCAAGTGGTTGACTGAATCCTTGCTAGTTTCGACATTGTCTCACCCATTCGCTCAGCAGCTGCGGAAGCAGAGTTGCTGGAGGTGGTTGACAAATTGATATCCGAATTCCGCGGTATGCGAGGATCCTCTTCCATTGAATACGAGTTTCACATAAGTCACGAGACAGGCAAGTTTCTTTTTCTGATTATGGGATGTTTTGCTCACAATGTTGTAGTCCTCAGCCTGATCCTCGGCCTTGTTCCTGAACGTGCGGACAAACCTCGTCAGAAACTGTTGGAGCAATTTAGACATCTGGGTGCTAGCAACAGTGCCAATGGCCAAAGCCAATCCCGAAATCTGTTGAGCAATATCGCTGGCCTCTCCAGGACACTCATGGATGAGCTCGAGCAGTGCTGTATCGCTGGTATGTCTCATCTTTCTGTAGTCTACATCGGCTGATATCGTGCAGGCGACTTTGACGTGGTCCGCAAGAGATTAGAGACTCTCTTTGCATCTGGGCCAGCGAAACGCAGATTGGCGGGTGCGTTGGACGATATGGCGAAAGTCATTGATGCCACGCGAGCTTGTGGTGTGCCGAGAAAAATCCTGTTCAGGCCGACTTTGGCAAAGCACAGCGAGGTTGGTCTGATCCCAGCAGCAGTGGGCGCACAATACTCACCTCGAACACAGTTCTTCAGGGGAGGTTTGATGTTTGAATGTGTCCGACGGGGCAAGCAGAAGGAAGTGGTGGCTTATGGTGGGAGGTAGGTCAGGCACAAGCATGATCAAGCAGAGCTGAACTGGGTCATAGGTATGACTCCCTTTTGGAACACTTCAAGCAACCAGCAATCCACTCCCAGACTCGACGTGTGTATGGGGTAGGAATGTCGATCGCAGTCGAGTGAGCGCCTTGGATCTCCATATCGCAGTGGATGCTGATGGTACCCAAAGTCAAATAGCACGAGTCGTGTCAAGATACGAGTCATCGTTATCCCGTCGTCTGATGGAGAAGCCCAACGAAGACGAACGATCTTTCGGTTACTGGAGTCCAGCGGTACGTTTCTCACATCTTTGCTGTCGCCCCTTCTCAACGATAGTATAGCGATGTGATGTCTATGTTGCCGCCTTCCCTCAAGTTGATATGACTGTTCGACTTCAAGTCACCGGTGAACTTTGGAGAGCGGGGATACGGGCAGACTTCCAGTATGATGATGATAGGAGTCTGGATGAGGTCACGCAGGAGTGTCAGGATCAGAATATCCTGTGAGTCACCCGCCATTGGAGAACGGGAGTCTAACGTGTTTCTGTCAGCTTCCTAATCATTCCTCGAGCCAGTCGCTCGGCTGTAAAAGTCAGAAGCATCCTTCGTCGATCGGAAGAAGAGGGTCCGTCTTCTGTCATCCATGTCCTCTTCTGTAGACTGACATGACTGTAGTACCCCGTCACGACCTATGCAATCACCTGCGCATCGCCATTGCCGACCAGCGGAGGATCGACGCGTCGTACGCTTCAGCTGAAGGGTCTATACCGTCGGCACAAGCTGCGGCGTTGTCGGTGGAGCCGAATCAGACAGAAGTGGAGATCAAGCTGATCCTGCCTCCTGAGCCTGTGGTCTCAAAGGGCAGCAAGGGAAGACCGGTGCGCAAGCATCGCCATGGAACCAAGGTGCGTCGAGCTTGTGCCATTGTCGCCGGAACTGACCATGACTTTCCTGTAGTCGGTATACTATGACAAAGGTACGTCAACGAGACTATATCCTCCAGGCCACGGCTGACCGTAGCTATAGCCTCTGATTTCGCCGCGCAAACGCAATCCACCCTTCCTCTTCTGGGCGTCGATCTTCCGCCCCTTCTTCTCTGCCAGATGGCTCTTGATATGGCTTGGATCAAGGATGACGAAGTATGGCGGACATTGCTAGCGAAAGAAGGGATCCACGCTGGCGACAGGAGATATGCCGAAGCAGTGCGTGAAGGGGTGCAGCAGATGCGAGCCGGGACCAAGGGTAATGGGTCAGGGGGAAATGATGGATGGATGTGGCTGTTCAGCGTGAGGGACAACAAGGTGAGAGTGCCTCAAGGCGTGGTCATGCTCTGCATTCACGGATATCGTGACTGACGTGTATTGTAGGGGTTCCTGCTGCAGGGCGGAAGTGGCAAGTAGAGACCTCGAGGGAAATCAAAGACCAGTTCGAGATACCATATATATCAATATCAAACCGTTACCTAAATAATTTGGCATTGTCATGATCTATAGAATGTACGCTCATACAGCATCACTGTGTCTTCTCGCAAGGCATGAGACCGAAGCTGGGACCTGTGAGATCTCCGAGAACTCGGTCAGCGAAGGCGAGGCTGGAGACGCAAGGCGTTAGGCGGCCCAGCTATACATCTATCGTCGCCCAATGCCCACGAGCCTCCGACCTCCTATGTACGTAATCTGGGATGACATGTTACCTATCTTCTTTCCCTCAGGGCGGCACCCGGGCAATGCCAGGGGGAATGCGTCCTCAAGTACAGATCCATCTGCAAGACGGGACTCGCAAAGCGAAATAAAGAGCGACGGATGCTCGGCGAGGGGTGAACCGGGGGCCGGGCGGTGTGGCGGTGTCAACAACAGTGGTGGCCAAGCCAGTGTGCATCCTTTCCACCACAACGAGGTCCCCGGGGACTTGCCCTGTATATATAGTCCCCCTACTGTGCGCTCTTCCCCAAGAAGTCAGTCCCCCTATTCCCTCTTTGTTTGGTTCGGCCTGCCGCAAGCCAACCCACCCTCGCCCGATGACCTCGCTTTCGTCTGCCGTATCGCTTGCAGCTCTAGTCTCGCTTGTCACCACAGAAGTCCTTGCCACTCCCTTCACTACCCCACATGCTCAGCTATTGGCTGAGAGAGGGTTGGGAGACAAAAGCTACACCCCATACGAGGTGTCGTGTCCCACCACCTGGACATGGGTTCGGAATGCAACGGCAGGTGGCTTCTTTCTAACATGGACGCGTCTGACACTTCATCCAGGAAGGCCTTGCTACTGTCGAAAAACAGTACATCAACGAGCGACACAAGCTCGTGGGTCCAGCAGTCGAAAAGATGATGGCTGCTCGGGGTCTCGAGAATCCACCTCGGATACCCAATATAGGTGTGGCACTTTCAGGAGGAGGCTATCGAGCCATGTTGTATGTGCTTCTGGACAGTAATAGCAAATTCATACTGATTTTCACGACGTAGGGTCGGCCTCGGTGGAGTCATGGGTCTCATGAATCAAAGCCAGGAAGCCTCAGAAAGCGGCACCGGGGGCTGGCTCGAAGCTGTGACTTACTGGTCGGGCCTAAGTGGTGGAAGCTGGGCCACTGGATCTTTCATGGCGAACGGCGGTCCCCTTCCCAGCAGTCTCATTGACAGCGTGAGTGAGCAACCTTTATGATGACCAAAAGAGCTCACATTGGTGTAGCTATGGGATCTCAGTTCCAACTTGATCTATCCCAGTGAGAACAAGGTCTCCTTCTACTCTGAGCTTTACACAGAGGTCACCGCCAAGCAAGACGAACACTTTCCTGTTCAAGTGACTGATCTTTGGGGTCTCGCTCTTGGCTCCCACCTGCTTCCAGAAGACTATCAGCTGGACAACAGTCCCAACTTTACGATATCAAGTCTGCCCCAGATGATCCCAGCCATTGCCAACGCTAGTCTCCCCATGCCTATCATCATTGCTGCCCAGTGAGTGCTTCAACGTCCCCGGGGAGAAGGGCTCATAGTACTTCTTGAGACGTGAACAGGGCGAGCTTGTCATTGCCGAGAATGCAACGGTCTATGAGTTCACGCCGTACGAATTCGGTTCTTGGGCATTCGGCAGCAACTACAAAAGCGCCGGTGCGTTCACGTCTGTGGAGTACCTCGGCACATCCCTCGACAATGGTGCTGCGAACGGCACCTGCTGGAAGGGTTTTGACCAGCTCTCGTATTTTCATCCATCGCTATGACTCGTGATCCATGGGTTGACAATGTTGCAGCTTTGTCATGGGTACCTCTGCCACCCTCTTCAACAGCGCTTGGCTCGCGCTCAACCAGTCCGACACTGGCCTCGTCGGCGACCTCCTCCAAAGCATCCTCGAAGACCTCGGCGACAGCCAAGTCGATGTCTCTCGCATCCTTAATCCCTTCGCCAACTACAACACGGGCGAGAACCCTGTATCTTCATTCGAGTACATCACTCTCATAGACGCCGGGGAGACCAATCAAAACATCCCGTTCGAGCCGCTCATCGCACCCTCGAGAAACGTCGATGCCATCATCGCTTTCGATGCGTCTTTCGATACGAACACCACTTGGCCTAATGGGACCGCGCCCCGGACGACCTTTGAGAGGGCTATGGTACTGGCACAGTACCAGGATGTGGAAGTCAGCATGCCCGAGGTGCCGAGTCAGAACGGCTTTATCAACGGAGGTTACAACTCTCGCCCAACACTCTTTGGATGCAACCGAACGGACACGCCCATTGTGGTGTACGTGCCATCCTTCCCATGGAGCTATGGGGCAAACACTTCTACAGTGAGCTTTTACACCTATTGGAGTTTGAGAAAGAAGCTGAATCAGTCTAGTATCAAATGTCATATGACAATGACGAAGCTCTCGAAGTGATGCTATCGGGCATGCGGTCTCTCACCCTCAACGGCTCCGTCGAAACGTGGCCCACCTGTCTCGCATGTGCCCTGACCGACCGCGCATTTGCATACACCTCCTCCAACCGCTCTTCCACCTGCCAGACATGCTTCGACACATGGTGTTGGGACGGCACTGACGACACGAGCGAGCCCGAGGAGTATGCCCCAAATATTGGTGGTGTGCCGCCTTGGTTGACCGAGAAGGGGTTGAGCATAGGGGTGCAAGATGCGCCTTCTAGCGACACTTCTAGAAACTCTTCATCCGAGTCTGGGGGCTTCAGAGTGGCCGGTAGCGTGCCTTGGGCAATGTCGATGGCGTTAGCAGCAGCAGGTGTTGCGGCCTTGGCCCTCGACCTGTAACTCCGAAATATCACCGCGTCTATAATAATGGCTGATACCATACACGTTGTACCTAGACTGACCTGGCATGTGAGAAAAGATCAGACGGACAAAGTGCACATTGATCTCGGGCGCCGGGATTGCTAAAGGTGTTTCTGGTGGTTGACCCTTCTTCCTGTCGTGTCGCAGTAGTGCAGTGTGGGCCACATTGTGACATGCATACAAGCAAACGAAGGCTGGCAACGGCGGCTAGGTGGGAACTGTTGTCAAGATACAATGTAGGAGGAGATTGGTGGCCGTGGCGACTCGATGAAAGTTGCAGCACTCTCTTCAAAAGCCAGGCAGGGCTTTAGTGCGCGCGAGGGCACAGACTATTACGTTGGTCGGGCCGCCAAGGATCCTTTGTTAGTTGCTTGACTCCCTCTATAGCAGCCCTGTTGTATACATCGTTTTTCAGTATGCTCTCCTACATCTATATCTCTTAGTATATTCCCCAGCCAGTTCAAGCAAACACCCTCTTTGGACGCGTAAGGCCGCCTTTCACCCTGTTATTTGGTTCAGCACCAGGCGCGATGTCGAGTTCTCTTTCCACCGCTCTTGTGCTGGTCACTATCGCCACTTTCATCATCACACAAGCTGTTGCCGTACCATTTAACGATGAGCAGCGCTTCGAGCGGCAAGCCGAGAGAGGACTAGGAGACAAATCGTACGCCCCCTATGAAGTAGCGTGCCCTTCAGACGAAACTTGGGTTCGTAATGCTACTGTCAGTCGCGATAAGCTTGTCATGAGTAATCTGCTAACTATTTCTACAGACGGGTCTTGCTACCGCTGAGCAGGACTACATCAATCAGCGAAAGAGCCTCGTAGATGCCGCGGTGGAGAAGATGATGGCGGCCCGAGGGTCGGATAACCCGCCAAGGATGCAGAACATAGGTGTGGCTCTCTCCGGAGGGGGCTATCGAGCAATGCAGTGAGTTATCTACCGCTCATTGTGATGTCTGCATACGCTGAGACTTTTGCTAGTGTGGGTCTGGGCGGCGTGATGGGTCCGATGAACGAAAGTTCAGAGGCGGCGTCGAGCGGCACAGGGGGCTGGCTTGAAGCGACTAATTATATGGCCGGTCTAAATGGAGGAAGTTGGGCTGTGGGGTCGTTTGTGGCGAATGGTGGAGCCCTCCCCAGCACACTTATCCAAGATGTAAGTGGTCGCTAGATTGGAACACACACTTGACCGCAGGAAGCTCATCACGCAAATGACAGCTGTACGAAATCGACTCCAATCTCATATTCCCGTCCACCGGGAAAATCGCCTTCTACATGGAGCTTTTCAACTGAAAGCAAAGATAGACAAGGGCTTTCCGGTGCAATTGACCGATATATGGGGCCTCGCAATAGGTGCACATGTCATGCCGGATGACTTTCAACTGGACAAGACTCCCAATTTCACCCTGCCCAACCTGGCGCAAGCTGTGCCAGCCTATGCTAACGCAAGCCTTCCTATGCCTATCATCATAGCTGCCGAGTGAGTGATCAGCGCGATGTGCAGATCGTAGAGCTACAACTGATCCTTGATACTACTCGTACTATAGGAGAGAGCCGGGTGAGCTCGTGTTTGCCGAAAACGCCACCGTCTACGAGTTCACTCCCTACGAGTTTGGCTCCTGGGCGTTTGGTAGCGACTTTAAGAGCCCTGGTGCTTTTACACCTATGGAGTTCCTGGGAACATCTCTAGAGATGGCGCTGCAAATGGGACGTGCTGGAAAGGTTACGACCAGCTTTCGTGAGTATCCATCCTCAAGCACGCGCTGTTTCGAGAGCTGCTCACAGGGAAAGGTGCGCCATGGGCACTTCTGCCACCCTCTTCAATGGTGCCTTCCTCGAGCTGAACGGGACCGACACAGGCCTCCTCGGCGACTTTCTCAATGACATACTCGAAGACCTGGGTGATGATCAGCTCGATGTTTCCCGGGTCCCGAATCCGTTCGCCAGCTTCAACTCTGGCGACAATCCTGTATCCGCTTTCGATTTCATCACTCTGCTCAATGCTGGCGAGACCGACCAGAATGTTGTTCCCTTGGAACCTCTCATCGAACCGACAAGAAACCTCGATGCCATCATCGCATTTGATGCGTCCGGCGACACGGATACCACGTGGCCCAAATGGTTCAGCGCCTCGAACGACGTTTGAGAGGGCACAAGTTCTGGCCCAGTACCAGAATGTGAATATGAGGTTGCCAGAAGTGCCTAGTGTCAACGGTTTCGTGAACGGAGGGTTCAACTCCAGCCCAACGTTCTTTGGGTGTAACGACACAGATACGCCTATACTGGTCTTCGTCCCTTCTTATCCGTGGACTTCCGCTTCCAATACATCCACTGTGAGTCTCTGTCCCGTCCAAACCTCTGGCCGCCCAGCGACAGGCTGATATGTGCCAGTTTCAATTGGAGTATAGCACAGACGAAGCCCTAGAGGTCATGCTTTCAGGTATGCGCTCCTTGACTCTGAACGGCACCGTCAAATCTTGGCCAACCTGCCTCGCTTGTGCGCTAAGCGACCGTGTATTTGAGTACACCTCTGCCAACCGTTCGTCAACGTGCCAGTCATGCTTTGACACCTGGTGCTGGGACGGGACGGGACTGATAATACGACCGAGCCGGCCACTTATACGCCAGGAACAGGGGGCGTACCTCCTTGGTTGGTGGAGCAGGGACTGGTTTAAGGGTACAAGGTGAGTCTGGAGGAAGCGCATCATCTAGACACTCCCTTCAAAGACAACGTGTAGGTGTCCATTATGCCTTCAAGAGATCTTTGCTGTTTGCTTGCTGTTTCCGGGACACTCTTGGCTTTGAGGATATTTTATTATTATATCAGCTGTAGACATCAGCTTAGTGGGGACAGCTGTTAGGATCTGGTAAAATCGCTATAAACGTGACATGCACTATAAGATGATACAACAGGCTATGAACCACGTACAAATCCATATGCAAATACTGTCCGCCGGCGACCACCTCTCTTTAAATTTTCGCCTTCTTCCGGGTTGACTGATTGATTGTCGCGCTAGCGGGTTTGAAATTGCTACTTGAAGGCAATCTGGGACCCCCTGCCATAGATGCAGGGAGGCTACGAGAAAGGACGTCAGGTTCAGTGGGCCATATTCGATTGAGCAGACTCACGATCCCATTTTGGCATCACCATTATCCTCATGCGTGACTCTTCTGGTTGGATAGGTAATGTTGCTTCCTTCAAATACACTCCTATAGAGAGGTCAACATTGTCGTTCGTGACAGGGATCGACACCTACTTGGCTGCTACGCCTCCGTCCTCCTGGAACCAAGGATGCTTCAAACTATCCTTCGCCGTCACCCTCCTCGCGGGATCCCACTCAAACATCTTTACCAGTAGATCGTATCCTTCCGTTGACTGAGATCTGGCGTGGTACCAAGTCGGCAAGGGATTGGGGTTGGGGTAAGGGCCAGTTGCTTGGTAGGTCCGGTATTCAGGCATGTGTACTATGCCGGGCCATTGCTCGGCTGTAAAGTCAAGTGTCAGTAAGAAAAGTAGGCCAGGAGACAGAGACTTGCGCTTGACGGGGCCAAGAACTTCGCATATTTTACCCATTTGATCGCGCTGGAAGGGAAGCGTCTTCTTGCCGTCCATCTTGGCCTCGTCGCCTTTGAACAATGGTCTCAATGACAATAGCTCGGCGTAGATACAGCCCACAGCCCAGATGTCTGGACATTATCAGTGGAGAACCTATGAAATGAAGGTGACTATCACTTACCGACAGCAGCAGTATAATGCTTTGAGCCAAGGATGAGCTCTGGTGCTCTATACCAGATAGTCACGACGACCTTGTCACCCCCATACAGACCCCCTTTTGCCAGCGGCTTATGCCAGAGTCTCGCGAGACCCAGATCTCCAATCTTGACTACACCAGAATTGGTGACGAGGATGTTGGCCGGCTTGAGATCCCGATGCAGAACAAAGTTCGAATGCAGGAAATGGACGCCGCAGAGGAGTTGGTGAAGAAGGCGGCGGAGGGTTGAAGGTGGGATTGGGACTCGGGCGGTTTGTGAGTGGTGGTGGATGATTTGCTGGTTGGATGTCAGCTCTCAATGACTGGGCTCAGAGGTAAGGGCTGTACCAAAAAGTCGTGCTCTGCGTACTCGAATACCATGTAGATGGACTTGTCTTCGAGGATGACCTCGCGCAACGACACGAGATTTCGATGATGAAGCTCACGATTTAGCTGGTAAAGAGTCAGCATCTCTCCCGTCTTATCATGTCTCACCCACCATAATCTCTCGAGCTCCGCTCTGACTGATACCAGCATACGTCAAGACATCGCCTTCTTTATCTGGTTTGAATTTCTTGATTGCAAAGACATCCCCCATCTTCGCTCTCCTATCCCCAGGTCTCATACACATCTCTGGGTTGTTGAGAGGGTCATTCTCGATGAACTTGTCTGAAAGACTAGGCGAGGGCAGTTTGTCTTTTGAGATTGAGAGGGCGACCCGGGCTGAGCTGGGGAGGGCGGAGGCGATATTCGACTTTGGTGGAGACTGTAGTATGGCCTTGTAGACTCGGCCGTAGGTACCTGCAGTATGTAAGCTTATGCCCATCAGCTGCCCACCGCATGCGCACCTGACGAGATGAAGCCGAGGATCTTGTAGGTCTTGAGCACGCTGCAGAGGGATAAGCTGCAATCATGGGCCCTCTACTCAACTCACCCTCTTCTTTCGGTGTCTCTTTTTGCCCTGTACAGATGCATGGGATCGAGTGTCGCTGTCGTGGCCATCTCTCCTGATTTGTAGTGCATGCATACGAAACATACCAGGACGGAAGCCCGACGCAATGCAATGAAAGAGAGAGTTGGCGCTGTGTACGTAATCGGTCGGTGCCCTGATTCAAACCAAACAAACAAATCCAAACATCCCATCTCCTCTTTCATTTCATTCTCCACCCCATCCCGCCATGTCCCTAGCAGCACGCTCGCCCAGGTCGCGCAAGTCACTCTCCGCCTTCGACCAGAACATCCAACACGACATCAAACCCCTCGCGCCCGCACTCAGCAAAGGCAAGAAGAGGGCCGCTGCCAGTATTGGCGGAGAAGGTCTGAAGGAACTGGGATTGATGGTCAACAAGATGTATGACATGACTGCCAAGAGGAACCCCAGACACCACCTCGTGAGCTACCCCATTCAGCAGGTGGATGGCGCTTACCTAGACTAGCAACCACGGAAATCCATCCTGAAACCTAGAGGTGAAGATGACACAATGGAATTCACCCAGCAATACGCACACACCCTCGCTTTTGGATCACTCCCCGACGAAAACTCTGATCCCTCTCGAGGTGCCAGACACAGCCTTGGTGGAAGGCGAGTCAGTTTTGCGCCCAATGCACACGTCCGGTGAGTCGTCTTTACGCATTGTTGGCCCCTAGCTGACCGACATTTAGCATGTTTGGTGGTCCCACTGCCAAGAACCCAAGAGCTTCTGTTGGTCTCAACTTTACCGAGGCCACTAACCCCCCTTCCAAATCAAATCACTCCCGCCGATCATCCATCCAAAACATCGGCTCAGTCTCCAAACCCAACATCTTTGCCCACGGCGTCTACACGGGCGAAGGCGAAGGCGAGGGGGAAGAGTCTATGGAGATCGAAGATGAAGAAGGGTTTGAGCAGCATCCCGATCAGCAGGCAGGCTACGAAGATCAGGGGGAAGAGTCGATGGATATGGAAGAAGACGACATGGACATCACCACGCAAGTATACGGTGGTATCATTCGACGGTCGTCTATGGCACCTTCCGCCAACAACTCTGAAGAACTTGATGCCGATGCTGATACTGAAGATGAGGCAGACAGTACCGATCATTCTCAGCTCGACGAAGAGCAAACGATGGATTTCACTGTCGCCATCGGCGGCTTCTTGCCCACTCAAGCGCCAGAAGGAGCGTTGAGCAACCGCAACTCCATTGGGTACTCTTTCCACGATCCCAATGGCGGATTTGCTCCCAACCTTATTCCTGGGGAAGCTATCGAAGGCGAAGAGTACGTCATGGAAGAAACCGAGACGTATGGTCAGATCATTGGGCAGGACGTATCTTTCAGCTCTGGCAGTGAAGATACCATGACTTCCAGAGACGGTGGAGGCGAAAAGACCATGACATTCACCTACAGCTTCCCCCACGAAGCCTCGGCTCCAGCCGAGGACGACGGAATGGACATGGTGACTTCTGTTGGTGGTATCATCACTTCACCAGAGAAGACCGCCTCCAACGTTTTTGCTGCTCCCCGCCAGTCGACAAGCGCGACCCCTTCGTTCGCCCGTCCCACCGTTGCCTCTACACGGCGGTCCTCTACTGGCAAAAGAAACATCTTTGGACCTTCTCCTAGCCCTGCTAAAAGCCCTGCCAAGTCTACCACGCCCCGAAAGAGTGCCGCTGCCGATGTTGCCAAACGACTCAGTTTCGAGCCCACTTCTGCCAGTGGAAGTGGGAAGAAGCGCGCTAGGGAAGATCAAGAGGATACAGAAATTGCCAAGAGAAGTAGAGTTGACGTGGTGGCTGATGAGGTCTTTGGCACGCCAAACGTCTTTGATGAAGAGGCCCGGGAGCAGAAGCGCTTGTTCCCTACTACAACTCCAAAAGTCGACCCTGGGCAGCAAGTCCTCTCCGCTCGCCGCTCTTCACTCGGTACTGCCATGCGGCTTTCTTTCTCCCATGAAGCACCTGTGGCACAAGCCGAAAAGGTGGGGGAGGTCGAAGACTTCCCGGTGGAGGAGGAACCACAGGCGATTAGCCTTGGGGCGTTCTTGGAGATGACGGGAGTGCAATTCATGGAGGGATTGCCAGGGATGAACAGGAGGAAGAGCAGTGCCGCGAGAGGTGTTTTGGGACAGCCTTATGGCGGAGGTGAGTCTCGCCTCCATGACTACCACAACGCTAACTTGGCAATAGATCGAGAATTTGCTCTCCACGAGTACACCGAGGCTCAGGTCAACCACGTCTTCCTCAACATGTACAACTGGGCAAGTCGATTCCACTCGTGACTAGCAGCTGCTGACTATTACCCAGGCTGCCAACAAGCTTCGTGACGATATCAACACTGGCAACGAGGAGTTGCTCGCCGTTGAAGCTCGCTGCGAAGACGACAGCCCTCCTGTCATTCAAGAGTATCTCTCGGCCTCGGAAGAAGACCGCCAACTTTTTGAAATGACGTTCAAGTCGTTCAAGACAAACACCCATCTCAAAGCACGTGAAATGTGGTATGACTGGAAACGCCAGCTCCTCGAGACTATCGAGCCTGAGGTCGCCGGTGCACTGCAAGGGATGCAGGAAGATGCTATCAGATTGGAAGCGATCAATGGGGAGCTGAAATACTTGTTGCCACTCATGCGAAAGAGGAAGCAGGAGCTGGAGGAAGAGTTGGTGAGAGAAAGGGAGGCGGTGAAGGAGATTGCGCAGTGTGACCAAGCCGAACTGGCGGGTTATCGAGAAGGTATCGCTGAGCAAAGGTAAGTGAATCATGACTCATGATACAATAGCTCATCTGGTCACAGTGCCCAAATCACCGTCTTTAGTACCGAGCTCAACGACGCCCAGACCAAGTTATCGGCGCTTGCCTCAAAGCTCGATGAGCTGTTGACCAAAAAGCACGAGTGTGAAGCTGCGATCGCTCATGCCAAGAGCCAGTGCGACCAATTCACTCGATCCGAAGCTGTCCGCCTGCAAGAAGAATACACCTCATTGCAGCACCTTCACCTGTGGCGACCGCTCAAAACACTACCCAACCACCTTTCCCTTTCATACGACAATGAGATTTCGGTTTCATTCTCGTGTCACAATTATATCCCCGACATTTCTTCAGCCGAGCTGGAGTATCTGGAAAAGGACAGCCAGGAGAAGGGCAAGAAGGGCGTGGCGTCGGGCAAGGGCTGGAAGGGCGAGAGCCCCACAAGCTGTCTTTTCGAGATCACCAAAGCCGCGATGAAAGATCTCTTCAAGCAAAAGAATATTACCATCTCCTCAGTGAGTCCCATCCGTCCCCTGGCCTCGACCTAGCTGACCCGTTCAAGTTTATCCAATCCACCGGCCACCTCTGGTCTCAGTCTCAGCGCCTCCGTGCCGAGCTCCGCTACATGACTTTCCACCACCCCCTCACCATCTCCTACAACCGATCTTCCACCCAGATGCAGGTGGGAGCGGGAGTAATGGTGAGAGGCAAGAAGAGCAAAGTTGTGGTAGAGTTTGGAATAGGGAAGGGTGATGTTGGGGGTTATCCGGGGAGTCTGGGGGCGATGGACGTTGGGGTCAAGACAATCTACGGGTCGGCAGAGTAAGTTTTCCGACCGGGATAAATGTGAAAGGAGACTGATCATACATGATAGTGCCAGTGTTCTGGAACAAGTCGCCAAGCAGACTATCAAACTATCCAGTCCTGAAGCATGCCTGGGCACGCTTTTGCAAGTTTGTGCCGAAGTGGCAAGCAAGTATTCCAGTTGACGGAGGTAGAGAGTGTATGGGGATAGTAGCGAGGGACACTTGTATTTTGATTAGTATTGTTTTGGGATCGGGCATTCTCTCTCTTTTCGTTTTATGGCAGTACTTGGCTGTCTCTTATACCCAGATCTTGTTATAGTCCAAGAAGTGCAACATGAAATAAGTTTCGACGCATATACAAAAGAGTTCATTCCATTTCAATTCCCTTTTTTTTTCTTCTTCTATCTGTACAAACATGCTTGAAGGCTACCTAGACGGGAGATCGACTTGGTCCGCGAGATAGACAAGAGTGACATGAGATCTCTGGTGCTCTAGAGAGTGCCCTTGACGGCCTTGCTGACGCTCTCGGCAAAGTACTGCACGATGATCAGCTTTTGGGGTGTTACAGCCAAGAGATGGCACTCACGTCAACGTTGCCAGCATTGAGACCGGCCATAGAGATACGGCCATCCCTAGTCAGGTAGATACTAGCCTTCTGCGCCAAAGCATCGACCTGCTCGGCCTTCAAACCCGTGAATGAAAACATGCCGATCTGGCTCTTGATGTGCCCCCACTCTCCAGGGGTGTCGAGTTGGACGAGCTTGTTGTAGAGACGTTCACGCATCTCGATGATACGGTCAGCCATGCCTTTGACTTCGGTGAGCCATTCGGCGTTGAGCGTGGGGTCGGAGAGGATGGTGGTGACGAGGCGGGCACCGCTGAGGGAAATGTCAGACAACGCACGGTATCACTACGGATCGAATTACTGAACAGGGGGGTTGGAGTAGAGGGGTCGAATGATAATCTTCAACTGCGAGTCCACCCGCTTCTTCTCCTCCTCGCTCTCGCACACAAACGAAATGGCGCCCACTCGCTCACCATACAGACCCATGTTCTTGGCGAAACTCTGGCAAAGCAAGATCTGGTGGCCTTGCTCAACAAAGTATCGGACGGCGAACGCGTCTCGGAGGGTGTCACCAGAGGCAAAGCCTTGGTAGGCCATGTCGAAGAAGGGGAAGTGGTTTTTGGATTTGAGGAGCGTGGAGAGTTCCTTCCACTGGGCTTCGGTGGGGTCGATACCGGTAGGGTTCTGCTTTCGTCAGCATTGGCCTCGCACTATATAGATACGTACGTGGGCACAGGCATGGAGCAAGATGACAGACCCATCAGGCGCCTTTTCAATATCCGCCTTCATACCCTCAAAGTCCAACCCCACAGTGTCCTTGTCAAAGTATTTGTACTGCTTGACCTCGAGCCCCGAGTCCTTGCTGATGGGTATGTGGTTGCCCCAAGTAGGAGTAGGCAGGTAGATGGTTTTGGCGTTGGGGAACCAGCGGGCGAGGAAGGCGGTACCGATCCGAAGAGCGCCGGTACCCGAGATGGACTGGGTGATGGCCAGGCGGTTCTCGACGATGGGCTTCGAGTCTTTACCATAGGCAAGCTCGGCAGCGAGCTTGGTAAAGTCAGCAAGACCCTGTTGTTACGGTTAGCTCGGCAATCCGGACAAGGTAATGCGACTTGCGGTGATGGGGAGGTACTCTTTGTCTTGCATGGCGTCCGAGAGGATCTTTTCGGCCTTTTTCACAGTGGGCAAGACATAGGGCTTGCCATTACCGTCACGCTACATGATCGTCAGTATCGTACGGAGCAGTGAGGAATAAGCACTCACGTAGGCACCTGACGATCGAGTCAGTAAACGTCAACAATGCGAGTTGAAGGAGACTTACCAACACCGAGGTTGATCTTCTTGGGCGACTTGTCGGCCTTGAAGTTTTCAGTGACACCAAGAATGGGATCGGGCGGGCTGCAGGGCAGGGGTCAGTGGAGGGAGGAGGTGGGGAGTTGTACGGCGGGTGAGAAGGCGACATACCCGGCGGGGACAGAGGCCCAGGTGGACGTTGCCCTTGCGATGGCAGGGAGGGCGGTGGCGTGGCGGGCGGAGAGGAGGGAGGCGCGTGGGAGCATGGTGTATGGGAAGAAGAAGAAGAGAGATGAGGATAGATGGACTTGAGATGGACTTGAGATGGACCGGCGACAAGCAAGCGGGGCAAACCGGGATTCGGTCCGGCGGTCTCGGGCAGCTGGGGCATGTTACGTATGCACTACATCTCCATCTACGCGGGACTCTTCTGTGAAAAATCTTATCTCCTCTTCCCTCTCTTCTTCACTCTCCTCTTCACTCCCCTACCTCGCACCGCAGCTCCCCTCGCCCCCAACTCGCCACAAACATCGCGCGTCGTACCGTGCCCACCCCTCGATGAGAAAGTCCAAACTACCTAATAGTGCTTACTTCAGAAACGTGAACGCAGGAGCAGGGTGAGTGCACTTGGTGGCTGGGGGTCGCTGGGAAGGCAGCGAGAGAACAATCGCTGACCTTTTCTCCCCCTCCTCCCACCACGCTCGGACCTCGCACAGCTGCACCGTCCCATCCCGCCTCCTCAGACTCCCCCCGCAGATCATTCTCCTCCTCGACAGCGCTCCCAAGCCGCCGTAAATCGACCCACACCCACTATCCTCAAAAAAGCCAGCAGACGCAGGCAACAATAGAATACTCGCCACTCTATATAATACCTACCGCCCGACGCCCCGCATGGGATAATCTCGCCTCGCTGTATCACACCCAGCAGGTCCGATATACTTGGCTACTCTTGTCAACCGCCCCCCTTGTCGATCCACAGATTTATTCGTTGAATCAAAAAGCCGCAGAGGCTCCAGAAACACTCCTATAAATCTACAGCCAAGAAAAGAGACTAGTCGCAATGAACGCTCTTCGCACCCTTCCTATCCTCAACCGCCCCTCCCGCCCCGCCTCTCCTGCTCCTGCCACCGTGCAGTCCACTACTGCCAACGGAACTTCTGTCGCCCCAGGTGACAAGCCTCGCTCCCGATCCTTGTCCCGCCAAGTGGCGGACAAGGTGTCTTCTCTCTCCACCAACGCCAACGGGACTGTACCTGCGGCCAACGGCTCCATGCCTCCTCCTGCTACTACGCAGCCTTCTCAACCTCTTACCAAGAAAATTTCTCCTCCTGCGAGCAGGACGGCGACTCCGCGCTCTTCCTCTGCAGCTCTTCCCGTAGCCAACACCGAGACGGGCCCTGCGGGAGGATACATGGACGTCATCGGGCTAAGGCTCAATGATGTCGTCAACAAGGCCTCTGCTGGGGTCGATTTCAAGGCAAGGAAGGGGTTCAAGAAGGCAAGTGGTCTCGCTGTCGGCGAGGCCGTCGTCAAGTAAGTCTTTGCACCTTGACCGTATTCATAGCTAACAGTTTCTCAGGGAACTGCCTCAGCCTCCCTGCGACGCATACCTCATGCGCGCCGTTCTTCGCGCTGCTGTACGCTCCCTCAGCATCTACTCTACCCGTCTCGAGTCGCTCCTCCTCTCTGCCCTCACCGACACGTCCTTTGTCTCTCCTCTCAACCTCTCTGCCCCCTCCGCCACTTCCCACCCTCTCAACCCGGTGCAGTATTTCGCCCTCTCTGTAGCCCACGCGGCATGGGAGACATGCGAGACACTTGAGCAGACACTCGAGACTGGCAAGTGGCCGAAATTCGTGGCAGAGACCTTGAGGCCAGTGATGGACAAGATGGACCTCGTGGTCAGCAAGGTCGTGCAGCCCATGATGTTTGGGCTCAAGAGAGACCTGGTGGCAAGTTTGTCCCGAACAGAGGGGATCTCTCCTCCAGGCGTCAAGACTGTAGGCCTCGCTTCCATTCCCGCCCCTACCAACGCTGCGCCCCAGCCTGCCGCCGCTCAACCCGCCTCACGCCTCACCAAAGAGTTTTCCGGTTCGGGCGCTCCTCGTCAGCTCGTCATTCCTCCCCCTCTCCAGCACTTTGCCTCACGTGTCGATGGGGCGCGCAAGATCTTTGAGATCATTGCCAAGCCGTGTGCGGATGATGGAGAAGTATGGGTCACCGGCGTCATGGTGGCGGTCATCTGGAAGGGCATCTGTATCCTCGCAGAGAAGGGTAGTGCGCCTCTGGGGTCGAGACCCCCCAGCCCGAGCAGTGTCGCCCGGGCTCTTTCTGGTTTGGGCAAGGAGAAGGAGAAGGAGCCTACCGTCGCTGCGTCGCCTTCCCTCCAGGGCGTGACTGCTAAACTTGCTTCGTCCCTTTCCATCAACCCTTCCCGCTCTGCCTCTCGCGCACCTTCGCCTCCTAGGCAGAACGGCAAGCTTCACCCCACTACACACTCCCTCCTCTCGCTCGAAGGACTCGTCAAGCGACTTGTCAGCGGCCTTGTCCAGCCGCCCTCTCCCACCGACGACGCGGACGAGCACATTGCCCGTGAGGCCCTGTCTGAAGCTCTCGAAGCGCTGCAGTCTTTCCGAGTCATCGCTTCTGCCATGCACTCGGGCATGGCCCCCTCTTCTCGCATTCTCGCAAGCGCCCGTCGCCTCCGAGACGACGTCGAGGACCATGCCGAGGACGAGCTCGATGATGCCATGGAAGACTTGCAGGACGTCATACTCTTTACCGTCCTCTCCCGCCAGGCCAACATTGTCCTCGCAGGCGTGCCAGGGCTCGACAGCGAAAAGGGCGAAGCGCGTATCCGCCACCCCTCCGACATCTGGGGCTGGACCATGCAAGAGTACGAGCGCCAAGTCCTTCCCGGCTTTTCCACCGCAGACGAATGGGGCCGCCGTGTCGCTGTCGCCATCAAGGGCGAGGTCGAGCAAGTCCTTTCGCACCTTGTCTCCCTCTCTGCATCTCGTGGAGAAAAGGTGAGCAGGGGCGATAGGCTTGGAGAGGCGGTCGAATGGGTCAAGGCGGTTGGTGTGGCTTGTGATGCCAAGTGCGGCGTCAAGGTCGCAGATGCGGTTTGAATCCCGAGGTACATCGAAGTTTTCACTGGAAGAAGCATAGTAGTCTTTTTGTATATACGATCGAGTTTCATTGGCTCGGTGTGGGCTTTGGGGTCGCTATTCTTCTTTATAAAACAATCATCAACACAAAAACAGATAGATATCATGAGCTTTGTTTTTCCTTATACCAACATCGTAGCATCTTTCTCATCAAAGGGGTTTACCATACAATTCTTCTGTCGTCCTAAGTTTATTTCACTGTTCATAAATGCATTCGACCTGTTTATAGCCCTGTTGCAAAGTCTAATGGTATATCAAGTAGGGCAAGATACTCAAGTGATGCCGAGTTGCGCATTCTTAGGGTGAGTGAGGTTGTCGATGACGACCCGGTATTCGACTGCGAATGGTTATCAAGAGTGTATCCAGTGGCCAGTGGCTCGCAGCCCTCATCTTTGGCGCCTGCGATATAGCCTTCAGGCTCACAGTGAGGAAACGTAAAGATGTTGAAAGATATGACGCTGGATGATATTCCAGTGAAGTCGCTGCGCAACCCCCTTTCATGATTTTCACATAGAGGGGGTGTAGAGCGGCTGTTCTAGCACTGGTAAAGCTGCCGAGAAGAACGAGTATGTACACGGAATAGACCACCGGCCACCGGCAAGACCAGCAAAATCGCTGCCCACGAGATCTTCCACTAGCGACTCCTACCTATCTCTTATCAAAGTTCAGAAATTACTGGGTGAGGGGGGATCAGAGCGCCTCTTCCATCTCCTAAAATCACGGAAATACGGATCCTTGGAACGTTTCATAGAAAAAGAAGGAATATTCGACATGCTGGCAGATATGGCGAAAGTGACGAGAAGATGCCCAAAGGCGCCGATTACGGCCAGCGCCGGCCCTCCGTTACATTCCAGTTTTCCAGCTTTTTTGAGAGGGAATTCCAGTGGTCCAGGGCTACTTAGTTGGGCTTCTGAAACGGCATGGTCGGCATGGCGCAGTGTACTGTCGATGCAGAATCACCTCAATATATCTGGGTGAATTAAAAAATACAATAATGTGTTCCACGGCCGCCATACCGGCACACGCCATACGAGTGATACGCTCTGTACGCATGGGAGTCATGGGAAGAGCGTACAGTACTATGTCGAGCGCTAAGTATGTATAGCAGACGGCGGGACCGATGCTCGCCACTGACCTCGGCTTCGCTGCTTCTGGCCTTGATTTCAAAAGATGACAATAATAATATATTAGTCGCCCTTTTAGTAGGCCTTTTACCCACTGGTGCATGCAGGTGACAACAGCGAGGCTCGTAAATTGTTGTTTGCATTTGTAATGCACAGTCTAGTCTAGAAAAGACGGGTATGCATTATTATTACAAAAAAAAAAAACATACTACTAGCCATATCCGGCATGAGACCGAGTAACGGCGGGTAGAGAGTTGTTTTTGTTTATGCTGGCCTGGCATACAGTTAATCTTGTTGAGACATGGGAGACCCCCATCAAGCGCCCTAGCCTCAGTCCCAGCCTGCTGTCTGGCCACGAGCGCTGCCACAGAGACCACAAGTTGAACACAATCCACAGAAGACCTCTCTGGCCGGTCTCTGGCCATATCCTCCCTTGGCCGCAGCCAAACCCGAAGTGTCTCCGGCGTCTGCGACAGCCACCGAAGACCGAAAACGCGTCGCGTTGATCGCGCATGCCGGGCCCCAGGGAATTACTAACCTTCATTTCCTGAAAGGGCGATCAGGCACTGCTTCCACATTCTTGCGCTCTTTTCCTAGAGTTTTTACAAAAAACGCCTGCAGACCTGTAGATAAATGTGGGAAAGGTGTGGTAAGTTTCTTTTCCTTGCGCCTTGGCTTCTCTTCTTCGATTCTTCCCCCTTCTTGCCCCTGCATACTTTCCAATGGCAGGTAACCGGCAGGCGGGACCTAGGTACGTATAACCGGTCGAGCGCGCGAGCGACGCATGCAAGTTTTTGTATCGCTTCGGGTGGCCGAGGGTGAACGCTTGATGAAGGGTTTGCCTGTTCCCTTCTTATATATCGTGCAGTTCAGTCAGGAGCGCCAGGAGGTCCAGGAGGCCAAGAGCACAAGCCTTGTCTCGCCCCGAGGCCGGCCCTATGCAGAAAGCCCATGATGCACGATGATACTGTGGCTGTCGGTTCGGCCCTCGGTCTTTCGATACATGGCATCTGCATTGCTGGGGCCTGGGACATACAATATCCATATATAGGTGGCCTAGGTACCCTCGGTGGCATCTCATAGTCCATTTAGCTTCGACACTTCTCTACCGAAACGGTAGCACTTCGGGGCGGCGGCCAGGGACCACCACCCTTTGGCCTGCGATACTTGCCAAGTCTGCGATGCGTTGCGGGCCATCTGGACGACAGGCTGCGGATGACGATGTTGGCTGATAAGATACTGCATGTAATGTTCTTGGCTGAGCGATTAGATGGTCTATGTACCCTATCTAACGGGCTTATGATCATGACCTATGCGCTGTGTGAGCTGTATGACCCTTTACAGGGTCAGACTTGACCCTTACCGGGGTCTCAATCAAGTGCCGGTACTTCGGATGAAGCAGGTGACTGTGGAGCGCGAAACGAAGTCAGTGGGTCAGAGGGTCAAACGACGAACAAGTGAAGGCAAGACCAGCTCATGACCCTATGAGTTTTGTATCATCCCCTCCCAGATCTCCCTGATCATCAGCTTGTATATGTACATCTTAAATAGCAACGGCTGAAACGCCATCTTCGGGATCTTCTGTGGTGCGATTACGAACGTATCAATAGCAAATTCAGTGTAGCTGCTGACCATGATACAAGCACGGCGATGGAAGCTTGAGCAGTAGGGGATGCGGCAGTGATATATTGTGGCGCTTGTTCTGCCACTCATCCGACGGCACTTGGACACCATGTGATTCAACTAAGATGCCGATGCCGCTTGTGCCTTTGGTAGGTGGGAGGGTAGTGACTGAGGAACATGGCCTTCTTCAGTGTTGCTGTTGGCATTGCCCTCACTCGCTGGCGAATGGCGACAGTGGCAGTACACGGCGGTCACGCCTAGGATGATTGTCCATGTGCGTTGCCTGCAGGTGAATCGATGGACTGCAGGGTGACATGGGTGACGTGTAATTGATGGGAGTGATGATGGGAGCTGAAACGGACGAATGCTGATGGCGCAGATCGCCGATGCCTCGTGCAAGCTCGCAGGAGTCCGTGCGAGAAGAGAAGAGCGGAAGCAGAGAACAATTGGTCTCTTGTTGAACAGTACCAGGCAGCAGAGAACAGCAAGGGGGAGGTCAGCTCAGCCTGTACTTGCTCCAAGTCGTCACAGGGGAGCCAGAGGTCAGCCCAGCAAGAACTCCGATGGCACAGAAGACGACAGCCTGTCGACAGCCACTCGAAAAGTAGGGGGTTCCATGGCCGCACACGCCCGCGTAACGCTACAGTCACCCATCACACACTACTCAATGAATGAATGTTCTCTCGCTCTTCAGAATTCGGAAGAGACGCCTCGTAGCATGGCCAGCTAGTAACCCTTAGTGCTGCTATCGCTCAGAGTCACAGAAGGGCCATCGAGCGCAACACCCGAGGCCGGATCCAACGGACTGGGGATGGCAAGATATATCAGCTCGCCTCCCGCTTCCTGGCATGCAACCCCCCTTGGCCTGTCCAGCTCATAATAATCACTGTCCAGACACCAGACCCCACTAGCGCCGACATACAAGCACCCCTTTCGCATTCCATAGCGCAACAGCCCCCTGCCACGAGTTCATCCCTGGCCGCATCAAAATCGACACCAACCTATCTCTCTCTTCTCTTCATCTCTCACCACCTTCATAGCTGCACCCAAAAGGCTTCATAGCCACGCCTCTACCCCCCGCCACCCTCACCCAATCTCCGTCGGCTTCGAACAGCCCCTACACTGGGCTGCTTCTGCCACATCGCGCTCCCCTGACGCACACAAGTGCCCTGGTGTGTAGCAGACTGTCTGCTGCAAAGCATTCAGCAGCTTACTCTAGCAGTGCGCCAAGAGAAGGCTGAAACAATCACCAAAAGGGCATACAGCGGACAGCGGCCAGCTGCTGCACACTCGGTGAGCATTGGTTAATGAGTCTGTCTATACATACACCCGTGCTCATCCCCGCCAGCCCCACCCCCCTAATACAAAAGCTACAGAACCTCCCATCTCCCGCCCCTCGTACCCCGGCGTCAATACACCGTGCGGCGTCTCACTCAACCCACAGTCTGAAACGGCCACACCATCGCGCATCTGCATAGACACTTTGCTTGAGATCGACACCTGAAGGATTTCGCTGGGTGGACACATAGTGTATGGGGTCTGAAACGTGAGTACATTTCCTACGGCATCGCCTCTTGTCCTCACAGACTGGAAGCCGGGCCGCCATCCATGTTCCCGGGCATGTGCGCACTGATATAAAGCCTTGCCTCCCCCGTGCTCTTCTCTTCCGATCCCTCCTTATCTATCAATCCTTCTCCGATCGTCGCGCTAACGAGATCTTCTCTACGATTACGACTTTCAGTTCTCTGATACCGTAATATCGCAAGCTTAGATTGTGCGATCACCCATCTTATCAGGCATTGATGAAAAGCAAATTATGCTGATACGCCCTTTAGCAGCCTCTTCCGATCTCTCTATATCCGATTACCCTATTACACTGCATCATATCACGACAGCTCGTGAGTCTTTATGTCTCTGTTTTCTGTTTTCTGGTTCTGTGGTGTGGTTTGAGTTTGGGGATCCATATGCCGGCCGTCGGCTGTCGTTTTGTTGAATCGTTGGTCGTTGGATCGTTATGGGCCTGGGTGAGAGGAAGTTTTCGAAGCTCGAGGAAGTGTCATCGGCCATGCATCGGCTGTCGATGAGAGCCGATGTTGGCTGCGGCCTGCGACAAGGTTGCAGGGGCAGGCAACGTTTCCTCCACCAAACCTTGCGGCCCCACGTGATCGATGTTGAATGAAGAGCTTGAAGCCTGGAGAGAAGGTGTGGGGCAGCATAGCGCATATGTTCTCCCATGCGTGCATACAACATGTCAAGTTGTGGTGGCCGAATGCTTTGCCAGACCTGCATATGAAGGCGAGACGCTTTCATCCCCTGGTCGGTGTCTGCGCATCATCCGGGCCTCGAGATGGCCGTGCATCATGTACCGTGGTTTCGCGGTGTACCTTCTCTCCTTGATCTCCTTCCAAGCATGTCACAACATTCCGAGAGTGGAACTGGGGGGTGTCTTGCCACCCTAACACTCGTCCCCTCTCCGATGGTCGACCAACGCCGAGCGGCCGGAGATGGGCAATAGGTGTTCCTATGATTACGAGCTTCTTCAGCATATTACCGAGCACTTTGTAATCCATATTAGAATAAGATACTAATACTCTCGATCAGGCTCTGCAAAAACGCCATTTTCTGATCTGATCGTTCAAGAAGAAAATCTAATTGGCTATAGACTACAGATCTAGTGGTGAGTCTGGGTTGTGGATTCTCGCGATGCTGGTGGAAAATGTCAAGTTTCTCTGTGTCGTGACTGTCTTTTTGTCAGTTTTCGCTGTTCCTTGTGCCGTGGCATGGCGATTGTGGAATTCTGCAGCTGGGTTGTGAGATTTTGGAGGGGTACGGGGAATTCTGAGGGCGACGCGTGGAAAGGCGCTACTGCCGCCGCGCGCCGGTCACCCTCCCTGAGCCTGCGTCTTCTGCCCTGCAAAGGTTACGTCTCTAAATCTCAACGGCCCAACCGGGTCGTTGTAACCCACCCAAATAATTCCAGGAGGACAGCAGGTACACACACCGTGACGTGACCCGTAGAGTTTAACGCCATTACCCAATTCTCCCTTATGGGCGTTTGGGCACCTTTTTGCTCGGGTTGGTGCGGTTGGTGCCGTGGGCTGCCTTTTAGATTGGTCTAGCTGTTCTCAGCGTTTTCACCACCGACGCCTTTGCTTGTCTCTTCTCTATCTCTCTTTCTCTTTCTCCATCTCTCTCTGCCATCGTCGACAGCAGCGTCCCACTCGACACCCATACTCGTTTTCTTTCTCGCCGTCTCATTCCACTGCTTTGTCTTTGGGCTGTGTCTTGTGCTATACCGTAGAGAACCGACAGCTTACGACCGCTACTCTTTCTGTCTATACCTCTTTGTACCCACCACACCCACCTTACTCGACACCACTCCCCTCCCCTCCACCCGAAAATCCGCACTCGTGGTCCACTTCGCGTGTCGAAATCTGCACCCGATCTGCACCGCACGTCACTTCGCTTCACCCACCAAATTCCCATCTGCTCTCTCTTCATACTCTCTCTCCCGTGTCTGCCTCTTCGCATACGCCCCTTTCCCCTCCCGTTCTCCCCCGTCCACTCCGACGGTGAACACATCACCCCCTTCAATTTTCACGACACTCTACGTTGCGCGAGCAGGTCTCCCCAACTCCCTCCCCACCCTATCACGTCGACACCTAGGGCCCTCACTCTAGCCTCTCTTTTGTAGTCTCCTGTTTGACCACCTCGCTCAGCGCCAAATACCGAAACCCCACTTTTTCACGACCACTTATCATGCCCGCCGCCCCCACCGTCAAAATTGCACGCACCAACTCGGTCTACGACCGTAGCTCCCGTGCGTCCGCCTCTCCCAAGTCGAGCCGGCGGTCAGCGACTCAGCCCAAGGTCAAGGCTCAGCCTGCGCCCCAGTTGCGTGCCGCTACCCAGGCTAGGAAGGCGCAGGAGTCTTTGTACTTCGAGGAGGACTACAGTGATGAGATTGTCGAGTACATGACCAGCATGGACGTGAGTACCTTTCACACCGCCTGCGCCCTCACCGCTGATCTGTATCTTTAGAACTGCACACTCGCCTCTGCCGACCTTATGGACATGCAGCCCGAACTCCAATGGTTCATGCGCTCCTACCTCATCGACTTTATCATCGAGGTCCACCAGCAGTTTCGTCTCCGCCCTGAGGTCCTCTACCTCGCCATGAACGTCGTCGACCGGTACATCTCCAAGCGTGTGGTCTACAAGAAGCACTACCAACTCGTTGGCTGTGCCGCCCTCTGGATCGCGGCCAAATTCGAAGACGCCAAGGACAAGGTCCCTCTTGTTCACGAGCTGTCAGAGATGTGCTGCAAGGCCTATGATGAGAGCGCCTTCATCCAGATGGAAGGACACGTCCTCTCTACCATAGGTTGGGTTCTTGGGCACCCTTCTGCCGAGGCATGGTTGCGTGTCTACTCTACAGGGATTAGGTACGAGGATCAGAAGGTGGCCAACATGGCGAGGTTCCTCATGGAGATCACCCTGTTCCACCGAGAGTTTATCGGTATTCGGTCTTCGACTGTTGCTGGCGGTGCTTTGATGTTGGCGAGGTTCATCTGCGGCAAGGCCTACAAGGTGAGTAATGAATTTTTTTCACTGTTGGCGGTGCTGACTTTCATCAGCCATGCTACCCTGGTGTCAATGAAAATCTTGCTGCTCGAGTCGCCACTGCTATCGACAAACACTTTACGCAAGACCTTGAAAAGGTGTCGGAGATTGTCATTCGCAAATACTCCCCCACCTATTACGACCGGGTCTCCACCATTTGCCGCGAGTGGTATCTCTCCGGGAGACGGTATAACTACAACCCCGTCGTGCCCAGCACTCCCGTCTCTGGCATGTCCACACCCGGCCTCGCTCCGTCGAGCTCTTCCTGGCAACGCGGGTCCTGGGCCGCTTCTCCTGCCGGCTCTTGCGCTTCGTCTGAGGCCGGCGATGAGACACCCGTCACCCCCATCACCCCCATCCACTCTCACGTTGTGGACCCCTTCTCTGTCGCTGTCAAGGAGAACATTGCTCCTGATACAGGCAAGTTGGTGGCTGCCAAGGCGCGGGCGGTGATTGAGGCGGCGGGCCTCACAGGGAAGCAGCAGCCTGCCATCGTCTACCCCCAACGGCCAGCTCTCCATGCTCTTCCGGCTGTGGGCGAGCATGGCATCAACCGGGCTATGAGACGGTTAAGCAACTAGGCTTTCCCGTGCTCTACGACCCCCTGCATCGTTTTCCCTTCTCGCATTGTTTCCATTACGACACCCAATCATCATACTGCATTCTGCCATCATCATAGAGACTCGAGCTTTCGGCTTTGAGGAGAGTTCCTTTCCTCCCTTATTCCTGCTGCCCCACGAGCGAGAAACGATTACGATGTAGTTTGGGATACGATTTACGAACTTGGTTCACAATTTTTCCCGTGACTTCTCTTTTGGTTTCTTGCCTTCTTCCATAGATATTCTCTGCTCTCCTCCTCTGGCCCTGTTTTTGAGTCCCACAACATATTCATACATTCATACCCATCATTTATAGCTCACTTACCAGGTTTCCTTTTGCCTCCCATTATCTAGTACTTTGTTATCCCAATTAGTGTTGATCACTTTAACGATCAGTGATATGAGACGATTATATGCATTACGTCCAGAACTTTGGGGCACTCGAGTGGTGTATTATGACAGTACATGGGCGAGGAAAAGATTGGAGTGGCTCTCTCATGCATTGTCTAGGTGACAATGCAGGTGGCCTCTGATTCTGACTAGATCGATGAGGTGAACACAGAAGGTGAATGGCACGTGGAAGCGTGATCTGTATGCCGAGAGTCCGTACATAATGATACCGTGTTGGCGTAGATCGCGTACCCGCTGGATGCACATGCAAGGCTCTTTCGGCATCCGTCACGGCTCACGGCCCTTGGCGGCGGCAGGATATACAGGATATACTGTACTCGTAGGATGCAAGACGAAAGAGGTATAGCGTGTAAACGAAGGCGTTCTGCACAGACTGGTCTCTTTGCAAGTCTCAATGTCGAGATGCCGAAAGCGTACTCGGCACTGCTGCCGCGAGGGTTTGGACTGGACGGGCTGAAATAGGGCTGTACACCGTCTAGCGACCGTCTCTCGTTCTGTCTGCAGGCGGCAGGAAGCAGAGGGGAGCCGGACTATGGTGTCACCTGCCCCCGTAGACAGAGATGCAGGCCACAAACAAACAGCGGGACCAGCGAGGGCCACAAACAGAACGACCCAAAAAAGGCAAACACGTCAGGTGGACCTGAAAGTGGAGGCGGCGCGTCAATGCACGGCGTGGGTGACTCACCGGCGCTAGCCCCTCTGGGCCAAAATGCGCAATCAAGATCTCGGCCCAGAAACGGCGTCCATGTCACGCCGTCTCCTGGGCGGCATCTGCCGCCACATCCAGCCGCCCACTGCCGATGCCGTCAGCCTTCTGCAGCATGTGCATCCCAGTGAGGGTGGATCTTCGTGCGCCATACCGCCAGCCATGTTTCCTTCGACTTACGCAGCGGGACCAGGCAGATATGCCCTCGATTTCGAGATGGTCATGCAAGTGTTGCGGATAGCCACTTTGCCCGACCGTTACAGAGTGCGCACTATTATCACATGCTACCAGACCGTCCTCTGGGGCCTCTGGCCTCTTGCTGCCTTTGCTGCTCTGCATCCCATATTCATATACGAGGGAGTACGAGTAATGGACTAAAGCTCTTTTTTGTAATGTATTTAACTGGGAGTACTAATAATATGGAAAGTGCAGAGGACGGGAGGCCGAAGAGAGAGACCCACGACGACGACGATGATGAGTGACCCGTAGGGCGCTAACCTCATCCGGTGCCCAGGCATTGGGTGTCATTCCCGGTTTCCCGTAGTGGGGAGACTACCACGAACCATTGCGGCCACTGCTGCATGGTATGCAAGGAAAAGAACGGGGCCAATGGGGGCCCGATGCAATGCGCACATGGGCGTCGACGCCTGTGTCAGAACGGGAGCGGCCCCGGTCGATCTCCCGAGATGCTGCAAGACGGATGAGGTTGCCGAAGTCCATCTTTGCCTACTACCTACTATTATGTACTATGCACGTCTGATATTTTGGGCCCTGCCCAGTGCATTATCTCTGCACATGGTGCGCATGCTAAACTTCCGCAACGGGTCACTGTCACTGACGTCGCAAAGCTCATCCTTACTCTGTTCTCTGTACGACGCGATCTTTGCCCGAGCTAGGTGCCTAAAGCTTGGCACTACTGTAGACGAGGTCATACTGGTGCATGCCGCAACAATGTATTACTGTATATTCCACAATCAGCTGTCCGAACCAAAGCCTTCACTCGTTGGTCGCCAGGCTTGTGATCGCACGCTGGCTGCTATATGTAGCCATTGCAAGATATGGTAAGTTGATAACACTAATTTCTAGACTAAAGCCACTTGACTATGACGCTGCACTAAAACGATCGAAGTTGACAAAATTATGAAAAGTTGGGACACTAGAAAATTAAGATTACTATGACGATTACGCAGCCAGAAAAGATAACGGTCGCGGACTCGCGGCGTGACAGTGGGTGAGCAACCTCTGGTCTTGTCACTTGTGTCACGAAAAAGTGACTGCAACGGCGAGTACGTGTAGCGGGAGCGGGGTCCCATGATCCTTGAGCAGATCTGTCAAGCGTGCAAGCGTGCAAGCGTATGCAAGACATTTGAAAGACCAGGGGCCGAAGCCGGTATCAGCTCAGGAGGCGGAGAAGGATATGATGCCGTACTCTGTACTCTATGCAGATGAGTGCAGATGCGCTGCATATGTTCATGCTCACTAGCCAGGCTGCCTGCTGGTCTGCGTGATAGGCCGGTGGGAGGGGCTGGGGACGATCTGCCGATGATGACCGAACATGTCGAACACAGGCTCAGAGAGCGACGCTGGGACGCTGGAATCTGAAAATTGACAACTTCGGCTTTCAACGAAAAGCTCGGCTATTGTGTCTTGTATTTGAGTTGTCTCGCCAGTCGCCAGTCCCCAGTTTAGTATACTCAGAGTTCATGCCAAGGCGTATGTATGGCGCATGCAGCTCAAGCGTTGGCGTCAGGCCTCAGATGTGCCTATTATTGACGGCACCCCGATTGCAACGCATACCGCTAATCGGCAGTCGGCGTCGCTAGTATAGCTGAGCATGTTCACTTGCTGCACTTGGACTTTCATGCTTTATAATTATAGTTGCGCTTCCAGAGCTCCTCCTTTACCTCTGCGTCACCGGCACTCCAGCCTCCGGCCTCCTGCATCCCGGTCTGCCTAGGCCACCCACTTCATCATGCGTCGGCCTACAAGCCGCAAACCGTAACGGGCATATGCAATCTTCTCTGTATGCTATAGGTTCATGAGCCGGAATTAGTCCTGACGCCCTGTTGGAGCTGGTCGATGTTGAAGCGAGACGAAGCTGCAGAGACGGGGCAGAGGTGTGGTGGCTCGAAGCAGATGATCCTCTCTTCTGTTACATGCAAATCAAGTGCTGTTGATTGTAGCGGAGGAGCAAAGTGATACGGTGCTTTGCCTTGCTTCACATTGCAATTAGCGAGCTTTTAACATTATGCATTATTAATCACATATTCGACCTAGAGGAAAAGATCGCCAGAGATGCCAAACAGAGACATGAAAGAATGAGTGCAAAAGGAAATCAAGGCTATCCAAGCAGGAAAAAAAAAAGTCCGTATACACACTCTCGATAATGATATTGGACGAAGCGAAGTAAGGTGGAAAGGAAGCAATGGACAAGGATATCATCCAGTCCGAAAAAGAAGTAAAAACGTCCGGCATTTGTCCTTTCAAAAGAGGTTGCTGGTTTCGTCGTAAATCATGACATAATCGTTGGAAGGGTGGGAGTGCAAGAAGGGTAAAAAAAGAAACAGCGCGAGCACACGAAAGGAGAATAGAAGCACATCAAGCGACAAGACGTGGGTGCGTTTTATCTGATGTTGACAGGGTGGTATACCTGCGACCCCCACTGCTGCTGACCCGGCGCCACAGCCGTATGACCCCCGGCCCCAGGCGGCTGATACACATGTCCCTGCCCTTGGTGCCCATGGCCTCCATCATCGCTCATCACATCATGGTCTCTATACGGGCCAGCTCCATTATCTGGCCCCAACCCAGCCCCACCATACGAGAACGACGAGGAGTTGCGCATGGGCGTGCGGGAGGCGAGATCGGCGGTCGCGATGGTGTTGAAAGAATCGTTTCGGGAGTGACCTACAAAGCCAGGAGTAGGAGAGTCGTAGGGGTCATGAGAGTTGAAAGCGGCCATCGGGTAGGCGGGTCCAGCTGCTTTGTAAGCTGCGAGGTTGTCAGCGCCCAACGATGAAAAAGGTCCGAGTAATCGACTTACGAGTCTCGGCACCACCTTGCTCGTTCCAGCCTCCAGCCCGGTCACCATACCACCCTTTCTCATCGACCTTCTTGTTCTTTCTCTTCTTTGCGAGGCAGAACACCAACAGGCCCGCCAGGACAGCAGCAGCGCCCACACCAGCTCCGATTCCGATACCGATTTTGGCGCCAGTACTCAACGTGCTACTGGAGCTATCGGCGCTGTCTTGATTGGTAGAGCCAGTGACAGCAGTATCGGTAGCCTTGCCTGCGGTAGCGGTACTGGCCACAGCAGCGGCAGAGGTCGTCTCGTCCGCAGCAGTGACAACCCAGTGCTTTTTCTTGATAATGTCGGCAGCCTTCTCGGCGATACCATAGGTAGTGGCCATGGTGTGGGTAGAAAGCTCGAGAGGAACGATAGAAGTGTCGATAACACGAAGGTTGGCCGAGCCATAGACAGTGAGAGTGGTGTCCACGACGCCACCGCTGTCCTTGGGAAGCATAGAGCAGGTACCGACAGGATGGTACTCGGTACCAGCATTGTTTTTGGTATAGTTTGCGAGCGTGTCACCAGTAACAGTGCTTCCAGGAGCAGTCTCCTTTATCATGACATCCGACAACGGGCTCGCTGCCGCCAACCGCCTGGCAAACTCGGACCCGTAACCGATGATATCAATGTCAAAGCCGACACCAAAGTAGTCGGGGTTGATATGCGGCTGCGTGAAGGGGTCGGTCGAGTTGATAAGGATGGTACCACGGGAGAAGGGGTGCTGCAGAGCGACCTGAATACCCATCTCGTTTCCGCCGTTACCCAACATGGTCAAGATGATTTCAAGCTGTCCAATGTCGCCAGTGAGCCACTCTTGTTGGATCTTGTATTGGGCAGTAAGACCGGTGGCGACGTTGTCGGGAAGGTCAAGCCAGGATGTGACATCCGAGACGGTGTCGGAGATCTTGTCGCTGACGTCGTCAGCGTAGGTGGATGCAGCAGAGTCAGAGTCCATGATGTCGGCCATGCTGGGATCTAATGCCGATCAGAAAAGGTTTGTGAATTCAGACGAGAGTGACTTACAACCGACGGCCTCGTTGACGTATGTCCACATACCAGTCTGGGAGGATTTGTATTCGGCCAGCTCGGAAGCTTGAAGAGTATCAGATGTACTCAGGTTGTTCCAAGTCAAAGTTCCTTGGCTGTACAGACCAATGTATCAGAGCGAGTCAAATACCAATCTGAAGAAGAAGACTCACGGAGTTGACCAGTACATGGAATAAGAGATGTGATCCTGAAGGTTGTAACCGACCGGGAGATCCAAGTTGACGTCGATATCGAGGTTGCTCAAAAGGGTCTTGGGGCCAACACCAGAAAGCTGCAGGATTTGAGGACTTCCAACAGTACCGCCACTTTGTGGTCATCAGTTTGTAGTCACCCGACAGCTGGAAAGACGTACGCCACAAGCACCTCCTTGTTCGCCTGGACAGAGTAGCTAGTTTCGCCTTTGGCGGACTGGAAAGTGACACCGCTGGCGATGATGTTTCCACTAGCATCCGTAGAGCCGTTGAAGACGACGCTGGTGACTTGTTGTTTTGTCAAGATGACAAGGTTGTCCCTTGGAGGAAGGGGATCGATATAGCCAGCTTTAGCGTCGGATCGAGTCTGGTTGGAGGTGTTGATGGTGGAGGTGGAGAGTTGAGCACCATGGGTGCTTCCTCCAGCCAAGTCGAGAGCACTCAGGCCAAGCGTCTCCCACGCACTGCACAGTCGATTAGACAAGTGGTGCCAAGTTGCTGTGTGGCCAACTTACGGGATCCACTTCGCAACCTCATCAAAGATATACTCCGTATAACCCGCTTGGATGGGCCCGCTGTCGCCATGGGCAGACGCATTCACGACCAAGCCGAATTTGGACTTGACGTCGGAGGATGGGGCGGTATAGTTTTCAGACTTTTTCATGTACTTGTCCATCTCTTCCCAATTCCAAGTCTCGTTGCCACTGGGGTTCAACGCTATGCAATGTCAGCTTCTGCCCGCTAAATTGTTGGAGAGATCGACGTACTAGCCCAAGCATCGTATTCCTCCATAGCTGCCTTGCCCCAAAACATACCGTTGATCGCGCCTGAACCGCCAAGACCTTTTCCTCGCGGCCAGTACATGATCCTGTCATTGTTGTCTGTCTGCGCGACGGTATTGTATGACCAGTCGTAGGCAGAACCGGTCAATGAGTTGAGGTACGAGTATCCTAAGTAACGAGAACCAGGGTCAGCAAAGTCTCGTGGGACGTGCGGACACTAGAGCCAGCGAAACTAACCAGGAATATCGATTTTATCTTCCACATCCGTGCCATCGCCACCGGCCTCAATGCAAAGCACAGTCACATTGCTCCACTCGCTCAACCTCGCTGCCAGCGTCAAGCCAGCAACACCACCACCAGCAATGACAAAGTCAAAGCTCTCGCCATTGACAGAGGACGCGTCGGAGGTGATGGAGCGCTTGAGGGCGCGCCGATGGGGGTGATCGATGTTGTGGGGGTGATTCAGTGGCCGAGGATTGGCGGTGGCTGATAACGGTATGAGGAGAAGGGGGAGGAGCGAGAGGAGGGGTATGGCGAACATGGCGGCGCGACTCTGCTCTCTTTACAGAGGATGTAGGATTGTTTGCCGGCCTGGTGAATGCAAAATATGCGGGCGTTGGAGATGTGATGGAAAAGAGAAAGCAGTACGACGCGTCCTCAACTCTGAAGGGGATGTTTGAGATGACAAAAGATTTACCCGGGCCAGAGAAGACTGGTAATTGTCCGATATATACTCCTATCTTGGTCGGAGGGATACGGAAGGGGACGCGACATTCTATCTCTTCCGATGGATCGGGTGATGCAAGCTCTTCGTCTCTTGTGGGCGCCCAAGCTGTGCTCCACTTCGTTGTACAGGACACCGCCAAGGGTGTCCCCTTGCCTACCGCACCCCTGCCCACGTCTTGGTGGGACTTTTGAGGCTCCTCCTTGCCACTGCGGCACGCAAATTCTTTTACGTCCCGTCCCGCCCATTTGTTTCCGCTCTCAAGTGACCGCCTAGGTGACGGACTTTCCGGGGCTGACGAGGGCCTCCGAAGGCGATGCACATCGCTATAAATACAAGGAGAGGGCTACAAGCAGTCCATCGTCCCCTCTCTTGTATATACACGATGAGTTAACGGCAAATTGATGGCGACCTCGGTGACCTCGGTGAATGAAGCAGATGCTCAAAGGAGTCAGAAGTTGGCAAGTGCAAAAAAGATACATATGTATGCCTCAATCAACATGACCACGCTCATGAAGAGGACAGGGAATAAGCGGTCCAGCGATCCAGCGCGCCACAAGGAAGAGCGAAGAGCTGGAATGACTTGGAGCTTGCTTTGGATCACATCAGCCAAGCCTGCTCTAGGCTAGCTTCGGCTGCTCGCTTGTACCAGGAGGGCACTCATCGGCATCAGTGTCGTGGTGATGATTTGGCATTGCCGTGGGTCGGGTATCTCTTGTTGCACAGCCTTCACTGCAACTATGTGCAGTCGGATGGAGTCGTATATTCGCCAATGTCGCCTGCCATACAAAGGACACTCCTTTGTGACGACCAAAAAGGCACACGAAGTGTAGTACTCACCAACTGACCCGGTGTATGCACCGAGCGACCCGAAGTTATCAAGGAAGGCTCAGGGTGAGATGGGCTCCCTCTTGACATCAGATACAGCTGAACATCCATGGGTCAACTCTGAACTTGTACGGGCCAAAAGTGATCCTTGACATGCATCTATAAACCAGTCACTGCATAAGAAGAGAATCGAACCGCTAACAGGAACCAAACATCTGAAGGTTTACGAAGAGTACCCCACAGTCCTCTACTTCCGTCTACACTCCAACTCCAATCAATCAATCAGAGCACCCTTCCTCTTGCCCAGCTCCAACTCTTCCAGCTTGTACGCCGCCGGTCTGCCATCGCCCTTCCCAGCCCCGACCGCAGCCCCCAAAAGCCCAGCTCCCGGCCCATTCTTCTGTCTCCTATCAAAGACGGCAGGGAACGAAAGCCCCCTGCCTCTCGCAATCGACCTTGCCCCAGGGCCAGCGTAGGACAGGATCTCGAGCGGGGGATTGAGTCGGGGCCAGGAGACGTACGAGGTGCCGTTGCCCCAGATGTAGCTCCCGGACAGGAAGGCGAGGATGAACCATAGGACGAGGAAGGAGGAGATGGAGAGGGAGGAGGTGCGGGGGAGGGTGAGAGCGGCAAAGATCATGGTGAGGGCGAATGAAAAGACATAGGGCATCTATCACAGATCAGCATCCACATGGTGACTGTAGACAGAACTCACAGATCGCATGATGAGCGGCCTTGTGTCCGTCAAAGGAGCCACCCCGCCCCTCCTCGCCACCCATGCACCGGTAAGGATGTCAAATCCATCTTGACGATCACCGTCGAAAAAGTTGTTTCGAATGTATCGCATGATGGACTTGTAGCCGTCGTGAAGAAGTCCTTCCTTGGTGCGCTTTCCGGTACGAGTGTAATCTGCCTTGAGAGCACCGGTACCGGCATAAGCACGGGATACGGTGTCGCCGTGGTCCGCCCACACTATGAAGGATCAGAACATGCACACAAGACTGAGAGGCGACGTACCATGTCGGAACATGAGCATAAAGTCGTCATGATCCTCCACACTCTCCTTGATACTGATGATTCCCACCTTTCTCAACTGCTGGTTCAGAACCCACCGCCCGAGCGCAGACTGTGCCACATTCGTCCTATCAAGGCAGTCCATACAGTTTGACCTTACCACACCGTCCTGCTTGCGCAGTACTCGAGCACCACCTTCCACATCTTGGGTGTTGGCATAGGTAGAAGATTGCGGGTTGACAGAATGGAACCATCCCATCTCTTCCACCGCCGGCGCGAGCCTATCGATCAACAAGGAGATTCTGTCGAATCGCAACCCCTTGCACTCGTGGTGAAAGTCAAAGTAGACATAGTGGGCCTTTTCACGTATGACGGGGTCGGATGAAGACAGGAGGGACATGTAGCGCTCGAAAGCTTCCTTGACGGGTTGCTCGTGGCCCTTCTGGTTGACCAGGTTGACGAGGTAGGTGTGGTTGTATGTCCCGATCATGTCGTCCAGGTGGGCCTTGAGGGCTTGAGGCTGCGAGACGATCAGCAATCATCCGAAGAGCCTGAGAGATGACATACAGTCTCGGTATAGTCCATGATCTGAAGATCAGGTTTGTACCTCAGGTTGTTGACCTCTGCCCAGAAAAGCGGCACGCTCCCTCGGGTCTGTACGAAACTCAACCTCTCCCTCCCATCGACCCTTCCCCTCCTATACTCCTGGCCATTCTCCGGCAGGGGATCAAAGAGCACGATCTGTTCAGTCTCGTTGAAATTGGCAACTTGGCCAGAGGCGTTGATACCACGGGTAAAGTAACGGGTACCGGATCGGTAGCGAGAGCGACGAGAGATGAGGAGGAACAGGATGTCTCGGTTGTTGAGGTTGGAAGAGCGGAGCTCGACAGCTGCACTGCGTCAGCTCGCGACCTTTCATGGGAAAGAGCACCTACAGCCATAGGTAACAGGCAAGATGAATCTACTGAGATCAACGCCTTGGTTCTCCGTCACATCAATCATCTTTTCCATCAGAAACTTGTTCCAGAAGAATCTATCGTCAGCCCTCTTCCACATCGGCAGGGCTTCGCCCTTCTTCTCAATGTCTTCCTGCCTCTGCAGAGTGTTGGTAAGGTCCCAGCCATACGAGAACCAGAGTCTCGACGTCTTGAGACCCTGTTCCACGAGGGCGATGAGCTCTTTCTCAACGGGATGTTCCAGGATGGCGGCGGAGGTAGAGAGGGGCGAGAGAGGAAGGAGGCGGTAGTCTGTGGCCAGGTAGATGGGGTGAGAAAGCAGGCGGCAGGAGGGCGTGCGGGAAGTGATGATCAGGAGAAAGTCGGCTGCGATGTGGCGCATTAGTAGCTGTCATAGCCAAGACTGTATACCTACTCGTGGCAAGGCTGAGAGTACCGATGATACCGTAGCAGGTGATGACCTTTTCCCGCCCGAAGGGAATGTGCGTATCGTCTAGATGTGATAGTGTGAGTCCGTTTCATAGGTGGCCAGTCGATGAGCACTCACTGTCGAGCGACATGTTCCCTGTGTGCCTGTCTACGACGAGGCTCTGGCTTGGCTCCTTCTCGTCGAGGAAGGTGGGCCCCCGGTGTGATGGGACATTTGTGGTTGCGGGTTCGAAGATGTACTGTGTGGGGGACACGTACAGGTTGAGGGTCTGGTGGAGCTGCGGGGGTGAGCAGGGCGGGGCGGGGGCGGCGGGGGCCACTCACTGGATTCGCGGTGTACATCGTGCATGGGAAGAACGATCCACCTGCAGCGCACATCATAGCACACTACACGTGGCATTCCTTACATAAGCACCCACGCGACGCGCCCCAGCTCATCTGCTCATCTATTCCCTCTTTCTTCTGCCGCAACCTCATCTCCAGCCAAAACATCCCGCCATGCTCGAAGCCCGTGTCAAACAAGCCGTCGTCCTCAAAAAACTCCTCGATGGTCCGTCTCTCTCCCCTCACCGCTCCACAAGGCGCCCCTCCACAATCCCGTCCCTCCCCATCCAGCCACCGCCCAGCCTCCCGTGCACTGTGCTGACCACCCCTTGCAGCTATCAAGGAACTCGTCACTGACGGTAACCTCGATTGCTCCGACGAAGGCATCGTAAGTTTTTTTTTTCCTCCTATTCTTCGACGCGTCGCGTCCATAACGCGTCGTCCACGCGTCTTTCCCTGACTGACACCATGTCTGCAGGCCCTTCAGGCCATGGACAACTCCCATATCGCCCTCGTGTCGTTGAAGCTTGAACCCCAGGGATTTGAAGGATATAGGTGCGATCGCAACATGCCTCTTGGTGTCAACGTGAGTCTGGCTTCTCAGTGGGCAAGAGCGGGAACTGATTCATCGAGCAGCTTGCTTCCTTGACAAAGATCCTCAAGTGTGCCAAAGACCAGGACGTCGTTACTCTCAAAGCTTCTGACGATGCCGACGCGCTTTCTCTCATCTTCGAATCACCCAGTACGCCTTTGCTTCATACCCTATTGACTTGGGCTGACGATCGACGACAGAGGAAGACCGGGTGGGCGAGTACGAGATGAAGCTCATGGACATTGACCAAGAACACCTCGGTATTCCCGACACTGAATACGACGCCACCGTCTCCATGTCTTCTGCCGAGTTCGCCCGTATCTGCCGAGACCTCACCGTCCTCGGCGAGTCTGTCAAGATTGACTGTTCCAAGGAGGGTGTCACTTTTAGCTCGGATGGTGAGATCGGAAAGGGATCCGTCCATTTGAAGCAGACGGCGGGTCAGGTCAAGAAGCCGGTCAAGGACGAGGATGATGATGAGGAGGAGGAGAGAGACGTGGAGATGGAGGATGTAAAGCCAAAGGTCAAGAAGGAGAGGAAGAGGGATCCGGATGAGGAGGAGGAGGAAGAGGAAGAAAAGGATGAGAAGCCCGAGGTTTCCGAAGGTGGTGCGTTTGTCCACTTTGATCATGTGCCCCACTCACGAATAAGCAGAGGAAGAGCAAGAAGAGGAGCAGCCCAAGAAGCGCAAGTCTGCTGCCGCCGACAAGAAGGCCAGCAAGCGTGTCAAGAAGGATGACGCTTCTGGCGAGGAACCTGGTGTCAGCATCACCCTCGAACGTCAAGTCTCTCTCACCTTTTCCTTAAAATACTTGTCAAACTTTGCCAAGTCATCACCGCTTGCAAAGGAGGTGACATTGCACATGAGCAACGAGGTGCCGCTCTTGGTGCAGTTTGAGTTTGAGCAGGGAACTTTGCAGTTCTTTTTGGCGCCCAAGGTATGTCTTGGGTCTATCATTGTGCGAGTGCAAGCTGATCAAGAGTATAGATTGCCGACGAGTAGAGCGACTTTTGTAATTTTTGGCATCATGCACCTGTTATTGTATGGCACAAGCGCTGCGAGCGTGCGACAAGGGTCATTGGCATGCGGCAAACATGCACCAGTGGCTTTCAAGATTCTGCATAGTCGTCATATTCACATACAGATCGTCTCTTTCATGTTTGATATACGTTCGTGACATTACACTTTTGACTAGTAGTCAAACCAGACGAGCGCCTCCCCGGTCTTGAAGACTGCCCCACCCTCGTCGCTAGGTCGAGTATCGATAGAATGGAATGTCGGCGTATGGGCGGCGCCAGCTTTGTGCGCGCGGACTATACTCTGTCATTATCTGTATCATCTTGTCTCTTGCACGAGACATACTGTGGATGCTCTTGCCCTGCTCAATCTCTACTTCCCCGATATAGTCTGTACCGGTAGCGCGGGTGACCGTAAAGTATCGCTTGGGGTGGTAGTACTGACCCCCTGTTAGCCATGCGCATCACGTACCAGTGGAGACTTACGTCGATACCCTTCTTGATTTCACCCTCTGCGTCAGTAAGGTTCAAAGCGGCAACCTCGCCAAGACCATGTCGCTCGTCTTCCCTACCACCCCTCCATCAGCTACCCACTATATAGTCACTTCCGCAGCAAGACTCACAAAGCAAGCTTCCTGATCTTGACGAGCACCCCATGCCTGACTGCGTCGTCCTCAAAGACCAAGAGACCCTCTTCGTCGATGCTCTTGATGGGGCCGGCGGTGGCGTCGGCAGGGAGGGATTTGGCGTGGTCTTCCTCGCTGTGATGGTGCGCCGGGGCGACGGAGCTGGTGACGGCGGAAGCGGCGTTGCGGGCAGTGTCCTGCCTGGGTGAGCACGGAAACAAGAAACGAGGAGGGCGGCTTACGATGATGGACTGCATGGTGGCTGGAGAAATGTAAAAGCAACAAGATACAAAGGACAATGGCGGCTCCACGCGACAGGGAGCGGCCCGGTGCACACAGATCACATGACATCGCATCACTCAACATGCCACTGTGGCACTTTTCTATGCATGTATGATTATACCTCCACAACGTCCAGCTCGCCCTCCCCTTCCTCCGTCTTGGCCCCTCCCTTCACAATACCCTCCACTTCATCCGTCTTGCTCTCCCTCCCCTCGTCCCTTTGCAGCAGGCCCACGAATCGCTCGATAGAGTCCTTGATCTGCTGGTCGGTCTCCACCTTGTGGTGCTCTCGCACGACAAAGTAGGCGCCACGGTTACGAAGGGCTTCACGCCCGGTGAAGGTGGTGGCCAGAAGGAGGAGGATCTCGACGCACATCATACGGAGAACAGTGTCCTTTTCACGCTCCTTCTCGGGAGGAAGGAACTGAAGAGTGGGAGGGAGCTTCTCCATGTCCTATTTAAAGGGTCAGCTGTGGTGCAGAAGAAAGGGAAGGCCGGCTCACTTCAATGTCGTACTCCTCTGGGCCCATGAGGGGGGCGAGCACCCAAGGAAGAACATCGACACCCTTGATCATACGGCTGGGATCCGAAGGCAGCCTCACTCGATCATCTACTTCAAGTCAGTCTTCCTTCACCACACTCTATTGCATGGGACATACCTTCAGACGCCAACAGCCACACCATACTGGCCCTGTCCATGGCACAGTTCTTGATACATCCAAGGGCACCACCACGTCTGATCAGATCAGGGTGACCAGTGTAGACGACAATCTTGGACAGCAGAGGCTCGTCGTCCTCTGAAGGCTGGGCTTCGGCTGGTTGAGGGAAGGGCGGGCGAGGGGTAAGGAGTAGTTGACGGGTGACGGGAGCCATGGAAATGTTGGCAAAGACGGAAGCGAGGAAATGGCATTCGCCCTTTCTCTTTCCTTGCGCATCTCGCACACCATCACTAGCACCGTCTTCAAATGCCTGCACCAGCGCTCTGATCGCCTCCACCTCCCTCTCGGGCTCTTGACCCACTTCGGCGTTGGGCGGCAGTCCGAGAGAAGGGTCACGGAAATCGGGGTGAATGGTGGATGAGGAAGAGCCGGAAGCGGGGAGGTAGTAGGGAGGGTAGTGCGTCGACTTGGGCAGGGGGATGAGGGGGATGGTGAGGTTGGCGAGAACGGGGATAAGACTGGGGTGCGAGGTGATGTTGGAGAGGAGCATAGAGGTCAGGGGAGATAGGGGAGATGTCGTGTACTGCAATCGTCAGCACGTTTTCTCGTCGAGTCTTGAAGAACATACAGCAGTGTATGACACGAGCCAGACGAGAAAATCCCTGTATGCAATATGCTTTGCAACTGCCAGAGTATCCGAGAGGTTGACCAACGCAGACAAGGCATCGTGGGCAATAGTCTGTGGCGTTCTTTCTATCAGCATCTGCCATGGTCTACGATACACGAGCACCTACACCCTGGTCCATACAGAGAAGCGTGAGGTCTTTCAATGCTTTGAGCTTGATCTCGTCTTCTTCAGTCCCATCCTTCCTCTTGTTGGGCACGAGACCGCCACCGGTCGCTCCGGAGCCAGCAAAGGAAGATGGGATAAAGATGTGTCGCTCGGGAGCACTCTTGGGGGTGTGTCCGACCAGATTTTGGAGGGCGAGCTGCCTGGCAGAGGGGTTCTGCGAGTCGAGGAACTGGAAGAGCTCTGTGAGGGAGGACATTGTGGGTATGCAGACGAGGAGCGAGATGCAAAATATGGATTGTAAGAGAACAGTCAGACTTTTTGCCCAAGATTCCCACGCTCGCACAAAACATCTCTTCTTGCGCGTCCCACCAAATATCTCACCATCTCTCTCATCCACATCCCGTTTCTCAAGCCCCCCGTGCTCCCCTCCCCTCTCTGGTCTACCCGTACCCATACCCCCTCTCCCACTCCGAAAATAAAGCACCCAAAACCACCCAGCGAGTGCCGTGCACCATGATCTCCTCCTTCCGCCCCGCCTCAAAAGACATTGAGCTCGCCAACCCTCCCACAGACTCCATCTCCGCCCTCGAGTTTTCCCCCACAGCAGACATTCTCGCCGTCGCGAGCTGGGACAACAATGTACGTCTAGCGTAAATTGAGGATGGAAGGCGAGAGCTGATAAGTTCGGGATAGGTGCGGTTATACGATGTCAATTCTCAAGGCCAAAGTCAAGGAAAGGCCATGTACTCTCATCAAGGTCCCGTCCTCGACCTCTGCTGGTCAACAGTGAATCCTTTCCCTTGCCACCAACCTATGATCCTGGCTGACAGTAAGTGTAGGACGGTCAATACCTCTTCTCGGCTGGTTGCGACAACTCAGCACAAATGTACAATGTCGCTACTGGTCAGGCTCAACAAGTAGCTCAGCATGATGCGCCGATAAAGTGTATACAGTTTGCCGAAGTCCCCGGAAGTGGGCAAGTTCTGATCACGGCGGGGTGGGATAAAAAGTTGAAGGTGCGTTTCTACTCTGTGCAGGGGCGTGATGGATGCTAACGATGGCTCAGTACTGGGATCTGAGATCGCCCAACCCTATTGCCACGCTCGACCTCTCTGACCGTGCCTACTCTATGGATGTTGCCCAACAGCTTCTGGTAGTCGCCACGGGCGACCGTCGTTTGCACGTCGTCAACCTTTCCAACCCCACTGCCATCTTCAAGGTCAGTCCAACATTGAAGATGAAAGGGGCATCTGCTGATTAGTGCGCTACAGAGCATCGAGTCACCACTGAAATGGCAGACACGAGTGGTCAGCTGCTTCCCTACAGGAGACGCGTTTGCTGTCGGTTCCATCGAAGGCCGAATCGCCATCCAGTAGGCTCTCTCTATCCCCTCTCCTTCACAGCTGACCTGGCTCAGGTACCCCGGTGAAGATGACAAGCGCAACTACTCTTTCAAGTGCCACCGTTACGATGTCCCCACTGGTACCATGCCTCGCACCCCTGCCGTCACCGGCTCCCAGAACGTCTTTGCCATCAACGCCATCACCTTCCACAAAGTACAGGGCACATTCTGTTCGGGCGGATCAGATGGCAGTCTGACTTTCTGGGATGGTATCTCCAGAACAAAGCTGAAGAGTGAGCCATCTATTTCAATGCTGATTGCAAGAGAGCGTGCTGATCCGGTCCGTAGCCTTCTCTTGCAAAGATTTGAACAATGGAGATACCGATGTCCGCCCGCCGCGCTTTGGTACACCCATCGTTGCCAGCGCCTTCAACCGCACCCATGAGATCGTTGCCTAGTCAGTCACCTTTCTCTCGACTCTGCTCTCGACCCGTGACAATCGCTGACATGCCTCACAGCGCTCTCTCGTATGACTGGTCCAAGGGCCACAGTGGCGTACCTCCTTCCGGACAGACCGTCAACAAGGTGATGCTGCACCCCGTCAAGCCTGAGGAGGTCAACAAGAAGCCCAAGAGGACGTAGAGGCACCTTTGTGGTCTGAGTGAGGTAGTAGGGTAACGGGCCAGTGAAGAGGGTCATGTTTGCTAATTAGATATTCCCATGAGGCAAGTCATATGCCAACTGAAATGTTACGACCTTTGGTCGAGGTTCAACCATACTACTATCGTTACCACGCCAATCTCCTTTCTCTGCTCATTCAGTCCCATCATAGGCTAAACGAAACACACCGCAATCACCCTTTCATGGACTAGTGTATGGTAGTAATCTACGCGGCTTTCGAAAGTGTTCTTCCTTGGGCCAACGTGCTGTGCATTCCATCCCTCAGCAACCAATGGTAGCAGCACCACTCGGCTCTCCCAACATCGGACTTTGAATCGACCGTTGAATGGACCGGGCCTTCGGCTTTGTTGTTATGTTGTATGCTGATATATGCGGATACATGGGTTTGAAAGACGACTGAATGTTGACCATCACCGTCTACTTTCAACCGCCTGATGATATCCCCCTCACCTCTCTTTGCCAGCCGCTCTCCTGGACCAAGTGATGTCAAAACAGAGGAAGGCGATGTAGTCGCTCATTTTCTCCAACGTATTCTCTCGGAAAAGGTGAGACACGCTCTCACCCTGTATGCCTAGCCCTCACTAAAATGGAAAAGCCAAACTACATAGGCATCTATGCTCCAGGGGACTTTGCCTTCCAGACCTACCGCATCGTCTTTCCCGTTGCCCCCGGCTCACAGCAGAGAGGGGGTGGACGCAGGCCGAAGAGAGGAAGAGGATACAGAGGTTGGAGAGAAGAGGTCGTTCTGGAAACAGAGCAAAGAAGCGACATCAACGCCTTGCTGAACCTCATCTCTGATCTTGTAATCATGGGCTATTGTGGATATACTACCAGCTGATACATCTTGCAGGCAAAAGACCCAGAAGGCCCCATAGCCACACGCCATATTGTCAATCCCTCTCAAGCGAAAGATGAAGGAGTCCGCCTGATCTGGGCCGATGATGGCGAAAAGGGAGAGGAAGAGATGCGGGACTGGCCCAGGAGGGAGCAAATGAGGAAGGAAGGGAAAACGGTCAAGGGGGAGGATGATGCAATGGTCCTATCCATACAAGCGGCAATCAGCAGTGACGGGTCGGGGATGGGTGCACAGTGGCAAACTTTGGAATCGTCAAGTTGGACAAATCGTGTTTTCTGGGCAGACAGTCTCACGCCCAAGTCGCCCACCCCTGCCTCCTAGGCCGTCTTTGCCTACGTAACTAGGTGACCTAAGCTGATGCATATTATACAGTGTGTATGCCGATGAATGGTGTTATGTGATGTGAAGAGTCGGTCTAGAGTTTACCTGTCTGATACCTCCACCAAATCTTGGGAGCGAGCTGCCAGTCGTACTTTTGCAAGTCTTGGTGGAAGACGTCAAAGTCGAGCTTCTCGAGCCTCTGGAGGTAGTTTTCCGCCGGGACCTTGAACATATTATCAGTGACTAGGCTTTGAAGATCAACTGTGGCTTACAGCTGAGAGAAAGAGCGGCATGACGCTGCTCGGGATCACCTTGCCCCCGGTACTCTTCAGATCCTGCCTTGCCGTGATCAACTCATCCATTCCCCTCGTCCCAACCTCCCAGCACACATCCCTGAAGCCATTTGCCTCAGCACCCTTTCTCAGGAGCTCTTCCTCCACCACCCCATGCTTCTCGCACAGATCCGCCGGCAGATTGATTTGCCTCTTGCTAGAGACGAGGAGGGGCAAGTTACGGAGCATGGAGACGACCGTGAGAAGCGTGGACAGATGAGAGAGGGTGTGGGCGAGATGGGCAGATTCGGGATGGGTAGGGGGAAGGATGACGGGGAGGGGTCCGAGAAGGAGAGCAGAGGATAGAGGAGAGTGGAGGTGCAGGTGACTTTCGAGAGTGGAGGAAGATGGGGGAAGGGATAGAGCTTTGGCCTGAAGCGTTCTTGAGTATACGCCATCGGTGCATTTTGTGATATGAACATACCCTGGCGTCAATCATCTGGCTGAGATAGTATCTTTGTATCGGTCTATGCCTCTTCATGTCTGCCAGTAGAACTGCCACAGGATGTTGCGGCACGTTGCTGCTTGAGGCATTGGTTGCAAAGATGGTCTTCAGAGTGTCACGCCAGAATTGAAAGCGGATGGCTGCCAAAGCAGGCTGTGACACGGTGGTGGTGATAGAATGGAGCTCAAGCTACATCTTTGTCAGTTTCCGTCATGCCGATGTCCAAGGACCTACATTAAAAGCTCTCCAAGCCAGCCACCATGCCCTTTCTTTCCCGGGCCAAAAGTATGAGCATAGCCAAGCTTCGGGATCGAGCTTCTTGACGAGAGCTGAACAGTATTCGAGAGGTGCTTGAGGACCACCAGGAGGTGACGCAGCGGTGTTGGAATTGAGCGGCGAAGGGGTGGGTTGAGATGCAAAGGAGCGGACTGAGATGGCACTAGGGCGCGAGAGGATCCGGGAGATGGCGGGAAGGGCAGGACGCATGGTGGGAAAGATGATTCGTGGTGAGATGGAGGCTGCAAGAATCAAAACAAATCAGAGGAGCGGCATTTTGCGTCGTCTTCAGCCACGCGGGGCCGCATCCGGTTGGTCTTCTGGCTCTTTTCTGCATTCATCTCAATATAAAAACACAGTGAGTATGGACAAGTGGATAGCCAGTACTGAGTGCAGCGGTGCTACGTACTGAAATGCGTTTCCCTCACCGGTCGATATCACCTCTTTCACTGCGTCTCCATCGGACCCCGCCTCTAGAGCGCTCGAGTGAAAGACGGCTCTGTCATCCACGACGCTCTCGCGCTCGACTCCCTGGTCATCTCTCCAAACCAACATCGCCTTGGACGCAAAAATGTACACCCCGCACTCTTCACGCCATGACTTTGGCCCGAGTTGATTGATCCTCGGGAGAGGCTGCTCCATCACATCTGCAAAGTCTGGACGACTACATATCTGTGAGCAGTCCCAGATATCCTCTTTCGTGAGGCAGCACAAGTCGGAGATCATCTCCCTTGGGTGTGACTTGTTCGTCTCTGGTCTCAATGTAAAGTGTGCTTTGTATCTGGCCAGACTGTGCGTCCATGGTGCCCAGCAACGGCGCGGACCCATTTGGCGTGGAGGAGGGGAAGGCAAGTGAAGCCCGAGGAGTGGTATGGGACAGAGGCAGTGATGGGATCCGGCTCAGGAGGACGGGATGAGCCACGCAATATGAGATAGTCTTTGCAGTAAGTCGTTGGTCGACAGAGGAGGACACACTTCCATGGAATGCTGATGGCGGGATGTTCTGTGGAAGACGTAGCTGGGGACATGATTGTGTGAGGGGCCGTTCACGATACAAAGCTGTAATTTCTGGACTGATTGTGATCCTGAAGTACACTCTAGATTGACTTTGAAGGGATACTAGACGCTGCTGCCTATTTGGGAAACATTTGAGTCGAGGAGTCGCTTTGTCCAAGACAAAAGGAAGTACTATCGATATGATGTGACATTGGATTCACTCCTGCTGGGTAGGAGACGTGACATGCTTGTTTCAGAAGATGTCGGTCGGCCCATAAGTAGATGTCCCCCTTCCTCCCTATGAATGCATGGATATGTATGTAGTAACCCTTGCATGTGCGGTCCTAGCTGTGTTGATCGAAAGGAGGCACTAAGCGACTGGTCCAGACGTCATCAGTTATAAAGTTACGTAACCTCACGTGCAATGACATCACAGAAGACGTGGCGGGTGATCACGCTGGGGTATATAAGGGCCCGAGATGCTCCATCCCCTTTTCTCCATCCACACTTTCTATCGCTTTCTACTTCTACAACACCAAATACCAACCAACACTAACACCAACACCATGTCTGAAGTTGCCAACGCTGTCCTCTACAAGCCCAAGTGAGTCAAGCCATATGCTTGGCACATTCTTCATTAGCTGACCCTCCCTCCAGCGAGCACGCCGACGAGTACCAAGTCTTTGTCGACGACGTTGCCGAGGTACGTGTATCAAAGCTCGCCATTGCCGGGCGCTCTTTTGAGGACTGTGCTAATTGTCCTTCAGTATGAGGCCTGGAAGGGAGGTGCCAAGGACATTGCTCTTTCCCGCTTCCTCGGTATCTTCTCAATTGTATGTCCGTTTCCCTTAGTGTCAAGTAACCTTCCTCTCTTGTCATTCTAGAGATGGAAGGATGCCGACAAAGGATGCCTGCTGTCGACGACCGCTGACCCCGGCCACAGTTTAAGTCTGCCACCTCTGGACACACTGGCTCCCTTGGTGCCATCTCTAAACAGGAGGTCGAGAATGTCTTCTTCGGTGACGACAAGAATGTCAAGGACAAGTCTGTCGAGTGAGTTTGTTTCCATGATGTTCCACGGGGATCTGCTGATGAACTTTCTCTAGGGCCGCCATTGTTATCATCCTCGAAAACGGCAAGCTGCACAAGGGAGACCTTGCCCACAGCAACAAGATCAACAAGAACCCCGCTCGTGGATTAGGCGACACCCGAGCTCCTGGTGCCGCCCAGGGCTCTCACCGCTAGACGCCCCGAGGCTTTGGGTGGGCGAAGTGAATAGATGTTGTATACATTACAGAAGAAATAAGTAGTCGTAAGAAGCAAACCAATAGATACCCGGGAACCTTTTGGGCATCATGAACCATCTGCATGCAAAGCATTGTGACTCGATTGCGGCTTCTTGCAGACAACGGGGGAGAGTGCGGGGTGAGCACGCGATGCCGACGTCATGCCTCCACTTGACCCGACCGCTCCCATAGAAGACTTCGTGTCCGCTCTCCACGTCTTTCCGCTGGTATATATTATCTGCAACGACGCCTTCGGACACACACCACAATGCCTGTAAGCAGACCAGGCTGTATCTGTGAATGCGCAAAGCTCACTGTTCCAATGCCAAGCCTCAATCCGCTCTCATCGTCGGCGCTTCCAGGGGCCTCGGGCTCGCCCTAGTCAAGCACTACGCATCCACCATCCCTCCCTCCAACGTCTATGCCACTGTCAGAGGACATGTCTCTTCTGATACGTTCCCCAAAGGCGTCAATGTCATACAAGACGTCGACCTCTCAAAGGAGGATTGCGGTAGGAAGATTGTGAATGGGCTGCAGGGAGCGGCTGTACAGATCGTCGTATATGTGGCGGGTGTTTTGAAGCCAGAGGTGAGATATCATCAGTGATCTCATGCGACGGGAAAGAGTAATCTGACAGATAATTGCAAGTCTCTCGAAAAACTTGACTGGGAGGGACAAGTTCTCATGTACAAGGTCTGCTCCATCGCACCCGTATTCGTCATCAAAGAGCTGTTAGTGATCTGTAGTTTGACTACAGTCTTGCCTATGACTGAAGCTGACTCAATTCGACAGTCTATTCGCCTCCTCACTCTCTCCCGACGCCAAGGTTGCCCTCTTAACCTCCGAGGGCGGCTCCATCGCCTTGCGCACCGAGGCCGAAGGCGGAGGCATGTTTGGTCACCACGGTTCCAAAGCTGCCGGGAATATGGTGGGCCATTTGCTTAGTTACGACTTGAAGCAGAGAGGGATCCCCATCGTTATGATTCACGTGAGTGTGCTCTTCGAGTGTGTGGCTATGGTACCCAGCTGACTCTCTGTCGCACAGCCTGGGTTCTTGAAGACTGGTGAGCGCCTTAGATTGCGGAGTGCGAAAGGTGTGCTGACCTGTATCTACAGAGATGACCAAGAACGCTGGCTTTGAGCAGTTTTACGACCAATTCGGCGCCATCACCCCAGACGAAGCTGCCAAACCTTTTGCCGATTTTGTCAATCAACTCGAGCCAAGTCAGAGTGGAAAGCACTGGGCGCCTTGTGAGTGTAATCTCAGGACTCTCGGGACCCAGAAGGCTGATGCGCTGGAACTAGTGGGTGGGAAAGGTATCGGTAATGCGGAAGAAGTTCTTGGGAAAGAAGCCGCAGACAAGTCGGGTCCACTCGAGATTCCGTGGTAAGAATTCATCGCTATCACGTCATGGGGTCGTCGCTTGGCCCCGCCATGATCAAATTGAGCGCGAAACTGTACCTATATATGAGAAGCAATGTATCTGATGTCTCTGGCTTCCGTTGCATGACTATAGCACTCAACGACGGACACCACACGGGTCAGAAGTACTTGTACTACTATATCTTCCCAACACTTTCCTTCATCTCTCCTTGGCAGCGTTCCTTATCAGCTCGGCTGGCGTTTGGGCCTGGTGAGCTGTGAAGGGTGGTCCCCAACAGGCGGTTGGGTTCAGAGCCTGGGGAGCCATACCAAACACGAGGTGCCCTCGAAAAATCGATGAATGCGCAGATGGCTCAGCAGATTGAGACATTGCTTCAGCTGTCATCGCCATCCTTCTTGCTTTCATTGTCGGGCTTCTATCAAATAATGATGGTCAGTAAGCGCGTAAGTCCAAGGATGAAACTTCTTATACTCACTTTCGGACCCCCATCGCTTTCGGTGGAAGCCTCGGCGGACTTGACATCGGCCTTTGATTCCTCCGAAGCCTTTGATTCTTTGTTGTCTGCGGATGCAGCGTTGGTGTCGGTCGTCTTTGCTGCCGGTGTCGTTTTCTCCCTCCCGTCTACAACCTACTATGAGTGAGCGGGGGGCATTTTGGCATGATAGACACAACCCACCCAGTGGTAAGCACTCATGACCTTTTTCCACGCTGCACTCGTCACAGAAGAGACTTTAGACCAGGCCGAGTTGGCCGTTGACTTTGTAGAGTTCCAGGCGTTGCTCATTGCTGTTTTTGATTTGGTTCCAGCAGATGTGGTGTAGTCCAAGCCTGCCTTGGTCTTGGTTTTGGCGGTATCCCAGGTAGTCTGAAAACTTGACCGCGTCTTCTTGGCCCATTCTGAAAACTCTGGAGAATGGAAGCATGAGCTCATTGCCTCTACAGAAGCCATTTGCAAGACAAGACGCACCCTCTTTCCATTTCCGTACGGTAGTTACTAAAGCCCCTGTTCCAGCAGTGCTCTCGTCGTCCCTTTTCGAGTCAGCGCTTTTCTGATCTGTTGTTGCCTCGGTCGTTGTTGCTGCGTCCGCGCTCCCTGCTGGCGTTGTGTCGTCGGCCATGCTCGGTTTATGAGTTGTGAATAGGGGATAAGTTGTCGTTAGAATACGAGCTGTTGATGGGAAGGGGCTATCGCATGCACTCATGACGGAGGCGTACGAGTACGACGGCCTTCCTATATGTCGAGATAACCATGGACAAAGGATGGATACAGGTTCGGAAAGGATCATGTGTCACACTTAGTAAATCCCTGAGGTGGCATTGGCGCTGAGTTGTGTGGATGGCTGAAGGACTCTCGGTGTACATATTCAATTCATAGCATATTGTTCTACTCTTTCCATGCGATAATACCCAAAAGGTCTTTTCCCCTCTTTAAAACCCTTTTCCAGTCACTTCCCTGCTGCGTTCCAGCTAGGTCGTGACAAATGTCCCTTGAGGGCACGCGTCCCAGGTCGGTGAAATGGCTCTTGCGTCGGAAGACTTGGGCTGGGTATCGAAGGCAAAGAGTCTACGCTTGGGCAGTGGATCGATGACGAAAGTAGCTGTTATGATTGAGCTCATCTTCTGTTGTGGCGGCTGGCTGACGTTGACAAGACAGGGACTCTATGAGTACTACAGTGCGCGGTCAGAATCGACCTTGCGTTGCATATCTGATCTGTTGCTTGGCAGCCCAATGCTTAACACTTGATTCAAACAATGCAAGCTATTGCCATAAATTCATCTCAGAAACGATTTGATCATCATGATGGTCTTCACCACGACCCGCTATCTCGCGCGACGTCGTCTTGTTCTCGGCACTCGAGCGCGACTACTCCCTACGATGCCTTCCTAACGACCGGCCACCTTGAGCTGGTGCTTGATCGGCGGGCATCTGATATATCTGATTGTGGTCAGGGGCTTCGAGAATTTGTGCTTCATAAGGTGCTTCGTGTATCTGAGCGTCAGGCGAAGAAAGCTCGTAGGTCCCTGACGGATCATATGTCGATCTTATACGTCGGCTTCCTTGGGCTTCTGCCAGATGAGCCAATATGTACCCCATTATGACATATAAGTGAGCCTACCATCGCTGCCAGTGACTTTCTTTCTCAGCCACAACCTCAACTTGCGACGCCTGCTCGAGCGATCATCTCTCTCAGTTGTCCCCGGACTGGCAAACGTCCAAGACTGCACTTCATCCGGCGCGTATGAGCCAAAAGTGCCCTCTTGCTCAGCTAATGCCTCTCTCCTTGCTACAGAGGCTCGTACTCTACCTCGAATAAGCCCTGATGCAGCAGATTCAGCAGCACCGGTAGGGCCATGCGCGAATGTCGCGTCAGCAGACGGCTGCTCTTCTTCATCGGGAGGCATGTATTGAGTTGAAGGAGGTCTACTATTGCCGGCGATGGCAGGCTCTAAACTGTCATGTTCTTCATGAGTTGAGAGACTTCCGAAGGCAACAGTAAGCTCGTCTGCACTAGGCAAAGGCCCTCGCGCCCATGTCAAGTCCCTATCGGCAGCAGCAGCAGCAGGCATTCCCATCGTCCAGATGTGGCCGATGTCATGGTCTGGAACCCAATGACCGGCTGTTGGATAAAAACTGGGAGCCTGAGCGGGTTCCAATACCTGAAGTCTATCCCACAACTCTTGAATTTCTTGAGCATCGCTTGCCCCCACTTCACCCAATGGGACAAGTACAGGGAAGAGGTGGCTTAATCTCTCGACTCGACAGAGGTTGCTGTTCCCCTGGTGATCTTGTCTCCAATCAGCAAGCTCCACAGTAGTCTCAACGAAAGACGATGGATTATTTTGGTCTACCCAGGAGACAGGGAGCTGTTCTTGCGTTACGGGAATGGTCAAAAAGACATGTGAAGGGATAGTTGTCTGACCGAAAGATTCTACAGTTCTGTTGGAGTTTGGGTCAGCCGAGGAGGTTACAAGGATCAAACAGTGGAATGACGTACAGTTTGGTGGAAGCTATGATCTCTTCATTGCGAAAGCGGGACGCTCTTTTCATACTCTGCGACAGTCCTATTACTCTATCGGCCTCCGCTCCGTCAAAGAGTGGATTGAGTGCCACCATGGGCTGGTTACATTCCACGCAGCTTATCCTATGCCCGCAAGTTGCGTGGATCAAATCTTCACCATCCAAGGGTCCATCTGAAAAGAGGAACGGGGTCATGGTGATGGCATAGAGGGGTCTGGACGGACAGATGTCGCTATCGCTGGGGCAGTAGTTGAATGATGTCAAGCCGGCTAGAACATCGTCGCCCTCTCGACCAGATATGTTTTCGTAGGTTCTGTCTACATGAATAGGGTGAGACAGAGGTAGAGAAGCAACACCACGAGATTCCGACATTGGGGCTTGTGGCTATCTTGATGGTGGGGTGATGTGCAGTGGGTTGGAAGAAGGATATATCAATTTGCCACCACAAAAAACGCGACGTATCAGAGATTATAAATGATGGGCTGGTCTGGCAAATCATTGGCTATACAAAGGGCATGTCTGTCAATCATTAATGGATGATGGAGCACCTACACTTCTGCTTTGTACTGTCTAGAAGAGGACAAGGGTTCTCATTCAAGCAACGATAGCGAGCACGATGGTGATTACGTAACGCGACATCAACAACAAGGCGAATGCAATGATGATGCATGAATGGGTGTCCATCCGTAGATTGTAGCCATCAAGCAGCCCCAGCTGCACCATGGCCCCGCGCTGAAGAACGCTATGTCCTCGCCCGCCCACTCGCCCCCCTCCGCCATCCCCAGGGCCGTCTCAGTCTCAGACACCGTCAGGAGATTCGAGGCCAGGTCGGGGTCATCTATACCCACACGAATCGTCTCCAGCCCAGCATCCACCTCAGCAACCCTTCCTGCGCGGACGCCCCCACATTCGCCTCGCAAGAACCCCTTGCGCAATTCACCGAGCTCTAATCGTGGTTCACCCTCATATCGACCGCCATCTGAAGCTGCCCAGCCCGTGGCCAGCACATCCACTGCTACAAGTCCACCCAAGCCACGTGAGCTAAGACTGGGTAACCCCCGTGATGAGCGCAGAGCGAGCGAAACGGCTGGAATTAGGCAGCGGGGCCAGGGGGTCCCATCTGCCAGCAGGCTGCCACACAGCGTTAGCCTGCCGCGCGATGCCAACTTGATTCAGCCAGAGCCTGATGATTTTTCGCCCCGCTCAGAGACATCATCCCAATCTGGATTCGGCTACTCTCCAAGCAGGACAAGGTTGCGGCCTTCAATATCCATATCTGGCGTTACACCCGAAAGATGTATGCCACCGCTACGGCGCCGAGCAGAGAAATCTGAGGGCATGATTAGGACTGGAAGTGCAGACCGGATACTACGTGTCAAGTCGCCACCTTCATCCACGTCCCGCCAAAGCTCCTTCACCCAAGCCCCATCATCAGCCCCGTCCAGTCAATATTTCACCCCTTCACCCACCACCAATCCGCTCACATCGCCCATGTCAGGCTCATACGATGAGGAAGAAAGGACAGATTTGATAGTGGACGGCTATTTCAGCCTTGGGGATGCGAGAAACACGGTTTATCTCGATTCACCTGCTATTTCTAGCCCCCCAAGCGCTACAGATCCTTACCAGGAACGAGAGGATGTAGAGCCTGGTACGTCGCCGGCTATAACATTCACATACTGTCTCTGATGTCTCCAGTAGCCGTCAACTCTGATGGAGTACCAACTCTCGGCAATGTCGTTCTTCCCTCCGATCTCTCAAGGCAGCTTTCGTCTCGACCTGTCCTTCATAGCCGGTCGAGCTCGGCTAGCTCCCTAAGCGTTAACGGTACCAGTGGACATGCTGGACTACGGAGAGGTTCCTCTGGTATTGCCTCCCCATCGCTTTCACGATCAGGGTCACACTCGCGAAGTAATCCTCCCTTATCCCACAATATTCCCACCACCGTCATCCAAGAGCCGTCGCCTCGCAAATCTCCCCGCAATTCCCCACAACTTCGCATAAACCCACCTGCACTACCTTCCTCCGCCAAGCTCTTCAATGCTATTTCTTCCTTACCAACACCCCCTGTGCCCACGAAGAGCCCGCTACGCAACTTTAGCGGGCGATCAAGCGTGGTCAGTAGTAGCTCGAGAAGATCGGGCGGCGAGGGCGAGGAAAGGAGTGAGGCTAGCACGCCACATAAAACACCTCAAAGGGATGGAAACCATGCGCAAGAAAGGGTGAAGAAAGTGGGATCGATGGAGAGTGTCATGGCAGTGGCGGGAACACCGTTGTCGGCCGCCACTCGTATGGAGCGGATGGCCGACGTCACTACCGTCGAAAGCCCTGTCAAGAGCCCTTTGACGTACTCATCTCCTCCTGCTATGACCGAGTCAGATCGATCTTCGTCTCTCGCCGAGGTAGAATCTCCAGTCGGTTACGAAAGTGCTGCTCCACCCAGATCATCTCAAGATGACCGGCGAGGGTCCTCGCAATCACAAAATGAGATTCGTTTCACAATGCTCACGGCTCCTTCCATCTATTCCCAATCGTCGGCTTCTGGGTCAAATTACGATTCTGGACCTGGCTCGGCCAAGAGTTGGGGTACGGAAGGCACTACGACACCGCGTTCAGCGGAAAGCCGCTTCTTCACGGCGTCCACATCATCTAATCCACAACCCTCACCCAGTGGCAAACTGGGGACAGAGCGACCAAATGGCCACGAGCTTCAAAAGAGAAGGCCACTCTCCGGGGTGATGGACCATATTCATGTTGGGGGCTGGGGCAAGAAGAAAGAAGAAAAAGAAAAGGGGAAAGAAAGTGAAAAGCAGAGACGGTTCAGTAATGGAAGCGAGAAGGGCCATCGCGTACGTATCGCTTGTTCTGATCATGGCCAGTACTGATCTCATCCTGTAGAGGTCTTCATCGCTCCCCAGGCCAAGCTTTAGTATGTCGTCCGACAACGACTCGCCGTACGCCAACAGACCTTCATTCGAGACGAGGCCCTCGTTTGAGTCAAGGCCTTCGTTCGAGACACGGTCCTCATTCGAGAAAAGAGCCTCGTTTGGAACACCAAACAATTCTTCCCGTCATCTCCCGCCTACCACCTCGACACCTCTGGCGTCCATTCCTCAAGAACGGTCGCCTGCGAAGAGCCCTTCGCTTCCTATCCTTCGTGATCCATCATTCCCTACTATCGCCACTCCCACAGGCGCTGCTACGGGCATAGGGAAGAAACGCGCGGAGACATCAAAAGAATCTCTCTCATCTCTGCTTTCAGGGACTCAGACGGCCAAGTCGAAACGGAGCCATGTGTTGAAAGAGATCGCCGAGAGTGAGAGGGCATACGCGAAAGATCTGGCACTCGTCCGAGATGCCTTCATGATGCCCCTCAATCTCCAAATAGGTGATGCACGACCTGATAGCATGGTGTCTTTCTCGTCCTCGACATCTTCAGGTGGTGGCCTTACTCCCGGGACGCCTTCGACAACTGCTCGCCCTGGACATTCCAAGAGAAGTTCAATCTACACGTATCAGACTGCCGAGACCAGCCGGTCAAGCACGGCCAGCGCGGGAGGCCCGCCGAGCGCCACCAGCATCCCCAAGAGCCCTTCCGAGGGTTTCAACATGGGTTACTTTTCCAACAAGGCAAAATCACGCGAATCTCTAGTCTCATTTAACACGCCCAACCAAGCCATAAGAACATCAGGGATTATGGCCCCACCGGTGGGTAAGCCATTGTCGCCGGCAGATATCAAAGCAGTGTTCTTGAACCTGGATCACCTGGCGGCGGTGGCGGATGAGCTGGCGACAAGGTTCGAGGAGGCATTGGGGAGGGAGGAAGATGAGGAAGAAGGAGCAGGCAAAAGAGAGGGTGAGAAAGGGGATGACAGGTTGGGGCAAGTGTTTGTCGCCATGGTATGCCTAGTTTTGCATGGGAAAAAGACCTAGCTGACACGATCATCAGGTGCCCAAGTTGAGACCGCTGTACAACTATTATTGTTCCCGTCAACCTTCGGCTTCCCGACATCTACAGACTCTGCTATCCTCCCCACTCTACGCTCTCCACCTCAAAGCCCAATGGGCAGTCATCTCCCCGCACACCCATGCCTGGAATCTCGATTCCATGCTCATCAAACCTGTCCAGCGTTTGACAAAGTACCCTCTCTTGTTTGAGGATCTGGGCAAGGTAACGACGCCTGTACATGGAGACTACTTTGGGATCAGAGAAGCTGGGATCGAATCGAGAAAGCTGGCTGCAGAAGTTGACGAAGGGCGGAGGAGAAAAGAGGTGGTCGAGATGGCACTTAGTAATGGTCCAGCGGTGAAAAAACCGGTTGGCACAGACAAGAAGGAGGCAAAGCCGCAAGGTTCAAAACTCTTGGGGCTCAAGCGCTTCAAGAAAAGCTCGGTCACTACTTCTGCTTCCTCTACAACATTGGCATCCGCATCTACAGGCCCAACGGCACCATCTCTGTTATCAGACTCCTCTCTCCATACTCTCAAGACTCATCAAGCACGTCTCCAGATATTCAACACGTCTCTCAAAACACTTGGGCAGGATATACTTCTCTGGACTGCCTCCGCCAAGGAAGTTTTGAGAGCAGAGGATGCTGTGCTAAGAGCATGGGATCATGTGGGACGACTGGAAGAGGGAGATAGGGCAGATCATAGGGTGTTGGAAATGAGGAATGTTGTGGATGGGTTGGTAGATGGAGCTTGGTCTGAGCTGGTGAGTCTCGAGCACATCAACAGATAACGAGACTAATGTCATTGATAGAGCGTCGAAATCAAAACTCAAATCCTTCCCATTCTTTCTACGCTACTCAAGTCCATGACGAACCCCTCAAAAGTTCTCACCAAACGTTCATCATTGCATGCCGACTACACCAAATATCACTCACATTCTTCGGCGCCGTTGACCAAGAAGCTAGTGGCCCTTGAGCCCAATGTAGTCAAAAACGCCCAAGAATTTGTAGCTCTTCATGAGCAGCTTTTGGAAGAACTTCCTGACTTCTTGGAAGGGTGTATGAGGATACTAGACATTGCTGTTGTAGGATTTGCCAACGCCCAAGCCCGATACTTTTCCAACATCCGCGTGAGGGTGCGGGAATTCTGCTTGGTCTGGGTAAAATCACCTATCGGTGTGGGGATTTATGAGGGCGCCGATGGTACAAGGTCATCGGATGAGCAGATGACTGGAGACGACCTTGAGAAGGCGTGGTACGAGTGCTGGAAGGGGTGTGCTGCTGCTTTGGACAAATTCCAGTGCACTCAGTCTTGTAAGTCTATCTGATGGCTGTGAAGCGGGCTTCAATCTGACCAGCTGTAGCATATAAACCACCAAACCTGGATGCCCGAATGGGTCTGAATCGACCACGGAGCAGAACTACGTCCCTCACAAACTCGACAGATCTTCCTTCTCCTACTCTTCGACACTCTGCATCAACAAACAATGCCCTTTCTTCGCCCACCAGTTTGTTCTTTGGTTCAGCACGTGGAGACCGACTGTCGGGTGCGGCAAGTTCTTCCGGCTCGGCTGGCGCGTCTTTCATCGTCACAAGCCCAGGAGGCAAAGAGGACAAGAGGGAAGGCGGTGGTTCGAGGTTCAACCTCCTCCGCCGATCCAACTCCAAGTCAGCCGTGCCACAGCTGACGACACCTTCAAAGCCCACTCACACTCGACAAGGCAGTGGGTTGAGGCCTTCGTCTGCGACAAGTGAAAGTTCGAGACGCTCTTGGGGTCTGCCGCAGATTCCAAACACGACAAGTGAAGGTTTCAAGGGTCTCGGTCTTTCTCCTACAAACTCGCTCACGGTGTCGCCCAGGCAGTCGCCCCGTCCTCCACAACTGGCGGGTGCTGCCGAACCACCTAGTCCATCTTTGACGAACGGCAGTCTTGTGAGCCCGAACCCGAGCTTTGGTTTCGGTTCAAGCGGAAGAACACCCGAATTCGGCAAGACACCAGAAATGGGCACACCGAGGAGTGGGATCAGCGGGTACTTTACGTCTCGTACGCCAGACCTTAACATGCTTTCTGGTGACAGGCATCCTTATTCGCGCGGTGGGGCAACGGCCTCAGAGGTCTCTCTTGGTAGCCTCACCGGCTTGGGTATAGGAGATGTCCCGATGCCCATGAGAAGTCCTGGGAGGAGGGGCTCGGGGCACCCGTTTGCCAGTCCTACCTTGCCTCCTGGGGCCGCTGAGCCGGGGGACGTATCTGATGGGTGGAGGGAGGAGCCGATGCTGTATCAATGTGCCTGCGTGGCGGATTTGTAAGCATATCTATTTCGTACCGTGAGTATCATGCTAATGATTGACGATAGCGATCCCATGGAACTGGGCAATAGACGTTACAGAGGTTTAAAGTTCTTGCGGATGCTACCGGGAGATCTCATCGAGTAAGTTTCCCCAAACACTGCCGAGCATGGCTGACATTTGCACAAGTATCCTACATGAAGTAGGCCGTATTGAGGATCTACCACTGTTCCCCTATCCTGGCGTGGGTGTCGAGAATGACGGGGTGCTTGTAGGGAAGGGCGAAGATGGCGAGATTGGGTTAGTGATCTGTAGCTTCTTGGAGCCGCTGCGGGACTGAGGGTGTATAGATCTATACTATATGAGAAGTAGAATCTCCTTTCTGGGCACAAGTATAATATCAGGTTGTAGCACCTATCTTGTATGCATCTTGCAGCATCTGAGACCGATTGACCTCCTTCGTTGGTGCAACGCAGGCATAAAGGGGCGGCGGTTTAAGACGTGTCGTCATTGTCTCTATTCGGGCCGAGAATGACTCTCTTTGCCAAGTTGAGTTGAGGACAAGACACAGAGCATGAGCACAGACATCCTAGACGAGAAGGTAAGACAACCCTGCCCAATTTGCTCCCGCCGCCACCGCTCACCACATCCCATAGAGCTCCGACTTTGTCCACATCCCATCTCCCGCCACCGCCTCCCAAGACTTCGACCTCGTATCCCACCCCTCCCACACCCCGACCATGTCCACCCGCTCCACCTCTGCCGGCAGTGGTGCTGCTGTGCCAGAAGGAAAGGCAAGGCTTCTATACTGCAAGTCCCATGTGGCTATACATCCCACAGCGTTCAAGACCGACAATATATCTGGATATCTCGGTGTAGTAGAAACCCAGTCCAGTAAGCCTCAGCCGGCGGACGAAGAGGCAAAAGCTGGTCAGCTCAGTGTGGCAGGAGAAGGTTTGCTTGTGACTTGGGTTCCCGATGAGGTCTTAGAACGCATGGACGAGCACGACAGAGATGTATACAAGAAGCTGGGTCACAAGGAGGAGGGCGATGAGGAGGAAGACGGTAAGCTGGCTCCATGTGTACAGGGGGGTGATATCTGATCGTATGATAGGATTTGTGTTTGTCTCGGTGCCGCCACCCAAAGGAGAAAAGTATGCGTTCTCAGTACCCGTCACCAACATTTACAGCATTCTGGTCTACCCTCCCAGTCTCTCGCATTGGTACGGCTCGGCCACGATCAATTTGACCGGTGGCATATCATTACCGACTCTCTACTTTCACGACGATGAATCGCCTCTTCTCGCCTCCCCGAAACCCTCACCACAACCCGATGCTGCTGCCCGCCCAACACCTAGAGCCAGATGGGGATTCCCACCGATCCTTTCTCTTCTCGAAAGTCGCGCAGTCCTGGTCCGGTCTCGCCTGCTACAGGGAAAGCGCTCAATGGGCGCAGAACTGTGGCTGGTAAATCCTTCCAAATCTGATCGCGAGGTACACGAAGCTGGCGTGCCAGATGAGGAGCCAGAGACGGTTCCCACACGCAAGCCTCCCCAAACTCAACAGACCAACTCGCCGCGGAAGGCCGAGTACCCACCCAAGCCCGACTATCCCGCTGTCTATCCCGGTTTCGCCGGTATTGAAAACCTCACTCCAAAGCAAAGCATTCTCACAGGCCTCTCGAGTCTCACTAGCCTGTCCCGCCGCAAGGCTTCCCAGCTCCTCTCCCATCCTCTCGCCCAGCCTGTTGTACCCCATCTTCCCCCGGCGTTCAAGTCACTCGTAAATGTCCCCGGAGAATGGGAGCGCAATGGTAGAACGCAGGGCGCGAATGCTCAGAATGGGGGAAGGGGCGGCAGTGATGTCGCCTCGGAGTTCGAATCTGCGCGACTCTATCTGGCAAAGTGGGCAAGAGTAGTGGCCGAAGAGGGCGAACGTGCCAGGCGAGAGGAACTTGCAGCTCAGGCTCGCATTCGACCTTCTTCCCCAACAGCTTCGACTGCCGATGTTGACGAGGACCTTGCTTCAAGTCTAGGCGTATTCTCTCTTCTACCGAAATCATACGCCAAGAGGCCTGTGCCGAGCTCCACTCGTCATCCTCAGAACCCCATCAGCTTGCAAGACTGGGTCACTTTTGAGGTAGAGGGCAAAGACGAGCTTTTCGTGAGACAGCAGATATTCCGTCGAGGCTTCTCGACGCTTCCTGTCGACGGGCAAGCCTTGAGAGAGGGCTGGGAGGTACTCTTGTCCATCGTGCCCTGGCACATCGGTGGAGCAGACACTTCCTCTGATGGATTGGGGAAGCGATGCCAAGAGAGGAATGAAGTCAGGGATGGGAAGCGACAGGTGTACGAAGGGTTGAAGAGGAAGTGGAAGGCCGACGCCGACGAAGGAAGGGGTGATGAAGGGTGGAAAGAAGAATGGCATCGGATCGATGTGAGGCTGCATATGATCGATACGTGGAATCGTTTCGCTGACAGACTCTCAGGTGGACTGCAGAAGGACGGACCGTAATCAACCCATCTACGCTGTCCCGTCCGATTTGGCAAAGGCCAATGCACACGAGAAGGAAGGGTCTACCCAGGTTCACGAATACGGAGATGGAAACGATGAGGACGAGGAGGGTGGTATGGCTCCTTTGAACCGTGCGTATCCTTGGCTCCCGTATCCTTGCGTCTCGTCCGGACTGACATGGCTTTGCAGATCATATTGCTTCTCTGCGGACGATCCTCATGACATATCACACATACTCACCAGAGCTTGGATATGTGCAAGGTATGTCGGACCTCCTCAGTCCGATTTACGTCATATTCGATGGCAACGAAGCAGACTCTTTCTGGGGGCTGGTCGGCGTGATGAAGATGATGGTGAGTACGCGAACAGGTTGACGTGGCTTCTTGCTGACAGAAGCAACAGGAGAGCAACTTTTTGCGAGATCAGAGTGGCATGAAGAAACAACTCAGTCAACTGCAACAGCTGATTGCAGTCATGGATCCCGAGCTTTACGTCCACCTTGGTAAGCCCTAGTCTGCACTGACATTACGTCTCATCGCTGACGGTATTACAGAACGCACCGGCTCCTTGAACCTCTTCTTCACCTTCCGCTGGATCCTCATCATTTTCAAGCGCGAGTTCCCTTTCACCACCATTCCCCGTCTCTGGGAGAACCTCTTCACGGGGTACTACTCGAACCAGTTTGTGATCTTTGTGGCACTCGCCGTGTTGCAGAGTCATAGAGAGGTCATCATCAGGTATCTGGTTGAATTCGACGAGGTCCTCAAGTATGCGAATGATCTCAGTGGAACGGTACGTCTGACTTTACTCGTGTATGGAGGCTGAGAAGCTGACGATACGTTTAGATCGACTTGGAAAGCACCCTTGCTCAAGCCGAAGTCCTCTTCATATCATTCCAAGCGATGGTCGAAGACATCGACAAGTCCACTGCCGAAGAACCTCAGCAAGGCGAACTTAGACAGAGGATCACAGGAAAGGGCAAGGGCAAGGAGGCCGAGCCACAGGAGGAACCAGAGGTTCTCAGGGAGGAGCAGCAGAAGGTACAGGCAAAGAAGCTGATTTCTAGTGATTTGAGAGAGCTCCTGGTTGGTTGGACGCCGGGACAGGATGAGTGATTTTATTCGGAGATGATTCATATGCTCTGTTCAATTTGTCTTGTATGCGGTATGATTTACCACGCCTCTGTATGTAAAGCTACATCTACCGAATCCAAACAGCCTCGCCTCGGTTACTTATCCAAACGAAGAAGGAGCGTGCTAACATGAGTCCTTCCTCTCGGGCGAAGATAGCGCTATCCCGCTCGACACTAACGAGCTTAGGATTCTCCTGCCGTTCTGTCAAAAGCAAGGCTTCAAGCAAACGACCTACGGGAAGATGTTGAGACAGCTGGAGGACCTGCTGAATGCTGATCGTGGTAGCACATGTGAATCATTCGTTATTGCGTCCTTGATCCACGATGGCCAATATCACCGTGTACCCGTCGTACTGGGAACATTTGCAGGCGAGTTGTGGCGCTGAATTATTCGATGAATAGGAGTACATGGATACATTGACACCGTGTTGACGATAATCTCAATCATCTTCTCGACTTATACAGCGCTCTCCTTTTTGATCATCATCAGCACCAAAGGCCAAACCACCTCAATCTTGCCTTTCCCGTTCTTCAGCACCCCGGCTTTCTCCAGCTCTTGCCCCAGCTCCCACACAACTCTCTCGACAACATCCCCACTCGGAGAACCTTTCCCGTCTTCTTGACCCTTACCAATACGCTTAGCTTTGTCCTCGGGATTGGCAGCAAAGTACTCGTGCACCGCCGAGAACGTGCGGAGATAACCTTCGAGCTGCGCCAACGACCAGCTTTGCTCCATCAAAAACGGGGATTCTGGAGAGTGGCGGATCCGGATGGCGGTAGATATATCCCAGCCACCATGGTCTGCTTGAGACGCTGCCAAACCATCTTTCGCGATGGTTTGCTGGATATTTGCGGACACAGGAGTAGGTGTGGTAGGCCATGGTACATCATCAAGGAGATTCTCAACGATGGACCGGCCCGGCTGGGACCAATACTTTCCAATCACGCTGGAGGAGAAGTTGGAAAAGATGGAAGTGACGTTGGGGTGTCCTGGGAATTGCATCTCGGCGTAGCCCTGCACGTTCAGTGTCAGTCGTAGTATTACGCCATGTCGAGTGGTAATCTCACCAGGTACACCACACTTCCGCCTGGCCTGACGGTCCTAGTCAATTGAGGCCACACCCTTGTATGATCAAACCAGTGGGCTGCTTGACCTACCATAAGTATCAGCGTTGTGTCCTTCGGAGATGAGCGGGATTATCCCTAGAGACGAACCTGCGACCACAAGATCCACGCTATTCTCCTGTATACCAGCGGCTTCGAGGTTCTCGCCCTTGCCCACCTTGTACTGAATTGGTTTGCTGCCATCTTTATCGTTGCCAACAGGCTGGAGACCTATGGACACCATCGTTGCGGAAGGGTCCAGGGCGATCGTCTGGTCGAAGCGCGGGGCGAGTTCGGACGCCACGAAGCCTGGGCCGCATCCCAAGTCGAGGAGGGTACCCCACTGAGGAGAGGAGCGGATGGCCGAGTGGTATGCGAGGATAAGGGAGTATACCCTCTGAGGATAGGAACTACGGGCGAGCTAAATCAGCGATGGGTCAATGAGACAGCGGCGGGAAGAGAATAAACCTACGGGCGACAGTGAAGATAGGTGGCCACATCGAACGATGCCTTGGCAAAGCTAGTCATGGTGGTGGGTACAGATGGCACGCAGCCTTGTATCCCCAGGAGTATATATGGAGACTTCCGATACTCCTGCAGACCGACTTATCCATCAGGGTATTGACCCGGAGATTTCGGGTGGTCCAGAAAAGTGGAGGCCATCTCGTGCAAAACAACAACAACGGCCGGAATCCCGATATTTCCGTCTACCACCTTGTAAGCTTGTCTATTCACAATGGCACCCCGCGAGAAAGGCCCCACCAAGAACCAGTACTCCCAAGGCCTCACCTATGTCGCACAAAAACCCTCCTTCCTGCAAAACTTTGGTGCTCCTCCAGCATCTACATCTGGCCGCCCGGGGAGAGAAGCTTTGCCTGAAAGACCCTCAGAAGGTGAATGGGCGGGAGGCAGTGATAACGAAGATGAGGACGAAGAGGATGAGTGGTCAAGAGCGCTGGGCGGAGGAGGGGACGAGGGGCCCCAGGTAGTCGTGCTGAAAGAAGGGAGGCATCTAAGCAGAGACGAGATTGAGAGGGAACGGAGACGAGGTACGCATCACTCCAATGCAGTATGATCACAGCGCTCATACTTGTCTGTTTCAAGCCAAAGGTGAAAAAACTCCTCCACCGGAAGAGACAAAGACAAAGGCCCCCAAAGACCCTTCAGCAAAGACGGACAAGGAACCCAAACGCCCCATAATACCAAAGCCCAACCTCAACAAGCGAAAGCTTGTGGGCAATGACCCGGAAGAGGACAAGGCAGACGATGCCAAGAAAGACGGCGTTGATAAGAAGAAGAAGAAGAAGGCAAAGAAGGGGCTTTTGAGCTTCAATGAGGAGGAGGAAGTCTGAGCGATCATGTACTCTAAATGATTATTGTATGTATTCACAACTGCATTAATATACAACTACTATGCTCATTCGGAACCCACGGCCTCCTTGTCCGTCTCTTCCTTGGCAGGACTGGCTCTGCCCCCAGGACTAGATGCCCCTCCAGCACTGGCACTACTGGTGGGGGCCATCTGCCATGCTGGGATACTCGCTCTGCCAGCCCTGGGGCCCAGAAGAGCGTTCGCAGCGTGGGTAGTGGGTGTAGAGACGTTTCGACCAGCCCCAGAATGGGAGGGAAGATTACCATTGGACCCTGAGGGAGACGAGATGGCTGCTTGTCGCGAAGCCAGCAAAGTTTTGAGGGACCGTATTTCTGATTGAAGGTCTGCCAGAGCTGTCGATTGGGACTGGGCATGCTTCTCGATCATCTGTTGAATTCTGGTAAGACAGTGTATAGGGCTGCGAGCCTCGTCGACTTGCCTTCGGTACCAGCTCTCGCACACTTTCGACCTCTCCACGGATGTCCCTCATTTCACCCCTCCACCTCTCCTCTCCATCTCGCAAAGATTGCAGCGCATCTTCGACATCGCCGACAACAGTATCCACTCTTTCTCTATCTGCCTCGATGTTGGTCTGCAGTTTGGTCGTTTCACTCTGTAGCTCGCCGAGGAGACGCGTGGCCTCGTCGTATTGAGATGTGAGAGAGGTGGATGTCTCTTGGAAGGCTGTTGTGGATGGTGGACGAAGATGGGGCACGAGGTATTTCTGGAAGACAATGTATGAGATCAGGGTATCAGACCACAAGGATGACAAAGACTTACCCGAGCAAGCGCCGTGATCCCATACACCACACCTCCTGTGACCATTGCCATGATCTGACGATGAAATAAGCTCGTATTCACACCACTTCATGACAACAACTCACAAAGAGATCTCTCCAGTCTCTTCCCGGTGGTTCAGGTGCTACCGCATACGCCTGTTGATATCCATATCTCGGAGCCGGGTCTCTCGGTCTCTCAGGCGGGGCATTGCCAGAACCTGATCCTATGCCGAGACCGGCAGCCTGTATGGATGGTTCCCCTGCAGCTTGGTTGAGAGCTTGTTGTATTTCAGGCTCCGTGAGCCCCTTGGATTCGAGAAATTGTATGCGTGATATGAGAGAGGAGGATTGCACCTGAGGATGATTGTGCTTGTCAGCGGCGTCTCTGGTCTACCGCTTGTGCTATCCACCTACTTTGGGATCATTCAAGAACAACACAGCATTCTGTAGAAGCTCCTGTCTGTCGGATGACTGCTCCATCTTTGGTTTTGACTTGAGGCGTATAGGGATGGGCTGCGAACTATCGCAGATGAAAGAGATTATAGGCGGCCCGGCTCTGCGAGCAACCGGCGGCGCCGACTCGGGGGACTTCCCCATTACGTACGCATTGCAGAATGAGCTCTCTGCTGTTTACCTGGTGTATGCATTGCAAGATTGTGGCTGGCGAAAGAGCAACAACATACCACGACACGCAGATCTGAATCCAAGTAAATCTGCTATAGGATCATCTAATCACGTTTACTTTACTTGCGGCATCTGTGCGATCATCAATCGAATGCTCTTCTCATTCATCACTCAACATGTCAGATCAAATGAGCTTGCCTCCTTCCTGACAGAGCAGAAGTGGGTCTCTAAAAAACGTATAGCTTTGGTAAATCGCAGTGCATCTCATGATACTGCTCGAGAGCGGAGTGCTATACATGAGCTCAAGCACTTCTTCCTATCTAGTAACAGTACTCGTACGGGCGCCAATGTCTTCTGACTTCTGATGAGGCATATCAATCTTCATCTGAGGAGAATTCGCTGTCCGACAAGTAGCTTAGCTCAACACCTGTCATGGTATTTGTGGATCTCGGTGGGATCGGATATGCCTCGTCATCCATGTCGAGAGAGGTACCAGGAGGCGTCACCGGTCTGCTACCACTACCATATGTTTCTACCACTCTGAGTGGACGTCGACGATGATTTCTATCGGTGACACTTGGCTCTCTATAAGTAGCAGCAAAGCTACTGCGTGCATACGGTCTCCAGCGGATATCACTACCAGCGCGTCGATGTGCGGTCCTCGAGACACTGAGTCTTTCGCTGGGGGCTATTGCGGCTGCTGAAGATCTGTTGGCGTCCTCACCTAGAGTGCGTGCTTCTTCCAAGAGGTCTTCCACTGTTTGTGGTAGAGTTGGGGAAAGAAGCGGCGGTAGGTCGTGTGCAGACGGACCTCCAGCTGTTGCTGTTAGGCCTTGAGAATCAACAGAAGCCGCAATGTAAGAATCAATCCCAGCAAAAGGATCTATAGGCGTTGGCCATTCTCCTCTTCTGTTGCTACCTGTGGTGCGCCCTTGACCCAGCTGCCGATTAAAGTCAGACATGTAGTCTGAGACCGGGTGGGGTGTATTTTGAGGTTGATCAAGACTGGCTTCATCTTCATCGGAAGAATGAGGAACGGGTCTGCGCTCTTGGATGCGCTCTTGGCCAGGGGTATCTGTGTAGCTCAGGTCAGGAGGCGTGGTGTGATACTCGCCCCGATCTCCACCAGAGTTTCCTTCTTGGTCTTCCGGCATGGTGCTGTTGTTACTCCACTTCTCCTGATGACAGATTGTATATATAAAGGTCATTCAGAGTGCATGGGTTTTCACTTACTCGCACTACACGCAGCTCCGACGATACGTCAGGAAAGTAACATAAAAGAGAGCACAATCAGACGCACCCCCTACCGGTTAGACCACCGCCTTTGCCGCTACCGCAACAAAGGATGAAGTGCACTCCGCCTTTTGCGCCATGAAAGGATCTCAAGATGACGGAAAGGCTGGCCTTCCGACGCCTTGCTTTGAGGCTCATGACTGAGGTCTTGTGAGCGAGTAAACTTTGGCTTGATTTGAGAATCTCTCTTCTGAGTATAGCTTACCGCTGCCTTGCTGTTGTTGCCATCATCAGACACCCCTACTCCATAGCTTGGTGGTCCTAACCCAAGTCTCGGTCCCCCCTCAGGTCCAGCACGCCCGCCGTCTGTCTATAATAGGCCCTCTTTTGCCCAATCCTGGGGAGATAGTAGGAGGGGCCGATCTAGGGGGACATTCGTCAACACTGTGTCAAGATGCGAGCTTGGTCTGGAGATACGAGCCCTTCAGCGCGGTTTAAACCAGACTCCCAACTCTTACTGTCATTGCTGTTGATATTGCCTTGTCTTTGTGGTGTCGCAGCACAAACGAGTAATGCTACTTGCGAGCAAACAGACGAGAATGAATGGATGTTCAACAGCGACGGAGAATCTCCTTGGTATGTCTTCTCTTCTTCCTCTTCTCCCTCTTACTCGATATCGAGAGGACTCACATATCGCTCAGCCTAGTATGGTCCAAGATCCAGTCTCTCTGCGTGTCCTCCGAGTCCTTCATCAACGTGCCCCCGCTTCTTGATCCCTCATGGTCCTATAATGCCCCCTCAGAGGCGAGTTCAGAGTGTTACTGCAATTCAGTCAGCTATGGTCTGATGGTGAGTGACTCCGACATCCTTCGTACCGTAACGTTAACCAGTGCCAAAGGCAGCATGTACCTATTGCCAGTGGAGCAATTCCAGTATACCAAGCGAGGAGAGCTGGGCTTCAGGTTGCCAAAGTTATAATTCAGATGGGTGCGTATCTCTCACCGTCTTCACCGCTAGTACTGATGATCTATGGTTGATACAGGCTGGGATTTGCAGAGAACGTTGAAGACATACCACCCTTCGCTTACCAGACCTGGTCGGGAGCTGCTTGGGCAGCAGCGACCGTATCCTCCGTCACCACAGGCCCAAGCTCGACGCCATCGTACTCAACCACCCTCTCGCGCTCCTTCCCCACTTCGAACAATCCATTTTCCTCTTCCTCTGCAAGCACCGGCGACTCTCTTACAACAAAGACGGCCTCCTCTACATCCTCTGCATCGTCGTCTACTGCTACATCCTCCGATTCCAGTTCTGACGACAGTGAGGGCAAGTCGAGTACACCCTGGGGAGCAATCATAGGGGGCGTGGGTGGTGGAGTATTCGGGTTGATCCTTCTCTTCCTCTTCTGGCGATGGTACAAGAATCGCAACCGCATTTCCAATCCGCGTTCCCCGTTCTCCTCCCCTCACGACGGTACAGCCCAGAAACGCACCAAGAAAGCTCGTGTCAAATATCCCCTACCCCCACAGAGTTTCCGTGACAGTTTAGCAGCGGGAAAGAACTTCTTGGACATGCTTGTTGGTGGCGGGAGCGGGATTGAGGAAAAGGGCAAGAGGGATACAGAGATGATGAATGATCCTGAAGCGTTTAGTGCGCCTAGGAAAGCTCCACCTGCGCCGAGGAGTCAAGCCGGATCCGGGTTGGCGTGGAAGACAAGGAGCAAAAGCTTGAGGGACGAAGATTGGAGCCAGAGCGATCAGGAGTATGATGAGAATGCCGACCGGCGGGGCACGAAGAGGATCACCTGGGTAGAAGCATTCCTCCCTAGCGCTCGGGCGGAAAAGAGGGAGAGGGAGAAGGAGGATATGCGGTACACAACTACGAGCCAGAGGCTGGCAAGAAATACACTCACGCCATCAGAGATGATGGAGGAGGAGAGTGAGGCTGGCATGGAAAGTGCGAGAGGCGACTCCCCGACTCTCCCGGTGAGGGCGAGATACCCACTACCGCCAGCACCACCTCCCCCGGCGCATATCCCACCTCCAGCTCCCGACCAGCTGCCCCTTGACTTCTCCCAAGCTCCATCGCGCCATCCATCCCTCCGGCCGGTATCTGGAAATACCCTCCCCAGTCTGTATGAACCTCCTACAGGCGCGCGCACATACAGAGGGTCAACCATGTACAGTCCTGCGTCGAGGTATCCGGGGAATGCGGAGACAATGTTTGAAGTCCATGACCGAGGGAGGGAGCGGCCGATGAGCGAATCGACAATAGGGGCGGCATTGAATAGCGCAAGCGTGCATGGAGGCGGGGGTTGGGGCCGCGATAGTGCGCCGCCTCTACCAACCCCTCATGGTGACCTGCGATGATTTAGTTCTGCAGAAAATATATGAGCAATCCTTTGGGCTGTAGTCGGTAGTCATGCATGATACGTTACATATATTCCGAGTTCATGATTGTATCTCTTCTACTGCGATTAGGCCAAAGAGGCAAAGGGGACAGGGGAGTGGGTGGAGGTGGAAGAGATTAGAAGAGGAAGACCTGGTCCTCGAGCTTGGACATGGCCCTGGGAGCGGGGTAGCCAATCTGGGCAAGGTGCCCCCTGAATCAATCGAGTAAGCTTGATATCAGAGTTGAAGGCCGGCTGCACTCACTTCATGGCAGTGATCATGGGAGGAGGTCCACACATGAGCACCTTGTGGCCCTCACCGTGGGTAGCAGATCCAACACCACCCTCGGGCATGGCCTGCTCGATCATCTCCTTGGTCACGAATCCGACACCGCCAGTCCAGTTCTCGGGGGCTTTGTTGAGGACGTAGTGGACGGTGAAGCGGCCATTGGAATGGGCCTGGAGGTGGTCGAGGTCCTCGCGGAGCACTGCCAAATCATGGTCAGAGATGGTTTTTGGAAAAATGATTCACCCACAGATGTCATCCTCCTCAACGTTGGCGTAAATCAAAGAGAGCTTGGTCTTGTCGCCGGGGGTCTGAATCGACTCTCGGATGATCTGGTACATCGGGGTAATACCAGTCCCGCCAGCAATCATGACAAGAGCGGGGAAAGTGTTGGGACTAGAAAGGTGTCAGCATATTCCTAGGCTGTACCAAGAGACTTACGTGTATACAAACTTGCCCTTGGGGCCCTTGACCTTGACCTCCTGACCGATAGTAAGAAGAGAGAGGTATCGGGAGATGTTTCCCTTTTCGTAAGTCTGTCGCGTTTTAGCCAACAATCATTTGATCGTATATCATCGCCGCAATCATACCTTGACGACCAAGTCAAAGTGTCCCTTGTCATTGTCCAAAGTAGTGGGAGTGTAAGACCTCACAACCTGCTTGCCGTCGATTTCGGCCGCGACAGAGATATGCTGGCCTACGGGGAGACCCAGAGAATCGGTAGATCGGGGGAGAGCAAACTTGTAGCTACGTTGGTCATTAAAGATGCACTGAGAGCACGAAAGGGTACTCACAGAGCGGTGTTGTGGGACAAGTGGTCCTTTGCAATGAGCTTGAAAGACCTCCACTCGACAGGGTCAAGAACCTTCCTACTCTTTTCTGCAGAATGAGTCAGCTGAGGCCAGTCTTCAAGGTTCTCTAACAAGACGACAGAGACACGCGAAGACACGAGACACGCGTAAAGTACGCGCTGAAAAACCTCGGAATCAGTAGGACATACCTTGCCTGAAAATGACGAGGCCGAGGATGACAGCCATGACAAGGCCACCGATGAACCCGGCGTGGGGGTAGAGCTTCTCGGCGAGCTCTTCGAGGGCAGACATGACGGAAAGACGGGCTGTTGGGGAAGAACGCAAAAGAAAGAGAGCATGGGACAATTCGCGCCAGCATCGCACGATGGGGAAGCCACGTGGAGCAGGCGGCCCTCCCCGCTCTCCATGTTAGTTGTCGGCCGAGACCGAGAGTACGAGTAGCATCGGCAACAATAACAAAGATGGGTGAACAATGCGATACCATGAACAAGCTATGGATGAACAGGAAAAGTCTTTGCGGTGACTCCCTGAGGCGATAAGCTGAACCCTCTGGGTGGCCTCTGGTCACTGGAGGCATCTGCGAGCACGCCAATGCAACAGCCCTGAGACGAAAAGAAGAGGGGCACGCATCAAGGCGATGCTACTCTGACCGACTTGCCGGGAGAACCAAACAGGGCGCGTGTATTGACCTGAGAACCAAGAGTATACCGACTCGAGCATGGTCCCAGTGGGATACAAAAAGTGTCGAAAGCATCTGGCATCCGCGGCATCTACAACTGGCTAAGCGCGGTCTTCCGAGCCACTCGGCGCTTATCACGCTATTCGTTGTAGGAGATGTCCGAAAGAGCTGATCCCTTGACACTTTGACAGATAACCCTTTCTTCTCTTCCATCACCATCCTCATCGACATGCCAGCCACCACCCCCCTCCCTCCAGTGGGCGGCGAAGCCACTCAGACCTCCTTGCCGGCCCCTCCACAACATCCCACAACCGGTCTACCTCTCGACTCGGGTTTCTCCCTTTCTCTCTGGCTTCAGACAGTCCGCAACAACCCTCTCCTTGACCATCGTACCACCGAATCCCTCCCAGCCGAGGCGGATGTCGTAGTGATTGGCTCCGGTATCTCAGGCTCTCTCTGCGCGAAGAGCTTGCTGGAAAGCGACAATCCACCAAAGAGTGTGGTCCTGCTGGAGGCAAGGGAGTTGAGCTCTGGAGCTACCGGGAGGAACGCGGGGCATTGTAAGGTAAGGAGCCGGAGTGGATACTGCCGTAGAACTCGTGCTGACATGGAGACAGCCAGATCAATGGCGTGGATTCACGAAATACGAAGATTTACATGGCACAGATCAGGCCTTGAAGGCAAGTCTTTCCCTGACAGACGATGTCCTCAATGATGCTGACTTGATGTAGATCATAGCCAACGAACAGGAGACCTGGGAAGCCCTGGTCAGCTATGTTAAGAAGAATGAAGTTCAATGCGACCTTTGGGTCGGCAAGACTGTGCGTGCATATCTGCCTCATGAGCTCAAATTGACAATCATGCCAGCTTGACGTCTGTATGACTGATGGAGTAGCCGACACTGCAGCCAAGACATTCGCAGACTATAAAGCTGCAGGCGGAGACGTGTCCAAGATTGAAGTGACCGCTGATCCTCTCAAGGCCGAACAGGTAGGTCCATTTATGTTAGACCATCGTATGATGCTGACCCATCCGAGGTCTCGAGGATCAAAGGCGCCAAAAGTGTTTACGCTTGGGATGCTTCCACCCTTCACCCCTGGAAACTCGTTGCCCACATCATTCAGAGCGCCTTGGACCTCGGTCTCAATCTGCAAACCTGGACTCCTGTCACTTCTGTCACCGGCTCTGCCCACCAGTGGACTGTCCATACCGAAAGAGGAGAGATCAAGACTAGTAAGGTGGTGCACTGTACCAACGCCTATGCCGGAGTGCTGCTGCCAGAAACAAAAGGCGCCATCAATCCTACGCCCCATATGTGTGTTCTCCTGTTCTCGTACTCGAACCACAGCCTATGATCCACACTGACAGGCGTCCAGGTGCAACAAAGTCATTCCTCCCACCTCCCACTCTGGCACAAAAGCCCTTTGCAACTCTTATGCTGTGCTGTATCCTACCGGAATGTACTCCATCAACCCTCGCTTCACCTCCGATGGTGCTGTTCTCTTTGGCGGCTCGGCACCGAATCAATACAAGCTGCTCGAGTATGTAGCGGAAGATCCGGAGAAGAGGGCGACGGATGACGGACTGATCAATTTTGAGCCTGTTACGGAGGCTGTCCGAAACCTTGGGAGCGATGGATTAGAATGGTGAGTTTGGTTTGGTCTTGTCATGTATCGACCAGCACTAATGTCTGGGTTAGGGATCTGGCACCTGGAGAAAGAGGCACTGCACCTAGATACGACTATGCCTGGAGTGGCATCATCGGAAGAGTGACTTTTCCCATTTCCTGCCCTTATCCTGCTGACAAGAGACATTTACAGAGCGCCGACCATTTACCGTTCATTGGCGCAGTACCAGACAAGCTGGGACAGTACATGTCTTGTGGTCATAACGGACATGGTATGGTACGTCTTGTCCATTTTCATTGCAAGCCCACAAGTCATTGAGGACACTCGTTAGGCGCGTACCTTTACCTGCTCTAAGGGACTGGCTCAAGTGGTCCAAGGCTTGGCTTGGAAGGATACTGGGCTCCCAGAGTCCTTTGAGGTAACCAAAGAGCGGCTGGACAAGCTTCGTAAATAGATGATGGTATTCAAAGCCTTAGGAGATTCTTATAGACATGTACAGTCCGATACAGTATGATCAATATTGTTGTTTTTCGCTTTGTGATGATACTTGATACGTGTCAGTTGAGGATGTTTATCGACACTGGAGCATACATAGTGTAACCGTAGCTATGGAGCAACCATTATTGCATTGTACATAAGCTGCAAGTACTATTCCAGTCGGGCTGAAATGGTGACCTTTTGCAGCGGTTAAGAGCTCCGAGTGATTCATTGTTTCTTTGCAGTTGCATTCTTTACACATAGAGCCTATTTTACATTTCGTAACGGTACAAGAACCCGATGATGATACACTGATCAAACTTGGAGATGAAGATTCCACCTCATCAGCTACGAAATAACCACGTATATTTTATTTACCTAGAAACCTCGAGGTTTTCCTTGATAGACCAGACCACCGGTGGCTACAGCCAATGCAGCCACGTACACTGCTCTCCAGCCCCACTTCTTCCTCCAGAGGATAGCCGCCTCGGCCTCCACAGACTCCGGCCTTCCAAACGGAATTCCCACAAACAACATCCACGTCAATACCGTCTTCTGCCAGCTCCCAAGAGGCGGATATCGCAAGCTCATGAGAGGCTCAAAGATATACGGGATCTCAAGAACAGCCTTACTGTGCGAGAACGTGTTGAAACCGTCTACACCGTGGTAGCTCCCCCAGCCGCTTGCGCCGACACCACCGAAAGGGATGTTGCGGGCGAAAGTGGCAAAGCCAAAGTCATTCCAAGTAGCAGAGCCGCTAGTAGTCTCGTGGATGATTTTGGTGAAGATTTGGCGCTTGGAGGAGCAGACATAAAGAGCGAGTGGATGCGGGCCGGCATTGACGTACTTGATCGCGGCATCGACATTCTACAATATGTCAGTGCCATCCGCGACTACTAAGGGTCGTGATGCTAACCTCGACGGGAATGATAGCCATTACAGGCCCAAATATCTCCTCCTCAACAACCTTGCCCGTCTCCCCTACAGCACCTTCAGCAAGCCGGATCACCGAGATTCCCATCTTCTTCTTCTCTTCGTCTCTCTCGCCCTTGTAGACGAGCTTGCCTTCGCGATCTGCTTGGTCAATGTAGCCGACCAGGCGGTCATAAGCAGCGTCGGTTCGGAGGAATGCGTATTGGGGGGTGCTGAGTAGGGAGAGGGGAGACGGAGCGGGAGGATAGAATTCGTCAAGGCTGAACGGGTCGTCAGTTGAATGCAAGATGTCATCATAATCACCATTCACGTCTGTTTGCAGAACTCGACAAACTCATCGACGCGGTCCTTAGCGCATAAGACATAATCGGGAGACACTGAAAGGGGTCATCATCAGCTGCCTTCTATCATGATACCTCCCCTAGACTCACCACACATCTGGCCAGCTGCCAATGTCTTGATACTGAACATCCTCCTGGCAGCAATTTTCAAGTCTGCACACGAGGAGACAATCACTGGGCTCTTGCCTCCAAGCTAGCACCGCTGTCAGCATATGGCAGCAGGTTGTAGAGCAGAGGATCCCACCTCCAACGTGGATGGCGTCAATGTTTGGGCTGCAGCCTTTGCGACGATCTTGCCAATCTCGCCCCCACCCGTGTAGAAGACTGTGGGGTAGTGTCAGCCACCATTCCTAGGTCAGATACACGTCCACCGTACTGTGTCCCCATGGCTTCGCCAATAGCGCCTTGGCTACCTCCGAGCCTCCCAACACTGTTCCATAAGCCTCCGAGTCAAGATATCTCGGCAAAATCTCGGCCAACAGGGCGGAAGATGTCGGTGCGTGTTCAGAGGGCTTTACTATGGCAGGACAGCCAGCGGCAATGGCTCCAATCAAGGGGGTAAGGGTCAGCTGCCAGAAAAAGTTCCATGTGCTGAGGATCTAGAGGAAGAGGTTAGTGACTCTTCTGCTTGCCTGGAAAGAATTCGAATGTATAGACTGACCAACGCGACACCCTTCGGCTGCTTTTTCACTCGGGGTCCTGATGAGCCGTCCATTAGCAGCATAGATGAGATATAGTCTCAACGTACGCATGACTTGCATCGAGAGGATAGAGTCTCCCATTCGACTCTCATCTTTCATCCACGATTCGAGTCTTCGCACAGCAAGCTCAACCTCGTTATATATGATCCAAATCTGATACCAATATCAGCTTGGATGCCTCCCGCACCCCATCAGTGACTAGAACTCACATCGCCCAAATAGACATCAAAGTCTCCTTTACCAAGGTCCTTCAGCACTGCCGCTTTTATGGCCTCCTCATTGTCCTTGATCATATAGGCAAGCTGTTTGAGGTTGTAGATTCTGTAGGCTGCAGGAAGGGTAGCACCAGTAGCAAATCGATCGTGGAACCTGTCATAGAGCTTGCCCCGTACCCGTTAACTCGGTCTGCCGATAAGGAGGATAAGGAGAAGAGGGACGAGACTTACACCGTCGATCGCAACAGCGGGGGCGTCAATTGGCACTTGAACTTGTGTCATGGTGAGGGGTGTAGGCTAGAGAGCGTATGAAGATGAAGACGTGAAAGACAAATAACGATGCAATATTGTTTGAGACATGTGGTCTTGTACGTGCGACGCTCGATCGGCGCAGCCATTACCGGTGGATTCGATTCGGTTGACCGAGCGAGAGGTCTCGATTGTGCTTGCGAGTTACGTTGTTATGTCAGTCGGGGGTCAGATGCTCACTCACATCAGAAATCACGGCTGCATACATAGGTGGTCTCCTCCTTATGCTCCAGCATGCCTGCTCTGATGCAAATCGTTTGGTGTTAGCTCGCTGCTGTATCCGACTCGACCGAATGGGTCGGTTTTGGAAGTCGTCCGCCAAGAGGTGTCGACGATTGAATGACTATCAGGTGTATATTTGATTAATGTAGACCGCAATGGTTCCCGTCTGGACCGTCTGACAGCTATAATATCCTCGTTCCTGACTACTCCTCTCTGTGGCCCGTGGTTGGCCCGTGGTCTGCATGCGATTTGTTGATACATCCTCCTCCCTGAACCGTATCGAATCGAAAGAGCCGTTCTCAGCCCATAGTCATAATGTGCCAGTGATAGAGTATACCCATCACCTAATTCTTTAGAAACCTCCCCTTCTGAGCAAACGCTCCCGCACCCAGGATCAATCCAACCCCCCACACCGCCCTCCATCCCCACTTCTTCTTCCACAGCCTCCTCGCCTCATCTTCTACAGACTTTGGCCTCCCATACGGCATCCCCGAGAACATCATCCATGTAATCAAGGTCTTTTTGAAACTTGAAAGCGGAGGGTACCTCACAGCCATGAGCGGTTCAAAGAGGTACGGGATCTCGAGGATCGCTTTCTGGTGGGTGAAGGTGTTGAAGCCGTCTACACCGTGATAGTTGCCCCAGCCACTAGCACCAACACCACCGAAGGGGATGTTTCGGGCGAAAGTGGCAAAGCCAAAGTCATTCCAGGTAGCAGAGCCGCTGGTGGTCTCGCTGATGACTTTTGTGAAGACGGAACGCTTGGACGAGCAGACGTAGAGAGCGAGAGGGTGGGGGCGAGCATTGACGTATTTGATAGCAGCGTCGACGTCCTGCCAAGTATCAGTGCCTAATCCATTCTTTCGAGAAGATGCTCACATCGACGGGAACAATAGCCACTATAGGGCCAAAGATCTCCTCATCCGCCACCCCACCCGACTCGCCAACTCCTCCGTCATTGAGCCGGATCAACGAAACACCGAAGCGCCTCTTGGTCTCGTCCCTTTCCCCCTTGTAGACGAGCTTGCCCTCCTGCTCCGCCTTGTCCACATAGTCAGCGATGCGGGCGTAATCAGACGCGTTACGAAGCGAAGATGTATGAGGGGAGTTGAGGAGCGAGGATGGGGATGGGTAAGGAGGGTAGAACTCATCGAGGCTGGCAATCTCAGTGAGCGATGTCAGAGAGCGAGTAGAGAAAAAGCTTACGTCTGCCTGCACGCTGCGATAAACTCATCCACTCGGTCCTTGGGGCAAAGCACATAATCGGGGGCCACTGTCAGAAGGTATCAGATGTATCTATCAGGGCATCATTATGTGACTCACCACACATCTGGCCCGCGGTCATGACTTTGATACTGAACATTCGCCTAGCAGCAATTTTGAGGTCGGCGCAGGGGGAGATGATGACAGGGCTCTTGCCTCCGAGCTATATGGAGACACATTAGCAGGCGACAAAGAGTCAAATTTCGGTACCGACCTCCAAAGTAGATGGGGTCAGAGTCTCTGCTGCAGCCTTGGCGACAATTTTGCCAACCTCACCACCTCCCGTGTAAAGGACTACCATTGCGTCAGTCTGTGCACCTCATGACAAAGGCCCGGGAAGCTCACTGTGTCCCCAACCCTTCTGCAAAAGTGCTTTGCTCTCGTCCGCGGCCCCCAACACAACACCATAGGCCTCGGGATCGAGGTATCTGGGCAGAAGCTCGGCCAGAAGGGCAGAAGAAGTAGGTGCGTGCTCCGAAGGTTTGACGATGGCCGGGCATCCGGCGGCTATAGCTCCCACAAGAGGGTTGAGAGAGAGCTGCCAGGGAAAGTTCCAAGTACTGATGATCTGAGAGGTGTCAGCTGGAATTGGCGTGCGTTGGATCTTCACTGACCAAGGCGACACCCTTGGGCTGCTTTCTCACTCGAGGACCTATAGAGGAGTACTGTCAGAGCATGTGTGGGTCGGAATCTGTGTGACTTACGCATGGACTGCATTGAGAGCAAAGCGTCGCCCATTCGACCTTCGTCCTTCATCCATGTCTCAACCTTTCTCACAGCGAGTTCAATTTCATTAAAGATAATCCAAAGCTAGCACGGTGTAAGTTCAGTCTTATCTATCATTGCATTAAGGAATCCCTCCCATGCAAATCATACTCACGTCGCCATTGAGCACATCGAAGCCACCCTTGCCAATATCCTTCTCGACCGCCGCCTGGATACGCTCGAGATTGTCATTGACCAAGTGACCGAGCTGTTTGAGGTTGTAGAGTCTGTAAGCAAGTGTCTGAGTCGCACCTGACGCGAATCTCTTGTTGAGCGTTTCGTATAGCTATTCATGGAAAGCGTCGTCAGCTGGGCCCTGAGCGCAAGTGGATGGCTGTGCAACTTACAGCGTCGATTTGAGCGAGTGAGGTGTTGACGTGTTCTGGGAAGCCCGACATGATGTTTGCAGTTCTGACTCCTGTTGACCAGATGAGAGGAGATGTGAAAGAGGAATAATATTATTAATTAGAGCGATTAGACTGCCGTAGTACTCCCGGGCTGCTCCCGACTTGCTCCCGACCTGAATGGACACAGCCCGAGCCTTTGTTCCACGTCACGGCTTCACTCGGCTGCCCGACCCCTTCAAACCCATTTTCACGCGACATCTCAAAGTTTGGGATCTTCTCTAACACAAGCAAAGTTTGAGAACGCACATTCACCGCAGAATATCCCACATATCCCAGTTCCCAATATATCCCAGTTACCAATCACCTCTCGCACATCACAGCCACCAATCACCCCCCACTCTTCCCAGCAGCCTACATATCGCGCGCAATCCTCCGTTCGAACCTCATGGCCCATCAAGTTCAAGCATATACCTCACACCTACAGCATTCGCTTATCCCTGAGCTGGAGGGGGCCAGGCGTCATCTTTCTGCTGTGGACTTTGATATCTCAGAGTAGTAAGCATAGGAATTGTTCATCGAGCTGCAAAATGATATTCTTGCTGATCAATCACTTTCACAGCAATTCCCTACTGGGGAGAATCAAGCTTTTGGAAGACGAAAAGCGTTCATCACTGGATACAATGAGCGAACTGGGAGCTGGTGTCTGGGTCCACACACGGATGTGAGTTGTGCTTTATCACCGAGGTACTTGAGATCTACCGATAGTCGTAGCTGACTCTTCATATCCAGACCAGATCATGATCGACTCACTCTTGATCTTGGCGTGGCTGGTTTACACGCTGACATGAGTCTCGGAGAGGCTACTGCCTACATCACAAGTCTTCTCGCGATCCTGAAAAAGTACATCGAGGCGGGACCCATCTTTGATTACCTGGCTGACTGATAGTGTAGGAGACAGGAAGTGTTGTCGCAGAAGGAGGAGTTCTTGGTCTGGCAGATAGGACAAGTGGGTCTCACTTTGATATCTGCTGGATAGTGCTGACTTGCCTCGAAGTTCCATCATATCTTGTCAGCCCCTCCAGAGCCCAACGTTGCCTCTTCAGCTCTGTAGTACTATGCGCTGTTTTCGTACTCATTGCCAAGACTGCGTACATCCTCTTAGTCCTTCATCACCCGCTCAAAAACCCACCGAAGGGGGTAAGCCTGCCAAGCACGAAGGGGTCACTTAAAAGTGACAAGAAGGGGTCATTTCCCGTCTTCTACAGGGCTTGCCCAGTCAAGACATACTGTAGCATGCATCATGACGGGGCTGAAGCTCCAATTCTCGCCGGGACAGAGATATCTAGTAGTGTCTCCCGAGCCTTGTGGTCTCAACACGCGACAGACAACACGCGGACGGCAATAAGCAATTCTGCCTATATGTGTTTTGGCATTTCACGAGGGTTCGGAAGCGTGGTTGGTGGATGCTGTCATACGCAAAGGCCTCGATATATGAGATGAGAACTCCAAGGAATGCTGTAAGGTGCTTGTATCACCGACCTTCAATGCATCCTGAAAATGCAACAATTGCAAGAGGACATGCGCGCGCCACGTTGAGTAAACACCGGCAAACGCCGCCATCGCCACGTGGGTTCGATGTAAACAATCAACAAGCAGCAGCGCGACTGACCTTCGCGTTTTATTGTTTTTGCCAGTCATTGCCATCGACACTTTGACATTCTGTATCCCGCCCCATCGTCAAGCATGTCAAGGAGGCCAACCACATCCCGAGCGGGTATTTCCCGCACGGCATCTTCAGCATCTATCGCCATGCCTCCGCCATCCCGAGTTCCCAACCGCCCGCCCTCTGCAATGTCGATATCGCAAGCTTCGCAAAGAGGGGAGGACGCCGAGGGAAGACCAACAAGTCCTTCCAGGAGGGCAAGAAAGGTGACGGGGGGCTCGATCAGCTCAAAGAAGGGCGATCAGGGGCTGCATCTGAATGAGAACGGAGAGATCAACATCCAGGTTGTCGTGCGATGCCGGTCAGTCATCTCAGTAAACGAAACACTTGAGGAATAGCTCACGTGTAGAGTAGAGGACGTTCAACACAAGAAGTGACACAAGCGTCACCGATAATCGCCACGACTGGCGGACCTCTATCGAAGCAAGTCACCGTTGAAACCACTCCCCAGATCTCCTCGACGATGTCTTCCTTCACAACAGCTTCGACCTACGGAGGTTCCCACCAGCCTTCGACAAAAACTTACCCATTTGACAAGGTGTTCGGTCCCGAAGCAGATCAAACGATGGTCTTTGACGAAGTGGCCGAGAACATGCTTGCAGAGGTCTTGGCGGGCTACAACTGTACCATCTTCGCCTATGGGCAGACTGGTACTGGTAAAACCTACACCATGCAAGGTGACCTTGAGCTCACCAATCTCGGCGCCCCGAAGTCTACTGCTGGTATCGTCCCTCGGGTCCTCCATCGACTGTTCAACATCCTGGAAGCTGATACGGAGTCCGAATACTCTGTCAAATGCTCGTATGTCGAACTCTACAACGAAGAGCTTCGGGATCTACTAGCTCCCGAGTACAAAGGGGAACAAGGTGGGAATGCTGGGCTCAAGCTGTACGAAGATGGAAAGAAGGGAGTCAATATCCAGGGACTGGAGGAGGCGGGAGCGAGGACTCTGAAGGAGGCGTTGGGCATCGTGGACAAGGGTGTTAAGAGGAGGCAGACTGCCGAGACAAAGATGAATACAGAGTCATCGTGAGTTAAATCTTGCCAAAATAGAAGTTTCTGATGTCATCTTAGACGATCGCACACCATCCTTACCGTCACCGTCCACGTCAAAGAGAGTAGCATGCAGCGTGGCGGGGAAGACATGCTTCGAATCGGCAAATTCAACCTTGTCGACCTTGCTGGATCCGAAGCCATTGGCCGTTCGGGGGCCACCGATAAGCGTGCGAGAGAAGCTGGTATGATCAACCAGTCACTCTTGACATTAGGCCGAGTCATCTCCGCCCTAGTCGAGAAGGGAAGCCACATCCCTTATCGCGAGTCTAAACTCACCCGACTTTTACAAGACTCGTTGGGTGGCAAAACCAAGACCACTATCGTGGCTACCATCAGTCCCACCCGATCCAACATGGAAGAGACTCTCTCTACCCTCGACTATGCTATCCGTGCCAAGTCTATCCGCAATCGACCAGAGGTCAATGCCCATATGACAAAAGCCGGTTTGCTCAAAGAATATGTCGGCGACATAGAGAAGCTCAAAGCGGAGTTGACGGCCACGAGGGAGAAGAATGGTATCTACATACCGGAGGACCAGTGGCGCGAGCTCCAAGCGGTTCAACATAGGCAAAAGTCCGACTTTGACGAGGCTCGCGAGCGAGCTGGCGCCATCGAAGTGGCTCTCAAGACTGCCAAAAAGGAATTTGATGAGATCAGCGTCAAACTCATAACCACTTCCGATGAGCTCGCGCAGGTCCGAGAAGTAGAGAGGACGCTGAATGAGATGCTGGATGAGACCAAATTGGTTCTTGGCCAAATGAAAGTGAAGCTGGACGAGGAAGAGGCAGTCAGCCAGGCCTATATGCAGGGGGAGGACAGGCTGGATGCTGTTGCCGGAAGCCTGAAGCAGGTTGCCACAGAAAGCGTCAACGACGTTGGTAGTCTCTTTGAAAAGATTGGTGGGTGCATTAGTTTTATCATTTCCATCGCCGCTGACACAAAACAGCTCGAAAGGCAAAGGTCCTTGGATCCAATGCCGATGCCGCAACGGCATTCGGCGGTCAAATGCAAGGCCTCTCACAGGGCCTCAACGCCGGTCTTGCTCAACTTCTCAACGCCCATAGTGCGTTTGGCGACAGCGTCCGGTCCGAGATGAGCGCCCTCGCCCTTACAGGACAACAAGCCACTCAACATGACCTCGCACATCTTGACAAGTCATTTGCTGCCTTCACCGACCTCGCACAGAAGTTGTCTGCTTCCAACGAAAAGGGCCAGCGCGAGTCTGCCGACATGAGCAAGTCACTCCTGGCTGTCAAAGACGAGGTGCAGAGTTCTGTGAGAGAATGGGCACAGGGCGTGAGCGAAAGGAGCAAGTCGATGGTTGATGAGCTGTTGGAACATCAGCAATTGCATCTCACAGCTGTCGGCTCTGTCCTCGCATCAACATCGGACCTGGTCGAGGCCATCATCGCCACCTCACAGCAACATCTCGCTACGGAAGCTGCCGCTGCCTTGCGCGCCCGAGAGCTGGCTGTCCAACGCTCAACCTCTGAAGCTGAACGCTTGCGCTCCCAGAACAACCTCCTGATGACTCTCCTGGCCAATGAAAAATCCAAGACCGCCAAGCTCCGAACCGAGTTGGTTGGCAATTTGACAAGCATGATCGAGGACTTTACGGATGCACAAGACAAGGGATGGAGTGAAGCAGTGGAGAAGGCCAAGAGAGAGAACCAGGCCGGAATCGTCTCGCTGGAAGAATTTGGAGATGAAGTAGGAGAAGCGTGGACAGAGGGTGAGGAAAGGCGAAAGGTGTTTGAAACCGAGGCCACCACTGGCCGCGAAGCAGGTGCTCGACAAAAAGAACTTGGCCAACAGGTGTGTTGCATTTGTATCCCTCAAACTTGCGATTAACAACTGTATAGGCTCTTGGTCAAGTGCGCGAAGGGCTTCGACAACGACTGATAGACTATGGACGAGAGACCATGGGTGAGGCTGAGAAGCACGTCCAAGTCGTCGATGGCTTCTGCGTGAAGTTGACCAAGGGGGCGAGCAATGGTGAGCTTCAGTCATACCATCTATATATCGCCGCTGATCAGACAAACAGTGGCGAGCAAGACGTCCGCAAGAGGCAAGAAAAATTCGGAACTGGTAGAGGCTATGACCAAGAATGCTTCTTCCACGCACGAGGCATCCAAAGCTAGGTCAACGGCCATGGCTGGCTCGATCGAGGCTTTGACATCGACCCTTCTGGCTTCGGTGAGTTTTTCGAGCTTGCCAAGTATCAAGCTTATAAGTTATAGCAATCGAATGCGTCTGCCACATTCGCTCAAAATCATTCATCGGCCGAGTCCTCCCTCCAAGCGATCATGTCCTCAGCCGCTACCTTCCTCCAGTCCGGCATCGAAGAAGACGTACCTACTGGTATCACGCCTCGGAAGAAGACATGGAATGTGCAATCGAGCTGGGGCAGAACGGGGCCCAGGGAAGCCATATTGGCGGACTGGAGAAGGCGACAAGGAATACCTGAAGCTGAATTTGGGACATCGGGGCATGCGGAAGAATCGTCTATTGGGACTGACGACACCGTCAAGGGAGATATTGGCCAATTGTCCTGTTCATCTCAGCCGATATCTCGGGAGGGCAGCATCGTATTCCCTTCTCAAACAAGCTCTCGTGAGCCTACGCCTTCTTCAATACCACCGCCACATTTCCTAAACGCCAGCACTCGCCAAGCTTCAGGCCAGACTGTCCCCAAGACGAAGGCCTTGAGATTACCTGCAGGAAAAAAGTTGAGCTGTGATGGTGCGGATGAGCCTCGGCCGGTGGTGGCAGTGCTGGGGGAAGGAGGAGTCAATCTACCCCGGCGCGCGGGTCGACGTGGGAACTGAGTTGGACGGATGGACAGTAGATTTTATAAATGGGCTGTTGACTCTCTTTGATAATTCTTCAATCTTGGATTTGATGTGTAATCTTTATATGCAAATGAGAGTGATTGAGATCTTATATCTATCATCGTTGCATAAAATATCATATACCGGTATGACCCGGGGCATGTCTCTGTAGACCAATGAGAGTGATTCAAGGTGCCTATATAGGAAACAAAAGTCCTTTTTGGTAACAGTACAAGTAGAGAGACCCATTATAGTAGCAAAAGACCGGAAAGTAACACTCTAAAGCCTCTCGCAAACAGTTCCGTTCAAAGCCCTTGCCCATCCAGGCTTGCAAGAATAGACTTCACACGCCCCGCTGTTGCAGCCCATCCACCTCGCACCGGGAAGAGCTGTGCAGTCCTGACCTGAACCCAAGCTCGCGCAACCACCACAAGACTGCAATTCCGATGTAGAGTCGAGGCACTCGTACTGGTCAAGAGCGGCACCAGGGATAGGGCAAGCAGCGAGACCCTTGGGACAGAGGACACCAGCAGAGTTCTCGGGCATGCCATAGGAAGCGACGAAGGCCGCGGCCTTGAGCTGAACTTGCTCGGCGAAGAAACGTCTGTTGTGCCAAGCGGTCGTAGTTGTGGCGCCGGATGGGGAAGTGCAGACACCGTTGGCGACAACGGAGCCAGTAGGGCAGCAGACGCCGGTAGACCCAACCTCAGGCTTGTCGACAGGGCAGCATACGGTAGAGCAAGCCTTGTGGCTCTTCTTGCAGCAGATGCCGGAGCCTTTGTAGGTAGTCTGGTAGGTGTAGCCGTTAGAAGTGTCGCAGGTAGCCTCGCACTTGCCCTTGGCCGAGTTGTACTCTTGACCAGAAGGACATTGAGAGATACACTTGCCAGTAGAGCCGTTTTCGATCTGACCCTTGGGGCAGCAGACGGTGCTGTAGCCCGTGTAGCCAGAAGTACCGCTAGGGCAGCAGACGCCGTTGGAAGAGTACGTCTTACAGATGAGGGTTGGCGTACACTTCTCCTGACCAAAGTTGCAGCCAACAGAGCCACAGCACTTGCCGTTTCTGTAGGTCTGGCCACGAGGACAGCAGCCGCCGTTGGTGGAGTACTTGCCGACTTCGCAGGTGGAAGTGCCACAGCCCTTGGAGGTGATAGAGAGGGACCCGCAGTGGTAGCCGCCGTTGCCGTCACAAGTGGGTTGCGAGTTTGTAGGATAGAATTTGCTCGAGCCCTTGGAGCTGACCTGTGGATCATAATCAGCATACAATCTATGAGAGAAGAGGGCAACTCACATAGGACTTGAGCACGGACTTGAAAGAAGAGTCAATGTTGTTGTTGGAGCAAAAGGAGTCAATGTCTTCGGAGCAGAGACAGCCAAAGTTGTAGGCGAAACCGAGCCAGTTACCAGAGACGCTGACACAGGTCTGATATGCGCCGGAGAAAGACGAGCCTCGAGCCCCGAGTGTGGTGTTGGAGACTGCTCGAGAGTAGGTAGAGCTGATGAGGGAGAGGACGAGGATAAGTCCAGGGAAGGTGATGGGAGAGAGGCGGACCATGGTGAAGAGGCTTCAGACGAGAGGTATGGGTGGTTCTGAGCGGATCGAGGGGAGCCAGTCTTTGACTTTGCTTTGAGGCGGGAAGAGTAGCAGTGGGGTGCGGCGGTGGAATTTGAGATTGACGGGTGAAGGTGGGGAAACGTCTGTCTGCCGAGGTTATGTAGTCTCAGAGAAGTCCTTGGGAGGGCCTCGAAGTCCGAATAAGCAGAAAAAGGGTGCTCATATGGGCCAGCTCTTCCATCAGAGCGGCTTTATATCCACTTAGAACGGGAGAGATGTCCATTTCTGACACAATACTGTTGCTGGCATGAGGAACCCGTATCTCGAGAAGGCGGATCTCAGGTGTTCCTGCTCACGATACTACTGAGACCAAGGAATGAGCGGGAGGTATCGAGGAAACATTAGAAAGGGATACCAGCTCATAGAAATGCCGTGGTAGATACGAGGACATAGACGAGATGTGAAGCCCGCCATATCGAGAGTATCGTAAACGTCGCTCCTATAGATGAGTGATATATGGACATATGAGCTATGATCAGTACCGGTAATCTGCCGGTGACCGTGGAAAGGTCACCAAAATCCAGAGCCCAGAGAACGAAGAGAATGAGGGACAGGCAAAGAGGTCGATGAATTTGCGGGAAGCGGGCTGGAGCGGCCGACGAGATTTTCGATTTTCGAGTCTCCCGATAAGAAGACTGATTTTGACAGCCGTCCTCGCCGGGTGCCTCGTACTTGACACCTGGTGCACCTGGGCGACATGTGCATGTATACTCGCTCAGTCAACCAAGAAGACAGCGGCTGGTGCAGCCACGGAGGCGCAGAAGGCACCTTCCCCTGCTGCGGCTCAGCCGCCTCGCGCGGCCCGAGGAACTGAATGCCCAAATCCTATAAGACCTCTCAAGAGAGGGGTCTCGAGGGCAACACGAACTCCGTTTGGATCTGAGATCTCGAAAGACATGCTCCGGCGATGCACTGGCAATTGCACATCCTACATCGGACGACCAGACAGGGCTTGTAGTACGACGATGTGAGCACTTGCTCGGCGGACTAACTTCTATTTTGATACGATCGCTCAACGTAGAGTACTTTACTGTACCAAACCCTTGGTTTTCGTGAGCTCGCACAGCTCTGACAGGAGGTGATGCAGATCATGTTCTGCTGGATTCTGGATCCTCTCACTAACATGCGAACCGATCAATGCGGATGCAAATCACATGAGTCAATTACATACCTCACTTTCCGAGCAGATGTCTGTCCGAAACCGGCATATCTTAGCTAACGATATGGTAACATGCCGAAAACGCGATTGTAAGCTTCTTCTGCCGGCTGGTACAGCTGACGTGCAAGCCTTAGAGCCAGAGGAAAGGAGGTGGGATCTGCAACTGTACCGGGAGTCCCATGCCAGCCCGAGTCCTGTGCATAGGTAATAATGGTCCGCACCGGTATCCCGTTCATCTTGCTTGTGCCCCGGTGGATCATCCTGATTGCTATGTACACACGATTTGAACCCTCTTTGGGCCTCTCGGGGTATATTGTTTGTTGCTTTGTATGGCACGACAAGCAGACATGGGCGTGGAAAAGAAGGGGCTATGAAAGCTGCAAAAGATATGTCAAGTAGGGCCTCTTGCAAGCCTGCTGCATTACGTTCGTTGATGCGACGCGTTAATCTATGTCCGCCGGCGATGGACGTCGCGTATCTCGTGGATTGTCCCGTGACCCGTCTATAGCCCGGGCATCCCGACGGTCGGCATGCTGAAAGAACTCTTCTTGTCATCCACGTATCGACTTCTCGACATCGAGCGGGGCGAGATATGTCTCGAGGATGATATAGTGGATATACAGAATGGCCAGACCCTCAGCTAATCTGTCCCTAGCTTGTTGTACGCGGGCAGAGGAACTAGTAGGAAGGGGAGATCTCCGTCCATGTGGCATCATGTAGTACGTGAAAGGCCGGTGAAAGGTCTTCCTGACAGAGTTCCTGTACAGCCGATATCCGTCTTGATTATATGCTGCATTAAAAGTAAGGTACTACCAGGTCGATGAGGAGGCCCAGGGCCCCCCGAAAGATGTGCTGTGGGCATCAACAAGTTGAACAAGGGCGAACCCTCGGGACACCGACCGATGATGAGGATGTATGAATGGCAACCTCTTTCAAGTTCGAGCACAGATGAATGGCTCTAGTTCGACCCTGTAACAGAGCATTCAACCTTTATTAAAAGCAGATCATTCAGCAGTGGGCGGCAGGTGCCGCGGGGATGACGAGGACCGGGTGTTCAGTGTTCTTCATGCCGGCCGGGTACTCTTAGTCCTGTGACCTCACGAGAATTAGCCATCTCGATTCTGCATTTGCATCTCTACAATCTATGCACTCTCTCACCCTCCAGCACACCAGCAGCATATGAGATCGCTTTCGTTCATTGACTCTGGTAAGAACCTTTTTGGTGTCGATGAATGTAGACTCATGATTTATAGTACGGAGATCTTCACTCATTTACGACTGTACCACCCACTCCATCAAGATCTACGTCGCTTCATCCGACTATCAATGAACCATCTCATTAGCTTGCAGAGGACACACTCGGCCCCGTGCTCGACCACTCCCATGAGGCAACTGCTCTGTGAGAGCCCAACAACAAGAAGCGCAGACACTTCAGTTCATCCTTACTTCTATCATCTACAATCTATAAACTATTACACACGCTTCTCTATTCACTGTTTCAAGATCAAAGACCCTGTTTTGACGACTATAGAACAACAACACAAGACCACTTCTTACTCCTTGGCGACCTCAAGAACGATACGGCCAGCGATCTTGCCGGCTTCGAGGTCCTCGTAGACGCTGCGGTACGTATCAGCTCTATCATCATCAGATCAAGTCAAAAGTACTTACTCCTTCAAGTCGGCAAGAGTCTTTTGCTCGTACACGACCTTGACCTTGCCGGCAGCAGCAATCTCGAGAGCCTCGTAGGCGTCCTGCCTGTTACCGACGTACGAACCCTGGATTCGGATCGACTTGAAGACGGTCCAGAATACGTTGGCACCCATCTCGGCATCGGGCATACCGACAGCGACAAGGGTACCGGAAGGCTTCAAGTAGTCGATAGCCTGAGTGTAACCAGACTTGTTGGCGGCGGTCACAAGAGCAGCAGATGGGCCAAGACCGCCAGTGATAGCCTTGACGTCACCGACGAGGTCCTTGGTGGTCCTAAAGTCCACCCAAGCATCGGCACCGAGAGACTTGACGAGCTTCTCCTTGGCATCACCAGTGTCAATGGCGATGACCTTGAGGCCCATAGCCTTGGCGTACTGGACGGCCAAGTGACCGAGACCACCACCGGCACCGGGAAGGGCGACCCAGTCGCCAACCTTGGTGTTGGAGACCTTGAGGGCTTTGTAGGTGGTAACACCGGCACAAAGGATGGAGGCGGCGCCGGCAGAGTCGAGACCCTCGGGGATGGGGGTGACGTGGCGGGTGTAGGAGACGACGTATTCAGAGAAGGTACCGTCGACAGTGTACCCAGAAAGCTGGGCGTTGGGGCAGTCTATCACCGTACGTCAGCGTTTGTCACTTGTCTCATGATGCAAGGCCCTTTGCGAGGTGGGTACAGCTGGCGTACAAATAGGGAAAAAATGACTCACTCATCTCATAGCCACGTCGACAAAGCTCGCAGTCCAAACAAGAGTCGGCGAGCCACTTGATACCGACTCGGTCACCAAGCTTGACGGGGGAAGTCTCGGCAGGCTCAGCAAGGGCGACAACGATACCGACACCTACAGACCAATCATCAGCATCTATCCCTCTGCAACCTTAATCCACCGCAGCCCGAGACGAGTTACTCACCTTCGTGTCCACCGATGAGAGGGTGGGAGGAGGGCACAGGCCAGTCGCCGGTCTTGGCGTGAAGATCGGTGTGGCAGACACCGGTGTGAGAGATCTTGATCAAGCACTGGCCGGGCTTGAGCTCTTCGGCGGTCTTGACGGCATGGTTGTTGTCCATCTTGAGCTCGGCGCCGAGGCTCTCTACGACGGCGGCGGTCTGAGTCTTGGGGATGGTGAAGCCTTGGAGAGTAGACATGGTGGGTTTGGTTGGTTTGCAGTGGTGGATGGGTGTGTTGTGGAAGTGTTTGTGGTGATGAAGAAGAGAAAGAGGAGATGCGAAAGCTTTGGTTGATATACGGGCCGAAGTCGGGAATGACCGGGCGGCACACGGCAAGGACATTCTCGGGTGGTGCGCCAAAGTGGAGGTTTAGCGGTTTCGGCCGTCTAATAAGCGTGTAAATGGAGAGCTTCTGTCTGGGATCTTGGTAGGCTGCCGTATATCTACGTGGATCTCGCTCAGGGGCACCCAGAAAGAAGGAGAGACGCGGGTATGCCACAAGCGGCGGGACGTACAGTGAAGGGGGACGCCCAGATCTGTTGACAGAAAAAGGTTCAGAAGATGAATGTTGAAAGCTGAGATGGCAACAGGGAAGGGGGTGCAGGGCATGCATTTTGATGACTCGAGTATAAACCGAGGATCAGGTCCAGTGCCCGTGGGGTGGCTTGCTGGTAAACTGCATTGATTGGCCCTTATAAACTTCTCTGTGGCTGCCTCATCCTCATCCATTCCTCCCCCGAGAGCACCCGACTGCCACATCCGGCTATCCGCCCTGCCGCAACCTAGATAACAGACCCTTATTTGATGCCGCGTACCTGTCGATCACGAGGAGATGGCGGCCATGTCCGCGCTAGCCGGAAGCATTTCCCTCCACTCGCTCACCTCCACTTTCGCTTTCTCTCTACCAACTCTCTACTCTTGTCAGATCATCTCAAAGGCAAAGCTGCAGCCTCAGAGCGTATGCCGACCACATGCTAGCATTGGCGGACCGGCGGATATTCCGCACTCAAACAACTCTTCGATGGGCTCGGGCACTCGCAACACAGGCCAAATCACCGGATGATGGCTGGCAGACAGTCATTGGTCTCGAAATCCATGCCCAGATTAAGACAGGGCGAAAGCTATTTTCAAGTAAGCTTGGACTTCCCTCTCCGAGTAAATTATCCGCTTAACCTAACCTATGTGCAGAAGCATCAACTTCATATGGGCATGTGCCGAATACGAATGTCGACCTTCATGATGCTGCGTTTCCTGGTACTCTTCCGGTACGCTCCTTGTCAACAAACGACTTTGAAAATGCTGACGAGATATATCAGAAACTGGACCTTAAAGCTGTGCAACTATCAATTATGACCGCGCTAGCCTTGAACTGCGACATAGTAAGGCCCTCGCCAATCGTTGTGGCCAAGCTGACCATGCCCCAGAATCCCCGCTCGACATTCGACCGAAAGCACTACTTTTACCACGACATTCCATCCTCATACCAGATAACTCAGCACTACAGTTCGTCTCTCCATCACCTTCTGATGAAGCCTAGATGGAGCCTAACGCGTCGCAGATCCACTCGCCCGGAACGGCCACCTCCAAATAGCCAAAGGCGACAATGCCTCCCCACGCACCTTCTCTGTCGGCATCCACCAGCTCCAAATTGAACAAGACACTGCCAAATCCCAGGCCGTCGGTGACTCTGTTCTAGTAGATCTGAATAGAGCTGGTACAGGGTTGATGGAGATTGTAACAAAACCGGATATGCGCACGCCAGAGGAGGCTGGGGCGTTTGTGAAGAAATTGCGAGGGCTGTTGAGAAGAGTCGGGTCGGCGGATGGTGATATGGAAAAAGTAGGTGTGCCAAGAGCGCTTGCCCGCTGTGAAGCTCATGTGTTACACAGGGAAATCTGAGAGTCGATGTGAACGTTTCAGTCCATCAACACGGTAAACCCTTCGGAACCCGCTGTGAGTTGAAAAACATCAACTCTGTCCGCTTCCTCCAAGCAGCCATCGGTAAACCGTGTTTTTGTATCTTCTGGAACACTGAATGACCCATCACAGAGTCCGAGCGTCGACGACATATCGCCCACTATACCTCCTCCCCTTCTACACCCATCCTCCAAGAGACCCGCGGCTTCAATGAACTCACCCTGGAGACTTTTTCTCTCCGCTCCAAAGAGGAGGCTACAGATTACCGCTATATGCCAGATTCCAACCTGCCTGCTATGATCATAGAACCTGCAAGTTTGACTCAATCATAAGCTAGGGAGGGAAGGAAGCTAACAGCGGGTGTAGGCGTACCTGACAGAGCTGAAAGAAGGTTTGCCAGAGATGCCGTGGGAGAGCGTGGAGCGGCTCGGGGATGATTACGGAGTGACCAAGAGAGATGCTGAGACGCTCTTGGGTCTGGACGAGTATCACGCCACAGGCATCGCTTACTATGAGCAAGTTGTCTCGGGTGAGAACAAGATTGCCAGAAAGGCTACAAACTGGTGAGCTTCATACATCATTCGTTTTCGATAAGCGTGCTGACAGTGATCAAGGATCGTCCATGAGCTCTTGGGTCAGCTGGGAAAGGTTGATAGGGAATGGACGCCGCATGTCGTCCCAGCGCCGCTCATGCGCGAGCTTGTACTTGCCGTCGAAGGACGAGAGATCACGGGTACTACCGGCAAAGCTCTCATCAAACACTTTGCCTCCTTATCCCCTTCTTCCGAGCTCCCCGCCACCCTGGATCCCATTCTCGACCAGCTCGGCCTGACCCCGTCCCCTGAAGCTTCCGAGGATCTCTCAGAAACATGCATGAAAGCCCTCGCCAACCAGCCAAAGGCGGTTGCCCATTTCAAAAAGGGCAATGAGAAAGCAGTGATGCGTCTGGTTGGGGAGGTTATGAAGATCTCTAGTGGCCGAGCAGATGCTACGAAGGCAAAAGAGTGTCTTTTAGAGTTGCTGAAGGAGTAGATGAGAGAAGAAAAGAAGTCTTGTACTGTATGTATGCATTTAATGATTTGAATGATGATTGATGATGGTCAGGTCGTATTTGTCGTTGGGTCATTGTTGAAATCGTCTATTTGCAGCCATGTCTTTCCAGTACTTGACATGCTCGTCGCTCGTCGCTTCCTTTCCAGCTCCTGTCCATCGAGCTGAGAGGGCCCTCATGACGTCCCCGTGTGAGGCCGAAGGCATCGCCGCCTTGGCATTTTTCATATTCTCCTTCAGGTATACTATTGCACATTAGTTGCGTAGCAAGCACGCTCACATCCTGTCACGTACGCTGGAACCCGGAAGCAGCCTTCTGGCTAGTCTCGAAGAGAGGGGCAAGTTTACTACGGCAAGTACCACATACTTGTTTGGTGATGTCGATTGCTACATGGCTGTCAGGACAGGAAACAACAATACACGGCCGGCTTACACTTGGATTGCCGCTTGTATCTACATACTCTGTCAGCCTCTGCTCTCTTGGCTGCTACATCCCACTTACATCGCACCACACGTCGCGTTCGAGCACTTCCACTCGTACTTGTACTCGATGACATAGTTGTGACGCGTCTGAGATGAAGCAGGGTCGTCAGTTCCCACCGCACGAAGTTATCACTCACCGACTTACTGTGACCTCTATGTCGCCTCGTACATTCATGACGGCATTTGCCCTATTTTCTTCGTAAGCTCTTGTCAAGACATATCATGAGATTGGTCTCACCAGCTCTTGAAGTGCTTTCCATGTGGGTTCTTGAGATCGCCGCTGATAGCCCATGTGGCCACTGCGGAGGGTCAGCCTATTGCCCTTGCATGGTCTTATTGACAATCACTGACGGTGGCACATCTCATGAGCAAGAGTGTTCTTGATCCGAGCTGGAGAACTGGCATCAACTCTGCGCGGTATTGTCATGAGATTTCCGCTCACATTCATCTGTCAGCACCTTCTCCGAGAGCTCAATAAGATACACTGTCGAGAAGGTGCCGTCCTTGAGCACGGGTCTACTCCGTAACATTAGCATTGTATCGATGGAAGTTGGGCATCACACACCTTCTTTGTCTCGCCATGCCGGCAGTCTTCAACAGGCGACTATTCCACTCAATTGTCACTTTCGCACCCTTCTCCCCGAGCTTCTTTTGGAACACCGTTTCGTCCAGCTCCTTGAACAGGCTGCTCGCGATTTTCTCTCTCTCCTGGTTCCAGCCCTTCTTCGTCATGCCCGCCCTTGCCTTGGAAGAGGGAATGTCTGGAGGCTTGGCTTTGGTTTTGACTGTTTTTTTCGGCCTGTTTGGGATGTGGATGGGTAAAGGGTCGTCCGATTCGGAGTCGGTGCCATCGATGATGGTCAGGGACTTGATGTTCAAGTCTGAAACTTGAACCGGGCGGCGAGGTGGCGAATAGCGTAGAAAGTCATTCGTATCCTCGTCACCCCAGCTGATACCTCGAGTCCCTCCAGAGTTTTCACCATCCTCTGGCAGGTCTCCAACCTCTTCAATGTCTTGGGGCGGCTGTCTTGACTTCTTCCGCTCACTCCTGGACTGAAAGTCTTCTTCCTCCGACTCGTCCGATGAAGAAGCTTCGGCGTAGTCATTTGCGTCGCTATCATCGACGATGAAGTCTCGCAGGGAGCCGTACGAGTCGTCCTCGTCATAGTAGCCATCCTCCCCTTCCTCAACCTCCTCGTCCTCTACATCTGCAGCTAGATCCAGAAAGATGGAAGCATTGGGGCGCTTGGATTTGGCTACGGTCCTACCCATTGGCAGCCCCTCTGTCTCCTCTTCGTCCTCGGAAAGAATGAGCCCCTTGGCTTTGCCGGGGGTCCTGCGAGGAGTCCGAGTGGGCACCCAATCCTCTTCAGAGTCGCTCTCGCAGACTGAAGACGAGGCGCTCTTTCCAAATACGGGGGTAGGGGTGAGAGGTAAGGAAGAGGTGAGGAGAGAGGGAATCTTGGCGGAAGGACGGCGGGTTGGCCTGTAAAGACGCACAATAGGGTCAGACAAAGAACAAGGCGACATCGGCAGAGGACACTTACGAGCTCAGTACATCCCCTGCACTTGCCAAATCATCATCAGTATCGGCTCCAAAGCTCCTTCCTACTATCATATCTGGATCCCCAGTTTTCAGCTGGTCTCTACAGCTCAAAGTCAGTCAGACTCCTATGATGCCGGGCAATAGGACCCACAGGCCAAGAGACTCCACGTCCACCTCGTCTTCGCTGTCGCTGATAACGATGGCCTTCTTCTGAGGAGCAGGTGACTTCGTAAATTTGGCAATGGGTTTCTTGGCAGCTGGGGTGACGTTGGGCTTCGAACCGACCGAGTCGGGCTTCGCTGGGGACGGAGCAAACACGACAGTGCGGCGAGGGGAAAGAGGCATCTTACTGTCCGGCTTTGAGATAGGTACGATGGTGTACTCTGAAACAAAGGTAAGTAGTCATGAATGTCTATGAGTCTGATGTGCTCACTTCCTGCTTTTCGAGAAAGTGCCTTGGGTTTGGGGAGCACAAAGGCCTCGTCGAGGTCGTCCTCGGAATCGGAGATTACGATGATGGGGCGCTCCCTAAAGCCACCGCGGGACATGCTGAACAGTATTATCTCTCTGGTCAGTTCTGGATGTAGCAGATGCGACGGAGCCCTTTGTATGGCAATGGAACGAGGAGATTGAGGTGTTTGTTTGTGGAAGACGCGTAAAAACAGTCGCGTGCGGGACTGTCGCAGCAGCAATTAGGCGCGCGGAATGAACCAACGCACTGTACTCGTACATGTACAAGGCTCCGATAGCATTTGACATGCATGTACTTGAGCGCTGCGTACAATATCATACAATACATGAACAACTCCGGAAGCATCCATAAGTCTATTCCTCCTTCTGCTTCTCCTGGCTCCCCACCTCCACCCATCCCCATCTCCTCGTCAAAGCCCCTTGCATCAATCCGAAAAACACCGCCATCACTGTCGAGCTCATAACAATCACATTATAAGGCATCGAAAAGTCTGGCGTAGGGATATCTAGCAGTAGACGAGGACTGTAAACCCTCGCACGACCAGATTTCAGAACGTCCGAGATATTGTCCGATGTGGCGGCCAAATCTTCGCCCACGAGATCAAGGAGCGTCAGAACGCTGGAGGGTATCTCTTGGCCTCTTTCAGCATCGGGACGGTGGTCGGTGTACTTGAGCATGAGCTTTGTGAACGGTATCCGAAGTACTACCGTGGATTGTGGCGGAAGCGTGAGGGACAAGTGGACCGTTGTCGTTGATACTCGAGGGGGTGAGGAAGGGTAATGTGCTATACTCTGGACAAGGCCGTCTGTATCCTATCAGCTTGCGTCCATCCCCCATTATGAACCGCTTACCTGTCTGGCTCCTGTCCTCGGTGTAGACTTCAATCTCACTTATCCATCCCTTGACCCACCAAGGCCAGATTTCACTGTATACTGCCTCGCGAGATATGTTGGCATTGTTGGATAACTTGATCTGGAAAGTGCCGTCGGAAGCTTGAGAATCGACCACTGTCCGTGAGACGCTGATAGGTGGATGGTTGAAAGTCCGGGCTGATGAAATGGATCAGATCAATGGGTAGTAGAGCAGTCTGTACTCACGGTATCTGAACTTGTCCTCATCCCAAGATACGAGAATATCTTCTCCAGCCATGCCACTCTCTTTCAAGTCCCACTCTATGACTTCCTTCTCGATCCCGTCCATCCAAACTCGCTCGCTTGTCCCTTCAGGCTCAGCCTTGACCGCCTCATTTTCAGGCAATACCAGCCTCACGACAGAGCTTTCCGCCTCCGGACACGCTCTCGGTATCCGTTTTCCGAAAAGCTTCTTCAAGCTCGTATCTCTCTTGACGTGCTTGGTTCCGGCGCCTGGTGGTATGAGGTCGACCACTCCCTCCCACCAGCCGGTCCACTGTCCTTCCGGCTCTTCATCCGAAGGCATGACTACTTCGATACCCTCAGATTTGAATCCCCACGAAAAGATCACTCCTGGTTGGGCTAGGAGTGCCGAGAGGCCAGAAAGGCCTTTCGAAGGAAGCAGCGAGAGAAAAGGAGTCAGGTTCTCGGTACAAAGATTGTGATGCGGGTGGGATAGAAGGAAGTGTTTCATGTCTACACTGCGGTCAGCGAGTATCCATTGAAGTATGCACGACTTCGTACCGGACTCTTCTCCCCTTTGCGGAGGATAGACATCTCCAAAAGTTTTGACATTCTCCCCATCCTCCCTGGGCCCCAAGCCAGCACAAAAGAGCCCTCCAAGGGCATGCGTCACTTCCCCCCACCGCTGTTCTTCGTCTCCCTCGCCATTACGAACCCAGCCTCTTACTTCTCCCCCTCCTCCACCAGAACCGTAACTGAGAGGCCCCGAGAGAGAGGAGCGATGTGGATCCCACCGACCAGAGGTAAATGAGATTGTGAGCTCGGAGATGTTTAGATTTTGTAGCGGTAAAAGAAGGGAAGGAGGTGTCAAAGTATGGTGGGATTGTGCTGATCAGAGTCAGCAGTGAATCTACAGATGTATTGCACGCACATATGGAAGAAGAAGAATGTGACAGGGTGAAATAGGTGGTGAACTTGAGGAGGACGGAAAGCTTGCCGTCTGGAAGTGGATGCAGGGTGAGGGATTCGTGGAAAGAGTCGAAAGCTGACACCAGGGCCGGGGACAGGAGCCAGAGATGGGACAGTCGCATCCTGAACCGGGCAGTGAGAGGTGGACTGTGGGACGATTGGAAGAAGAATTAGCTGCACAATAGCTGGAAGACATTGAATTTGCGCGGCGACGCGGCTGGTTTGACATCGGCCTTCCGCAAGCACTGCAAATGGAACAACCTTCTACGACCACTATCTTCTATATACTTTTGGTTTTAACCTGACTGTTGTACACATCCTTTCAAGCCAAGTTCGGAATGTTTTCAGGGGTCACGTCCTCCAGAACTTCCTCTACGGCAGCTGCTGTCTCCAAGCTGTCTCTCCTTCATTAGAGGCTTTCAGATCAGCTTGGCCTTCCCCCGACCTTTGGCGAGCAGACTCAAATGCCGCCGAAAGAGCCGCTCCGTTCACGCTGAACGCGCTTTCAGGGGCGATCCTACTGTCGTCTGGATCAACCCACAAGAACGCGTTGTCCAAGACTTCTCCCCGGGGATTGACTTTGCTGAAAGTGATGGGAGCATCTTTCTTAAGCTCGCTGACCAGGGTCCTAGTACCATCACAATCGGTGCCAGAGAGCTCATAAAGCTCGCGGATAAGGACAGAGCTGGCGCAGATGCCGTGAGCTGTAGGCTTGAGATTTTGGTCTTGCCCGAGGTGAACGTTGACACCCACTGGTTCCAAGATGTTGGCGTACTTGGAGAGATACTGCGAGACCTCTTCCCCTTGATGAGACCCGCTCATCAAGGCTGATCCTTTTGGCCGACCAGTGAAAATCTCTCCCGTAGGAGTCATCGTCGTCCTCCGACTCGCAAAGTACTCTCCAAACCGAGAGTGTTGAGACTGTAGCTTTAGCTTACCAGCCTCAGGTGTCAATGAGACGTTATCCCCCATAGTAGTAACCACGAGGTACTGCTTTCCGTCGTCGGAAGCCGCCGTCCTAATGCTCATGGCAGGACCACTCAAGAGAGTACAAAAGAGCGACTCGGCCTTAGGAAGGTACGTGAGCTGAGTCGGGCCTCGCAACGAATTGGAAAGACTAAGGCCAGGAGAGGCTACTCGTGAAGCTCTGGAGATGATGCTCGACATTGTGAGTCTGTGCTTTTTTGAGTTGTGAGATTGTCGACCTGGAGCCGCCAAGGCTGGTTTTATACGTCTGGTGCTGCTCAGGCATCCTATCATATTCGTGACCCCTTATCACGTCCAAACTCAGCACGAGAGATCTAAATGATACCCAGCTTGTGAACCCTTGTGACGGCTCATCCATGGAAAGTACAGGCAGATAAGAGATCTGTTTGGTGCACATCTGTATCGTCACAGTGTGAAGCACCGTTATCGTCGTACTCGTTACGCTGTGTCGTACACCAAGGGATTCTTCTGGTCTCCAATTACTTACAAAGGGCATTGATACGTGTCACGTCTCTGGAAGATTATACATAGAACAAATTCAATATCTGCACTCCGCTTTACCACCAGAAAGGTATGCTATCGCGAGTGCACGTTGTTGATTTGCCGGCGGATCTTTGCCTGATGTCGAGAGCCGGCGAGATTGGGAGGCTTTTGCGTAGGAAAGTAATGCCAGGTAATGAAGAGCTTGGTCGATTGCTCTTAACGTATGGGGGAGCGAATTACATACAGACTCGAGATCCAAGGTCAGCTCACGCACGCATGGCCATGGGCCAACAAGCCAATGAATTTCTCAGCCAACAATTTCCCACTTTTCTCCCGCGCGTTCTATCGTCTCTTTCCTCTCGACATTTCAGAGTTCGGACTATCAAAACTCGGTGCCCCTCTCGCTATGTCTCTATTATTCAGAAGCGCTGTCAGGGCGTCATCGTCCCGCCTGCCGATGGCTTCCATCACCCCTGCTCTCCCCCGACGCAGACTACCCCTACCAGCCCAGAATATCACCGTCCCTCTTCTGTCGAGGTTCAATTCTTCGTTTCCCAAAGCCACGGCGACCACGCTCGAGCCTCAATCACAGGTTCAATCGCAGCTCGAAGAATCGCAGCGCGATAGCACCAGAGGCGCTGGTTTCGACATTAAAGACGTTCGCATCCCCGAATCCTCATCTAAATCCTCTCTCCAATCCCCCAACTCCCCGTCCGGCCTCTCCGATCCCACCTCCGAAGATTGGTGGATGCACTTTTCCTCCAAACCATCCGATGCGTCTCTTCATCGATCCTCGTCCGGACTGCCTTCGAAATACTTTTCGGGCAGGTCCATCTCCCTCACAAGAGGGGGCGACTTTATGCAAGGGTACAGGAGGCTGCAATCGGTGGTTCGATCGGGTAACATGAAGAAGGAAGCGAGGTTGAACGAGTTCTACGAAAAGCCGAGTCTCAAGAGGAGAAGGCTGAGGAGCGAGAGACACAGAAGAAGGTTCAAGGAGATGGTAAGTATCGCGCTCAAGACGTGGCAGGGTTGTGCTGACATCATAACGTAGGTGAGGACCAAGGTCCAACAGGCATTGGCCATGAGAAGCAAGGCGTAGCGAGCATATGCAATATTCATGGAATTGGTATCTACAGGCGACATTGCGCCATCACAAGACGCCAAAACTATATAGTACACTCCTATTCATCTCTCAGCTTGATCGGTGCTACGCTCTCGCTGTATTTGTTCTTATCCTTCTCCGTCCTTCTCCTCTTGTCAATCTCATACGCTTTGAAGGTCTCTTCTGCGTCTTCACTCATCTCCCAGCTATCTGTGTCTATGCCCAATTTCTTCAGCTCTGCCAGCCACAGCGGCAAAGTCGGCTCCCAAAGGGGGTGCACGTTCGTGGGGTCCACTGGGCAGGCCCATACCACCCTGTCGACTTCGCCGTGTACGGAGGGCGCTTCAGAACCAGCTTTCATAGCGGGCGTGATGTCGATGAAAGTAAAGATCTCTGGATACTTGGCGCAGAAGGCAGAAAGGACAGAATTGTAATGATTCGTCATCTTGACTCGTACAGGAAGAGTGCACAGTGGAGGGTCGTGTTCGAGTAGAGAGGTGATAGGGGTTTTTGTTGGGGATGTTGGGGAAGGAGCATACAAAGAGGGCTCAGTCGGAGCGGTTGAAACAGCACTCGCGGTGGTAGGCAGTGGCGAATCGACAGTAGATATCTCTGATCCTCCCGGGCTGACCTCGGGCCTAGTGACCGGATCGTCGCTGACCTTGAGGCTTGACATGCCGTCAATCCACTCATCACCCTTTCCACCTCGCCAAGTGTTTCTTCCCGCGGCATTCAGGCTTTCTACTGCCCTGTGTTGCTTCCCCAAATCTTCTTCCAGCCTTTCGACGTATTTTTCGGGTATACGGGGGAGCATGTGGTCCTCGATAAGAGGGGGCAGGGCACTGGCTATGAGAATCTTGGATCCAGCGCCTGTCGCTGCAGCAGGGTCGGCCTCTCGACGCTTGGAAAGAGAAACCAAGCGTTCGCCGATGGCGCTGTTCACAATCTCCCGCTCAAGCCAGCTAGTGTAGGCACCAGCGACGGCCCTGACGAAATCTTCGGGACCCAAAGCTGGACCGGCAGAGGACGTTTCGGTGGCAGAAGCCAGGATATCGGAAGAGGAAGTACGTCGAGGCTCAGATGGTCGTTCATCTTTGACTCCCGACAGGGCGCTATATGTGGAGGAGAGAGTTTCAATGGGTTTGTTGGCCAATTGCCACACGTAGTTGATTTGAAGATCGACCTGAAACAGATTAGATGACATTCTCCCTAGATAGACCGAACGTACATTACCGAAAACCAACATGGCTGATCGACCACGATTAGACTGATAAGCGTAGGGGGGAGGGACGAGCAGACTGTTCAATATGGGCAGCAGCTCTGTTGACACTTGCTTGATTGATTTCGGGTTGTTCAATCCCTACGGCTTATCAGCATCTATCGATCATAGCTCAATGTACTCACCTTCGCTGAAGCCCCTTTGAACGTCTTGATTTGTACATAATCGGCATTGACCAGTTTCATCGGTCCCACAAAGCTGTCACCAAAGACATGGAGCTGTGCGGGCGAATTCTGAGTGTACAGCTTGGGATTGCGGGGCCGAGAGGGTGAGTCGTTCCAGCTGTTGCCATTACTACGTCCCCCTCGAGGGGTATAGTAGCTGGAGGCGAAATGCGACCTCCCTGGGTGAGAGCTATCCGACCCAGATTGTGACCATTGGTTGTAGGACCTTCCTTGAGACTGGGGTGAACGGTTGTCCTGACTGAATGAGCTGGTGGACGAGGTGCCCTGGCTGCTGGGAGTTGTGGGAGTCGGTTTTTTGCGAAGATGGGGGGGTACGTAGGCGGGCATTGTAGGCTATTGTATTGTCGTGGGGATATCCCTACCGCTCTCAACAGATGTGCGATTGAAAAGTCAAAGATGCCATCGCGGTACATCGAAGAAGCCGGCGGCGACCGCCGCAGTGCCACAATGCCGCCGAAAAAGAGCAACTCGCAAGCAACTCGTCATCTCGACGGCTTTCTTCCAAGACAATCCACAAATTCATCTCATCCGTCTACACCCAAAATGGCTTCCATCAGCCCCGTCAGAGTCGCCGGCACTGTTGCCGCCTTAGCTGCCACCGGTTTCCTCGGTTACGCCGTCTACTTCGACTACCAGCGAAGGAACTCGGCTACCTTCAGAAAAAGCCTTAGTGCGCACATCTTTTCTCATTGTCTGGAGCAGATCAGCTGACCAATATATGTGGTATGATTAGAGAAGCAAGAGAAGAAGCTTGCTGCCGTTGCCGAGGCTGACGCCAAGCAGCAAAAGGAGAAGGACAACCTCGTATGGAACATCCTACATGAATCTGCCGATGGCATGCTGACTCACTTTGCAGGCTCTCAGGGAAGGTTTCCTTAGGACCCAGCTGGAGCCCGTTCCCAGCTCTCCCGACCAACAAGAGGCCTACTTTGCTGAACAGGCCAACAGCGGTGAACTCGCCATTGCCAAGGGTCCCGAGCACTACGTCGAGGCGGCTTTGCACTTCTTCAAAGCTTTGAGAGTCTACCACTCTCCTGGAGAGCTGCTTGCTGGTAAGCTATTCCTTTCCATATAGTAGACTCGCGGCGGAATACTAACATATGCAAAGTCTACCAGCGAGTCTGCCCTCCCGAGGTCCTCGAAATGGTTGTTCGCTTGATCGGTCTTTCTCAGGGCGTCGCCTCCTCTCTCGAGACTCCTGAGCGTGAGCCCGCCAGCGTCAACGACATTGACGACACTCCTTCTGCCTCCGCACAGGCTAAGGCCGTGGAAGAGGCCAAGGCCGCCGCTACTGCCGCTGTAGCTGAGGCTGTTGCCGAGAGCGAGAAGGAGAAGGAGGAAGAGAAGAAGGAAGAGGAGGAGGTGTCGAGCCCCAAGACTGCCAGCCAGGGAAGCGGTGCCGAATGGGAGAACGTGAACGAGAAGCCCGAGGAAGAGTCTGCCTAAGTATGAATGGAGACTGCGAGAGCGAATGTTGCGATGATGGGTATCAGAAGACAGGGGGACAAGCATTACGATCTTTTAGTCTGCTATGAGTTTGTATATTCAAGCAAGTACAATTTGGGAGGTCCATAGACAATCGCGAGCTACATCGGGTTTACAGAGTTTGCGCATCACATCTCATATCATATGAATAACCTGTAGCCTTTTTGCACCTCGGCATAGTCTATCGCTTCTCGTCCAGGCAAGTGTCCTATATACGTGCTAGGTGCCCCTCGTAGATCTACAGGAGGATGGTCGCTTTGTAGTTCTGATGAGTGATCCAGTCTGCTACATAACCCGCTTTCTCCCCTTGATGGCACGCACTTCGTCACTGAACCACTGTGACCCCTGTCAATAGCTGATGTACCAATAAGTTATGCCAAGTAGGTCGGAACTGTACCCAGCAGGAAGTGCTGGTACTATTGTCACGACCTAGCTGGAACGCAGCAGGAAAGGGACTGGAAAAGGGTTTTGAAGAGGGGAAAAGACCTTTTCGGTATTATCGCATGGAAAGAGTAGACAACATGATATGAATTGAATATGTACACCGCGAGTCCTTCAACCATCCACACAACTCAGCGCCAATGCCACCTCAGGGATTTACTACGTGTGACAACTATCCCGGGCATTGGAGGGCTTGGTCGTACGCGAGATGATCTGAACAATGTGTGAATCATGGCATCGAAGAATCCTCTCGGCGGATCAAGGATGAAGTACGAAGAAAAGTGAAAGTAAAGCAACACAAGTCGAAAGATAGAGAGTAGCAGACGAGGGTTCAACGCGTAAGAGGCAGAGAAGGGGAGCATGGAGGCTATAAGTAGTCAAGAAGAAGGAAGAAGAAGGGCCTTGAATTCAATCAAAATAATATATACCTTTCCGATGGCTTGCCACAAGGCACACGTATATATGGTTGAGAGCCGTTTCTTCCCATGCTGCTTGCAAGCGTGGCAGTCGTTCAGCGAAAGATGAAGTTGACGTGCAGTAGTGTAGTCAGCCAGTCCAAAGGCAGGACTGTACAACCTCTGGCCCTTCGGCGCAGTAGCCCGTGCAACGGCCACAGCGAATGTCCGCTGCGATAGGAGTCCTCTACGCATTGAAGATTATAACCTGGCAGACTTGCCAGACCTCGACCATTGCCATGCACTGAAGCTGGAAGTGCTGTACGGTTGTATAGGAGGGCTGATGAGATGTGAGCTGTGTCAGTCAATTGATCGTGTTGAAGATGCCTGTCCCACGTCATGCTGCCCATTTGAGACCTGTTACTTCTCAAGTTCCCGAATCACTTTCAAGTTTCGTGCCCCTCACCACTCGCAGACTACAAGGTGCACAAGGCTCTCATCATATACATACATTCTCATGAGGCGTCTCATGGCCTCCACGGTTGACGGCCCTCTTCGGCCTCGTCGGCCTCGTCGCGTCCTCCCTCCTCATTTCTGCGTTTCCTCCATGCCATGCTCTGTCATACCGCGGGCCCCGGGGAAGCCCGGGAACACCGCGTTGGCCCCCGAGTGCCCCCATATGGCGCACGCTTGCAATCCCTTCTTCTCCCGCAAAATTGACCAAAAACGCCCCTAACTGACGCCCACCCTCAGCTTCTCCAGAGCTTCTCCACAAGTGCCACGCCCGCAAAACCCCATCTTCCCCTCAGCTCTCCACCCGAAGGCCTTGCAATTTTCGGACAAGACCGAAATGCACGGAAAAATGGTGGCCAGTTTAGCTCACATGTGCCTCCAGGCTCCAACTGCCGCAGAGCTTGGGACGGATGGTGTGAAAAACCCTGCCAAATGCCGCAAAGGGCCGCTCGTAACCTGGCTTACCCAATCATCCTGAGCCATGAGGAGCAAATGCTCGATCCGAATTCGGCCGTTAGACAGGCACTTGGAAAGAATCCGCCTAAGCCGGCGGCAAAGGCAAAATAGACCCTTATTTCCTGATATTTGTGCCTTTTTCCCCTGAGTCAGTCGTTTATCTTGTCGGGACCTGTCGCTCTTTGCCACCAAAAATCTTCCAAATCTCACCAAACAGCTCTGCAAAATGCAAATGGGCCAAACCGATGCGCTGTCTTGGGGGTCCGACCACCCTCCACCCCGGTCCCCGCCCCCGGGGAGAAGCGAATGGGGAAAACCTTGGACCCTTTTCGAGCTCCCCAGGTTCGTTTATATATATATATAGGAACGTGGTCTTGCCTGGGCGACGTGTTTTCTTCTTTCTTTCCAGTCTTCAAACATTCATATCTCTTTTGTATACTCACCACCCTTGCAGTTCGGTCACTGGTAGTCTTTTGGCTTATCACACAACTTAGATTCAATAGACTCCTAGATTCTGGCTTTTAACAGCCCCCCCCCCCCCACCTCCACCAACCGCCTCACTCGATCTTTTTATATCCACACCGTCATATAAGATCGACAGCCAGTCAAAATTGATTTGTCCTTTGCCTCTTTACAATCTATAACTATCCACTACTACAACTTTCGACAGCTCGACACCCACCTTCATCATGCCCGGTAGCGACAAGAAGGCTTTGATCCTATGTCTCTTCCAGAGTTTTGCTGGTCTCCTCTTCGGTTGGAGTAACTCTGAGGGTTCTGGTCTGGTACGTCGCTCGCACCATATCTCTCTCACGCCAGCGCGCTGACACCTCTCTAGTTCTCCATGTCCCAGTACCAGTCTCGATTCGGCACATGTGACGCCTCTGGCATTTGCTCCCTCAGCACCACCCGTCAATCTGCCATCACTGGTCTCCTCTCGGTTGGCGCCACCATTGGTGCCGTTGGCTCTGGTTCCATCGCTGACAGGGTAAGTCATATCTCACACCGGACTCGACTTGGCGCTGCATCCATCGGTCCTCTGTTGTTTGTGCAGTTGGTGTGGTTCATGCTGACACCTCCGCAGTTCGGTCTTCGTACCACATGTCTTGCCTTCATCTTCGTCTACCTGATCGGTGCTGCTATTGAGGTGCGTTTGTCGGACGCCTCTTTTTTCCTCAATGCTGACGTCTGGTAATCCCACTCCCAACCGTCACACCCATCCCTGCCGATTTTTCACCCTGCTTATGTGTCGCACCAACAAATTCCTCACACGTCATAATCACTCCACCGCCCACAGACTTCTGCCATGAACGAGTATGGTCAGATCCTCGTGGCCCGTCTTCTCACCGGTCTCGGTGTTGGTGCCACCTCTGGTCTCGTTCCCGTCTTCCAGGCTGAGGCTTCTCCTCCCCGATGGAGAGGTCTCGTCACCGGTTCTTTCCAGCTTTGTGTCACTCTTGGTATCTGGGGTGTCGCCATGGCGAACTGGGGAATGAGCAGTCACGCTGGTGACATCTCGTGAGTCTTCCACCTTCATCCGCGATGCATCGGAGGCGCCATGTTGGAGATGGGCAGAGATCAGGGCTGACGTGTTTCGTAGTTGGAGAATTCCCGTTGCTCTCCAGATGGTGTGGGCTACTCTCTTGTTCATCGGTTTCGTCCTTTCTCCCGAGTCTCCCCGATTCCTCGCCAAGAAGGGCAAGTGGGACCACTGCAGGAAGAACCTCGCCAACCTTCGTGGTCTTGCCATCGACGACCCTGAGATCGATGTGAGTTTTGCTCCCCTTCCGGCCCTCACTGACCCTTACTGTTCGACCTGTGCTGACTTTTTGAAAGGCTGAAATGAAGGAAGTTGAAGCTGCTACTATCAAGGACCAGGAGCAGGGTGATGCCCACTACGCTGAATGCTTCTCCCCCAAGGACCGTATTCTCTGGCGTACCATGATCGGTCTCCTTATCCAGGCCGGTCAGCAATTGACTGGTATCAACTTCTTCTTCTCTTACGGTGTCCAATTCGCCCAGACTGCCGGAATCGACAACACCTACGTCTTCCAAATCATTCTCGCTTCCGTCAACGTCGTCTTCTCCTTCCCCGGTGTCGTTGCCGTTGACAAGGCTGGTCGACGACCCGTCCTTCTTTACGGTGCTGCCATCATGTTTATCGGTCAGATCGTTGTTGGATCCGTCTCCAAGGCCTACCCCGATGACAAGATTGCCGGTGACATCCTCATCGCCTTCACCTGTATGTTTGTCGCCTCGTTCGCCGCCTCATGGGGTCCCGTCGCTTGGGTCGTCTGTGGTGAAGCTTTCCCTATCCGATTGAGTTCTCTGTGTGTTACTCTTGTAAGTCTTTTGCCTTGAGCAAGTTTTTTCGTCCGCTTACACATCTCTCTCAGTGCACCGCTTCCAACTGGCTCTTCAACCTCATCATCGCTTTCGCCGCTCCCCAGATCCAGGCCATCATCGGTACCGGTATCACCTTCATCTGGGCCGGTTGCCTCGCCCTCTTCTTCGTCTTTGTCTTCTTCTGTGTCCCCGAGACCCGAGGTTTTTCCATCGCCGAAGTCGACGCCCTCTACCTCTCCCGAACTCCCGCCTGGAGGTCTGGCAAGTTTACCGAGGACCAGGCTCAGACCGCCAAGAGGGCCAGCGAGAAGCACTACTCTCGATCCGTCCACAACGAGAACGCCGCTGTCAAGGCTTCTGCCGCGACCTCTGCTGCCAACTCGGACGACGGCAACATGGTGTAAGAAAGAGAATTGTGAGAGCTGCCTTTGAGGAGTGGGGCGATATGAAGAAAACAGACGCGAGAAGGGATTGTAATTGAATGTTGTGCTGTATCATCCTCCCTCCCTCATCGATCTCGGTCCTGTCAAGGTTCTGAGGTTCGATTCATTCTACCACACAATTGCATTTTTGATTCTCTTCAATACTATTATTATTATGGCTACCATTACAGGATATTCGCTTGGTCCGCATCATTCCATACCCTTGTTCACATTGCTCAGTACAAGTACAAGTCTACCGTGTCTCTATATCGTATGTCCAATGCACGGATCGTGCATGTCGAATCAACTCTCGCACAGTCATACAACCAATGCATCTTTGTAGTACAAATAGAGACAGCCGTTTCCCAAGATCCATGTCCATTCACAGTCCCTTTCCCTTTTTCCAATTCCGCGCCATCCTCCAACAGATCCACGCCCCTGTAGCCGCGCTGACACCCCCGATCCTGAATATCAGCCCCACCGCATCCGGGGACGATACCTCGGGCTCAATCTCTCTCTTCCAAGCATCCAGCCCCCTCTTGAGTATTTCGCCCACGGCATCTTCCACTTCAGCCGCAGCAGTGGTGTTGGTCATGGGGACGGTACCGGGGTGATGGACCGGTAGTGTGCGGTCAGGCTCCATGAGCCAAAAGATGACGGCACTAAGCACCGTCACGATGAATTGTGGCAAGACCAAGAACACATTGTGGATACCCAATATCACACCTGCCTTGTCTGCTGTGCTCTCCTCTGCTCCTGCTTCTGGCGAGTCTCGACCGGCACGGGAGAAATGGGAAGAGGTCGAGTTGTGCCGTAGATGTGAAGGTGAGGTTGTCGGGGAAGAAGATGAGAAATCGTCAGAGTGCCGAAGGACGACGGTGGAGCCTAGCGGCGGCTCGACTGGCTGCTCGCCCTGTATCACCAGGGGTGAAAGTCCACTCTGGAGGGAAAGCGACAGCTGCGGCCTGTGTCCCTTTGGTTTCTTCTCGTCTGGGCTGGGCGGCGCACTAGGACCGCGTGAGGGATTGGGTGATGTGCGTGAAGGATACCGGGAGTAGAGAGGGGTGGAACGGGATGAAATGTCGGAGCGGTGGAGTGGGGTGGAATCTTCCTCTTCCTCATCTTCCTCGCCAGCTTGGAAAAGGGTGAATAAAGGGCCTACTTCGGAAGAAGCCATTGGGGCGAGACCGATGGTCTCATCGCGAGGGGCGGTGCCGTCGATGAGGATCAGCTCGCCGAGGAGAGAGTAGGGCGCCCATTGCGATAGAGCCCAGCAGAAGCCTGTTGTGGCGATGACGGCGTAGGCACCGTGTACAGTGGTAACAAACCTGTTTCATCAGCTTTGTATCTAGGATGAGACGGAAAAACACTCACCAGCTGGCAGCCATAGCCCCGGCAAAGACGAATTGCGATACCCACCAGACCCTAACCAACGTCAAGCCCTTGATCGGCAAGCCCCATTCCCCACTTTTCACGTCGTCTAGCAGGTCTTTCAGCCTGATGATGGTCTTTTGGGTAAAGCTGCTCCCGGCGAAACCTTGGCGCGTCCGTTTCCAGGTAGCCGAGCTGGGTGGAGCTTCAGACATTGTGCCGTTGATCCCAAGACCGATGGGGGCATACTGGCCGCCTGTCTGAGCTTCGGCTTGTATCCCTGATTCGGATACGAGGAAAGGCATGCCGATGGAGGTGACAATGTTGACTAATGCCTGTAGTAGGAGGGCGCGAGAGCCAGAACGGACGGCGTCTGATTCAAAGACGGCCTGGTCGATCCCTTCCGAGGGTACGGACGCTTTGTAAATCTCGGACACCCAGACGGTGGTAAAGAAGAGAATAGGAAACCATCCCAGGCTGCTGATGTCAGACAAATCTCGAAGCCGACAATGCGACGTACGAAGCAAAGAATTGGATCAAGCAGACAGTCCGGATACCGGTGGGCAAAGAGAACATGTTTTCCCAAATAGCTTTGAGGTTGGATTTCAAACCACTTTGAGATTGAGGCCGGCTGATTGTCAGCATGATCCAACGATACGACAACTTACTCGTCCCGCAACAAGACTCGCTCAGAAACAGCCCAAGAGGTAAATGTATGGGTTACCATCAGGATGATGCTCGTAATGAACGACAGGATCTGCAGCTGCGTCTTGCCTAGCCACGGCAGCGTTCCCGTCAAGTCCAGTGTCCCTCTAGCTCTCTGTCAGCACCCCTTTGACTGCTACTGCGCCGTAGCACTCACACCCAAAACCCAGCAACACTGCCAAATCCAAACATTCTCCCAGCCCAGGCAGACCCTTCCTCCTGCTCCTTTGGCGGTAGCGTATCCACCACCAGCGCCCTGTCCGTACTCATCACCGCATTGATACTGAAATCGACGCAGTAGATGGCCCATACTGCGAGCGCGATAGCCATCCACTGCCCAGCACCAAAGAAGCCCGCAATCTCGCGGGTCCATCCCAAGAGCATCATGGCAGAGACACAGACTGCACAGCCAGCCAGCATGAACGGCCGTCTTCTGCCAAGAGCTGAACGGGAGCGGTCTGCAAAGATGCCTACGAGGGGCTGGACGATGAGGCCGGACAGCGGGCCGGCCATGAAGACGAGGGACATGAATGATTTTGAGAGGCCGAGCTCGAGGAGGTATGGGGAGGCGTAGCCCATTTCTATCGACCACACGCACTGGCAGGGGTAAGCTATGGCAGGAAAGATACGGCGACGCACCTGTATGCCGAGCATGCCGACTGTGAGCAAGGGCCGGCGTGCCCACGGTGGCCCCTTGACGGCGGGAGTGCCGACCCACTGCACGGGATGGGCGTCCTCCCGCTCCCGCTCCGTGTCTGCGGGGAAGAAAGCGGCGCCGGTCATGGTGATGCGATGGAGACGTCCTCGTTTGACCCCGTCGCGAGAAAGCAACAACAGCCCACGTGGCCTGTGTACGTAACACCATAAAAACATTTTCTCCCGCTGCACCTCCTCGATCCTCTTCCATCTTTTCTATCACCAACCCTCGCATTCCAAACCCAAGGCCTAGGATCTTCGTGTGAGGTCATCCTTCTTATCTGTAACCCAAACAGCCATCCGAAAAAAAAAACAAGTCATCAACCAGAATGGCTTCTCAACCCAACCCCAAGGCCTTCCCTTTGGCCAACGCCCAGCTCACCAACCAGGTACGTACGGATGTCATGTTGGGGGAGTGGTAGTGGATGGAGGGGGATTAGAGGAACGCGGATGCATGGTGCAAAAGACGAATGCTAATCAATTTCACAGATCCTCGACTTGATCCAGCAGGCGCAGCACTACAAGCAGCTCAAGAAGGGTGCCAACGAGGCCACCAAGACCCTCAACCGAGGTATCTGCGAGTTCATCGTCATGACTGCCGACGTCGAGCCCATCGAAATTGTGCTCCACCTTCCCCTCCTGTGTGAGGACAAGAACGTGCCCTACGTCTTCTTGCCCTCCAAGACTGCCTTGGGCAGGGCTTGTGGTGTCTCTAGGCCCGTCATCGCTGCCAGTGTGACCACCAACGAGGCTAGGGAGTTGAACGCTCAGATCCAGGCTGTCAAGGTGAGTTTTCTACACGTTTTGATGTAGGGTAGAAGGCTAATGAAATCTGTAGAACGAGATTGAGAAGCTCCTCATCTAAGTTTTCGACTTGTCTCTGGCGTCATGATGGTGTGGCGAAAAGAAGTATTTGAGACTTTAGCTAGTCTCGATGCACATTCTGTCTACTCTACTTGAAACTTTTGTTACTTTAAACTTTTGTTGCCACTTGAGGACATGAGCCTTCTCTGGCTGCCTTTTCTGTCCCAATTGCAACTTTCCATCAAGCGTTCTATCCACAAACCTCACGGTACACAAACGTCCCTCCTGGTTCTCTATTTGCAAGGTACATGTTCATATTTGTCTCTTGCACTTTGATCATAATTGCTCAAAACACCCAAAGTGTTACGCCTGGCCTGACAGGCGATGTATCCCAGCCCGACCTTTCGCTTCGTCACCCACCAAGATCTTCCAGTCACTTCAGGCCAAGTAAGCACAGCTCTGCGAGTCCTCGGTCCAGCCATCGTCAGCATACTCGTCCAGAGCTGCACCGAGTGGCGGACGTCGCCGGCGGCCGAACCTCTTGCCAAGGTCTCAAGGACCGACTGAGTCGCACCAAAGTCGCAGGCATCAACAAATCGACATCGCCTCGCTCGTCCTATCCTATAGTACCCCCTCCCTCCCATTCCCCTCGTTGCCCGCCACTCTATACCCTCCAAACACACTCCAGACAATGGGAAACTGCTTCTCCGACCCCTCGCACCCGCCGAAACCAAAGGGCAAAGGCCAAGTCCTCGGTTCTGCCCCCGCCCCCTCTTCCACTTCTCACCAACCGCAACAGCAAGGATACTCGCAGAGCACAGCGGGGTCTCAGAGACAAGGTGGAGGGAGGATCAATAGCCAGCCAGCGCAGAGTTTGGGAGGAAGTGTGAATGGGGGAGGAGGAGGGGATGCGAGGGATAGAGCGTTGAGGGCTGCTGAAGAGAGAGCCAAAGCTGTGCGTTTGCATCTCCATTCGATTATCACTGTGGCCTTGGCACTACGATCTTGCAACACAGAAATATAAAGATGGGGCTGACGACGATGATCAGGCGCAAGGAAAGGGAGTGCACGCTTCCAACCCCAAAGCCGGGCAATTATCCGGCAAGCTGGCGGCACAAGGACGGACGAGTGCTGCTCAAGGGAACCAGAATGAGCGAATGATGGTGAGCTTGATACACTCAGCCAGGGCTGGGGCCGGGGGTCAGCGCTGACACGATGTTGGTTGTTCAGGACGCGGGGCAGTGGAATTGAGGGGTCGATCTGCCACATCAGGCATCAGGGGGATTTCCGGGAGAGCGGATGCCTTTGAGGTGTCTACACGAAATGATCAGGGCAGGTGACTGAAAGAGATTGGAGATAGGGACTGTAATGATTTGTGGCCAGTTGTACTATACATGGACCTCGTATTTTGGCAGGAGAATGGCGCGAAATGGGGGACGGCTTTCCCGGCTGAACTGGATATGTGGTCATGGGACACAGGGGCACGTATCTGGGGTCCGTATGCGCAGATCGCCCCGTTGTCCATGCTGCATGCTACCAAGCTTTGCAAGGCCGTATCTCGCTCGCTGTATCGGGCGGGAAGGCGAGATAAGGAGGGAAAAGGAGACGAGGAAAGGAGTTGACTGACCGCGAGATGAGATAAGGGGTGAAAGGAAATCGTACACCGTCACCGGGGCGGCAGGCGCATCTCTTATCGGCCCGGTCACAACATATATAGCAGCGATGCATCCACCACATCCAGCATCCAGATTTCCCCAAGACCCCCCCCTTACGCCCCAAAGCCAACAGGTGAGTGCTGGGCCATCCCCTCTTCTCCATTCGCTGCACCGGCTCTCTCCCGGCCACCGGTGCGTCGTGCCAGCGAGCATACTTGCGTTCCCCCCCGATACATCCCCTGCCCCGTCCATCTGCATACTCTCCATCCCGCATGGACATCATCTCTACCACCTTCCGAGCAGAGCCCCAGAGACAGGGACAGCCGAGCTCAAGCAGGCGACGAAGGCCCGCGCTTAGTGCGAGTCGATTAACGGATCGATAACACTTTTCGTTTCTTCGTCTCTCTCCATCCTTTCATCTTCTGTCGCTGACGCCTACTCTTTTCATCTCCCTCCATGCCCCGTATCGCCCTCCCTCGCCTTCCCCTACGCCAGCAGTCCAGCCGACGCACTTTTACATCCACCATGGCTCCTTTCAAGCCTGCCCTGTCTATCGACACTATCAACCCCGCCGTCCTTTCCGTCCACTATGCCGTCAGAGGCGAGCTCGCTACCAAAGCCGACAACTATGTCCAAGTCCTCAAGACCCCCGCCTCATCGCCAGGCGGTATCTCCCGGTCCGACCTGCCGTTTGAAAAAGTCGTCACTGCCAATATCGGCAACCCCCAGCAGGCCGGGCTGAATCAAGTGCCCCTGACGTTCTGGCGCCAGGTCATCTCGTTGCTCGAATACCCCGATTTGATGACGACACACAAGGCGTTGGCAGAGCAGATCTACCCGGAAGATGTGCTGGAACGGGCCAAGAGTCTGTACAAGGAGATTGGCAGTGTGGGCGCGTATACGCATTCCAAGGGGGTGCTTCAGATCCGGGAACGAGTCGCCAAGTTTATTGAATGTGAGTCTATGCCTTCCTCTTGTGGGATGTCACTGACAAATTTGTAGCGCGCGATGGCTACCCCGCCGACCCCGAGTCCATCTACCTCACTGCCGGTGCTTCTGCCGGTGTCTCCTCCATCCTCGGCGTCGCCCTCCGCAAGGGCGATGGCTGCATGATCCCCATCCCCCAATACCCCCTCTACACCGCCACCCTCGCCTACCTCAAAGCTGAGCCTTTACCCTACTATCTCTCTGAGGCCGACGACTGGTCTATGAGCCACGACTCGCTCTTGAAGAGTGTGGAGGAAGGCAAGAAGGCTGGGACACCCGTCAAGGCATTGGTCATCATCAACCCTGGAAACCCCACGGGTGCTTGTCTGAGTTTGGAGGCGATGGAGGCCGTGGTCAAGCTTTGTTATGAGGAAGGCATCCTCCTCCTCGCGGACGAAGTCTACCAGGCCAACATCTACGACCCTTCCCACCGCCCATTCATCTCGTTCAAAAAGGTCCTCCGGAGCATGCCTGAAGAGATTGCAAACAGCGTCGAGCTTGTGTCGTTTCACTCTATCTCGAAGGGTGTCAGCGGAGAGTGTGGAAGGCGAGGAGGGTACTTTGAGTGTGTCAATATTGATAGCGAGGTGATGGGCCAGGTGTACAAGATGGCTAGTATCTCTCTGTGTCCCCCGGTCTCTGGTCAAGTAAGTCCTTGTGTCCTCTCGGCGTGATTTCCAGCTCACTCTTGCAGGTCGGTGTCGACCTCATGGTCTCTCCTCCCAGCGAAGGCTCTCCTTCCTATCCCCTCTGGTCCCAAGAAACCTCCCTCATCCACAACAATCTCAAATCCCGCTCCTTCCTCATGGCCGAGCATTTCAACAAGATGCAAGGCGTCACTTGCAACAATGCCGAAGGCGCCATGTACCTCTTCCCCAAGATTGACATGCCGGAGAAGGCGGTGGCCAAGGCCAAGGAAATTGGAAAGGAGGTGGATGTGATGTATGCTTTGGACCTTCTTGGTGAGTCTTCTTATGTTTATACACGAGACAGAGGCTGATGGGGGTATAGATGCCACGGGTATCTGTGCGGTTGCCGGCAGTGGGTTTGGACAAGAACCGGGGACGTATCATCTCCGAGTCACCGCGCTGTGCCCAGACACTGCCGAGTTTATTGGCAGGTTTGAAAAGTTCCACCAGGACTTTATGGCCAAGTATGCCTAAAAAGAGCCTCTGGATGAGAGGTCAGGATTGTTTTCATAGGGTTGCGCCGGGGCATCGACGGTGGTCGATTTGTAGTCAAGATACTCTGACAGGAAAGGTGAGAGAGGAGCTGGGAAGAAGGGCGAAAGAGAGAACTGTGTATTATGGAAGAAGGCTATACTCTACATTTTTGTTCATGACATGGACTTGGGTTTATCATCCCTCGATTGGAAACAACACCCTGTTGACGCTCTTTCAAACCAAACGGCGGCCCGGTAGGGAAGTCGTGGTCGGGAGGGAAAGTCTCCGAATGCCGAGGTGACAATTGACAGGTGTACGACTCACCGCCGTACGAGTACGTACGTATGAGAGTCGACTCGTCACCAGCTCAAAGTAATGCAAACAACTGCGATGGGTTCCGCATCCTTCGATAATCACCAAACATCTCGTATCTCTAGCAGCCATGCCACCTGCTCTTTATAAACCACAAATACTCTTCCCTGTGGTCGTGAAAGGATTCGAAGGCAAGTTTCGTGCCGAGGACCATGCTTGTTACCCTTCTCTCCAGGGTGCGGACGCTCTGCAAGAGGCTATCCGACTCGCTCGCCGTATACTGTTTTTGGATGTCGGCAAGAACGCTGTCTGTTCTGCTCTCGCCAGCTCGGAACCCGGGCCAATCTCCTGCTCTTCGATTGAACCCGCAGAGCTGCCCCCCCCCGAGCTCGCAGACACCACAACTAACGAGGATATCCAGAGTCGAGTCGCCGCTTTCCAAACATATGGCCAAATCGATGTTGCCATCGAACTGTGTCGTATATGTGGCAGCGGTGTTTCTTTCATTACTTTTCTTCCATTATTGGTCCCTACTGTGTATCTTTGAGTTTCTGGCTCTCTGCATGGTCTTTGATTTTCCATGTCGACCAGCATCATGTGTCCTGTCTCTTGAATGATTGGTTCAACTAGAAACGTCCTCCTTCTGGCGTGGGTGCTTACGCGAGAGCAACCATAGAACAGCGGAACAGCGCAGGCACTGCAGCAATTGGCAGCTGCGGTCTTTGACGTCCCGAATAGGCATCCATGGACGCGCACCAAAGGGGATCCGAATGCATAGCTGTTCCCTCGGGACAGCATGCACACACTGAGTCTGAATGCGAATTGCAAGAGAAGATGGAATTTACCGATTTCGGCTGTGGCCCCGTGGATCTGTTTACGCTTTTCACTCAGGGTCCCGAGGCACGCGCCAGGAGATCTAAAGTTCAAGTTTCTCTCGCCAGAGTTATAGATCGCGTCCATCTCTTTCATCTCTCTTCCCACCCACCAGAATGGCCCCCTACACCCCCGCCTCCTCGCGCCCCCATACCCCCCTGGGCCTCTCCCCCAGAGGATCGTACACCAACCTCGCCAGCGCTGCGTACGAGGCCTCCACGCCTTCCGGGCTCGTGTCGCCCGGGGGCAACGCGCTCGGCGCGATCAACGACGAAAAAGACAGGATGAGGGCCGAGAGGGAGGTGCAAGAGGCTTTGCAAAAAGCGCAGGATGAGGAGGAGAAGGCCAAGAAGCAGGAGGCTCCTGCTCCTGCGGGCTCGCCGGGTGAGTTTCAATTTTGATGGTGGCTATAGAGCGGACTCTGATATTTTGACAGTGCTTCCTATATTGGCTTACTGCATGGCGTCCATCATGATGACCGTTGTCAACAAGTTTGTCGTGTCTGGCAGGCAATTCAACATGACGTTCCTTCGTACGGACTAGCCTCGCCAGCCTTGGAACGAAGACTGACAGCTGTCCTATAGTCCTAGCCATTCAGTCCTTCGTATGCGTTGCCTGTGTCTGGGTAGCTAAGCGGATTGGCATGATCACTTGTAAGTTGTCCTGGCACGTCCACAGCGACTGTGAGCTCACAAGTGTGCAGTCCGTGATTGGGATATCACCGATGCTAAGGCTTGGTTCCCCGTCTCTTCACTTCTGGTCGCTGTCATATACACTGGAAGTAAATCCCTCCAATTCCTTTCTATCCCCGTCTACACGTAAGCTATCTGCCATTCCTTTATGGTTACTGCTGACATTGCAACAGTATCTTCAAGAACCTCACTATCATCCTCATCGCCTACGGCGAGGTCCTCTGGTTCGGAGGTAATGTCACCCCCTTGACCCTCGTCTCATTCTTCCTCATGGTCGGCTCTTCCGTCATCGCCGCCTGGTCTGACATTTCGTCCACTCTTGCTCGTATATCGGCTGGTATGGCCGTGGTGGACCCCACGAGCGGTGCCGATGTGCCTTTGATCGCGCAGGCGGGTCTCGGCGGGTTCAACGTGGGATACGCTTGGATGGCCATCAACTGTGCTGCTTCTGCCGCCTACGTACGTCTGTCTTTCATTGAGCTGGACCGTAGCTGATGAACAATAGGTCCTCTTCATGAGGAAGCGAATCAAGGTCACTGGCTTCAAGGACTGGGACTCCATGTTCTACAACAACCTGTTGTCTATCCCCGTCCTCTTCATCGCCTCTCTTGTCGTCGAAGACTGGTCAGCTGCTTCCTTCTCCCGCAACTTGTGAGTTTTCCTCTGGACCTGATGAAATGTAGACTGATGTCTTTGCAGCCCTATCGAAGGCAGGACCTTCCTCCTCTCCGCCATTGCCTTCTCCGGCGCTGCCGCCGTGTTCATCTCCTACTCCACCGCCTGGTGTGTCCGTATCACGGGATCCACCACCTACTCCATGGTCGGCGCTCTCAACAAACTCCCCGTTGCCGCGAGTGGTATCCTCTTCTTTGGCGACCCCGCTTCATTCGGCAACTGTGCCGCCATCGCTGTTGGAGGAGTCGCGGGACTTGTGTATGCCGTGGCCAAGATCAATCAGGGCAAGGAGAAGGAGAGGGAGAAGAACGGGAGGAAGGGAGACAGCAAGGTGTAAAAAAGTGGCAAGGGTGCGCCACTTGTGTGGTTGCAGAGTATTTAGTTTTGTAGCTGGGCTTTCAATGCCTGTCGTGTAGTCTTGGTACGAATATAGATGCGTTATATGCATGTCATTTCTTTCAGATCTTTCTCGTGTGTGACCGGCAACACAGGCTACAGCACTCTTGCCTTATTGACACTCAAAGTCCGATTCTGTTCAGCGCAATATCTGCGCCGTATGATGCTAAATCATGATAAATGTTCATACCTCCGAGCTCTACTCTACCGTCATCATTAACGTCTTCCTGGCCCAAATCCACCCTGGTAGCCCCTCTGGTATCCTCCCTGGTAGTGACCATTGTTCTTCCCCACAGTTTGACTGGCAGACCTCGAACCATTCTTCGGTAGCTCCAAGGTTGGGGGATCTACGCTCATCCGGTGTCCTCTACCTCTTTTCTTGACACCGGGCTCGTCTTTGCCATCGTCCACCATTTCCACCTCAGGCACACCCGTCTTCTCCACAATCCTGCTCCTCTCTTCGGCAGAGGATGAAGTCACGCGCGATTTGTTTTGTGCGGCAGCATTGAGTATAGAAAGCTCGCTATTTTTGTGAGCGCCCAGGAAAGAGACAGGTCTGCGAGGTTCATCCGGCTTGGGAGAAGGCCCAGGGGTAGGGAGGGGAGAGTTACTGGCAATGCCGCGGATTGAGAAACTCTTGGCAGGCGGTGGGGCATCAGCCGGCTCTGGGATAGGCGCTGAAGCCTCGACAGAGGTGGAAGATGGGTCAGAAGGGAACGGGGCTGCCTTCTTCTTGTCAAGTCGGTCGAGAAGGCGGCCCTTTGCTGGAGGGGCCGAAGGCCGAGGCGCCGTCCCAGACTGACTTTCGCTGGCGGGAGGACGTGGTGGCGCATCAGGAGCCGACGTGGGAGGAAGAGACGGACTATCCCTCGGCCCCAGTCTGGACAGTAGGCTAGGGACCGCCCCGCTTGGAGCAGTGAGCCTTTCCTCCTTCTCTTTGGTCTCCTTGATCTCTGACTTGCGTTTCTTTGCCGGCCGTCCAGCACTGTTGGTTTCTTCTCTATTGCCTGTCTGCACAGGGAGGGCGCCGCCAGTTTTGGCGGTGCTTGTAGAGGCGGGCGGGAGGGAAGAAGTGGAGAGGATCGCGGCTTTGGGACCCTTGGGAGGTGGTTTGGAAAAAGTAGCGGTGGGACCAGGCTGAGAGAGAGCGTCGTGCGGGCGTTTGCCGGCTGTGTTGGACATCGATTGTATCGATACGGCATTCACCTCCGCTACCACCACGGGCCGAGTTGGCGCAGGAGCAGTCTCCTTCACATCCACCTCCATCTCACTCTTGTCCTTGACCCCGCCATTGCCGACCATCAACGGGGCACTCGCATCATTTCCAGAGCCATTGACCGGCGTCGAGACTCCTTGGTTCCGGGCACCTGGCGGGGGATGTGACTTTGAAGGGCCAGAGGGAGGGTTAAACCCGTTCCTAGGGCCCGAAGTACCAGGAGTGCCATTGGAAGCGTTGGGCATCCCTCTCGAATCTGATCTGTGCCCGCCGTGCATGTGCCCTTGCTGCTGTATTCTCCCTTGGCCGCGATGGGGCATCTGCCCTCTACCCCGATGGTTGGCGTCTGGCTGGAAGGAGTTGTGTTGGGGTGGGTTTTGGGGGCGCCATGAGGGAAATATTTCTTGTACTAGAGGAGGAGCTGGATTCGACAAGACCTATGAGACATCAGTACCACATCACCGAGAAAGGGGAATAATTCGCACAACTAAGAACTGATGTATGTTCCGCCATAACTCCTGTTGTGGATGATTGCGTGATTTAAAGTCTGCCTGGAGGATGAGGGTCCGGAAATCGAGCACGTGAAGGAGGTCGGGCAGTATGAGCGCACGTATGTCGGGCTGCATGGATGATCAATCATCTGCGAGATACAGAGGGGTCTTTGGCAACTCACCTTGGTGACCAGCTTGTAGAAAGACCAAAACAGGATCTCAAACAGAGCACTGGTATCTCTGTCAACTTTTTCGGCACCAAAGATCTGTTTGCCGTTGACCTGTAAGTCTGCTGTCAGCATAATGTCAACTTTTTTGTAAACAGACGCACCGACGACCCTGACCAAAGCTGCTCAATGACCCCCTTCGCCACTCTAACTTTGTCCAAGCAGGGATCTCTGACCTGCCCGAACGACCACAATACTTCTGCCTGTGCCAACCACTCTTTCAACCCTTCCAACAGCTCCTTGGCACGGCCATCGCGTTCAGGCTTGAAGAGGCTAAAAGTCAAGCCGGCACCGTGGACGCTGAAAAAGTAGAGAATGTACCGCGCATCGTATGGGGGATTGTTGGGGTGATATTGATGCAGCCTGTCGACAAGCTCTTTCATGATGTGGGTGACGCGCGATTTGTCGGCGATGGGGGTCATAGAAGGGATGCTGTCGGTGAGGAGCTTGATGAACTGGTTTGTACTCTCTGTCGGAGCATTGGCCCCGGACACAGTCGAGAGAGGGACGAGCAGGTTGATCACTGTCACCTTCTCCTCCAACCCCAGTCCACCACTGCTCAATACTCCCTCAAACTCGTTTCTAAACCTCTCCTCCGCATTCCTGTGATTGCCCGAATGCAGTAGCTTCTTCAAGGCGGGAGCGCCCTGGTATTTGAGAAATCTCAGAATATTGTCGCGAGAAGCGCCGGTCTCTGCCTCGGACCCTTTACAGTCATCTGCCATGACGCTGAACACATCGAGAGGAGCGATGAAGAGGAGTTCAACGAGGGCTTTTGTGACTGCTTCCAGCTCTCGAGGTTCTGATTCACTCTACCGTCAGCAACTGCTCTTCACTTTTGCCCTCGGTGTCAGAAATAGACGTACGGCTTGCAAGAAGCTGCAGCAATACCCCAGTATTCCCCTTGATCCATCTCGGATCCGCCCTTGCTGTTGGTCCCAGCCCCTTGATACCAACGATCCGCATATCCTCATCTTCATCCTCACACAGATCTAGCAAAGCGTCGATGGCTTGATCTTGCAGATCCTCAAACTCAGCAAAGAATGTAGAAACGTTGGAGCCAAAGAAGTGTTTGGCCTTGGAAGATCCGACAGAGGGGAGAGCGATAAGGGCAGAGTGGCATTGTCGGCGCTGAAGGGTGGCGGACGGTCAGCTGGAGGGAGTGGAGGAAATGTACAAGCATGACCTACAATCTCGGGACTGGAGTTGGGTGCTGTAGCGTCGTCGTACAGGTACCGAGCCCGGCGGAGAGGGTCGCTGGACATGCTGGAGGGACGAACGACGGGAAGAAGGATGGATGAAGAGAAAGATCAACAAGCGTCAAGTGAGGATGCGAGCCGACGCGAAAAGTCCCCGTCGGCGGCGGCCACAACGATACATGTCGCTGAACCTGCTCTGCATATCATGTATGGTATTGCATCAATAGTATCGTGAACGACTCTGAATTCTACACTATATTACAAGTATGCCCTCAGACCTATTCATCGCTGTCCTCAGCGCCTACCAGACCAGCCTCGCTCAATATCAACCGCAGCCATCTCAGAACCTCCCCCTCTTCGACACCGCCAGATTCGTCTACAAGCTCGCCTATTCCTCGTCCGACGACGACACGGGATTTGTGGATCAGGGATTTGCCCTTGTTGGAAGTGGTGGAAAGGCTGAGGTGGACAAGGTAGGAAGGGCCCGTGGCCGGCTTCGAGTCGGTAGAGCTTGTAAATGCGGACGCCTTGGTAGAAAAGGAGGGGGAGGAGAGTTTGATAGGGGACTGGGACAGAGAGGGAGAAGATGGGCCGGACGAAGGGGAAGAGGGACGGGTGTGGGGAGAGAAGGAGACGACAGGGGCTGGGGGAGGTGTGAGGGGGGCAGATGTGATGATTTGGACGTGGTCGGTCTCAATCTGGGCCTGTCAGCACAATCATAGTAGAGCCCAGGTTTGCTTACCCTCTTGACCATTCGTCTCCGCTTGCCCTTGAACACCTCGCCCTTCTCGACCCACCGCTTCCACGCCCACAGAGCGGTTTGCAACACGGCATAGGATATGACCGCGACCCATAATACGGCCTTGGAGTCTTCAAAGCTGACTCTGAAAGAGTACAGCGCTGCAGAGAGTGCAATCACCACCGAGGAGTATCCAAGGCTGAGATGGACTGTTGGGTGAAGTAAGGACGGCGTGAACTCTTGGTCCAGCATGTACTGTATGATGTCAGCTTGGTATTCTTCCATGCGAGAGACGCATACCTTCTTGACAATGTCATCGAGGGCAGCCTTGACTTCCTGGAGGTTTGCTGTATTCACGGTGACTGTCGGGAGGGGGTCTGTGTTGAGGGTTGTGGAGATGACCTGGGCGGGGAGTGCGATGTCGGCGGGGACTGGCTTTTCTGCCCCGCTTCTTCTTGCTGCTCTGCGTGGCGGCATCGTTTCTGGGGAATATTTGGGAGATACAAACGATTCAAGAAGACCTGAAGAAGAAAGAGGTGATACAAATGCTGACGTGGCATTTGATCCCGCCCTCATTGCATTCCCTTTCTTGTCCCTTTCAGTCTTCAGATGCAGCTCTTGCATCCCCATATCTCTCCAGGAAGCCACAGGCCATGGCAGACATCACTGACCTCCCCAGTCCCCGGGCAAAGCGCTCGCGAGTCAAGTCCCAGAAGGTCCTCGAGAATGAAGACACAAGACGCGCTCTGCACGCCGCCCAAGCTGCCGCCGCCGCATACGCCCCCTCAAGCCCTGCTCCCCCAGCCCAGCCGAGGGCCAAGAAACAGAAAAAGGAAGCCGACACCTACTGCATCTGCAAGAAAGATACAGAAGGCCCCATGATTGAATGCGATCACTGTAACGACTGGTAGGTCTTCGTAAGCGGAACTGGACCACACTGACCCATCTTCAGGTATCACTTTGTCTGTATACACATGCACGAGGCAGAAGCAGAGCGTATCCGTAAGTCTGACCCGACTCGCACTCCGGTTGATACTCACCGCGGAGCAGACAGCTATATTTGCCCATTATGTTCGGAAAGCACGACCAAGCGAACCACCTGTAAGTGTCCGTCTTCCCATAGCCACATAGTGTTCTAGCATATAATCATTGCTATATCCATTCATGATCCACTCGGTTCATCTTTGTGCAAGTCTGCTGCATTTCCACGGCTTTCTTGTGGCATCAAGGCCACTCCGTGTGCCCTGTTCCACACCTTCAACTGTTGACGCTGTGCACGACTCTTCTGAGTTCGTAATTGCTGGCCGTCCTTTGCTATCACAGTTGTTCATGAAGGGAACGGCCGAATGTCTGCTGTCATGTCTAGTCAGGGGCTGTCGATCATGTCGAGGACCCACTTTTTGCCCTTGTTGACTAGAATGTCGACTTGCGAGGTGCCCATGTGACTCCTATACTTGTCCCTGGCCCATACAACCCCATGCTTGTCTCGTGATGTATATGCTCATGAAAATACACAGACATCAACGATATCTCGACATACGCCTCACCATCACCACCCGCTGGCCTCAACATTGCCCCATCAGTAACGACAAAACGAAAGAAAAAGGTCTGTGCTGAATTCTTTCCCATCTATAGTGCTGACAACTGACATGTGACAGGCCGTCGAATCTCCCGTCAGACCCACCCACTCCAGCCCCTCTGGTTCATCCCACCGGCCCTCAGACAGCTCCCGCTCCCCATCTCCCCCGGAATCTCCCGCTCTCAAACGTCAGCGTGTCCCGTCAACCTCAAAACCGACCCCAGTCTCCGCCAAGCGCCCTTCAACTAGCCAACGCAAGACGAGTCTCGCCAAAGCCGATACAGCGGCCCTGCCTCCTATTCGTATCTATGTCCGGTCCAAGCTCTTGCCTCTTATCCAGAACATCTTTGAGGGGAATATGGAAGGTAAAGATGTGGAGGAGTATGTGAATCAGGTGGAAGACGCCATGTATATGCATTTTAGGGAGGTTGTAAAGGGAAAAGAGACTGTTGGGAACCGATACAAGTGAGTAAACATCAACCTCTTTTGACTACATATTGCTGACACGGCGATAGGACACAATTCAGTCTTCTCAGCAACTCTATGACCAAAGGTCTCCGCCCGTCTCTTCTCTCCTCTATAGTATCCAAGACCCTCTCACCTTCCGAATTTGCACTCCTCTCCTCTGCCGACCTCGCCTCCGATGAACAGCTCGCCGCCATCTCTGCTGCCAAACAAGCCATCCTGGAGCAGACTGTCAAGGGCAACAAGGTCAAAGAAGAAGAGCGCGCGGGACAAGCAATCCGTATAGGCCGAGATGGGTTCGAAAAGGCCGAAGACTGGAAAGAGCGAGAAATGCGAGAAGTCATGCAAGTGGAAGATCGAGAGAAGCGGAGGGATGAAGAGGCAAAGAGGGAGAGGGAGATGATGGATGTAGACAGCGAGAGGATGGTGCATACCGATCTCGATGAAAGACCCGTGTCGATAGGCAAGAGTGAACCTACGTTATCCTCCAGGCCAGAGGTGCTGCTCAAACGCTCTTCTTCCACCACGGCCAAGCCCGCAGCTGGCTCGCCACAGTCTGTCAGACGGACTTTTGCGTTACAGTCGGCTTGGTCTGCGGGATCGGGGGGCGGCGAGCATGAGCATGCTTTCCTTGGTTCTGGTGCACAAGACCAGGGGGAGATTGAACTTGACCTGGGTGATATTGCTGCTGCCGAGGTTGATGTTGATTACTCGGTGGGATATGGGCACACCGAAGAGGAGCAGGGAGAGTCGGCGCAGTTGAGTGACATGCAGAGGTTTGAATCAAAAACTATCGTATGGGGAGGAGGCGTAAGTAATCATGGATCTTATCTGGCTCATGCTGACATGGTTGTAGCTCGTAAACCCGGCTGCCCCCTCCCCTCAAATCCCACCTACGGTCCTTCGACTCGTCTCTCCCGCCGCCCCACACAATCAAATATCCCCCTTGATCCTCCCTCACCCCAATATCGAAATCACCGGACGTGTCCCTACCAAGAACTCTCTCACGTTTCTGAGTGATATGCGCATGAGTCCAGCAAAGGAGCTTGTCTGTGGAATCTTCAGTCTGGGTGATGAGGCTAGCGAGGAGGAGAAGGGACGATGGGATGAGATGATTGGAGATTACCTGTCGAGAGAGTGAGTCCTTCCCCTTCAACTCGTATTGTGCCTAACAAAGAATTACAGTCGCCACGCCATCTACCTACCCTACGGCCAACACCCTCCTTCAGGCGCCATCAAAGAGATCTACATGATACCCCTTCGGCCTACCGACGCGTTGCCCAATTTCACCGACCTCATAGACGGCTTGGACGTGCCGAAGGAAGGACGGACGGGGAACGTCTTCTTAGGCGTGCTGGTGGGGAGTAGGAAACCCCCTGTGGTGGGCAGGCCTGCCGAGCAACAAGGAGTAACGCCGCCGCATGATCCCAGGGCGGCTGCGCGTGTATCATCGGCGTCTTCCTCGCACGCAACTTCCAGGCCATCATCCCTCCCTGCCCCTCCCCCGTCTCTCCCATCTCGGCCTCAAGTAGAACAACCACCTCTTCCGGCTGCGGTACAGCCAAACCCAGTGGCAGCTGCCAGTCCTCTAGCCGGTATACAGAATGAAAAACTCCAGGCGCTCATGGCGAGTCTGAACCCCGCCGCTCTGGCGGGACTCACACCTCCCCAACCGCCACTGTCAACGCCCGCACCAGCGCCTGTGCCGGGAGGATCTACCCCAGACGGCCCTCATGCTGGTTATCCTCAGCAGAGTCAAGCATTTGGTTTCACGCCGCCCCCGCCGCCAGCTGGCCATGGCGCATATAATGGAACACCACCATCATTCCCGCCTAGAGGGTATCCTCCGCAGAATGCGCGGGAGGGTGAACCGTATCCTGGATTCTCTTTCCAGCCTCCTCCTCCACATAATAATGGCAGGGGCGCTGGCGGGAATGGTGGAAATAGGTGGGGGTATTGAGTCTGATGAGAAGGGTCACTTGGAAGACAAGTGGGATTGTACAGGAGACGTTGGCGATGCTGCGTGCGTGCTTTGAACGTGACGAGGTGCCTATGTAGTTGATTTCCATTTATGCCATAGTAGCGACTTATGAGCTTCGTTAATCAATACTGTCTTTCGTGCGCCAACCGCGGGATAGAGAGTAGTGATTGCCATGCTATAGATACATTTATGTATGTGTGATCTAACCATAAATTGTTTGCCAAATCCCAAGATGCTCTTCTGCGACACTGATTCTTCTGTTCTTTGTACTTCTCCGCCCTTCTATAACACACCTTGACTGCCGGCATCATCAGCATTACCTCTTTGGGTATCTTTGATAGTCAAAACTCACGAGTAGTACTGGAAAGTATCATACAGTCTCGTGTAGTTGCTTCCCGTGGAAGAGACAATGAGTCTATCCACATATGCGTCCACAGCCTGGGTCGTGAGACCAAGCTGGAACCGTTCGCGGAAGTGCGCTGAAGTCTGCTCGCCAAACAGGACGAAACAGTCGAGCCTGGAGTCTACAAACATCATTGTTAGCCTTCCATAATTGGAGCATAGCAAGCAGAAAATAAAATGAGATAGATACTCACTTCTCTGCATGAGTTCCACGATAGCTGAGCGAACATCAGCATTGTACCTCACAGTCGCACTCGAGCTAGACTTACTGATCAGACTATCAGAGTGTTTCCTCGCAGCCTCGAAACCTTGCTTGAACAGCTTTCTGAAATACGCATATCCAGGGCTATCCAAACCACCCATGATATCGACATATTCCTTGGAAAACTTGTCAGCACTAGTCCTAGAGGTAGCAACAGTAACTTACAAGTGGCATCTTGAAAGGCGCCGCCTCAAAGCCCATATTTCCGGGAGAGTTGCTCAGCATAAACCCGAAATCAATGTGTATCAGATGCCCATCCTGATCGACCAGGATGTTACCGTTGTGACGATCCTTGATCTGGAGGAGGTAGGTTATGATGGAGTATCCGGCCAGAGAGCGGATGAAATTGCGTTGAGCGCGGGCGAATCGGCCAGAGTCGGGCTTGCCATAGGTCTACAGTAGATCAGCATTTGTCCAGAGATGGCTACCGAGATACTGACATTGACGTAGTAATCCATGAGTGACACATGTCCGATAGCTCCACCCTCTGCCACCCGTTTGGCATACTCTCCTTTTTTGATAGAATGCACAGAGACGGCATCTGTGACTGTCTCGACCAGCCCAGATGTCTCTCCTGTAATCAATATTCTGAAGCTATTTCCGCATTAGTAGCTACTCTTTAGATGTATAGCACTTTACTCACAATCTTGACCAGCATTCACAATTTTCTTCCTTCCAGATCCTGGCGAACTGTTTGATGAGTTGTGTCGCAAGCTGTTCCTGCCTCAAGTCGGCACCAGTCTTCACAATCACCGAAATCACCTGACACCGTTCATCAGCTTCTGACATTCAAATAAAAGGCATTCCACTCACATCCCAGTTGACCAGATGTCCCCATGGACTGGCTGCTCTAATCCTACTCTTTTTCGCCGTCCAGCTCTCCTTGAAGACTGCCGCCGACGGATCGGCCTTGTTCAACTCCCTTCTCACAATTCCTTCATCCTCCGCTGTCCCTCCTGACCCGTTGCCGCCTTGGTCTCCGCCCTCAGTGATCTCTACCCCTTGTGGGCGATCCGTCATCCGCTCTACGCGCTCTTCCTCGAGCGCCATCATCTCTTCCATGATACGCTGTTTGATTGCAGCCGCCTGGATGGCAGCAAGCTTGAGCTTGCCCCCAGTAGAACCTGGTGCGGGCTCTTTTCCGTTCGCTCCGCTGCCATCGGGTGGTAATTGCGACTTGTCTTTCCGGGAAATCCAGCCTGTACCAGGAATCCAAGAAGACGATGAACCCTGGTTCTCGACACTCGCTTCGATCAGAGATGCGTTTAGTTGCGCGAGCATCACTGCTGCTGTACGCATACGCTCAGAGTAGTCTTCAAGCGAGATTGCCTTTTTCGGTGACTGAGGACGACCGACGGTGGTCATGGGATGTGATCCAGGAGTGGAAGGCGCAGAAGGACCAGAAGGACCAGCAGGGATGGGCGAGCTGATAGAGGGCACCACCTGGCTGGACTGTGGTGAAGGCGAGCCGACTGCGGAGGCGGAGCCATAGTTGTACCCTTGGCCAACCCCAGGTGTGCTCACGGGCGACCCGCGCTCCCACGCTTGCAGATCCAGCTGCTTGTTTTTCGGGCCGCTTGGTAGAGGGATGGTCTCGGTCAAGTCAGGCAGCTCGTCGTGTACTGACAGCTTGGCGCCGTACATCTGCTCCACCAGGTCTACCTCCTCCACTTCTGCTACGTTGACGTTTTTGCGTGGTGTCGATGGAGAGATGGGAGGTTTCGACTTTGGTTGTTGAGGGGCTGGGTTGGGAGAAGGGGGCTCAGCAGGGATTGAGCTTGGCATCAACGAGCCGAACCCATCCTGCCCATGTATCGTGCCCTTCAACCCATGCCCCAGCCCGTACACGTCTTTTCCTCCACCAAGCCCCGCTTTCTTCCGCCTCTTCATATCTTCCTGCACCACAATCTTCTTCAACAACTCTCTATTCTCGCGCTTGGTCGGGTCAAAGTCGAGGTCGCCTTCAAGAATCTCAACATGCAAGAGGTACGGCGCACGTTCGGCAGAGTTGAGAACGACAGAGTCGCCTGGAGAGATGCGGACAACGCGAGAGTGACCTTTGCCGGAAATGCGTTCACGGAAAGTGCGGGGTTTTTGGGAAGAATTGGACGGTGCTTCTTGCTCGTGAGAATGATCAGCAGTACACCACAGAGGCATGCAAACCTGATTTATGTCAGTACATGTCGTTTGTTACTTGTCAGACGCACCTCGGCAGGGAGATTGTGATTCAAACTGGTCAACTCGGCCCTCAAAGCGCTGACACGCGCGGGCTTGGGAATCACCAAAAGTCTGTTGCTAATGTCCTCCAGCAGGAGCAAGAATCTAACTTCACTCCTGCAGTAATGACTTCTCAGCAGCTGCTTTTGCGCCTCCAGATTGTAGGCAGCCAAGATGGCTTCCGCTGAAGGGGGACGATCTCCCGTGTATCTTCCATTCACCCCACCATTAGGGGAACGCGAGACGAGCAGTTCGGGAACAGAGTAGAATGGCTGGTGGGCGGACTTGGGGGGAGTGTCGCTTGAACCGGGACTTTGTTGAGGTTGCATCTGGCCGAAAGGATCTGAGCCTTTTCGTTTGAGCCTGGCAGTGAATTTGTCTTCGACTATCTCTGGCTCGGGTTCAGGCGTTCGCGGTGGGGAGTAGAGATCAGGTGCAGTTTGCGCTGGATGGGGAAGCTGCGTAGTAGATGCGTTGTAGCCGAGGTCGAAGACCTTTGGTCTCTGACCCTTTTCAGGAGCAGGATCTTCCTCGTCCGACCCATCGCTATCTTCCTTCTCTTTGATCTGTATTCTCCGCCCGAGCTTGTCAGGCTGCACATCTACGCCTCCCTCAGTGTCCACCTCTACTCGGTTCCTCCCGCCGGTCGAATCATCTATCGGTCTCCTCCCCTGTGTTACAGCCCAGTCACCCACCAGGTCGACCATCGCGGGCATTCCTGGTGTACCAGCAAGCACCACACCCATTCCGACAAGCGCAGCTGGAATATGAGGGTTCACTCTGCCATGTTCTGCTCCTTTTCTCGCACTGCTGTCACTCAGACCCCCACTTCCCAAAGGCGCCTGCCCCAAGGCAAGAGCCGAAGAAGCCTGGGGCAGTGACCGGTAAGGCGAGCGAGAGGGTTCGGGTGGGTCGCCAAAGATGATGGAATGGCAGCGGTGGAGGATACGTTGGCATATGGCGAATGGGATGGGGTTTGCTTGACGGGTGGGGGTGAGGTCGCGGAGTGCAGCTTGCATGAACCAGAATGTCTGCAACGCGTTAGGTGGGGCGCGTCACTTCACTGACGACGTACGAGCATGGCTGAATGGGTGCTTTCTTCAGCGCGCTGGATGATGAAGGATTCGAGGGCATTGGATGAAGTGGGGTATGTGAGCAGCAGGTGGCTATCAGACGGTCAGCATTGGTACGATACATGGTGCGTATGCCACATACCAGATTTGGGGCCAATAAAATTCGACTTCATCGGGTGGCATTCTCTTCATCCTCCAACAGAGATAATGTGATATTCCTATATTGTCCGGGTATGTCTTGAGGTACTGCATGGCGATGGAAATGGAGAAGAAGGGGGATAAGAACAGTCGGAGACTGGGGCAGAGGCGCGTGTCAGCGGAACAGCGAGGGGGAGGGCGGACGGGGGCTTACAGCAATGCGTGAGACATGTTGGGCAGCAGACTGGCAGCATGAAGCGCCGGGAGAAGGTCTCAACAGAAGAAGGGGGTGTTACAGCAGTGCGATGGAAATAGGGAGGTTGTGGATTGAAAGAGGAGATGGCCGCAATTCCGCGTGGCACCGTCACCAGATCAGAGTTTGTCATTTTAGGGGTTCTCGTTTACTTTCATTCTCATACATCGCATCAAGTTGTGATCACTGTGTAAGTTGCCCTGATCACAAAGAGGATACTTGACTTATACACTACAGAATACCATGCTTGATCAAAGTTGCAACGTCTGCATAGTACTCGTGCCGAGTACTGACGCGCACGTTCAAACGAGGGATCTCGCTGCTGACTGGGGTACGGACCATTCTTTACGTCCTTCGATCAGAACGGCATCTCTTCAATGTCTTGTGATTCTATCGGAGCTCAGTCCTAGGGCCGGCGGCACGCGAATTACTGCCTAGGTATGAAAGGCTAACCGCATTAACCATTGTATATTTGTGGATCTCCTTTCATTCGAGAGTGAAGTAATCAAAAGATCAGCTCAGACAAGCAATTATCCAATGGATACCAAAGGCTATCAGACCAAGTATATCTATCCTGCAGCCTGCCAAGGGCTATCTCCAGGACGATATATGCAAGAGTATTCGGTTGAGAGACTGGCTACGGAGGGCGAGGATGGTGTCTGGACCTACAAAGGTTCATTGGCGTGGACGACAGCATGTACTGAAGATATCGCGGAGGGAGATGAATCAACAAAGACTCGTGGAAGATGGACTAGGTGGAAAAGGCGAAAGACAAGAGGAGGAGTGTGAGAGGAGGGCTCATAGGGTAGAAGAGTGGGCGTCATGCTGGTCCCCGTACTCGCCTGTAGTCTCCCACCGTGCTAGATGCAGTCCTGCCTCTAGTCTTCTGTCAGACATCATAGGCTGTTTGTGTAGGTCACTCGTATGAGTCGTTAAGTTATAGCGCAGCAGGTAAGAATCAACGACGAGGCATGGTTTCACCCCATACGGCCACATACGTCGCAGTGGCGCGCCTGTGCTATGTGCTATATGAAGACTTATATGCACTGTGGAAATGCTGAGCTAGTAACTGCGTGCAAGTGTCCACGTTGAGGAGCCAAAAAAGACCGCAAGGTGGCATGTAAATAGCCGCAAATTCTCCGCATAGAGATTAGAGATTGTGGCAATACACCGGGCATGGCTTGGATAGCCACATCTTGCTGACGCCCCGATACCCCGGACCCTCTCCGAACGGTGTCGAGCAGCAGCACCCTCGGCCCTCCCTTCCCGATCCCGACCTTCGCTATCGCAGCATCACCCTCGGCCTGCCATACAGCCAGCATGGATGTGTGTGTCAGACAGTCGAGCCAGGGGGAGGCCTAGGAAATGAGCGTTTAGTGCACTCCGCTTCAGTCACTGCGCTGTGGGTGTTAATTGCGAGCTGCACATATATACCTAAGCAAGGACAGCCATTCCCCTGACCTCTCACCCCCTCAGTAGCTTGCATAGGCCGACATGACGCTCATACCAGCAGACGATACCGCCCCGAAGCATCTGGTCCTTGTGCCAGTCGCCATGTGGTAGGTCCAGTGTCCTACGATAGATGCACCAGCTGACTGTATATAGGGGCCACATTCGTCCTCTCCTCCATCTCGTCGTCAACCTCCTCACCCTCCACCCAAACCTCCACACCACCTTCCTACTCACCCCCTCCATCGCCCCGCGTCTCGAGAAAGATCTCGAGCACCTCACGAGCCATCTCGGAAAGCAGTCTGTCGTCGACATCTCAACTGGCTCCAAGCCCATCGCCGAAAGGCTGCAGACCATTACATGTGCGCATAAAGGGTTTGATCCCACCAAAGAGTTTACGCCCGATGACTTGAAGAAGGAGGGTGTGGATTTCGCCAGTGTGCTGCCGGGCATCATCAGTGGCTTGTACGACGGCAAGCACAACATTGGAGGAACCTTGAACAAGTTCGAGGGCTTGCCTCCCACCTTGTTCCTATTCGATGTAGGTTCCATCCCACAAGCTCCAGAGACCAAAGCTGAATTTAGAACAGATGTTCCAAACCTTGGTTCCAGAACTCATGGTCAACACTCTTGGTCCTCTCAACATCCCTGTCCCTCCTCTGGTCATGTTCTGCCCTTGCTCTCCTGCCCACGTATGGCAGTAAGTCAAACCTCCAGCCGCTTGGACTGTTCACCTTTCTGACATGTCAATAGTTCGTTCAGCCCCGAAGAACGAGGAGGTACCTTTGGCAGAATGCTGCGTTTGGCGGAGGAAGATATTGCAAAGGGCGTAAACTCCATTGAGGCGTTCGAGAGGGTGTGTGCTGTGTGTATGTTGTATCATTGCTGATCAATCTCTTAGTATGGGTTCAAGGGCACTGGACAAGTGGCTGCCCTTCCAGGTCTGCCTGTCAAGTATGACTGTGAGCACTCTCACTCTACCGTCCCGGAGGAAACACTGACCATGCGTCCGTAGACGAATGGTGTATGTCACTGCCTAGTGTGAACCTAAGGAAACCAGCTGACTCCCCGCAGGGCCGCATGGTGATACAGTCGAGCTTGGTGGCCAGGTCCTTGCAGCTGTCTTGCCCGCATATAGGGCCTTCCTGCACAAAAACACAGTCGGTATAACCATGGCATTCACTGGAGAATTGGAGCCAGAGGCAGTAGCCGCCTTGGAGTCGGAGCTCGGCAAGACCATCTTTACCGTCGGGTAAGTTGTGTTGGGATCTGGCTGGCATGATACTAACTGTAATTTAGCCCTCAGTTCCCGGAAGAGATGTGGGAAGGGGACTTCTCCGTTAAAGCAGACAGCGATGACGACCGGAGGGTTGTCGCTTTCCTTGACCGCATGCAAGAGAAGCATGGCTCAAGGAGCGTATGCTACGTCAGGTATCACAAGATTACTCTTCGTCCATCTGTTGGCTGTGCTAACTCTCTTTGTCCAGCTTCGGGTCCCTCTTCTTCCCTCTCTTGCGCCCCGAACTCATCTGCTATATCCTCCAGACATTACAGGAATCCGGCATTCCCTTTGTCTTTGCCTACGCTTCCGGCGTCGCACCTGTACCTCCCGAGCTCATTGAAGAATTCGTCGGGCTGGAAGACGCTTGCTTGGTCAAGTTTGCGCCTCAGTGGGCCGTTTTAAAACACGCCGCCACCGGGTTCTTTGTTGTGAGTTCTTCGGTATGTATACCAGTCATTTGCTAACGGATACATAGACTCACTGTGGCAGCAACAGTACCCACGAAGTAAGTTGTGATGATCGGCACCGCATGCACTAGCTGATGCCCAGCGACAGACCATCTTGGCCGAGGTCCCAATCGTCTCCTTGCCCTTCGTTGCAGACCAAGGCGAGATCGCAGCCCTTCTCACCGAAGTTCTCCATGTCGGCATCGACCTCAAGCAGACCAAGACTTTCACCAATCCCCCGTTCAATAAGCTCTACGACGGTACCGTCATTGTGGGCACTGAAGCGGCGATCAAGGACGAGATGAGGACCGTCTGGGGGAGGATGAAGGGGAAAGAAGGGGAGGAGATGAGGAAGAGGATGGGCGAGGTCAAGAAGACGTTGAGGGAGAGTATCACGAATGGAAGGGGAAAGCGGGATATGATGAAGTTGGGCCTGTGTCGTTGGCTCCTCGACTCGTCGCATGTCGTGGATTCGATTTTGTAGCATACGTGCTTTCAGCCATACCCGGCTTCAGTCTTCCCTGGCCCGGGTAAGTCTTTTGTGAATGAAACATAACAATGAGACAGACGACAGAGTGTGAGTAGGATACAGAATGCAAGAGATCATCATCCACTAGAGGCGTGGTCGGATATCGCCGATATAGCCGAGAATTATCGGTGTCTCAAGTTTGGGATCCATCTTTTGTTTGCGTATCTTTTGCATGTTTTGCATGCTACACCCTGTATAATCTTTTTCTTGTCAATTGTACATGACTCTATAATATCCTCGACCTCCCACTCTCCTCGGCCGACTCATGAGACCAGCCATCGCAACATCCCTCAGAAAAGCCTCGACTTCCAGAGCAGCTTCTATACCCCTGTCCGTCCTCAGATCGTCTCGACCTCTTGTAAAGCTCAGCCAGCAACGCAAATGTGGAAGCTGTGAAAGAAGGATTTATACCTCTTCGGTGGTATATGAGGAGGGCGCGAAGGCCACGCCTCACCCGAGCTCGTCCATACACGGTGCAGAGGCACGCGCTTCCTTTCACGGTGAGCTATTTCCGCCATGATGGCAGACCTATAGCTCATTGATTTGATAGATCCTATGACTAGGTATGAGCACCTGGTGAAAGACAAGGTGCTTCGCCCAGATGATGATCAGAAAGCCATCATTGGGAGACTACAGCGGTTATGGGATGACTTGAAGGATTATGACCCTGGACCTGTTCCTCCGAAGGCGCCGGAGCCGTCATCGTCCCCGTCTTTTGTAAGCTGCCTCATGCAATCATCTGAGTCGTGCTGATCAGTATCACAAGTTCGGCAAGCTGTTTTCGAAAACCCCTGCCCATCCGGAACCCACTGTCGCCCTTGAGAATGTTCCGAAAGGGCTCTATCTCTACGGCTCGGTCGGCACTGGCAAAACCATGCTCATGGACCTATTCCACTCTACCGTCCCCGATCAATTCCGACCCGTTTCTCAAGGCGGATACGGTTCAACTAGAATACATTTTCACTCCTTCATGCTCGACGTCCTCCAGCGACAGCACAAAGCGGTGGCAAAGTACGAGGCGGCGGGCCTGAAGAAGAGGGATGTCATGCCAGAAGTGGCTCAGAGTTTGGCAGAAGAGGGACGGGTGTTATGTTTTGATGAGTTCCAGGTCACGGACATTGTCTCTGCGATGATCTTGAGGGGCCTCTTGGAGAGACTTATGGGTTTCGGGGTCGTGTGCATCATGACGTCCAAGTGAGTTTCCCTGTGTTTTGTACTTGGCGTCACTGACTGGTTGGCTAGTCGACATCCTGACGAGCTCTACATCAACGGCATCCAACGTGAATCCTTCATCCCGGCCATCGAACTCATCAAAGAGTGTTTCGAAGTGGTCGACCTCAACTCTGGTACAGACTATCGAAAAATACCTCGCGCGCTCAACAAAGTCTACTTTGATCCCCTGACCCCCGCTGTCCGCACAGAGATCTCAAAGCTATTCAGCTCCCTCGCTTCAAGAGATCCAGTATCGACTAAAATTGTGCACAACAGGAAGATCGAGCTATGGGGACGAAAGTTGACAGTACCAGAGTCTTCGGGGAGTGTCGCAAAGTTCCAGTTCAGTGATCTCTGTGACAAGCCTCTGAGTGTGGCGGACTATCTTGAAGTGACGGGCAAATTTGGGACAGTCTTTGTGGAAGATATTCCCAGACTAGGCCTGAGCGAGAGAGATCAGGCGAGACGATTCATCACCTTTATCGATGGTAAGTCTTATTCTTCTTGCTCGAACAGCGCTGATGACGGTACTAGCTTGCTATGAGAACAAGACGAAGCTGTTCTGCTCAAGTGACGTGCCCATATTCCAAGTCTTCTCGGACAAACATGGAGCTGGCTCAGCAGCAGACGACGAGCAGGTCAAGACGGTGATGGACGACCTTGTAGGTATACGAGCCGACGCAAGAGACCAAATGCTGAATAGCTTTGACAGGGGCTGGACGCGAAAGCGGTTGGATCTTCGTCACTCTTCTCAGGTGACGAAGAGTTGTTTGCGTTTGCGAGATGTGTCAGTCGACTATCGCAGATGGGGACCAAAGAGTGGTCAGAAACGTCAGGCAGATGAGCGTGGTAGCGGTACATTTGGTACAGTGCATAGATATATGTGATTGCATATGGCATAGACGGCAAACAGAACGACTTCAAGAGAGAGCCACAACCCAGACTCAAAGCGCTCGAGGGATGATGCCAATGGCGGGGTCAAGGCTACTGATCCTCCAGTCTTGATGTAGCATGCGATATGGATATTCTTCACCATTGACGCTCGCTATGCCAAACATGGTCATGCCAGCCTGTTCGGTTGGAACGCGGGACTTACCACAAAGAAGAGTACGTGTCATTCTGCTCGGCCGTCGGTGCGCCGAGGTACTCAAGTAGGCATCCTGTTCTCCTCGCTGGAAGGACGTGGGGTGCTGGAACAAGTGTCCTATGAGCTCCTTATCATGCCTCTTCCCTTGTGTGCATGTGCGGACGTGGCAGTTTGCCTTGAGTCTCTCCAGCCCGCAATAACACAGCAGTTCATAGCAACGACGCGGGTGGCGGCTGTGTCCGCCGCAGAAAGTCCAGATTCCCTTTTTGCTGAGTGTTGCGACTTCGTTCCAGTGCAGCCATCCGCCATGTCTGCCCACTATGCCCTCCGCCAGCCACACATAAAGACACCCGGCTCAAACTCCAACTTCTTCAACACAAACTTCAAAGCATCCGCAGGCCATCGCCAAATGTCCACCCCAGCAGCAAGACTCAACTTGTCCAGACCAGTCACGAGGGCGTTGCTCGTCGGCGTCTTCCTGCTGGGTCTCATACTCCTTACGCGGAGTACAGGCGAAAGTCAAGAAGGCGCCTGGGACACGTCGACGATACACGAGCTGCGAGCTGGGGGCGCGTCGGTAGCTGGCAGAAGCTCCTGGTGGAACAGCAAACCAAAGCTCGTGACCGACGTTCGTGTTCCTCGCCCTATCAGGACACGCCAGAACACCACCCTTCCGAGACCAACTCACCCGGGCAAGTCACGGCGAGTCAAGGCCGGCTCAGATCCAGACGACCCGCAGTACATCATACGCCCGCTGCCCACACTCGACGAAGCCTGGGCGTTCTTGCACCCTTTATTACGAGAAGCAAAGGAGATGACACCAGAAGTGCCACGGGAGCATGAATTGACAGAACCAATATTCCCGCCGTTCTTGACAGCCGATATGGAGGAAAGATTTAGGCACTTGAGAGATGTCTATGACTTGAGTACCGGGCAGTGGGTGAGGGGACCGGAAAGGAGATGGTTCATGGTGACGGTATGTCGGCAGGTGGCTGGTGAGTACATTCACGTGGTGTGCTGTGGCCGTGTGCTGAATACTCTGTAGGTATGCTTGCGGACTGGTTTGCTGCTTGGACAATCCTTGCCGACTTTCTAGGACCCGAGTCATTAGCTTTCTCTCTCATAGAAGGCGATTCGCAGGATGGCAGGTGCGTCAATCCCGCTCGATGTGGTGCATTGCTGATCCGACCACAGTGGCGAGATCCTGGCGCATGCAATGCGCGCCCACCTCCTCAATATCGGTGTACCCCCCGCCAACATTCATATCCAAACCGGCATGCCCGCAGTCGACTGGGACGCAAGCCACCGAATCGAACTCCTCGCCTCCATGCGGAACGCAGGGATGCAGCCCTTCTACGATACCATGCCCGAAGGTCTCGCACCAGATGGGCACCCTTGGACTGCGGTCATCTTCTTCAACGATGTGTACATTTCTGCTACACATTTCTTGGAGTTGATGCACCAGCACTTTAAGCAGGACGCGGATATGACTTGTGGATGGGATCACGCGGGAAAGTGGTTCTATGATGGCTGGGTCGGAAGGGATATGAGCGGAGATCTTTACACTCCTTTCCCGGTGAAGGAAGAGGACAAGGATCTGCCCCAAAAGGTACGTCACGTGTACCATCCGAAACCTGCCCTTACCCTATGTGCAGCTTTTCCCTTCGTCCCCTGAAACGCTCCGCCGCTACAACCGCATGCTCCCCTTCCAAGTCTTTGCCGCCTGGAACGGCGTCGCCGTCATGTCCGCCGAGCCCTTCCTACCCCCATACAACGTCCGCTTCCGCCGCGCCGCCGCCCGTACCGACGATTTCTGGGAATGTCAGGCTTCTGAAAGCTCCTTCATTTCGTGGGACTTTTGGAAGTATGGATTTGGCAGGATAGCGGTGGTGCCGGGGGTGCATGCGACGTATGGGAAAGAGGATGCGATGATGAGGGGGTGGGTGGATTTCCCGGATGAAGGGGATGGACAGGTGGCGGAGATCAGGTGGAATGATTAGTGAATCTCTCTTTAGCTCGAAGCGGGTCGAATGCTGATCTGCGTGCAGTCCACCGAAGAGGGTCAGGTGTCATGACTGGCCGGATAAGCCTGGGAAGGGATACTGGGCTTGGGTGAGTTCTAGTATCATCTCGGGAATGGCTTGGTGCTGACCCACCACAGGATACGGTACGATGGGTCGAGCCGCCACCCCTCGAAACTCCTTTGCGCGAGGACGAATATCCCGAGCGTCCTTGATTCCACGACACCGCATCTATGGACCTCATCAGCAAAACATTGATCGGCATGTTCGCATCAAACGCACTGTATTTGTATGAGCAGAGAAAGCTCTCAGCATGAAAAGAAACGACTGAAGAAAGTATAGTCAGCATAGATACCCAGCATCAAATATCGGAAAGAGGTGTACTTTTGGGCATGTATCGCTTGCATTGCATTCGTCAACCGGTGGGCGGACTATTGATCCGATGCGGGGCTCGATGGTCTTTGTTCGCCGACCTTCACTAACCATACAATTTGTTTACGTGGAGAAGACTCATCAAATGACCGCGGCACTACCTTTATGCTGGCTCTTCATTCTCACCGCTCAATGCTCTCAACTCGAGACTCTCCTTTGCCATATTCGGACAATAATGGCCGGTGATAGACTCATCTAAGGAACTCGAAGGTCCGCAGCTTCATGACGAGTCCGGTAATGAATTGAAGACTACTGTAAGCATTTGGAGTGCTAACGGGATGGCTGATTGTAGGTTCCGACTCCTGATCGACGACAGCATTATAAAGACTCAGTTCCTCCGTACGTGTAAACACCTCAACTAACCCTTCCGAAATCACCGACGCATTCGACACGATATGCAGGGAGGTCATCCGTACTCACAGGGAGGCTACCGTACGTTCATCTCTACCTTCTTCTATTCAACTGACACCTCGTAGCACCGTACAGCACAGCTTCTGGAACACATCCCTACTTCTCTCCCACTGCTGATTCCTACTACGCCACACGCCCCGGATCATTCTCAACCAACGGGCCGTCGGCCGTGCCAGGGTATACCACCCCTCACTATGGCTCAGGTCAAGGAAGGCGCCCTTCGGGAGTGTGGATGGGTAGCATGCCTTATGGATCGCCGCCTATCCGGCCGAACACGTATGCTACTAGGTCGAGAGATGCTTTCTCAGGCGAAGAGGACGAGCCCGAGTACGAGCGTTCTCGACCAGACATGCCGGATTGGGAATTGAAGCCTGAATACGAATCTCCAGAAGAAGAATCAGACGCCGATTCCGACTATGATGGACCACCTCGTGCACCCATACCGCCCACACTCAGGCGTTCAAAAAAGAAGAGTTTGGGGAGCGAGTACATCGTTGAAGAGATGGATAATGAAGGGGAGACTGTCAGGATGGACTACCCTGCACCGAGGCGGAGTGGGAGGAGGAAAACTACAGCCGATGGATGGCGCAGACAGAGCAATGGTGCAGCCGCAACATCTTCCCGATCTGAACCAGCAGCCACGTCCGCCCCTGCTCCCTCCCTTCCCAGATGGACAATGCGCAATTTCACCAAGAATCACGAGCACAGCTCGAGTGATCGGATGGTCATCATCATACAGGATCGAACTTGCTACAGGCTTTGGGAGAGTCAACTTCCTGAGGCGAGACAGAAGGGCGAAGGGGAGAGGATGCACCCCGATAAGATAGCCATTGCGCGAGCAGAAAGCTGGCTGAGTGAACGTTCCGGGACTTCGCTCTCGGGCGGCCGTTATATCCCAGCCAAATTCTACGCTGCAGACACTGGCCGAGACACCGATACCGTATTTGCCGTCCCCTCCCCGTACATCACCTCTCGTGGCGAGGAAGAGAAGAAGGCATGGGTTCAGAGTTGCTGCTCAAGTCTCTGGCCTTGTTTGAGACCCGAATTTGATCAGCAAGATGGTAGACGTAGTATGCTCAAGAAGATGAAGGAGGGCTCACGAACCTTCTTTGGCAGCCAATTCAAACATTACGCTAAGCAAGATCTTGGACAGGAAGAAGAAAGCGATGACGAGGATGAGGTGGTTATGCAAGGGAGAAACTGAGACGAGCATACGTAGTAGGAAGACGACCGAGTTACAAACATATCACATTGAAGATGGCTATGCAAATTATCGGTTCTTGAGGATGATCAGATTGCCGGCTTGATCAACAAGTGAGTCACAGACAATCAGCTATATGGTACATGTGCACGTTATGAGCAGTACTTTTACAGCAATCTTCCTATTATACTTGCAAGACAACATCTTCCTCCTCCGGCTGATGCAGAGCCGATATCTGCTACAGCGGGCGACCAATCACACAGCCATGTCGCACCACGGTCTTTATGTATACACGTCTATTGAAAATGCTGGAACGGGAGTGGCGCGCTCGCTATGTGTCAACGTCGCCCATCCCGCTCCAAGACCCGTTCGCCCACCGCATGACCGGGTCTGTGTAATCCATTGAGGAGCCGCTCCTTATATACTGAGTGGTGTCAGGAGACTTTCGACCTCGAAGAGTTGATACACTCACAGCTAGTCTGAAATAGTTGTCCACACTCTCATCTATGAGCCCATTAAGGGATATCGCTATACCCTCGTCAGTCTTTCAGCCTCTCGAGAGAGCGGTCGCGCTTACAGGAGTCTGTCCAGTTGTCGTAAATCTGCATGTCGTTGACCAAAAGAGAGTAGGCAGTCACATTCAGAGCCTCCAGCTCTTCTGTGATCGGTGACCATCCAAGAGTAGTAGAAGCGGTAACATTGTCCCAGAAGACGGGCGTATAAGAGCCCGAGTTGGCATCTCCCAACAGCTATTGATCTCATGAGTACGAACCCCGCTCGAGACGAGGATAGACATACCGAAGTGGTCTCCTGCAGTATCCCATCCCAACCCCACCTCCCCACACCATCCAGCCACAATCCCAACATGAACGCCCCCCAGAACAAACTGACCCTATTCGGCAAAGACAGCACTGGTATCGCCGCAAGCGCCAAAAGATAGTGGTGCAGTCTCAAAGTATAGTTGGGTATGTTGGCGAGAATGATGAGGATGGGGATGAGGGGGAGGTAGCGGATGAGGTAGTAGCGGACCAGGCCGGCGCGGCGGAAGGACCAAGCTTGGATTGCTACGACGATCACGGCTATGACTATGATCCAGGTCAAGGCGATAATGCCGGCAGGGTCCAGAGAGTCGTAACCTAGACGCGAGATGGGGAGCCTGGCGAACACTGTACTGCTCTCTATCCCTATCCAGTAGCCCGCGCCTTGCCAGAAAGCGAGGTCGAAGGGCAGCTTGGTGAAGCCGCGGAGCGTAAACTTGAAGGCCTGGTTCCAGATCCAGTAGCCCACTAGAAGTACAGGGATGAGGCCGGCAAATACGTCCTCCCATGAGGGAGGAGTACTGGACGGGTCACTGAATAGGAGGATGTGAAAGTATCCCATTACTAGTAGGACACAGAACAGGAGTGAAGGGGGTGGCCGAAGGAAGAGCGTGAATATCAATAGACAAGCGGCATTGAACCCCGTCATGATGAAATGTAGATCCAAGCAGCCGAAAGGCGAGACACGGGAGAGAGTGAATGCTCCTGGGAAGGAGGGGTTGAACCCGGTGGAGGTGAGACCATTGCTTGACGAAGAGACAAAGTTGGAGGAGCCGGCGGGATAGGGTAATGGATTGATGGAAACGCAGCCACCCATAAGTGGTGATATGAGCTTGGCATGGATTGCAGAGGCGCATACCCAAGAGTCTGCTCTTTGTCAAGTATCAATATGACTGAAGTGAAGCAGTGCAGTAACTCACCTGTACGTCCCGTCCACATCTCCTCCGCCAATTATAAGCGGCTCTCCATCGACTCTCTCCCCACCTATCCACCTCTCATTGCCCAACGTCGTATCTTTACACCCTCCCATACATCTGAAAGTCTCCCCTGCTAATCCCGTCAGGTCATCCTGACAATGCGTGCCATTGATACCACAAGTATCCGGGGGCCAGTCGTCCCAAGGCGCCGAGGTACAGCCGATGATTGTCGGTGATGATGGAATATAGTATTGTTGCCGTATCAGAAGGATCCAAGCGGTTATCCAGAGCAGCAGAAATGGGTATAGTAGTCGAGGAAAAGACAGCCGCAGGAAGAAGCGGTCGACTGAGCCAGACATGGAGCTGTGGCCGACAGTGACGGATGCTGCGCAGGAAGGCTGTGGCAGCTGTATTTCTTCTGGGGCTGGGGTGGCGGGGCCGAGGATCTTTACAGCCAGCGCATCGAGTCTTCTGGCAATCCGCCTCGCTCTCGGGGGGAACATCGCAGGGTTATACAATGGACCCAATAAAATGCATCGTGCTCCTCTTGACACTTGTTATGTCCCGTAAGACTGTCAGCACGCCGATGACGTAACGCGCCACTCTTTTCTATCCTCTCTCTCTTTCTCATTTCTCATTTCTCACCAGCAGCCACGATGCCGCCCCCACCCATCCCCACCAGCTCCCGCCCCACCAGCTACAACCCCTTCCGCTCATCCAACACCATCCCCCCCGTTGCCCCTGCCACGCCTCCTCCATCCTACGCCACCCACACCGCCCACCCCACTCAACCTCCACAGCACCCCTCGTACGATGCCTACGAACCCGTCCAGTACTCCTCTCTTTCAGATCTTCAGAAGAACAAGCCTCCCAAAAATACGTCCACGCAGACGAGCGGGTGGGGAGGCCGTGGGAGTTCACATGGGAGAGGTGATTCGTCGGCTGGGGCGAGCTCGAGTGGAGGCAGAAGAGTACCGCCCATACCTCAAGAAGGGATGATGCCTGCTGTCCCTTCAGCCCCTCCTAGGCGAGACGTATCTACCACCGCTGCTACTGCCCGTGAGTTGCGTCCGTTCTCGTGGTCCAATATCAAAAACTGACGACGAGGCCCCACAGCACCCCCTGTGCCTCCGCGCAACTCTTCAGGATTCCAATCATACGTCCCCGAAAGCGCAAAGAGCGGATATAATACAGCGTCAGAGAGGGTCGTAGACGGGTGGAACTCGGCGGCCACCGTCCAGAGAAAGGATCAGGTGAGTAGTCTTGGCGTGAATTTGGTATGAGGCTGATGAACGGAAACGTAGGTCTTGTCCGGAGTTGGAAAGCTTGGTGCGGGAGCTTTCAAGTTAGCTGGTAAGGGTGTATACCAGGTCGGCAAGTTTGCTGCCAAGTAGATGGAGAGCGCAGTTTACCACTTTGTAATTTTTGTATTCTTAATCTTTCAGCAGACCACACGCAGAATCTATGCGCCCATGTATGCTGTTCTACAAGGCGACCAGCAGTTGTGAGTGATGTATTCATACATTTCATGACCATGCCGGTGCTATGAAGAATCGATACAAGTGACGTACTCCCTAGATGAGGGGTCTCTGTGATATATACTGTACTATGAGTGCCAATACGGATCCCTCTTATGATATAATATGCCGATGCAAACCCCACTCTGACGTTCTCTAATAACTTCAGTCGATGTTGACGGGGATTCAATGGGCGGGCGGACGTTGATGAGGCATGCTGATGAGAGACACATTGCGGTGTTGAGCGAGAAGCTATCGGGATTGAAAGTCGAAAATTACTTGAGCTCCTGTCGACTCGCCAGTCGTTCAAAGGGCCGCGAGTCTATGTAGTTCCCGGTAGCATCCACAAGCGTCCACAACAAGCCATGCGTCAACATTGACCGGATCATCGATATGCCCAATCTATCGCTCACGTCAGCTCTTGCCCTATGACCCCACGGTGGTGAAGACTCACCCTCGATAGAGACGGGCCATGCCAGCGAGGAAAGGTTTGGGGTTGGACTTGTCGGTGCCGAGGACGAGGCGGGAGAGTTGTTCGATCGGTGTGCGCATAGGGAGGCCTGAGAGGGCTCGTTGTTGCGCCTTTGTCTATACACCTGTTAGTATCATCACCAGCATTTGCGAGCTATATATACCTTGATTGCCTGTGATATCATCAGCGAGTGACCCAGAAATAGTCGGAGAGAAGACTTACATCAACAGGATAGATCAGAGCCCAACTTGTGACCCCCGCCAAACTTCCACACAAGAACGGTATCATCCCCTTCATGATCCAACCCCTACACCACTCTGGTACATCCCCCTGCACATCATCACCAAATCCTCCTCCGCCGCCTTCCCCATCCCGCCTCTCCTTCTTTGCACGTCCCAGGTAATACCGCATGACGTCGTATTCGGCAAAGTAGAGCGCAGTACCCAGAGTGTCACGGATAAAGTGAAGTCGCCAGCCGGTATAGAGACCCAAAGGCCCAGAGGAGGCGAGGATGAGGCGTACAGCTTGGATAGTTGTGGGGGGTTGGAAAGGGGCAGTGCCCTTTGGAAGGGCAGAGTTTGGAATGGGTGTGGGAGGGAAATTTCGGAGCTCGGGGCGAGAGTCACGGTAGATTTGATATTCCAGCTGCCGCCTCACCTACGTCAAAGTTAGCTAGATAGGCATAGAATTATAGAAAAGACATACTTTGACGAGCTCGAACGGCGCACTTCCAACACAGACGACCGCTCCACTCGCGCCGCCCGCGAGCATACTCGTGATGGCGATATCCTTCGCATTGTCCCCAGAGAACATGCCCAGCCGCAGATCGATCCACGGATCCTTGAATTTTTCCTCATCGACCCCTGGTCCCTTCTGGCTTGCCTCTCCCGTCCCTGTGCCCCAGCCCTTGTCCAGCCGATCGCCAAAGGCAGCTTCTTCACTGTGTCGTGAGGCATCGGAGAGCGCTGGGACGGCGTTGAGGATGCGTTTGGTGGAAGAGTAGATGGTGAATGAAATAGTGCGGACGATGGAAATGGTGACGAGTGGTAATCTGAGCCCATGTCAGCATTATACTGGATCACACTTGCTGGGATATGGTCCATCCACACGGGGCCCGAGAAAAGACGTACGGGAACCCTCGCCATAGACTGCAAGGTTATCAGCATGATACCAAGGGCAATAGCAGGATAGCGAGATGTACTTACCCTCCGATCCCTTCTTCTTTGATGACTCCAGCAGCCAGACGGGGGATCGAGACCTTTTCTCTTGACGATTGTAGCCTCGACTTGAGCGAGTCGAGAGGAAAGCCGGTGAATGTGGAGATGAGAGATGCTGAGGTAGCAGACACGACCTAGAGAGGGTCAGATTTATTCTTTACCTACCAGCGGGGCTCTACCTACCACCTTGTGCACTGCAGAGCTGTCAGCATTGCATCTCACCCAACAGACCCGACTCACGATGCAGCCACTCGTCAGCGTCCGCAGCTCTCTTCGTCCACACTCCCTGGTAGGGCGGTCTGCGCTGTGCGGAGGTGTCCGCCATGGTGAGATTGTGGCGATGGAGAGTTGTGGATGGCGAACGAGAAATGTCTGGTTTGTTGATGATGATGATGGTGGAGGGGCCTCGGCGACCTCCGAGCTCCGAGCCGGCGGTGATGAGATGCACAACAGCACAAGGGGACGCTGCGAGGCTGCTTCCGTATGCAAGAGGGCAGAGACTTCACATGCATGGAAGTGGAGCTGGGAGAAGGCATGGCATCAAAGAGAGCCTTGAACATGCATGAGTCCATGGAGTAAGGAAGTGGGGCTATCATAAGCACAGGGAGATCCGGACACCGCAAGGACGCGACGCCCATGACTCATGATGCGTGTCATTCTCATCCAAAGAATCTACCGACGTACTATTCCTATATCCATTGCCGCTCCCATTGTCCCCTTGTTCTGCCCATGCAGGCTTAGTGACCGACTGAAATGCTGCCAAGTACTGTGTACACTTACCAAGCGCCAGCTACTAACAGACTTCTCTTGCCCTCTCATCAGTGTCTCACACCCCCGCTTACTTTTTTGGTACGCTACCAGACAAATTGGAGGGGGGGATCCTGACGGGACACAAGTCAACCGGAATGTCCGGAGCGAGTGTGTATAAGGTCCGGTAGCGCTCATGTTTGGTTTGAGTCCCCTCTTTCCCATCTATCTCCATAACCCACCAATACCACCATGTCCATCACAGGTGCTTCTCAGGCTCATGTCGTCATCCCCGTCTCCATCACGAATGTACTCCTTCAACATCCACCTTGTCCTCGCTGACTCTTAATCCAGCGGACACCTTCGACCTCTTCTCCAGCTGGTCCTCAACCTTCTCCAAGCCCACCCCAATCTACACGCCTCCCTCCTTGTCAGCCCCGCCGCCGCCGCCCAAGTTCAGCGCAACCTTGTCCAGCTCACCGCATTCCTCGGTCTCGACTCTGTCGATCAGCTGAAGGCGGGCTATGAGGCGGTTGTTGACCGACTGCAGCTCGTCGAGTGCTGTACCAAGGGCTTTGAGCCCTCACCCGTTTTGAGTGCTTCAAGCGCTCAGATGGAAGCCAAAGACTTTTCTGAGGCTCTCCCGGGTGCTCTTGCTTCGTTATACCACAGCTCTAGGCAAGCCGAGGGTGTGGAAACAAGTTTGCGAGCATCAAGCCTACTTCCATTATCTACGACGTGAGTCAATCTAGTCTCCCACCACGGCGATGTTGGCTTACACCATACCAGTTTCTAAGATTCTTTGTTCCCGAGATCACCCGCGCCGTGCTCAATGACAGCAACATTCCTCTTCCTCCCCTCGTCGCATTCATGCCGACCAACTCCATTGGCGCCTACCATGTAATGACGTCCGAGGACAAGGGTGGTGCTTTTGCCCGCCTCGATCGCCTCACCAAGGAGGAGATCGCCAAGGGATCCACACCGAAGGAGGCTTACCAAAAGTACACCAACGTCTTTGACGGCAAGGTGATCAATCTCCCTGGCCCCCCGCCCAAGTTTGACTGTGAGCCCAGGAGTGTGAATTGCTGGGCAGACGACTGACAAATGGCACAGACGAGTACGGACCTCATACGTGCTGTCTTCCTGGTGCCCCGAGACTCTAATAGGTGTTACCAAGGCCTCCGTGGGTGTGCGAGACTCATCGGTAACTGGCCTGATCTTGACAGGGTCGGAGATTGGTGCTGAAGGTGCGGACGCTTTGGCTGCTGACTGGGGCAGGGATCTCTACATTGTCGGGTGAGTTTTCTCCACTGTATCTCCATGCTGAAGCGGACCACTGGACAGTCCCCAGGCGCCTGCTCAAATTTGGGGTGGAAAGACTGCTAGCAAGGCTGCTACTCCCGATGACGCGAAGGCTTTCAAGTTTTTGGACGACATGAAGGCTAAATATGGTCCCAAGTCTGTTGCGTACATCAGGTACGTTCTTCATCCTACCATTACCGTACATAACTCACACCTATTGACAGTCTGAGCACCCTCTTCTACCCACTCCTCGGGCCCGAGATCATGCGGTCGATCCTCAAGGGCTTACGCGAAGCCAAGATCCCCTTCCTCTTCGCCCACTCTTCCGCTGTTTTACTCACACCTACCGAGTTGATCAACGAGTTTGAAGGGGATGAGGATGTGTGTATTGTCAAGCACGCTCCTCAAGTTTCTGTTCTGGCGAACGAGGCTACAAGGTTCTTTGTCGTGAGTCTCTCATACAGTGAGGCGACGTGTGCTGACGTTATCACAGACTCATGCGGGGAGCAACTCGATCTCTGAATCCATTCTCACCATAGCCCCCACCTCACTCTGCCCTTCTTCTTTGACCAGGCCGAGATTGCCGCTCAGCTCGAACAAGCCGGTATCGCTATCGACTTGAAGCAGACCAAGACTTTCAAGGACCCTGCGCACAACAAGCTCTATGACGGTACTGTGATCGTCGGTACAGAGCAGGCTATCAAGGAGGAGCTGGCTTCTGTCTTTGAAGCGTTGAAGGGTGCCGAGTATGAGAAGATGGTCCGGAAGTTGGGTGAGATCCGGGCTGCTGTAGAGAAGGACAAGGATGAGGGGAAGGCCAAGGAGGCCATGGAGGCCTTGGGCAAGCTGGGTCTTTCTGCTTAGATACCTGATCACTCTTGAGTGTTTTTTTTTTTGTTGATTGTAACGTAGTACAGAGCCATTGATATATCGAAATGTGGTGGTATGAATAGATGCTTACTTTCTGGTCACCGTGCTCATAGGACGACGTCGTCGGGATTGATCGTCTTGTGAGATAAGGCATATGAAAAGAGCAGCAGTGAAGAAACATCGACGCGACGCGTCTGATTTTGCTTTCGCGCCCGCCAAGCACTACATCACCCATCACCTTCCTTTCGATGTCTCGCCCACCATCTTCTGGCCCGCGCGCACGGACCCTCTCACAGACGGGAGAAGCCGCTGGCCCCGTTGGGGATATATATTTAAGGAGCGGACTGGATACATTGTATCCCCACCTCCCTCTTCTTTTCTCAACTGATCGCCACCCCAACTTACGCAGCATCACCATGTCCACTGCCACCCAAGCCCACGTCATCGTCGTCCCCATTGCTATCAAGTACTTCTACTGACACCGCCTCCACTCTCACTGACGTCTTGGGCTCAGCGGCCACCTTCGACCTCTTCTCCAGCTGGTCCTCAACCTGCTCCAAGCCGACCCCGCCTTGCACGCCTCTCTCCTCGTTACTCCTTCCGTTGCAGCTCAGGTCCAGCGCAGCCTCGTCCAGCTTACCGCCTTCCTCGGGCTCGAGTCTATCGACCAGCTCAAGGAAGGCTACAAGGCGGTCGTTGACCGACTCCAGCTGGTCCCATGCCACACCAAGAGCTTTGAGCCCTCGCTCAGCCTGGACGCGGATTCCGCCAAGAAGGGAATCCAGGACTTTACTGACGCCATGCCGGGTGTCCTCGGCGCCTTGTACGACAGCTCGAAGACCGTCGAGGGCTTTGAGAACAAGTTCGGGAGCATCAAGCCTACTTCTGTCATCTATGACGTGAGTTGTTTTATTCTCTCAAGGCGGCGCACGGTGCCTGATGCCATACCAGTATCTCCACTTCTTCGTGCCCGAGATCACCCGCGTCGTCCTCGGTGCTAGCAACATGACACCTCCTTCCCTGCTCGCGTTCATCCCGACCAACTCGATCGGCGCTTACCACGCCTTGTCGTCCGAGGACAAGGGTGGTGCCTTTGCTCGCCTCGACAGGCTCACCAGAGAAGAGATCGCCAAAGGCTCCACTCCCAAGGAGGCTTACGAGAAGTACACCAACGTCTTTGATGGAAAGGTCATTACTCTTCCCGGTCTCCCGCCCAAATTCGACTGTGAGTCAGAGTTTTCTCACATGGAATGCGCATCTGACGAGAGGCACAGTTGAGTATCGCCCCCACACTGCCTGTATTCCCAGCTCGCCCGAGGCTCTTCAAAACATTACCAAGGCTTGCACCGCAGTCCGCGACCCATCCATTACGGGTCTGATCTTGTCCGGTACGGACATTGGCACAGAGGCTTCGGACGCACTGGCTGCTGATCTGGGCAACAGTCTCTACTTGGTCGGGTGAGTCATTCCTCTTGGTTTCTTTTGTGTAAGGTACTGACAGTTGGATAGCCCTCAAGCGCCTCCCCAGATCTGGAGTGGCAAGTCCGCTAGTAAGGCAGCTACTCCTGACGACGCCAAAGTTTTCAAGTTCTTGGACGACATGAAAGCCAAACACGGTCTCAAGTCTGTTGCTTACATCAGGTATTGCATCACCGCATCTTTCCTTGACCAATGCTGACACCTACGCAGCTTGGGCTCGCTGTTCTACCCCGTCCTTCGTCCTACGATCATGCGCTTGATCCTCAAGGGCTTGCGAGAAGCTAACATCCCGGTCATCTTTGCCCACTCCTCGGTCGTTGTGCCCGCGCCTGCCGAATTGATCAAGGAGTTTGAAGGTGACGAGGATGTGTGTGTCGTCAAGCAGGCTCCTCAGTTCTCTGTTCTAGCCAACGAGGCTACCAGATTCATTATTGTTCGTCGTCACCTGTACCGTATCGTAGACCACTTGCTGACTTTTCTGCAGACCCACGCTGGAAGCACTTCGGTTTCTGAGGCCATCCTTACCCAGACGCCCGTGGTCTCCCTCCCCTTCTTCTTTGACCAGGCAGAAATTGCCGCTCAGCTCGAACAAGCCGGTGTCGCTATCGACTTGAAGCAGACCAAGACTTTCAAGGACCCTGCGCACAACAAGCTTTATGACGGTACTGTGATCGTCGGTACAGAGCAGGCTATCAAGGAGGAGCTGGCTTCTGTCTTTGAAGCGTTGAAGGGTGCCGAGTATGAGAAGATGGTCCGGAAGTTGGGTGAGATCCGGGCTGATGTAGAGAAGGAAAAGAATGGAGGGAAGGCCAAGGCGGCTATGGAGGCTCTGGGCAAGAAGCTGGGCGTTTCTGCCTAAGCTAAAATGGTCGCACATTATTAATGATTTTGCATGATGGAAGTCTCTACGTAGCATGGCATATGTATACCTTGATCAAATGCTCCGGTACCACAGGGGTCATGCGGGGTGCTGAGGAATCGTACCTTGAGACCTATGATGTATATCGCGCCTTCTACGCCAGAAGTCGCTCAATATCAAGCACGATATTCTTCACGGCATCCAACACCAGCCACTCTCGCCTCTCCTTGTACTTGGCGATCACCTCCCGGACCCAATCATATTGCAGAAGGGCTGGCGGCAAATCGTGCTCGAGTGAGGGGCTCATCTGCACCAAAGTCAGCAAGCGCCTCATTCCGTCATGAGCAGCGTACCTCGAGATTTTTCTTCACTGTTGCCCAAAATCCCTTCCAATTCCACCCAGCATCCATTTCCAAAAGACTTTGCACTTCGTCAAACCATTCCTTCTCCCAAGACCCGTCTTTCGTGCCCAGGCGATCGATGATCATTTCCTTGACGTCGAGGATCGACTCTTCAACGCGGTTCTGACCAAGGCAGAGTGTCGCGTATATTCGGGGAAGAGTAGGAGAGGAGAAGAAGTTGTGGTTGATGGATATACACTGATTCTACGTGAGCAAAGGAAATATACGTCTGGAAGGGGACGTACAAAGTCGATATTGAGCACCTGATGGTGCCATCCTGAAGGGACGAAGATGATCTCGCCTTCCTGCTGCAGTACCTTGATTGCTTCACCCTCATCTTCCAAATCTCTCACGTCAAAGTATAGCTCGCCATTTTGATCTTTAATCTTGTCTAATCTGTCTGGAGGGAATAGCCACCACACTTTCCGCCCGACGACATTCGCCGACCACGAGTATGAGCCGTAAACGTCGCGGTGGAGGGGTGTATATGTCAAGGCAGGCCCAGCGTAGGTGAAGCGAAAGTCGGAAGTGGAGGTCGAGACCGACTCGGAATGGGTAGCTCGTGGAGAAGGAGTGTATGGAGGGTTCAGCCAGTCGTCTGTGCTTCACGTCTATTAACAACCCGTCTACTTGGTACGGAAGAGACATACCTCTGAGACATTCTGGAACAGTATACACCTCTCCAACGCCTCTTCCCTCACTCTCAATCTCCGCCATCAAATGCCAGTCTTTGACATAGAGTCCCCTAGCAGCATTGATATCGGTCTCCCACAGATCTAGAACTTCTCCTAATGGTCGCTCGGTGCGCTCGAATTCAGAGAACTGCGGTTTGAGGGTGTTTGCTACCGGCACGACATGGTGGGCGTACTGTCGGAGTCCTCTCAGGTCGGGGTCGGAAGCTTTGCCGGTCTTTGCCCCTGGAGTTCGAAGGGCTTTAGCAGCAGGCCACTGACTGGTATTTGAAGATGTCAAGAGGAAGGGCGTGTTGGGGATTAGATGATCACGCTTGGAGTGACAATAAGCATACAGTCTTGGATAGTGAGCAGCTGCCTTACTAATAGTTGATCGTGAGTCGGGTGTTGATAGGTCGGGAGAGTTCTGTCCGGTATTGACGATACCAAGCGGTCGATGTGGGCACGCTGCTCAATCGTAGGCCCTAGAGACGGCATCGTCCGATACTGTTTTGTCGGCTTTCAACGGCGGAATCTGAAAGCTGTTCCCACCAGATGGCCAAGCCGTGGAGTCTCGAATGTATGCATACCCAGGATATCTTGGATTGTCTTTCGAAAATAAGAGGTCGGCCCTCGCCGCCCCGGGCAGCCTCCACTTTCGTGTTCTCGGTAGTCCGTCGAATGTCAAGGTGGTGGAGCTTGTCTTGCACAGCGAGCGTACTTTTGGGTAGAGTCGGCGATGTCCGCCACAGAGAGCCAGCCTCGAACATCCACTCTTGTCATAGGGGGAGGGCCCGCTGGCCTGGTAGGTCTCAAGTACGCCGTCCAGTACGGCACTGCCTGGGCCCAGGGGGAGCGGCCTTATCTGGTAGAGATGGAGCCAGAGATCGGGGGTACTTTCAGGTAAGTATAACCTTCTGTAATCATATGCCACACTCAATTGACCACCCGTAGATGGAGAGGATACGAGAACGCAGAGCTGGTCAGCTCCAAGCAACTGACATGTTTCTCTGATTTCAGGTACTTGAGGACTCGGATTTGCTGTGTAATGTCTGACTTGTATCTAGGTATCCATTGGAAGCACCTGATCACCCGTCGTTACCAAACTTTGTCCAATACCTGAACGACTACGTCAAGCATTTTGATATTGAGCAATATATCCACACCTCCATCAAGCTCATCTCCTTGGAGCACACCGACGACGACATCTACAAGCACCGAGCTGTGCTTCAACCTCTTACACAGGACAAGCTCCCGAAGGGCGAACCTTTCACTATCCTCGCCGAACGCGTCATCATCACCACCGGCCTACATGTCATCCCCAACATCCCTGCCATTCCCGGGCTCAACGCCGTTCCCTGCACACCTGAACCTCCCAAGTGGATCCATTCGTCCGATTACAAGTCTCGCAGTCAGCTCAAGGGAAAGAAGGTGCTTGTACTAGGATGTGGAGAGACGGGAATGGATGTTGGATATGAGGCGATCATGGGTGGGGCAGAGAAAGTGTGGTTGTCAGTGAGATCAGGCATGTTGTCTTTCCCCAAGGTGCTCAACAACTTCCGGTTGTTCGGGACTACTTTCGATGGCAATCTCCCCATCGACGGCCTCATCACCAATGTAAGTCGTTCTACTATAGCTAAACTCTGATCTGACACATGGCTAGCTTTTTGAGACGGCCTACGTCCATCCCTGGGTCTCCGCCTCCCATGTACGCTGGTTCATCTCCGACCTCGTCATCAAGCGTGTCCTCTGGTTCCTCACTGGCACCCAGGCAGGCTGCAATCAATGGGCCGGGGAACTACCACCGGAACGTCAAGGCAGAGCTTACGTCTTTCTCAACAAGTCTGCCAAGGCTATGCAATTCATCAACCAACCCTTCTACAAGCTCTCCCCTCTCCACCAGTACTTTGCGCATTATATCGACCCTCCTTCTCCGCCGGGAAATCCAAAGATCGATATCGTCACTTTCCCCAAGGCGTTCGATGACGAGGGACAAGCGATCTTCCCACCACCTCCCCCGCATAGAAGTAAAGAGACGGCTTGGAGAGAAGAGTGCAAGCCGGACCTGGTCGTGCTTTGTACTGGGTACACGCAAGATTGGAGCTGGCTGGGCGAGGGATACCCGAAGGGTCCGGATGAGTGTGAGATTAGAGGCGTCACGAGTGGGAAAGATCTAAGTGTTGCGTTCATCGGCTTTGTGAGGCCAGGTGTTGGTGAGTGGGATGCTCAGATTTGGACGTAAAAAACTAACAGTAGCAGGCGCCATCCCTCCCATTGCAGAGATGCAAGCACAGCTATTCACTTCTCTGAACCAGGGGCGTATTCCCATCCCCATGTCGCCCGAAAACTACCACCTCCTCCATGCGCCCATCTCACGGATCCAATACGGTGTCGACCACTCGACCTACATGTCGACACTGGCTGCTGATCTGGGAAGTCAGCCCGGGCTGTTCACTCTATGGTGGGAGTACGGATGGTTTGTCGTTTTCGTGTATTGGTGAGCTATCCTTCTATCATGACTAGATCAAGCGTTGACTTGTGGCAGTTTCGGAGCAGCATTTTCCACGTTCTACAGACTTGAGGGACCTTATAAGACTGAAAGTGCAAAGGGGATTGTTGAGACGGAGTTGTGGGAGACGATCCGCAGACGGGGGCTTGTGGGCAACATCTTTATGGGCGTGATACCTATGGTACGTAATTTCCATATCAGGGAGCCCAGCTGATATCGTTCTAGCTCTTCTACGCCTTGCTGAATGGACTCGCGTTCGTCTTGGGCTTGGTGTGGGATCTGGCCGCCCCTGTCTTTGGTCTTCCTCCCGCCCCCATGGACTTGTTCCCTCAGAAGGAAGTTATGAAAGCCAAGCAGATGTAGAGAAAGGAGAAACAATGCTGCATCAAGTACATCATGTATCAGAGACCGGGCAGTGTATACAGAGGGAACAGAAGAATATACCATCAGGAGACATATCACGATCAATCTCAAACAACCTTTATGAATACGAAACAGTCTTGATAGACCCAACACACCAGCACGTCAGCTCGCCCCGAGCAAACTTAGCCGTGACGATACGTGGTCCGCGAAACCATCCTCTTCAGCATCCGCTTGCTCATAATCCTCATCGTCCGCATCTATCCCACTGCTGTTATCTCTGTCCTCCTCATCGTCATCATCATCCACCGCCATGCCTCCCCCCCTGGCCTTGCCTTGACTCGCTGCTCTCATGCTGGGGGCGGCGAGAGAGCGGTCACCATTCTCGACAGGCTTGACCCATCGCTTCCACCACTTGCCCGCGAGGTGTTTGATTTCGGGGTCAAGTCCTAGGTATTCGATATTGCGAATGACACCTTGCCAGGTGACGATACCCTTCGTCAGGCAGTAGTTGAAATGTTCAGCATCATGCCTGTATTCAAGTGAGCAAGTCAACTTGGGCAAGGTGAGAGAGAACGTACCAGTAGAGGTAATGCAGGATGACACCGAAGCTGGATGGGTCGGGGAGAGGTACTTGAATAGCCTTGGGGCTTCCGGCGCGGGTAGGTAGTACACGGGCTCCCTTGTAGACGGGCGCTTGCCACACGAGGCGGCCGTTGGCATCTCTTTGCGTAGGCGTAGTAGCTTGGGCGGAGCTCTGGCGGAGGAGGGTGTGGAAGAGTGATGATTGGGTAGTGATGTAGTCCCTATGAAGGGGAAAGACCAGTGAGTTCTATGTAGGATGTCAGGCTTGACTCAACGGTGGTGAGAGGGAACATACGTCTAGAGGATTCTGCGTTTCTGGCAGACTGCCCCGTCGCATAGACAAGTCCTTGGAGGCGAGCTGTTGCGAGCTGGACACTACATCCGGCATCGTCCCCCCAGCGCCATGCGCTCCCGACCCTCCCACCCCCGGTCCTGGCATCCTAGGCCGTGACTGTTGCTCGGCGAAAGATCCAGAGGGTACAGCAGTCCTCATACCATCCAGCTGCATGTTGCCTCTACCATCGTGGGGCACAGCCGTTCTCGGACCTTGGTCGTCGTTCCGGTTAGGTCTATGTGGGCGGCGTAAAGGTACAACTGGGGGTACACCATCAGCGAAGGAACAAAGGAGCCTATATGATGATGGGAAACAACTCACCGATATGGCAATCTGCGGTATCGGGCGAGTACCAATACTTGGGTGCCAGCTCGACGAGCTTCTTGAGCACGAAGCGTTTAGGAATCTCGTCCAGGCTGAGCTGGTATGGATTGGGGTTGGCGTGCTTGGGCGTATGACTTGGTCCGGCGTGGCTGTGGCCAGATGATTGAACGGGCGCTGATTGATGCAGAGGATGTTGTTGCTGGGCAGCAGGGGTGATGGGAGCAGTCAGGAGGGGAATTGGTGATGGGTAGGGCTCGGAACGCAGGCCAGCGCTATGCGTTGGCGTGGGGAGCCCTCGAGTTGAAGACACCCCGGCACTCTGCGATGCGCCTCGTACACCTCGAGTAGGGCTGAGGAAAGCCGGCCTTGCCCCTCGTCTCTGGGACATGCTCATAGAGCCTGTGGGGCTCCCGATGTGGTAAGAAGGCGGCAGGGGGTCTTGAGGAGGTTGCAGGACGGGCGGGGCAGCCTGGCTGGCTTTGGGCGAGGAGGAAGGGGCAGAGTTAGGATGGGGCTCGCTGGGAGGCCTGGCGGCGGCGATATCGCCAGACATGATTTTGGCGGGAGTGCGGGGTGTCCTGGCGGAGGAGAGTGGGATATTATAAGGGCGGGAGTGGCGGCGTGCTGAGCGTGCTGACAGCGACGGCTCGAGGCTGCTGGGCGGCGAATGGAGGAGGCGGAGGGGGTCTGGGCGTTTATGAGACGGGAGGGTGGCGGGGGGAGTGGTGATGGCGAGGGATGCAGCTGATGCACGGGAGTGTGATTGTTCTGGGGTTGAACAATAGACAGAGGGAGTGTGTTGGGAGGGCGGGGGTGTGTCTGCCGCGTGTTGGTGCTGGGGGTACGGGGAGGGAGGGGCGATCTGCTGTCTGGGGGGGGCCTGGGGCTGCGTGGAAAGCGGATGCAGGCTGCATTGTTCTCCCTCGACGTCCATCTCGTCCATCGCTATTCCCGCCTACAAACAACAATAGAGCAATCCTTTCGGCTCGCGTGTTTAGGGATCCCCGTACCTGGCGTTTAACGTCTTTTCTTTGGTCCCGCCCTGAGCTTCGGCGACCGCCGCGCCAGAGAACAATAAGAAATCGAACAGTTTTTGAACAGGGTTCAAGATCCTCAATAAAGGCTACGCAGGTACGTACCACAAGCCGGGAATTGCAAGAGCCCAAGGCTCAAGACCGAGGACCGAGGTCGACCGCAGCGTGGCCGGGTTCCGGCAGCAAGAAGAGAAGCGAAGAAGCAGCGCTAGAGTGAGAGCCGACGAAGACGCAGAAGTGTGCTCGACGCTTGACGCTTGTCTGATTCTGAGGGGGGGCTGAGCGCTGGGTGCTTGTATGAAAGCTATGCGTGTATAGCTTGCAGTAGCGGGTCAGCCATGCTCACGATCACCGATAGACGGACGGACGGCCTTCGAGGCCTCCGAATGCACATATGTACATACCTCTTCGTCCGAAATCCGTGAGATATCCGTCGCCCGACTCTCAAGCTTACTGTACTAGCTGCTGAGAGCTGGAAGAAGCACTCGGAGAATATGTCTAGATTCCTCCTAATGACCTAATGCCTGGTGCGAGCGCGAAGTAGTTTGAAGGTCGGCGATTGATGTTCGATGGGAGCTGTTGCCGTTGGATGATGATCGTCGAACCGGAGCCAATTCTCACAAAGTGCTGAGGAGGCTTTGGATGAGAAGAAATTCTGTGGGGCCTTTGTCAGATCAGCAGGCAACTTGCAGGCTTAAGTATGTGGCGAGACGTTTCGGAATGAGACCAAAGGGTGGTGGCATGGACCTCGTTCCCCGCGTGCCGTTTATTCTTCCCTAATCTCATACCGCAAACCACTTCCGTGCGATACGGCAATGAGAAAGGAAGGTCGCTTTGGACCGTCATCACACTGTGCAACTCAGGCGAACGACAAAGGAGTGAGTCACAGCCGTACTTTGAGTACATCGAAAGATGATGGTAGATGGTAGACATGCCGTCAACAGCAGCGCCGACCTTCCCGACCTTCCTTGTTTGATCAAGAGTGCTGTGTGTGAACAAAGGAGACCCAATTCAAGTATCATCATGCGGTATGCGGTTCAAGTTTCATCTGCAACCTGCACACCGACTCATGTCCGAAGTTCATCTGAACCTGGGATCCCTCAGACCTCAAAAGGATAACGTCTTTGAGGCTTGGCACGCTTGCCTATACTGCCTATACTTGTACCCCCAGTTCTGGGCACTGAGACATGGAGGCCGGCGGAATGCCGCTAGACAGGCGGAGTGGTACAGACAGGTTGACCTACCTCACAGTCTCGACATGCAGGCGCTTAAATTAATGGCTGGTACTATCTGCGTGCGTCAAGGATTCAGCGCGGCGACAGACGTATGCATACGCATGTGCGCATGGGGGTTTACGAGAGCCTCCACGAGGTGAGTCCTTTTCCATTGACCGGCGTTCCGAAGGTCCTTTGCGTTGTGATGTCCCTGACGGTTGACGGCTACTTTCTTTTCTCGCCCGCTCGGCATTTGTAGCTCACGCTGCACGCTGCACCCGGATGAGTGCAAAGTCATGCATAGTTCGAATATGCAGTATGAGCAACCCGCAGCTATGGGTACCTGTGCACATGTATCTTAGGTAGAGAATTAAAGGTGGCGTTTGAAACCTCGCAGCGCTGCGCCACCGGCGCCAAAGCAGCAGAGCTGGTGACTGACCGTTTTGCTTTTCGCTTGCGTTTGTGGGGCCTTGGTCATTGTCAGCAGCTGTTTGTCATTCATATCCGGTGGCTGGTTTACTGGAATCATCTCATCGCCGCCCACCGGCACCTCGAGCACCCATGTGTCTATCTAAACGTGTTGAGTGACAGCGACATATGTATCATTGAGACATATGCATTATTGAGCAACAGCAGTCTATCGTTTTCTCCTGATCTGATTAAGCAACACCAGCGGTCGTTCTCCCGATAGCCTTCATGGCAGCACCCTCCAGCACCGGCAACGCCTTGCCCTCCTTCTGAGGCTTGTCCAAGAAGCCAGCCCTGATAAGCCAAGCAACGTATAGACCAAGCTCCTTCTCCGTCACACCCGCCGTTCTCGGCTCGCTCGAAGCAGCCGCCAACTCTTGCGCGTTGGTGTCGTCAAGCTCGGCAGACTTGGTGCTCGTGGGCAAGTCATCGAGGACGAAATGCAACAGAGGGAAAAGAGCATTGTCTTGCGTCTCAAGAACGTGTTGCTCGAGCTTGGTACGCCAGTGGACGTACTCGACCCGCTTGACGTCGTAGCCGAACGTCTGGAGAGACCCAAGGAGATCGTTGAAACGAAGCTTGGGGTGACCAGTGACGTGCATGATGTTGAAGGCGGATGAAGCGGAGGAGGAGAGGGCGGAGAGTGATGAGAGGCGAGCGACGTGGTCAACAGGGCAGCAGGTGATGGCGTTGTTGATGTCGGGGATGAGACCCAATTGGATACAACCCTTGACCATTCGCCAGATAAAGTCGTCGGTGTTGGTGACTGATACAATTTAGCAAAAGTCTGCACAGTATAAAATGGATACTCACCGGCAGTCTCGGAGTGACCAAGCACGTAACCGGGCCTCAAAATCCATCCAGACAACCCCTTCTTACCAGCTTCCATAATGATCTTCTCAGCGACCCACTTGCTCTGTCCGTATCCAGTGTCCAATCCGGTCCTTCCATCCTCCAGATCATCGCTCTCCGACAAACCCTTGCCAACGGCCTGGACAGCCTCGTCCGCCTTGGCAACGAAGGCCTCAGAGTCGAGCACCGAGGTACTCGAGATGAAAGAGAACTGCTTGCTGTGGTGTTGAGCACAGAGTTGGAGGCAGGTGAGGGTGGAAATGACGTTGGCGGCACGAAGCTTGGGGTAAGGGTAGACCCAGTGGACGATGGCACCGTTGTGCAAGACAGCATCGGCGTCAACGGCGACTCGGTCCCAGGTAGCCTGGTCGAGACCAAACTTGTCCTCGGCAAGATCACCAACAACAGCCTCGACTCGGCCTTGCTTTACCCACTCCTCATCCCAAGCACCACGCCCCTCACCACTGTCGCGTAATCTTTGCAGACCCTGTTCAGGAGTCTTGGCACGGACAAGGCAGATGACCTTCTTCACACGACGACCGAGAAGGTCGCGCAAGATGAAGGCACCGAGGAAACCAGTGGCACCAGTAAGGAAGACGGTGATCTCCTTGGAGGCAAAGTCGGCAGGAAGAGGAGCAAAGGTGGGGAGCTCCTTGCCCAGGATTTCCACGTCGGCAGCATAGTCAATGGCCTTCTCAGCCTCCACGGCCTCTTCACCTGCACCGGAAAGGTCGGCGTTCCTCAACGAATCAATCTCGGCAGCTTGCCCACCAATAGTAGGCTTGTCAAAGACAAGACCAAGAGGCGCATTGACGACAAAGGTCTTTCGGATCTCAAAGATCAAACGCGTAGCCAAGATGGAGTGACCGCCCATGTCGAAGAAGTTTTCGTCGAGAGCGACCTGGGGAGGGGGCGACGGCAAGAGTCTGAGCCAGATGTCGTGGATGGTCTTCTGGGTGGGACTGAGATCGGCTGTGGAGGCAGCAGGGGCAGGGGTCAAAAGGCTCGTGTCGGGGAAAGGAAGAGCAGGCTTGTCGATCTTTCCGTTGGGGTTGAGAGGAAGCTTTCGGAGAGGGAAGTAGACAGCGGGAATACTGTAGCTGGGAAGCTTCTTCTTGAGGTACTCTCGAATGTCCTTGATCAACTTTCTGTACTTCTTGACACCCTTGATCATCTCAGAGCCCAAGTCGAGCGCCTCGTCATCCTCGGCCGCCTCACTAGCACTCATCAAACCCTCAAGATCGCCATCGGTGGGGACAAAGTAGCTGACAAGCACTTTCTCTTCATCCTTGTCACGCCTGACCAAAGTGACATTCTCTCGGACAAGAGGGTGTCGACTGAGGTGGGTGTCGATTTCACCAAGCTCAATTCGGAAGCCTCGGATCTTGATCTGGTCATCGGCTCGGCCAGTGCACTCGACTCGACCGTCAGGAAGGTATCGACCCAAGTCACCAGATCGGTACATCCTGTCTCGAATACCGAACCAGTGCTCGGCAGCCTGGGGGTTCTTGTCCTTGAGTGTGTCGACTCGCTCAACTCCTTGACCGAACCAGTTGGGAACAAACTTCTCAGCGGTAGCGTTGGGGTCGAGGTAACCCTCAGCGAGTCCACCAGATCGGACGTAGATCTCACCCATCTCGCCAACAGCACAAGGCACATTGCGGTCAGTTCTGTTAACGACCAAAAGCTGGACGTCAATCATACCCTGACCAGCGGGGATGAGATCCTTCTGGGTGGTGAGGAAAGTGCTGTCGTCGTTGACGCTGGGGATGGCAAAGTAGGACACCGCACGCTGAGTTTCGGTGGTACCGTACATGTTGATGATGCGGACGTTCTTGGCGAGGGATTGGAGACGGGTACAGTCACGCTTGGTGAGAACGTCACCGACAAAGAAGGCGTTCAGGAGGGTGGGGATTTGGCGAGTAGCCTGAGCTGAAAGAAGCTGACCCATAGCTATGCCATGTCAGCAAGCGTAGAAGAGATGACGATCACAGCTTACCAGGAGTCAAGTGGGTGACAGTCACTTCGCTGTCGGCCATCCACTCGGCCAATCGTCCGGGAGTACCAATGTCATCGGCAGTGGGGACGTGCAACTGAGCACCCAAGAACAGAGGGGTGAACACTAGCACTCATCAGCTTTGATTCCGACTGGATGGGCCAAACTCACTATCACGCTGGATAGGATCGTGCGCAATACCACTCAACATGGTGTACTTGGAGTTGTGGTCCAAGCCAAACCTCTTGCCCATCCAAGGGAAGAAGTGCGTCAAGCTGTAGTGCCTACCCTTGACACCCTTGGGAATACCAGTGGAGCCAGAGGTGAAGGACAAGGTCGCGGGAGAGTCGGGACCGAGAACGACACCTGCGGGCGTCTCAGAGTACTGCTGGAATGGCGCGAGAATGTCTACAGCAGAGCCAGCCGGAGAACCTCTGATCCCAGAAGGAGTAAGTTCGATGGCGGGGACCAAAAGGCGGAGGGAGAGGTTGTCGTTGATATAGTCAGAGACCAGAGGGGCGAGCTTGCCAGCACTGGAGATGACGAGCAAGGCTCTGGGTGTGGACACTGAGAGGTAGACGTTTTGACGGGACGGAGGGTAGGCAGGGTCGACGACAGAGAAGACACCGCCGGCCTTCAAGATACCCATCACACAGACGACCATCTCGACACTTCTCGCAGCATACACCATCACAACCTCGCCCCTTTCCAGACCATTCTTCAGCAAAGAGTGGGCAAGAACATTACTCGCTTCGTCGATCTGCTTGTAGGTGTACATTCTCCTTCCTCGACTCGGCCCGTCCATCATAGTCTGACCTTCCGCCGGCTCGCTCTGGACCACGCAGATTCTGTCCGGGTTGGCCTTGGCATTGGCCGCAAAGATGTCGGGAATGGCACCAGCGAAACCACACCAGTCGAGGTCCGCGGTAGGGTCCGGCAAAGCCGATCCCTGCTCCTGCGTGCGAAGAGGGAGGGATCCGATGGGGTGGGCAGGTTCGTGAGAAGCAGCTGAAGAGAGAAGCTGGAGGAGGGACTCGAGGGTGGCGGTGATACGGCTCTGGGTGAAGAGCAAAGAGTTGTAGGTGAGGCTCAGCTCGAGAGGAGGCACGGCAGTTCGAGTGGTAGGAGTATCGCTGGGAGACGCGAGGAGGAATAACGTCAAGTCTGTGGAGAGGGACGTCGAGGGATCTGTGACCACTTGCGTAGAGTCAAAGAACCTCACTCTGTAAAGAGGGCCCTCTGGCTTGATGTGGTCGACCAAGTCCTTGATAGGGACCACATCAGCCTGAGCTTCCTGCTCTCGCTCCATGACCTGGCGCAACACGTCAAAGAATGTCATCTCCGCCGCAATATCCAGCTTGAGCAGCAATGGGTTGCCGTTGTCGCTCGAGGAGGTGCAGATGACCAGAGATGGATCCGGAGTGTACCTGAACAGCAGGATGGCGAAGGTGGTGAGTAGAATGTGGTAGGGCGTGGGAAGAGCCGAGGCGGGGAAGATGATGGAGAAGTCAAGGGTGAGCCTCATGAGTACGGTATTGAGAGTGGCTGGGATGGGCATTGACTGGTAGGACTCGACGAGCTTGGCCGGAGCTACAAGGGGTCAGCACGATTGAGGGTGTGGTGTCTCTGACGCACAGGGTCTTGGGTAGTCTGTGGGGAGGGCCAAGCTGGGGAGAGCCCCGAGACGGGTGGTCCAGCGGTCGAGGCGCTGCTTGGTGTCGGCCATTTTGGAAAGTGAAGAAGAGACAGAGAGATAAGATAGCCAGTCAACTTTTTACTCAACTCGTCCGTGACTCGCCTTCCGGACATGCCCGCCATCAAAGAAAATTGCTTACGTAACCCATCTCGGCCCCCGCCGCTCGAAGAACGTCTCGGGACGCCGTGTCTGGCTTTTGTTTTTCGGAATCCAGATACTGGTGGCGTATGTGCTTGAATTCGTGTATATAGTCCAATCTTAAGGACCGCCGATAGCCCGCTTGTAAAAGAGCAAAATGTCCTCTGTAGCGGTATCCCTCGAGCCAAGAATCAGGCCTCACGTTCTGACCATCGCCGGTGGGTACTCACCAGTTCTCCCAATGTCGCCAGCTCATACAAAGCGCAGGGAGTGATTCTGGAGGAGGCGCAGGAGTCCAGGCTGACCTCAAAACTATCGAATCATTTGGATGCTATGGTTCATCTGTATTCACTGGGCTCACCGCCCAAAACACATTGGGTGTCCAGGGCGTCCATGTCGTCCCTACGGAGTTTGTCCTCCAACAGGTGAGTGCTCCTACTCTTCTCAACGACATACTAACGCGCGTACAGCTCAGCTCGATCATCTCTGACGCGCCCCCCGTAGCCGTCAAGCTAGGCATGCTCTCCTCTGCGGCCACCATCTCTGCTCTTGCCAAAGAGATTGCCAAGCTCGACGCTACCATCGTCCTCGACCCCGTCATGATCTCGACCAGCGGCCACACTCTTCTCCCAGACGACGCCATTGAGGCTCTGTACGAGCTCTATCCCCACGTACATTACCTTACCCCCAACATCCCGGAAGCCATCAAGCTGTCAAAGTGGGAGGGCGAGGCAAAGACGGTGGATAGTCTGGTGGAGCTTGCAAAGAAGACGAATGAGAGGACCGGCTCTGCAGCTGTCCTGCTCAAGGGTGGTCATGCTGTCGCTTCAAGAGAAGAACTGCTCCCTTACGTCGGCAAGTATAAGATCATCTGGGAGGAAGGGGATGACCAAGACGATACCGTCGAGATTTTCTCCGAGTACATTCGGTCCCTCGATCAGAACATCAAGCAGCAGAAGGACCTTGTCGTCGATATCCTCGTCAACAAAGGGGACGTTGTTGCGTTCTTTGTAGGCAAAAAAGTTGACAGCACCAGTACACACGGCACTGGTTGTACCCTCAGCAGTGCCATCGCTTGCGCCCACGCAACTCTGCCGCAGGATACTCGTAAGTCAATACTATATCTTCGGCATAGTTGTTCACTCGAAGCAGCCGATGCCCAAATCGCCATCTTCAAGCGTGCCATCGCATACACCCAATCTGCCATTGCCACCGCCTTCCCCTTTGGCCACGGGCACGGTCCTCTGAACCATGGCCATCTCACCTTCAGCCGTGCTCTTCCCCCGTACGCAACGAGCCTGATTGCAAGTCTGGTACTGACACAGCCTTTGCAGTCCAACGAAGCACAACCCCCACCCCTTCCTCACCCACTTGGTACAGTCAGACTTGCCTCTCTGGAAATCATATGTCCGCCATCCGTTTGTCGTCCAACTGGGCAAGGGAACCCTGCCCAGAGAGTGCTTCGAGCACTACATCAAGCAGGACTATCTATACTTGAAACACTGTGCGTAAGCCTCTTGGAGTTGGAGGATGTACTGACGAGCTGTAGATGCTAGAGCGCACGCGCTTGGAGCTTACAAGGCCGACAATTTCGCAGACATCGAAGCATTCACCAACATTGCGCTCCACATCTCCGCAGAATCGACCATGCACGTTGCTGTAAGCATCCCCCCCCTCCATACCAATGCCCAGCTGACAAGCCACAGTACTGCGAGAAATTCGGCATCTCCCTGTCCGATCTCCAAGCTACCCCCGAATCAGCCCCCACCTCCGCATACGCCCGTTACATCATGGACATTGGCTCCCAGGGGGACATTCTCGAACTTTACATGGCTGTCGCGAGCTGTCTGGTAGGCTATGGCGAGGTGGGGTTGTGGTTGAAGAAGCAAGTTGAGATAGGGGAGGCCAAGGTGGAAGGGAACTTGTATGGAAAGTGGATTGAGGATTATAGCGGGGATGACTTTTTGGGCGCGGTCAATAGGGGAATAGGTGAGTCTTATCGGGCCACGAGCTGGAACACAATACTTATTGGGGTGCTATAGAAAACCTCGAACGACGAGTGGCCCTCGACCCACCCAGTCCTTACAAACTCGCCAAGCTCACCAAGATCTTCCAAGAGTGTCTGCGGCTGGAAAGGAACTTTTGGGATATGGGGTTGAACCTGCTATAACACAGAGACCAGACTCATAGATCATAGAACAACAAGGACTGTGGAAAATCAGTTGCGGCTAGATGGCATCGTCGTAGTCCAAAAGTCGTATGAAAAGTACAAGATCTCATGCAAGAACGCATGTTTCCTCGCAATCTTGTCACTTGTCCTAAAATCGATGCATCGCACATGTACGCAGTTTGGCTGCGACCACAAAGAAAAAAGCAAAAAAGAATCCACGGTGGTGCTCGAAACCACGACCTCTTGATACGCCAGTTTTAATTAATCGTAGTCAAGCGCACTACCACTGTGCTACGCGGACTTGATGTTGAACAACAGAGTACATCCCTTGTATTCATTTGCTTTACCAATGTTATTGTGCTGCGCCAAGGTATGCAAAGCGGTAGATCATGTATAATTTGACAGGCATATCAAGTCTGCGCAAAGAGATTCATCCCCCATATATACCCCCCCAGAAGAACCACCACGCACCTTGCCCCCTTCCTACCTTAGTCACACGCTCTCCTTGTAATACTCGATGGCCAACGCGTTCATAGCACCTGCCCTAGGCTCCCATATCTCCGGTTGTATTGTTGCCACGCCCCACAGATCCGACGCAATGAGTCCGATGTGAGAGGTTCCTTCTTTTAAAGCCTTTGAAAGACAGGCTCCGCCTTGAATAACTGATCAGCTTATTATATACCGATCATTCAACATCCCGAGGATTTTGCAACTCATCTTGGTATGATGAGCACGCGTCCAGTACTGTGAAGGGATTGGACCATCAACAGGGGTCCAGCCATGTTCCTGTTGATGATAACATACAATGTTGTACCAATAATGTGACCGACGCCATCTAGCCATAAACGTCATCACTCAACTCCCAAACGTCTACTCATTATATGACAACAAATGTTTTTCTCGTCGTGTCACTTTCTTTCCGAATCTCGTGCTCAAACTGCCACCATTCGATAGCTGCAGGTTCTGGCTCTCGAACAGTACCCATGCAATCACTCAACTCCCAAACGTTCTCATTTGCATAATGACATGGACTGCATACTTTTCTTCATAACTTTGTTCACATCTCTTCTTCTTTCTTACATCATCATCTTTCTTCTTACTTGCTTGTCCAATGCGAGCAGCTCAGAAGAGCCATTTTTACTCTTGACCAACACTAGCGACAGCGCCATAGACGCCTCGTCCGTCTTCACCCTCATTCTCAGGGTCTTCCGCCCACCAGTCAGGGAGCGTCCAAGGGCCTTCCTCATCGGCCTTGTGCAAGAGCAAAAGGACGTGGGTGAAGCCGACCTTGTTGGCAACGTCGAGAATGCCATAGGTGATGAGCTCGGCGTCGACACTGATGATGTTGAGGCCCTCGGTGAGGATCCAGACGATACCGAGACCAGCAGAGAGGCTTTCCAATAGTCAGCAAAATAGTATATATGGTAGGAAGAAAGGACATACACGAAGACATGGGCAGAAAGGAGGTAGAAAAGACCCTGGGTGGATCGAAGCCTGTGAACAGCAGCCCTTCGGCCCTGCGCAAAGAGGACGCTCCAGATGGCAAAGTAGGCCAAGGCCGCGATCGCAAACCAGGCCCACTTGGTGCCTGCTCCGTTACCGTGCTTGCTCCAAGGCCATCCGCCCGCCACACTCCCGGCCCAGGCCGCATACACGTTGACCAGCTGCGCAATCACAATGGTTACCGTCGTCGCGGGGCTCACACCCGAAAGACGACTGAGTGTGAGAAGGATGAGAGGGAGGGTGATGGCAGCGTCAATGTAGCGGATCGTAAAGATCTGGCGGAAGAGGTGGACGAGGGGATCAGAGTGGCCGGGAGGGTGGTAGATCGGGACAAACTTGCCGGCACCGATGTGGGTCGCCAAAGAAAGATAGCTCAGAGTAGAGACGAGCAAGATGACGGAAGAGATGCTGCGGGACGGTCAGCCAATCGCGATCCTGTGGCAAGAGAGGACGTACGTACCCGTGGAAGAGGCGGTTTTTCTTTGGGGTCCTGCTGACGAGGAAGACGGAGACGGCGAGGCCGGCAGCAAAGACGGCTGTGAATACCCAGGCAGCGACATGGCCCTTGTGGGTGGCGTGGAGGAGGCGGGGGGTGGCGGAGGGGAAGACGTCTGTGGGGACTGGGAGGTGGGAGTGGTGGGGGTGGTGGGTGTGGGTGCCGCCCGGGGGGTTGACCGAGATGGTGGAGGTGGGCACAAAGTCGGCGAGATAGTCCATGGTGGGTGGTGGAGAGAGGGAAGAGGAGGGGAAGACTCCCGTTTATATATCCTCGCTCGTCATCTGACTCGCCATTCAAAGGTGTGCTCCCAATCCACGCGTCATCCTCCCGTGACTCACCGCCGCACTCGCCGCCACAGCCAGTCCATGTCATTCATAATCACACAATTCTACTTGAAAGTTGTTTTTAGGTATACCGTCTACAACAGCCCTCCTTCCAGCCTAGATCTTATTTCTCAGCCCACTGCCCCCAGCACCTACCCGACTCAGCCCGTCCACCACACAGATGGTCCCCTTGTACTCTGGCAGGTACTTGGCCCCACTATACGGGCTCACCTCGGCCGGTGAGCCTTGGTAGATCGGCGTGAGGGATGCGGGGCACACGTCGAAGGGTGTAAACTTGTCAAAGTTGATCTCGTGCGCGTCCCGGGGGTTCCGGTCAGCTTGAGCAATGACAGCTCGAGCCTGTGTGATTGTTAGCTTTTGCTACACGCATGAATGTATCCACGTACCTGAGTCAAAGCCTGAGCCTGGGCAACACCAGCATCCACCAATCTTCTCGCAAACACCGCCGCCGTCGCATTGTTGCCCGCCTCGGCAAACACCTTCATGGCGCTCCTCACAGCAAGCTGGGTGTGCGCAGTAGACAGTTTGCAGTTGGCAAAGTAGGCAGCAAGCTCCAGGTTGCGCACGACGTTTTCAGGGTCGGCCGCAATCCGTCTACGCTCGACTTCAAGAGTGAGACCGACAACGTATTCTCGAGCAAGCTCTACAAGCTCGGCAACCTCTTCAGCCTCTCCATCAGTCTCGACGACAACCACCAAAGCCTTGTGCAGCACCGCCCTGAACCCAGCCAGCGCCTCTACAAACTTGCCCCTGCCGAACGCCTTGTTTGCCTCTGACACTTCCTTTGCCTTGATGTCTTCCAAAGAAAAGGGAATCGCGGGCAACTGCTGGCCAATCTCGGTAGCTTCGGGATCGCGGCGGACATTGTATCGGATAGGCGGTAAGGAGGCGTTGGCGGGGATGTAGACGTGGGACGTTTGGTAGGCTTGAAGGAATGCAGACTTGAGCGGCTCAAAGTTGACGATACCGACTTGTCGGTTGAGCAGCTACTCTCGATTAGCATTTGCCTGTCAATGAATGTATCCAGACTCACCTGCATGGCAGATTCAAACGCTCCCGCAGCAGCATGATCAATCGCCAAAGGCGAATTCCTCACCCACAAATCATCCTCACTCACGCCAGCCTCTACACCCTGACTCAGATCAGCCTCTGCCTCCTCACCGACCAAGATATCCTGCTCAACCTCTTCCTCCTCCTCCTCCTCCTCGACCGGCACATCCGCATCAAGGTCCCATCCTTCATCTTCATCACCTTCTTCCTCGTCATCTTCTTCAGCTCGCGATGAAGCAGCTTCGTCACCAGCGGCCCAAGCGTCCAGCTGTTCGCCAGCCTCTTCGGCGCCAGCGTCGATACCGCCGTTGGCAAGCGCGCGGTCAAAGAAGCTGTCTCCGAGGTCCCTAAGTGGCCAGTTGGAGGTCTCCTGGGGGAAGACGACGGGGGGAGGGGCGATGCAAGAGTGGCCGGAGTTCTGAGGAGGAGGAGGCAAGTCTTCCTCCGTGATACCAGCCTCTTCAAGAATCTCCAACGCCGTGTCGTCCAATCCATTCGTCTTGGCAGTATAGTACGCAAGAGGGTACTGTCCAGTACTCTTGAGTACCTCGACGCGCGACTTGACGTCGCCCAAGTACAACGAGTTCTGGAATCGAGACATGTTGTTGCCTCGCTTGGCCGCAATAACGCCCATCATGCCGAGCTTCTGGGTGTTGCCCGTGAGGAGGTAGAGGAAGGACAGCTTGTCAAAGTTGCGTGTCTTTTGGTACGCAGTCTCGACAATCTGGTGGTTGCCCTGTTGCAAAGCCGCAGCGGCCAACCTGTCCCACGCTTCCTTTCGGTCAACCGCCCGGGCCATCTCGAGCGCAACAGCAAGGTTGCCGCATTCGATGGCGAGGTCAAACCTGGTTTGCTGGTCCTGGACGAAATGCAGAGCAATCTCGGGGTATCCCTTCTTCTGCAAGTACCCAATGATACTCTGGCCGACGAGGTTGCTCGTGCGGATGATGTGGAGCACTTCATCATAGTTCTTTCGCGTAAGGGCGAGCTTGAATCGGTACTCGGCGGGGTCGATGGTGATGGTCTGGGGCTTGGCACGTCGGTCAAGGCAATACACCACAGAGCCCTTGACTCGGGTAAGATAGACGGGCTGCTCGAGCGTCTTGATGATACCGTTGTCGCCCTGGGGAAGAGCATACTTGACGTGGTTGAGAGTGGTGTAGATGAGGACACCGCTGTCGTCCCAAGCGGCAGACTTGATCCGGATAGTCTCGTGGATGAGAGCGGTCTGGGCAAGAGCCTTGTTGGCGATGGTGATGGTGTGCTTGCTCAAGAGAGCCACAGAGTTGCCGTCGGGACTCCAGACGACATACTTGACGGGAGGAGTGGTCAACTCGGCGAGGATCTTTTCCTGCTGAATGTCAAACAAGACGACGGAAGAAGGGGTGGCGAGCAAGAGCGAAGCAGTACCGCCGTAGAAGATTTCAGTGGTCTGTACAGGGCACTTGATCGTCTTGGTAGTGGTGTTGGTCAAGTCCTTAATCTCGATCGTCTGTCCACCCTTCTCGAGCACCGCAAACCTGTTCCTAGCAACAAACAACGCACAGAACCCGGTACCCCGCTTGCCATCAGAAGGCACATCTCTACCGTCCATCGATGTAGGCGCACCGGGCTTGGGGAGCGTGATGAGCTCGTAGATGCCGCCTTCAGCGGTAGAGGTGACGAGGACGGCACGCTCGGCGGGGTTGAAGCTCAGGGTACGGGGAGGAATGTATTGCGAGCCAAACTTGCGGACCGAACAGAGGCCTTGGTTGGTGGCTGTACCGAGGTCGCCCATGCGGATGACCTTGCGGTCGATATAGTAGAGCTGGTTGCCGGAGAGGGAGAAGGGAGGACGCTCTCGCTCGAGCTTGAAGACGATGAGACCATTGTCGTGGCCTGGTACAGTCAGCAGATGATTTTGAAACAGCTGAATCACTCACCAGCAGCAAACAAGTTGAGGTTGGGGTGCGCAGTCAACACCCAGAACCTATCATGCTCTCTCCTGAACGTCTGCACCGCAGTCCTCTTTGTCATATCCCAAGCCCTAATGGTCTTGTCCTCACTGGCACTCAGGATCAATTCGTGCTTGGGGTGGAACAAGGTCATCGAGACATTGTTGAAATGCCCACGACAGCTGTCGACTTCCCAGGCCTTGGTGTCGGACATTCGCCAGAGCTTGACTTGTCGGTCGTCACCACAAGAGACGATCAGGGGGAGGGTAGGGTGGAAAGTGGCCCAGTTGACTCCACGGTCGTGACCTTCAAGGACATACTTGACAACAGCATCGGTGTTGCCAAACAAGTCTGCCTGGCCCTGGCTGGCGCGCGCGATCTGTTCTTCGGCAGAGAGGGGGGCATTGGAAGCCTGGTTCTTCTTGCGCAAGCCAGAGATGTCCCAGACTCGGACAGTCAAATCCATGGAGGCGGAAATGACAAGGTCGTCCCAGGGGTGGAACTGGGCGCACATGATGTAGTGGTTGTGGCCGGTCAAGATGGCAATACAGGTTCGAGATTGCCAGTTCCAGATTCGAATGGTCTGATCATCAGAGGCGGAGATGATCCATGGGTACTCTCGGTGGAAGAAGACGGTTCGGACGTAGTCGAGATCTGCAACGGGTCAGTCGGTTCAGTGGCACTGAGGGATAGTACTCACGCCCAGTCAAAGTGAAGAGGCACTTTCTCTGCTTGTAGTTCCACACCTTGATTTTGTAGTCGTCACCACCGGAGCAAAAGATGGGCTGGGTGGGGTGGAAGCAGATGCCTCGCACAGGTCCATCGTGCTCGTCATATCTGTCCACCAATGTTCCCATCTGATAGTTCCAAAGCTGGATAGTGCCATTGTGCAAAGAGGCCGCGAGTAAGGGTTGCTTGGGGTCTGTAAGGGTCAGCGCGTGCATGGAGTCAAAGCTGGATGGTACTCACGGAAGGCAATGCCCTTTACCCTCGGGGACTTGCTCTCGAACTACAGGCGGAATGAGCTTCTGTATGGATACGGGTGGAGGACATACCTTGGTGAGCATCTGCATGTTGGGATACTCGGTCTGCGGTGGTGGTGAGCAGGAGATGCACGACGTGACGAGCCACGCGACACAGTGCCACACTCAAATCGCCGCCCCAAAGTCCCCTGCGACCCCAGGCACCGCCTCCACTTGCCACCTCCACCTGCCTTGACCCTGGAGAGCCTTCCAAACCATCAGCCCACCTTCAAGATGGCCCCAACAACCACGGACGAGATCGTGACACATCTCTTTGCCCGGCCCCTGCCGCCCCTCGAACCTGGCACCCAGATCTACGACACCTCCATCATCAGCAGTATATCGGCTTTAGACGAACATCGCTTCGTCAAAGCAGGTAGGTCATGGTGCCATAACGTGTGTACACAGCTGACGCTTCAGGCAGCTCTGCATCTGGCCAACGATGATATCAACCATTGCCATCTGATTGCCCAGGATAGTGAGGGAGACTCTGATGCGGATCTATTACATGCGACTCTGCATAGAAGAGAAGGTGTGTCAATGGTGACCCTTGGTAATGATGCGCGCTGACGCCCGTGTCCTCTTCCTACAGGTGATTATTGGAACTCTAAATAGTAAGTCTTCTCGCTCAAGACTCTCTATACCTAAGGCTGACAGATTCAAGCTGGTACTCCCGGGTCAGAAAACACCCGGTCATCCCCGATATATCAAAGGCCAAGTCGTTCGTCGACGCATGTGAAAAGGTCAAGCCGGGCAAGGACACGCAGCTGAGAGAGCAGCAATGGGAAGAACTGAAGAAGATTGTTGAATGGATGAGGGATAATGCTCAATGAAGACCTTCGGTGATATCACAGCTACGACATGTACCGGCCATACTGCTGCTGCTGCTGCTGCTGCTGGAAGAGGATGAGTGGGCTGTGTTTGCTGAGTCAGTGTTGCAAGACGCTAGGAACGAAGCTTTACGCACTGATGGCACACATTGAGCTTCAAGACAAGATCCGTAAGGTATGCCTTGAGCTGTGGTATCGGCCAGCCGAGCAGAGCAGAACAGCGCAGCAAGCGCGAGTAATGACAGAGCAACAATGGATGAGGATCAACAGCGACGACAACAACGTCTCGGCTCAAGGATTACCGACTACCGTGCAGTAGTCAATGGTCGAAGCGCGTGTTTCGTCCACTGTGGCTGTACACTGTGATACAGTCCAGGCAAACTTTGCATAATCCAAGATGCTCCTCGCACTAGATGTAACATATTCGGCTCATTCTTGAACCATTGTGACTCTATGAAGTGGCAGCTAATCTCGACAAAGCTGACAGAAGCTCCGCTTATGCACAGTCCCCCAAGCTCTGATAGCAGCAGTCATCATCGATACCCTCGATACCCTCGACCGTGCCTTCTTTGCTGAATCGTATACTCTCGATCATCAATCTGGTTCATCACTTCACTGAATGTATTGGTGTGAGGGTCGAAAGAAGTATTATTGGCCCATCTGGGGTTCTTGTTGGGAGACCACTTGTAGTTGTCCCTGAGGTATTTTGGCTGTAGCTTCAAGGGGAGATGCTGAATCGTGATCAGCTTACAAACCCTCTTTCGCATTCCATGGACTCACAAGAGCCGTAAATATTACGCTCTGTTCAATATACCTCTTTGGGATTCGCCTATACGCCAGTCTCTCGTCGAACCGCTGGGCAAAATTCAGTCCCTGGCGGCCTTGAAAGTAGTCGCCCTTGTTCAAGGCCGCTTGAAGGGGATCACCGATGATGAGGGTACTGCCGTTGGCATCTCCAGCGGGAAGGCGGACGATGCTCATGACCACCCAAGGACGGCCCAAGTGCAGCAGCCGGTATGCTATCTGGTAGATGATCCAGTCAAAGTTTGCCGAAAGCGATATCCACTCTGACGCATGAGCGTCTGGGTTCCAATCCGTAAAGCCTCCCTCAGTATGCCGCAGCATGCTCTTGACGGTCCCCCACCGACGAAAGAAGCCCTTTTGAGGATCCGTACACTCTTTGTGTATAGTCTGCCAGTAGCGCATGGTGTCTTGCTTGGCTTTGGGATTTCTCATGCTGGTGGACCAGATACCGTCCGAAGAAAGAGGGCTTTGGGACTGCTCGTCCGTCAGGCGAATGGCGAGCCAGCCCGCGTTGAGCCCTTGTTCGAGCGCGGAGCCGGACCAGATGCACGATGTGGAGACTCCGAGGGCTTGAGCCAGCTGATCGGGAGGGTGAAAAGGTATTTGGGTGTATGACATGCTGCTGCTGGAGAAGAACCGTGGTCAGGGGCTGCGGACGCTGGGTGTTGGCTTTGAGAGATGCTACGAACGATGCTTACCGACGACTCGAAGATGGCCAAGAATGCGAAGACAGGGGCAGTTCCGATATATGCCTAGTGTCTTAGATCGCTGACTGTAGCTGAGCAGAACGACCCAGGTGGATTTGAGGTGGATGAGAAGAAAGAACATTGAAAGAACAGCGGGCCTGGCTTTGACTTTCGTTCGGGGATTGCCGACTCGGGCTACGACTGGACTTTTGCTGGACTTGGTGCGATTTCTTGCATTCCATATGCTTCCAGGCGAACTCTGCATAACCCTAGATCAGCAACTCCCTGCCCAGGGTGTGTCTTCTTCCTGCTCACACCAGCCATCAACATGCTCCGATCAGATCTGCTCGTAAGCTTCGCAAGCATCGTGGCAGGAACGAACCCTGTCAGCATGGACATGTCACTTGGACACCAGCACAGCCAACAGACCGGGTGACAGCTTTGATCGTGTCGAAGCTTGTAAGGGGCCAAGGGCAGCTGACAAGGCAAGCTGTGAGCATCCGGTCAATCACGACTCTTGCCTATATAAGCCGCCTGGCGTTGGACCTCCCCTCTGGCACCCATCTTGAAACCCAGTCTTGTCCGGCACCATGCCCAGCGGGAACAAGCACCTGGTAACAGTACCCGTGGCTATGTGGTGAGCTTTCTTATCTTTCACTGACTGCCGTGTACTATTACAAAACGCCTTACAGGGGTCACATCCGGCCACTCCTCCACCTCATCCTCAATCTCCTTCGCATGCACCCCAAGCTCAGAGTCACCCTCCTCCTGACCCCTTCTGTCACTTCCCGCGTTACACAAGAGATGGAAAATACTCAGGGATTTGACACTCGTGACATGGACCGCCTCCAACTGGTCAATTGCGTGCAGCAGGCGCTCAGAGCGGAGGGTCAAACGCTGGCTGAGCTGGCGGAAGCTGCGAGCTTTACCACAGCTTTGCCTGTAGTCATGTCAGAGCTTTTCAATGGCAACGCTGAGGTCAATGGGAATGTCAACAAGTTTGAAGGGGTGAAACCGACGGTGATTGTCTATGATGTGAGTAACCATCGGGACCTGTTCTCTTTCTCGCTGAGCCGGTTCGCATAGCTCTGCCAACACATGGTCGTCAGCATTGTCAAGCAAGTGGCCATGTTCCTTGGGGTCTCTCTGCCACCGCTCCTCATGTTTCTTCCTTGCAATGCCGCTGCAGCTTTCCAGTGCGTCCTCAAATTCAACCCCGGGAGAAGCAGCAGGCTCATGCTAGACTAGCATGTTTGCTTCCGAGAGGAACAATGGCGTATGGGCCACTGTCATTCGTGACACACAAGAAGAAATCGCCAAGGGAGCCACTCCTGTTGAAGTCTTTGCAAAGGTCGGTGGGCTTTGCGCTCGGTCAACATTTGCCTTCTGACCCTACGTCCTAGCATTCCTATCGCAACACAGGAAAGGCCGTACCTCTACCTGGTCTGCCAACCAAATTTGACTGTATGTCTCGCGGAACTCAGAATCGGGGCCTTGCTAATGTTACAATAGATGAATGGTGTTTGTCGTCACCCTTACCCGTGTCTCATAAGGCCTACTGACTCGTTTGAAAAGGGCCTCATCTTGCTACCTGCCCACTCCAGCCTGAGATGACCATGGCCATCTTGCCTTCTTACCATGCGCTCCAAGATTCTGCCACTAAGGGCGTCATCCTTTCTTCCGCCGCTGAGCTTGAGCCGGTGGCTGTAGAGGCTTTAGAAGCCGAGATCGGGAAGAAGGTGTATATGGCTGGGTGCGTTGTCGCATCTCAATCAAAACGATGAAAGACTGACATTGTTATAGTCCTCAGTTCCCGGGTGTGATGTGGGAAGGCCACTCGACGATCCAAACTCACAGTGCCGACGATGAGCGCGTGGTCCGCTTCCTTGATGAGATGAAGATCAAACATGGCTCTCGTTCCGTCTGCTACTTGAGGTACGCCATTCACACCATTTCTCATGAACATCGCTCAACTCCATTACAGCTTTGGCTCCGCCTTCTTCCCTCTCCTCCGTCCAGAACTCGTCCGATACATTGTCCATACTCTCCGCCAGACTGACACCCCTTTCGTATTCGCTTACGCGTCTGGTATCGGGCCTGTACCCGAGGATCTGTTGCGGGAGTGTGAAGAAGTTGAAAACGGGTGTTTGGTCAAGTTCGCGCCGCAATGGGCCGTGTTAAATCATGAGGCTACTATTTTCTTCATTGTAAGTGTCCAGCGTGGACGATCCCTTTGATAACTACTGATATACATGGACAGACTCACTGTGGAAGTAACAGTACAGGAGAGGTATGTCCCGAGGCACAAAGTCAATCAACGTTACTGATGGGCATCACAGGCCATACTCGCCGAGGTACCCATCGTCTCCATCCCCTTCTTCGGCGACCAAGCACAGTACGCCGCCCTCCTCACCGAAGTCCTTCACGTGGGCATAAACCTCAAGCAGACAAAGACGTTTCAACATCCCGACTTGTACAACACCCTATACGACGGGACTGTGGTTGTGGGCACAGAAGCGGCTGTCAAAAAGGAGATGGTGGAGGTATGGGGAAGGATGAAGGGGAAGGAAGGCGAAGAGATGAGGATCCGGATGAAGAAGGTGAGAGAGACGATGAGCCGGAGCAGAGGGATGGGACTGTCCCTTTTGAGTATGAAGGAGCTGGGGTGCATCTAGTCTTGCATTATGTCGATCATTATGACCGATCTATTCTGATTCTAAATAACCTACAATAATACGTACTCTACAATACGTCTTGAACACCCAAAAAATCCTCCCATTCAAGACAAGCATAAAAATAACAATAATGTAACAACCTACAGGGCATATCTGAAAGATGGATTCTCCACATCCGTCATATCCGCAAAGTTCCCTACCTCAATCTCCCCCGTGTCCCCCTTCTCGGCTTGCAATCGATCTCTCCTCCTGTTTTCATACACATAATACAACCTCAGCGCCCCCGCCATCGGTATCGTCGCCGTGAAGCATACGATGCACGCAAGCATACCACTCCTGTAAGCAGGAGTCTCGGTCGCTTTCCAGAAGAACTGTCCGCAGACGTTGCCGAGGGCGTAGGCAATAAAGACCATGGCACCCACGACCACTTTTTTGGTGTACCCCACGACGTTGGCACCAGGAGCGCCAAAGACGACACCCAGAGAGGCGACGTATGAACCAAGGATGTAATAGCCAAACACTGTTAAGACTTGGTCAGGCCAGATCAATGAAGAGGGAAAGAGGACGTACGAAGAGCACCACTTTGACGGGTCTTGTATTGGATGATGACACCGATTAAACTTGGAAGCATGTACGCCATAAGAACGTAAAGGCGAGAGTTGGGTACTTTTCTGGCGATGATGGCGCCGGTCAGGGGAAAGACGATTTGCATGGCGGCCTGGGGTAGACCCATGAGGATGGTCTGGAAGGAGCTGTAGCCGTATGATTGCAACTTGGCGTATGTCAGCCTTTACCCATTGTTGCAAGGAATTGCAAGACTCACGATCAGGTGCAAAAAGTTTCCAATTCCACCATTGGGGAGAGACAGACTGAGGGTGATAAAGACATAGGCCCATCCTTGAGGGCAGATCCACGGGCAAAGAGCTTCTTTGACTTGGTACCACTTGAACTGTTTGCTCCCGAGTGACGACTTGTTGGCTCGTACGCGTTCCAGAGCAATACGCTTCTCGTGGGGTGTGAGGATCCGGCAGTTCTGAGGGTTTTCAGGGCAAAGCAGGATAAAGACGATACCAAAGAGGACGGTGAATCCCCCGCTATCAAGTTGTCAGTGGCATGAAAGAAGAATACCAGAAAAGACTCACTTGACGATGAAGATCCATGCCCAGGACGGTATGTTGCTCACATGGATATGCCCCATACCATAGCTGACTAGGGCGCCAATGAAACTACCCAGCCCGTTGCAACAGTACCAAAGCCCGACGCGTAGTGGCTGTTCCTCGCGCTTGTAGAAACGGCTGATGATGAGGACGAAACCAGGCGTGACTAGCGATTCGGAGCATCCCAACAGTGTTCGGACAGCAGCGGCACCACCAAACGTTCTGGGAGCTGCCATGCACATGAGCAGACCGCCCCAGATGATGATAGAGGCGCCCATGGTCTTGGAAAGAGGGAGACGCTGGAGGATGTATCTAAGCGAGGTTTCAGCGCGGGGCCCAGGGACGGAGAGATATGTATCATTGGAGATAAGGACGTACGAGCCTGGAAACTCGAAAGCGAGGTAACCAAGGAAGAAGACGCTCCCCAGCCACGAGTACTGCTGGCCCACGAGATGGAGGTCAGTCCGGAAGTCAAAGACGGCGGCATAGCTACAGAACGAGGCACAGCTCAGCACAAGTCGAATCAAGCATAGATAGAGAGACGCACCTCATGGCAGACCTGTCGACGTATTGCAATGTGTAGGCAATCATCGTGAGAGGCAGCAGTAGACAGTCGAGCTTCCTCAGTACCCTTCTGTTCTCTTCTGGGGATACTTCGATGATGGGGAGGTCGTCGTAAGAAATGCCTTCGCCCCGCCCCAAGTCTTCCAGGACGTTTGACCTGGCTGACTCTACTCGTTCCAAGGCTTGGACCTTTTCGCGATCAAGGACTTCGGGGACGGGCACTGCCTGGGAGGCCATGGTGGATGACTTTTCGTCTTCTATACTCGAAATCATAACGGGACAGGTTTATGTTTTGGCGGCGACAATGAGTACGGGGAGTGGATATATATGACTACAACATGGCGATAAGAGATGCAGGTGGGACGTGGTTGGTGGGGCGAGTCGGGAATCAAGAGATGGAAGTCGGTCATATGATAAGAGAAAGAGCGCAGCCGGCGCGAGGCACTCATCAGGGGCGCGGACGGACGGAGTGGACTCGTCCGACATCGGTATCAAGCCGATGCATTTATTATTTGGGTCGTCTGTATACATGGTCCCACTGGAGAGGTTCCAGTAGACAGAAGAGGCAGATGCATGTCGTGTCCTAGAAGGCGACACCTCGTCTCATCGCTTTCCAGTTTTTCTGATCCCCCTTGAGCTTCTCTTGTCTTTTCAGCCCTTGCAAGGTCAGCGAGTCTATTTTTTGCGATTCTGGATCGGTAATTGGCATCACGAAGACACCGAATTGCTCAAAAGTCACCGATGCGAACCCTTGATCAATGATGACCGATGCGAACCCTTGATGACCGATGCTCGCTATCCCCTCCTCGCCAGATAGCGTGACAGGACCCCCCGTGGTCCTCATATAACCCCTTCTCTCCTACATTCGAGTACCCACCACCTCCCGCCATGCCCACCGCCGTCCGACCGCCCACGACAGACATTGCCGCCAATGATATGACTGGCGAGCAGCTCGCTTTACCCACCTCCCAGAAGGTATCCGCCATCACAAAGCATGGCAAGGTCACCGGCGGCAGAGTTAAGAATGGGGCCCAGGTCTTCCTGAGTGAGTTATCTATCTAGCATGCGCAGCTCTTCTGACCGTCCTCCAAGACGTGCCCTATGGTGTCGACGTCCCTCGATGGTCTGATCCCCAGCCTCTGCCCGAAGACTACAAGTACCCCGACACTCCCTTCACCGTGGACGGCAAGTACTGTGCCCAGCCAGAACGCACCTACAAGCAGACCAACACCATTCGCGAACGTCTCGGCCTCGGACAGCCCACAGAGAACCCCTTCTTTGCCGACATCTACATTCCATCCGACTATGCCCTCTCGTCTCCCGGCGAGCAGCCATTGCGTCCTGTCCGCGTTTTCATCCACGGAGGCTTCTTGCAGTATGGTAGCACTTCTGGCAACTACTACAACCAACAGTTTTTCTCTGCCGAACATTACAATGAAGTCCGCGTCCTCCTCGGGCACCGTGTATCGGTTCTAGGCTTCCTCGGCGTCGACGAGCCTGCAGTCTCTGGCAATTTTGGGTTCAAAGACTGCTGGCTCGGTCTCGAGTGGGTCAAGAAGAATATTGCTGCTTTCGGTGGTGATCCTAGTCAGATCCACCTGAGTGGGCTGAGTGGTGGCGCTCATGTCGTGCATCAGCTCATCCACCAAGCTGCCCGACTCGCCCCCTCACCTGCGCCTTTCATCACTGCCCACCTGCAGTCTAACGCCATCCTCGCCGACCCTCTCACTCCTGCTGTGAGAAAAGTGCAATTCGAAGCGTTCTGCCAAGCTCTTGGGGTGGACGCAACTACACCCAACATGCTCGACGAGTTGCGGGACACTGCCAAGTATCCAACGGCCAAGATCACGAAAGCTGTCCAGGATATGGGCGAACTTTGTACTTTCCGAGGGGTGGTGGGCTCTGATGGATGGGTGCGGGCTGACGAGATGGAATTCCAACAATCTGGTGGCCTTGCGCGAGGGTTGAGGGATGCTGGGGTCAAGTGCATCGTCGCCGGTGATGTCAGAGATGAAGTAAGTCTCTGTCAACTGCTCATCTGATACCAGAGTTGATGAAAAGCAGGACAGCTTCTATAGAGGAGTACACCCAAGCAAGGTCTACGACGAACTGGTCCCGAACATCGCCCGATACTACCCCTACGAACAATCCCAGCGCTTCCTTGACTCTTACCCACCCATTCCCCGAGACTCTACTCCCCAGCAGCTCGACGATAGACTTGGTCGCGTATGTTCCTCCCTCTCTCCCCTTATCGTCACACTGACATCTTGCAGGTCCTCGCCGATGGTCAAGTTCACCTCCCAGTCCGGCTGCTTACCAAAGATCTCACCGCCCACTCCTTCCCGGCGGTCCGCTACGCCATTGAATTTGTCCCCGTCTCACAAGGCCCTAAAGTATCGCATGGTACTGATTTGGCCGTCCACCACCTGCGTCTTTCAGTCATGGAGCCAGAGGAAGTGAAGGCCGCTTTGACTTTCAACAAGATTCTCTGGGAAGATGTGGACAAAGCCGTGAAGGGAAATGGGTGGAAGGAGAAGGCAGAGGAAGAAATGTTGGTGCTGAGTAAGGGTGGAGAGACGGAGTGGAAGGCTGATTGGAGGTGGCCTTTGTTGAAGGCAGCGGAGAAGGTCTTTAGGCCGTAGAGTCGTAGAAGGCACATGATTTTTGTATTTTATCGTTGGGCTATTGAACGGAAACCGGGAATGGGTGCTTTGTATATGCCATTATAGGTTTGCTGGCGAATGAACGGTCCAACACATTACCGCCCCACCTGGCTGCTGGATGTCATGCTCCTTCCCAGCCACATGATCAAAATAACACATGCCTATTGCGGATGCCTTCGACCTAGCGCAAGGGGCGGGGATTGCTTCCTTCCTGTCGCTCCAGGTATCGTGGAACCGAAGCCTCTGGTCTTCAGCCTCCTTACTCGTTGTAGACAAATATCATATACAAGCAGCATGATTTAAGCATAGCATAGGTGTGCATCATAGTACCTTGTACCATATACAAAGAGAGCACTTATATATACATTGCACTTGAGCGAGGAAGGATCCCAATCCTTCGCTGATAATGGCCATGACACAAAAGAGCGTGATCGTACTATACTCTCCGTTTTGGATTGGTTTCCTTTTCTTTTTCAAACCCGACCGAAAGAGGACCCATACAGAGGTGCACCCGCCGCCTGCATCTGCGGCAATGAGCCCCCCAGACTCCCTGCAAGCCCCAAAGCCAGATTCCCATCTGTGCCGCCCCCAAGATCGCCCATCCATGCAAAGTCAGACATAAACATGTCCATGTCCATCCCGACTCCCACCCCGGTGCCCGCCACTGCCGCTAAATCTGCAATGGCCCCTACCTGGCTGCCTTCCTCTCCCATCCCGGGCAAGCTAGACATGCCGGGGAGGATTGTGAAGCGGGGGCTGCTCGATCGTTGTGAGCCTGACGTCGGAACAGGAGGAGGAGGGGGTAGGTATTGGAGCAGGCGGCGGAGGTAGAAGGAATGGAGTTGGGGCGAGTCGCGAGTGTAATGCGAGGCCGAATCGAGAGCGTTAGCTGCTTTGGTGATAAGACGGCGACAGTGTTCGATCTCGGGTGAGTCAAATTTATAGGGATGTTGACCCCTGCAGAGCTGCCAAGGCGTCAGGTTGAGTCCATTGTCAGACAAAGTCACTCACACTCGACAATAGAGTAGCAGCATACAGTGCGAAATGCAGGAATGTGTCGGAAGCAAAAGTCAACTGCTGCCTATCTAGTGCTTCGAAACGCATCAAAACTGTCGTTGCAGCGTTCAGACAATGGTGGAAAGCAGGGATAGAGCTTGGCGTTCCGTAGTCTATTTGGTCATCTGGTGGAAGACGGAGGGTCTGGTTGACCAGGAGGAGATTGAGATTGAGGCAGAGAGCGGAAGACCAGATCCGTGGTTTGGTGACGTGTGAGGAAGTTCCCCCGACTATACCCTGTCAGCTCACGTCTTCTTGCTGTTAGCAGTACTCACCATCAATGATGTCCCGAATCCAAGCTTTCGATATGACGTCCCAATCCTCATTCATCGAGCGTGTCAAGATGGAAAGCGATAAAGCACTCCTATACGCCGTCCCCTCCGGACCAGTCCCAAGCAACAAATCCCGATAGTGGAGATACTTTCGTCGCAACTCGACAGAGCAGACCAGCTGCGTATCCCTCAGAAGCGTCTCTGGCATACTCCGTTTGAGCCAATGATGACTAACAAACTCAGCTAATTGCATCATCATCACAAGTAACATTTACTCACGCTGAAGCCACCAAATGGTCATTCTGGAGGATAAGCATCGTTTGCCTGAATTGCATGGCGAAAATTGAGTTGGCAAAGAACAAACAAAGCCATACACGTTGTCGCGATCGTAGGCAACGTTGCTGATCTTCATTCATCCGGTCCAGCTCTTCTTTGGGTGGTATCCGGCCCAAATTTAGCTCCTTGCCCATCAACACAGCCTACAAATGGTTTGAGCACACTTCCTTTCATGTTGTGACTGCTTACTCTGTTGATATAGTATCCAGCCTTATCATCGTCTGGTTCCTTGTGCAGAGCAAGAACGATCATTGCCCTTACCGCGTTGATGTCTATGATAGCTTCTGCAAATATCCATGTCAAATTGTCCCGGGCAGATACGAGAATTTGCTGGTGTACCGAACGAGCGGATTCGGGGGAGATTTCGTGTTCGTTGGATGTTATGGAGGGGAGATACCGTGATGTGACGCAGACTACGCTGTGTAAGCTTACACAAGTTGTCTCAAAACGACGACTCACGGATAGCAGTGTAGAGAAGAGTGGATGCGTTCCTGATATAGTCGTGCGTGTGTACCGCAGGATCGAGCATTGGCATCGAGTTGTTGTGGTGCGCCATAAACCTACAAAGTCATAAGCCCCTCAACTTTTCAGCCGCAAGTCCACTTACAGACGGAACAATGCTTTTGCTTCTTCTTCCGACACTACGCCCGCTTTCACAGGATCAGGCGCGCTATACCCTCCTCCGTTTATGGCCGCCTTAGCCCTTCTTCTCGTCTCCTGATCTTCTCTATTCTCCTCGTCCTCATCGGCATACCGGCTGTCTTCCTCATCTTCATCCGATGACAATTCGTTCTCATAATCTTCTCCGATCATGTGCTTCAAGGACATTGGCTGTCTTGCTCCATAGTTGCGGTGTTCACTCTCATATCGCGTACTGCTGTAGCCCTTGGAAGGGACGGCATCCGCGGGATCGGACGAGATGAATGGGAAACGGGGGTCGCCAAAGGACTTCGAAAATACTTCAGTACGCTCTGAAGACTGGTAATCGTATGGGCGAGGTTGTGGGCGGCTTTTGGAAGGTTCTGCCTCGGGCGCCTCTGGGGATGCGGCTTCAGTGCCGGCACCAGTCCTGGTCACAGTGAGCTCGGGCATGGGACAATCAGAATGGTTCGTCGGTCACTCACGGCCTCTTGCGTTTCCGCCCTCTGTTGTGCTTTGTAAACTCGCACCCAAGGTTCATCCGCTCGCATCTGGAGCATGGGAAATGGTGGTCTGGATCTTCTGGATGGGGCAGGCATCGGATCTGAAGCGGTCAGCGGTGGCAGAGACAGAGGCGGGGCGGGGGGCGTACCTTGTGTCTGCGGCATTCGTTGCAGGCTGCTCTGCCGCGCTCGACCTTGCCCAGCTTGCGCTTTGGGGGCTCTTCTGTGTCCATTGTACGGATGAAATAATAACACCAGCATCACATCCGCGCCGTTATACTTAGTTATCGACAGCGTACGCAATTTGATCCCGTCGCAGTGTGGCGCAGTCACACTCCCTATCTCGGCTACCAACAGCGATGAACACCGAACGTCGGATCTCGACAATCACATAAATGATAAATCACATAACACATCGCATGTATATTCGCCCTCTCGACCAGCAAAATCATGTCCCAGTACGACATCGTCATCATTGGCTCAGGAGGTAGGCATCCTTTCCGTTATCTGGCCCGGTCCATGCTGACACCTCCAGTCATCGGCCTCTCTACCGCCAGAGAGCTTGATAACCGCGGCTACAGAGTCGCAATCGTCGCGAAAGACCTCCCAGAAGACGCCACAAGCACCGGGTTTGCCAGTCCCTGGGCGGGCTGCAACTGGTTCTCTTTTGCCCAGGGCGGCACACCCGCAGCCAATTGGGATACCATCACCTACAAGCAGTTTGGCAAGCTCGCCGAAGAGCACCCCGAGCTTTGCGAAAAGATTCCCTTCTGCTCCGTTTGGGACACACCAAAGGGCAAGGAGGGGACTCCCTGGTTCCACAAATTGGTCTCCGACGTATGTGTGACAACGAGATCCTTGTTTTGGTAGCTGACGTTGTCTAGTATAAAGACTTGAAGGCTACGTCTACAGCTCCTCTTCCTGGAAAGAAGGCTTACGGCCATTCCTTCACCTCTTACGTCCTCAACGCTCCTGCCTACCTTGCCCACCTTGGCGCCGATGTTCGTTCTCGCCACATCCCCATCATCCGTGCCCGTCTGTCTTCCCTCGACGAAGCCTACAGCCTTCCATCCATCGGTCCAGTCCAGCTCGTCGTGAACGCTACCGGTATGGGAGCAAAGAGCTTGATAGGTGTGGAAGATGACAAGGTGTACCCGGCTAGAGGGCAGACAGTCCTGGTCAAGGCGCCAGGTTTCAAAGAGTGTGTGATGCAGACGGAGGGGTTCAATGTCGCTCCTGGTAAAAGTGAGTTCTTATCGTCTTATGATGACTCCCCAGCTGATACAACCAGAACCCATCCCTCCTGCCTACATCATACCCCGTCCGGGCCCAGAGGGTCAAGTCATCCTCGGAGGCGTCTATCAGCCAAACGTCTGGGACACTCTTCCTTCCCTCACCGAGGCCGAGCGCATCCTCAAAGACTGCTACGACCTTGCCCCCGCCCTAGCCGGACCCAACGGCAAGTCCTGGAAGGATATAGAGATTGTTGCCCACAATGTCGGACTCCGACCAGCGAGAGAGGGAGACCCACGGTTGGAGTTGGAAGAGCGCGAGATCGGGCAAGGCGCAAGCAGAAAGGGGGCTTATGCAATTGCCCCTGCAGTGGGCAAGCTGGGACACAAGAGGAAGGTTGCGGTCGTGCATGCCTACGGGATCGGATCTGCTGGGTGAGTGCAGCGTCATTACCTGGAGTGGTGACTGATGATAATTCAGGTTCCAAGCTAGTTTGGGAATGGCTGCAAACGTCTCTGACCTTGCTATCGAGTATCTTACAAGGAATCCTCGTGCCAAGTTGTAACACATTGTGACTCGCCTGCCCTGTCTTTATTTGCTAATTTGCTTTCTATGTACTGTCTTGGGACTTTGAGCTATTACCGGATTAGCTCACGCATGTATGGTGGAGCGCTCGGACCACCGCAGAAAGCGAGTCGTGTCGTGATTGTCATTTTTCTCTACTCTCTACTTTTGACCTCTCTACTTGGAAGTTTCGATATCCTCCTTCACACTGCATCAACCTTCTCTCTCTGTCAAACTCCCGATCATACTCTACAGGCCGAAAATCACCACCCAGCATCGCGTTGACAAAGGCATCCAGAAGCAACAACAGCATATGCTCTGAAGAAATCGGACCTTGAGCTCGTCTCATACATGCGTGTATACAAGGCGTATCGTCTATCACATCATCAGGGCTATGCGACATCGCTAGGATCGTTATTCGAAAAACTTGACAATCTCCTTCAACTCGTAAGGCTTGATACCTCCCTTGGGATAGCAGATATACGTCAAATCCCCACTAACCCCGAATTTCTCCCTAAAGCCAGCCTTGTTGTCCAACGACAAACTCTTAACTATCCCCTTATACGTCCTCTCCATGAACCTGCCCCGGACTTCTTTGATACCGTGTTTAGCGACAAGACGCTCGGATACAGCGGTCCCGAATGTAACGGGCTCCCCAGGTACGGCAGAGAGGGCAGCTTGGACAGTGGATTCGATGGCGTCGTGAGGAGAACCAGGAAAGTCCAACGCCCACTTCAGCTGGTAACCCTTGGTGGGAGCAAGCTGCGCCAGCACCACCAGTGTAACCACTCGCATCTCGCCTTTGCCCTCGCCCTCCTTCCCATGCTCCGACTCGGCAACAAAGTACCGCCTATGCTCTGTGTCTCTCCACGGCGCAACTTCCGTCAAGTGCACCTGCTTGCCCTTCTCATCTCTCCCAGACTTCCACTCTTCGATTCTCTTATCGCACTCTGCGCGTATATCGTCTGTGGGCTCAACCTCGCGGATTTTGAAGACGCCTTTGTTGATCTTGGAATTGTTGATCACGGTTGGGTCGGCCTTGTCGGAGTCACTCCGCTGCTCCTGAGTACAGCTCAGAGCACGCCAGCTAAACTCCTCGGCGAGGATCTCCTCCATCGTCTCTGATACAAGCATCCAAACAGGACGCCGTTTGACGTCGTGTTTGACAAAGTGAATGAAGCGGCGTGCAACTTCCTTCTTTTGCTTGTCGGCACAGAGAGGGTCGCCAGTGATCATACAGAACTTTTCACTGTGGAGAGAGTACCCCACGGCAGCGCCAGTTTCCTCGTCGCGCCAGATCTCAAACCTGTCGTCCAACCATGAGGTGTTTGTGGCGTCGCCATAGTTGGCAATAAGGTTCTCGATGGGAGGAGGGTTCTTGGGGTCAATTTCTTTGGTCGTGTCGGCGTCGGGATGAGGAAGGGTAGGGGCTTTGTCGGGAAGAGATTGGGGGTCGCGGTGCCACATGGTGGCAAGTCGCACATCAGGGAGATTGAGGAAGAACGACACAATCCTCTCCACTCCCAGACCTGCACCTCCATGAGGAGGCATACCCCACGCAAAAGCCTGCAAGTAGTCCTCCATCTCCTGCTCATTGATCCCGGCCTCTCGCATGCTGGCCAGAAGCTTATCATGCTGGTTAATTCTTTGTCCTCCAGTGCAGATTTCTTGCCCACGGACAAACATGTCGAAAGAGTTGGTCACTGTGCCGTCGTTGGCGGTGTAAAAGGGACGCGCGGATTTGGGGAAACGGTCAATGACGTAATAGTCGGCGCCGTACTTGGCCTTGACAAGCTCCCCTAGACGGATCTCGTCGGGGGTGTGGAGGTCTTCCTCTTCGACATTTCGGCCGTCTTCGCGGAGCATGAGGATTGCCTCGTGGAAGGGGATGATGGGCGTCTGATCCAGAGCAACAAAGTCGTCGCTGGGGTATGACTCGCGTACCCTTTCGAGCTCTTGCGACATGCCTTGGATGGCTCGGAATATATTCTTGAGAACGGCATCGAGCACGTAGAAAACTTCATGGTAGTCTTGTTGAATGGCCATCTCTATGTCGAGGCCCGTGTATTCGCATAAATGGCGGTGGGTGTTGCTGTTCTCGGCTCGGAACACCGGTCCAACCTAATTCGAATCAGCGAGGTTCACAGCGCGCAGAGGCTGAACTCACTTCATACACTCGCCCAAAGTCGCCGGAAATCGCCATCTGCTTCATCAACTGTGGGCTCTGCGCCAGGAATGCCTTTCGCCCAAAGTAATTGACCCTAAACACTTCTGCGCCACTCTCCGTCGCTGCCGGCTGCAACTTGGGCGTGTTGATCTCCAAAAAGCCTAAGTCATCGAGCGTATCTCGGAATACCTTGAGCAACTTGGCCCGGATTTTGAATATAGATTGGTTGGTGGGATGGCGAAGGTCGAGTGTGCGGTTTTTGAGACGGGTGGACTTCCCTGGGCGGTTGCCATGAGACAAGCTGAAGGGGACGAGGTTGGAAGCCTCGACCAGGTGGATCTGCTCGATACGCAGCTCGAGAGGGGTGTCGACATGTGAGGTGATGGGCTTGGGCGGCTCTTGCAGTACACCTACCACCTGGACGATGGATTCGTCTGCGAGGCGCTGGACCCACTTGACCATGTGTTCCGAGCCCTCATCGTCCGACAGCACAGCCTGTATGACAAGCCCGCGTTGGCGAACGAGAACAAAGTCGAGATGGGCAGAGACGTCACGTTGCGCGTGGATACGTCCTCGAATAGCGACCCTCCGACCTGCAGGGAGCTGGACAACCTCTTGCAAAGGAATGATGTCTTGAAGCTCCTCTACGTCACCATAGCTCGCGCGTGTCTCGGGATCTTCTGTTTGCTCGGCATGCTGGTCTGAAATCTGCCGTCGTCGCTCAATCTCCTCGACTTCCTTCTCCTGCTCTGCCTTCTTCTGCTTCTTCTCATTCTCCACCTGTTGCCTCTCCTTCTCGTGTTGTTCCTTTCTCTCCCGCTGTTCTGCTGCTGTCTTGCCAGTGTCGCCACCGTCACCGGGCGCCGCGTCCTTGTGGATGCGAGCTGCGATGGTCGAGGGTTTGAGGGCGTGGCCGAGCTTTGCGATGGGATTGGGGGATGATTCGGGCATGGTGTGGGGTATGGGAGAGAATGGAGAGCAGAAGCGAAGAAATGTATAGGGTCTATTTTTTCAACGGCATCCAGCTCACACGACGGTGAGTCACCTCCGCTTGTGACGTCGCCTCGACTGGAATACATACGAAGCACCGGGGGGATCGGAATCGAGCCTAGCAGAGCCACGGTATGTATCCCTCCACGACGTCCAGTACACGCAAGAACATCAGCTGATGATCCAGAAACTCCTCTGCTACTGCAACCTGAATCACCACCAGAAAGCCATGGCACAGAATCAAAATCACCATCACCGCAAGTATACCCACCACCCCCATGCCTCAGATTCCCAGCCCCCTTACTGGGCTCTTGCGCTACGTGCAAAGGGCTTGCGAAATGCCGCTGTCATTGGGTTTCAAATGCACCACTACGCCTCCCCCGCTGCTCCTTCGCCGACGCGCACCAAGTGGATCGACGCAATCTTGGGCGACAAGCAGGGCAAAAATACCATTCGGCTTGACATATATGAGCCCAAGGAAGCCAAAACTGGGAGGCCTGGCATGATTGTCTTTCACGGTGGAGGATTCGTGCTGGGTCATGGCACCGATGATGCTCGGTGGGCTGCTGCAGCCAACGAGACTCTCGGGGCAGTGGTCATCGCAGTCTCTTACCGGTGTGCCCCCGAAAATCCCTTCCCAGTACCCGTTGAAGATTGTGCCAGCTCCATCGTTCACTTGGCTCAAAATGCCAAAGCCTATGGTGTAGATCCCACCAAACTCTTCCTCTCTGGGTTTTCAGCTGGGGGCAACCTGGCCTTCTCCAGCTATCTGCTTCTTCGCAGCGCAGCCAAGTGGGGTTACGACTTGCCTTGCGACCCACCTTCAGTACAGGGCATCATTGTATTCTACCCTTTACTGGACTACTCGAAGTCTAGACCCGAGAAGAGAGATGCGTGCGCCAATCCCGAATTCACCCTTGCCCCCTCACTCACCACCCTTTTTGATTCATCCTACCTACCGCCTGGCATCGACCTCGTCGACCCTCGCCTTTCTCCTGGGCTGGTTTCTGACGAGCTCTTGGATACTCTTCCTGCCGTACACATGACCTTGTGTGAATATGACATGCTCCTAGCTGAGGGTCTAGACTTTCAAAAGAGGCTGGAGGAGAGGGGCAAAGATGTCAGCGTCAGGCAAGTGCCGGGGGAAAAGCACGCGTGGGACAAGCCGATGCCGCTGTACCCAAAGCCCAGCGTGAAGGTGGAGTATGATGCCGCATTGGACGTTATCAAGGGGTATTTGTCGGGGAATGGCTCTACGAGTGAGTTTGGTTCATCTATAGAAGTCGGGATATAGACTCATGAAGTTTCAAGAAGCTCAAGAGTCGACGAATGGAAGTGACGGACTCTTGCAATGAGCTGTGACAGCGGTCGTCCCGCTGTCAAGGCCATCTGTAGCCCGTAGGGCATTTATAACAAACAAGAGTATCAATAGACATTTGTACGAACAACGCATCAGCATCCAGCGCGCTATGTATTGCTTCGTATAGTGCCAGCAGATGGACTTTGTGACATATCCACGAGAAAGTTGTCGACTAATATTTGTTCTTTCCTCTCTTCTCCTCCCTCTCCTCACGCCTGGCGCCACACACCAACAACATCATCTGCATAAGCCGTGACCAATACGCGTATATGTTTAGAAAAGTCGTAAAATAGAAACTGAAACCAGAGCAAAACAAAGTGTTCCACGCCGCCACCTAAGTAGAGTGTCGGATGGGGGTGTTTGTCTGTAGTGAAAGGCGGGTAAGGGGTATATGACAGCAAGGAAAAAGGCGAGTTAGCTGGCAAGAAGGTGTCAAGCCAGATTGTTTTGGCTCTTTCGCAAGAACGAAAATCTTGGCCTTCTCTCCTCTTGCACCTCCTGTCCTTGCTGTCCTTGCTGACCATCCCCGATGACACCTTGCCCTTGCACCTGACCAAACCCGTACCCTCCATACCCTCCCTTTCCACTCCCGTTCCCATTGACCCCCCAAAACCCTCCGACTGCTCCGCCCGGAGCAGCTTCTTCCCTCCCCACTTCCTCGCTCTTCCTCCATCCTTGCAGTGCACTCGGCCACCCGCCTTCGTCCGCCCCGCCTGCCACCGTCCCGGGAGGAACAGCAGTAGACGTAGGCGCATTGGACGAGCCAGATTGCCACCTCTTGCCCAAACCCAGTCCGCCCCATTTGCCAGGCGTACCGAGCTGCAGAGCCTTCTTCTCTCCCTCTGTCGGTGCGAAAGGGGAAAATTCCCCTACTGCACCCGCGCCTACAGGAAGTGGGACATCAAGGGCAGGGGAAGACGAGGAAGCTTGGAGGCCATAGGGCCCTGAAGAAGGGGCTGGAAGATGGAGAGAGTCGTTGGAGGATGTGAGAGAAGGGTGGTGAAGGGCACCGAAACCCGAGAAGGGGTTAGAGTGCTTGGTAGATGAAGGGATGGAAGGTAGAGAGAGGTTGTCGGAAGACATCGTGCCCGAGACCCACCGCCTCGATCCTGGCAAGGAAGGCAAGCCAGGGATGAGGGGAGGTGTGGTAGAATGGGCTGGAGGGTTAAGGCCTTTGGGTGATAGCGAAGGTGAAGTAGAGGCGAGGAGTGGAAGGCGAGACGCAGAAACACTGCCGATGCCCGGACCACTTGGCCGTTGTTTCATCTGACTTGGAATACGCGTATTGGTGGATTGATTGTTGTTGATAGGGGCGAAAGGTGAAGAAGACGCAGGGAAACGTGAAAAGTGGGGAGAAGATTCACCGGAAGAAGAGCCCGAACCGGGACTGTGTGGGTCACCGCCAAATCCAGTTTCCAACTTTAGTGGGTCGTCAAACTCGCCCGCACCGACATAAGGTGTTTCCCCTTCCAAAGAAGAAAAGAGGCCTTGTGGTAGAAGATTTGCCGAGAAAGAAGACGAGATGCCGTTGGGAGAGCCAGGATCGTGCCCGTAGATTTCAAATTCGCTATCACTCGGCGGCTGGGGAGGAACGTCCCGGCTGACCCTAGCGCTCCCTCGTCGGCTGACACTCGCCCCGTCAGGGGCCCCGGGACCAAAGTCCTCGAAACCAGTCATGTCTGCGAACTGCCTCAAGCCCGGCAGATCTTTATTCGAAGAAGATGCCAGACCACCCTTGGAAAGATGATTACCCGCGCCGGACGAAGCTGTTTTGGCAGTATAGTCGTAACTCAACTGAGGCATGCCTGCCTCGGCCATATACGCCGCCGCCTGCGTCGCCCACGGATTTGTACCCCCATGAGCATGCTGATACCCGTGTTGATAACCCTCCTGGGCGGCTGCTTCATACGCCGCAGCCATCATTATCATCTCCTCCTCCGGTGCAATCTTCTTTGCAGCTTCGCCAGCTTCTATGACGGCTTGTAGCCTCTCTTCTGCTTCTTTGACGCGCATTTCGAGAGATTCGTTGTGGCTCTCGACAAGGGAAATTTCGTCTTCAGCTTGGCGTAGTTCGGCTTTTTTCGTGTCGACCTCTTGTCGAGTGGCTCGCACAAACTGCTCCCGATCCCCATGTGATACTTTTACACTCTGCTTGCTACCCTCAATCTTTCGACTGAACTCGAGAAGCGCCGCCTCCGTTCCCTTGATTTTATCTTCCAACCCATCTCTTATGCCTTCCACCGCCCGCAGCTTCTTTTCGCCCTCTCGCCTCGCTCCCTCTGCTTGACGCTTCTGCTCTTCCAGCACTTTCGTCCTCGCCTTCAACTCTTGCCTCTCCGCGTCATCCTCCTTCCTCCGTCCTCTCAAATCTTCGAGGCTAGATTGCAGATGGGCATGCGCCTCCTGCACACTGAGCTCATGGTTAGAGAGCTGAGATTGAAGATCGGTGATGACGCCTTGAGCAGTGGTAAGCTCTGCTTTGAGAGCAAGAAGCAAGGGGGAAGACGCGAGGATGTCGGATGTAGCGGTAGTAGGTGATGACGGAGTAGGAGGGAGCAGGGAGACCAGGGAAGAACGCCGAGATTCAGGAGCTGGGGCTACATGCGGAGATGTGTGAGAGGAAGGTTCGGGGAGATTGGAGGTCGAGTCTGTGCGACGAAGGTGTTTGGCCGCTGCCGGGCTCAAGGAAGATTTGGCTGCGCCAAGGTCAGTCGATCCTTTCAGATTTTGAAATGAGACGTACGATTTGGAGTAGAACTCGCAGCTTCCTTCTCCGCCACCACCTGCCTAAATTCAAACACCCCCGGCTTCTCTCCAGCCCTCTTTCTTCCCTTCTCCCGCTCTCCCCGAGTCATAACACGCCATACCCATTCAAGTTGAAGAGGGATGAGCATAATTTCTATCCAGTTGCCCCACATGCCGAGCCAGAGGACGTGTCTCTCCTTGACACTCGCTTTGGGCTTGTGCCCGTGAGTTGGTCTGGTGTCGGAAAGATATGCTGGGCTCTGGAGGGGCGGCGTGACGGAGACTGAAAGGAGAATGAATGACCGGTAGTACAGAGTAGGCGTGCGTAGTGAAACAGCTACGCGATTCGCGAAACGCAGAGGTAGAATGGTAGGCGTATCTGAACCGGCGTTGCTTCCCTCGATAACCTCATCCTCAGAGCGGCGAAAGTCGGCCATGGCAGAGCGAAATGAGATGTCGGTGAGGTGAGAACGAAAAGAGGATTCAGAGGGGTTGGCGATCACGGCTAAGGTTGACGTCAGCTGAAGGTAGACCGATGGGGGCACGCGTGTCGAGATGGTTGAAACAATGTGACAATTCCGCCCTTTGTTTGCAAACGCCTCGAGATTACACGATACAGCACCAAAGGCAATAATAATCCCAGGCGCGAGCCACGCAAAATACGACTCACCGGCGAAGAGAAGGAAGGCCAACGCAAGCAACCACAGGAAGAGGGAGGAGGAGGGGGGTTGGGGGGGAGTGTGGGGTGTGATTTGTGGCGGAACAATCCACCTGAGAGCGTCCCCCGAGCGCCCTATAAATGAGCTGAGGGACATCGCTATAGTATAGCCTGGAGATGGACGCAGATTGAAAGAGAAGAGTGGAAAATGTCCAAAGAAGCGAGTGGGTAGTTACCGTTAATTACTGTTATGTAAGCGCCACCCACATAACACCGCTTATCGCCGCCCTATTTACTCTTCTCTTACATCCCAGCGCCCCTATACCCCGCCAACCACCGACCATGCCAGGACCCCTATACCGCGACCCGTGGGCGAAGAGAGAGGCGTGGAGAAAGTCTCCCATCTTCTCCAACAGGGCCATGTTCAAGTACGTCTTATTGTAGGCTATAGACCAGGGCTGACCCGCGACACAGGGGCATGTTCCCCGGGCTTGGAACGGCCATTGTCGCCTTCACCGCCTATGTCATCTACGACGACTTTTTTGCCGCCAGATCATCACACGGCCATGGTCACTAGATCAGATCGAAGGAGTAGGGAGATTGTACGGAGCGTTCCAATACGAGTGGGACATGTAACACTATCACGGCATGTTGACCTGGGTTCTGGTCTTGGCTACTGCTTGCGCATGAGAGGAGAACAGAAGGAGAAGATGAAGGGATGGGAATGGGAATGGGGAGTTGTGAGAAGGCAAGCGGGACACTGGAGCGAGACGTGGTCAGCCCTGGATTGCGCGGCTTCAGCGGTATGAACCACTACGGGATTTGCGATGGAATGGGGAGTATTGCTGGACCAGCGGTCTCTGCTTTGTCACTCAAAGACCACGAAACTCGCCCTTCAATGCACTCAAGACGACTGTTCGTCCGCGCTGACACTGCCCGTCGGGCTTGCAGCCAATGACAACTCGTCGTTTTGCGAGCATCGGCATATCTACTACAAAGTCGTTGCTGACGAGTCTCCTCCCTACAGTAATCAATCCACTGTATAATCAATCCACTGTTTAATCAATCCACTGTATAATCAATCCACTGTTTAATCAATCCACTGTATTAACGAATATTGAACCAAGCCATGGAACGACGTGGTCCAAGTTCATCTACGACGTGGCAAACGTGGTGTGAATGTACTCAAGGTGCATGCCTCACAAGTCTTGATTTCTCGACGCAATAAACGGTGTCATCACGGCAACTTCGTGTGAAGGTCACGAAAGCACGAGAGAATGGTAGTAGGCACTACGATATGCTGGGAAAGGGGGGCTTCCGTCTACATGCAGCTGCATCTAGATTAGAGCGCAAGCAATCCGTCTAATTGTGACATGACAAGTGCTACAGTCTCTCCCGGCATGACACTCGAACACGAGCCCTACTCACCGCCTCCCAGGTTCTTACACGATCTTGTCCTTTGCGGCCTTCTCCAGCCCCATCCAATATTTGAGTTGGACCGCCAACACCTTGGCTTCATCCAACTTGGGCGGCGTCTCGGAGAACGCTGCCGTTAGAGCTTGTGTAATCTCCGATACTTTCTCTATCGAAAGCTCAGTCAGCTTTGCTCTTTTTGAAACTCGAGTAATCGACTGACCTTGATTCAAACCCCGTATTCTATCAATCTCTTCCTGCGACTCGGCTTCTTCAAGCTCTTCCCTGGCCTCCAGAACCTCCATTAGAAGCATAGAATCGTCCAACTTGTCCGTCTCTTGGGTGTCCTTTGCGTATATGGACAGCTGGACCCAGAATTAGCTTCGCATCATCAAGTCGACAAGTCGATGGACTTACAATATACTCTGCCCGGCGCAGGTCGTCTCCTAGGACGGCGTATGCTTCATTCACCCGTCCACTCAGCTCCCTCGCCAGATGCACCGCCTGTTCCCCCTTAGACCCAAATTTGTCCGGGTGCAGAGCCGACTGCCTCTGCAACCAATTACCCCTCAGCTCCTTCTTATCAACACCAAACCCATGAGCCTCTAATTGCTCCAGCTCCTTGGGCAGGTCGAATGGTCCTCTAGCGGAGGCAGCGATCGGAGATGAGAGGTACAGAACCGAGTGGTGGGACATGTCCGATGGAAGAGGGAGTAAGGAGGAGCATTTGGAGCAAGGGGAGAGTGGGAGAGGTATGGGCGATTGGCAGGAGGGGCAAGCCCTGGTGGGGGACGATGGAGAAGGGAAGGAGTGAGCCAAACGGGCTGGGCTGGCGAACACGGGCCTGAGGGCGAGCGATGAAGTGGGCGGACGGAGAAGCGCTCTCGAGAGCATTCTGGTGCTGAAAGTTGTGGACAATAGGCAAGTCCAAAAAAGTGAGCGATGATCAAGTTGGTCGGCCGGGTGACATCACAAGTTGATTCCGTGCCGGGCGCTGACCGCCGCTTCTCTTGGCGACGGCATACCGAACCCTGTCGTGAGCACAACGCAAGCACAACGTGAGCATCTCCATCTCTTCTACTGTCTCCTTGCACTTCTAGACATGCTTCTCCCAGCACTCATATCCCTCTCTTTGCTGCCTGCGATTTATGCCCAGCAGTCTATACCACGCGTGTTGGTGTACACTGCCACAGCAGGCTTCCGACACGACTCAATCCCTACGGCGATCGAAGTCTTGGGGGATAATGCCGACAAATATGGTGTACAATTCGTCTTCTCAGAGTGGGTGGATCATTATCTGTAAGCTCTGCATGACACTTATGATTGTGCAGAGACAAGGGACAGTTTACAAACGACACTTTGAGTGGTTTCGACGGGGTGATGTTTGTCTCCAACTCTGATGACGGTAAACACTTTCGCTATCGCTTGCCTCTTACAAGTACTGACTAGAGTGCCTCAGTACTAGATGACTCTGGACAATCTGCCCTGCAGACCTTCTTCCAATCGGGAGGCGTTTATGCTGGTGTACACGCAGCGAGCGCATGTCTGTTCAATGACACAAATTATGAGCAGGCTGTTGGCGGTACGCTTGTTTCTTTGCTGGCTTAGATCTATTACTGATCTATGACCTGGGTAGCATTCTTCGACTACCACCCAACGATACAGTCTGCTGTATGTCCTGACCATCCCAAAGAGACGGACCCAAGCTGACCCACCTCTGTTATAGACTTTTGAACGCCTCAACACGACGCACCCTTCAGTAGCCGACGCTCCAGACCAGTGGACATTTGTACGCATCTTTTCATCTGCACGCTATCCCCTTACAGCTAACTCTCTCTGTAGGAAGAAGAAGTCTACCACTTCCGTTCAGACCCACGGGACAACGGTGCCGTCGTGTTGCTGACAGTGAATGAGACGAGCTACGTCAGTACGTACTGGCAGGTGCTCCCTTACAGATCTACCGGGCTGATTTGATTAGACAATGGGAGCTCCACGGGAGACTATCCCTCCATGGGCGATCCCCACCCTATCGCTTGGTATATCGAATCACCTCTTTCAGCTTTACCGCTCGCCCAGTCGGCCAGTAAAGCTGGACGATCATTTTACACCTCTCTAGGACACCTCAACTCCAGTATGTCTTGTTCACCTCCATGGCCTGAAGGGATATGGGACGAGGACTCTGACGAGTGTTGCTAGCATGGCAAGACGAGACCTTCATAGGGCACGTCATGGAAGGTCTCAAATGGGCTTTGGATGGTGCTTCCACCAAGGCATATGGAGTGGGAATTGTTGGGAATGGAACAGCATCTGCTACGAATGCGAGCTCTTCGAGTTCGGCGACGGGTTCGTCATCCGCGTCGGGAGCGGCAAGCTCGAGCAGCGCCACGGCGTCCGAGTCTTCGGGGGCAGAGAAATTTCATCTGACTGGTGCGAGCTCGATTGTTCTGGGGACTTCGGGGCTCACATTGGGGGTAAGTATGATGTTATAATATTGAAGTTCTTCAACAACAATGCATTGCTGCTGGTACTAGTGACATAGGCGTGTGTACGAGTACTGACGTCGCATAAGCCGACTGATGTTCGGGTTTCCGCCCAGAGTCGACTTGGTACCATCTCGTAAGCACAAGACATACACAGCGAAGCATAGCTGTGCGCAAAACGGTACTGCTGTTATGATTCACTGCAAGATTTGATCAATATCCCAGCTCTAAGAAAGGTTGAACGACAAATATAAATAGTCCATTTTGCTATTTTCTCCAAGAAAGTCAGTCGCTCGCGCTCATCTCCTCTTTCATTTCGGGTCGAAATCACCTCTAGCCCTAAAAACCCATACACCATGTCGCGCCTCTCGCTAGCCCGTTTCACGCTGCCTCTCAGCCGGACCTTGCCCCGCCTCATGCACACAGACGGCCGCCAAGTCGACCACTCCTCCGCCCCGGCCCCTCACCAACCCCCACCCAGCCCATTGACTGTCGCTCCCCTGCCCAACCCCGACCCCGCTGCCATCAACACTCCAGTAACGGCTCCATCTACTACTCCCTCAGCTCCTCGCTTAACAAGGCGTGGTACCCCCATTCCCACTCGTCCCGCCCGAAAAATCCCTACCACTCTTCCCAATGGCGATCTTGAGCCTCCCTTTTACCCCCCACCCCCTGAGTACTTTGTCGAGCGGGAAGAGAGAGATACGGCGCTGCTAGGAAAGGCGGGGCCAGTGCACCCGCTCTGGAAGTTTTTCCATGTGCCTGTAGCGAACCGATTGGAAGAGGGAGCGAACTGGCCGAACAGCACCGGCAGTTTGGAAGAATTGAAACAGGATGATATGAGCTTGCATAGTGGTGCGTTGACCTTTACCTCCATTGGCAACATGCAAGAGAGAAGCTGACGAGTGTACAGGTCGAGCGTGGTCAGCCGCCGAGCTGAGACAAAAGTCCTTCCAAGACCTCCACACCCTCTGGTATATCCTCGTCCGTGAGCGCAACGTTCTCGCCACCCAGAACGCGGAGAGGAAGAGACTCGGTATTGGACACCACGCCGAAGGCATCTTCAACACCAAGCGTGCTTTCCGAGTATGCCTCGCATCGTTCCACAGAGAAGCAGAGTGCTAATGTGAGCGCAGTGCCGAAAAACAATGGCTAGGATCAAGTACGTCCTGAACGAGCGTCGACTGGGTCTCGTTGCCACCGCTGGTCCCCACCTCCCCGATGCCCCCCGTGTCCCTTGGTCCTCGTCCCCGACCACCGATCCCGCTGGTTCGACCGATGCTATTCGCGGTGTCCAGCCCCTCTCCCCCCGTCTCGCTGCTTTCCTGCGTGACTACCCATCCGTTGGAGGTGGAAATGCCGTGGCAGAAGAGAGTTCCTTTGTGGAGGATGGGGAGGTTGCGGAGGAGGAGGTCGAGGCGAGGGATGAAGGTTTCGGAGGGGGTGAGGAAGCGAAGGAATTTGACGCTGAGACAGTCGTGAACGATGGGAAGGTTGAGAAGAAGGAATAGATGGTGGATAGAGAGGTCTCTCGCCTTGCCATGTCGTGCTCGACATGCACATCTCTGCTATGCTTGAAACTCGTCACCCGCAATCACCACTGACACTTCAACCTCGCCATATCACATTCTTGAGAAAAAAAATGGCATGCGAAAAATGAATGGCTGACAATGGAACGTCAAGAGCTAACTGTCCTAGATTATACTGTACTCGTACGGTACTCCAGTCTACACTTTTGACACATTTTCCCTTTCGGCACTATTCAATTCCTCAAAGTCAACCCCTTCCGACTATCCCCGTCACCGCCCAGCCCCACCACACTCCCATTCCTGTCATCCACCGGTTCCTTGTATGTCGAATCTGTGTACTCCTCAGATTCATTGGAGGATAGGGATTCGGAGTGGTGGCCACGGCGGGCCTCGTGTCTTGGGGACGAGAGTTGGATCTGAGGCGGCTCGGCAGCAGGGACCAAAGTCTTTTGGGAGGTGAGGCCCTTGTCATATTGTACGATCCATTACCCGGGCCAGGGAAGACTGAAGGTAGCTTGAGTATCGCAGTACGAAGAAAGAAAAGAAGGGACTTGCGTTGACGTAGGGCTCCGTTTGGACGTGAATGACGGTCCTGTCGGGCATCTTGTTCATACTGAAAGATTGCGATTGGCTCGTTCCCTCCTATCACCCATCAACATCAGCTCGCGAACCTTCCTTTCTGACAAGACTTACTCCGTTGGTGGAATGTCCAACGTTGCGAGAAGCGTGGAGGTTGTATCGCGCGTTGATGACCCAGTCTCGTCACGGGATAGATCTTGGGCATGAAGCGCCTGACATTGATATGTAAGCTTTGATACCAAAAGAGGAGGTGGTAACACGAAAACGTACAGTATGAAGAAGAATGCCAGATTGCTGAAGTTACCGCGGTAGATGATCAGCACAGCCAGGTTCAAGACCAAAGGTGGTAGCTGACACTCCCTAGTCAGACTTTTCGATCACCGTTAGCACACCTATATTTTCTACGTCCAGCATGGAGACTTTTACTCACTGTGCCAGTTTTCGGAGAAGGGCGGGACGCCCGGTAAAGGTGGGCAAACTGACTTTGTCGAACAGGAGCGCGTACATGATTCCACTGGCGATGATGGTGTCTGCGGTCAGGGCGCCGGCAATACAGATCGAGGGGGGGCTATCTGCATATTGGTACTCTGTGGATCGCTATCAGTGCCAGGTGTAAAGACAGGGAGGTGGACGACGGGAAAGACATACAAGGGGATCGAGAGCAGTTTTCTGTCTCAAATAGAATGCTGAACTGGCAATGGAACCACCTGCTGATATCATACTACAGGTACCCCTGATCAATCTTCTGACCGACTTGCAGGGAAAAGGCTCACATGAAGGAGCCAGTGAGGATGGGTATAAACTTGTTTCTGCTGTGGAACTTATAGGCGTTGTAGGCGAAATGTGACTATGGGTAAAGGTCAAAACCAATCGTGCCAACGAAGGAAGGTGGGACTTGCCTGGACCAATGCGATGGACACGGCGTCCATGGCATTGTAATAGCCAATCCACTGCTTCGCCGTCAAAGAAGAATATTCCCCGAACCTACCAGAAAGATGTCAGTTCAACGAGCTTATGTGGATTTTCTTTACTGTAGGGACTTGTAGGCAAATATGTCGAGCAAGTATGACCATGTGCTGATTGTAGCTGATGCAGAGTGCAGCTGGTTGAAGATACATACTAGAAGGTCATGACGAGATGGAAGATCATGAGGATTACGGTCCACCGAGACCCAGTGAGAGAAATCTTTACGTCCATAGCGGAAAAAGTGTTGGGTCTGGTGCATCATGAAACCCAAGAGAATAGTGTCTGCCGTGAATCTATCCGCTTGTTAGCTATATGTCCATCCCGCAGCCAAGTACATGAACGCACTCAGAGAAGAGGAATCCGAAAAAGGCGCCCTTCCGGGGCTCGATGAGGGCTCTGGCGGTCTCCTCGAGCACAGTGGCATTGGCAGACATGGTGATCGGAGTTTACGAGGAAGTCGGCGGGACAGTCAAACAACAAACAATGTCGACAACTGTTGATGAAAGACAATTATTCATCTGATTTTGGGTGAGAAACACTCGCTATCGATACCTGGATGCTATATAAGGCAACAGGAGAGCATATGGGGGGTCGAGAAAGAGCAATGAGCACAAGCAACTTGGTATCGCAGTCACACATCACTTGCCTTTCACGGCCTTTGGGGCCTCTGGAAGCCCAAGAGCGCGAGTCGATACATCCCTCAGGCTGTCCATGTCTGGTTGCGTTGTTGCAGACAGACTAATGAACCCCACCTTATGCATCCATGGCGGCGCTAATGATGGTTATTGCTTACGTTGTATACATCCCTGATTGATCACGGAACACGGATCAAGGCCTGCGGGGTGTAAGCATGTGGTCCTCCCTGATCGTCGCGCTGCCGGTGCTTGACGTGGCTGACGAGAGCCTCCATTTGGCCGCGCAATCACTCAACATCGCGGGATTGTCGGCATCATTTGCCGCCCATCAATATGATCGGATTGGTGTCATCAGCCATCAATCTCCCAAGATGCACTATTTCCCCTGCACCCTGTGGACATACCAACTGCTAATGAAGTCGTTGGTATGCATGTGCTATGTATCCAGTAGTAGCCATCCATCGCGGCCCAAGGTCAGAGGATAAGTCGGGGGCCGGGTGACTCACTCTGCACTAGTATGTCTTCTTCAAACTATTCTCAGATCTCTCAGATTGCCGACAACATGCATGGTCGGTCCCCAGAGGCCCCAAATGGTCGTTGCTGTGGCGATACTGGAAGGTCATTATGTGGAGTTTGCTTCTGTCGCAAAGGCAGTCTTTCTATTACTGTACTTGTCGCTAGGCACACAGCCAATATGGGTTGGGGCAGTATGTAAGCCTCCACCCGCAGCATGTGCACATAATAAGGTGACGATGATCGATCGGTCGAACAATGCAGAATCTTCTTGGTTGGATCAGGCCCGAGTGACTTGGCCGTAGTAGTGTTGGGCCCGGGCTAATGTGTTGCTTGTTGCAGACCACTCAGTGCTCAGGCGTCCAATAATTCTTGTCGAGGAGAGCGATGCTGTGAGTTTAGCTCGGCTACTCGACCATCATTCAGCAGAGCGCTACTAGAACCTTAGGCAGGGAATCACACGTCACATGACATGGTGGCGAGTTCTAGCCAGATATGCATGTGACAGGCAGCCGGAAGGAGCGACAAACAAATAATGTGATTGCACCTACCCGGGCCAGGGAAAGGTAAGAGACAATCAAAAATGCCAAATGCTATGACAAAGAAGCGAAGCTCATCACTCTACACCGCGTGCACCCCCTGCTTCAGGACCTCTACGTCTGCCGTCAGCCCCGTCCTGCTAGCATTCTCGACGTAATCAAGTTTGTTGACCGTCGTCCCGATCACTTCCCAGCGTCACAGTCTTGCCGTCGAGGGAGTCAATGTCGGCATCTAAATCGATATCGAGAGGAGGGCGGGTCACCCGGCGAAGTGAAGGGGTTGGCTTGGGGATAGTTACGGGGGGCAGTCTTGTTGTCGGTGGCGAGTCTAGCCAAGAAAGGTTTGCAACCTTCTTTGGACGAAGGATCACTTTCGCTCTTCTGTAGTCTCAATCAGCATCTATTACACCCCTTCCTCGGAAGACAGCCTACTCACCTGTACGTGGGTCTCGGTCAAAACATGTACAACAGTAGGCTGCTGAGTCGCCCGCTGACTCTCGCTGCCCACCACTGCACGTCGAAGGGAGTATCGGCTGTTGAGAGACGCCATGAGACCGCAAACGTAGAACTTTGACTGTACCCATTGCGGCCAGACGTCGAGGTAGGTGTCGCTGTACCCGACGTAGGAGATGAGGAAGATGAGCATGCCGTTGACGTATCAGTGGAATCCAGGAGGCGAGAATAGAGCTAATCTCATATGATGATAGGAGGAATCTGAGTCTCGACGAGGATACTACCAAGCAAAAACATGAGTATTGGTCATCACCAGATAAGAATGATATGCAGTCATGAGCCACGTCAAAAGCTTCTTAATAGTTCGGTCCGTCGTCTTCCACCCCGTCCTGGACTTGGTTAAGTTTTGGAGGATCACAACTGTCACCAACAAGTCGACTCCAGTACCACCACAGATCCAAAGTAATATTGTGACTTTCACGTTCACCGCCTGAGCAATCATGGTCATTGAAAGTTGGAAATGAGCAAAGGAGAACACCTACGGCAGATTGGGATGCACTACCAGTCTTTTGATAAGCAGGGATAGTGGCCAAAGCCCCGCCAACAGAGGTAAGGCTGAAGAAGAAGATGTTTGTAAGTGATATGGGAGTAAGGTTGAAAGAGTACAGTACTATTATATGTAAGGCATAGAGGGTGAGAGGAGGAGCAAGGGATGATTGTGATGGTGATGGCGATTACAGAAAGAGCTCCTCAGTGCAGCCTAGCTAATTTTGGGGGGACAAAGAACAATTGTCGTCCATTCATGAGGACTCTTTATATGAAGTCTTGAACGGCGATCGGGCTAATGTCAGGAGACATGCGCTTTGCTGAAATGATGCTTCCAATGCTGCCCGACAACAAGGGTCCAAGGCCCTTGGTATCACAAAAAAGGTATAATGATCTCGTCAGCAGATTGGTTTCCGCTCCTCCTCTGCTGACATGTACCTATGCTGTTCGAGTGCGATACAACGGGCAGAGACGAGCATCAAGATTTGGAAGGTGGTATCCAACAAGTAGTGGAGGGGGTGGCTGACGAATGAACTACCGTGGCGGCTGTGGATTCCGGTCAAAAGGGGCAGATTGCAAACAAACCTCCGACCGTGGCTGTTCATTTTGAGTAACTGCCTAGTGGATGTAGCCGCCATAGAGCGGGAACGGAGCACTCGGGGCCTCATAGAGTTTTATCAGGCAGGAGATCAATGCGTAACCTGTTAATTGGGCCCCTTACATCAGGCGCTCGTTGGGGTGGGTGCCTGAGCTGGCTGAGCTGCTGAGTCCTTGTTCTCTCCTTCCGCGCTCTTCTCCCGCTTCTATCGCAGCCAAGACGCACATTTGACCGATGACCGATGGGCGGTAGTCATGATGGTCGCGAATGAGTGTTGAGTGATGTGTGATGGCAAGAGATAATGTTCAGGATCTCGGGGCCACAGGCCCACAGCCCTGACGGGATCAGCCGACAGACGCTCATTTGTTCTCCATGGCGATGTCTTCAACCTTCGGACATCTTTGTCAATTGAGGGGTAGCGGCGCTAAAGTATGCTTGCGCAGTTTGAACGATTGTTTTGAATCTTATTCATACTTGATAACGTACTTGATACAAATATGTTACTGCCATCTAGAATTTACCACAAGAGAACGGAGGAAGAGAAAAAGAACGATGCTGAGAATGAACATTACGGCCGACAAAAAGAGAAAAGACAGACTTTAGTTGAGTAGATGCGCCCAACTAACCAAATGCTGAGAGATAGAAGAGATTCAAAGATAAAGTCACAATATGTGGTAGTGATAGGATACCAACAAGAAGGATACGATGATCATTAGAAAAAAGAAACACTGCGAAACCCGTTTCAAACACTATACTTGGTACACTTCGCCGCCCAAACGTTTCCCCGCTCCTTCCGTCCACCTGGCGATCAGGTTGATCTGCCCCGCCATATCCCGACCGTCTTCCATCATCATCTCCACATCCGAGTCAAACTTGAGCTGAATCTCGTCTCCGTCGTTATCGACGTATCGGATCTGCAGCTTGTCGTGCTCGCCTGCTGGACGCGAGCTGCATAGACGAAGCTTCTTCTGAATTTTCTGGTAGAGAGTGATGTAGTCAATCTCATGTGAGACTCCAAGGATGAATTGGTCCTGCAGTCACAATCAGCGTGCGTCAGAGACCCTTGAACGATAATGCTTACCTCGCCACACCGGACCTTGACTAGAACACTTCCACCAACACTATCCCCGCTCCCCTGCCTTAATTGTGTTGGCCTCAGATCTCCACTGGTTCCATAAGGAGTCGCGGGGCTGGTCTGATCCGACGTTTCAGTTGTCGTTGTCGAACCTGCGCTGGACCGCTTCCCACTCGACACCCGCTTGTTAAAGTACGCCGTGCCACCGACGACAGTGGTGCCTGCCGATGAACCAGAGTGATAATGGCCCTGGTGACCTTGAGGAAGCGGGGGACCTCCCTGTGGAGGAGGTCCGAAGCCCGGCACAGGAGTGCTATGAGCGTAGGGGTGTGTGTTGGATGGAAGATTGGAAGCTGAGCCTGTCGTCCATGTACCGTTGGCGCCAGCAGTATATGGGACGGGAGGAGCCGCTCCAATAACGACAGGTTCTTGATAGACATTCGGTGACGATGCACTGCGGTTCCTCAAAGCCGGAGGATGCGGGACGGTAGCAACTCCTTGACTGGGAGTCCTGGCCATCCCTCGCGAAGGCCCGTATCTGTTGAAGGCCTCTCTCTGTCCTGTCGGGCTCTCATCTTTCTCGGCTTCCTCTTCCGGCGCGCGCGGTAACCTCACAGAACTCATCTGTCTGCCCATACCAGGCCTGTTGCCAGCACTAGGCGGCCCGTTACCGAACGACGCTTCAGAAGCCATCGACATGCCCGACATGTTTGATACCAAGCGTGGCATGGGAGGAGCGAGGGGTTGTTGTGTGCGCCACTGGGCCATGTTGGGGCCGTTTTGATCTTCCGTCATTGCTCGAGCCCGCGTCTCGATGGGGTTCATCGATGATATCGACTGTTGGCTCTGCACTCTGCGGTTGCCTCCTGGAAGTTGGTAGGCGTAGGGATGGGATTGCGTACTCGGCGTGGTGCGTCCGCTATGGAGACCGTTGGGATCGTCATCTTCACCGTGATAGTGGGCGGCAGCCTTGTCAGGCAGAGGTGGCATGTTGAAGGGGTTTGGCGGAGGGAACTCGCTAGCAGGAGTGGGAGGACCGAAGGAAGAGTGTTGGAAATGTCTCTCTGATCCAGAAAGACGGCCAGACTTCATTCGCTGCTGTCGCAGCTCCTCTTGTACCTTTCGTTCATTCTTGGCGAGGTCGAGCACCTTTTCTGACCACTTTTTCATTTGGTCTTCGCTCTTGCCAATCATGATGAAGGAATCTTCTTGGTCCTCGTGGTAGCCGTCGGTTGTCCGCAGAGGGATTGTCCAGCCAATCAGGAGACGAGCAGCACCGTAAGGATCTGCTCGAATGTCAGTGGAGTCCGAGTTGACATCAGTGGACCTACCATTAGCCTCTGAAGGAAGTAGAGTAGCCTCTTTGATATTTGATACAAATATTCTTCCCTTCAACGCCAGCTTTTTCTTGTCCAATGGCCCGCTCTTGCTCATACCCCGATCCTTCCTCAGCATACTGCTATTCTTTCCCGACTTTTTCTTGTCGGGTGTGATTTCCTTGCAGCAGAGCATCATTTTCTCAAACAAAAAGACATGGTACCCTCTGGGCTGGTCGGCTTTTGTTACGGTAAAGTGGTCGTCGATGTGAAGGGGACCAAATTTGTCCACGTCGTGACCTTTCCAGTCGTCGACGCGCTCGACAAGCTCGCGTATGGTGGCTTGTTTGGCTTTAAAGTCGGTGACTTCGTTGATTCCGGCAGCGATACGCTTGACGGCAGCGGAGGCTTCTTCAAGTTCGGGACGGTAGGGGTACTCGTGCTTGGCAGTCGCGTGGAGGATAGCCTGGCAAAGGGTCAGATTGAGACAGATGCTGAGACTGTCAAACTCACGTCGAGCAAAAGACCATATTTGGTGATTCTCTGGATAGGCTTGATCATGAACGCCTGCAGTTCCCGTTGAGGGTCCAGACAGGGTCGATCAGCCAGAGCAAGTTCTTGCCCTCGCTGCTTGCAAGGTCAGCAACAGTCGACTGCCAAAATTACGATACCTACCATGAGAAGTGGCATCTGCTCATTCACAACCGTGATAGCGTCGAGGTAGTTGGCACAGTAAGGACCATAGCAGTCAAACTCGGCCTCGCTGACAATGAAAGGTCGCCCCCACACGCCTTCAGCCCAAGCGCCCTGGCCTTTCTCTTCCATCGGTTCGTACTCGGTCTCGAGCTTGATCAGGAATTTTCGCTACCACTGTATCAGCCGTGCTCTCCGCTAGGGCCGGAAATGGACTCACATGGAAATCCAATATCTTTGACAGGTTTGAAAAGATCATATGATTCGTCTCTGTCGATACCAGGCGCGCCTCCACCATCTCCTGGGAGCATCTCACCAAAATTTCCAACTCTTGCACATAGCTCTTTTCACTCGCCACAAGCTCTTCCACCGACTTGTACGCATTGGCCTCTGCTGACATCTTTGACGGCCCACGCTGCATCTCTTCAGTGGAGGGCGAGTTTTCATTCGCGCTGGCCTCAATGTGGACGCCACCGTTCATGGTGGCCGCCATGTTGGCGACAGCACCGGCGCCGGAGCCCATACCTCCCATGGAGAATGGCAAGTCGTAGGATTGTCGCGACTGTGTGCGCTGAGCGATAGAGCCGTTGCCGGTAAAGGGTGTATGCGGAGATATGGGAGACAAGGCCGACTCGGGGAGGTTGTCGAGCATTTCCTCAACCGTGCTCAACACCTTCATCAATCCCGTCGAATCATACGCCTCCAGCTCTTCTCCCGTTGACTTGCCCCACAGCTCGTGCAGGGCCCACATATCCGAGTGCCATCTCCCTTCTTCTATCCGCTTCTTCATCGCCATGCAGAATGCTGCAATGTATCGTTGACACGGTTTGGCGTTCTCGGGCTTTTTCGCCCAGTTGCGAACACCGTTGGGGGTAGCTTTGAATTGGGGAAAGGCATACTCGAGTTTAGCGGGTGCTGGGAGGTCGGCGTACAGGGGTGAGAGGGAATCAGTGAATGCTGGGATGAGAAGGTTGTAGAGATGGAGGAGAGGGGAGCCGAGTCGGAAGAGGTGGCACATGTGGGAGACGACGTCGATCGGTTCGGCGTTGGGTGGTTGTTCTGTGCAGTGGTCAGCGCCTAATCACAAACACCGAGTATGTCGCCAACGCACCCAAGAACGGCTGGAACCCCTCGACACACATCAGTCTTTTCTTCAGGATGGAACATGTTTGATACAAGGACCTCGTGGAGGTGGACAGCGCAGCTGTCTTGAGGGCGAGGGCATTCTGGCTGCAAAGGCTATCAGCACAGCTCCTTATCTCCCTGCCCAGACTCACGGATTTGATGGCATCTGGATGCTCTGAATATCGAGTTGCGGCAACGAGTCGTTCACTCTCTGACTCACAGAGCCGATGCGACGTCGGGAGATGGTGCCGGATATAGACATCGAAGATGTTATATGATGGGGTAGAGGGGTATGGGAATTATATCACAGACAGGGACGTCGGGCTCAGCTTGCCAAAAGAGGGATTGATTCTCTGTAGTGGCTGTGCCTCTGAAGGGGGCAGATGCTCGCGGCGGACAGCGTGGATGTCGTAGAGACAGTTGGTGAATTGGGAGAGTATGGGAAAGTGTGTCTCAGAGACACGGCGAGATTGAGAAGGTGGTTGCTGTGGCGGGTTCTGGATACGTGCCAGGAGAGACAACTTGGACAAAGGAGGGGTGAGCCGGCAGAGCTGGGGTCTGGACGGGGGCGGGAGGAAGGTGGCGTTGTTCTAGGTGCCCGAGTATAAAGCCGTTCTGTCTGCAGGAGCGGGCGGGGCAGAGCGTGCAGCTGGGCGGGGTGGGAGATGGTGTACGCTGGACGGGAGCAAAAGCGTCGCAGTGTTAAAGGAGGGTGGTTGTCAAGTTGATTGACAGAGGGCGACCGTATACAGGACAGGCGGGGGCTCACAAGGGGGCCGCTATGACGGACGTAGAGCAGGTGTGTTTCGCAAGCACTGGCCGTGTGCAGGGATGGTGCCGTCAGGGATAGCCAGCAGGACACAGCGTACGCTCGGTGTGCCACAAAAGCTGGGCTGATCGTTTGTCGAGGAGGAGGCTCCGGCGTATTCCCTTGTGCTGTTGATCTCTCTTCCCGATATCGTCCTCGTTCTCACTGCGTCGAGCCGTTTTATCGCCTTGGCACTCTGGTACAGGCAGTGGTGCAGTCGTGCCGCTGTTGGGATACCACAGCAGTGCTTTCTCCAGCTTTTCACGTCCGAGCGCGGTGCAGGCGCCTAACCCCTTGTCCGTCCGTCACACTATCCTTGAGTGTCCTTTTTACACTGATCAGTGGCCTACTCGGTTGATTGAGCGGCAGTCGTGGGTGTCGCAGGGGGGAGGGGAGGGCGGGGGGTGGGCGGAGTAACGTGAATAGTAGTAGAGACAAAAGAGAGATGCGCGAATTTGGGAAAATGTCGAGCTAAAGACGCGTTTCAGTGTCGGAACTTTCTTGCAAGCCTTTATCGCGCCGATATCGTAAAGCTGCCTTGTTCTCCGACCTCCGGGGCTCGCTTGCTCTACTGATTGTCCCAAAGTGGCGAGACGCTAGATAGAGAGCTTGGAAAGATAGCTTGGATGGCGTGAAGGCCGAACTGTGAGGATCGCCCTGCGTCGAGACAGAGAACAATGGCCACTTTGGTGCACCGAGCAAATCGCGCTCATTTTGCCTATTGTTGTTTCTGCGCGATGGTATGCATCTCGGACGCGCACTTCGGTAAAGTGAGGTTTTGGGACTTTTCACGGTCAAAAGGGTGCAGAGCTCAGGGCTTGGTACTGGTGACGCCACCAAAAAACCCAAACGCCATGCAAGTACAAAATGGATACAGAGTTTGTTGTTGTTGTTGACATTGTACACCTGCTAGGTATCTCCCTTTCTCACATGCCACACGTGCCCCCGCTCGTATACGGGTTATGAGAAGCATTTCCCGTGCCCTACGTAGCAATGCAGCATGTCGGAAATGTGAGCAGCGTCAGCCCACCGATGATGTGCGTGACAATGTCCGCGGCGGTGACACCCACCTGCCAGAGCGGCCGCTTTCTTTATTAGAGCGGTTTAGCTTGGTTTCCTTCAATCGAGTTTCCTTCTTCTTGACCCTGATCGGGCCTTGAGTTGGTGCAGTTGGGCATGGCAGTTGACGGGTTGGTGCTTGTCTCGCTGAGAGTTGAATCAACAGAGACGTCTTGAAACGGGGGCACCTTCTTTTGGTACGGAATGCAAGCGCGGCACAGGTACGGTACATATAGTAATGGCGGGCAGCCTTCCGTTGCTTGCGTGACAAAATGAATTTGGTAGACTTGCTTCCCGTTCCTGCACCCGTAATAGCACCCGTTCCACCCGCATACCCTCCTTGCAGAGCTCGCACAACCATTGGCTGCCTGGACTGACTCCAGAGTCCAGACTGACCCTCAACACTCACCTGTATAACCAGTACGTACTTGGTGCTTCAACCCTCCCTTCACTTTCTCCGCAAAGGACCAGTCGGTATAGTCTAGATTCAACTGCGCATTCAATGAAGTAGGATGGACAAGTCAAGTAGATCAAGTGAACAAATATCTATAGTCTGTGGGGTGATTGCACCCTTTTGTGATCGTCGGTGATCTCGGGGATCTCGGTGATCGTCTGAGGAGGACAAGCGAGCAATGAGCGAGGATGACCGGCGGGCAAGTATGTTCAATCGCAGATACGACTTCTATGCATGTTTCACCTATCAATCCTTCTTCGCACAAACCTCCTCCCAACCACTCCACCTCAAAGCCCGCTCATCCACCCACTTGTAGAACGTCTCCCACTTACAACTCCCCTCCAACCCATCTTCACACCCACCCATCTTTTCCTGTTTTCCATTCACCTTGGCCCTCACATAGTCGCCTCCGTCCCCGCAGTGGAAGCGCTCGAGAGCGACGTGGCCGAGGAAAGAGACAACGTGGGAAGTACGCCAGGCGCGCTCAGACTTGGGGGGTCGGTAGGTCAGAGGTGGGTTGAGTGAGGCGGGGTGGGCGTAGGTGGAGTTGTAGAGATTGAGGAAAGTGGCTACGAAAGCTGGGGATTCGCGGTGCGTGAATGAAGGGTGGAAACTTTGTTCACCCATTAGCATTTCATAAGCCTGGACGTAGATGAAGCTCACAGTTGGGTGTGGGTAGCATTGGGAGGCAAGTTTGGTTTGGGCAACTTGTGTTTCTCCTTGTTCGCTTCCACCTCACCCTCATCACCGTGCGGCTCTCCAGCTCCATCTCCAGTATCTTTCCCATCCAACAGATGCTTTGCCGTCTTGACCCAAGGCGCACCGAGATAGGGCGAGAGGTGATTCCCGTACCCCATCATGTAGTGGAATCGAACATCGAAATAGTATTCACCGTCGAGCCATTCATTGTCGGTAAAGAGGTTGCAGAATGGAGACCAGCCTTGGGATATAGTTTCGTAGCCGCAGAGCTGGCTCCATGTTAGTGAGGTAACATCATGGTAGAAAAGAGAAAGCGCACCATCTGCATAGCTAGGATGTCGTCGTCCACAAGCTCGACCGCAACGTCAGGGATGATTTGAGAGAGTCTCTCGCGGATAGGCGGCGCATAAGTCTTCAACCATACCCGGGCAGGCTCAAGCGAGCTCTGCTTTTCAAACGCATCGCATGCTTTCTATAGTCCATTAGTTCTGACAAGTCTTCGAGTGGAGAACGCACATGAGGCGTCAGAGATCGGTCCCAGTCCTTGGCCTTGTTGGGGACCGACACCAGCTGGAGCTGCTTGCCGTCACCCTCACCGTGAGGCCCAGCTTGTTCGGCTGGGAAAGCACCCTTGATCCAGGCCTTGGCAGTGACAATGTCTCTCTCGGAGCTGGCCGACCATACCTTAACAATGTCAGCGATTGGCTATGCAGGACTATAGTGCACACCTTGAAGGGCACTGTATGCTTGCTCTTCTTCTTGTTCTTCTCTGACTTTTCCCTGGGCGGGAAGAGCTTGGCGTACTGGGTAGATAACCGCCTTCCAAAAAAGGTCGAATCATCCTCCCCCCTCTGGCTGACCTTCTCCAGCACATCCTCGCTGATAGGCGACTCCCAGTTCCTCAAGAACGCCCACTCGCCGTCACTCGGCATCTTGTTTTTGTCCATCGCCTTGATCTTCTCTATGAAGGGCTCCATAGTGTCCTCATACTCGTCATCGTTACCTCGGATGCTGGTATGCCGGACGAGGAGGCTGATGCGGGTGTACTCGCACGTGGGTGGGAGCGGGGTGGGCTCCTGGTTGGGGATAAAGAAGGGGCTGATTGCAGAGAGATGCTTGAGGGGGTTGATGTGTTTGGGGGCGAAGGGAGTCTGGCTCGGGGCCGCCACAGCCAGGGGGAGTACGAGGAGCTGCCAGAGCATGCTGGATGAGATGCATCAGGGAAATATTTTATTGGACAGAGAACGAAGAAAGACAACTGGAGATCGGCTGGCCGACGTCATTTGCAGTCGCAGGAGTTGGGTTCGAGCCCCCACTTAGCGACGCGCCTTGCTTTCTGCTTTTCGAAATGTCAACAACAATCAATCTCTTACATCTTATCTTGACCCTCGCCCCATCTTGAGAGACACCGCAGCATGGCGAATCAACCTCCCCCGACTCCATGGATACCCAACCCCCGCTTTGCCGACGAGTCGCTCCTCCTCGAAGCCCAGCCTATCTTTGATACATCCCTCGGCGACGAGTCTGTATGGGGTGGCGGCGCCACCGTCATCTGCAATGGCGCTTCCGACCAGGATATCACCAGTAATTTCAGCTTGAAGGCGGGGGGCGAGACTTCCGGGGCTGATATGACGTTTGACCTTGGTGATTACTTGCCTGAAGAGGTCGTGGCGGGACAAGCCGGAATGTCGCGGACGCAAGCTATACCGCCTAGCTCCACACAGCGGGACATGCGTGCACCCCAGCAGGACCTTTCTACGCTCATAGACAAGGCCTCAACGTCTGGGAAGCAGAAGCGAGAGCGTGAAAGCATAGATTCCTTATCTGTCGTTGGACCATCAAAAAGAGGTCCGTGCTTTTTTAACATGCCTTACGTACAATTGGGTGGTGTGCTGACTCTTCGATAGCCAAACCACACCCCAAAGAGAATGACGATTTGTTCTCCGAGAAACTTCCAGAATTGATACATCCAAAGAAAGCAGAAAGTAGCAAGCCCGCTGCTCAACTTTCGGCCAATACAGCTAGTGCTCGTCTCAAGACGCAGCTCAAGAGAAAAGCCTCAGATACGGGGAAAGAGAAAATTGTGAAAACGCCCTTGGCTATGGCAAGTCAGCTCTAAAACCTGAATATGGTTTGCTAACACGCAAACAGGTAACACCGATCGCAGAGACAGAGTCGTCTTCATCCAAACAATCAGGCTCGGCACTGTCTCGCTATCTGGCCAGGTCAACGGTACTTGCGCCCAAGACTTCTGCCCATGTCGAGCCCAAGACCTCAAGTCGTGACGTTTCGCCCGCCCTACCTCATCCTATCCTCGCCCAACGACCCATTGCTGCTCCCACCCGATTGTCCACTCCTCCTTCTGTACCTGCTGCCGACCCATCTCCTACCTTGGCCTCCGAAACTACTCAACCCTCTCCGGCATCTAAACCTACAAACTCCCGGCCATCTGTGGTTATCTCGCCGCCCGCTCTTCAGAGTAGGCCCGATGGCGAGACGTCCATGACGAAGGCGGTGGAGAAGAGCGCGAGGGGCTCTCGTGGACCGTCCTCGGACCAGGGGCCATCCCCTAGGGTCGCAGATGAGAAAACGGAAATGGAGGATGTCGAGTGTAGTGTTAATGACGAGGTGGCGAAAGAGTCACTGGCCGAGGTGCAACATGAGCAAATCACAGCAAAGCCCATCGCGGAGAGCACGAGAGCACCTCTCACCGGGCCAATGCGGCGCAAACCCGCAGGCCTCACAAAGCCCATCCCCTTCTCTCGCCCTCTTAGCGAACGACCACAGCGCACGAAATCGCAAACGGTCTCTACTAAACCTCCCGTGGACTCCAAAAAGGCGGGCGTGCCGGCCAGACCTCTCTCCCGCGCACCTCTTCGCTCTACCACCGCTCTTGTCAACGCTCGACCTGCTCCTCCCAGGGCAGCTAGCAAACCCAAAAAGCCGACATCTCCTGAGGGAAAGCGTGACTTGCGTAAACCTCCTATTCCCTCTTCTTTTGCCGCCTCATCAGCGCTCGCGCGTCCCCTGAAATCAGGCAGTGGCCAGAAGAGCACGGCAGAGCCTGTCAAGGTGAAGGCAAAGGATACGGAGAATGCGCGCGGGGTGTTTGACCGTCTCGCTTCTACCACCACCCACACCTCCCGCGCACCCCCAGCTCCCAAAGCACCCAAACATTCTTCCCTTCAGCCCACCGTCCCCCTGCGAGGTCATACGCCCGGTAAATCATCTGCTCTCCGCGCACAGCAGCGTGCCGTCTTCGACAAGGCAGTGAGAGAGAAGATGGAGGAGCAGGAAAGGGTGGCAGCGGAGGAGAGGAAACGGAGGGAAGAAGAAGAAGAAGAGGCGTATCAGAGGCAGAGAAAGGAGACTGTCATCTGGGCCAAGCCTGTACCGGGGCTGTACAGGGAAGGGAAGCAGGAATGAGGAGATGGGGTGCATCTTGTGTAAAGTCTAGTGATTCAGAGTTGTATTACCGAGCTGTTTATAATGTGTACACTCGATGTCGTTTTGGGTTTCTTGTTCTTGTCATACAAATTCCTTTCTCTTCGAGATACAGCTGTCCTTCATACAATCCCGGTGAGATACTCTTACTAGCCTACATTCGCGCATTCTACTACAGCCTGGGCTTGACAAGGTCTTTGAATTTCTCTGGTTCTAAGAGCGTTTCGGGGTAGGGGAACTTGAGGCTTCGAATGTGGTTCTCAGCACCATCGACGACCTGACGCCAGTATCAGCATTCCACGCTACTGTGCTTTTGAGGAAGAATGGCCGTACCAATGTAGATCCAGAGACCCAAGCAGCGGCTGGCGAGAAGAGATATATTGCAGCGTTGGCGATATCGTCTAGCGAGTACGTATTGACATTAGCACACGACTAGAAGTAAAGGGACAGATCGAGACTCACCGACGTGGCCTGCTCGGGAAAGAGGAATGTCCTTGCCAAACTTTTTGCCTTTCATCGAGAGTTTGTCAGCTCCCACAGTACCCAGAATAGGTCTACAATAACATGGTATCAGGAAGAACTCTTATCAAAGAAAGACGACATCATACCCCGGAGCGATGATGTTTGACCTAACCCCCCAAGGTCCTTCCTCTACTGCAATCACATTGCTCAGTGCGTCCACTCCAGCCTTTGCAGCAGCGACATGCGCCTGGAAAGGTACACCCCTGTAGTGCAACGTAGCAGAGATGTGGAGGTACGCTCCGTGTGATTCTCGGAGGTAGGGAAGGGTGGCCTTGAGGGTATGGTAAGTGCCGAGGAGGTCGATCTCGACTACGGTGCGGAAGGCATTCTCGGAGAGACCAGAGATGGGCGAGAGAAAGTTGCCGGCGGCACCTGGTCAAAGTGTCAGTAGCGAACAGATTAGATGTTGGCAGGCGTACCGCAGATGACAAAGTCGATCTTGCCATACGCGTCGACAGTGCGCTTGACGGCGTCTTTGATCTGCTCGGGCTTGCGCACGTCGGCAGGGGCAGCAATACATTTAGATCCTGTGGAGTCCTGAAGATTTTTGGCAGACTCGTCTAGGCCTTTAGCACTTGAGCACGGGTCAGCATGGCTCGTTTCAAGACCTTTACGACCACGGAACGAGAGGACATACTCTCGCCCGACGATAGCCGCACTGACGCCGAGGGACATCATGGACTCGACGATGGCATAGCAGATGCCGCTTCTTCCTGGAGAGCCACGCATGGTCAGGTCTGCCTCGTGGGTGGCAGCAGCGACATACCTCCTGTACAGAAGAGGACCTTGCCCTTGAAGAGGTCCTGCTTGTAGGTGTCTGCGATGCACGGGACGAGGGCGGCGGAGGTCATGTTGGGTGATGTTGGGGCTGGGATGGATGGCCCTACTTGTCCTTATTATACGGATGCAAAGTGGATACCGAGGCCAAAATTCTGCGAGGCACAACAACAACACACCCAGTCACACACCCGTTCCTCCGGCTATTGTATCAGCTTATCCGCCGCGGCTTGAGTCTTACGTAACTTTATACCTCCACCTCCTGCGACGACGCATGCAAGCGTGGTTGTGTCAGCCGTCAAACGCCACAACGAAAAGCAAACGAAAAGTTCAGAAGCATCCGTCAGCCCATCGCACTTTTAAAGCTCCATTCCGTCTCTCTTCTGTCACTACAACAAGCCATCATGGTCCACACTATCATTGCCCACTTCCACGCTCGCCCTGTACGCCCAACAAACGCCCAAACCCCCCACTGCCCTGCACCCGCTGACCATCGAACAGGAATCTGCCCAGGAGATCAAGGATATCCTGAAAGAAGGCGCCGCTCTCTACGTCAAGGACAAGGGGGTACGTCGAGCAGCTAGCAAGACCATAATTCACACTCACATACTACCAGACTATCAACTGGTACGTCATGCACGACCACGAAGATAGCACCAAGTTCTATGCCGTCGAGAGGTATGAGAGTAGAGCAGCCGTCGATGTCCACATCAACAACCCTGTACGTCTACATCTGTATAAATGTTGCGCCGTTTGCTGACCATGTGGCCTCCATTCTCCTTTCGCTCTGGGCATATACAGTTCTTCAAGGTGCGTTTCGGCTGGCTCCATGATAGGTTGCAGTGCTGACCCTCTCTGTTTGTAGCATTTCTGCGACTTCGTTGGTCCCCGTCTTGTCACTCCCATGACCATCACCCAGACCGAAGGATTCTAGATTTATAGATGACATCTGCATACATGAAGGTTTCGCTTATCTCTCGGGAAGAATGAACATTGACGCAGCCGCTGGTCTCGTTGATGATAAGATGGTCCCCGTTCTGACACACACTCTCTCTATCCACACCTATCCTCAGTCCCCTGTCCACGTCTCCCTGCACCTTCGTTGCATCGACTTTGTCAGAGGAAAAGACTTCCTGCCACCAAAACCACATTTTCCGGACACAATGCAACCATATATTTTCCGCCCTGGCCAGTGGCCATAATGCAACCATGACGTCATATGTATTTTTCCCAAGTCACAATCACCCTTCCCCGACACTTATACACGGCAATAGCCGCCTTTTTACACGCGACTGCGTCGCGAGGTTTGCCAGCAACGCCGCATGAAGTAATCGATTACTTCATCAGCTTTCACCGGGTCTTCAATCTTATGTAATACTTGTACATATACCACCACTTGTAGGTGCAGCCGGCATTGAGCACAAGTGTCCGCTGCCGTTCTTCGGTCGTATATGCATGATAGCACCTGTAAGTGATACGTGAGATAGCCCATGCTCAAGCTGACATCGGGTGTACAGTCCATGTCCCACTTGCATACTCCTCGACATAGATTGATGCTGGAAATACCCTGGACCGCGGAGGTTGTCCCACATGGTTTAGTCACGACTGCCTGCCATTTTGAAGACTGCGACAAGAGGCTATACGACAAGAGGCTATACAGCAAGAGGCTATACGACAAGAGGCTATACGACAAAGGCTATCACTGGAGAAGTGGTGTTCGTGTGCATGTGCGCTGGATCCGCTCATGGGCATCAAGAGGTAGTATGCTTATCAAACAGTACGGCTGCAGCGACGAGTCGACGATTCGACAAGCTCAATCTCGCCTTCGACGCCAGAGCTTTCGGTATGAAACGCACGAACGACATGATGATCAAGGCGATCTATTGAGCCTGAAGAAGGACGAGCTGCAATGCATCAAAGATAAGCTTGTGGCCCGGTGGGGAGAGGAGGAGCTCCAGGCGCAGGCTGACCTTCAACGAGAGGCGCAGAGCAAGGCGGCACGTGAAGAGAGGGAGGACGAGCGTGAGGAGGCGTACCGGTTGTTCATGAGTATCACGACTAAGAGGGGCAACCTAACAAATCAACAGTAAGCCTGTACCGGAGACGCTATCAATCAGATACGTCCATTGCTGACGGCACTGCTCGACAGTCGCATCGCCCAAGAGGCTCTCCAACGCGGCGACACCACCACACCCTCTTTCACCATCCCCAGTGGCTCGCGATTACAGGCGGAAGTGGTTCAGCTGGAGGAGGGCATGGCAGAAGCTGCGAAGAATTTGGTCGAAGGAAGCTGTGCGTATCCCTTGTGTCTTTGCAGTATCTAAGCATCGACTGACAGCCGTGCGTCAAAAGCTGTGGATACTGTGTATCGCCTCTGCATGCTCCACGAAGCCCACCGCCAGCTGCGTGAAGCGGTTCGATCCCACAAGTTCATGCGGGAACCCATCCGTAATGTGCGCATGGGTATGATCGCACCTCTCTGTATTTACTCCTAATTTGCAAGGCTCAACTACCGCTGACCTCGATTATCTGCAGGATATCGCGCCACCAAGGATCCACTCCGTAAAATCCGACAGAGCAAGCTTGCGCAGGCTGTGAACAAGTACAACGCCGCCCTCAAAGCCTACAGTGAAACGGACCATCCCGACCACCCACCCTCTCGAGCCAAGAGTGTCAAGGAGCTGTTGGATATGCCCTTTGACGCCGACTTCTGGAAGGACACCAGCGTCCTCTTCGAGAACAACAGGGCTCCTTGGGACTGGGACCCTGCTTGCAGACGAGGTGAGTGCTTCATGCGGAATAACTCAGGTTCATTCCGTGCTGACGTTGCACCGTAATTGAAGCATCAAAGCCCTTCATCTTCGCAATCGATCTCGGGAGGAGCTCCGTCGCATTCGTGCTGAAATCGCGCAAATGGTCAGGTGGTCTGCAACCCACTATCAGATGCTTGTCGTCAAGAAGGTGGAGTAGGCGCAGAGATCGAAGCAATGGAATCGTCACCTAAGGGAAGAAAAGGCCAGCACCCAGTGCGTAGAAGTCTGGTCATCCTCCCGTGTGCATGACTGACACTATTGTCTCGCCCAGTCTATGATCACGGTAACAGCTTGGGCGTTGACGGCCAGCCGTTCTGGTGCGATATCGTCATCTAGCTCTTGGGCGACATGATCAAAGATCATTTGAGGCTAGAGGTGTGGATCGGGGATGGCCTCCAGAGTCTTTGGTGGGAACACAAGGATGGTGCGCCCGACATGGAGGTATCACACCTGCTGATCACCATGAACCAGCGAGCAGCGGCCTCCTTGCGTCCGGCCTTGGAGTATTTGGTGTTTGATGTTGACAAGGAAGAAGAAGGGGATCTAGATGACTCTGATGCGGATGAGGCGGATGCTGCCCAGCTGGAGACCCTCGTGGACCTACTGTCAGAGATTTGGACGAGGACGATGATAGAACGTCACAGTTTGGCGGGTAGGAAGGGAGGCAGAGCCGAGATTCGCTGTACAATCGCTGTACATCTTCCATACCATACATATCCTATACCATGCATACCATGTCATGCCACCTCTGTAATTCGAAAGAACAGCGGAGCGACATAGGCACTCGGTGACTAGAAGGGCCATGGGAGGAGGTAAAGCACGGGCCTGGCCGAAGAGTGGTTGACGGCAAGGAGCTCTTCTCAAACGCCCCAATTTTAGCCTCGGATATCATCCTTGGTCGAGGACAAGTTTACTATGCAGAACATTGCTCCGATCCATATCTTTTGACACTACATACTTGAATTATGATACGCTAGTCCTTTCTCTGTGGTGCTTGGGAGGAGGACGGTCTTCGTCGATGGCAAGGCTTGCAGGTAAGCGAAAGGGTGGGCTTTGTGTTGTTGCATGCGCAGCTGACAAGGGATAATGGCAGAGCACAGGCCAGTGCACAGGCCACCTGTGAAGGATGATGTTGGGCGAAGGGACGAAGGGACAGCCTCCTGCGACCGCAAGTGGGAGTTACTTGTTCGCCTCAGGACCAGAAATCTTTTCCGCTGTCTTCTCCTATGTGCTTCGAGATATTCTTTGCGTGACTGAAATTTCTAAGAGGCGCTGATCAACTTCCCCGTTGCTTATAGGAAAGCGAAAGGTGCAATCAAGTTTGAACCGTCTGAGGCCCTCTTTTCAGTCGCAATAGCACTCCTTGTGAGTTTTCTATGCACAAATACACCATAGAATATGAGATCGGGCACCCATGGCTATCATAGTTATCCTTCGAATCGACTGTGGATGATGAACTCAGAAGTCAACATCAGTCACAACCCGAAGAGCCCCCAAGATTACGTTGAAAGAACGTCGTTCTTGCCTCGAAAAAGAGAGAAACGAGGAATTCTCTTCGTCGCATCCCTGCATATCATCAATCAGTACCAGATCATAGCGTACACCCAGAGCACCACGAATGTGATCTTAAAATGCATCTAATCAATCTATGAGCCAAGTTTTGCCTCAATATGTCACTATCCAAGATGCAAGGTCGGTTCAGAAATGCGAGGGCGCGCTGCAAGGTCGGTTCTGTGCCTGGGATGCCAGACGGATGGTCCTCGACTAACATTGGCTCCATCGTTCTCTGCCTCAGTACAGTAGAGTACTCGTACTTGTATCTCGAAGTCTAGCACATTCTCACGCCATCATCACCTCTCACCAGCCAGCGTCTCGATCGCTCACCCACACCACCTCATGGCGCCCACTCCCGGATCTCTCATCACCACACCCCCTCGTCCTCGACGACGGGCGCGCAGTCCTCGCACCAAGGTCCAGGACCTCGAAGCTCGCATGGGGGCGAAAGCGAGAACGCGGACTCGCAATCTGGAAAAGGAGCGAGCGGCCAGGCAGAGGAAGGCGCAACAAAAGCACGACGGGAAGATGAAGATCGGTGGAGTCGTCACAGCGGATCTGCTGGCCTTCCCACAGGACTCGCCATGCTTTCACTGTCGGATCACAGGGTGTAAACGAAAATTGTATAAAAACATGAGGACCCTACGAGAACACTTGACCAAGTACCACGCTATGGTACTTCTCCTTCATTTGAACGGCGTTCATAGCTCCTGGAGAGTCATGGAATTTCACCGACGAGAAGGACCTCCTAGTGAGTGCGCTCCCCAAGGCCCAAGCCGAGATTCTGGTATTAGCATGCTAACAGTGTTGTGACCAGCTCTTTAGAAGGTTCTGTACTACCGGAAGACACCGCTTGCCCACTGAATATGCCGTCGCCGAAGATGTTGCGTCCTGGCCATCCCGACGGAGCAGTCAAAACCTTTGTGATGGGGTGTGGGCGGACGCATGGAGTAGTGTGCACAGTGTGTCTATGAGAGCCGCGGATCTCTTCATGGAAAACCACTCTCACGCACATACGTGGATCGGGTTCATGTGCTGTTGGCGGCACATCATGCACACAGAGTACCGGCGTGCGGTAGCGGAATATTCTGATGACGAAGAGCACGAGCTCGTGGCGCCGTGGGTGGCGACAATCAGAAATTTGGACCAGGCGGTGGGTTGATGTCTCTGCATCCAGTGATTTGATCAGAAACTGACTGACTCGTACGACGCTACAGCTCTTCAGGATCTCGCTGGTCTCGCCGTCGGTTGACGACTCACGGAGCCGCCCTTTGCTGGTGGGCGATTATCCTTCGCCGGCTGAGTTTAACCCGTAGGTCCCTCCATTGTCTGAC